TAACTCCTTAGCTATATCTTTATCTTAAGTATTTATCTTAATAATAGGTATAATGCAATTAATAAGTAATATTAATTATCTTATACTAATAGCGGTAAATATTAAGATAACTAATATAAATAATACTAGTGCTATAGTAGAATAAGCAGATATATTATTAATATAAGGCAAGGAATATAAATTATAGGTGCGCAGTATTTTAAATAAATATACTAATCTTTTTTATAAAGGCCTTAGTATATTTAATAATAAGGTTAATATACCAGTATATTTCTGCGATAAAAATAATATTAAAGGGGTAAAATAAGCACTATTTTATCTCTTCTTAAGAGATTATAAAGCTATAGACTTTATTCTTAATTTATTAATTATTAAAGAGCGGGTAAAATATATCTCTTTAATATAGAAGGCGCTAGCTATATTACTAGCATTTATTATATAAAATAAGAATAAGCTATAAATAGTTATTAACCTATAATATATTAATAAAAAACTTATTCTAAATATATATTTATTGCCAAAATAAGATAATATTCTTACTAAATATAGGGGCGCTACTATATTTTTATTATTTAATATTATTAAGAAATTCTTTTAATAGTTAGTATAACTATCTAATTATTAGAAAATAATATTTATTATCTCTTATAGGGGCCTTAAGTAATTAATAATAATATTAATAGGCCTATTAATAACTCTAGGCTTTTTCTAATATTATATAGAAAGATTATTATTATAATATCTATAGGATTTTATTCTAGTATATATTAATAATATTATTATATATAGCTAGTTAAAAGAATAGTACTTATAATATCTTAATAAGGTATTTACTATATTAAAGAGATTAAGTATTTCTCTATCTATAGTAAAATATTACTTTATATACTCTTTAATATTAATGTTAAAATATTATATATCTTATCTTAGTATAACTATTTAGAAAGAAAAGATATAAGCTATATATTAAATAATATTCCCTATAATACTGCAGTAATTTAAAATAAAGCTAGCCTTTATAAGTTATTATTAAAAGTTTATTCTATATTTTTTAATAATTATAAGGCTATTTAATATACTTAAAATAAGAGATTTTATAGGATCTCTAAAGAGTAAGCAAATATATTAATAATTTATAGCTAAGGCAGTAATTAAGAGAATACTAGATATAATAAAGGAAGCTAAATATATATAATAGCTTTTAAAAAATTATATTATATTAGCTCCTATATTAATATACCTAGATTTTATTAAACTATTCCTACTCTATATTAATAAAAATAAGAAATAAGGCTATAGCGCTATAGTATACTAGATAGAAGATAATAATATTAAATATCTAGTCTTGTTTTTATTAAAGGAGCTTATTAAAGCTAAATAAAATTATTAGTCTATAGAATTAGAATATAATATACTAGTTTAAGTATTATTTAAGCTATTTTAATATTTTAATTTAGGACTATTTATAATAGTAATAGATTATACTATATTAATAAATACTCTTTAAAGATAGAATCTAATATAATAGAATTATAGACTTAATAATTAAGCGCTTTATTTAGCTAGATTTCTTTTTTATATAATTATTAAATATTATAAAGGGTGTGTTTACTCTAATATTAATAGGCTATTTTATATTTTTAGCTATAAGGATCCTATATAAGATAAGCAATAAATATTATACTAAGTTCTTATAGATGCAATAAATATATTTATAGAAATAGTTATATTTATTATAATATTATTAGGGCTAGATAATAGCCTTATAGAATATATTAAGGAGAATATTATTAAAGATATTATATTTTATACTATTATATAGAAGATTAATAAATAATTAGCAGTATTAGATAATACTTTATATTATTTATTTTCTATAAAGAATAGCATATTATATAATATATAAAAGGAACTATATTATCTATATATTCCCTATATATTATATAAGGAAGTATTTAAAATTATATATAATAGCTTAGGCTATTTAGGCCTTAAATAGAGTTATTCTTTATTAAAAGATAACTTCTTCCTTCCTAAAGAATATATAGAGCTAGTAGATTATATCTTATTATACCTAGTATATTAAGTAGTAAAGCGCTATATATATAAGGAATATAGTTTATATTAACCTATTCTTATATTATTAGTATTACTTAAAATCTAGGCTATAGATTTTATTATAGAACTACTTAAAAGTTAAGGATATAATATTATCCTAATTATAACAGATAAATTCTTATAGTATATATAATTTATCTTAGGTTATAAGTTATAGAGTATAATAAAATAAATATAGGTATTATTTGCTATAGTTATTAAGGATTAGAATTTATTTAAAGCTATTATTTCTAATTAAGATATATAGTTTATAAGCGCCTTTTAGCAGGAGATATTTAAGATATATTATATAAAGCTTAAAATAACTACAGTATATTATTCTAGTATTAATAATTAATTAGAAAGAATTAATGCTATAATAGAGATAATATTATACTATCTTTTAATTAAGCAATATAAGGCAGTTTAGGCTATAATACTACCTAATATTAAATAGGCTAATAATATGCTGTCTAATAAGTTTACTAAGATATTATTATTTAAGATCCTATATAGTATTTATCCTTATATTTTATTAGGTCTAACTAATATTAATAATAACTTTATTACTATATAGAAATAGATTTATACTGCTATATTAAATACTATAGATCTTGCGCAAGTAAAAATAGCCTTAATATTTAATGCCGCCTATAAGCTGCTATTATTATATAATAATATTTATATTTACTTAACTAAATATCTTAAAAAGATAGGGTATATAATATTATAATTATTAAAGTTATCGCTAGTAATAAAAGGTTTATTTAAGATTAAATACTATATTAAACAATTAGCTTATAAGTTAAATCTTCTAAAAGACTAGGATATTTATCCTATAATATTAGTTATCTATTTAGAGTAAGCCTATACTAATACTTATTAAAGGATAATATAGTTATTAGCTTTAATTATAATATAAGATTATAAAGAATATAAAATTTATTATATTCTTTACTAAATAAGGGACTAGTATTTAATAAAATAGAAAGACAGTAATAAGATATAGGAACCTATTATTAATCTTAAGGAGAATATTTTAGAACTATTATAGAGATTTTAATAGGTAATATAAAATAAATACTAAGTAAATTATATTTAGAAGTAAGATAAAACTACTTTAAGAACTAATAGATTTACTTATTTAAACTATTATTTAAGTAAAATAGCTATTATACTTATACCTTACTAATTTTTATAATAATTTTATCTTTTAAGGTATAGCTCTAAATATTACTAATCTTATATAATTAATACTAGTTATTTTATCTTAAATATTAATATTCTTAGCTTATGCCTTATTTTTTTAACTTATATATTATATTATAATTATACTTCTTTATATATTATAATTTTATTTCTTTAACTTATGCCTTAACTTATACTCTATCTCTTTAATATATTGTGTTTTATAATTAATTATTAATATTATTAGTATTAGTTATTATAATATATTTATTTAATAACTTAATATATTAAGTATAATAAAAAGTATTATTATTCCTAATATATAGTAAAATAAAGATAAATCTAGAGAGAAATTATATCTAAAGCTAGGATATATAGATATAGTAATATTTAATATATAAAGCCTAGTTAATATAGTTTAGGACCTAGATATATATAGCTATTTATTATAGTATGTAAAGCTATATAATGCCTAGGTCTATATAATTATTAAAATAGTCTTTATAATAAAAAGGGCAGTAAAATAATTAGCAGATTTTAATACTTAAGAGTATATCTACTATTTTTATATATTAATAGGTCCTATAATATAGCTTTAATATAGTAATAAGGTATATTACCCTAAGTATAATTATTATTATATATTTTACAGCTTTTCTCTATATTATTATAGCCTATAGATAATAGATAAGAGTATTTATATAATCTAAGAAATATTAATCTTTTAATTTAATAAGTATAAGGTCCCCTATAAAGTATAATAAAAGATATTAGCTTTAATATATAAACTACTATCTATCTTAAAGATAAGTAATAAATATATATATTAACTAGATAATTTTATATAGTATTAAATAGAATAAGATAATAAATAATATAATTGCTATAATATTAGACCTAGGATTAACTAAGATATATTAGCTAATTATAAAATGCTAATTAAGAAGTATATTATATTACTATTATAATATTAGGTATAAAATAATAATATAGAGATAGATAATAATAAGGATAGCAATAATATAACTATTATAATTAATAACTATATACCTAAAGATAATATAATAACTATAAATATAATAACATAATAATAAATATCTATAGATATAAGAATAAAATAGGGTATAATAAATATAAGAATTTTAAAGAAGCTTCTTATAAAACCTATAATAATTATTAAGAAGACTATATTACTAAGAGGTAGTTAAGTATAATATTATCTTATATTATTTAATTAAAGTATTAATATAGGAAATAATAACTTCCCTATACTAAATATAATATAAGATATAGAGATCTATTATTAGCAGCATATTTATAATTTAAGAGATTAGGCATATTAATTATTAATAATAGTAGATAATATAGCCCGCTATATACTAATATTAATTTTTTTAGAAATACTTAATTTAATAGATATAATAAATATAATTTTAGATAATAGGATTATATAGGTCTTAGAGGAGATTTGCTAAATACTTACTAAAGAGAAATAGTTTTTATATTAATATTCTAGTATTTATATTAGTATTTTCTTATATTAAGATTTTTTATATTATTGCTAAGCCCTAGGATAGGTCTTTTCTAGAGGGGGATCCTGCTATACTAGATCTGGTATAAAGGCATATAATATAGGTCACATGACCTTATGTATGTAGCGACATCTTTAGCATTAGAGGAACCTAGACTTCTTGATATCACTCTTCCCCCCTACTTGCACAGCATTTATGAACCCTTTTCATACGAGCTTTATCTCTTGGTATTCATATAAAGAGCCATGCTTTCGTGCATCAGGATTCGACAGTAGATAGGTGTAGTATTAAACAAAATTACATTAAGAGAAGACTATACACACATGATAGAAGATTAATGGAACAAAAAATGACAGACCCGTCTCCAATGGAACGATTTGTCACCTGGGGACATAGAAACCATTTGCTGCCACGGCCTTGTCTTTCAACTCATCTGTCCCAACGCGAACACCGAGTCTGCGCAGGGGAACTCGCTCTATATGCCTTTCTACTGTCGTCTTTGTGGACACAAAACCATTCTTGGCTCTATCAAGCCAACCAAGTCTCTCTTCCTGACTGCTACCGCGGAAGAGTACTTCAGGGCTCCAAGCAGGATGGCCTAGAGCGTGCTGTGCAATAGAAATGTCTGAGGCTTCCTTAAGAAGCGCAGCATCAAAGGATTCTTGATCACTAATGTTCGTTCCTTTCTCCGCGGCGGGCAGCTTGACTGGCTCGTCCGGACGAATGAATCCCATCACCTGCACTTCGAGCTTCTCACCTGAAAATGGGATATCTCCACTATCGACAACTGGGCGAAGAGTGAATCGCTTCTTTATAACACGGGCCACATTTACACGATCCAGTTGCGAAACATCCACTTGCGACGCGCTGATCAAAGCTTGATACCAGGTGCCTCCTGCAGCTTTCTCCTTCTCGGACTTGCGAAGAATGCGGACCCAACCGAAGTAGTGACCGTATAGTCTTCGAGCGAGTAAATCCGATAGACCGCTGAGGTTCATCGCCAGGCCACTCGGAAACTGGATTTGGTTCATGGTAGGGCCTTCACAGCGAGCAACAAAGTAGAGCGGAAACGGTGGCTGCGGACCCCGTGAGACATCCGGCAGTCCTCCACCAGTGGTTAGAGATGTGTTGGCCTGGTCGTCGTCATTCTCGTCGTCATCATTGCCGTCAACTACAGAGGTTACTTTGTCCTGTATTCCAGTCAAATCAAGGAGCGCAGACGCTGCTATCTGGTCTGCGGACGAAGGGAGGGCTCGCTGGACCGCACCCTGGACGGTATTCTGCAGCGCTGTCGTCACAGGTTGGACCGCTGTGCTAAAAGCACTTCTTGCCGTTGAGCTCAAGGCCATCACACCCAGTTCCAGCGGCAAAGTGCTTAGACTGGCACCCCTGATCGAACTCGGATCTAATGATGTCGACAGTACACGGAAGACGGGGCTATTGCACAAGGTCTTCTTCTTATCCCCTTGGCAAAGGACTAACTGAAAATACCCATCTCCAGCCTCGACGGGAATTCGTACCACAGCCGTCTCGCGTAGCCGGTGTCGCTCCCGAACGTCTTTAGGGCCTTTCTTACGGAACTTCGCGATATCCCGCTGCCACGCGCGCTCGTCGCTAGGATCCAACTGCACCGGTCGGACGGCAGTTGTGGGGGTGACATCCAGCCAGTCCCCAGTAAATCCAAACAAGGCCTTGGCTCGCATTCCCGTCTTGCCTGTCCAGCCCTTGTTCTGGAGCCAAATGGTGCGGTCAGGTGGCAGTGCAACGTCGGAAAAGATCGAGATGGCGAGGGAAGTACTGCTTCCCTGATAGAATACTATGCCATGGGAGTGTCGTAGAATTGTAAAGTGCTTTGTACTCTCCGTAGGATGATGGATGAGACCCCCGGCGAAGTGACATGCTTCCTGATATGCCTTTTGGGCAAATGATAGCGCCGTCGATGACTCCGCTCCAGGAGGCGGACATGAGACTGCGCTACGGCCAGCGTTCGAGCTCGCGCCTGCGGAAGAGGGTCGCAGGCCGGTAGAGACACGACTTTGTACCGGGCTTGCATAGAGCGGAGAGTGAGAGTCCAGGATTCTCCCTGGAAAGATCTCGCGTGGGCCTGAACTGGCGGAATCGCCGTTGTTCAGACGGGGCCGCTCCGGCTGCGCTGGAGATGCTAGGACAGCGGGGGACGTCAGGACGGGCTTCCGCCTGATCTGGAAGCGTTCTGGAGGATCAGCGCTATACGGAGGAGGCGGACTGGCCGACATCGCGACTCGGGCTTTTTCATCATCCTCAGCAATTAGTTACAGGCAACAATGCCACGAAGACAAGATGAGGCTTGGTCTTTCTCTCCTTGTCTTTGATTCCGGGCCATCCGCGGGCTCGTCCGCTCAGTCGGCTTAGTCATACACGTCCCGATTCGTCTAACTTAACTCAACTGACTATTAAAGAGAAAGATTATTGTAAAACGCCGAATTCAGACGACACTTGCAGTTGGGATATCCAGTTCATGCATATCAGTCACCCAGGACTCGAGCCTCGACGTCGTCAAGTCTACCGCGCATCTTCAGTTTCCTCTGGTCTTGGCAGTGCTCGTGCTAATGCTAGACTATTGACCGTAATGTCCTCCTTTTCCAAACGATGCCCGGGTCTTCTAGGAATCATCTGAGAAGCATGTCTTGCAAGATGCAATTTGTCAAGCGTTTCTTTCAACAAAAGGCCATCGTCAATGTAGCAACCCTGTCACATCTGTAAGTGAAAGTCGATGTCAAGAAATTGGGTTGCCGGAGGTGGCTGCAGAAACGAATCCCAGTCTGTCTCGTCGAACATCCACCGCTTTTCAGCATTACTGGCATCGTCTCCGACGTCCGGGGTCCCCGCGATGCGCTCAAGGATGGCGATTCCCTTTCTCTTCTTTTCTAGCGATGCACAGACAAGGATTCTTGCAGTATGGGCCGCCTCCTTGGCCAGATGCGTGTCAAGACGAGTTGTAATTATCTCGAGAGTCTCCATGACATCCGGAACACTGGCAATACTCTCGGTTGTATCGATAGCCAGCAAAACGCAGACAAACTGGAAGATCGTGCTCATCACGTTCCACCAGGGGTGGTTCGACGCCATCAATCGACGCGCAGCAGGTAGGGCAGCGGTACCAGCCGCGATAACTTGCTCGATCTGTTCCTGTTTCAGGCCGTTGTCGAGGAGACGTAGTCTGCGGTATACGCAGAAGCACAGCTCTGCTCGTGTGATGGTGACAAAGTCATGCCCTGTGGGGGCATCCAGAAGATAATTGAGAGCGGCAATCAGCTCTGACTTCCTCGCAGTAGGATCGGCATGTATGTCATCACGGGGAAGGCCGCGAACCAGACCGTAGAGATGGAGCGAGAAATCTCCATCTCGAGGAACAATCTTGTTAAATGACAAGGGTCCAATATACACAGCTGATCGCCCGTAGTCGTACGAAATTATAGCATTCAGACAATGTGCGATCATGGCGGTCCGCTCCCGGACGTCAGACTGCTCCTGCAGATACCCTTGACGAGAATCGCTCATCAGAACGACCTGGTCCATTTCTCGGTGCAAACTAGTCGCCTCAACAAGATGCATGGTAGTGCAACTTGATAGCCAGGAGACATGGGGCCTGCTCGTAGCCCGGATATAGATTGTCCGCAGTATCCACGCACCCACTTGCTCAATGGAAGGAAAGCGACTATGTGACGGATCTTCCAAGAGCTCTTTAGCGTGCAGGACAATTCGCATCTCCACATCCGTGGCCAGCAGGCCAGAAAATAGAGACGCCAACCCGATGATGCCGCTGATCAGGGCCTCAAGGCCTGGCCCTTGAGACTTGCCGTTCCAATGGTCCTCGCATCGACGATAAAGGCGCTCCACATCCAGAAATCCAAATATGGGGTGGATCGTGGAAGCATAAATATCGATTAGCTCCCGGACTTGAGTCCATGCTATGAGATCGACGAATTGAAATTTGACTGTACAGCCAGGTTCAGATCGTAAGCCAGTATTGTATGCGAAAGAATGTAAACGCGGCGGATTAGCAGACTGCAAATCCAGCCCAACAACTCTAGGAAATGCAATGGCGGAATCACTGCTCATATACCGCCATTTGTTCGGGTCGAGGATGCCATGGTGAGCACTCTTGACCTTGGAATGTGTGCTGGGCTGAGGCAGACGCGGCGCCTTGTGGACTGGCTCCGGCATGAGAACATCGTCCAAGGCGGTTCTTTTGGGGATTTTCCGTTCACCATCGTCACTGTACCGACACTCATAGCCATAGCCTGTACAAGTCAAGCAGGGCAGTCGGCCATCACATTTCCGCTTCCGTTGCCTACATGGAAAACAGGCTCTTCGAGAACGCTGTCGCATGTACCCTGCTGGGGGCGACGGCGAGCCACCAGTATTGTGTAACGGAGTGGCCATTGAGGTGGAGAACTTCAGTTAACTCCACGGCGCGAGAGATGAGGAAGCCAGCAAGGAACCCATGCCAGATACCGAGAGATCTTCCGTGCTCAAACGGCATAGATGGAGCTCTCGGAGCTGCGATTCACGACTGTACAAGAAATGCCAAGGTCCATATAGCGATCATCATGTGACTAGCCCATGGCCTCTCCTCTCTCTCTCCTTCAACGCAGAACTTAAGCTCTCTAGGGATGAAAGAGAGGCGCAGCTCGTATTGCTAAAGCCTGTATCATATACTGTTGCTCGGGCAAGTGATGCACTCCTCGTAGCATTAGAGATGGTGCTTATGCAAGTTCACGTAATAAATTTAATAGTTAATAGCTATCTATTTCCACGGAACGAACGCCCAAGTGGAAAGAGGCAGCACGCTAAATTTACGCTGTTTTCGAAAGTAGAGATACGACGTTTAGAGGCAACTCGCTCCATGCATAGTACATATTGGACTGTCCGAGCGAGAATACAGCGGCGAGATATGTTCTGCTCATCGACCCCAGCTGGAGATAGTACAGGTACAACAGCTGAATTAGGGTGCCAAATCAAAACAAAGGGTGGGAGAAATTATAACCGAAGTACAGACAAACCAACACCATACCACCAACGGGCTAAAACAGAGCCATCGAGCCGTCACGCCGAATACACCGAGAAAAAAGATAAAAAGGAAAAAAAAATTACAGATGGTGTCTGGCAGAAACACTCCTTCCGCCTGACCTTGTTCGCACGTTGGTTCTGGCTATTGCACCGAAGGCAAATTTCGACAATGTCTACGGACTGCGTTTTTATCACGATGATGTGATGGGAAGAGAGAAGAAAACTGCGTACGGAGATGGTAGCACATGTCCGTTCTTCAAGTAGCAACAGGGAGCCCGTGGCTGGGCTCGGTCTTTGTTGTTTGTTGCTCAGGCTGTCCGTCTTCACTTCGCATACGCTTCTGGGCCGGGAAGTTGTTGGTCAAATATGCCGCTTCCTCGTGAGGGTGCTTCCGCATCCCCAGCCCAGCGACAGCGATGCGGTTTAATGAACTCAGATCTTCTCCTGTCGCCGTACCAGCAGTGGATGGCTGTCCCTGCTGCTGGGGCGGCGCGGGACCGGGGACCGAAGAGGACGGGCCAGCTCCTGGAGCGCTGGCGGTCGCGGCAACCGGAGGCTCCGGACGAGGCTGACTGAGATCGATGTTTCCTGGCAATTCAGGGACTTCGTTCTGAGAATCGATCAGGCGCGATTGTAGGCTGATGATATATTCACGAAGCTGGTAGTTCTCCGCTTGGATGGCTTTGTAACTTTCCGTCAGAGCTTCGTACTCCTTCACCTGTTCCTCCAACTTGCGAATGTATCCTTCCTTGCGTTGGCGGAAAGCTCGCTGTTCGAGTCAGTGACATTGCGCGCCAGAAAGGGGGCTCTCTCGGCCACCACATACCTGAGCAGCACGATTCTGCGCCGCACGCTTCGACGTCGACAGCTCCCGCTTTCCATAAACCTTGCGACCATCGGGCGGGGACCCCTCCTGAGGGGGCTGCTGCTGTTCCGGAGGCGGGTTCAGCATGGCCGTGCCAGCGATGGCGGGGTCGATGTTATTCTGGTCGCGAGATCCGGGTGCGCCAGGCTGCAGGTGCTGCGGATGCGTTGGGGACTGCTGCGGCCGCGCCTGCTGGGGGTGGGAGGAGAGGTGCTGCTGGGCCGCCAGGAGCTGATCATGGAGGACTGTAGTTGGTTGAAGTTAGCGCAAAGCCCTCCTTTGGGTTTACTGGACGAGATGAGCATCGAAGTGAATGGACGGAGGAGCGACAGCTGCTTCGGTCATGTTGGTGTTCTTGCAGGAAGAACCGCGAGGCGTGTTCGTGCTCGCAAACGCCTCCGCGAAACCGGCTGACGCGATGACAACGATATATAGCACGACAGGAGAAGAAACGAAGCGGTCACAGCAGTTGCGCAGAACGCTGGCCCTGCATGGGATTTTACTCACCCTGATCCGCATGATCCTGTTTGCGATGCCTCAGTTAGCCCATCGGTCATCAAGGGTGCCCCCCCCCAGCGGGTGAAAACCAGGTACGTAAGCATCGTGAATTGCGCTCGAGGATCTCGTCTTGATCCTCGCTGGCTCGCCCAGCTGAGCGAGGCGACAGAGGCACGCGCTGAAGGGAGCTGAAGGATGACGGAGCGGTGTTGCTTGCTTGCTTGCTTGCTTGCTTACCTGAGCAGAGCTCTGCATGCTTGGATGCGGCGCTGGGGCTAGCGCGGGCTGCATCGAGAGAAACAACAGACAGGCGACGAAGGAACGAGACGGCCAATTCCACCAGACTAAAAAGACAGGCAAAGGGGGACGAAAGTCCTAACGACGAAAGGCCAGCTCAGCGCACGTGGAATCCCAGCCGCAACCGAGTCAAGAGGTGAGATGTCGCGAGAAGGACGACCTAGTAGAAAGCTGGTGATGGGGGGACGATGATCTCGTAAGCAGGATTCGGATGGAGAAAAGTCGGGGGTGGTGGGAACGAAGGCATAGAAGTAGCAGCAGCAAGTTTGGAGTCGCGGCGTGTAGGCATCGGGGTGGCTGGCCGAGGGGGACCGGGGGGTGGGAAAAGGCCATCGTGCGATTCATTCCGCTGGACTGCGCCGGCTTCGTGCTCGATCTACTTTAGGTAGTCTAGATACGCGAATTACTCTGGCCGCGGTTGACTGCGCTGTACTACGGCCAATGGCACCAACTCTACGAGCTGTTGTATATGATGCTATCTGCTTGCGTTGGAGAGAGAGAGAGAGAGAGAGAGCATGATGCTGATGCCGTAAGCCAGCATAGCATGATGACTGATCCTGACGGGCAACGCAACGGATGTGCCGGCTCAGGTGTCACCGGTCCGATCGTGGTGAATAATAATAATAATAATAATAACTATCGACCAGTTAATAGGTAGTTATTATTATCACCAGCAGTCAGTCTCTCCCACACATTGTTCCTCGAGAGAAAAAAAAATGAAGAAAAGAAAAAAAAAAAAAAAAAAAAAAAAAAAAAGCTACCCATCTAGCAGTCCTCCCTTATTATTTTCTATTGCAAGTCCCTCATTCCTGTCTGTCCGCGCCACGCCATTTTCTATGCGGATGAGTCAGACGAGGCGTCGCGCAAGTCCTGGCACTAGCAAACTAGCCCCGATCCGGACTCGTCTATTAGTCAGCCCGGCATGTCCTCTGCTTAAGTCCGACGCCAGACCCCCACTGATGCTCGGGCCACGCACTGTCCACTTTCCCGCCACATCCAGATGTCATGATAGCTCCTCTGTCGGACGTATGTCACCTCGTCCACATATTGAGTAGTTACTCCTTGGATAGTTATTAGTTATTCTCATTTCCTTACCAAAGACACCTCCCGTCTTATGCCTGATCCCCCATTTCAAAAGTTCACATACTGATGCCCCGTAGTTTATTCCGTACCTCTCTCATCGCCCGTGGCTGCCATCCATTCAGATCTGTTTGTTTCACTAACCAACAGGGCCAATTGCATCAGAATACGGCTGCGTCCAAAAGCAACAGAGACCACAGACCACTGCTAACTGCAAGGTACTCCATTGAACTATTAACAATGCTGGAAAAGGATCTGAACATCCAGGGACACAGATAACGATAATAAGAATACCGCCGATTCTATGCTACACGTTCAAAACACCAACCGGGTCTAGTTAGGCAACAAACGCACGCAGGAGGGAAGGTGGGGTGGAGGCCATATGGAAAGGCACAGGACCCATTATTGCGTACACGGCCCGTACACAGCAATAATGTACAGACTCTGAGCCGGTACATAATAATAACAACAATGGCATCGACACACGTCCTTTGCTTCATACATCCAGTATCATTCCTTGATCTGCACCCCATCGAGACAAGGCAAACTGTGGGGACGTCCGGCTCGATACGGAACATGCATCCGCAACTTCGACGGAGTCGCTCACTGCTCCTTCTTCACTTCCGGCTTTGTGGCCTGCGCCTGGATAATTCTGGCGCCTTGCTTCGCAGACTCCTGCCATCCTCGCTGTCGACCCCAGAACCGGTCCGTGGCTGTGGAATCGCGCAAAGTGCTCGCGCGAGCGTCCTCCTCCAGCGACTCGCGAGTGATCTTCTCACCCCCAGCGTGCAGGACAGGCTCCTCAACATCGTCGCCGGTGGTAGCCTCCTTCTCCGCATCAATTGCGGACTGAAGGTACTTGCGGCGTAGCACATACATTTCCGCCTTCTTCTGACGGATACTTGGCATCTCTAGTTTGGCCATCACAGCCTCGACAACAGATCGCACCAGAAGGTAGAGGTGCTCGGAAAAGAAGACGGTCAACAGCAGGGCCCAGAACTGAACGCGCGATGGCGTCCCTTCTGGGCCCGATCCATTGAACATATACACCAGTGCAGAACTGGTGATGCTGCCCAACCAAGAAAGGAGACCTAGAGTATCCAACCACGGTCCGATAGTATCGGTCCGCTCTGGGGTCGGCCGCCTGCACTCTTTGCAGATTTTGAAGAAGTCGCCCCGCAGTTCGACCCAGTTGTTGATCAGGAACGAAACCGGAACCAGCGGCCAGACTGGAGAAAAGAGCGCCAGGTAGCCGAACTGGATACACATCTCACGCAAGTCATCCGTGACCTCGTACTCGCTCAGCTCTGCCTGCCTGCGTACACGAACCAGAAACTCCTCTTCCTCGGGCGGGTCATCGAATGTTGCCTTCAACTTCTGCTCCTGTTCCTCGCCTTTGCCGCCGGGAGTTCCGTTCTTCCGTTCGTCACTGTACTCCTTGTACTTGAGGAAGAGCTTCCGCTTGGCATATGGCACAATGGTCTCCATTGCGAAGTTGACAATCTGGGCTGTGACCGTAAAATAAATGACCTGCTTCCGCAGCCTGTCCGGGTCGATATGGAACTCCGTCACGGCCTGGACCTCGTCTTTGGAGACAAAGGGGCGAACAGTCAATTGGAATACGTCAAGATAGGGAACGATAAGGCGGGCAAATGGGACGTAAACAAAAGCCGTAAGGATAATCGGAAGGTAGGAGACGATGAAGTTCAACACGAAGATCTTCCGCGTCAAAGCCACATCATAGCTCTCCTGCGTCTCGTAGTTCTCCAGGTCATTGAGCCTTGTGGCCACATTGACCAAAACGGCGCTGATTGTAGGCACTAGGGCGGAGAGAAGAATGGTGGGTATAAACACCTAGATTTGTTAGCTTTCTACCAAAAGATACTAAGGCAAACGTACCAGGTAGGTCTTGAGCGGGCCGTTGTATATCTCAGATATGAAGATCTCGATCGCAAAACATGTGGCTATGATGGCTCCCAGGGCAGTGACAGCGAGGAACGCAAATGGCACCTGTAGGAGTTGACGGGAGAGTCGTTTGGTCGCCGGAAAGATATACTTCTTTTCGCCCGTCACCTCGTCCGTGACCACCTTGTCGGGTTTGAATTCTCGTCTTCTCGTCAACAAAACAGAAACACCCTTGGTCTGCCAACGAATACTGAGATCCGTCTCTTGGCGTTTCCAGTACTCGACAAAGACGAGACAGAACAGACAGTTTCCGATAGTGTAGATCACGGAGAAATGTCCGAGCAAGAGCCAGCACGAGAAACCAAACGCCGCGGGGAAGACCAAGAATGCGAAGTACGATTGCAAGAAAGCGAAGTAGAAGCCAACCTTGTTGTAAGAGTGAGCTGACGTAAGGCTAATGCGAGCAACTCGGCGGGACCCTTACCTTCTCCCCAAACTTGTTCCTGATCTGATCAAGATCTTCTTTGGTGAGCAGTGTCTTCTGACTCCAATCTCGCATCCATTTCCGATTCGTCTCATCATCATGCAAGGCAAAGATCGACTCAACATTCTTCCACACCCCATGCTTCGGTGTAATGTCAGCACCGCCTTCTTCCTGTGGAAAGGTGATCAATTGATAAATAACGCGGAGGCGCTCTGCTTCCGTCTGGGGCTCGGTCACACTGGAAGCATCGGGCTCCTGGTTACGGACACCATAAAGCCAGTCACGGACTCTGGCAGTGTTGGGCTAATCAGCGATGAGTTCCTTTCGGTTCGCAGCGACGTGATGGCCTACCTCGATCTGTGGATGGCCTTGCCCAGTCTTCGCTTGGCTGCTCGGACGAAGACTAACAGTGATGTCTCATCGCCGTGACGGACTTCCGTCTGCAATCCAACCTCGGTCAGAGCACGCAGCAGGCACTCGAGCTGTTGAGCAGCTTCCGAGGGATCTTGCAAAGTCAGCTAGCTAGTTCACTCAAGTAATAATAAAACATCGGGCGGGGCTCTCATCGGACGCAGTCCATACCGATGTCAGCGAAGCGGTAGCGGATGACATAGTCGACGTCGAAGCTGCCCTGGAGGGTATTTTGAGATGTCGAAGCCATTGAGTCAAGGCTTCAGGCGCAACACGACAAGATAGGTCATGGGGCACTATCCACGAGGTGGGATGAAGGAAGATGGCCTCCACGGTAGGGCTGAGGCCGTCTTTGTTGTTTGTCCCAGTTTAAGGGAGCTCGACGCTGACGACGTCACCGCCCTGGGCTGCGAGATCGACTTCAGGGTTAGCCCTACTGTTAGTCCTGGTCTGGTAAAAGATCTTCGCAGAGAGATAGAGTATCAGATCGCCCCAGATGATGGGCACGCATCGCCGATTATTCGACAGCCACATTACGCGTCGACAGCCTCTTCTCTCTCTCTGGCAAAGTGTCGAACCCAGACTATGACCTTAATATGCAACACAGCAGAAACAGAAGGATGAGTATCAGTTCTGAATGATAATAGAGTAGGGCGCATCTCGAATAATAATATGCCCATTGGTTAAAGTTAGGTACTTATCTATCTACAACGTGGTTAAAACGGGCCACTTTCTACTACTATCTAAGCCTGCTCCGCCAACTTATTCAGTGCTTCTCCTTCCAACATCATCTTCAGCCATTCCTCCATGGCCGTCGCCCCGACCTGCTTGTAGAAATTGATACTGGGCTCATTCCACTTGAGAACACTCCATTCGAGACGTCGTCCGCCCATTCTAACCACTTCGTTCGCCAAATACCGCAGGAGTTTGAAGCCATATCCTCTGCCCCTCGCGCTTGGCTGTACATAGAGGTCTTCGAGATAGATTCCCGGAGCGGAGCGCCATGTCGAGTAGTTATAGAAGAAAAGTGCCATGCCAACTGGAACTGGCGTCGGATTTTCCGCGGTGGCCGGTGGAATGACTAGGGCTGTATAGGTACTGCCCTTCCTCGGAGGTGTGGAGGGGAAAGAAAGGGTTGCAAGGAGAGACTCTTCCGTAGCTTCGACTTCATGCAGGGCTTTCTCATAGTCGGCCAGTTCGCGAATAAATTGAAGGATATAGCCGACATCTGGTGGAAAACAGCAATTAGCGACGTGGAACTAGAACTGGTAAAACATGCGGGAAGACTCACCTTGCTCGGTCGCGAGCCGGATCGTAGGCTGATCCGACATTTTGCTTCTGGATTTCGAAAAGGAATCGTCTAATCGATGTAGAGGTGGTCTAGGACTCACAATAATAACAATGCTTTAGAAACTTTTTAGAGACGCATACTTAGGCCCAGATGCTTCTTCTCTAGCGACCCCGCAGTTAAATTTGAAACCTCTAATTTAAGCTACCCGTCGCGCCCTGTCAATGACAGGAACATCGCCGCCTATTGGCCTTATACAAAAGAGGAAAATGCGGCCGTATCAACATAAGGGAACGATTGATGATCAGTTGTCCAAGGATCAACGCCCCCAAGAGGGCATAACTACTATATATAAAGCTGATAGTCATACAAAATGAAGAAAAGAGAAACAGGTCATCTAGACATTACGGCTGACATCCATTTCTGCTCGTCGGACCTACGTCTCATTAGTATGCCTGGTACTGGACTGGCCTCGGAAACAGCTTGCTTACCTGTCGAAATGAAGCAGCATCCCCAGCACAGGAATAAGCTGTTTCTGGTAGTTCTTATCCTTCTGCTCCAGGAACTGAAGCAGCACGTTTTTCAGGTAGATATAATCGATAGCAGGCGCACCAGGACCAGTCGGTGTCTGACTCCGGGAAACAGACGTGTTTCGATCCCTTGGTGGCGGGGAGACGACACCCTTACGCGAACCGGAGTCGATGGATGATCGTGAAGACTGATTATTGGAATCAAGTCCGCGTATCGAAGTCTGAGCGGAGCGGACCTCATCTGTAAGAAGCTTGTTGGATTTTCGCACCTTTTCCAGGCGATTGCTGGTTTCCTCGACGGATCGACGCAGCTCAGCCTTCTCTTTCTCAAGTTCACGAACTTGCTTCTCGCTTTCATCCAGGGCATCGCGCAGTTCTGCCATTGCTTCCCGGACTTCCTGCAATTCCTGGACAGAACGTTCAGACTGGGACACTAGTTCGTCCCGTCGCCGTCTCCAGTCTTGCTGTGCGTGTTCGAGCTCTTCCTTATCCTCTTCAGCTCTTCGTAGGGCCTTCTCTGCCTCCCGAACTTTTGTTTTGAGTTCCTCCAACTCTCGTGCACGACGTCGACCGAGAGTACTGGCCTCATCCTCGGCCCGGTCTCGCTCCTCGATGGCGGCTTCCATTCGCTCCTTGAAGTCTCGGACCTTGGCATCAGCTTTACTCTCAATGTCATTGAGGAGTCGTCTCATCGTTTCGCCTTCGCGACTACGCTCGCTCAACAGTCGATGCGCATCCACAAGTTCTTCCTCCAGGCTCTCGCACCGTTGACGGACCTCTTTCATTTGCATTGCCATTTCTGCCGACTGGTCACGCATGCTGTTCATCAAGCTCTGTGCACTAGCATGCTGGGCTGTCTTGAGCTGGATCTCCTCGCGGAGGCCCTCGATGTCCTTGTTTAGTCGCGTAACCTGTTCTTCGACTTCTCGTAGCTTCGTCCTCGACGCCTTCAAGTCATCCTGCGATTTCGATAATTCTTTCTTGGCTTTTTCTTTTGCCTCAGCAGCTTCCTGCTTCTTTGCCTCCATGCTACGAAGATCAGATTTGGCGGCGGTGCAAGCTTCTTCCGCTTTGAGGCGGCTATCAGTCTCCTGTCTAATCTTTTGGTTCAACGTCTTCACTTCCGCGTCCCTTTCGGCGATATTAGATCTAAGGCTCTTCACCTCGGTGCGTAGGTCGTCATGTTTGGCTTGCAATGTTTTGAGTTCGGTCGATTTGCTCTTGAGGTCCTCCTTTGCTGTCTTCAGCTCAGCAGATTCGGAGCGCAGAGTCCGAAGCTCCGGCTGTAATTTCTGTAGAGTTTCTCTAAGGTCGGTCAGATCCTTGAATCTAGAGGCTGCGAGTTGCTGGGCTGCCGAAAGGTCTGTTTCCAAAGTCGTTGCTTTGACCTTCAGTTCCTCGAATTCCGCCTTCAAATCGTTATGTGCTTTCTCGGACCCAGCAGTACTGGACGCGTTGCTGGCTTGAAGTTCGGCGAGTTCTTTCTCTAACTTCGCCAGGCTAGCTTCCAGCGCAGCCTTCTCTGCGGAGAGTTCCTTGATCTTGTCCTTTGCTTCGACATGGTCCTGGCCAAGATGGAGAAGGTCATCACGTAGCGACTCGATCTCCTCTTTCAGATCCTCTTCGCCCTTGAGCTTGGAATGTAAGCGATCAATAGCAGCATCTTTTTCAGCAAGCTGTGAATTGAGAGATTTGATTCTGAGCTCCAGTTCGCTAATATCGGCCTCCTCTTTGCTGTCATCGGCTGCCGGTTGTTGCTTCTCCGAAGGTGCGGCTGCACCCGCTGCTGTGCCATTTTCATCTCCGCCCTTGCCGCCTTTCTTCTTCTTGTTCTTCTTCTTCTTTCCTCCGCCTGATCCCGCGGCAGTGGCTGGTTGACTAGTCTGCTCTTGCTTGGGTTTGGTTGCTTCTGCAGTGCCAGATGATGTGGATGTCAGGTCGTCCCGGATCTCTGCGAAGTCCACCGCCTGGCCGCTTGCCACACGCTCGCGTACGGCTGGCCACTTCTCGTTCTCTTTCAAGCCAGTGTCGACAAAGTCCACAATCTTTTGGAGGTTACGCTTTTCCGAAAGCTCTGCAGTGAGGGAGGAGACGGAGGATTCGGAGTCCTTGAGCTGCGACTTGAGGCTATCTACCAGTCCCTGCAGCACGTCAAGACGCTTCTTACTGTCTTCTTTCTCCTTTTCGGCCTCCGCAAGCTTCTTTGGCAGTTCCGTTTGATCACGATCGTTGGTTTCAGAAATCTGTTGTTTCAACTTCTCGCACTCTTCAGACTTTTCTTTCAACTGTAACTTCAAGTCCTCAGCAGCCGACTGGGCCTTTTCTAAGGCGCTCTCTGCAGTAGAAATCTTGGATTTGAGTTCGTCAATTTCGGCGCGGCTAGAGTCTTTCAGACGTGCAATCTCCGTCTCGTAGTTATCCTTGGCATCCCGCAGACCTTCCAGCTCACGAGTCGCGGATTCCAAACTGCCCACCATGCCTTCTGTTGACTCTCTTGCCACAGACAGATCGCGCTTCAGGTTTTCAACCTGGGACTGTAATCCCTCGATTTCCTCCTTCTTCTCTTTCAGTTCAGACTCTAGACGGGGAATCTCATTATCGAAGGAGAAGAACTCCTCGCTCTCCTCCTTGGCTAGAGGAGATTTTGCTGCCTTTGTCCGTGGCGAAAATAAAGACATCCCCGGTATTACCGCAGCCTTCGAAGCGATCGAGCCAGTTGGCGACTTCTGGGGGTTCTCGACATCAGTCGAGGTGGTGGTATCGATCGTAAGTTTCTCCGGAACGCCGTTAGTTGTGCCTGGTTCGGAGGACGAGTCTCTTTGTATCTGGCCCTTTTTCAGATTTGTAACCTCATCCCACGCAGCCTTCGCAGACTTCTCTGCCTCTTCCAGGTTCTTCTTGAACTGGTCTCGTTCTGCTGTGACCCGCTTCAGCTCATCCAGAACCATATCTCCTTTGAGCGAAATCTGGTTGAGGTATTCCGTGAACGATTTTGGATCGCTGATGGACGTCAGGGGTGTATTCTCACGTAGGGCCGCTTCAAACGGCTCGATGGACAGAACACGGGCATGCGCGACACGGTAGGCTTTCAAAAGGTCTAGATACAAAGGGGACAGGAGATGTCAGCGGGAACCAAGCGCAACGTTAGGATTAGGGCGCAGAATACCTTGATACCTAGACTCCAGCTTGTCCAACCTCCGTAGCCTCACTCTGACATCGGTGGGAAGCTCAGCAGCTGCCGTACTCGAGCCTGTATCAGGTGCGGCTTCCTTGCCCGCGGACTCTGCTGACGCTTTCTTTTCTCCATCGCCACTTGCGCCCCCTTCCGGAGGTACAGAAGGCTCTGAACGAGGTGTGCCAGACCTGCTGGATCCATCATCCTCGCCAACAGCAAATTCGGATTCGAATTCGGCCGGGTCGGGACCTTTGCCTGAAAGAGTCCCTGCGCGTGTCCGAGCTGGTCGCCTACCGGTGGAAAGGTCGCGAGAGGCCTGACGACGTGCGGAGTTCGACCGTGAGATAGATTCCTGTGCTTGCCTCTGTCGCGCCTGCTCCTCTGCAATCCGGGAGTCTATTGCGCCGCGGATTCGCTGGTAAACGGGACAAGGGTGAGCGCAGATCCAAAGACAATGTAAGCGTGGTTCAATCGCACCTGAAACATCACCTCGGTGGCGCTCTGCGTCAGCGCTGTCAAAAGAGCCGTAAATACAAGGAGCAAGGATGCAATATGCAGAACGATAAGAAGTAAAGAGTGGAATTGATAGCGAGTGCTAGAGAAAGGGAGCATTGGCTGAAACAACACCGGGGGATCAAACGGCCATCTTGTCCTGTGTAGCTGCCATGTGGAAGCTCGGGCCACATCCGAGGCTATGCTCGATGTTGATACTTGAGGTAGTTGGCGGAGAAGAACAACAGACTTGCCGTCCCAGAGCCCTCGTTGTTAATTAGTGATTAATTAATCAGACGAAGATATTCTGTTCGAATCCATTACTAGTTAACTACATGATATCAGTCCTCCTATAGGCATATTCGCGTTGTTGTCCTTACGAGATCTTGGCGGTACCGATGTGACTAGGTCCGCGCATCGAAAGATAATTAACCACTAGATACAATTAGCAAGACTAATAGATTGCAAATGTTAGACCTTCTCAATCGATGATTGTGGTTTGGTTTCTTTGTTTTTTTGACTTGAACTCCTTTCCGAATAGCCTGTCGTAAAATGCGTTGAACCAGAATTGGTTCGGCATACAGTGCAAAATATATATCTATATCTATTGTCTCACTATGACCCTCTGAGCCGTCCTCCACTTTGCATTACCTGCCACCGCAATTGTTTCACAAGATGCTATGGTTTTACCCTCGTTGAAAAGACCTCAAAAATTAGAACCAGTGGTTCAAAAAATCGAGAAGGTCGTCCCTAATAAATCGATACAAAACACCAACTTCACTCTACATGCAGCCATGATCGGGTTATTCCGGCGCCTGGCTCATTCTGCAGAATAGATATAACCGATAGAAAGTTACTAGTAAAAAGGTCCAGCCACCAGTGATCTATTTAATGCTTGAGGAAATTTTAAAAGTAAAAGATTACATTAGTGACAATCAATGGCTCGTCAATAATAACTAATTTATGTATGTATTGCATACAGCACATACAATGTAGACACGTCCAAGTCCGTAGATCGATACAAAAACTAGTAGTAACTATGTAGATGTTATCATAGGCACTGGGGATATTCGCGAGTTTACTTCAGTAGTGAACTTCATCAGATCAAATTGATTCCCGCACTGTGCGATATGTGGTCAGAATGTGCGATCATACTGTAATCTGTATATATATTTACATACAGAAAAAAATTTTCCTCTTTTCTTCTTTTCTTCTTTTCCATTCTGTTGTTCTTTCTCTTTCTATAGGAGCCACTTCCAACATTTGGTGCTTCTAACCGTGGATCGAGGCGTCCACCCTACTCTTGGCGTCTTTTCCCTTCCCCTCCGCTTTTTGCACCGTGACTCCATCTCGTGAGTCTTTGAGAATCTGACGAGGAACGCGGCCTGAGAGATCGACCACGACCAGTCAGGAAGCGTACATTGTCCACGACGATCTGACCATCATCTACCATATGGTAAAAATAAAATAACACCAACGCCAGCAGACGCTGTGTGATGATTCTTTAGCGCAACGGATATCCTTAGGGATCAACTACCCGCCGCCAGCTGACCCAATAAGATAGAACCAAACAACCAGCAGGGTCGCCGGCCGCCCGCACGTTGTCAATTCCACCGTTTCCACTCACGCAGCACCAACACAGCTCCTCTCAAGGCCTCACGATGCTCCCCGCAGACCCAGTTTGGGCATAGGACGCTATCTCGCCATTCTGACTGGGCGCTTCGGGGCTCTTCGCTTTGGTTCCTTAGCGGTGCCTGCGTCCAACGCTCCGTGACCATGGCCGCCGACGATGGAGCTTACCCTGCATCCCAGTCGCCGGACGCAACCTCCAGCAGTTCCTCTAACTCTACCGTCTTCAATGGTAGCAGCAGCACCACTGCCAATGTCTCTGCAGCGTCTCTGCTCGCTGAGAGCCTCTCCTCTGTCGCGGTAACGGCGCAACCGAGCCTGACCCTGACCTCCTCCGGTTGTCCCACCGTGCTCTCCTCCTCAGTCCCTGATATTTCAACCCCGCTCCCTTCGCATTCAGCACCCGTCGTGATGGCGGGCGCCGTGGCACGCTTCGTTCTCTTCTTCTTTCATGCCATTCCCAGTCTCCTATACTGGGTGATCACCTTCACCACCATCACCCTGCCGACGTGGCTGTTCACGCTCTTCTCAATGAGCTTGACCTTCACCATGAACTTCACCACGCTGCTCCTCATCCTTCTGGCCCTGATCTCGACGATCAGCTGGTTCATTCGTTACCGGTTCCTCAATATGTACAGCCGCCTCCCCCCGGAACCCCAGCGGAAAGAACCTCAGATCGACCTGTTTCCAGACACCCAGGATGGAGATTCCAAGCCCGGCCTGGCCAACTATCTCGACGAGTTCCTCAGTGCAATCAAGGTCTTCGGGTACCTCGAACGACCGGTCTTTCACGAATTGACGCGAACAATGCAGACCAGGAAGCTGATTGCGGGAGAGACATTGCTGCTGGAAGAAGAGAAGGGGTTTTGCCTGGTGGTGGATGGTCTCGTCCAGATATTCGTGAAGTCTATCCGCGATGGACAGGCCGGTTCCACGTCCAGTGAGTCAAATAGGACAGATGATGACTCGTCCGATGACGAACGGCAACATCGGGAGGGTCATCAGGGATACCAGCTGTTGACGGAGGTCAAGAATGGAGCATCAATGTCATCGCTCTTCTCCATTCTGTCGCTTTTCACAGAGGATATCAACCTGCGTCAGTCTGAGAGCGCGGCTTCCAGCGCATCTAGCCTCGCGCCGGACAGTGCACGTGTTCCGGAGTCGCTGCCAACAAGCCCCGGACCTCTCCTGGGGAGTCCCAAGCCTATTATTGGAGATCGTGCAGATTCCGCCACTCATCTGCAGGGTAATAGGGATTCTCTGCCTTCTGTGCCTCCATTGAACTTGGAAGATAGCCATGGGTTACATGCTCATCCGGTAACACCACAAAGAAAGCCCACCAGGCCGAAGAAGAGAAAATCTGCCCACCCTGATATTGTTGCGCGAGCCATGGTCGACACCACGATTGCGATTATACCGGCGAGCGCTTTCCGGAGATTGACTAGGGTTTACCCCAGGGCCACCGCTCATATTGTGCAGGTCATTCTGACCCGTTTGCAGAGAGTTACATTTTCGACGGCGCATTCTTACTTAGGTCTGACGAGCGAAGTTCTCAGCATTGAACGCCAAATGCATAAATTCACAGCATTTGACCTGCCTAATGACCTGCGCGGAGCGGCTCTGGAGCGGCTCAAGGACAAGTTCGCCAAGGAAAGAGATCGCCTAGGCGTGGAAGAAGGCACCAAGGGACTAGCTCTCCACAACCCCTCCGCTGGGAGGAGGCGCCGGTCAAGCAGCTCGCTGAGAAAAGAGGCAGCCCTGCATGCCAGGTTAGCAGCTTCTAAGCGTCCTGGTTCTTTGTCGCTCGAACCGAGTATCCAGGGGTCAGAGCAGAACGGAGTGAGCCCGGGAGATCTCCTTTCTACTATCCAGCAATCCCGTTATGGCCCGAAATACGAGCAGTTTACTGCGAGATCACCGGGAAAGGGGCCCGCCTCTCTCTATGCGGATAATATCCAGACGCCCCTGTCTCAACGCGAGACCTCGCCCTTTCATGCTGCGACTCTACAGTCCCATAATTCGCCTTTCCGCATGACCGAGACCGTGGACGAAGACACTATCTTCCGGGAGTCCATCCTCGATTGCATGATGAAAGGCATCGGCTTGACTGGTAGCACACGCGAGGCACTACGAAAGGGCCATAATTCTGGCGAGGCGTCCCCGAGATTGGTCTCCTATGATTCAAGACGGCAGAAAGCTGTCTTCAACAATGCTTTTGGATTCATCGACCCGTACGAAGGGTTCGGAGATGGCGACACGGAGTCGATGATGTCAATGTCCGTTACCAGCGCAGGCGGCACCTCTCCTATCATGAATCTCAAGGAGGAACTGAGGCATGATATCGAGATCGTATATTTCCCGCAAGGCTCAGTCTTGGTAGAGCAAGGGGAGCGCAACCCAGGTTTGTATTATGTCATTGACGGCTTCTTGGACGTCGGAGTACCGGTAAACGAGAAAGGCGAGGATCTTGTCGGGGCCACAAGGCCAAGCAAACACCAAGTGCGCGAGGATATGTTCCCGCCCCTTAGGCGGACAGCGACTGCCTCTTCAGGGGTTTCTGGGACCGCTGACCCAAGAAAGAAGAAGCAGTCACGCAAGTCTCTCTACATGGTCAAGCCTGGTGGGATGGAAGGATACATCGGCGCAGTCGCATCCTATCGGTCATTCACGGATGTAGTCGCCAAAACGGATGTCTACGTGGGTTTCCTGCCGCGGGCATCTTTAGAGAGAGTGGCCGAGAGATATCCGATAGTACTCTTGACTCTGGCCAAGAGGCTGACCAGCCTGCTTCCGCGTTTGATCCTCCATATCGACTTTGCCCTCGAGTGGGTGCAGGTCAACGCTGGTCAAGTCATTCATCACCAAGGAGACGAGAGTGATGCCATCTATATCGTATTGAATGGTCGTCTTCGCTCTGTGTTGGAGAAGCCTGATGGCAAGATGCGGGTTCTCGGTGAGTATGGTCAGGGAGAGAGTGTTGGAGAGCTCGAGGTTATGACGGAGTCTACCCGGCCTGCTACATTACATGCCATCCGAGATACGGAACTCGCCAAGTTCCCGAGGTCACTCTTCAATAGCCTTGCGCAAGAACATCCTGGAATCACTATCCAGATATCGAAGCTTATTGCTTCGAGAATGCGCGATCTCGTGGATGATCCGCTGTCTGAAGCGGCTTCCGAGCCAGCAAGTGCCGGCGGTGTCAAGACTGCCACCTCTACTGTCAATCTACGAACAGTGGCCATCCTCCCCGTCACAGCAGGTGTCCCCGTCGTTGAATTTGGTAACCGGCTGCTTAATGCATTGCACCAGATCGGCGTCAGTAATGGGGTGACATCTCTGAACCAAGCAGCTATTCTGAACCACCTAGGCCGCCATGCTTTCAGTAAGATGGGAAAACTCAAGCTCTCCCAATACCTTGCCGACCTCGAGGAAAAATATGGCATGGTTCTGTATATTGCAGATACCAACGTCAATGCACCCTGGACCCAGACGTGTATCACGCAAGCCGATTGCATTCTGCTAGTTGGCCTAGCAGAGGGATCACCGAGTATTGGAGAATATGAGCGGTTCTTACTGGGAATGAAGACCACGGCACGGAAGGAGCTTGTTCTCCTACACGTGGAACGGTACTGCCCTCCAGGTCTCACTCGCCAATGGCTAAAGAATCGAATGTGGATCAATGGCGGTCATCACCATATCCAGATGGCTTTCCGCCTTACTGCTGAGCCTGCGCATCCTCAAACCAAGCGCTTCGGTACCGTTCTGAAGCAGAGAGTGCAGGTACTCCAGGCTGAAATCCAGAAGTACACCTCAAGACGTATCCGCCAGACACCTCTGTACTCCGCTCAAACACCTTTCAAAGGTGACTTCCATAGACTTGCCCGTCGCCTGTGCGGAAAATCTGTTGGTCTCGTCCTGGGAGGTGGAGGAGCAAGAGGCATATCACAGGTTGGAGTGATCAAAGCACTCGAAGAAGCCGGAATACCCATTGATATTATTGGCGGTACTTCTATTGGATCGTTCATCGGTGCATTATATGCCAGAGATGCCGATGTTGTGCCAATGTACGGTCGTGCCAAGAAATTCTCTGGACGTATGGGTAGTATCTGGCGATTTGCGCTCGATCTTACCTACCCGTCTGTCTCGTACACCACAGGACATGAATTTAACCGAGGGATATTCAAAACTTTTGGCGATAGCCAAATCGAGGACTTCTGGCTGGAATTTTACTGCAATACGACCAATATCAGCAAATCTCGTGCAGAGTATCATTCCTCGGGATACGTGTGGCGGTATGTTCGTGCCTCCATGTCCCTGGCCGGTCTTTTACCACCGCTGTGTGACGAGGGGAGCATGCTTCTTGATGGCGGCTACATCGACAACTTGACTGTCGCCCACATGAAAGGTCTTGGTGCAGATGTTATTTTCGCTATCGATGTCGGATCGATCGATGATAACACTCCGCAGACGTATGGAGATTCACTTTCGGGCTTCTGGGCCTTGATTAACCGCTGGAACCCTTTTTCGACAGCCCCTAATCCGCCCACACTTTCTGAGATCCAGGCTCGGCTGGCATACGTTTCTTCAATCGACAATCTCGAGCGTGCTAAGACCACACCTGGCTGTATTTATATCCGTCCTCCGATCGACCGGTACGGAACGCTGGAGTTCGGTAAATTCGACGAGATCTACCAGGTTGGCTACGCCTATGGAAAAGAGTACCTGGAGCGGCTGAAGAATGAAGGCGGTTTACCCGTCCCAGAGGAGACTGAAGAGAAAAAGAAACTGCGGAGGACGATGGCACCGCGGAGAGCGAGTATCTGAGAATTGAGACGAGGGCTGTCTTTGATCTTCCGCTCCCCTGCTTGGCTCAACCTTTGCTGTTGATAAATTTCGATTTTGCAAATTGATTCCTGCCTCACCTACCGATGATGCACCGGCTACAAGACAACTATGGATAAAACTATACACGATATGCGAGAGCACATACCATACCGTACGATATCACGATCATGGATCACATTTTAGTTGCATCATGTGGCGTTTTGTATTTCTTACATCAATGGAATGGGATATAGCGCATCATTATACCCTTAGATTTATATAGAAATCTGGCTTCATGAAATAGAGCGTCTGATACGTTCTTTAGTGGTTTGAATCATATTTTTGTAACCAACAATAGACTCCGCGAAGTAATACTACAGAAGCGTCGCGTCGACTCTTCTGAGGTGGATGCTGGCTTTAACTATAATCCTATTATCGAGAATATTGTTTATTTAAACCCAAGCTCCCCCACATCACACAATGTGCCCGGTTATTATATTTTTCTTTCAAAATTTTAGACTTCCTGCATTAATAGTATCGCTTCATGTCCTGTGTCAGTTCGTTTTATCCCAAGTTGTTGAGTCTGTCTCTTATCTCCCCCCTCGCATATATCGGCGCCCAACTGCTTTATTGGAAGACGAGCTGCAAAACGCCACTAATAATACCCTATACGGAGGGTATAGAATAATCAGCACCAGCCAACTATTTCCACTTATTTCGGATTAAAGCAGACACGCCGGAACCGGAAATGCGCAGATAATAATTGGCGGAGGCAGTGCCCCAGGCATAATTAATCAGGATGAACTCCTATAGTATCGTGTAAGTAGTCAGTGAATTTGGTAGCAATCGGGATTATTTCCCCGTATCATATGGTACATAACTTTCTCTTCCTATCCTGCTTCCGTGATGGTGTTCTAGACCCCCGTCATGACGTCACGTCGTGGATGATGTAAGTATGAGCATGTCCTAAAAGGGTTCGAGAAACTTCCTAACAAACAAAGCGGATTTTGGATGGATAGAGGAGTATGGTAATTCTATTAACAAGCGTATATTATTTACACTATCCAATGAATGACTGCGTCTAATTACATTGATGTACTTTTAGCAGATCAACATAACTAAACAAATGCGCGTAGAATCACGTTGCCAGCTGTGGTATAGAAACATCACAAGGTATCAAAAAGGTATTATTAAAACAGGATGGGTGTGATGGTGACGGTGATTAAGACATTAAGGTATATTAGCGGGAGCATTAGAGGGAGAGTTGAGGAAGTAGTCGGAATAAGGTGCGGGAAACTGGGGAATGTCTCTCCACAGACCTTATATCGCAACGAAGCAGATTTAAAGGACTAGCCTTAAAATCAAGCCACTCCTCTTTTCGTATCATCATATCGCACGTGCCACATTAAAGAACATGCCACATAAAATAGAATGAACCGTTTAGTCGATCGTCGTCAGGCTTCCCTGGGTGGTGAGAGGTCTCGAAAGATCGATCACTCACGCGCTGCGTGCTTGTTTTTGTCATGCCAGGGAAGTAAGGGACTAGCGATGGCTAGACACTTGGTCTAGCGGCTGGCCAGTGGAAATTTTTAAGCCGTGGCGGCAGGAGCATCGGCGGCACGAGTCTCAGCCGCGCCATTGTTCTTCTCGTGAACAGGAGAGGTCGAGTTGCGTGCGGCCCACAGAGCAGAGACCTCAAGGAAGATGCCCACGAAGGTGAAGAAGCTATGTAAAATGTTAGATTCGACTAGTAGCAATGGCAAAAGGAGCAAACTTACAAAGCGAGGAAGATGAAAGACTCGTTAGCCTTCTTCTTGGAGCAGCTACCCCTGCCAGGAGGAGCGTGGGTTCTGCAGTCGCGCCAGTTATAATCCTGAGCAGCGAAGATGAATGCAGTCAACCACCTATCAGATGAGTTGTTAGCACTGGCTTTTAGATTCCCGCAGTTGGGTTTGAAAAAGGAGGTTGGAGGACCACATACAAGTAAGAGAAGATGATATCAATGGCCAGGACGAACTTGCTCAGGACATTGGGCATAAACGGTGAGATGAAGGCTGGCAGGAAGAAAGCAACAGACATAGTCGACTACAGCGTGTTTGAGTTAGCAAAGCCCCTTTATTAGAAAGGCTGTCTCGTTGGAGTGGATAGAGAGGATACATACAATGACTTCCTGGTAGATGATGTGCTCACCACGAGGACCGATGTTGATGAAGTACGAGGTGATACCCATGACGATGACTGCACTGCTCCATTGCAGCACGCGGGTGAGCAGCAACAAGGGTCGTGTCAGTCCGAGTGAGAGCCCCATGGTGTCTAGCGGTCGAGTTGACTGGTCTGTGTTGTCAAGCTTCGAGGAATTGTCGAAGAGTTGTCGTGTGAGTGGAAGCTGGTTGGTGGAAGCGGCTGCTCTCTTCAAAAGGCCTCCGAGTCTTGTAAGGCTGAAGCTGTCTGCTGGTCGATGTCGAAAAGGACGAAACTCCGTGGGCAGACCACAACCAGACCTTTATACCACGAACGGCCTGCTGGCGACCCTGGACAGGAATCACATCCACATCACACCTGTGATGTCGACAGGCCGGTCCGACGCATCCGGGATCCCGGTTTATCTCCAGTCAGAGTATAGTTCGTTTCGTTCGTGACCGTCTCCATGGCTCGAGAGAAAGTGGTGGAATAGCAACGCCCGAGCCAACTAGCCAGCGTCTTCCCCAGATGCGTCATAATGCATTCATACAGCCACAGCGCAAGGGATTGGTCTTTGACTCTAGCAATTGATATTGACAGTCCATCTGATTGGAGTCACGATGAACCGCCGAGATTTACAGTCGGAGGGAGATGCCAATCCGAGAAAGCAGCATATCCCGTGCGTACAGCTCCCAGTGCAGGTAGTTGAGCTCAGCCAAACAGACTTCTAGTCCAGAGACGCTAGATAGTTAGTTGGTTAGTTATCCTGACCGTATCGCTTACAAATGAAGATCAGGATCGACTGATATCCAGACGCAGCGGCAGCCATGGACAAGAAGCGTGACGTGCGGTGCTCCCGACCATCCACACGGTCTGTTGGACAATGCCGCGGTGGAGAAGTCAAGCCCAACGGCTTTCTGAATCAGCCGGTAGATTCGGATTTGATAATGATCCTGGAGAAATTGCGAGCATTCTCGAGACGAATCGAAGAACTTCTCGTTGCGTGACTCGGCCATGACGCTGTCCGTCCAACGACGTCTCGACCGGCTTCCCGCGGGACGAAACAACAGGCACAATACTACTACACACTTGGATAGCTATACCATCTGCTTCTAGTAGGACTATCTTTCCTGTTCAATTGATCCTGGGCCAACGCGGTAGTCCTAAACGAGTTACTGCCCCTAGCTAAGGTTGTTTAGCATCCTGCATGTGAGCCATCTCTCCGCCCTTCGCTCCCTTTGATCTCCCTATTACCAAATAGATGGAAAGCGTCCGTGACTGATCATCCAAACGCTAGCTACCATCAGACGATGGACGCGATGCAGCGATCCCGGACCTATCTAACCTGCCGTGTTCTTTTACCACAGCAGAGCGACCGGCAAGATTGTCCTGCACGTTTGCCGATCCGTCTGTTTCGGTCTTCTTTACAACGAAAGGCCGTCTTCTTCTTCTCAATTTGGAACGAGAACAATAACACAACCAGCTGGGCGAGATAATTCTTCCAGGGAAAAGTCACTGGTGATGACATCTGTCGGTCTTCCTTCGGCTCGGGTCGCAGAGTGGACGTCAGGATTGAGTTCTGGGGTGTCCACCGGCGCCATCCGAAGGGCCCTACCAGACTACCAGTCTTGAAGCTTCACAGCTTTGGCTTTCAACAATAATAACTAGTACGTATTAATTATTCGTCCTCGTTGCCGCTATGTTCCGAGGTGGCATTACAGAACCAGCCTTGTCTGCTCGATGGGGCCTCAGCGCACGCTCAACATCCTCACTGGCCGTCAGTGTCTATCTCAATTCATGTGCGGTGCAGGCCGTCTTCTGAACTCTTCCTGAATATGGTAATGCTAGACTACTGTGATCATCACAGTGTGATGAGGACGGGATCCACCTGCACCTGAGCTCGAGTACGGAGTGTCTACGGAGTACTACTGGTAATCCTGAAACTGCAAGATCTTCTCTTGTTTTCGACCCCTGGAGCTGCGAGGGTTGACAGACCAGGTCGCCGCTAGGCGTATGGGCGCTCTCCAGGTCTCGCATAAGTTGGAAAAACAACTAATACTCCGTACAGTAGCATGGGTTACGGTCGAGAGGGGTTGCAGCACAGTCGTTAAACCCACTGTCCGTTCTATCTCGATGCCCAAACAACAGTGCAGCTCTCGCTTGGGTGAGGCGGGGCAGCAGCCCGTTTAACGTTGTCCTTTCGGTTAAAAGTGGACAAACAAGGCTGGAAGACCTTTTGCGATGCTAAAGAATGCTAACAATACCCACCCAACTTTATTCGAACATGGCCTCCAATTCTAGACTCTTCCGCCAGACCTTTTCGCCCTCGTGACGGGAAAAAAAGGTAATAATACTCGAGCTGCTCGACTCGATCTGATCAGGCCATCCCTCCTCCTCCGGCATCAACCGGCAACAGCTACTTAGAGGTACTTAGTACATCCGGTAATTACCTAGCAAGCTCCATACTCCATGCAGTAACTATTTGCAGTACTCGAGACGGACAAGTGATGCATATTATTATTGTTTGGCCGGGAATATTATTATGATCGCTCCTCACTGTGAGGCGCCGCATAGGTACGGCCATGAACGGCAGATCGCCGTCCGTCGTGTCCGTGCCCATAGTGATACGACCCAAGAAGGCTAAAATCGCTACTTAACTTACATGATGTTGATCCCTCCTTACCTCGCCGACCATAGACATCATGGCTCATAGCTTGAGCCTCTTCGGGCACCTCGCAGATATTGAGTTCGCTGGCAAGAGATATTTGTCTTGGGCTTAAGTGAGTATCAATAATGGGATTCCAGTTCGTTCCTCCAAATTCCCCCTTACGTGCAGTGCACTCTATACCCTATTTGGTCGGGAAAAAAATGTACACATGATCCAAGCTTCATGGCAGGCTTGGAAGCTTGCACAGCTGAGTCAGAGCAATGAGATTGTAAGTTAAATAAGTTAAATACTCGGTTGGAATCACAGAATCAGCGCTCGCCTATGGTATACCGACATTTGCGTCATCCGTGGTCTTTAGTTTAAAGTCCGTGGCTATAATCGAGAATAGGATTAACCGTTATTTGTAGTTACAGTTCTGTACGGTAGTCGCACGCCTGCCTTTGCATAATGTATCCCTGTGGCCCAGGATGCAAGGGGAAATTGATACTTTTAAGATACTATATATTGAACTTTCTTTAGCACCATTTCCTGGATTATTTTCTTTTTTAGCCCCAAGGCCCTATTTTTTTTTTTCTTTATTATTATTATTTCTGCCAAGTACCTCAATAAGCTCTTTGCTAGTGTTGGGATATGGACTTTCTTTGTATTTTGGTAGACTATACAAAGGACCCAGGTCTCCAGGTATTATCCATAGATGAATGAACAAGAACTAGTCTTGTTACTCTATCTCGAAATGTCGGCCGCTACTGAACAGATCCTACAGCCCTTGAGAAATTTATGATCGTTGGCTGCTGCTATAGAAGGTTCGAGGGCTACTAACTAACATGTTCAGATGATTTCGCTGCGGATGTGACGGGATAATTATCTACTGGGAGCAACCATAGGGGCCAGTTGGTAAATACCTCACTTACCTGAATCTGACATATTGCACACGGCCAGTATTCGCATATCGAGCTCCCAGACCCTCCGGCCAACGATATAGTTCTCCATCCCTCAAAAAACAATACGTCAACCCAGCAGTCCCGGCACTTTGGACCAGATCAGATAAACCAATCGATGAATTAGGTCCAAGAGGAAGATAAGCTTTAAACTCAATTACCACACGAAGGTCACGCGGTTGCGTCAATCTTATCTAGATCATTCTGCACGTGCTACTGTTCGGTTTATGCCTTGTCTGCCTGAGGCGAGTTCTTTTCATTACACGATCGGGCTTATATAAACGTGGCCGGGCTTCGTTTTCGGGGGTAAACCGTCCGAAGTGAATGATCCTATTGTTTGACAAGATGAGATTCGGACCTATTGAGAGGTCCTGATAAGCCAGTTGTGTTCGCACTAGAATTATTCACACCCAGAGTCTCAGAGATGAGCGGCATTCCTCGTACCGCTACGGCGACGATATAGGATGGCCAGTCCCGTAATGGACTTGTTTTTGAGGTAGTACCATTTCTAGAAATCTTATTGGGTTTGCATAGATTTGAGCTATATAACTCGCTTTCAAGCAATGGAGTTATATGACACTCTCTATTTGAAAGGCTCAGGATAGGGTTTATTGAAGCTTTCTTTCTCCGACTACCCATACATATACAATGTGTCGGCGTCCAACTGCTTTATTGGAGGTGAGCTGCAAAATGCCACTACTATCCTATATAAAGGGTGTATAACAAGAAACATCAAGCTACCTATTTCCACCTGTATAAAATCACAGCAGACACGCCGGAAGTAGGAAATGCGCAGATATAGTGGCGGAGGCAGTGTTCCAGGCAGTAATCAATCAGGATGAAGTCGTGGAGCATAAATATTCGGTATATCTCGGTATCCTCTAGTTGTTCAAGCAATCAAGATCATATTCCCGTATCAAATGCTTTTTTTTATGTATCTTGCTTTGCGTGGTCTCAGATCCTAACACAATGATTGATGCCAACGCCCAAACAGCCCGGGACATAGGTGTTGCATATTGACACAAAAAAATCCTCTTATTCCGAACGTATAGATCTAGAAGCAAATAAATTCGATCTGAAAAGCACATCTTTAGGATACACTATTCCCGATAAGGTTTTGAGCCTAGCCGTCCATGCTAAACCGAAAATGAATTTATTGAACGACGAGTTGAAAGTGGACTATACATGCCAACCGTGATATATTTGCTCATTAATCATACAACCATATGCTTGTTAACTGGTTAGCTGGCAAAAGATAGCTAATGTCGAGGATTATGTGTTCAACTACCTCCTTCACTGTTTCTTCTCTAACAATGAGGAGTGGAGACTGGAGATCGACGGAGTAGTATAGACAAAATGCCAGGAACCTCGTCGCACCCTATAGCAGGATTTTCTTGAAATCATTGGGAGATTGTAGGGCTGACTTCAGATTAGTATTAGTCTACCTGTGGTCTTCAGTTCCTAGGTGGTGGGGCAATAGTTCCCTCAATGAAGCCACTGATATGCCGAGAGAAAAGCGTGACAAGGAGGGAGATACACGCAGGGGTTCGATTTTCGCGTCAGTGAACAGATTTAACAATGTGTAGATCATAATAACAATCAAGGCTATCTAGTTAGTTAATCATAATAGTGCATAACTCATCTCATTGAGCCTTATCAACAAAGATCATTTTACAAAAGTCCAAATCCTTTTGCGCAACCACCAAAGTGGCCCGTGCACAACCGCGTAAAATTGTCGGAGACCCCGCTGTTGTCTCCCCGCTCTGTCTCTCTCTCACTGTTTCACACGCGCAACGACGAGAACAACAGCCACGATGGAAGAGGCACAGGCACAATCCAAGAATGCGCTGAAGAAGGCGGAGAAGCAGGCCAAGATGGCCGCTGCGAAAGCGGAAAAGGCTGCGAAGACACTTCCCGTTGTGGGAGCCAAGAAGGCCAATGACTCGAAGGAGATTATCGGTATCACGGTCTCGAAAGCTGAGAACTTCCCCCTCTGGTACCAGGAACTGGTCCTTAAGGCGGAGCTGGTTGAATACTACTCTGAGGTAAGAGAGATATTTGCGCTTCGCCTCTAATTTCTGTTGTGATCTTCTCTGACTGTGGACATGCAATAGATCTCTGGATTTTACATCCTCAGACGTGAGATATCCACCTTTTCTTCCTAGACGCCGACTATTGTATTAACACTGGAGATGGGTAGCGCCTGCTATGTATATCTGGAATGCCATCCGCAAATTTTTCCAGGAGAAGATCGAGGATATGGGCATTGAGGAAACCAATTTCCCTATGTTCCTGTCTTCCAGGTCGCTGGAAAAGGTTAGTGATCTCTTCTTCAAGAGCTCCAGGCCAAACCTGGGAAATATTATTAGCAGCCTTCACTTTTGGCCCCGGACTCCGTTGGTACAAAGACTAACTTCCGATACAGGAGAAGTATGTATTCGCGATATCGGGACCTTCGCGACCCCACGGGGTCTACTGGTACACAAAGCACATGAAGGAGGAGTTTCTAATATATTGTGGGATAGGGAGCATGTGGAGGGTTTCGCCCCTGAGCTTGCCTGGGTGACTAAGGCGTAAGTGACCATAACGTCCGTTAGGACTTCATTAGGGTCAGACAACAGGGCTAACGTTACAAAGTGGTGACAAGGACCTGGAGGTAAAGCCGCTCGATTCCCCAGAAATTCCTATTAATAGGCAGTCGACTGACGCCATGGATTGTGAAGGTCCCAGTTGCTGTTCGCCCTACCTCCGAGGCAGTCATGTACGGTCACCGCTCCCGCGTCCCCAAGCCTTATTGCTAATACGATTGCTAGGTATCCTTACTACAGAAAGTGGATCCGGTCTCACCGTGATCTGCCCTTCCGACTGAACCAATGGAACAATGTCGTAAGTGGTCCCTGGCACCGTATGTATGTTCCTATGAGACTGATATGGTACGCGCAACTCGACAGGTCCGTTGGGAGGCCAAGCAGACGACTCCATTTATCAGAACGAGAGAGTTCCTTTGGCAGGAAGGACACACGTATGTGATTCAATTCTTCTTCCAAACCCATTGCTGACAATATGACCAGCGCCCACCTTACTGAAGAGCTCGCCGCCAAGGAAGTGCTGGAGATCCTAGACCTCTATGCCGCGGTGTACAACGTAAGAATGCTTTATCTCGGTTAGACCGGCTTTTACTAATTCCCTATAGGAATTGCTTGCAGTTCCCGTCGTGCGCGGAAAGTACGTACTATATACCCTTGACTGCTATCTGCTGTTCATTAATAGAGGCGCCTTCATCCCTGAACGTTGCCGCCACTTCTGGTGTACAAATTGTTATGACAATATGTTGAGCTTTTACTAACACCGCCGACTGCGTAGGAAGACCGAAAACGAGAAGTTTGCCGGTGCTCTCTGGACCTCAACTTGCGAGTCTTACATCCCCGCCAACGGACGCGGAATCCAGGGTGCTACATCCCAGTACGAATCCCTATAATCCTTGATCTTATGGCCCGGGCAACAACGCAGCTAACGACAGAGTTCAGCGCACTTGGGCAAAACTTCAGTAAGATGTTCGACATTTCTGTTGAGGATCCAGAGAAGAAGCAAGATAAGATCCACGTCTGGCAGAACTCCTGGTATGTTCTACTTCTCCCTTTCATGAGACGAATGTCAAGAGCTTCTTAGCCATCGATATTTATGTCTGTATGAGATGCAACCAAGACTATGTATGAGATGCAACCAAGACTATCTTACTGATTGTTCGGATATTAAACAGGGGTCTATCCACCCGTGCCATCGGAGTCATGGTCATGCTGCACGGTGACGACAAGGGTCTCGTTATCCCTCCTCGCATCTCTAAACTCCAGGCGATCCTGATCCCTGTCGGCCTGACCGCTAAGACGACCCCTGAAGAGCGCACCAAGCTCTTGACCCAGCTGGACGAACTTAAGGCCACGTTGAAGAAGGCCAAGGTCCGCGCCGACGTCGATACTCGTGACAACTAGTGAGTAACATTCTCCCACGTCTTATTTGCCTTTTATGCCAAGTTTCCATTCGACTTTTGAGGCAGTAGCCGATCGAATTGACCACGAAAGAGACGAGAGCTTCCCTTGTCCTCTTCATAAGCCCACCATTTCTCACTTCATTTGCTGACATTATCTTTCCTGATAGCTCCCCTGGTTACAAGTTCGCCGACTGGGAGTTGAAGGGTGTTCCCCTTCGTCTCGAGTTCGGTCCCAAGGATGCTGCCCAATCGGTCGTCAGTTATGCTCGCCGCGATACCGGAGCGAAGGGCACGATCCCCATCGCTGACCTGGCTACGCAAGTCCCTGAGCTCCTGGAGACTATCCAGAAAGACATGTACAACAAGGCGGATGAGTCCTTCAAGTCTCACCGCTTGGTCTTGAGAGAGTGGGAGAAGGTCGTCCCGGCCTTGGATTCGCGCAACGTCGTGCTTATTCCTTTCTGCGAGGAGCCTAGCTGTGAAGAGCGCATCAAGGACTTGACCAAGAGCGATGAGCAAGAGCCTGGCCCCGATGGCCAGAAGCAGCCCACCATGGGTATGAAGAGTCTCTGCATTCCTTTCGACCAGGTACGTATTTGCATGTCCTCTTAACAGTGTCGTAGTATAAGTGAAACAGATCACTAACTCTTCCGTTTGTTTGAACCAGCCCGACATTATCATCGCCAACGAGACCAAGTGTCTGAACCCGGAGTGCGGACGGTTCGCCAAGTCGTGGACCATGTTTGGTCGCAGCTACTAGACGCTGGTGAAAAGCCACAAGTCTACTTCCGAGCGCTAGGGCGCAATAGCAAGAGAAAAACATCAGGAGTTGTTGATTGATGGCGTCGAGGCGGGACGGTCTATAGCGTGATGTTTATCGTCGTCGTCCCACTGGGGTTGAGTACGTCGTCTTTTCGGTATCCCAAGATCATGTTAAATGAGGCAGTATGCGGATTCGTATTGATATCCCATGACGCTCGAAATTATGTAACTACGAGAGAGAAAAAAACGTGCAGATAGATCGTATAGGGTGATGTCTAAGGAACATACAAATTATAGATTTCCTCCGTTCTAACAAGTCGGGTAAGCATAGGTCCTGTTTTCATAAATAAAGGATAGCCCGTATCCGGGGCTTTAAAGCAATCAAGTAATTTATTATCTACAGGTGGATAGCAAAATACGGTACAGGGCTCAAGAAATTATTACACACAGAGTACTATGGCACGACTGTTCGCTGATATCCAAAGAGAGTCGAATTGAAAACGAGTAAGAATAAGACATGCAAGAAGTGGAAAAACAAAGCTCATGCACTCCGTCTACTCCCCTTACTCCCCTTCGGACGTCCACGCTTAGACCTGGTTGTCTGCTTCTGCTCTTCCTCTGAAGGCTGTTCGTCATCCTCCCCAGCGTCTTCTTGCTCTACGTCGGAGAGCCTCGAGCCTTCACTAGCTGCAACAATAACTCCTTCATCTGTCACGTCTCCATTCGATGAGAGGTCCTCTTCGCCTTTTGACACACGCTCCCATGCTCCGTCCGCGGTCTGAGGTTGTCTCCTCATATCCGCAAGCATCTTTTCCGCCTCACTCTCCTCCCCATTCCAGGCACCACAGCCTCCACATCTCCATTTCCCTACTTCCTCGAGACTTTTTACGCCCGGAGGCGCCTGGCCATTGACCAGTCTGCAGTTGCTGCATATCAACGCCAATCTGTTCTTCGGGAGTGTTTCGTCTTCTCCAAGAAGGACATCCATGAGTCGGTCATACCACCGTGGATTCTCGTGGTACTGCGCAGAGGCTGGAAAAGCGTTGGGAGCAAAGCCTGGCTCATCTACGGATGGCGGAGGTCTTGGGAAATCCTGCATTTCTGCGAAGGATGGCGGCAGCGGACTGGGACCGGCGTCCTGTGGAGGACTAACGGGAATTGCAGGCAGTTGCTGCCTCTCTTGAGGCCGTCTTATATTCGCCGTCGGGGGTGGAGGCAACCCCGTTCTACCACCTTGTCTCGGCGCTTCCTGTTTATTACCCGGCTCTCTCTGTTTCAGGTGCTCTCCGCCTTGAGGGGGAGTAGGCTTAGGTGACTCGCCGCCATACTTCTCCAGGAGCTGCTGGGTGGAGTTATATTTCGTCGCGACCTTAAGCTTCTCGATTGTCGCTTCTCGCTGGGCGTTAAGGCTGTCCAGGTGACGCTGTGCCTTCGAGATCTGGTATTCGAAGAGCTTGCCCGCGACCGCTCTAACTGCGTAGATACTGCAACCATCAGCAAGCTGGGCATACGCTCACGGAAACTGAGTATAGACTGACGCGATTGGGCCACCTGCAACGGCTCCATATTCAATTGGGCCCCAATTCTGGTATCCTAGAACTAGAGCGAGGATGATCGAGTAGAGGAGGTAGGCAAATATTGTGTAGAGAGTCCAGAGGGCCTTGAACCGACGGGACCGCTGCCGGTAGAGATCTAACCGGACGGTGGTCTCTGTAATCTTTGTAGATAATGTCGACAGAGCCTTCTCGAAAGACGCTGGGGAGTTATCCTCGCCCTAACAAGAACACGCGCGACATTGTCAGATCTCTGCTGATGCGAACGTGTGGCACAGGGAGCTTACCTTCCAGGGCCAGAAGGACACCATCCTATCGGATTCCAATCGATCATTAAAGATGCATATCCACTATTCTAGATGATGAGGTCTTTGCAGCCGGCGTTGTTTGGGTGTGAGTTTCGATGTGCAGGCGGCAGCACATGAAGCAGCTGCAGCATCGACTCTGGAGAAAGCACGGGCCACCGATGACACCACGCACCGTTCCTGAGCTTCCATCTCCGCATATTTTTAGAGTATTTTAGTTGCAGCAAAAGTGTTGATTTTATTCATTATTCTAGCGAACAAGTATGCTTTCGACGTAATCAATTTCTAAGATCTATTGCTCTTTGCCTCACTCAGCAGACCACTCTCTCTTCATACTAGCGATTTTTTTATATTCAGGAGATTTTACCTAAGAATCTAACCTATTACATACGTTTAGTTGGAACCGGCTATGCTAACCAACAAGATGATCGCATATGGAAATAAAGACACAGAAGAAAAATAATACCACGACCATAATATGAATTCTACGGTAACGGTTCCGACGCGTAACGGCTGGTCTTCCTAGCCCTCCCATACTCTGCCGGTGACGATAACCCCTGATGCCGCGCTCCCCGCCCACCACCCTGATCTAGGTGATCATCTTGTTCTTGCAAGCTCATTGTGGAAGGAGAGCGCGACGTCGAATCCATCCTTGCATCGAGAGGGATGATGACAATTCGGCCTCTACGAGAAGCTTTGGCTCGGGCAGTACCTTCGTCGTAGCTGTTCGTTCGTGCGTGCGACAGGCCAGTGCTCTCGTCTAGAGATGGCCGTCGGGACTGATACTGTTCTTTATAGTCTTCGCTTGTGCTGACGTCCATGAAGTCGATGTCCGCCATGTCTTCGAATGGGAGATCAACTCGGATTATGATCCCACGTGGCTTGAAGTAGGATTCATTCCAGAGCTCGATCTTCCGTGGCAGGGAAGAAGTACTGCCAGGCGACATGGCTTGTGCCAGATTCTGTTGTTCGCGATGCTCACGCACCTTCTTGGCCACCACCACGGCAGGGACAGCTCCCATAAATCCGATCAGTAATCCGCCGACAGCAAATGTCCCAAGACCTCTTCCAATAGCCGTGGTCCATTGGCGGCGAGACATGGCGGCTGTGTTGGTGATTTCGCCAGTGAAACGAGCCCAGTCGACTTCTGGGATGTCATAACGAGCTAGTACTGTGGGATATTCGAAGCCCGACGTGATGTGGCGCGATTTCGTGGGGACTTGTAATCCTCTCCGCAAAGCAGACTCTGTGGCAAAACCAGGCTCTCCTGACTCCGCTGGCCTGATGAGAGGTTCTTTCTCGAGAAGAGATGAATGATCTGCTGTGGACTTAACGTCTCCATCGTTATGGCCATCGGGAAAATGCTCCCAGGAGCCGTCCGTCAAGGACGGCGGAGAATAGGCAGGTGGGGGTTCGACATCTGGGCAGCAGTTATATTCTCCGGCATGAGCACTTGGGTCCATTTTGGAAAATATTTCCCGAAGAAACAGCTGCTTTTTTGGGCTGGCCGTACTGTTTGTTCACAGTTTGTATTATCGAATGTGAGTGAACACAACTGCTTTCTGAAGGGTTCTATAAGTTGCAATGGAGCGGATGCCAGGTAAGTGCTGGAGTAAGTTTGATGAGAGAAAGGGGGAACTAGACGATAATTGTGTTATACTTCTTATAGACATTATGATCGTCATTGTAGACAGTTCCTGGTAAGCTTGCTTGTGACGCAAGTGACTCTTTCTCGTCGGCACAACAAAAGATGGTGCCGAAATGAGCAATTAGAAAATAGCGCTGAATGGAACAACTGAACAGCCAGGTTCTGCGAAGGTTCAGTGGCTTTTGCTGGTATCTAATCGCATATATCCCATGTGGATATGTTGCATTGGCTTCGGGAGGAAGATAATGAGTCACTCTATACGTTGTACGAGATGTGGCTGCGATTGGTGATCCTGGATCGAGGCTTGGTGGATGAAGTACAAATCAACCCAATGGTACCATGATAACTACCGATGATGGATGATTAACGTGTCTGCCTGGGTCTCATGGATATTTTGGCGTCGTTGGTATTGTTGCCTGCTTCTCGTGCGCGGGATGCCTTGATGTCCTTCACCGGTCTAGATGGTCCGAGATGAGCTACAGCGCTTACCCAGAATGGTTGATACCGTCCATTCTCAACAGCTGAATGGACAGAAAACACAAGAACCTAGTGGTTTCGGGGTCAGATTTGGGTTTAGCTGAACAGGACGTGGCGGTGGAGATGCGATGCGTTTATCTCTGCATGGAACAATATTGAACGAATCTCGGTTGTTGAACAAAGGCAACCTTACCAGACAGATCATTCTCTGAAGATATGGCTGCCGCAAAATTCTCCGCTGCGGTTACTATCATAGTAATTAATTCGAATTTCAGCATAGTCAGCACTATAGTCAGCACTATTTACAGCGCAACAGCGATGACTTCTGTTATCGCTTATCCCGCCTAGCACCTAGGGACATCCCTTACAGAGCAGCCATCAGGTCATCGAGGTTAAGTATGCTCCTCCTTATGAACATCAAAAAGCACGTCTTGCGACACGAGATCAGCTGGGGTTGTTGCACACAAATGTCTTGATCTGGTCTTGTAACCCGCGTTGTGACAGTTTCTGCGGCCGAGAACAAAATTGCCTGGATCTTTGGGATGGTTGATCAACCGTTTGAATTATTATTATTATTCTGGCTAGAACTGGCGGTCTAATGCAGACGGATTTGCCCCTCTCGCTGAACAATGCGGCCTTGCCTAAAGGAAACTAAAGTCCAAGCTAGGAAGCTGAGCTCGGGCACATACCGTAACTTAACTTTAGGCCTGGGGAACTGGGGTCATTCCGATGCATCGTCAACTCCATCCGGATCTTCCAAACCCTGATCTTTAGGCATCAGCAATCATGACTACCCGTTATCGTGTCGAGTGTGAGGACCCTGGAGGCTTGGCTATCTTCAATATACCGGTTGCTGACTTGCTGCAGATGCTCTCAAGGTATGATTCCCCTTGTGTATTGCTGCGTCATTCGGGTCGCCTCCAGAATCGCCTGTAGAGCTCCAAACGCACTCAACATCAACGAGACTGATATGTGTGTTACATGACAGTCACATCGTCGTGACCAGCTGGTGAGATATTCCAACTTTTACAATTGGAGCCAAAACCAGATGGGGGGCTTCCATGATTACGATGGGGATATATGCTAACAGTGGGCGGCGTAGATCGAGTGGATCAAGGTGCGTATTCTGCCTAATCTAACTGATACATCTTCCAGCATGGATTGTACATCGTGCATTCTTTTCTAATGCGAGTGTAGGGTCTACTTGCGGTCCCGTTTGTGCTGCACTCGCAACCCACAGCGGTTTATCAGGAACATAGCGTTAAGCTGCTAGCGGTGGCCGCGGACACCCATAAGCGCTATGCAGAAATCATGCGCGATGTCGAAAACCTTATCAATGACCATAGTAAATGACCTACCACCCATACATTAACGGCTTATTCGAAGAGTCTGACAAACTACTTAGTCGCGCATCAACATGCAGGGACGGAGGGCAAGTCCAAGTTGAAGCTGCTTGTTCCCTCAGTCGGGACTTTCTTTACTCCCCTCCTGCTTGAAGATGCCTTCAACTACCAGGACAAACGTCGATTCATTAGCAGGCGGCGCTTTGTGTCCCCTTCATTCAATGATATCCGCCTCACCCTTAATACCGCCCAGTTAATGGGCTTGATTCGCGGTAGCGCCATCGATCTGGTCACATTCGATGGGGATGTGACTCTCTACGACGATGGTGCTTCCATTACCGACGACAACCCAGTTGTACATCGCATAATCCGTCTTCTACGGCAGGGAAAGAAGGTGGGCATTGTGACCGCAGCAGGATATACTGAACCGTCGAAATACTACGGGCGTCTGAAAGGCTTACTCGATGCCGTTCATCAAGATCTTGTGATGACAGAGGCCCAGAGGAATGGTCTGATCGTACTAGGCGGCGAGAGCAACTTCCTGTTCAAATTCGACCGATCGTCACCCGACCTTATGACTTATGTTCCGCAAAGCGAATGGCTACTGGACGAGATGAGATCGTGGCGGGATGAGGATATTACAGAGCTTCTTGACATTGCGGAAGCAGCGCTGCGCCAGTGCGTGAGCAACTTGCATTTACCTGCTGCTGTACTACGCAAAGAACGAGCAGTTGGTGTATACCCTCTCGCGGGTCATAAGATGCACCGGGAGCAGCTGGAAGAAACGGTGCTCGTCGTCCAAAGCACTGTGGATAGGTCGCCCGTTGGCTCAAGGCTGCCATTTTGTGCCTTCAACGGTTAGTGGCCCTGGAATCTCGAATCATTCATTGATGGATCTGACGGCAGATGTCTAGGCGGGAACGATGTCTTTGTCGACATCGGCGATAAATCGTGGGGTGTTCGCGTATGCCAGCGTTATTTTGGCGGCATTGAACGTTCCAAGACACTGCATATCGGTGACCAGTTTCTGTCTGCTGGTTCCAATGACTTCAAGGTAAGCTCCCACTCTCATCCTATTGCTCAAAATCTCTTGCTTGATTCCATCATAAAGCCTTAATAAGGACGAAGGACTCGGTCATGCTAACATGTATATAGGCGAGGCTGGCATGTACAACGGCCTGGATCGCGAATCCATCAGAGACCGTCCAGTTGCTCGACGAGATGGCAGAGCTGGAGGAAGAAGAGGCTTACAAGAAGAAATAGACGTACATCGACTTTCCGATAATGCCATCACACTTTCGTTCTGCGGCCCATCCAGTCGTCACATTTGCGGGAGCGTCATAATCGTTCTCCGTCTGGACCACGAGAGACTCCTAAGCTGAATTCTGGATGGAAATCCCTCGGGCATAATAGGCACAATAGGAATGCGCATTAATGCATGACAGCTGGGGTTGACGTCTCTCGCATCGTTAGGTTCCGCATCGAACATCGGAAATGCATTCCCATCGATGAGGAAGCCTCCCTTCTTGGGTCCTTTCATCGTCTCTGAAATCTTTGCTTTCATTACTCTATTTTCTTTCAGGCTCTATAGTCCGAGTCATCACAAGACTTGTTTTACTCACTTATCGCATGTTTTAACTATTATTTTATTCTTTCTCGGCGACACTTTCCTGGCTTCGTCCCACCGCGTCTGGGTCTGCACGCCCACTGATATATACCGCAAGGCAAAAAAAAGAAGGGTTTCGAAAAACGACGAGCCACAACGGGTTGCAAAAAGATGGACTCGCGGGGAATCGAACCCCGGACCACCCCCATGCTAAGGGGGTATTATACCACTAAACCACAAGCCCATTCGTTGTTGTGGGTCACATGATATCGTGACTCACTTTCTTGGTGAAATTTTTAAGCCAGTTGAAGAGAGAATAAGAGGCGGGAAACAATGGGGAGCCGTGATGGATGCGGCGAGATTATCTTACGAGAAAGCATTTATCGCGTGCTGAATCTCATCCTACTGGGAGCTTGAGACAATTGAGTAACTGCATTGAGCAGCTTTTTTACTTTTTTACATTAATGAGTTATAGAACTATTCTCATAGGCGTCGCAAGTAATAACCATGCTTCGTATGACGAAGCAAATAGGAAAACACCATTTAAGACTCCGGTGCCGTTAGCCCTTCTCGTGAGACCGCTTCAACGGCTTCCTTCAGGGTCAGTATGTTCCCCGGAGCGCCCATGAGGTCTTCATCTGGCTTCCAGGTATACGAAGTCTGATCAGGCGGCAGTTCATCTCCAGATATCTGCAAGCCAGATAGCCAGCTCGATTGAAGAGTTAATTCTTTTGAAGAAAGCTTAAGAGCCAGCTTCTTGCTTCTACCTGTGGCTGGGTAAAAAGCACGTAATTCTCCGTGGTGTGGGAATGTGGGCTGCCAAGTAAGCAGTGTTTTACATCCTTAGCGTTGTCCGACGAAATGTGCTCAGCACTGGAAGGCTTTGATCGAGGTGACAACGAGGGTATGACGTTCACCAAATCAAGCGTGATCAGGTGAGTAATAAGAGCCTCAACTTCATCCTTGAGGCCCAGTCTAGCCGGTGGTTGTATGTCGGGAACACTCGGGAGGTTAATGGAGATTTCATAGTCAGTCCCCAAGGATGGAGGGGCCATGTGGGTACGGACTTTTATATTGAAGGAGCTCGCAGGCGTTGCGAGAGTTCCTGAAAAGCTGGATTCAAATGGCGATAGAAACTCTTTGGTGATCCTCTCAACTGTATGAGATGAGCCGCTATCCCTGGAGAGATTCACAGAAGAGAAAGGCGTCGCAGTGTAGCTGCAGTCCACTCCGGCTGATTGAAGGACTCGGTAGACGTCTTTCAAGAATGCCCCTAGCGAACGGACATGTGAACTATGCTGGAGATAACCAGCAATTGGCCGTAGAAGCTGATATTCTGGGGTTGATCGCTTCTTCGGAGTCAATGGGGGCGGGATCTGTCTCCTCCGACGCAGGTTCTGGCGATGTGCATAAGAAAGCAGAATACGTATCGAATGAGCGATACCATCCGAGAGGGTGTCATCCTCGGGCACGTGGCCCTCCGAAGGCCTGTCGTCCCAGGTCTCATTGATATCAACTAGCTCAAGAATCACATCTTGACCCTCGGACGCCTGAAACTGTATGAGATTCTGCCCAGTCATAACACCCTGGCTAGCCATGATTCGCGCCTCGCGACTAAGTTCGTGGAACAATTCTTCCTCAAAGAGCGTATCGCGAGCCTGCAGAATCCGGTCTTCTATTGAACACTCGCCATTAGAAGGGCCTGTAGGCATCTTGGAGCATCCAGTTGTACGGCCATCTCGTTTTATCTGTACACGAACAGCTCTTGCCTTCGACGGCACTAATCCCTTGTCTAGGATCAGACTCCCGTTTTCAGCACGGCGCAAAGATGCTAGCCCCCGATCTCTAAAGGTTGGTGTAGCTGCAAAATAGACGTTAACATCATCCGGTCGGCAGATGGGCGCCGAAAACCATACCTTCCAAGAAACCGTACTGCACACCCAGGGCTTGTCTTTCCCTTGGAAGCCTGCAGACTTTCCATCCTTTGTCCTTGATCGTGAGCACCTCTCCCCAGTATTTTGTCTCCGCGGCCACCTCTTCCTCCAACCTAGTTGCTGATTTCAGTAGCTTGTTTGCCGCCGCATTGAAGCTTTCAAGCTTCCAACCACGCGATACTGCCTTCCTGTCCCGTTTTGCCGATTCCGACTTCTCCGGAGACGTGATGATGTCCGTACTCAATGAACCAGTGGGTGCCACTTGTTTGAGGTGCGGAGACATAGAAAGTTCCGCCTGGCGGGGAGTGTGTTTCGAAAGCAGCAAGGATATAAAGTCAAGAGCGAACATGGATTCCATGTGCGCCTGGCTACACATAAAAAGTTAGCGAGAAGATATACAGAGCCAAGAATCGTATGGAGGCTATTTACAGCGCGAATTGGGTGATATCGGCGCGGCGCTTGTACAACAGGTCTATGCGTTCGGTTGCATCCACGTCCGATTCTTTGCTGTCATCTTCTTTTCGTTCCACACCATTCTTTTGCGCTTCGATCTCGGCTTTTAGGCTCTCTTCCGTGACGTTGCGAAATGATCCGCGCTGCGCATTGATCTGAGCAATCCGTATGGGTAAAGCATCTTCTCGAGCGCCTTTCTCGACCGTAGGCCGGAGGGGTAGGGTGAAGGAGCTGGACATGTTGGTAAGGGCCTATAACCCGTTTCAGGAACCCTCGCTCGATCCTTTAAGAAACAAAACGAAGAGTATTGTTCTCAAATCCGAAATCTTGATTGACTGACCTGCGAGCAGGACCTGCAATCGTGTGTGAGACTCCAATAGTTGATAGATCAAGCTGTCGGGCCGCGGCAGATGTCACGTCACGTGAGAAGCCACGCGCCCTACCGCCTTCCAAAAATAACTGGTTCCTTAACCAAGTCCGCCGAGCCCTGGATGACTAATCAATCTCGCCAACGCTGCGGGAGGCGGAACGGAATATCCCTCTATCCGACAGCCGGGCGAGACTTTCCGCACACAATTGGATTTTCGTGGAAAATCAGAAGAATCTCCGCACTTTCTGCGCCCGACCTTCCACTACAATCCCAGTCTCAACGTCGCAACAGTCGCAGCAATGGAGTCCGCCAAAGCCCCCGTCAAGCTCGTCAAGGTGACCCGTGTCCTCGGCCGTACCGGTATGTTGATCAGATACACTCGCTAGGGAATCGTTTGGATGGTCCATGAATTAACTTATTTCGGCAAAAAACAGGCTCTCGTGGTGGTGTCACCCAGGTCCGCGTCGAGTTCATGGACGACCAGAGCCGTTCCATCATCCGTAACGTCAAGGGACCCGGTATGGAGTCATTTATCTTCCCAAGAGTAGAAGGGAAGCGGGATCGGCTAACTTCTTCGAACAGTCCGCCAGGATGACATCCTGTGCCTGCTAGAATCCGAGCGTGAGGCCCGCCGTCTCAGATAGAGTGGCCGAAGCAATGGAAAGGGGGCGAAAACTGAGAAGGACGATATCTCGAATTACGAGCCTGTTTTTGCGCTGGGGATAAGATCCACCATAATGACTTGCCTGCGGAAAATCTGGGAAATATGAACTCTATGAGAACATGGGAGGATCGGTCCGAACGAACGGCATCACGATTGTTTCCTCTGGCAAAAGTTTGTACGGCGCTGAGGTTGCGTTGGTTCTGGAGATGTCCTGTTGCTATGGTTGAATATCCAAAGAATTCAAGAGCCGAAGTGGCGTTGGACGTCCAGAAAGCAAGTCCATATCATTTTCAATACCTTCCAGATTATCTGTGAGAATTGTAGTGTCTCTGGTTGTCCTGCGTTTCCGACAACTCCTCTTCCGGAGTACAAGGTGCCGGAACTCACCAGTCAATTGGCAGCAATGCAGTCTGCGCCCATCCCCTCAACATTATATGCACAACCAGTACAGGCAGAAATAATTGATCTAGGGACCACATCGCCTGCTGCTGTAGATCTTACAGCGTATGTTGTTGGTGTTGCCATATTCACATGTATTTGGATGCACCTGGGGGCTACTGAACAGTTTGTACCTGATGTAGGCTAAAGTAAGCAGTGGTTATTAACATTGACGTATTAATATTGATCTGATCCTATGCTGCTACTCTTGTCTGATTGATCATGGATCGAGCGTTGCATTTGTGAATCGATCGAACACTGTTTCGACTCACGTGACTTTGATGGGAACGGGCGTACGCGCCGCTCCAACACTAACGTCCGGTTTGCGCCAGTTTTCCCCGTCCCTCTCCCATGCATGCTCGCTGCAGCATGAATGTCTTGTGGCGCGGCTGTAATCCTTGGCATGTATTTGATCGAGTCTTATCGAGGGATCGCGCACACCAAACCTAATCCCCTACCTATTACGTCGCTCACGCAGCAGTCAATGTGGAATGTATGATCAGCACAGGACATGCCCATCGATCATCCTGCTCCTACTTTTATAAACATTGCAAACCCCAATGATGCCAAAGGGGCGTCCAAACGGCTCGCGGTGCGGTCACACGTCGCCCGGTACCAATGGAGAAAGCATTTTGAGGACAGAGGCTCGGAGTCCGCACCGGTCCGATCTAAGAAGAGACGAGAGGAGTTTCTGCCACTGCGTATCGAACTAGATTGTTCCTTTCTGGATGGAAACCGAAAGACTGGCATTGACGGTGAAGATTGGCAAGGCTCTAGTTCATCATCTTCAACACTGCCCATACCCAGGATCCTGGGTGGCGGGCGCGTTGATCCTTTCCGCTCCTATCCCGTTGCTTGGAGGCCTTTCATGCCAGCTATCGTGGATCACTGTAAGTTGTTCTAGCTTTATCTAGATCTTCTTCTTCTATGTGTGATTGATAGCTAGAAGTGGACATCAACGCTCACACCAACTAGATCTGATTAGCATGGCTGTTGATATCCCTGAGCTCGATCAGCCTGGTAACTCTGGCCTCCTGAGGACCAGATGGTTCCCTCTAGTGATGACGGAGCCGGCTCCCTTCTTGGTGATACTTCTAATCGCAGCTTCGAATTATGCGTCTCTATATAGTGGCTGTGACATGAAGACGGATCTTTTGCAGCTCAGATGTGAGGCTATCCGCACGATCAATGAAGCCTTGCGTGAACCCGAGAGGGCATTGACCGATGCCGTGATCGGTGCAGTGGCCAAGATGGCCAGTTACGAAGCTATGTTTGGTAGCTTAGACACCTATAACACGCATATGACGGGTCTCGTGAAAATGGTTGATCTCAGGGGTGGGTTGGCCTCGCTGGGTTTGGATGGCCTCCTTCGTCGCATTTGCATCTGGATTGATCGGAATTCGGCTTTTCTGAATGGAGCGTCACTCTACTTTCCCAACGATACTTTTGTCCTCGGAGAACCATTACCTGGACCTAATCCGGGACATTTCCTTGGAGCGACTTAACGTGTCACGATTTACGATGACTATGGACTGTATTCTCAAGCATGGTACTATTTGCTTCCCATATGGTCACCATGCTTCTCACGGACAGCTCGATTCATCCGTTTGCGGACTGTCAGACGATAAGCTACGGTGAAATCTCGTCACTGAACGAGTCATGCACTCATACTTTCTGGGCGCTACAATATAGAATCGGTCACACCCAATGACAAACCACTTCATGCATGAGATCACAAAGTGCAATTACATTGGAAGCTGAAAATATCATTGTTGGCAACACTATCCGCCTCGAACACGGAATCGCGCAGGATCGGGAAGATAAGGTTTTCGGGGTAGACTAAAACACAGATCCACCGCATTAAAAGTGGTGCGCACGCCAGCCACAGAGGCCTAAATTGCATCGCATCTCCTCATGAACAGCGAATTAGCATGTCTTTTTGTTTTCCCCACATACCCCGATTAGGAAAACGCATCGGAACCTTTATGCTGGATGAACTACTACAGCAGCTGAATCGAACAGAGCAATTCGATTCCTAGGGATATCTGAGAAGGCCCCTATAAAAGATACGGTATCATGTTCTTGTCATCCTCCCCAGGCTTTCTACGTCTATTGTCTATAACACGCCTTTATCGTTGAATCGAAATATATTCCGTCGCAAACCCTTCAAGATGGCTCTTGCTGGACAGGTAGCTCTCATCACCGGTGGAGTGAAGAACCTGGGGGCAGACATTGCATTCCAGCTGGCCAGTGTTGGTGCCCACCTTGCGCTTCATTACCACTCCGTGTCATCCAAAGCAGATGCGACCAAGATCGAAGGGGAGCTGAAGCAGAAGTATCCGAATGTCAAGGTCGCGTTTTACCAGGGCGACTTGACCAAGGCTGCGGCTGTGGACAAACTCTTCCAAGAGGTCCTGGGCGATTTTGGCAAGATCAACATTGTCATCAACACGATCGGCAAGGTGTTGAAGAAACCCATCACGGAGATCAGTGAAGAGGAATATGACTCGATGTTCGCGTACGTGGTAGTCGTTCTTAATTAGTTGAACAAAAGAAACAATGGACCGCTAATGCTGTGGGTGAAGGATCAACTCCAAAACCGCGTTCTTCATCCTCAAAGACGGAGCAAAGCACGTCTCTGATGGGGGAAAGATTATCACCATCGTCACTGCCCTGCTGGGTGCATTCACTGGTTACTACACCTCCTACGCTGGAAGCAAAGCCGCAGCCGATATTGTCAGTCGCGGAGTTGCGAAGGAGCTTCAAGGACGCCAGATCAGCGTCAATGCAGTCGCTCCTGGACCCATGGATACTCGTAAGTCTCCGATGCACTATTAGGCTACAACTCAGTCAATGAACGAATACCTAACTTGTTATTCCCTCCAGCATTCTTCTATCCGCAGGAATCCCCCGAAGCTGTCGAGTTCCACAAGGCGAACGGAATGGGAGGCCGGTTGACACAGACGAGTGATATCGCCCCTCTGGTTCGGTTCCTCTGTACGGAGGGCTCCTGGATCACAGGCCAGACCCTCTTTGCCAACGGTGGCTACACTACTCGTTGAGCTGGAGGATGAGCCATGGTGATATTAATCATGAGATTATGATTGATATTCTGTTCTATGGAAAACATGGTCTTACTATGAACTCAAATGTCATAGGTGAAAAGACCAATATATATTTCTTGAACTGGACCTATCATGACTGAATATATATATATATATAAATGCATGTTCTTATATTGAGTCAAGCACAGGTAGTAATGTACCGATGAGAATGTAATAATCATGACACTCTGATTGTAACAATAACAGGGAAACGCTGGAGCGCCTACCATGGGCATCTCATCCCGCAACCATTGATTGCGGGCTAAGACGAGGGCGCGTGGGACACCATACTTCTCGTTCCGTAGATTATTGCACGACCGTGTCGAATTTTCTTCTAGAATCGAAAACTAGCGGGATATTGTCTCGATCATCTGCTGCATGGATCAGGCCATGCTCGCAACTACATTGATCGGGTGCAGACGGCCCGATTATCCGATTTTCCAACGATGACTTCAACAACTACTATCTAGGAGGCAGGTCGATCAATCAATTGGTTCCCTCCAGGTTGAGGGGCCTTGTCTGATCGATCGATCGATTCGATCACTCGTCGCATCCAGGAACAAATGCTTCGTAACCCGCCGGGATGCAGAAGCCCAGCCTTTGTAGACGACCGCAACTAAGTAACGAAAAAAGCGGTTTCATGCTGACCGTGGCCCTGCATCCATGGGGAGACTGTCCAACGGTCCAAAGACGAGAATGCCATATCCGGGTGAAGATGCCAGGATTAGAGTACCATCGAGTGTTGTCTTTGCCTATTCTTGCTGGAGACGTATGATATCGATCGGGGGGTCCGATGCAGCACGGTCGTCCGTGACGCTACGCTGGCTTCGGGTGGGGCTCATCGTTTGCTTGGTTATTCTCATGTCTTCAATTATCAAAGAGCAATAATGCTACTCGATAGAAAGAAAGACGCTGACTATGCCAGTTAACTGATGATCTAAGTAGAATTCAAGAAGATGTATTCTTAGTAACGGGAGAGGCGCGACAGGACAGCGTGACGGATCACATGATAGGAGACGAGAGAACCCCGCGCTAAACCGGAATCAGCAGGGGCGGTGACGTCGAGCATCCAATTCGGCGACGAAAAGCATGAGCGAGAGAAGGTACCTACGTACTTAGCCAGCGTCTCTTATTAACCTCACTCCATCCTCTTGCTCTGCTCTGCTCTGCTCATCACACCGTCTCAAGCTAAAAAAAACAAAAACAAAAACAAACATAATTAACTCTCAAGATCAACTTCGATGGAGACACTGCGTCATACTGCGATTCACCGTTAGGCACAGTATTTAGTGACGTTATCCTCCCGTTCCGCCGCTTTTTCTCACCGGAACCCCCCACCACACAAGAGCTTCAATCCCCCGCTATCCAACAACCATTTGCTTCATTTGCCATTGATTCAGTTTCCAGGCACGGAGTCTGAGAGACACTGCTGCTGCTGTTGTTATTCGATCAATTTTGCCTTCTGTCTTCCATTGACACGGCATTGACTTGTTGAAAACCTACCTTCACGGGACTGTTATCGAGATGGCCACCTCGCATGCTCCCGTGGAGCCTCCCAAGAGACGCCGCATTGGTGTGCTCACTTCTGGAGGAGATGCACCGGGTATGAACGGTGCTGTTCGCGCCGTCGTCCGGATGGCTATCCACTGTGGCTGCGAGGCCTACGCCGTCCATGAAGGATACGAGGGTCTTGTGCAGGGTGGTAGCTTGATCCGCCAGATGCACTGGGAGGATGTCCGTGGCTGGCTCTCGCGAGGAGGTACTCTGATCGGTTCTGCCCGTAGTGCCAGCTTCCGGGAACGTCCAGGCCGTCTCCAGGCGGCTAAGAACATGGTCCTCCGTGGCATTGACGCACTGGTTGTCTGTGGTGGTGACGGCAGTTTGACCGGCGCAGATGTTTTCAGATCAGAATGGCCGGGCCTGCTTCGCGAATTGGTCGACAAGGGCGAATTGACGGACGCTCAGATCAAACCCTACCAGGTTCTAAACATTGTTGGACTAGTGGGATCTATTGACAACGACATGTCCTCCACAGATGCCACCATCGGCTGCTACTCATCTCTGACACGGATCGTCGACGCAGTCGACGATATCTTCGACACTGCTTCATCGCACCAGCGCGGTTTCGTGATCGAGGTTATGGGTAGACACTGCGGTTGGCTGGCATTGATGGCGGCCATCAGTACGGGTGCGGATTGGGTCTTCATTCCTGAGATGCCTCCACACGATGGCTGGGAGGATGACATGTGCGCGACGATTACCAAGGTGAGTAGATAGTCTTGTCTAGTCACATTCACCCACTCCTAGCGGCCACTGACAGGGCGTTATAGAACCGCAAAGAGCGAGGAAAGAGACGAACAATCGTGATCGTGGCCGAAGGAGCGCAGGACCTGCATCTGAACAAAATCAGCTCCGATCACATCAAGGACATTCTCAGCAAGAGGCTTGGTCTTGATACCCGTGTCACTATTCTTGGTCACACTCAGAGAGGAGGCCCCGCCTGCGCTTATGACCGATGGCTCTCAACGCTCCAGGGTGTGGAGGCTGTCAAGGCCGTTCTAGACACCACTCCGACGTCGCCATCTCCTGTAATTACAATCAGAGAGAACAAGATCGAGAGGACTCCTCTCATGGAGGCCGTCAAATTAACAAAGAAAGTTAGTGCACTCATCGAGTCGAAGGAGTTCTCGAAGGCCATGGACCTGCGCGACGCCGAATTCCGAGAGTACCACCATGCCTACATCAACACCGCGACCCCGGACCACCCTAGGATGATGCTTCCCGACGACAAGGTATGTTGAACATGCCAGCGCCCGGTATCATATGAACAATGCTAACAGGCAGCAGAAAATGCGCATTGCTATTATCCACGTCGGTGCCCCGGCTGGTGGTATGAACCCAGCAACCCGTGCTGCCGTCGCCTACTGTTTGACGAGAGGACATACCCCCCTTGCTATTCACAACGGTTTCCCTGGTCTATGCCGACACCATGCGGACAAGCCTATCAGCTCGGTCCGCGAAGTTCAGTGGCTCGAGTCAGACAACTGGGTTAATGTGGGTGGTTCGGAAATTGGAACCAACCGTGGCCTGCCGGCGGAGAATATGGAGACTACCGCCAGCTGCTTCGAAAAGTACAAGTTTGACGCTCTCTTCATCATCGGTGGTTTCGAGGCTTTCACTGCCGCTAGCCAGTTGCGCCAGGCCCGTGAGCAGTACCCTGTGTTTAAGATCCCCATTATGGTGTTGCCCGCCACCATCTCCAACAACGTTCCCGGTACGGAATATTCCCTGGGCAGCGACACTTGTCTGAACACCCTTGTCACCTTCTGTGATACTATCAGACAGTCTGCGTCCTCCACCCGTCGCCGTGTATTTGTCGTGGAGACACAGGGTGGCCAGTCCGGCTACGTCGCCACTACCGCAGGTCTCGCAGTTGGAGCCGTTGCCTCCTACATCCCTGAGGAGGGTATCGACCTCAAGATGCTCTTGCGGGACATTACATTCCTTCGTCATAACTTCTCCCATGACAAGGGCGCCAATCGCGCAGGAAAGATCATCCTGCGCAATGAGTGCGCCTCCAAGACCTATACCACGCAGTTCGTCGCCGACATGATCGCTGAAGAGGCCAAGGGTCGCTTCGAATCTCGCGCTGCGGTTCCCGGACACTTCCAGCAAGGTGGTAACCCCTCTCCTATGGATCGTGTGCGTGCTCTTCGTATGGCTATCAAGTGCATGCAGCACTTTGAGTCATTCGCTGGAAAGTCACGCGATGAGATTGCTGCTGATGAGCTCTCGGCGGGTGTTATCGGTGTGAAGGGCTCTGAGGTGATCATCTCCCCCATGGGTGGTCCTAACGGCCTTGAGGCTACTGAAACCGACTGGAAGCGCCGTCGACCCAAGACTGAGTTCTGGATCAACCTTCAAGAGGTTGTCAATATCCTTTCCGGACGGCCCACTGAAGGAGATGGAGAGACTGGACATCCCGGTGAGGGATGGGGATGTTATGAGAGTACGTGACCCACGACTGTTAATGTACCCTTTCCTGATGCGACACACGCTGCTTTCGCGAATGATTCCCACTGCGTAAACGAATTTCACTGGATGCTTTTCGATATTACTAAGAGATACGCCTTTCGGTTATAAGATTGAACAAGCCGGACCTCCCCTACTAATGATTTTCTCTTCACTTTGCTTACAAAACCCTCTCCTCTAGGTACACAATGATTTCTTTTTCTTCACATTTATATTATTTTCTTGACGACATTCCCATTTTCCTTTCCCGGGTATTGCTAGATGCGGGAGACCATGGACAGACCGGGTTGGACCTAGACCGGCTGGAAGACAAAAATCGATTTACGAGAGATACGATTCTATATCGATGATCGTGTATTACTTCTGTTTGATACAGAGAATAAAAGAAATTTCTTATTAACCCTGAGGGTGATTGTGTTGTTTCTTAATAACGCGGAAGCTCTTCTTGCATCTAGTGGACGCATTGATTGATTTGTCTCTTCTGAAACTGAGAAACCCGCGGGGCTATCTGGCTAATGATAGGGACCTACACACTCCGGCATTGGCCCAAAGGGACTGTATCTATCATCAACACTATACTTGGACGTCTCGGATGACCTCTTTAAGATGGTTTTCGACAACCGCGGTAATAAAAACGATTTCCTAGATCGATTCTTGGCTGGAAGTATTCAAATGATCATATTGTCCAAGCATCGAATGGACCAAGAATTGGAGCAGGAAATCTCATCTGCCAGGTCCATGAATAGCTAGTGTGATAGACTTGAAAATGCTACTCAAATGATATTTCCTTGCCAATAAAAACCCAATCAGAAACTGAATTTAGTCACGTATCGCCCCGCCTTTGTAGTTCAGCTGAATTAACCATGTTAATACTTTGACCGACTGGAGTTGCATAACTGTGTTGAGAAACAGACTGATGAAGTCTACAATTGACTAGCTGACTTCTCCTTCCTCTTGACAGATGACACGATTAGCAGTGCTAAGGGCACGAAGATGTCTTGTCACAATTAGCCAAACAACATATCGCCGTCAAACAACCAATTGCATCAAACTATAGTTGTCTATCCGAGCTCAAGTGTATCTCGTTATCCCACTAAGTTGATGCGGGGCGCCACCGATACAGGGAGCGCTTACTCGTGGCCTTTGACAGGGGCAGGAACGATTGAGCCATGTCTCATGTCAAACAAAGAACTTCAGCCCATGTGGAATATTATATGATCATGATCATCCCCTTTATGCGCTTGATGTCGCTACGCGCCGTTTCCCCCCATCCCTATGACGAACATTGTTCCTTCAGGGAGATATCCTCGATAACTTTATTCATATCCCAACTGCATCCAGGCGCCGCAGGAATCACAAGAGACCTTGAGTGGTTTTGCTTTGGGCTCTAAAGGCCGCTCAAGCGCAGATTGGCGGAATAAGCCGAACATATAAAGGGAATAAACCGTGGTTGAGATCTGCACTACCACTACATCTCGATGACGATGATACCCCCAGTTTCAATGGTGATCTCTCGATGTGGACAGATTAAAGGGAAAACTAATGGGATCTTGGCGTATGTGGTCTGTACCGTACCCAGAATGCACAACGTGACAATGATGATCTTACCATGTGCTGCTGCTCTTTAATCCCCCGAGGTTCCCACGCCCTTGCTCTGGAAGGCTATTGCGTTCCTTTTCTATTGCGCATCAGGTGGCTTATTGATTCTTATCTGCCGCACTAGATCTTTCTTTGTGCCTTTCTCTGCATCCTCGACAGCTCCGTCTAATCTCATATGCCATTTCTTTTATTGACCTCGTCTTGTCGTTACTCAGAGCGGCGACATTTACTATTGCTTCAATTGACCTACACGGAGGGCTGGACCGATCGATGACGTAGGAAAGCGTCGTTCAACAAGGTACATCGCCTTGTAGATGCGCAGCCTGATGGGCACTTTTGCTTCTCAGTGCTCCTAGTCCCTCGAACTTGGATATTCGCCCTCGAGAACGGTCATGAAATGGTTCGCGATTTCCAGTAGACGTCCGTTCTCATCATGGGCGGGCTTCCTCTCAACTTTGCTTATATGGTCCCAGGCCGTACAGGCCGTTGACATAAACTTTGAAGATCCTGGTACGTGTTGTTGAACTGCTATCTAGCTGGTCTTATTGACTGATGCTCGTAGAGTCGTTAAAGCAAGCTGCTAAAGCTGTAGCCACTAACATGATGAGCTATTATACTGGAATGAACCCAGGAGATGTTCCCGGGAACTTACCTCCTCCATACTATTGGTGGGAGGCTGGTGCAATGTCTGGCACATTGGTCGATTATTGGTTCTATACTGGTGATTCAACATGGAACGATATAATCACTCAAGCCATGCTGTGGCAGGCCAGTCCAACTTCCGACTTCATGCCGGCGAACCAGACCAAGACTGAAGGAAATGACGATCAGGCATTCTGGGCTTTCGCAGCAATGTCTGCCGCGGAACGAAATTTTCCAAATCCGCCAAAGGACAAGCCCCAATGGCTGGAGTTAGTGCAGGCGGTGTTTAATGAACAAGCGAGTCGATGGGACATGCAGACTTGCGGCGGTGGTCTCCGCTGGCAGATCTTCACCTGGAACAACGGCTACAACTACAAGAACACCATCTCGAACGGATGTTTCTTCAATATCGCTGCACGACTCGCGAAGTATACGAACAACCAGACTTATGCAGACTGGGCAGAAAAGATTTGGGACTGGACGGAGACTGTGGGGTTCATGACGCCGACATATGAATTTTGGGATGGTGCAGATGATACCAAGAACTGTACCCAGTTCAACCAGATCCAATGGACATATAATGCCGGAGTCTATCTGTTGGGGGCGGCAAACATGTTCAACCACGTAAGCTTGTGGAATTGCTGAAGTAACACGAGATAAAAGCTAACCTGACGCATCATTAGACGAATGGTGATCCGAAATGGCAGGATCGGACCCAGAAGATTCTCGATGCCACGGGAGTGTTCTTCTCTGACAATCCAAAGGATGTCATGTATGAGCGAGCCTGTGAGCCGATAAATACGTGTCAAGTCGACCAGCGCTCATTCAAAGCGTACTTGTCTCGATGGATGGCAGCCACGACCCAAATGGCTCCCTTTACTTACGACGCTGTGATAGCGAAGCTTCGTGCTTCCGCTGCAGCTGCAGCAAAAACTTGCACTGGTGGCTCTGAAGGAACGAGCTGTGGTCTGAAATGGACAGACCAGAAATGGGATGGTAGCCAAGGAGTTGGGGAGCAGATGAGTGTTCTGGAAGTGCTCCAGTCGACTCTCATCACTAATGTTGCACCACCGGTAACCAACTCCAGCGGCGGGACCAGCAAGGGTGACTATTCCGCCGGCACAGGGAGATCCTCTGGAGACTCACCGAGAGTCCTCACTGACCCTATTACGACGGCAGATCGTGCCGGTGCTGGTATTCTGACAGGATTACTGCTTATCACTGTTGTGGGGTCCACTGGCTGGGCGATCTTCGATTGAGCCTGTAATGATTTGCGACTAATGACAGTAAGGGGTTACATTGCTATATGGAAGGACTGGAGTCTTGAAATGTTCATCATACATAGAATGGCATGGGTAGAACTTGGGGCCTCAGCGTATTTTGTAGTATCAGTTACGTTGGGCAAAAAATATGTATTAGGATATTAGGACAGTATGGATGTAATGAAATCAGAGACATTAGAAGACTCAAGATATGCGTTTTTCTCTTTCAATAGAATGTGACAACCGGCGTAACTGACATAGATATGGTATTCTCATCACGAGCTGGCAGTCACTTAACTCTCCTGGCCCTTACTGATATCCTCAATCTCCCTTCTGGAAAATTCTTCGATAGCGTTGTCAAACTCCCACGCTTTTTCCAGACCCAACTGGTCAAAGAAATGCTTGATAGTCTGCCCTTCACAGACATGCAGGTCAGTGCCTTTCTCCTTCAGGGCACCATAGGAACGCTGCATGGCCAGCATGGCAGGAATGAATCCCGTGCACGGGTAGATGGCTGCTTTGAAGCCTAGACGGGTACAATCATCAGTAGTGAAGTTGGGAGTTAGACCCTAAGTATAGGTAATTTCAGTTAGCATTTATTACTCTATCAGAAAACCAAATAGAATGGCAGGGGACGATACATTCGGCAACACATTGATCAGAACTGGCTTGTCTCCCATCTCCTTAACCAGAATCTTACATTCCTCCTCTGATCGCGGCGATTCCATGAATGCCATATCAGCACCCGCCGCCAATGCAGCCTTGAGCCTCTTGACGCCCTCTTCAAACGCCTCCCGGGAGGCCTTCGGACCTCCATACCTGTTAGCCTGTCGGGCATCTGTACGGGCGATGATGACAAAGTCCGGATCCTGACGAGCTTCGACGGCACTACGAATCCGTTCGATGAAGACGGCAGTATCAACAACATCTTTCCCCTTCAATTGACCGCAACGTTTGGGGAATACCTAGATTCAACTGTTACTTTCCTGGTTCGTACATATTTCCTTTGCAGAGAGAGAGAGAAAGTGATACCTGGTCCTCAATATGACATCCCGCAACGCCAGCATGCTCGTACAACCGTATCGTACGGGCGATGTTCAAAGGACCACCAAATCCAGTATCAGCATCCGCAATTACCGGCTTGTCGGTGTGAGTGGTGATCATCTGCGCCAGGTTGAAGAATTCCGTCTGGGTCATCACAGACAGATCTGGCTCACCGCAGTAGGAGCCTGTAGAACCGCTACCAGCGAGGTAGAGGAAGTCGAAGCCGACCTGGTCCGCGACTCGTGTGGAGATGCCATCGAAGACACCGGGTCCGATGAGACATCGATCTGTTGCCAATATTGGTTACTAACAACCGTGAAATCTGTTCTGTATGGATAAAGCATACCTCCTTTAAGAGCTTCGCGCAACCGCGTTGAGGCACGCTTAAGTTCGACTGGAGGCATTCTGGATGGCTGTACGAACTCTTAACAGTCTTGTTGTATGTACCTGACTTTTGCTAGAATGATGTACTACGAGGGGGGCGCACTGCTATCAGAATCCCTTATTTAGAAGTTAGGATGAAACGTAAGAACTTTGATAAAAGATCGATGAGAGAAAAGCCCTTATCATGTCTGTATGTGCATCAGGAGTTTCGTATACTCTACACCGACGTCATCCCGATCTATCTTGGTGAATGAACATCTGAGACCTTCTTCTGCTCCCTCTGGTTCGTCACTCGGATACCAACAACCTTGAATGAGAAATCTGGTTGGTATCTTTTGGTCTGTCACACTTTGCCGTCTACCAGTATTCCTATATTGTCTTTTTATGAAGATCCCACCCCGTCATTCACGGGTAAATATCGCCAGAACTCCACCAGTTAATCTCTTCGCGATTAGACTACCCTCTAGGATAGATAGCACTAGAAAGCTTCGCCTGACCTAGTTCGGATGACAATAAAACACGATTTTTCTTATGGGATTCTAGACTGCTACCGTGGTCGCGTCCTGCCATCATGGTTACGTCGGTGATGGCGATCGGTTTCACGATAGACCAAAGTAGACGCAGACGATCCTTGACTGTGTCGCGTGCGATCAGGCTATTAGGTATTTACTAGCCTCTTGATCTTCACCCTAATGTTCGATGACATCGACAGTGAACACAGAATAAATAATGCTCTACCATAGAATTTAACTTAGTTAGCTACCTCATCCGAAAATAGTAGATCATTCCAAGACTTACGGTCGGAAGCTCTTCTAGACGATAGGGTTGAAACATATGGTATTATATTACCTCACAGCTGTTTAGTTATCATTAAACGATTATCAAACAATCTGCCAAGACGTCATTATCCCGGAAACTGATCCGATCCTTGGTTGCTGAACAAGCTCACTGCACTGCAGCCCTATGGATGTATATACTAAGTATACGGTTGGCTATACTTACTACAGTTTGGCGTCCAGTCCGACTTTATCGCGAGAAACTGACCGCTATTATTGATTGACTGCTCCAATCTGCGGTGTACCTAACAAACACAGGGAACCTGGCTCAGGTCCAAAGCTTGGTAGACCAATTGTCACCCAGCGTCCACGTCCAAGATAAAAAGCGTCTCGACAGCCAAGAACTACATCTCTACCCAATTTCACCGTCCATGCTAGACAAAAGTCAACCGTGGAAATCAGACCCGTCATGGCTTGGGACCAGCTCAAGCCCACGCCCCTCCATCTCTCCTATCTGATCCTCTCCACCTTTCTGGTCTTCTATACCCTTTTCTCTACCTCGATCAAAAATAGACTCTATCTGGCAGAGCCTCCACTTGCAACTGCTCTCGGGTTTCTGCTGGGGCCGCGATGTACGGGCATCCTGCAACCCAGAGCATGGTACCTGGGTGACCATGTCACCCAAGAGTTGACGCGACTCACCACTGGGATGCAGGTATTTGTGGTCGGTCTAGAGCTTCCCCAGTATTACTGCACACAGCATTGGAAGAGCGTGGGAATGCTCCTGGGTCCCGTCATGGCAGGCGGCTGGGTAGTCTGCGCGCTATTCATCTATTTACTCTTCGACACTGGCATCCCGACTGCATTAATTATCAGCGCCTGTCTAACCCCCACCGATCCAGTATTGGCTGCGAGTGTCCTTGATAGCTCCGAGGAGACGCCCGAACGGATTAAACGGTTGCTCTCCGCTGAGTCCGGTTGCAATGATGGTGTTTCCTTCCCTTTCCTTTACATCGGCCTATTCATCCTGCACCATGGAAGCGCAACCGAGGTAGCGAAGGCCTATCTGTTCATCACCATACTCTGGCAATGCATTTGCGGCATCACCTTTGGTCTGCTAGTACTTGGATTTGGCGGGAACCGCGCCCTCCGATTAGCGCATGGTCGCGGGTTAATAAGTCCACAATACTTCTCCCTGTTTCACATTGTGATGGCTATTTTCTGTATTGGACTCGCTAGTACACTTGGCCTGGACGACTTCCTCCTCGCCTTCAGCGCTGGCGTTGGTTTCGCGCGTGACGGCTGGTTCTCTTCAGCTCGATCTGCTAGTCCACCGCCCGTTGCTCTCATAGATCTTGTCATGAACAGCTCCACATTTATCTATTTTGGAGCTCTAATCCCATGGTCTGCTATAGGAGAGTTACCGACCATAACTGCTGAACGAGTGATCGGGCTAGTTGTCCTTGTGCTGCTTTTTCGACGACTGCCGTTTGTTCTTGCGTTCAAGAGATGGATTCCGGATATCAAGACTTGGAAGGAGGCTTTGTTCTGCGGTCACTTTGGGCCAATGGGTGTTGGGGCACTTTTCCTCGCCATTGAAGCGAGAGCGCAGTTAGAAGGCGATATGGCGCCGCCCTTGCCGCGACCGCCAGAGAATGGTCTCGATCCAGACGTGAAACGCGCAGTGGACATTATCTGGCCTATAGTGTGTTTGGTTGTGCTGGGATCGATCGTGGTGCATGGATTGAGCATGAGTATAGGACGTCTGTGGTACTGGGTATGTCGACGAAAGAGGGTAAAGTCGGTGTTGATGAACGGTAGTGTTGAAGATCGTGGAGAGGGGGCATACCATGACGGTGACGATCACGATGACCTCGAACAGAGGGCGCAAGGTGGTCTTTTATGACTTATGGAACGTACCGTATCGAGAAGTAACTTTAATTTTTCTGCAATCAGTTTAGATACCTATTCTCGAATAACACAATTAATACTAATCATAAGGCCTTTCCCCGTCCTGCTATATTACCCTCTAGAGAACATGGCAATCAGCCTCACAACTTCATACGGTCTCTCCTCCACTGGGTAATGTCCAGCACCGGCTATCCATACTCCGTTCTTTGCCCAGTCGACCATGTGCTGCGGACCGATCAAACGAACTAATACGTCCTTATAATCCCTCAGAAGGGTATCATCCTGGCCAAACGCAACCATAACTTTGAGATCTCTCCAATCTGAGTGTTCCAGATCCGCCCAGAAGGTTCGGACATCGTCGTCCCGCGCTGACAACAGCGCTTGAGTGTTGATGTCGCTAAAATTGACCGGTCCGCAGAGACCCTCCAGCACGCGCCATAGATAGCGATGTCGTATATTCCGCAGGATCAGTCGAGGCAGGCCTGGCACGATGTGCGCAAACCGAGTCACACTCTGCTTGGTACGGGCGTCGGATTTGTACGGAGCGCGGTACCCTTGGAGATCGAGATTTGTACTGCGCGGAACCATAAACCTCATAATGAGCGGTTCCGGGACATAGCCGTCAAAGATACCAGTTGCGAGGTACCAGATGATGTAAAGTAGGTAGCAGTGTATGCTGATGTCGGACGGGCGCGGGGGAAGAAAGCTGTTGAGCAGAAACAGACGAGACACAGCCTTGGGTTGGAGATGGGGAATTGTACAGAGGGCTACACAACTACATGTTGTCAGTGAAGTTCATTGAAAAGTCATACTTATAACAGACAATATCTACTTACCCTCCCCAATCATGAGCAACTATGACCGCATTGCGCAGTTGTGTCCGATTAAAAAATTCGATCAATGTCCTCATATGCAGCTCGAAGCTGATCAATTCTTTGCGGAGAATCTTGTCACTACGTCCATGGCCCAACCAGTCGAGGGCATAGACCTCATGGCCCTGGTCAAGCAAATGCGGGATGATCTAGTCCTCACATTAAGAACACCGTTAGCACCATTCTACCATCAAATTGACACCAAAATGGGTGGACATGAACTTACATTTCTCCACATAAATGACCAGCTTGGATTCCCATGCAGAAGAACAATCGGTGGTCGTGACGTTTCCCCCGCGAGGGTCACTCTAGGCCTCACTTTGATAAACCTGGCATCTGCCCCGCAGACTCGCAGGGTCTGCACTCCATCTCCCCAGGGTAATTCTGTCATCTCATGGCGGCCTAGTCTTCGCAACACGATTTCCTTGAATACGTACGATCCCCGTAGCTGCTTCTGCGCCCACTCTCGTTCCACTCTTCGATATCCATCCGCCTTGCTGGCGAGGTGTTGCCGACCCTCTTCGGAGAATAGGTGGATGGCGTTAAACGCGATATATGGCAGAATGCGCACGGCAACAGAAAGTATATAAAGCGGAAGCAATAAAAAGACAACCCATAACCGAACACTCGTCCAGGAAAGGGAAAATGTGCTGAGAATTCCGTACAGCTTAAAGAGTTCGTCGGCGAGAAAGGACAGCACACGGTTAGGTACGCGCCGCATTTTTGGCTCGTCAAAACATTCTCTTCATAGAGACACGATGAAAAAAAGATGAGGTTGTGGTCATTCAATATCAATATGCTTCTATACTTCTGACATCTCGAGCTGGAAGGCGCCGGATGCGAAGATGAGTCAACGCGAAGGAGCAGGCGCGAACGAGGAACCGCGGTTATTAACTTCTTGATTTCTGAGCGATACAGTTTTTATGTTCGTTTTATCATTGCGATTTAGAAATAACTGAAGTTGAATAACTGGGTACTAATTATTATTTACCTGGCTATAAAATGGGTGATATCATCGGAGCTGACGTCACGCTTCCAATGCGAACATTACAACTTAATGAAGAATCAGTTATACTATAGGACTCCAGCCCGAATCCAATGGACAATTACACTGGATTTGACTTCTCGATCCCTGGCCATGATTTGAACATACGACTGACGTCCCTCGGGGAGTGACAAATGTTGCAATTGTAACCATTGTTCCTTTTCGCTGTGTTCATAACGACTCCGCTACTACTTAGCGGAAATATGTTCTCTCTGCTGCGCCTAGAATTTCAATCGACCAAAAGAGATCGTGTATAACGCTTCGAATGAAAGGTAGTCTTGAGAAGTATCCACATATAAACTAGCAGATTTTATCGATCAGATGTTAACCTCTCTCAGCTTGTTGAATAACGGGCAGATATCTTCCCCGGCCAGAGGTTCTAGTGGTCAAGATCCAACATGGTTCCTCGAAACACAAGTCCTATTTCTAACAATGAATTCAAATGCAACCTGCAGCATGAGAGAGCTATATCCTATAGAATATGAAATTCAATATGTGTCTGACATTTCTGGATTCAACCCTATCGACACTGATATTGCTGACTAATGATATGGGTACTCATGAGAAAAATGTTCCGCACTAACAACTAATTCCTGCATTGGGAACGTGAAAACACTGGAAGCCATATATAGTAAACTCCGGCATAATGGTTAGCAGTCCCTTTGCTTCAACACTGGTAACGCCGGACGAGTTCCACAATGCGTCTGGAGCTTCATCTAGTCGGATTATCCCCGTGGCTGCGGGCCGGGCCTCACTACGTTCATCATACGAGAAACAACACATCCCAGGATCTGTGTACGTACAGGCAAATTCCCCTCGTTAGGTAGACATGTCCTAACGGATGGCCAGTTTCTTCGACATGGATATGGTAGCAGACACGACGTCACCCTATCCACAAATGCTCCCCACAGCATCCCACTTCGCTGCCTGCATGGGACAACTGGGTATCCAGCCGGATGATGTTCTGGTTGTCTATGATGCATTCGATGTCGGCATGTACAGCGCACCTCGTGTGGCGTGGACTTGTCGTCTCTTTGGACATAAATCAGTGCATGTCCTGAACAATTTCCGCCTCTACGTGGAACAGGGATATCCTGTTGCTGATGGGGAAATGGCCCATCTCCCACGGGTAGATTATCCCATTTGTGAACCGGATCCGAAGCAAACAATTTCCTTCGACGATCTCAGGCAACTTATTCTGCAAGGATCAGGAGAATATCAGATCATCGATGCCAGAATCCCAGGACGATTCTCAGGTGTGCAAGAAGAAGCGGACCCCTCTCTGAGATCGGGCCACATGCCTTCTGCTATTAATATTCCATTGGCAGCAATACTAGACACAGATACTAAGGCCTTTTTACCGTTGGATAGGTTAAAGACGCTATTTGAGGAGGCTGGAGTGCAGAAGAGGTCGCAGGTAATACTGACATGCAATTCAGGCGTTACTGCTGCAGCACTGGATCTCGCCTTGGAGGAGATAGGGTTTGGTTTGCACAGGAGACTCTATGATGGAAGTTGGATGGAGTGGACTCGGAGAGCGGACAATGCTCTTGTGGTGAAAGACTAATTTTATTATCGTTTCAATGATACCGCCATCCGCAGCGTCTATATTAAGCCCCGGTCAGATAGGTTTCAGGCCCATACTGACTATTCTGTGGAGTTAAGCAGACAAGAGACCATTGACTATCTAATGGATCCACCTTCCCATCCATTGTCTATTAAGTTTCTTTGCTTCGTCCACTAACCCCAAATCCAACAATAGCTGCACACAACCACGAACCGCGGAATGCAATGAACTGCTCACCCATGCATGCGTCGGCGCTGTATGCTCGCCGATAAAAATGGTGTTGTGCTCGATTTGATGATATGCTGGGATGTACAAACGATGCTGCTCTATATCTGGGCGACACCATGATGTTGCAGTATGCTCATCCTGCAACCAACAGAGGCGTTCATAGTGTCCTGTGTATAGCTGTCGAGCTTGTTCGCCGTGTAAGGCAACAATTGCATCCAGTACAGTCTGGACATACTCTTCATCCGAGAAACTGACGAATCTGTCACTCCAGTCTCCGCCGCGGTAGTGCATGATGAGACCGGGACGAGACTCGTTCAAGCCGTATACTGGATAATAGAGAGCCCCTATAGCATCGCTTGGTGGTGTCGATTTTCCGCCGAATATAGGACGCTCTCCTTTCTCCCAAAATCGCTCCGAGAAGAGTAAGGCGACTTTGCACGCCGACTTAAAGCGCAGGCCTGCTTCGCTGATTGCACGGTCCAAAACTGACGAGAATTTGGGGAGATCCATGAAGCGTGTCATTGTGAAAGGCACTGCCATGATCGTGTAATCATAAGCCTTGCTCTCATATGTGCGGTTAGTGACAGATGGATACCATGATAGCTTGGTCTGTTTCCGTCCATCTGGACCGGCGACAGGCTCTAACTTGCGAATCTTCCGTTCCAGAATTAGTCTGTCTTTGACATGGGGGATGAAAGCGTCAGAGAGTCGGTTGAAGCCACGATCGATGCAAGCCCATTCCGTTTTGCCCGGAGTCCCAGGACTTCCATCCAGCTCGAGATTGGAGTTATGGTGCAGTTCATCCCAAAAGACATCATAGTCACTGTCTGTCCAAATGGCGTCTGTGACATTCTCACTTGCATCAAACACATGCCGCATCATGGCCTGTTCGCTCCAGTCATCCAGACCTTGATCCATTGCCACTCGATGTTCGCGCCAGACATCACGTTGTACGGCTTTCAGCTTCTCCGTACGTTTTAAGATATCGTCCATTAGATTCTTAGTCCGCCTGTACTCTGCAGTCGACATAGGAGCTGGCTGCTTCAAATTTGGGTCCTGTTCGACTTCGGCCCGAGTCGGAATCCGACCATCTGGAAGTCTCCCTGTTCCCAAGGCCAGCAACTCGTTCGGATGTTGTTGAATCCATGGAATAAAATCGATTTTCCATTTCTCGTCATTTCCGTTCATCTCATTCAACAAATTTGCAAGCTGGAATACCATCGCGTGGTCCGCGTACTCGATAGTCTCCCCATCGTTATAATGCACACGCACAGGCAATCTCATGGGTCCCATCTCTGCCCATTCTTGCGTATCGGCAATGAACTTCGTCCGGAATCGACCTCCGACACGGTCACTGGCCTCTATGATCTCCCAGTTGTGCACACCAACGCTGTCTAGCATAAGTGCTGTAGCGAGACCCGAGATGCCACCTCCAACAATGGCAATTGAAGTGTTCATGGCGCCATTGCGTGCTGCATTCAGTGCAGTCGTGCTGTTAATAGCATCGACTTCCTGGAACCAAGCGCCAAGGGCATCAAAGTCCTGCAACTTTGGGAGCCGAGCAGCGCCCGCGAGGGCCGCTCCCATGAAAAGATAGAATGGCTTCATTGAATATCGCGATGGCCTGTAACGAACCCATCCTTTTCACTTTTGTGCATTTTAAATACTAATCCAAATCCAAGGACCTTGTAGATGTACTTTGAAGGCATTTTCTGGGCATCTTCTTGGCTTTTGCTTGGCCTTTCTATATCACGATGAAAATAGTGCCGATCACCATTTGCGCACCCCCAGGGTACTTTGTACGGAAATTTAATCTTGGAGCTAATAAAGATACTTGATTGAGCAACTACCTAGCTAGGGGCTCGACGAGCTAATCTAATCTATCTGAAAGCTTGCTTATTACTAATCTAGGAAGCCGGGAGAATACTATAGATATAGGTTCGCCTAGCCACTAGATTCAATCAAGCAAGCTTCAGGATCCAACCAAGTTAAAGTTCAGTAGCACGGACACGTGATACAGGTGCCCAGCATCTATATATATTCGAAGTTGGAACTAAGACCACTTCCAGGAAATTTCTCCTCTTGATCATCTCTGAGATTCTCAAGAAATGGATTCTTCTAGGACGATTGACGGCCGGAGAAGATTTCTTACCTACCCAAATGGCCCCAAAGTTGTTTGGACCAAGCTCCAAGTGCCTTTGGGGGTGGAGCTGGACACTGACCACTGGGCTGGATATTTCCAACCGCTACTTCACGCCGAAGGCCACAAAAGCACAGTATGGGCCAAAGTGCAGGGAAGTACTGATCTCGTCATTCTAGCAACATGTATGTTATCCCTTGAGTGATCCAGTTATTTATACATAGACTAATTTGTGCTTGTAGTATGGCACACTACCTCAGAACTAAGGGATTTTATGGCGTCCCCTTCAGCCCAGCTTTATACGGAGAGTCTTGCCAGTATAGGAATAATACCCCTTGTCTCTTATGAGACTATCCCCAAAGGTACAATATGGTTTCGCGCATTACCTCGATCATTCACCCAATTATTTTGGGTCTACTTTCCAGCACCTATGACACAAGCCCAACAGGCCCAGATTACTAGCCTAAAGGGGATGCTCCCGCCTGCCCTCGGATTTAGTATGCCGCGAAATCTGTCAGTGCAAACACATATTCCTGCTCAATCATGGGCTACTCAGATAGAAGATTTGCATGGACAAAAAGCCCAATTAGTGCTGTGGCTGCATTTATGGCGGGATGCAAGGAAGGCCGAATGGAGGCATTTATCGAAGGGCAACGAAACTTCAATGGAGGAATTTATTGAGGACTTGGAAAAAGTTGGCGCCATAGAATGGAAAGAAGATTTCTATGAATTTAAGACACTGCTTCGTCTTTAAATCCTGTTGGTCGTCTTATTTCTTTTCTCTTACTTTGTCTGAAATTGTATGTCCAAAATTATGTATATAGAGCATTCTCTATTTACATAGCGGAAGTTGTTTTGTTTATCTTTCTAAGCTAGTGTAAATACCTATAGGACTAAATAGTCTAACCTAGAAAGAAAGAAGATGCCTGTGTCATGGATATACGTAGGTAGACCCGGAGCTCTCTCTGTACGGCGCGGTACGTCGCTTCCCTAAGTAGTTTAGTAGCATCCATTCCCATTGTGTCTTTCACTCACTTTCCTCCTTATATCCTCTCCTGTCTCTGTCCATTCTCTTGTTTGGCTCTCTCTCATCCTTCATCTGACTTGCTCCTACGCTTCTGACTGAGGATTAAGTCAAAACCAGTGTAGAACTCCCGACGGAGTTTGTGCCATTCCTCAACTTTTCGAGACATACATGAGCAACGGAAGATGGAACCCCAAGATCAGGATGCCCTCTCTCCTTGCAGCGGAGAGATCAGTGTTATCGGCTCAGAAGATTCGAGGATCATCGAGCAAGAATGTATGTATAGGCTCGAACACTACACGGCGAAAGACGAGAATGATGATACGACTCTGATACTGAGAGCATTTCTCGACAACCTGCCCAACGATGGGCTTGATCTCTTGCTAAAGGACATCAAGCGATGCAACGACGATAATGAGATATATCAGTTGGCACGCTCGCTCTCCCAAGGTGTACTACTCCCAATGCTGACGCGTTCTAAAACGCCCGCAACGATTACCCCCTCCCCACGTCTCGGATTTGAGGGTGCGATTGTCGAACCCTCCTCGCGAAATGAACAGAGATGGCTCAGAAGAGTCTGTTTGGAACGGGACGGCAACAGATGTGTTCTTACAGGTTTGATGGACGATAAGGCCGCTCCCACCGGTGATGATATGGTCATTGTGACCGAGTGTGCCCACATCATCCCTTTTTCGTTGGGACACTGGCAATCAGAATCCCAACAACATGTTAAGGCGCAAATATGGGTTAACCTGAACCATTTCTTTCCATCATTGAGCCAACGAATCGGTTTTACTCAGCAGTCAATAAACGAGCCTCGAAACGCAATGACGCTGGCTCTGGCCCTACACCCGATGTTTGGTCGATTTACCATTGCTTTGGAAGCTACCAATCAGCAGGATGTGTACACACTCAAGAATTACAAGCCACGCCAAGCGCAAACCTTTCTAGTACGAGGCATCGAGAAAGTGAAGTTCGAGAACCACAACACACCGTATGCGGTTCCGGACCCAATACTTCTTGAGACTCATGCCATCATTGCACGGATAGTCCATGCCACCGGAATGGCAGAACGCGTGTATCAGCTCCAGTGGAAAAAGGATGATACCGGTACTCTTGCGGCAAATGGTAGTACGGATGTTGAGTCACTTCTGTCGATCTCCTCGCTTCCGATTTTAGCCTCTCGCCCACTCAACAGTACCCGGCCATCAGCAGAGATAGGAAATTTTTGAGATAAAGTTTGCTTACTACTTGTAAGGCACATGTTGTATATAGAGCTACCCACGCCGAGCTGTATGCCCCATATTTATGTGTTATAAATGAAAAGGCATTTATGTCTAGATGGGATGATGATCACTCACTCTACTCGCTTGGCGACAGATGCATGTGTTTGGGAGATAAATGAAATTAGACGTTATTGTAAGATATTGGCGAGGAAGGGGACAACTAAAAAAGGGAAAAAAGAAGAAGAGGGGTAGGGACAATACTCTTTCCGAGTTGACCCCCACCCTGCTTGGTCAATGAGCAAATCTGAAATCCAGTCTCTTGCTCCCTTTTATCTCTGTATTCTTAATGTATGCGTTCCGTTCCTCTTTGGTCATGGCGTTCCAGATCCTGTCCCTCCTCCGATTCTGGTATACATAGTAGGCTTTGGCTCCAAGGAAAACAAATATGACCACGATATTGATGATCACGAGATTGGTGTTTCCTCGTCTATATTTGGGCTTATCGTCATCTCGATAGATAAAGTAGGCGCCAACATCGCCTGCTTGGACGGCCATCTGACATTGTTAGACACGAAGAGCAATAACTCGGGTTATCATTACTCACATTATATAGCGCTGCTGACACAGAGCGCGTCCCGACATTATTTGAATTCTTTGACGTCCATCCCACAAGAATTGCTCCAATGATATTAGTATTTGGATATAGGTATTCCAAGATAAATTCCCACTCACCATGACAATATGGGTAACTCAGGAGAACGGTTACCAAAGCATAGGTTCCCCAAGCATTCGTGACCAGCCCTGGCCAGAACCTTAGAGCCAGCACGCATGGCAGTGTCCAAACGGCTTGAAGCATAGCAACGAGAGATCTTTCGTTGAGCCTCTCGGACAGGTATGTAAGGCTTATCAATGTGCATATGTGGAACACACTTGACGGGATCGTAAGCAAATTTGTTGTGAATTTGCTGAACCCGACAGAGCGGAGGGTAAGCGTAAAATAAGCACTCGGTGGGGATTGTGGTATGTACGCGATAAAACCGATTAAGTAGAGAGGCCATAGGTGATAGTCAGTAGCTGCGGCCCACAGCCTCGCTGGTGTGATGGCTTGACGGTTGTGCATGTCGCCTTTCGAGGGGTCATCACGAAGCACCCGGTTCACGACGATGGAGGTTTCTCTATCAGAAAACCATCCATGTGGACGGAACCATGTCTTTGTTTGAACTGCGGATGCAGGCATCATAAAAAATGTGGCAAGTCCTATGCATAGGGTGATTAGGCCCTCGATCATGAACAGCCACCGCCAGCCTGCCCAGCCATTGGTTCCTCCTAAGTGCAAGATTGCAAAGGCTAGGAGCGAAGTAACAATGGATGTAACAGAAAGGCTCGTCCAGAATAAGCTTGTCAATGAGTCAGCTAGGGTCTAGAGCTATTAATAATGACAAGTCGTACCTTAATCGGATTGGGAGCTCCCGGGATGTATAGAAATAGGAGAGCCAGAGAACAATATCTGGTATAAATCCGCCCTATAGAGGTCAGTGACTTCATATAGAGCATGCGTCTGGGACGGTAACTGACTTCAAGAATCCCTAATAGCGCACGTGTGGCTAGAAACGATGTTCGCCCTTTCAAAGCACATTGGGATATGGCCACGATAGACCACAGAACCATTTGGATCGGAATCCACCGGTCGGGACCGAGCTTCTTAGACACAATTTGCGATGGTAATTCGGCAACGAGGAAAGATAAACGGAATACAGTATTGCCCGTGTTGTAGTCTGGTAGACAGTCAGCTTCGCTATTTGAAATGGTTATTCAGACGGGCTAGTTTGGCAATTTTCCCTGAAAGAGATTTCGAGGTGCTCTCGAAGTAACAGTGTGCGCAATTCCTACCAGAGATATAATTGCGCCTTGAATCAGAATACTAACGAAATGGTTCAATATCTTACCGTTTGTGTTCAATTTCAAATCATCCAGAAAAGTGTCAGAGACTGCCTGCGTAAGGTTCCCTCGATCGACTTGAAGTCCGAAAAACATTACGCACTATAGTTATCACCTCAGTTAGTATGTGTATGTTCTAGCACTATTTTTGGATAGGATTCAAACGTACAGCCCATAAACAAACCCTCCAATCCAGCTTCCGAACCAGTCGTTTCTCTTCTTCTTCTGACCAGGTAATATGAGGATCGAAGACATGCCGACATTCGTACTGGCAATTCTCATACACTTTTCTCCAGTATTCCGCAGCTTCTGGATTGAGAAAAGGGTTCTTCTCATTATCATGCTCCTCCTCCTCTTGTGGCTCGACTGTAGTAACGCTGGATTTCTGCTCATTGGGGTTTGGCCCACTGCCCGCATTGACGAAAATGTCAGTTTCTTTTTTGCCCATCGTATCTCTATGTGATGCGCTTGCAGTTTTACTTGCGTTAAGAGTGGTAAAGTCTCCTCAGGTCCTGGCTGCTTTCCGATCTTCTTCCACCACAGCGACACCATTGCGATTTATATACCTAGGACAGCGAGGCGGATATAGCCGATGAATACGCCCCTAGAAAAGCATTAAGCCCAGTATTAAGTCTATACTTGGAAGGAGGTTTGCTATTATAGACTTGGCAAGGAGGGGTTGCGGATATCTCAGATCGATGGTGATCCAAGTCGTGGTAATCTAAGAGTTGCGCCGGATTGCGTGCTTTGCCTAGTCACAACTCCTACATTCTTGCTGGTACCAATTGAAAGGGTATACAGATCAACTTCCCACGTTTCCTCTTAGAGACCATTAGTTTTTACTCTACACACGTGATTCCAGAGAAGTGCCATTATTGATAAACCTAGTATTCGCGTGCCCTGAAATATAGATGTAAGCGCCTTTACTCTCTACATACACGGAGCTGCTATGCATGCTAAGTTAATAGTATCTAACCGCCTCAACTATGCACTACTCGCTATCAGTTGCCATGTTAAATAGTTCTCCATCATATTGTATTTCCTTGGCAATGAAGGCGATTTTGTTGTGTTCAGTGAGCACTTATTAGCTAATATGTTGCCATTATCGCCTAATGAGTTGCTACACCAATAGATATTTACAAAAGACATATACCCCTGCTATAATAGGCGCATGTGCATTCACTAATATGAAGTGCGCCATTTGCTTTTCTTAGTTATCATCATCATGTCTTTTAGAGCCTGGATTCTGTGAGGAACAATAGAGAGGGTCTGAGACTAATGAGGGTTTGCTCTATAAGAATCTAATTCTGTGTCTCGCATGGTCTAGCAGGCTTGCACTGCGCAATTCTGTGCAGTTTGAGCTTTAATCTAAGTGTTTTTATCACCCCTATCCGCTCTCTTGAGAGAAGATAGGAGTGAAATTACCGGATCTTGATCTAGGGACAGTGTTGTTTATCAAGCCATCAGCGGGGCCGAGACATTATGAAATATTGAGAGATGTACCATGAGTATCTCTGTCCCGAGCTGTTTATCATTTTTTGTGGACACCTTCTTCTACGCTTACCTGCAACAATCATGGTACTCTCTAAAATTCACAGCTAGCTCTGTGATATCTCTTTTCCTTATGCACCCCGGGAGTTGGACGAGTCAAAGGTTAGCTTGATGAAGTTCTCTTTATCTTCTATTGCTAAATTACTCCTTTAGATTATCGGAAATTTACAGCTTTGATAATCCTGAAGATCAACCCCTTCAAACAATTGAAACGAGACGCGGATCTTCTCTGAATGCTCAAACGGACAAGCCTGGACACTCTCGCAATACTAAACCATCTCCATCCCCCAACGATCCTAGTCGCAATCTCCCAGAAATTAGGTGTAGCATGACTGGGGTTGTTCTTGATATGGGAGAAGGCAAGGGTGTTAAACAAGCTAAGCAATATCAACCTGGGCAGATCAAAGACCTCGACGATCTGGCATATACGAGCCAAATAAGTCGGCAAACCTTGGAGAACGGGATCCAAGTCTTTGAAAGCCTGGACAGCAATAAAAGGATTATTCCTTACTTTCAAACGTCCCAGTATGGGATTGAGAGCCAGTGCAGAAGGAGATCTTGAGTCCTAAGCAATATCAACCTGGGCAGATCAAAGACCTCGACGATCTGGCATATACGAGCCAAATAAGTCGGCAAACCTTGGAGAACGGGATCCAAGTCTTTGAAAGCCTGGACAGCAATAAAAGGATTATTCCTTACTTTCAAACGTCCCAGTATGGGATTGAGAGCCAGTGCAGAAGGAGATCTTGAGTCCTAGCTTGAAACCCATCCGGAGCGCAAGGATTCCTTGAAAATAAAATGCATGTCAAGTATTATTGAGACTTTGCTCATGTCCACTCTCGCAAGATATTTGTGGATGATATTGTTCTTCGCAATATCTTGATCCTGGGTGAGCAGCTTAAAGTTGCATATTTTGGGCAGTCCATTCTATTACCACTTGATATTGACATGACTCCTGCAAACAAAAAGGGCTTGGACGTTCATGTTGAGATACTACATTTCGGTTGGATCCTCTACTCTATTGCATCCTTTCATGTCCATAAGTACTATTTCTTCGGTTCTGAGGACCATGACCTCTGTTGTCCTGGACCGGACTCGTTCCCACATGTTAAAGATATTCCCTTTGAAACAATAATCAAGAAGTGTTGGCGTGGCGAATATGTGAGTATGCCCATTAATTGCTCACTGCCCACATGTCATTGGAGTTGCGATCCCGGTGACGACTATCTCGCCTGACTCACTAACACAATTAGAATTAGTCCATGTTTTCAAATCCGTGCTGAATAGCTATTCTCGTTTTTTTTTTTTTTTTTTTTTTTTTTTTTTTTTTTTTTTTTTTTTTTTTTTTTTTTTTTTTTTTCTTCTACCGTCTCACATTGTTATCTCTAGGCGGAGGGCGGCGATAATGATTTGTTCTTGATGGGCTAGAGAATGCTTCCTTACTACGATGTTTCCGACAGTCAGCTTCCATTGCCCGATTATTTTCCCTGTACGACGCTGAGACTCTATCGCCTGTAGAAAACGAAAAGTTGTACATACGTCGCTACTTTCAAAATTCGTGATGGCTTCAGAGTTGCTGACGATGGACAAGCATGGAACTTAAAGAGCCTACTTGGGTACTATTGGCTAAAGAATAGACTAAAAGCATTTCTTAATAATAGTTTAATAGAATTTAATAGCAAAAACAATGAAAACGACTATTATGCTAAGTATAATTAGTTCGAACACTGCTAGAGCTACTATATTCTATAATTTAAAATTACTACACAAAAAGTTATTATCTTGATTCGAAAAATTACAGCTAGTGAACCTGTATATCCATTATCGTCTTACGCCACAGTAAAGAGGCGCTGACGGATACTACAGGAATGATACAGGAAACTTACATTCTCTCTAGGCGTATATTACAATAAGGATATCTCTTGTCGGGATCTGCCTACAGGCAGATCTGCTGTCGGGTTTCTCCCACGCCTTTCTAGCTCCTCCATCTACAGGGATAAATAGGCTGAGCTAGTTGCTAGATGAATCCAAGTTCAGCTGTGTAGGTAGATTCCGTCAGGGCTCAACAGACGTAACCTAAATAGGAATAACATGTTATTGTACTCTGGCGAGACTATTATTCACTGATAGATTCACTATGCTGAAGGTAATATTCCGCATAGATTAAGGATTCGACTTCTCTTACAGAGAAAGCTATACTCTAAAACTCTCCTAACCTTGCAAGACAATCCAATCCGAGTTCACGGTTACTCAGTGCTCATAAGCTGGACGGATATAATACTATAAGAATAAGCCGTACAAATGGCAGGAGCAGAGATCTGGTCTGCATTGCCGGACCTAAAAAAACGGCCCGGCTTTGGAACGGGACCGTCACGCGAACCATATTATCTCTCGACTGATCAAATATCCCCATGGAGAGACTTCTATCACCTAGTGAGACAACAATCTGTTCAGCATTACGGCATTCCTCGGGCGCTTCCTCCAACTGTTCAATCGGAGCAGTACATCGTTGGCAATGAGAACGGTGAATTCAGCCGCTTAGTCCAGCATATATCGGAAGCTCTGTCTGTGACTCTACGCAGCATGAATCTGGCTTTCGGTGACCCTCAGGCAGGAACATGTACTCTTGGTGATGATCCCGGGCCTGTACCGGATGTCACAATCCAATGTTATGGTAACCCAGGAGAGATTCGCGTGGTCGGGGAGGTAAAGACATACTGGACAACGGATCTCAAGAAAATGAAGAAGGCAGAGTTTGCTCGCCTACTTGGTAAGGATTATTATCTCGAACACACTTCATAGCTAAAAATTAATTTGCGGGACAGGACAACTTGCGAGATATATGGATGACTACGAAACCGCATATGGGTTTTTCACGACCTACCAACAGACAGTCTTTCTTAAGCGGAGCCATACTTTCACCTTCCAAGTGTCACCGGTGGTTTATCACCGAACCATATTGACCCCTCGTTTTGAGGACGTAAGCCTGAAAGAATGCCTATTTTTCATAGCAACCATCGCAGCCGGAAACAGCTGGCAATCCACAAGGAGAGTTGGTGAACTACTTGTCAGTCACACACACTGTTGCATAACTATCAGGAAACTTACAACTACTTCCAGACTATGGGAACATGGACAGCCCAGTCTCCCGTCATTTTTTCCGAGACAGGAATTTCCCTGACCAGTGAGTCTTATAGTGGATAGACCTAAGATTCGTAGACTCATTTGAAGAGTGCAAGCACAAATTTCTCATGGGCCGTTGCTCTTGTGGTAGATCCACCTATCCTGAATAGAATAATCCTAATGGCTTGGCTGTTTCGCATCTATCTCCTACCATGTGGCAATGATTCCAACCCAAAAGCCGTGACTTCAAATGAGCTCTCTGTTATCGGATCGATATTACTGTTGTCATCCAGGGCAAGGCCAGCAAATCCAACGAGGGCACTTTGTATAAATGTTAGCAGGTCTTGTATAAATATTGATAAGCTCGAACATACGTGTGCATAGAGGTCCGGTCAAAAAATAAGTCTTCTTTGTTCGGGAGGATGTAGTGGCATCCTTTCTGTCGCGTATATCTTCATGCAGGCATTAGTGGTTGTAAAAAAAAGTTGTATCTGGTGAAGGATGTTTACTCAAGTATTTCAGCAAGTTGCTTGCGAATGGTCTCGATCTCTCTCCGAGTGAATCTTGAGAATGTAGTAACTGGGCTTCCAGGGACCTTTGACATTGCGATAACATGCATGTAGCCTCCAGGGTACAGGTCTTGACTGCCCTGAACAAGTTCTTCTTTTCCATAGAACTTTGGTGTTCTGTGGTCTCTAGTTTCGCAAGCTTGAAGGCATCCGGCCTCTGCTCTGAACCAGTTCAACGCCATGATTAGTACAGCCTCCCGATCAGTTTCAAGAATCGCATCAGGATCCATTCTTCAAGTATGATGAGTTAGCAATACCACATCAGAAGACACACATTCTATGGTCTGTATGGGCTGGTTGAATATTGGACATATAACGCGTGGTTAATGAAAAATTATCGATCAATGTTGTGGAAGGCAGAACTCACTGAAAGCGAAACTTGACAACCGCAGTCTCTTGGGTATCGGATTTCTTGGCCTCGAAGAGGGCAACTCGTTGAACAAGATGATGGTCGTACTTCTCGGCCATTAAACGTTCCAACTGATATTGGACACCTTGGACACGTATTATCCTACCGACATGCTTCTTAAGCAAGATACCGTCAGGGAAATGTGGATATATCATGATAACGCGTAGGTTTATAACGATCGTACTGATCAGGATAGAATGAAGGGTCACGTTTCAAAGAGGACGAATAGACAGGGATAATGATATGCTTTGAAATAGATATCTAGAGGCAAAAGGAAGGATGGAGAGAGTCTGCATTGACGTTATTGATGAGAACAATGAAATCGCTAGTCATGTGACATTAAAGTCAATAGCGATTACTCGGTTGATGCCTTCGAGTATTTCCCTGTCTCCATTAAGTGAGTGCCACGTCAAGTAAGTGTGGTATTATCCAATCTAAATCTTCCTTCAAGTAGCGTAATGCTGTTCCCTCCTCTTAGATACTTCCTTCCACGCAAAGGATAGTTACGTGAAGTATTCATTATGATACGATACCTACATCCACCTCATGGATCTCCCACTTTATCAAGACTGGTGGAGTGGGCTTGGAGGTATAATATACGTTTGAGAACTGGTGACATCTAAATCAACCCTTCATTAATTTTGCACACAGATCCTGTCAGAACGACTCGTCTCGTCTATAGTTTCCTGTGTCTCGATCTCCACCATGTCTCGATCATAAAACATACCGACAGGATAAGCCCAAGACCAGCAAATCCAAGTCCCATATATGATGCTCCGCGTATTCCCTTCAGACGATCCTTACCGCCGTCGTTCACTTGGGATTCTACCGTTCCTGCAAAGCCAAGGCCTATAGAAATGGAGTAATTCACCACAGTGTTGACTAGTGAGCCTGCTAGACCCTGGTGTTGATGATGCATAGAGTTACTGAGGATAACGGTCCCAGATGGGAAAGACATATCCCTACGGCGTTGCGTTAGTGCTACTGCATTTCAAAAGGAGATAATTTGAAGATGGACTCACATCCCCCAACATATGACGATAGACATCACAAAAGCCTGCGCCCAATATATCTGATCCGGCGGTAGAGTAGCCAGCAATGCCAGCCCTGTTGTGAAGGCACACATGGCACAGAACATAATGACACTTGGTGGGACACGGCTGAGCAGGAAACCAGTAGTTACGGCTGCAACGGCTCCCGAGATAGCCGCTGGACACCATTTTGCACTGACAAGCAGTCCAGTGTCTCCCTTGATGACTTCCATGAACTGGTAAAAGTAGAATATGGCGGTTCCGAAACTAGACCATCCAGCGGCTATACATCCCAGCACCCAACCGACGTCGCCTGTAAAGACAGACCAGGGGAGTAGCGGACAAGTTGCCTTGCGCTCGATAAGGAAGAAGACAGCTAGGAAGAGGAACCCGACGATGAGCAGGATATAGTTGTAGGGCACCTGCCAGCCGACTACGGGGCCCTGATTCCACGCGAAATTGATCAGCACGAGGGCAGAGATTCCTGCGCTGGCACCGAGGACATCGAGTCGGACAAAGGTGCTGAGACCATCATTGAACTTGGGAGATGGTGTTCTTGGAATGACCAGGACGCCCAGGACTGCGAAGCAGAAACACACGATGCCCATGACCCAGTAAGCCCAGGGCCACCACACCAACTGCGCAAAGATCGTCGAAAAGGTTGATCCAACGACGAAGCCACCTGGAGCAGTCGCGCCAAAGAGGCTAAACACCATATCTTTGCGCGGACCTGGCTCGTATGCTCTCCCAAAGATAGCAACCGCGTTGGGGAGCAACAATGCGGGCCCTATTCCCTGGAGGGCGCGACACACATCGAAGAAGATCTGGTTCGACCAGACACTGAAGCCTGCGATAAGAGACCAGAGGCCAAACCATACAAATCCGATAGTGAACATCAACTTATGCCCATATACGTCGCCCAATCGTCCCGCAACGAGGATGAATGTGCCGATGGTCAAACTATATGCTGCCGCACACCAACTGAGATCATTTTCGCTCGTGGTTCCGAAACTTGCGCCTATGACATGTAGCGGCGCAATGGACTGTGCTAAGCCAGCCTGGGTCATGAACTGAGCAGCACAAACGACACTGACGAAGAGGATCTCCTTCGGGAGAGATTTGGGGCGCACGACGTGCGATTGCTCCGTAAGGGTCTTGGTGAGTGCTTCTGGATCGACGTCTTCTTGCTTCTTCTTCTCCTCTTTCTCCCATTCTTGGATTCCGTCTGAGTCCATCACTTCGATGGCAGCCATGATGATCTAAAGGCCAAGCTAGATAATCGATATTAGCAGTGGAAAGAACATATAGTTAATGAGCGGGATCTATAAAACGGAGGGGTAGAAACACACCAGAAACAAAGAAAAAGTTTCTAGATCGTTTTGGTAACGTTTCTCAGACCCTGTGTTTGAGATTATATCCTAGAAAATCTCCGATATCGTTTCAGGGCCCTGAGTATCACGAGTCAAGAAAACCCGTAGACGCTTGAAGTTTCAAAACACCCGCCCCCTAGCGATATATGCGAAGCCAACACACTCCGACCATCGGAAATGCTCTCCCAGAGCGATCTCCCATGTTGCCCGACGCTAGAATATATACAGGACCAATCCTCGGGCGGATTCCGCACTGATTTATCATAAGCGGCTAAGGCCTTGCGCATCGTTGACTGCAAAACAGGGCATCAGGAGCATTCATTCGCGGGTGAGATCTTGTCCCGATGGCCGCAGGGGCCGCAGGGGCCGCGCGGGCCGCGATAATAACCAGTCGGCCCGAAGGAAGCGATCTGATAAGATCAGGGGTTCTTCAAGTGCCGACAATGCGATCCGATCTTCTCAGAAGTTCTCTTCTTCTACTCCGAATTGACATATTCTTGGCATATATTTATAGGATATACCATAGAAGAACTATTTCCTTACCTTCTCATTGTTCTAGGTACGGTGAAACATCTAAACCGCCCTCTTCCATTTGACTTCTGTCCGCAATCGTCGATAAGTAATTACCCCGCGTTATGAAGAGCTGACTCGTTCGTTGTCTTTGTAAGACTTGCGTATGGTTTGGTCACAATTATCGCCTTCTGTCTATACGAGGACTCGATGAATAGAATGATCTTACGTGCATGAAATTGTATGTATATGTAACTTGGTTTACAATACATCGAACTATCCGAAAGCCCCCCTTAAACGAAGGAAAAAGAAAAAAACAAAAAAGGGAAAAGGGAAAAGGGAAAAGAAAGAAAGACCGAAAAGAGAACCGTCTATAAGCCATGGCTTCCTCCAACGAGACCATGAAAGCCATCTACCTTACTCGACCTTCCGCAAACACTCCCCCAGGCATCTCCCTGACTACTCTACCCATCCCAACCCCACCACCAGGCCATCTCCTGGTCAGGATCCACTACTCCTCCATCCAGCCCTCCGACAAACTCAATGCAAAAGGCGGCTTTCCCAAGACTACATTCCCTCGCATTCCCGGCCGCGACTACGCAGGCGTCGTGGTTGGCGGCACTCCCACCAGAAACGACATCAAAATCGGCACCGAAGTCTACGGCAGTAGCGGTGAAGCTCTCGGATTCACCCAAGATGGCACGCATGCCGAATACTGTGTGATTCCAGAGGAGGCTCTGGTCGAGAAACCAAAGACATTGTCCCTTCTGCAGGCGTCGCTGGTGGGCGTGCCGTTCCTAACTGCGCTGCGGTGTCTGCGCCGCGCGAGGACTCACAAGGATGATATCGTGCTTGTTCTCGGTGCGACAGGTGGTGTTGGGTCTGCTGCGGTCCAGATCGCAAAGGCAATGGGATGCAAGCGCGTCTTGGGCGCTGCGCGAAGTGCCGCTCCAGGCGATGCTGATAGGGTTGTTCTCAGCTCTTCGCCGGCAGATTCGCTGGGTGATGCCATCCCGCAACTCACGGACAACCATGGAGCGGATGTGGTCATCGACACGGTGGGCGATCTTGAACTCATGGCCGCTGCTTACTCCCAGCTTGCAGACCGTGGTAGATACATATGGATCGCAGCCCCGCGCGGACCAGGCGCGAAGACAGATTTCACCTTCGATATCTTCCAGGCATACCGAAAGGAGATTGAGCTGGCTGGGTGCAATACGACGAATGCGACGCTTACAGAAGTAGCGGACGAGCTACGCCAGTTGAGGGGTTGGTTCGAAAGCGGCGCGGTCAAAACCCGCAGCGAAGACACGGTGGAGCTAATGGGTCTGGAGGACGCGATCGAGAAGGGATACGATGGCACAGGCAAAAAGCAGGCTGTCATTAAGATGACTTGATTTGCAGATATTAGAAACATAGACATAATCTATATGGAACCTAACTCAGAAACAACCAGTATCAATACAGATTCATTCAAGAAGGCTAAGCTAGCTATCTAGGCACTTGCAGCTTTACATTCCGAGTGTACTGTCGCCCTCGAATGGGAAGAACTCCCAGCTGCGTTGGTCGAAACGTTATCAATCTAAGTACCATGAAAGAAATCTCGATGGATAACATTTTTTTCACAGCGGAGACAAGATTTCTGGAAACTATGAACGTCATCGTCGACGAAAAGACATGCCGAAGAAAAAGCCAGTATGGGAGAGATTTTTGGAATAGGGACATCCCAAGGGAAAAGCAATACAGATCCTCCTAGAACCCCTGACACCAGCTTATTGTGCGTTTCTCACGTCGAGACGTGGAAACATTTCGTCAAGTAAAACAAAAGAAAAGAAAAAAACAGAAAGTAGTGGGTGAGGGAAAGGCAATTTTCCTGGTCGCTGAAAACGACAACCAGCTTACCACTCGAATTCGCCTTGGCCTTTGTGGAAGACATACCTGAAAGCCGTCAGTAGGGATACATACAGAGTAAAATAGCATGGGGATACTCACTCTTTTCCGCCGGTGGTCAGGATTCCATCCTTCAGAGTACACTTCCACTTGTTCTTGACCCTTTGCACTTTATCATATGTGCAGAGCATGACCTGACCGACAGCATCCTCTCCCTCATGCTCTTCGGCGATGAGATCATCGGGGTCGTCCAGGTCAGAGTTGATGGCGTCTTCGTCATCCTCGACCTTGTCATCGTCATCCGGTCCATCGTACTGAGGACGTGGTAGACTGGAGATGGACGGCGCCATAGTTGGAGTAGCTCCGGGAACAATGTCCTCAGAGGTAGACCTCATGGAGTGAGAGAGAACACGACGCTTGGCTATCTTGGATGACAAGTCCTGCTCATCTAGGGGAAGCATGAGACCACCACCCTCTAACGACAGAGCCTGCAACCTCAACTGCTCGCGCAGCAGACGATCACCTTCGCCGTTCTGACGTGCTGCAGCCTCCCGCCGTCGAGCCACCTCGGCCTTCCACTCCATAAGGCCATCGCTCGCGCCGTCTGTCTGTGCATTGCCAACAGGGGTGCTCTGTGGCTGATTGACATTCTGGTACTGCTGAGGCTTGATATCTTGCCCCTGGCCATTAGGCATCTGAGGATTAGCTGGACGCGGCTGTCCTGGGAGCGACAAGGCGGCCTGCGATTGTGCCTGCAGCTGGCTGATCGAGGTCGTGGCTGCAGGACCATATCGCTGTTGAAGCATGTTGGCCGCACGTTCGCGCGCGGACTGGGGGTTCGAGGGAGCCTGGGGCATCTGGTTCATCGGACCGTTGAGCCCGGGCTCCGTCTTGATGCGGGGCTGTCCATTGGCATTGGAAGGGGGCCCCGAAACAGGAAGCTGGCCAGGAACAGGCGCCTGTAGAGAGGGTGTCACGCCCGGATGTGACTGAGGAATCTGCTGTTGAGGTGCTTGCGGCTGTTGGGTTGAGGGTGGTTTGGGGGCATTGGAGGGAACGGTCGCGGTAGGAGGGAGGATGGGGTTCTGCGGTTGCGGTGCTGGCTGTGGCGGAGGGTCCCATGGGAAGTGTGCAACACCCAGGGACGAGAGCTTTTGCTGCCAGCTCTGTGGAGCGGGTTGAGAGTCAGCGGATCAGCAATGAATGAATGAATGAATGAATGAAAACAAGCAGCCAATATACAAAGATAGACATATAAGATAGATCGATGTATCGTATACAGAGAAAGCCAACGCAGTGCGTGCCACGAGCAGTGACTCGCAGTGACTCGCGACAGCTGATTGGCGCAGGGTGGCCGGGCGGAGAAAGGCGGGCGGGCGCATAAGTTTGTGCTTTGTGCGTGGGTATAAAAACGACTCAAAAGCCCGACGGCTCCCCATAAGGATCGCGCCTTCCCCCAAACCTTGCGAACCCCGCTTTGGCCACCCGAGCAGACTTGAGAAAGGGCGATCGTGCCCGGTTCTGCCTCAGCCTCAGCGGGCGACGACGGCGATGGCAGACTGCTCTCTGGCTGCCCTCATCTCGATGGGAAAACATCGAGCGACTGACAGCGCGATGCAGGGATACATGAGTCGATAGACAAGCACAAAGGAAAGGACTAACTAACAGCAACGCTCGCAACTCACCTTTCTCAGCTCTTCCAACGTCTGCTGGTCAACACCGCTCTCCTCAAAGTCAACCCGAGAGGCTTCGCAGACTTCTTGGATGACACGGTCAAAGACCATGCCCTGTGGATCATTTTCAGATAAGCCTCAAGTCTTCATCATCGCGCGATAGGGGGAAAGGGCCAGGATGGAGGAGACAATGACAAGGGATGACGCCTCATGCGGAAACAGGCAAGGCAGGGCCGCTCGACAAGCACTCACCACCTGCTGGTTCGACATGGCGATCAGAGTCTGGTGCGATGCACACCACGATAATACAAAAAAAAAGGACAAGAAACGGATTAGGATGGTCAGGTTGGCAGCTCGTGGTCGCAGCGTTGCCGGTGGGAGGTCACGCCAGTTGCGACGATGGCGGATCGGGACCTAACACCTCCCCCCCAGATCTCCACCACCGATCAAAGCTCAGACGGTCGTAGATTGAGAAAATCCGGATGCTCTCCCTTCGATTCAATCGATACGGGATTGCTCTAACTCTCGTAAGCTGTAAATTCAGAGGGGGTCAGTTCAGTCGTGGAGCTTAGCGGCGGACCGACTGATGGTTGGGTGAGGTGAAGATCGATATGTCTGGGCGAAATCTAGCATCATCTCCCGTTGCTTAGTCACCCGCTCACCATCAGAGACCGCCTTAACAACAGCACAAGCATCTGCCTCGATGTCGTCTTCCCGTTTGCCATCGGAGAAATGCCTGCAATGGTCAGGAATTATGGTACAACATTAGATACGGTACTTTCTAGAACTCTGGACTCGCTGCTTTCGACATGCTTCCCTTGATCCGCTCTCTGACTGAAGCGGTACAACGTCCTTGGAAGCCTACGGAGTACAGCATCGCCCGACCATGGTCAGCAAAGTATCACCCACGATGACAACTAAACAATGGCACCTAAGAATGTTCCATTAACAATCATTGTGCCTATCTCTCGTTGTACAGTGGGAGTCCCCTCCCAAAGCGCCTTAAGGAGTACTGACGCGGGCTACTGCCTAGACAGTTACTGAGCTTAGGAAACAGTTCAAAATAACAAATTATCCCCATTAAACCAGCTATAGATTCGTCCCAATTTACATATTCCGATAACTCCAATGAGGAAAGAATATAGACCAGAAGACCAAGCGCCAGGTATGATGAGGAGACGCCCATGAATACTTGACAAATCGCTGCAATGCAGACCAGAAACGCCCCCCAGATGCAAGTCCCCAGCGGACATTGAATGCGCCGACAGACACCAAAGAGGTAGAGACGCCGGCAAGAACAAACAACAGAACAATGTTCATCGGATGGTCATGGACTTAGCCATCTGAGCCTTGCTGCCTACACCGCCCTCGCGAGAGGCCGCAGCGCTGGTGCCAGGCTTGCGCTCGAAGATCTTCCAGAACTTGAGGCTCTCGTCTGCAGCCGCAGTGGCCAGCATCTGGCCGTCTGGGCTGAGGCAGCTGTGCAACACACGGGTCTCATGGGCGGGGATCTCCACGTTGCGGACCAGAGTAGGGTAACTCCAGATGCTGAGCGAGTTGTCGGGGAATCCACTCGAGCTGACGATCTCCCGGTAATGGTTGCTCCACCGCAGACTGGTGACTTGCGAGCCGGTGTCGATGCTGTTGGTACGAGCGCCGGTTGTGGTGTTCCAGAAGTGGATGTGACGGTCATAAGAACCTCCACCCGTGGCCAGGAGGTTCAATTGCCAGGGGCACCAACTGAGCGCCTTAACAGCAGCACGGTGGTTGGTCTTGGTGAATTTGGGAGCGCTCAGGGATCGAGAGTCCCAGATGTTGACCAGGTTGTCGTTGCCCCCGGTCGCCAGCTGGGCACCGTCGGATCGCCATTCCAGACCGCAGACTTCGGAGGTGTGAGAAACGAGTTCAGCGACCTTGTGGTCGGCGATGCGGACATCGTGGTTGAAAACGAGTCCACTGCGGGCGCCAGTCGACAGAGTGTGTTTGGACCAGCCCATGACACCGACGCGGGAGTCATGACCGAACATGCTGCGAAGCTTGGTTCCTTCTTCCACATCCCAGATCTGGACTTCCCCAGTACCCAGTCCAACACCAACGTATGCTCCGTCTCCGCTCCACTTGACACTGCTGACGTAGGTGTCGGGAGAGGTCTCCAGGAGGCAGTTGACCGTGCCGGTGTCAGCAGACCAGACGTAGACATTTCGTTCGAGCCCGATAGCAACCTGGTTGCCAGAGCCCCAGTCAAGCAAGTTCAGGTAGTAGTCATCCAGCATACCTGGAGCATCCAGGACACGCTCTGGTGCCGTCTGGACACGGCGTCGGAACTGAGCCGACTGAGCTCCGGCGGGCTTCAGGGGACGGTTGTATTGCGCGCGCAGGTCAATGGGCTTAGAAGACTCCGGGGGCGGAGGCTTGAAGGCAAGAATACGGGTGTTTAGATTCACGCCACAAGCGTTGGCTAGGGAGGACTCATATGCGACAGCATCAGGGGCCGGGCGAGAGTAGTTGCTGGACGGCTCGTTGTCCTCCAGACCTAGGTTCTCCAGTGCAGCAGTGAGATCCTCCTCAGAGCCGCGACCACCGATGTCGAATGCACTGGCAGCGTTTGCCAGAACCGCGGAGCCCTCACTGCCGCTAGTCTTCGGGCGAGAGTTCTCTTCTGGCTTTGCGGTACCAGCCGTAGCCAGGCCCTCGCTTGCCATGCGGTTAGGGATGAAGCGGTCGCCGGCATTGTGAGGAATGCGAACAGTTGTTTTCGTTGATCGAGTGGTACGAGTTGTTGCAACCTTCTCTCGAGAAGCTTTCTCTTTTGGTACCTTTTCTTTCGAGACCTTCTCCTTTGCAGCTCTCTCCTTTGTCACCCTTTCCCTTGTTCGCTCCTTCGATGGTGTGGATCTGCTCGGACCCGTTCCAGTCAAGGTCCAGTCTGAGACGCCCAGCTCCAGGTGCTTTGGAGACTTGCGGATCCTGGCAATGTTGGACTTGGGAGAGTCTCTGTGCGAGCGGGTGGTCTTTGACAAAGACTTGCTGAAGTGGGATGACAGGTTACCTCCATAGACCGATTTGGAACCCTTGGCAGGGCGCTCGCCGTCTGCGTGCTTTGGAGGGGTAAAAGGAGACTCGCTGCTGGACACGTTGGTCACACTGTTTGTGCGAGTTCGAGGAGACGGGGTGAGAGGCAGTCGACCGCCAGCCGTCTTTGTGTTAAAGATCCCGCGGTGGCTCTTGATGGGCGTCGTCACGGTTGCGGTGGCCATTGTGACGGTTTATTTTTTTTTTCTTGAATCTGATTTTTTTTTTGTTCTGCTGAAGATATATAGGCTTCTCTCCAACAACTGTCACGGCCTATCGAGCAGCTATCGCCAGGACACTGCGCTGATATGGCTGTGAAGAGGTTGCAGCTCGGAAAGCTGGTAGCAGCGAAGAATTGACGAAGACAGCTATTGTCTGTACAAGATCATCAATAGGATGCAAGCACGAAGCAAATAGAGACTTAGAACATGTAAAAGTAGGAAATAGAGAGGCGAAAAGGGATGCGTGGATGAGGAAGAAGGGAAAAAGAGCTGGAGATATAGAAATGGAGGCCGTAAATATACTGCCTGTCCGGCCTAAGCGTCTGTCCTGCCATAGCAACGGTTACCTCAGGTACGGCCGCGCTAGACTGCGTTAAGACTAGCGTCCTCGTGACGTGCGGCTCTTCCGGCTCCGCGGGCGCCGTCTCTCTGTTCAGCCAATCAGCATATCGCCGGTCTTGGCATCTCGCAGGTGACCTCCCGGCGTCAGCGACGGCCATCTCGAGCATCATCTTTTCCCTTTCCAGGTAGTGATGTGATTGCCCCATCTGCTGCTGTGCTGGACTGTCAAATGTCCTCTGATTCTCCGTTTATCTATGCCCAATATCTAGATTGACTGCGTGCTCAACTGCTCTCTGGCGACAGCTCACCTCTCCAGCTATCCTGGGCCCGCTCTGATGGCGCGGCAACCGCCCTCCACACCTGGCAACGCTACGGGAGCTTCAACGTCGTTCTTCTCGCACTTTCATGACAGTGGGTCCGCGTGGAACGGCGTATCGGGCTCCCACAGAACATCCTCAAATGTGGTCTCCTCACCTGTCTCTCCCTACCACGACCAGAACACATACCTCATGCCGACTAGTCCCTCGAAAGGCCGTCGAGGTAGCGCCGACTACCGTCCCGGCATCAAGAAGGCCCTGGGGAATGTCCCAGCATGCCTGGTCAACGCTTCGGTGACGTATTGCGGCAACGATCAGATCTACGCCTTTGGAGGTTTCGACCAGTATACCGATGAGGGTTGGTAGCTTCTCATTGGCTGTTGTCACTGTCGTTCCCTTAGCTTCATCTCCGGGCATCGCTTGCTAACCGGACCAGTGTATAACCATGTCCTCAGGCTGAACCTGAATACGCTGCGATGGGATCTCGTGGATAATTATGGAGATATCCCAGGTGTTCGCATGGGTTAGTCGCCCCCCTTTTCCGCTGATAATACTCTTCGACGGTATCAACTGACGCGGCAAGATATGCAGGACACACGGCCTCCCTCTATCAAGGCGACAAGCTGATTGTCTTTGGTGGTGAGAATGAACACCGGGAATATCTATCCGACATTGTCATCCTGGACATCAAGACTTCTACCTGGGCGCAGCCAGATGTGCGAGGTCCTGTTCCCAGAGGAAGAGCCCGCCATGCAGCCGTGATCTACGAAGACAAGTTGTTCATCATCGGGGGTGTAACTGGAGAGAACAATCACATCCTGGACGATCTGTGCTATCTGGACCTCAAGACCTGGACCTGGTTGCGGACTTGGAGTTTTACGGCCCGTTTTGATCATACGGCGTGGGTATGGGGTGGTCGTCTCTGGATCTTCGGCGGTCTTGGCCCGGATATGGAACGGACAACCGACATCTGGTGGCTGGATCTGAAAGGCAGTCCATCTCTAGGCATCTCGTCCTCACAAGGTACCGTGGAGTCCCCAGTTATGCTCAGCAGGATTGCTCATGTCCCAGGCTCCACGTTTAGTCCCTCTCCGCAGCTGTCAGGCCGGTCCGGTGGTTACGCAGCAAATTCCGGCAGCGTACAGGTACGCAACTATGGTCGGCGAAAGCCCATTGCTCCGGGGGCGATCTCCTCTCTCCGGTTCCACTCTGGTCCTCATGTTCCTGCACTACTTTCCGGGACTCACTTTCATGTCTATTCTTCCGGCGTCCTTCTGGATCTAGTCAGTCCTTCGGAGACAGTACGGCCTTTTGAGTGTAACGTCTCGTCGCTAGAGTTGGATTCCTTGCGTTGGCAGAGACTTGCTGATGGACAGGAGGTCTTTAGGCCTGGCTACCGTTGGCATTATTGTACAATCAACGAAAAGGGAACCAAAGCTTGGCTGCTCGGATCCAACTTGGAAGTTAACAATGCTCCCGGAATGGGCGATGATAACCAGCTTAGTGAAGTTCTCTTCATTGATCTCGAGAAGTATGGCCTCCTGGGGAATGACCTAGTATCCGAAGCGACGGAGCAGAACAGGATCTTGGCCTCAGAACGGCAGGGCCCGAGCAGGCTCTCCGCTCTGGGGAGCGATCTTGCTGCCGCTTTCGACCAACCTCCTGAGGCAGGTAGCGGAACAGACTTCATTATTACTGCAAACCGGGATGACTATGAGTACTCTGTCGACGGCGAAGAATCGTCCCCATCGCCTGCCCCAGCCTTCCTTCCACCAGACGCTGCGACCTCGCCGCCTATTCACGTGCACAAGATCATCCTTCAGGTTCGATGGCCGCACTTCAAGCGCCTTTATGCATCGCAGATGGCCGAATACCATGCAAAGAAGATGCATATTCCCGAACCTTATTCGACTGTCCGGGCGTTCCTCTACTATCTGTATACGGACAGCATCGCTGGACATCCAGAGTACTGCTCCGATATCATAGATGTAGCAGGCATGCTAGTCATGGCTAATCTTTACGACATGCCAAAACTGCGACTGCTGTGTGTCAACCGTCTCAGTCGAGAATTGGATGTAGAGAATGCCGCCATCGTTTGGGAACGTGCTGGACGAACCAATGAAGAATGGCTGAGACGCCGCGCCGCTCAGTTCTGTCTCACTCACTGGGGGCGGGTTGTGCGCACGGACGGCTTCAAGTCCTTGAGCCGGCAGAGTTTGATCGAGCTGTGCGAGGTAGTCGACACAGAAGGACGAATCCTTGCTGGGCCAGAGCTGGAACTGGTCGGGGCCTTGGGTGCCGACGGTGCGCCTCTGAGCCGGGACTCCAAGCGCACTCGTTACGCAGTGATGGGCGGTAATGTCGCCGAGGACGGCGATGATCCAGAGGACGGGGAAGACGATGGCATGGAGTTGTCCTAACTACAGGAACTTCAATTCTATCTTATGGCTTGCAAATGCGGTGTTTGAGTGTGGTTTGCCTGTTTATTCGCTTAACGGATGCATAGGGAGCATAGGATACTGCTTCCCAACTATCAGGGAAAAGCATTGAGATGGCGTTATGATTCATGAATTATACTCAAGAATGACAGTCTCTTTTCGAATTCTCAATTATTTTACCAGTAGATGTTTGTCCCCCTTGCGATAGCATTTTATGATCGCCAGGTAAGTAAGCCCAGGGCCTTGCATATGGACCCTTATGGATGACTCAAAGATCTAACGATTAAGTTTGCTTTGCGCTAAAACAGCTACCAAATTGAAGGAGCGGCGAGTGAATATGGACGCAGGGCCTCTCGGGTGGTCCGAAAAACACATGTAGCTCTTTGTAAAGACGAAATCGGCAGAATCTGGGACGACGCTGAGCTGGTGAATTGCTCTAGTTGCAGGACTTTACCAGCTCCTTCACCAGCTCTCAATACCTGTGAAGATCTTACCCCGCAGCCACATCGCACATTACTTATATGTCGGAGCCTGCCTACAGGCAGACCTCCTGTCGGATTTCTCCCACGCCTTCCAGCTCCACCCACGGAGATAAATAGGCTGAGCTAGTTGCTAGAGAACTCAGGCTCGGCGAGCTTTGTTCCAGAGTATATCTGCTCAACGCAGTTCTGCATCATAATTCTCTTGTAGAAATTATCGGAACTCCATACCACTCAACCCAAAGGGAGAGTTCTATCAAAGATCTTATTTTTATAGATAGTTCTGCCGAAGTTTTTGTACTAGCTATGCTAATTCACTCTCTGTTTGCGAAGAAACGATTAAATAACTTAGGCCCTATTTGAAGATAATATTCTTATTATGCAAATGTATAATTTACTTCGAATATACGAGAGTGGGGAGTTAAAAGGGATGAACCCAGACACATATATCTGGTTAATAACAGAAAGGTACTTAGACATGCTGCTTCACATATCAAGTACTAATCAATACTGACTAGTCGGCTATTAGGGATTATACATACGTGCATTGTTTTTGCGTGGCTAAAGAGCCATCAATGCTGCTCGATTCATCTCTTATCTCGTATATCTATTGCGACCAATCACCATGTCGAGTCCTAATATAAATGCAGCGGCATTTGATCTACCATATACCTACCCTTTAAGGCAGCCTGCTTCAACAAACGCAGGAGACCAGTGTGAACCCTGCCTCAATAATGTTGTCGACAACCGCCGTGTCACAGGTCCATGCCTTGGCCACAAACCTCCAGTCAGTTGTGATCGAGACGTATAAGGAGAGAGGCTCTAGCAACCGCGTTCTGGTTTCCATAACGCCTTTAGGAGGCGTGATCCAAAACAACTGCAGCTGTATACCGAGAACATTAGCAACAAAAACGGGCTCTTCTACCGCACTTCGTGGGCTAGCCCGAAATGTAAGGCCATTCTTTGGAGAATCATCCAGCAAGTGAAGGCCGACCATGCACTATCGCGAAAGAAGAGAGGGTGGGAGCTCATGGCGATAACTATGGAAGAGAAGGCCAGATTCGAAGCAATTCTAAACGCAACTAAGCCTACCCGAATTACTAGGCAGTGTGCATTAGCACCCAGCTAATGCTATTGACTTTGTCAAGTGGAAGAAAACTGTCGCCGAGGACATTTGGGATGTCTAAAAATAAGCTCTTCAACAAATACGACCTGTGCGGTTATATTCCGAGTACTGGCATTGTGAGCTCCGACAAATTCGCCATTGGTGTATGCCCATAGAGGGACACTGAGATGCAGAGCGGCAGTATACTATACGGCCTTGGACTTACAGTTCTACGTCAAAAGTAGTTTAGTATTTAGCACCCCTCCAACTGGAGGATAGGAACTAAGCTTCTTACTCCATCTTCATAAAACCATCCTTCGCAGGGTTCCTGCATCGCGGGGAGTCGCTGTTTACTGCCACTTATCATTGCGCGTCATCACCCTATCAAGACTCGACTCTTAGTGAACGCAAACAGTCTATTCTCTTGCGCTATCTATGTTCTGGGCGCTGGACAAGCTAAGGTTTGAAGATTACCTAGCCTCCTGTGAAGACGTTAATTATGTCGAGACCCCGTCAGACCCCACATCAACTCTTTCCTTGCCTTTACCTTACCTTCAAGACACCTTCAAGACAAAAACATGGCAACTCAGGGTGATGAAGCAAAGCCTGCCAACAATCGTCCTATTTTGACCCCATTTCCTGTCCCCGACCAGCAGTTTGCAAGCTATGACGACAGTGCTGTCAGAAGGGCCTTGTGGGACCCAGAAGAATACTCAAAGTCCGTATTGCCTGTTCAAAATGGATAAATAAAAAAAAAAACCCTGATAGTCTTAGGTGGAGGGAACAGAAGCTCAACGAATGTCTAAAAGCACAAGAGCGTTTTCTATCCATATATGGTTACGTCCCCGATGAAGTTCTCAATCTTGAAAACTGGCTCAAAACAAAAACTCCTGATGGCCCAGCGTAAGTTCAGGTTAATACACGATACTATTATATACTAATTATAAATTTCTTTTTGACTAGGTACCCAGAGTCTGAACCGAGCGGGCTCGATCACTTCACCTATTATCAGATTGAGATTCTAAAATTCACTCTTAATACATGCACATGGCTCACACCAGGAATGAAAACGAACTACTATGCCGTCCTCGATGCATATCGCTCCAGGAAATTGACGGCGGATCCTAAAGTCATTACCTATTGGTACAAAGGGGTTCAGGTACCAGATGCTGGGCCTGCTGGTTCCGAGAAACGCTACCAGGAAGTTGCAAAATTGCAAGAGAAGTACGGCGATGGCAGCCTCCATGTTGAAATAGTATGTGGGTCTAATATCATACCGTCTTGTTTATAGACGAATGCACTAACTAACTGTCATCAATCTAGGTTGCATGGCCTCAACCCCAACTCCTGTCCTAAAACCTTTCTACCAACTCCGCTCCCGGGTTTTGATCCTTTGCAACGTCTAACAAAAGTCTTATGAAAATATAGATTTTGGGGGGTCTTTTCTTAAAGGAGATATTTATAATATATAATTAAGACAACGCAAAGTAGAATTATTAAATATCACATCTTTTGTCGTTTTTCTATAGCAGAATTTGCTAAAAGCATCCTGAGAGAAGAGAAGAAATGGTGATTGCGATCTCATTATAGCAAGAAGCAAGACAGTCGGGTGACAAAGTCTCAAGACGCGATTTTTACCCGGTGTATGAGAGATCCCGGAATAGTATTGAGATTATGGTTCATCGCCGCTAGATCTTCCCCGAAAAGCTCCAGGTACGATGAGCCAGTGTCGTCTAGGACAGTGATTTGATGTTCGAGATTAGAGCCAGGAATACGAACTAAAATATCAACCTAGAAAAAATAGGTGATATATTATTAGCTTCATGGGGTTGAGAATTCTTGGAAGCGTCTTACATCGTGGCGGTCTGGTAATTCATGTCACTAACCGTTATATCCGCCTAGGGTTTACTAACTATATAAATCCGCTATAATAGAGTACTTTGACTTCTTGGATTGCCGCAAGAAAACGCCTCCAAATGCTAAAATTGAAGATCCAAAGATCATTTCTTCAATGCTGATCATTAACCTAACCATAACATGCTATTTTCGTAGACATGACTCCCCTTTTTCTCTATAAACCAAGTCTATCCCTTCATCGATTTTATCTTTAGTATGGCTTAAACCGTTCTTTCTCCTTCGGCTTTTTATCTTTCGCACGAGAAGACTTGGAAGGCGTCTCAGAGCTTTCTCGGCTCTCTGAACGAGCTTCTTCTGCTCTCCAGGCACGTACGACCCCGTCTTCTCCACCGGTAAATACAGTCTGTGACTGCGATAATGTGAGCTTTATAATCTTCTCGATAGTGTACGCCTGGTCAGTGGAATAACAGGGATGAAAGCCGTACCTTTTCATCGAGGTATATTGAACGGACAATTTCCTCGCCGTGCGCACCGGGTAAGCGCCAAATGCTTTCTTGGTCAAATCGCCATTTCGGATTCGGGACCAGCGGTATCAGATCCAATTTTTGCTGTCTGCTCGTATGGTTAGCTTTCATTCATATGAATTTCAAAGATTAGTTGTCAGTTCCCAGAAACGTTCACAAACTTACGTCGTGTTTCCAGCCGCGACATAGGTTCCCTGACTACTACCAATTATCTGCACGACATACTCACAACCAAGGCTCTGCCTTACGTCCCCGAATTGAATGGGAGACGGCTCCTGGGTCGGATCATCTGGGTTGGTGGTTGGGTGGATTGAGAAAGTCTCGTCGTGGCTGAGCGCATAGACAGCATGCTCTGACAGGTAACCGGCATGGTGTATTGAGCCGTGGTTGATTACTTGAATCAACGCATCTTCCTCATCCGTGATGTTCGTGTCATAGATATTGACCAGGCCATCTGTGCTGCCTGACAGGACGACATTGTTATGCAGTGGGTGAAATTGTAGCTGTGACAGCGCCGTTCAGTACCAGACGATAGACAGACGTGGGTGGCTAGCATGTCTCTTAATGACTCACCTCTGTCACGTCATCGTTGTGACTCTCAATATACTGCAGTCGCGGTTGGTTTGGAGATCTGATGTCCCTGTATGGCTCATTAATAGGTCATTCGTCGAGGATGTGCCAAAGCCTGGCAGGTCCGAACGAGCGGTACTTGGATAGTGGCACGAGACATCCATGAAACAGACTTGTCATTCCTCGTACAGGAACATGGGGCGAAATAAAGAGCTTACCAAAATACTACTGCTGCCTGGTAGGAGGCCAACTCTGTACCGGCAACGATAGTGTTCGTTCCAGCAGAGCAGGCAAGTGATAACACAGGAACATTTTTCGCTGGTCCAAGTTGTCAGCATAAACTCTATGGAAGTCTCCGCTGATCCTGAAAGGACGCTTGAAGAACGAGAGACACTAATCCAATCCACGTCATCGTGAACCGCTCAATATAGCAGCAGTCGAACTTACCAGTCTCCATTTCCACGACCGGCTGACTCTTTCCGGGGCCGCTCCTAACATCCCACAGCCTGACCTTCCCATCTCTGCCCGCCGTCGCTAGTAACTGCGGTCCCCCTTCGGTGGCATGTCCATATTCCTTGAGACAGGTGACTCCTTCATGCGTCTTCGTCGCAGGAACAGAAAGTAACTTCAGAGTTCTAGCATCGAAAGTCCGCAGAGAGTCATCTGATGATATGGCTGCAAATGAACCGGGGGTTGAGGCGGAGATTGAATAGATATAGCTCCCCTCCGGCAAGGAGAGGGTTGACGACCCCTCAGCTTTCAGAGTGTTCATGGTTGCGGCTTCTACCTGTGCCGTGCAACGAGTAGATACTCCACGTTTAGTTTTTATCCTTATCTTTGAGGACTAGTGGGTATATTTCCAATGACGTGAAGAGGCGCCTTTGGTTTTCTGTGCCTTGCTCCACTGCAAGAAGTATTTCTCAAGAAAGTGTATTCAGGCGTAGAGCGCTATCGAAGAGTAGTCTCTCCGAAATCCAACATGTAATAGTCCCAAGATCTCACAAAGGAGCAGAGATCGAGTATACTCGTATAAACTAGATCCTGGTTAATTACTGTGGTTGCTGTGGTCTGAAGGCGTGCGGCGAATCGGAGTCGGGAATGTCCGAAAGGAAAAAAAATTTCAATGTTTTCCCCTCCATTCTGATCCGTGCGGTTATCGCAACATCACCACGATTACAGTGTAAATGATATTTTCACATGGCCATAACTGGTGATTCTTATTTCAAGAAAAAAAGAAGTGTATTCAAGCTCAAAGCGACTGATGTTTAGATGAAATGCTTGCTTTTGGCTATTCGTACCAGATCGCCGGAGACACTAACAAACTACAACGACAGAGATAGATACAAGGTAGAGGCTTTCGCAAAGGATGTTCTAGAAATCAACAACTGACCGAAAAGGTCAGCGTTTGGAAGGTCAAGAAATTTTGAATACTTCCATGCATAACATACCCACGAGATCCCCGCCGGGACGGACGTGCTTCTGAACTCACCAGTCTAATACAAGACATAGAAAGGCGAGCGCAATGACGAAGTGCTGGTGTGTCTGGAAGTAAACAAAGGAGCAGATACAATTATATAGTCATACATGCCATGCAGCTACTCGAGAATTTAGATGCGGTGTCTCTTGCAAGCTGCCCACCAAACGAAGAACGAGCAGTCAGGCACCAATGATGCCAGGATCCCTGTATCTGGTACCATCGATGATCATACCTGCTGGTTGGTATGCCCAAAAGAATAGGATAGTCTACAAATAAACGCATACATGGCAACATGTGGGATAACAATATCCACCTAATCTATATATACACTCATGGAACCAGTTATCAGCTCATATGCAGCATGCAGCCAGTATCTAGATCAGTATACCTGGCATAGGCTAGCCTACATCCGGAATATGTACTCGAGAATCAGGCGTGCTCTGTGAAAGGGCGGCGTATGAGTTCCATTGGAAATCACAAATGGCGTTTGAAACCAACACGGCATGATGGGCATCCATTCAAAACGACCCTTACAAGATTTACGATCCACCAGACCCGGGCATCTGGTTCACTCCGCTGACGGTGGATTCAGACTGTATAACTGATGCAGCTACTGGGTTAGGAGACTCAAGCGTGACGATCTTTGTGCTCCCACACATCCAGCGTGCTGGGCAGGACAGAGCGTAGGATTTTTCTGCTGCCGCTTGAAAAGCTAGAACCGCGTATCTGCCAGCCAACTGTATGCGGGGCATACATAGGATTTAGGACTGTGTGTCCATGAAGAGCAATTCTACACGCAAGGGGTGATATTTTGGAGCCAGAGAGTGTACTCCGTACATAACGTCGAGGCTGTGAATGGAAGAAAGCCTAGAGAAATTAAGTGGCTTATCCCTTTGATCTAGGAGTATTGTTTTTTGTTCTAGAATCAATTATCGCTCATGTTATGGGCTGGCAGCTGGCAGGGGACTCCGACTAAGACGTGGGTTCGCTCTCATCCCTTGGAAGGGTCTGCAGGATTTCCTATGTAATTCATAAGTCCATTCTGCCAGCCCCATCCCATCGGATCCCGAGCCTTTCGTACGGACCATGTTGTAATCGAGGCTGGCTGTGCAGGAGAGCGGGGTAATGAGACACGTCAAGTCCATGTCGTGCCAGACCATGCTGAAGGCGGGGGAATAGTGTCTGGCTCCTGCATCCAGCACTGCGGTTGGTTCCCAGTTGAGAGGTAATCGCTCAACTAAAGGATGATGACAGGGAGATAAAAATGCGCCTTGCCTGAGCCAGCAAGGCACCGCAGTAGGAAAATCAAAGGCACAACGTGGGCCAGCTTGATCAGTAGTAAGTAATTCGTCGGGGACCCCGGAAGTATACACTGCGGGGACCTTCACATAATAACATGCCAAGGAAAGATGATGGATGATGGGTGAAATCTTTTGCTCCAAGTGGGAGTTAATGAACTAGCAAGGCTTTAAGTTGTGACGGATTGTTCATCCTTGACCAGGGTTCCCTTATCACGGATAAATATCACCCAACTATCCTCGTCACTGGAGCTCGACTCGCATCCCGAAGGCTGGCCGGTTTTGCGCTGTTCAGAATCATGCTTGCACTACAGAGGACTAGGAGGAATAGACTGCAAGAGGGGACAAAGTACGGTGTAGGGATTTTCATCGGAAGTACTCATGGCTTCGTGGGGGACGATTGGGGCCGATGTTGTTGGGACGAGCCTGGTTCGAGGTCTGCCATAGCTAGAATAACTATCCAACATTGTATCTAGTCTTCATAAAATAATTATCGATACCCAAGGTCAGGGGGTGGCTGAATGGATCAATGAGGATACCGAATTCCGTCGAGTAAAAAATTAATAAATTACCATTGATTCGATATAACTAATAATAATAATAATGATGTTTGTGTAAAAGCCTTGACCCTCCCGAAGGCGGTGTGGGAAGCTTCACCAAACAAGGCATCATCACCATCGCCATCATCAGCACTAAACTCAGTAACTAGTAGATAGTCGGTAACTGCCGAACCGAGCTGTCATCCCGGGATTGCGATAGCGGTGATCGTCCAGTGTCTGCAATGATGATGATGATGATGATGATGGCTTGCTGAGCGAAACAGCAAAAGAAAAAGCTGTGAGTGCTTCGAATAATAATAGAAACAATACAACACGGCCAGGACTGATCCCGTCAGACTGTATCTGCTGTGTTCTCTTGTGCTTCGACGCCGCACGCCCCTTGCTGCGGCCCTCAGAAGTTGTCACCCCCATCACTACTAGTCATCCATTTCCCATTGTTGGTTCCGACTCTACGGTTGGCTGCGTGCCATGGACAATCGTCCCATTGTTCGTGAATTATTATTTGACTTCGAGAGTCGTTTGAAGAACCAACGTCGGGCTTTTTCCGCCGGCCAGGGAGCGGTCAGACCGGGACAGCATCTCGTAGCGAGTCAGGATTCGTGGAGACGGCGTCGAAGCTTGGGCGTCTTGTCATCGGACAGAATTGGGATGAGCTAGAGGGAGCGGCCTGTTACCAGCCGGCCTGTGGAGAGGGCCTTCTTTAAAGACTTGCGACTGTCCAAACTTTGATCAGTAAACTTGCGGTCCGTCGCCGCTGCACGCAATGGGATTGTGGTTCTCTTGCCGTCCCATCCTAGGGGGATCTTCGCGGGCTTCCCGGGTGCTGAATGGGCGCCACGTCCAGGGTTATTGTTCTGTCAACCATTGCATCGGGTTGTCTGTGCTCTCAGACCGTCGACGGAGCCCTGCAGCCAGTCCGAAACTAAGTAGGAGCTCCGACTTTCTGAATGACTCGTGTTGACCGTGGCACGGATCGAACGTTTTTCCACGGGCAGAAGTTATTATCATTATTATTATCTGGTTTCTCATCGATGGTCGTGCCACCTGCATCCGGTGTCCCAACAGGGCCCAATGGACGAAGGAGCCGGTAAACTACGGCTGTATCTAGTACATAACTCTTGCGGACGGGGCCCAAAGCTGTGGGCGGTGATGGGCGTTATGATTTATCCCGAGTTGTGGAGGACGCCTAGAGCCGTGGGACGAGCCCCAAAGAACAATCGGACCCAGGGAGCACCCAAAACGGCCCAAAAAGCCTCTTCCCCGCCAACATACGATCGAAAAGAGAGCACTTGTTGCTGGTCACTGCATCCCAGGAGTCTCTTCTCCACTCGCGACGTCTCTTGGAAGTTCCCTAACAGTCCCCGCCTGATCGGGCCACCTTCACGAAACGAACACATAATCAAGAGTAATAACATACAAGCTAATAATAATACGGCATCTCACTACGCAACTTTAAATCGCTGGGTTTCCCCTCCTCCTGAGAAAAGACTCCTGGGTTTTTACGTCTCTGCTGTCTGCATTGTGTGGGTTGCCGTTCTGACGGCCTCAATTGCAGTGCCACTGCTCCAGCAATAACGCAGTCAAGTCAGCATCAGCCAAGTCGTTTTCTGCTGCTCAGTTCAAGATTTCCTGTGTGCGCTTTCACGCCGTTCCTCTTCCGCGGCATTGGGATCGCAGTCTTTCTGTTTTGATTCGACAGCGCGGGTCCGAAGCAGATATATCCATCCATGCTTACGGCGAACACTCTCGCAAAGAATATCAGCGATTATCAGCGCTTGATTACTCGCCATTCGAGAATAACATAACCACATCTAATTTCCACTACTACTAGCTCCGTTACGGCCACTGTGGACTGCCCACGCTTTCCGGGGCAGCCCCCATTCAACCTATAGCCCATTTTAACCCGGCGGGTTGAAATCCTAGTAGCTGAGTTGCCATTGCGCATACCTTCCGGTTGGAAAAGCGTGAGGTAGTCGCGATGTTCCCCGGTTACCAGCACGGCCAGCATCAGCTGCCAGCCACCACAGCCCCTTATGCCTCTCTCAACACGCAGACCATGTTTCCTAGTGCGAATCCCCGATCGCGACAAAACTCCGACGCAATGGACATCTACAACGTAACAGATCGAGAATCTGTGCCAAGAGGCCACTCTGGAGACCGTTGGAGTAACAATGGATCACCCACAGCCAATTCCAAGTAAGTACCGAAGACACTCCAGTTATTCGTATTCATAGCAGTGAGTTGTAAGGTGGACCGCCGCTGACAAGCAATTCCTTGTAGGAACCATTCCGACCATTCACCATATGAGGAGAATGGGCGACTGTACCACGGATTTCGCAGAGGTATTTATATGCTCCCGTGTGACGAGCAGGAGCAAGACCGCCTCGATATATTCCATAAACTCTTCACAGAGGCACGAGTCTCGGATGGGCTCATCTATGCTCCGCATCCGGAAAATGGCCGGTTCCTCGACTTAGGTTGTGGAACGGGGATTTGGGCAATCGATATAGCCCACAAATACCCAAATGCACATGTGGTAGGCGTGGATCTTGCTCCCATCCAGCCCTCTAATCGCCCAAAGAACTGCGACTTCTACGCTCCCTGGGATTTTGAGAGTCATTGGTCGCTAGGGGAGGACTCATGGGACCTGATCCACATGCAAATGGGCAGCGGTAGCGTGGCCAGCTGGCCCAGTCTCTATCGACGTATCTTCTCCCACCTGCGCCCCGGGGCGTGGTTCGAGCAGGTCGAAATAGATTTCGAACCTCGATGCGATGACCGATCCTTAGAAGGATCCGCACTGCGTAGCTGGTACCAATGGCTAAAGCAGGCAACAGAAGACACGATGAGGCCTATCTCTCATAGCTCGCGCGAGACTATCCGGAACCTGCAGGAGGCGGGGTTCGTGGAGATCGACCACCAGATGGTGGGGTTGCCGTTGAACCCATGGCACCAGGATGAACATGAGAAAAAGGTAGCTCGATGGTACAACCTGGCCTTCTCAGAGAGTGTCGAGACCATCAGTTTGGCCTCACTCTGTCGCGTCTGCAACTGGCCGGTAGACCGGGTCAAGAGTCTAGCAGCCGATGTCAAGTCAGAGGCTTTCAACAAAGAAATTCATGCGTATAATATCCTCCATATCTATCAAGCACGCAAGCCAATCGCCAACTAAGGGATCTCGCTCATCTGTCGAACATGCTTACGAGCATGTTTATATTGCTGCTGCTTCAGCTTGCCCGATGTCGCCTTGTCTGGGAGACCGCAAGCTCACCCTTCTCAGCACGACACAGGTCATTTGACCTCTGCTTTTTCTCTTTTTTTCTTTTTGCGTCGGGACAATATCCGATCCACCGAACTAGAGGATTCGCGTGTACGACGTTGATGAAAGCTACATGCGCCATCTAACCATGGGTGTTTAATACACTTCATAGCGAATGGCAGATGTGGTGCGTCGGACGATGATAAGTCGCCGTTACAAGTGATTATGGGAAGCAATGATCCCATATGAAAAGTATTCTATTACCATCAGCAGCGCGGGTTCTGAACCGAGGATACCCGCTTTGGCCGTTGATACACAATTTGAGGAAAACAGGACTATACGATGTGTCAAGGGGATGGACGAGGATGGACAACTGCCAGTCACCGGGTCGAACCCGTAGCGCAGCGCCGGCTACTGGAATCTTACGGCAGTTATTATCATTGCGTGATGATCATGATTTGGGATTGGTATTTCTGTGGCGTATGAGGAGTAACGCGGCTAAAGCGGCGTATTATACCCAGACTACATCTCCTTCCCTTCTCTTCGACATGACTACATGGCTCTGTCGATTGAGTACATGGCTGGAGCTGCTTCCCTAGAAGTCATCAGTTGCGTCCCCGGATACCCTTTGAGCTGCTACACTTGGCGTGCTCTATGATGACATGCGGACTGGGCATATATCCTGTCTGGTGTTCCTTGCTTCACGGATTTTATATGACGGGTATGGATAGGAAAAGAAGCCTAATGCACAAATAGAGAAATATATCATGAAATAACATGTTTACTTGATAGAAAATCATGTAAAGCTGTTCTATCAATCTTTTGAATGTTTTGCTTGCCTCCACCATGGCAGATGGTAATATGAGAAATGAGAACTTTCATCATAGATGCTGTGCGAGCGCAAAAAAAGAAAACCCTGGCCTGCCCTGTCCCTTGATCTGACCGGATCCGCCTAAATGCAACCTTGACCTGCCCAAACGAACTCCTATAATAATCTCGCCACATCCATACCCAGGACTATGATGAACTCTTTTTTCCTTTTTATGCAAAAGACGTACATGGTTTTTTTGTCAGAAAGACACTACGTGCTTTATAGTTGCGATGGGTGTCCAAATCGAAATTAAATGATGAGAATGAGAAAAAAAGGACGGAAAGTGATGATAGGATGACAATAATAGTGTCATCTTCGACGTCCTTTGTTCTGGGGTCGGGAAGTCCCGTTTGGAGCGTTGTCGCCGTTTGTGTTCATCCATTCGCGGTTCGCTCCGGGACTACGTCGTCGCATGGTCCCCGGACCGACGGCGACGATGTCTTCCTCGCTTTCGCTGTCGGTGATGTCGAGGAGGACAGGCATGCGGAATGCGTCGACCTCCCCTTCACCTTCGCCCTTGACTGGGTCTATGGTTAGGACGTCTGGGATCTCGTCCTCTTGGTCGAGACGACGTTGGTGGATCTCTTCGGCAGGGTGGATGTCGTATTCGTCTTCGCGCTCGATGTAGACGACGTTCTCTTCGACTTCGCCGAAGTCAGGGGCCAGGGCGGACCATTTTTGGGGCGACACAATCGACCAGGCGTAGATGCAGCCGGATTCAAGGCCGCAGGCCGCTACCATTGGGCGGGATGGATGCCATTCCACGACGCCCAGTTCTTCCCTGGGACCTTCGAGGATCTTGACCAGAGAGCCGTGACTTCGCTCCCACACGTAGATATCCGGGTTCATGAAGGTGGATGCTGTCACGAACTCCCCGGTCGAAGAGAACGCGACGTGGTTCCAGCTCAGTCGGTTGACGACGTCCTGGAACTTGTGTTCCACCTCCAGCTTTATATTGGCCGGGTCCAATCCGACTCCCAGCTGCGAAAGATCCGGTAATAGAATCGTTCGGATAACGCGATCGGAGCTGTTGACCAGCAAGTCTCTGCCATTACTGGCGAGACGGAGCAGGATCACGACACCGTTGCATAACCGCGTTGAATGTATAGTTGTACACGTTTGTGTTTCGATGATATTGATCCATCCCTTTGACGTTCCCGCGATGATGTGATTCCCCAATGCTGTGAATATGCTGACACACGTGGAATGTTTGGCATCTTGAGCGGCTTGCTTCGCGGCCGCGGCTGGATCGAGTTCTTCGCCATTGGGGAGCTGAGGACGGAGAGGGGCAGAAGGGAGTATACGTTTGATGGGTTTAGAAGTGGATATATCGACGAGAACGGGTTGGTCTTCGAACAAGGAAGCTACAAAGAGCCAGCTGCGGTGGCTGTGGTCAGTCTAGGCCAGAACGAAGTATCCATGAAGTTGTCAACGTACTGGTTGAATGGATGTAACTCCGCGATATAGACGGGGGCCTCGAATCGGACTGTGCGCACTCGCGAGCCATCCTTCATGTCCCACAATATGCATTTCCAGTCCTGCGAAGAACTCAGGAGATACCTGCCGTCTCTAGACCAGCTGCGGCGTGTGTCAGCGCTCTGTAACCTGACATCCGTGATTCCACGGCAATCCTTCCATACCTGAGAGATTGGATCTGTCTCGTGTGCCCACGGAGCTTACGCGCAACTCCATTTGTTTCAACATCAAATATCACCACCGTACCGTCGACCTAACCCGTTGTCAGAGCAAAAGTATAATTTCTTGTATGCATGTAAACCACGTACTCGTCCGGACGCCAGATAGTCTCCACGGCGGTTAAACCGTATACATGTCGCATGGCCACTTCCTGCATCATGTTAGTATACTTTGGAGCCTGTGCAAAAGTCGCAGATGCAATACATACTCAGCTTGTCAGTCAACGAGTCGGGATAGTCCTGGGCGAGGACAAAGGGATCGATGAGAGAAAGGTTCATGGCATCGGATGACACAGGCCTGAGTGTAGAGATAGCAGACTAACAAAGACGACAAAAAAGCCCTGCCTGGTTGGTAAGCCAGGCGGGATGACTGCAGACGGTCATCCAGGATCTGGATGTCGATTGCGGGGTGCAGCGCAGGGAAGAAAGTCCTCTTGCGCGGAGCTGGCCAAAAAGAGCAATGATGGAGGCTGGATTGGGGGCCATTTAAAATGCAACCAGTAGTGTGCTGCACCGCTGCCATTTCGGGCGGAGAGGCTCAGGGAATGCCAAGACTTGTGGCTAATGCCGTTGACTTTTAATGGGGTCCGCCCAGCCCGGCTTGCGGCTCCAAGAAAACTCGAGCTAAAACTCCAGCCCGAGCGCTGGTGAGGCAACATCAGTCCAACTCCCTTTCATCACCGCGACAGCTCTCTCCCCCATCGCCCAACGCCGGAGAATATCGCGTTTGACATCGCGATATCTCGTTTTCGCCCTGCGGTTAAGACGAGAGCGGCAGACACGCCTTTTTTCCGCGCTCCAACGCTTCGCAACGCCGCGGTGAGACGGTGGTAGGCGCCCTCGTGGCAAGGGCTGCCAGAGGCCTGAACGGCCAGGTGCTGGACGAACATCCGTCGTCGCTGCTGCGCGTCGGACTCATCTGAGACGTGTTACTTCGGATCGAAATCTACTGAGCGCCTTCATCATATCGCGACAGACGCCGATATCTCGAGAAAGCTCTCCGCTCAACTGTCAACGGACCCTCACTTGACCAACGCATCACCGCAACACCGACCGTCAAGATGTCCAACGTCTACTTCCCATACTCCAAGGCGCCGTTGCGCACGATCAAGGAGATCCAGTTTGGTCTCCTCTCGCCGGATGAGATCAAACGGATGAGTGTCGTCCATGTGGAATATCCTGAGACTATGGTTGGTGTTCCCCTGGTCTGGTGAGTTTTGAGGTACGAAGCTGACGTGGCTACGTAAAGGATGAACAACGACAACGACCGCGAACGAAAGGTTTGAATGATCCTCGACTTGGTACAATTGATCGCCAGTGGACTTGTGAGACCTGCGAAGAGGGCCAGAAAGAGTGCCCTGGACATTTCGGTCATATCGAACTTGCAACTCCCGTTTTTCACATCGGTATGTGAATATGCTAGCTCAGTAAAAATCAGTCCGCTAATTATCTGTCTCTAGGTTTCTTGACGAAGATCAAAAAGCTGCTGGAAACTGTCTGCCACAACTGTGGAAAGATCAAGGCCAATACGGTTAGTCATCCCTCACGGGATGGCAAATCATAGTATGGCAGTATTTGCTGACATTTGATAATCTCAGTCCGATCCCAAGTTTCTCGAAGCCGTGCGCACGCGCGACCCTAAGAGACGTTTCGATCAGATCTGGCGACTGTCCAAGGACGTCCTGGTTTGCGAGGCCGATCCTCCTCCTGACGAAGATGAGCCCTTCTCGAAAGAAGGTTCGAAGCCTTTGCGGACACATGGCGGATGTGGAAATGCCCAGCCTACGATTCGACGAGAGGGTATCAGCCTGATGGGAACGTGGAAGCCGAACAAGAACATGATCGAGGAGGGAGACATGCAGCAGCCAGAGAAGAAGCAGATTACTCCCTTGATGGCTTTGAACATCTTCCGCAGCATTTCTCATGAGGATGTCCGCATCATGGGCTTGAGTAACGACTACGCCCGCCCTGAATGGATGATCATCACCGTCCTTCCCGTGCCTCCTCCTCCAGTGCGACCCAGTGTCCTGGTTGGTGGTAGTGGTACAGGCCAGCGTGGTGAAGATGATCTGACGTACAAGCTGGCAGAAATAGTCCGTGCCAACCAGAACGTGCAGCGTTGCGAACAGGAGGGCTCCCCAGAGCATGTTGTCCGCGAGTTTGAGTCCCTCTTGCAATACCATGTGGCGACATACATGGACAATGATATTGCAGGCCAACCTAAGGCTATGCAGAAATCGAACAGACCTGTGAAGGCCATCCGTGGCCGTCTAAAGGGAAAGGAAGGTCGTCTCCGTCAGAACTTGATGGGAAAACGTGTGGACTTCTCCGCTCGTACAGTCATCACTGGTGATCCCAACTTGTCACTCGATGAAGTTGGTGTTCCCAGAAGTATCGCGAGGACGCTGACCTACCCTGAAGTTGTCACGCCCTACAATATTGACAAATTGCAGTATCTAGTTTCGAATGGTCCCAATGAGCACCCTGGAGCAAGGTACATTGTTAGGGACAACGGAGAGCGTATCGATCTTCGTCACGCACGGAGAGCTGGTGGTCAACAGCTGCTTTACGGTTGGAAGGTTGAGCGACACATCATGGATGGAGACGTCATTCTCTTCAACCGTCAGCCATCTTTGCACAAGGAGTCCATGATGGGTCACCGTGTCCGTGTCATGCCATACTCGACCTTCCGACTCAACCTGTCCGTGACAACTCCTTACAACGCCGATTTCGACGGTGATGAAATGAACTTGCACGTCCCGCAGAGTGAGGAGGCTCGTGCAGAGCTTGCTAACCTTTGCATGGTGCCGTTGAATATTGTTTCGCCCCAGCGTAACGGTCCGTTGATGGGTATCGTCCAGGATACTCTTTGTGGTATCTACAAAATCTGTCGGCGTGATGTATTCTTAACTAAGGAGCAAGTCATGAACATTATGCTCTGGGTTCCCGACTGGGATGGAGTGATCCCTCCGCCAGCAATCCTGAAACCTCGTCCGAGGTGGACCGGAAAGCAGATGATCAGTATGGTGCTTCCTCCAGGTCTGAATCTTTTGCGTGTTGATAAGGACAAGGCACCACTATCTGAGAAGTTTTCGCCATTGGCTGACGGCGGTATCCTTGTGCATGGCGGTCAGCTCATGTACGGTATGTTCTCGAAGAAGACTGTGGGTGCAAGTGGTGGTGGTGTGATCCACACCATCTTCAACGAGTACGGGCATGAGGCAGCCATGGGTTTCTTCAACGGTGCTCAGAGAGTGGTTAATTACTGGCTTCTTCACAACGGATTCAGTATCGGTATTGGTGACACGATCCCTGATCAGCTTACTATTCAGAGAATCGAGGAAGCAGTTCGCAAGCGTAAGGAGGAAGTCGACGCCATCACCGCTAGTGCGACCGACAACACTCTAGAACCGTTGCCAGGTATGAATGTCCGTGAGACCTTTGAGAGCAAGGTCTCGCGTGCTCTCAACAACGCTCGTGACGAAGCCGGTAGCGAGACCGAAAAGAGTTTGAAGGATCTGAACAATGCCATTCAGATGGCTCGTTCCGGATCAAAAGGTTCCACAATCAACATCTCTCAGATGACCGCAGTTGTCGGGCAGCAGTCCGTCGAAGGAAAGCGTATTCCCTTCGGTTTCAAGTACCGTACACTTCCTCATTTCACCAAAGACGACTACTCTCCAGAGTCCCGTGGTTTCGTTGAGAACTCTTACCTCCGTGGCTTGACTCCAACGGAATTCTTCTTCCACGCAATGGCCGGTCGTGAGGGTCTCATTGATACTGCCGTGAAGACAGCCGAGACTGGTTATATCCAGCGAAAGCTTGTCAAGGCTCTGGAGGAGGTGATGGTCAAATACGATGGTACCGTTCGTAACTCTCTGGGCGACGTCATTCAGTTCCTTTACGGAGAGGATGGCTTGGATGGTGCACACATTGAGAACCAGCGCGTCGATATCATCAGATGCTCAGATGAGCAGTTCCGTCGCAGATTCCGCGTCGACCTTATGGATCCGGAGATGACTCTCGGACCCGACGTTTTAGAACAGGCAACGGAGATTGCAGGCGACATCGAAGTCCAGCGTTATCTGGACGAAGAGTGGGAGCGACTACTCAAGGACAGAGAGTTTGTTCGCAGCGTCGCCAAAGGAGATGAGGAGATGATGCAGCTTCCGATCAATGTGCAACGAATTCTGGAGGGTGCCAAGACTACCTTCAGAATCAAGGAAGGCACTATAAGCGATCTCCATCCAGCCGAGGTTATTCCTCAGGTCCAAGCCCTCATGGATCGCTTGGTCGTCGTTCGGGGCGATGATATCATCTCTCGCGAAGCTCAAGAGAGTGCTACTCTCCTCTTCAAGGCGCAGTTGCGGTCTCGTCTTGCCTTCCGGAGACTCGTTACAGAATACTCTATGAACAAGTTGGCCTTCCAGCATGTTCTAGGTGCCATTGAGAGTAGGTTCGCTAAAGCAGCTGCGAACCCGGGTGAGATGGTCGGTGTCCTGGCAGCCCAGTCCATTGGAGAGCCTGCCACGCAGATGACACTGAACACCTTCCATTTTGCTGGTGTGTCGTCTAAGAACGTCACACTGGGTGTTCCTCGTCTCAAGGAAATTCTGAACGTGGCCACCAACATCAAGACACCGTCGATGACTGTATACCAAGAACCTGGAAGGGCTCACGATAAGGAATCCGCGAAGCAGTTGCGAAGTGTCGTTGAGCACACCAGCTTGCGATCGGTCACGGAGGCTACCGAGATCTATTACGACCCGGACATCCAGACTACGGTTATTGAGAATGATAGGGATATGGTTGAATCTTACTTCATCATTCCCGAGGATGTCACCGAGGACTCGAGTCGCCAGTCCAAATGGTTGCTTCGTATCATTCTCAGCCGTCCTAAGCTCCTGGACAAGGGTCTTACAGTCCAGGATGTTGCGACGAGAATCAAGGAAGCTTATCCGAAGGACATTGCAGTCATATTCAGTGATAACAACGCTGATGAGCAAGTTATCCGTATTCGTCAGGTTCAAGACTACAAGGAAGAAGAAGAGGACGATGACACGGAATACGATGTTACGCTCAAGAAGCTAGAGCAGCATCTGTTGGATACTCTTACCCTCCGTGGTGTGGCTGGAGTCGAGCGTGCCTTCATCAACGAAAAGGACAAGGTGCGCGTTCTTGAGGACGGCTCATTGTTCCAGAGCAAGTCAGACCCTCTTTGCAAGGAATGGGTCCTCGAAACCAGTGGTTCTTCTCTCGGCGAGGTGTTGGCTATCCCTGGAGTCGATGCTACTCGCACGTACTCCAATCAGTTCATCGAGGTGTTCGAAGTCTTCGGCATCGAGGCCGCACGAACTGCAGTCCTGCGGGAACTTACGCAGGTGTTGGCGTTCGATGGTTCCTATGTCAACCACCGTCACTTGGCTCTCCTGGTCGATGTCATGACGGTTAGGGGTTATCTCACTCCTGTCACCCGTCACGGTATCAACCGTGCTGATAACGGTGCCTTGATGAGGTGTTCGTTCGAAGAGACGGTTGAGATCCTCTTGGACGCTGCCGCTTTCGGTGAGCTCGACGACTGCCGTGGTGTGTCTGAGAACTTGATTCTCGGACAGATGGCGCCCGCAGGAACTGGAGAGTTCGACATGTACCTGGATCAGAACATGTTGAACACAGTCGTTTCCAACAACGCGAGATTTGGCCTGATGGGTGCTATCGGCGCGAAGGATGCTATCATCAGCGATGGAGCAGCGACGCAATACGATACTGGTTCGCCCATGCAGGAGAGTGTGTATATCGGAACACCCGATCCCGACTCCAAGTTCTCTCCTATTCGCCAAACCGGCGCCGAGACTCCTGGAGGTTTCGCCACGGATTATCGCCCTGGTTTCGAAGGTGGCTTCAGTCCTGCTCCCAGAAGCCCAGGTTATTCTCCGACCAGCCCCTTCAATACCAGTCCGACGTCTCCGCGGTACTCACCGTCGTCGAGCTACTCGCCTACGTCTCCTGGCATGGCTATTACCAGCCCTCGTTTCATGACATCTCCTGGTTTCTCGCCGGCCAGTCCGTCGTTCGCGCCGACCTCGCCAGCTTATTCTCCTACCTCGCCAGCCTACGGCCAAGCGTCACCGACGTCTCCCTCCTACTCTCCTACCTCTCCGGGATTTTCTCCCACCTCGCCCAACTACAGCCCTACGTCGCCAAGCTTCAGTCCAGCTTCTCCGGCATTCAGCCCGACGTCCCCAAGCTACAGCCCCACCAGCCCTGCCATTGGGGGAGCTACTGGCCGTGGTCATTCTCCCACTTCTCCAACCTCGCCGAAGTACACACCTACTTCGCCTGGTTGGTCCCCAACAAGTCCTCAGACTTACTCTCCTACCTCTCCCAACTTCGCTGGCTCGCCGACGTCTCCTGGTGGACCTACATCTCCAGGCTACAGCCCAACCTCTCCGGCTTTTAACCCGACGTGAGTGTTTTCTGCCTGCTCCATGATCAACACCCATTTGCTGATAGCCTCTTCCAGGTCTCCGCGCCAGTGATTTTAGATTTTACTGTCTCTTTACGGCCCTTTCCACGCTGATGTACCACCATGCCCTTGTTCACATAAACCACACAAAAGAACCATATTGCATCTTAGGTCTCGGAATTGTTTGGTTATTTTCTTTCATGATCTCAGGCATCCTAATGCCTCGGTCCATGTATCTTTCCACATTCCGCCTGAAGAGGTTTGAGCTGTTTTCTCTTTTACCAATTCTGAGCCGCCCCCTTCAAAAATTGTGAGCAATTCCGGGCTGGTTGTGCGTGTTTTCTATTGAAAAAGATAAGCTACCCGAGCACCTTTTCTTTCCGATTCCAGACGCCCCTGCGCGCATAATAGCACGGAGTTACGAGAGGCATTTCTTTTTTTCCCTCTCCAATGGCGTTGTTTTACCTGATGTCTCCGCATGCAAGTGTTATTGCTAGATGTCTTGCTGTTCCCGTTCTTCGGTTCATGTACACAGCTTAGGTAGTAAGCCGAACAGGAAGACAGAAAATGCATGAAATACATAATGCGTCATGTGTAGCTGGTCCGTCAATAGGATAGAATATTATTCGAAGCATACAAGATCCCCGTAGACTACAATCAAAAATTTTGTCCATACATGATTCTTGACCGTTACCAGTTAATGTCCAATTGTAGGAGTACCCAAGGGCAATATGATGTACTGTACAAATGTATATATATATATATATTTTTGTGTTGGACGGAGGTGTTGCATTTGTACATTCCAGGGCATCGTTAGGTATGATATGGCAGCCAGAGTACCCATGAATTCATCTGAACGTTACTAGACGTAAGAATATCCCAAGATCTTTTCTGGTAGCTTGGGGTAACAGACCTGTCCAGCTGCTGCTTGTGGCCGGAGCGCGTCGAAGCTCTGCGGAGAAGGTCGGGGAAATGAAGCTCCGCGCAAGGTGGCCCGTCCATCAGGACAGTTTGGAGCTTCATTATCGTCCACTCCATCGCTTTCTGTCCATCCCGATTCGCCAGGGGAAATCGGTGATGTATTCTTGAGATATACGGTCGCAATGCGTCTCTTGTCCATAAGAACTACCCCATTTATGCAGGCACGATGAAGGAGCTGGGGTTATGGCGTATCCTGCCGTGCGCGCTTGGTAAGTAGAGCTCCGGACATAGCACAACTTCTAGAGAGATCGACTGACCTGGAACTACTCCAGTATTCCTACAGGTGTTCGCGGTAGATGCCCGGACTCTATCAGGCGACAACTCGAGATCGACCGGTATCGCAGGTAATACATATCAGTATGGTGACCACGCGGCGGGTAGCGGGGATGGCGACACGGGGTTCTGGGATGGAAGTGGTGAGTGTTATCGTCTTCCTTGTCCCCGTGGATATTGCTGATTCGATGATGTGTCGCTTGATAGACTTGGTTGCCTCTGCCCTGCAGTCGTTGCAGGATCCCAAAATCACGGTCGTCAAGCGGGAGAAGCCTTCGGGCTTTCTGGGACACACGATGTACTACACGAAGGAGATCTTTTACCTCCTTTTCATGAATGGCCCACCACCGGATCAATATGCAGAGTCGAGGTCGCAAAAGCAGAAGCTGAGCCCGATACTAGCAAAAGCCGTGAAGGAATTGACACTGGCCGCGGAAGAGGCGCAGAATCCTGACGCGATGTTTCTTCTGGCGGAGATGAATTTCTATGGGAATTTTACGCATCCACGACACTTCAAGAAAGCCTTCCAGTGGTACCAGAAGCTGGCGTCTCTGACCGGGAATAGCACGGCACAGTATATGCTCGGATTCATGTACGGGACAGGGATCGGTGACGCTGTAGAGCGTGACCAGGCGAAGGCATTGTTATATCATACTTTCGCTGCAGAGGCTGGAAACACCAGATCGGAAATGACAGTTGCGTTTCGAAGCCATGTCGGTATTGGAGCCCCGAGGGACTGTGACCAGGCAACATACTATTACAAGAGGGTGGCAGATAAGGCTATTGCATACTACAGATCGGGGCCTCCGGGTGGCCACAGTATGCCGCGGAATTCTTATCGGTGGGCAGACCAGGAAGGAGGCGTCTATGGCGAAGGGGCGAGCGTAGTCAGCTCGGGACCAAACGCGCAAAGAGACGGACCGCACTCGAGCTCAGACGCTAGCCTTGACGACGTTCTAGAGTACCTGGACCTCATGTCCAAGAAAGGGGAGCTCAAGGCGACCTTCAGTCTTGGAAAGATGCATTATGATGGCACGCGGAAACTACCCAGGAACTTCCGGAGAGCTATGCGTTACTTCAAGCTAGTTACAAAACGTTATTGGAACAAGGACGGCAGTGTCAACGCAAACCATCCGGTCGGAATCGAGAAGCTGGCGGCTAAAGCAGCAGGTCATATTGGACTGATGTACCTGCGAGGAGAGGGCGTGGAACAGAATTTTGCAACGGCTTTGGCATGGTTCAAACGAGGAGTAGTCAACGGTGACCCCCTTTGCCAGCATGAAATCGGGTTGATGTACCTGCATGGGTATGGCGTTCCACAAGACGCGTACCGGGCAGCTTCCTACTTCAAGGCTGCTTCAGAACAAGATTTCCCAGCCTCAGAGACAAGACTAGGAGCTCTCTTCCTCGACCAAGGCGACGTCCAGACGGCTACGCGATACTTCGAATTGGCTGCTCGCTGGGGCTGGATGGAGGCTTTCTACTACCTTGCTGAGATTGCGGACAATGGAATCGGGCGAGAACGACACTGTGGCATAGCTTCTGCATACTATAAGCTGGTAGCTGAAAGGGCCGAACCTATCCACTCGTCGTTCGAAGAAGCCAATTCGGCTTACGAGGATGGCGATAAAGAAACAGCGCTGGTCGCAGCAATGATGGCTGCTGAACAAGGCTATGAGAGCGCGCAATCTAACGTCGCGTATCTTCTGGACGAGCAACGTTCCGTGTTCTCGCTGGACTCCCTTCTTCCCTGGGGTAAGAATAAGCGCCCTTCGCTGTTACGGAATGCAGCGCTCGCTTTGATCTACTGGACTCGCTCTGCGAGACAGGCAAACACGGACTCCCTTGTCAAGATGGGCGATTACTATCTCGCCGGAATTGGCGCAGAAGCGGACCCGGAAAAGGCTTCTACTTGCTACCACACTGCTGCTGAGGCCCACCATAGCGCTCAAGCATACTGGGACCTTGGATGGATGCATGAGAATGGAGTTGCTGTCGAACAGGATTTCCACATGGCGAAGAGATATTACGATCTCGCTCTAATTACAAATCGGGAGGCATATTTCCCTGTTAAGCTCAGTCTCATCAAATTACGGATCAGGAGTTTCTGGAGCCGGATCACCAACGGCAAGGTCAAACCAATCCAGGAAGAACCAGGTAAGCAGCATTCTGTATTATTTCAACTCCAGACAATGCTGACGTGTATACACAGAATCCAAACCTCCTAGGACGTTCCGGGAGTGGATCTCGGCCTTCATTGAAAACGATGAGGAGGAAGAAGCTCATTACCGTGCGCAGCTGTATCAACGAGGCGAGGATGAGGATGGCATTCTCTCATCCGGCGCTGATTTGCGTCGCGATGCTGACCGAGAAGACGGGTTCTATGATGAGCTGGACCTTGACATCGATGAGAGCTTCCTCGAAGGCCTCATTATCGTTGCCCTAGCCGCGACCTTGTTGATTCTCGTGTATGTTAGACAGCAAAGGAATCGGCAGAGAGAGAACGCAGGAGCTGGCGCCGGAGTCCCCCGAGTACCACCTGGTGGTGGTGATCGAGGGATGTTCCCCCAGCCAGGGCAACCGGAATTCGCGCAGTGGGTAGCGGGCGGCGTAGGGCATTGAAACTAACTTGGATACCATTCTGCATTTGAACTTTGTGTTGACCATTGCAAATATCCCGAGTGATTGCACTTGTTTCATTACGACTTAAGTAGAGAGCATAACTATTGACTACATACACGGTGTCATGACAACTCGTATCAGTAAAAAATGTGTAACTAGATTTCCCAGAAAAGTAACAGCATCTGACTAACTCAATAATTAAAAGCGTGTTGACTTAACCCAAGACTTATTGTTGGCAACTTGGAGGTAAGTCGGTTAAGCTGTCCCGGATCGTCCTGGGCTTATCGATAAGTAAACGCGCCGAGCGAAGAAGCTCTTCGCGTTCCCACAGCGAACCTCATCATCCATCAGCCAAACCCTCCTTCAACTTTCTCCACTCGCCACTGTCATGTATTTGGCAGTCTATCAAGATATGTGAACTACGAAGGACGACCAGGAGGAATACCAATGGCTCACCTCTCCCACAACTCGAAGCGCCGCAGGCTGGACCAGGCGGCGTCCACGCTCTCTAAGCCGTTCAAGTCTCCTCTGCGCACTCCAGCTCAGAAATCCGACCAAACAGCCAGTCCATCCCCTCTTCGATTTTCAGCTCAGATCGAGCCAGAAGAGGATGTCGAGGCGACGAATGACACAGCAGAACAGTCACGGCAGCAGGGCCCAAAGGAAGAGATAGAGGCTACAGGAGAACCTTCAAGGCCTACACCTACCACAACCCCAACTAAAACGTCACAACAGAGAACACCTCTCTCGTCACTGCGTAAACGCAAGTCTTTCCCATCATCATTTACGTCTCTTTCTCCGGACCCAGCCGTCTCTGCGCTTCAGAAACAACATACGGCTCTGCAGGCGCGGCTCTCTGCTCTCCGCGCGGAGCTCGATACCACACAGCAGGCTTTGCGGATTGAATCATCCTCTCGGGACGAGGAGTTGGAAGCGCTGATACTAAAATGGAGAGCGGCGAGTCAAGATGCAGCAGAAGAACTTTTTGCATCCGCGAGAGACAAAGTATTCCGCATGGGCGGGGTACGTGCCTGGAAGGAGAGGGCAAAGAAGAGCAGGGAGAGATGGGATGATGGGGAAGGGAGCCTAGACAACTGGGGCCATGATCTTGATGAGAATGAACGGGAGAGGAGGAAAGCGGAGATGCTTGATTCCCTCGACATCGACATCGATTCCAAGGTGGAGCGCGATGGAGGGAGAGAGGACGAGGAGGACGATAATGATGAAGAGGTGTGTTATCTTTCTTCTGCAGTCCTAATTATTTTTGTCGACATGCATTCTGCGGACTACGCGGTCTGGCGGCCATGCTGAGATGTTTTTATCTGTGATGCGCAGTCATTCACGATGGACATGATGCTGAAAAGCATGAATATCGACTTGGACACGATCGGGTTCGACAAGGTCAACCAGAGATGGATCAAGGATTGAGCTGTATCAATACGTACCAATGTGTCATTGGCCATGCCACTTGACGAAGTGGACGGCAATGTATACATACTACGACACTTGCGAGCAGTGTTCTGCAGCGGCATGATTGATGACCGTGCTCGCGTGTCTTCTTGCAGCACGAGGAAGCAATCAAATAAGGATAAGGTGCGTTATCATCCTGATTCTGTGCTCGTGAGGGGGAAGGGATAGTCACGAGGGTTGAAGTTGACTCTCCATCAGATTTGCCCACCCAGCACTTTCGAGTGCAACTTAGTAGTATCACCGTTATCAACAGTTCCGCTGCATTTTTGCTTTCCCTTTTCTGGCTCCTGGAGCCCCTGATCGGGCCGCATGACAAGTAAGCCGTTCAAGGTGGTACTGCGTCTTGCCTGCTTGACTATCTCTGGCGCGTTACATTGCTCCATCGTGGAGTCGGGATGTCACCTAATTACCTTATCTCGACTTCTGGAACTACCATCAGAACGCCCACTGGATGGGTGGCCATCCGCTCTCGCATTCTGCAAAACTAACTCATCTGTCTATTATACAGGCCAGCGCTATATTATTTTTCTGCTGTTATTCACTATGATTTGCCGGGATCGCAAGGCAGCTATTCCTATAGAGATGTCATCCGTTGGATGTGTCATGAGGCTTCCCGCTAGTTCACGCGATAAGGCTAACCAGGCCCTGGTGTCTCCCGATTGTTTAGATCGAACCTCTAATTCGATCTCAACCGGGGAACGTTGCGTTGTACCCCCAAGTTAATAATTTCCACCCAGCTGGGCTAGCAGGGACAAAGCCATTGTTACGGGTTCCTACTGCAAGTGATCTGCTGGACGCTTTGAACGTTATCTATCTGCTTAAGCCCGAAATGGACATCCCGTCCTCGCGCCGGACTGCCATGTAATAATACTGTAGCTATGGTTTCCATAAACACCTATGAATATGAACGCTAATGCCGAATTTGACGAACAGAAGGCTGCCCCTTCGGTCGTAGTTACCATCCTAAATGATATTTGGCACGGAAAAGGCCTGACGCTGGACCATTCGTCGGGATTCTCGAGTATGGCCTCTGTAGGACTTGGGACTCTTCTGATCCTGGAGGAGTCGCATGTCAAAAGGCACAGGACAGCTTCTTATATTCGGAATCTCGTATTTGTCCAAATGACCAACAATTATCGACCCTCGAAACGTCTCTTGCGTCGACGAAACGGTAAAGTATCCCGTTGTCTCTATCCTGCGGGACCAATAAGGATGTCATCCAGGAGGAACCAGTCGCCCTAAGAATATGATTCGAAAGAATACTACTATCCTTTCGCTACTACAAGTACTCGAAATTTCTATGCATAGTTAGGCTTTTCTGCAGGAACTTGGTCTAGGGAAGCTTCCGCCACCGTTGACCAGCCGCGTCGACGCAAGGAGTTTCTCTACAGTGTGTATACATAGAACGAGAGACACGGTACGGACGGCAATGTCACACTCTAGTTCCTGAACTCATCAGGCCTTGTGAAATATAGTTATGTGAAGATTCTTGCTAGCGTGGCTCTCTACCCTAAAGCTTATTCACATTCTTTCGCGTGCTCGTGCCCCTTCTCATCTCATAGTCCTAGCCCTATCTCGGAATGGTCATTGTCCTTCGGATGACCAGCCGGGTCTTACGGCTTGCTCGCATTTTCTGCTGCTGCACCAAAGACAATACATATTGTAGATCCTTTCTGTTCTTGACATGATGCTATCTCTCCCCCGAGGCTTGTCTACTGTATCTATGAGCGGATCGTAGCGCGTTGCCAAGGGTCGATCTCCCATGCTGCTCCTGTCATCCATGTCGAAGTGACTACCATGGGGAAGATCACCAAACCTCTACTGCATCCCCAAACGGGAAAAGAAGCTACTGTCAAGGTAACATCAGTGATCCGTGCAAGCCTGTAAGCAAACCGTTACATGTTATGATGAAGCCATTCTGAACTGCTGCCACATTCCAAGGAGGTAGCCTAGACCGTAACCGTCCGGCTGAGCAGTATAACGCTCCATTCATATAGGAGCACAATCCCCCCCTGAATTTTAATAAGAATGGTGTCTGCCTCTGTCTTTTCAGACGCGTTGTAATAGTTATCCTTCCTTCTGTTCGAGTCGTTCCTTCAGCCATGATGCGTTTTCTCTCTCTCGCTATATTGCTGGCCTCGAACTGGCTGGCTAATGCAGTAGTCCTTCCTTCTACAGTCGAGAGATCAGTCAACAGTCTTGAGACTCGTGATGATCCTACGGGCTATCGTTCAGTGGCATATTTCGTAAACTGGGTATGCAGTTACTTTTTCTGATATCATTTTCATCTATTCTTCGTCATAGAAGTCTCCATGAGACTCTTCATAGTCCCATTTACTTACTATAATATTTGCTGCATATGCATTAGGCCATCTACGGCCGCAACTTCCAACCTCAGAACCTCACCGCGGACCAATACACGCACATTCTCTATGCGTTTGCCAACGTCCACGCGGACACCGGCGAAGTCTACCTTTCAGACACCTATGCAGACATCGAGAAGCACTACCCGACTGACTCCTGGAACGACAATGGTACCAACGTCTACGGCTGCGTTAAGCAGTTCTACTTGATTAAGCAGAAGAACCGCAAGCTAAAGACCCTCCTTTCCATTGGCGGATGGACTTATTCGGAGAATTTTGGCGCCTGGACCAGTACGGATTCTGGACGTTCGGAATTTGCTTCTTCAGCCGTGCAGTTGTTGCAGGATCTGGGATTTGATGGTCTGGACATTGATTGGGAGGTAAGTGTTTCTCTATATCCTGCAGATAGGCTCTTAGAATGTATGTCACTGACTAGAATTAGTATCCTGCCAATTCGTCACAGGCAAGTGATATGGTAGAGCTGTTGAAGACAGTCAGATCGGTGAGTTTATGTGATGTTGTAATTGCTGTCTGGTAAAATCTACGGCGCTAAGTAATATTCGCCGCAGGCTTTGGACGACTATGCCGATAAGAACACTCCAGGACAGCACTATTACCTTACTGTCGCCTCCCCAGCTGGTTAGTCTACCCCATATCTATCTCCCGTACTTGCTGGAGAAGGTATTCCTGAATATGTGCCCTAACCATAATGTTGTATAGGCCCGTCAAATTACGAAGTCCTAGATATGGCCGGCATGGATCAATACCTGGACTTCTGGAATTTGATGGCGTATGATTACGCCGGAAGCTGGGACACTATTTCCGGACATAACGCGAATTTGTACAACTCGACATCCGATCCGGCTAGCACGCCCTTCAACACGGATCAAGCCATTTCCTATTACACTTCCCATGGAGTTGCAGCTAACAAGATCGTCATGGGTATGCCCCTCTACGGACGATCGTTTACCAACACCGACGGACCCGGAACCAACTTCAGCGGCGTCGGCAGTGGTAGCTGGGAAGATGGTGTCTGGGATTACAAGGCCCTTCCGCAGAGCGGTGCGCAGGTGTACACTCTCGACCAGCCGGTGGCATCGTACAGTTACGACTCATCCCAGCGAATCATGATCAGCTACGACACGCCGGATATTGCAAGTACTAAGGCAGCATATATCAAATCCAAGGGCCTTGGAGGTGGTATGTGGTGGGAGAGTAGTAGCGATAAGACAGGCGATGAGAGTTTGGTCGCAACTGTATGCATCCTCCTAACTGTTTTATTCAACGGTGTGTCAAGCAACGGAAAGAATGCTAATAATCATCACAGGTGGTCAACGCCTTTGGCGGTATCAGCGCTCTCGACCAGACCGAAAATGAACTCAGCTACCCAGCTTCCGAGTACGATAACTTGCGGAACGGCATGCCGTCGTCATAGACTCATTTCCTTTTTGAGTACATATTATCGATCATTCGCAGAGGTATGCATGCATAAGTATATATATCAGTGCATATCAGGTATTTTCGAGGCCCCAAAAACCACCTTCGTTTTGGTGACGGGAATGCCCTGGTGATGTATTGTGATGATTCCCATTGCTGATTCCAGTAACCGGGTCTACAGTATCGTTCTGACCTCATTAGAAGTGTACTCAAATGAAAATTTTAATTATTCTCTTGCCAAGGTGAAAACTATAAACCGCTAGAAAAAAAGAACTTACCAGTGGTAGCAGGTCTAGGGGTAAGTGATGGATAAGTCGATTGATTAGTGTGTCGAAGAATTAAGTATATTGCGGAGTTGGTGTACATGACAGAACTTTGCCTGTGTACACATCGACTGTTTGTGGATAGTGATTTCAGTAAGCAGACACAAAAGATACAGTCTATCTCTCACTTCGACAAAAGATTCCTGCGATATATCCCACGTGATGTATATATACACCGCTGGTGATCTGACAAGTGGTGCTGGCCTTGCTTTGCCAAGGCCACCAAGCCGGACAGTGCGAAGACGGCGCGGCCACCGCGATGAAGGATGAGGCCGGGGTTTCGACAGCTCAGCGCCCGGACTGGTGCCAGGGAAGAAAATGAGAAGCGTAGGCTGTGGACACCCTCGATGATGGACGTTCAGATTACTGATTTGATCTAACTGAAGCAGGCAAAGACGCGCCCAACTGGGGCGTCTCGCAGGACGCGAGAATCGAGATGGGCGTTGACGAATCCAGATCTTTCACAGAGCTCAGATGTCAAAAACAAGCTTGTGTCTTTTTTTTTTTACTTTTTTTGCTTTGTGTTTGTATCGTGTTCGACCGCCCATGTAAGATTTCGATGTGATAGCGAGAGCAGACGATGGACGATCGACTTCATCCGTTCTTCTACCGCAGCCGCAGCTTCCAGGAACCGGGGGCTTCTGCGCCGCCTGGGCCTGCAGACTTATCCGACCCATCAGCGCTGCTAGGTCTCCTCAACGGCCAGACCGAACTGCTACTGGCACAGAAGCGCGAGCTGGAGCTTCTCAAGAGCTCAACACAACATTCGCCACAGCCGCCATTGCGGCGGATGTCTACAGTGTCAGCACTGCAGCCTCAATCGAATCCTGTGTCCGTGGAAGAAGAGCAGAAGCGCATTTGGCAGGAGGAGATTTTGCCGTGTCGGGATGAGCAGTTGCTCCGGTCCTTTATATGGCGTAAAGGCTTAACGTTGGAGGACCTGCTGAGTCCAAACCGACCATGGAATACGTGGTCCTACCATGCGGCCTATCCAAACCTATCCATTCCTTTCGAGTGTCTCGTTGAATGAGGCTTCAAAATCGCAAGTCCTCTGCGAGGATTTTAATGAGCGCGGGCTAGTGTCGCGATGGCAGTCGACTGAAGGCATATTGAACCATGCTTCTATGTGGTCAGCCATCGGAACATGCCCCGATGAGAAGAATCCCGACTCTGAGCTAACCGTTAATGCCTCTGATGCATTTTCGCGTATACTCCGGATAGTTGATCTATCGCCTATTGTAACTTCAGTCCTGCTGGGTTCGACGCCCAGGTAAGTGTCACGGGATGTTTTTGTTTCGACATCCTAATTAACCTACTACGCAGAGTAAATCTCTCGAAGATTGCACTCTTCTTAGAGAGATATCTCAGCTTCTCAAACTATGGAAAGGCCAGTTTGTTCGGGATCCGCAGTAAAGTATGGCAGTTCCGGACCCGACTTCAGAGGCAGAGCAGACACAATTGCTAACAGTTCATTCTAGACTGCCAATTCCTATCTCTTCGAATATCACCTAGCTTTCTACTTCGTCCCGCAGACAGCAATGGATAGGGAGCTTGTTGTGAAGGACTTTCGTGGGCTAAGACGCTCTGCTGCGTTCGGGCCGGCCCTGAACAAACGCAATCGGTACATCTACGAAGAACAACTATCATTCATCCTGGTGGGAGTGGGGAATGACGTCTATACGTGCTATCAGCTTGCCGAAAAGTACTTTGCTGGTCCTTATATCACCGGCACTGGACGAAGCACGCTCTTTGTTAACCCCGACGGACGCAGGCTGGGTAGTTGGACGCCGGCATCCATTTTCCTCTCGTGGATTATGGTCGCCATGCACCATGTGCAACTGCGGTGGCAGATGGCTATCGATGCCGTGGATGCACAGATCGACTCGCCTTCGCAGATCATCTTTTCCGAAGAAAACCCAGATTTATTGTCGGATGATCCGCAATTCTCGCGCTCAAAGACTTACTTCTGGGCACTTCAAGCGTATAAAATGTTTGACGAGGCATTAACAGCGACGATAGACACTTGGTTTGATTTCCGGCAAAACTCTCTACACTGTCTCAATGACGGGCGTATGCCTGCGAAAGACTGGGAGGATTCCATCAGATCTATCGACCATGCGGTTGAGAAGCTCCAGGAGAAGCTTCTATGGATAAGAAAGAAGAGCATCGAGGTCAGAGACTTGCGCGACGGCCTATTTGGTGCTTCTTCCCTCTTCGACAGCCGCACAACAGTCCGGCAGGGTGATAATATCCGGCTGTTGACCTACATCACGTTGCTGTTCCTCCCACTTTCTTTCTGTACTAGCATCTTCGGCATGCAGACACTGATCCCTCACACTCTTCCTATGAGTGCGTTTGCGATCACTATGCCTTCGATCACCGTCTTCACGGTCCTACTAGTTTTCAACCTGCAGACCATCATGGACGCGTTTGAGAAGTTTGGGTCCGATATCACTCGGAGCATGCGCGAGCTTATGAAGAGCCACAACCGACAGGATTGGAGAGATACTGCGAACGCACTCCATGTGGACCGGATAGCTCGCCAACCCCCCGTCAAGAGGACGAAGCCCCAGAGTAGCCACTGGGTGTACGCGCTTTTCGTACTCGAAGCGATTACCGTTTCGTTTCCGGTTTCCGAGATCGAGAATGCCTATCGCAGGATCCGATCTCTGTTCAGTCAGCCGTCCGCAGATCCGTACCTGTTGCAAGAAACTGCCGGTATACCAGAAGGCGAAGAGGCTGCCACGCTGTCGAGAGCCCAGAAAGTGAAGTACGCCAAAGAGGCCGAGAAGAGACGAAATAAACAGTCGTCTATACGCCATTTCCATCCGTTGAAGCTATTTGTCCGACTGATTGTCCATCTGTCCAAAATAGCCGTGGCAACTATGCGGACAATTCTTTTAGTCATCTGGATCCCACTGGTCATGTTAGAGTATGGTCTTCTTCTCTGCTGGTTCTTCATATCGCCTCCGACTTCTTTATTCGGAAACCCGGAGGAAGACGAAGAGACCTTTGTGGGAGAGGACGGTAAGCGGGGGAATGACTCCCGCCGGCCAGCGAGACCGACAATAAGCATCTGGAGTCTCGCACCCCAGGATCCTCAAAATCCCACCGTCACAATCTTCATCCTCCCTTTCCGCTGGCTTGGATTTGCTTTCGCACAACCGAAGAAGGCACCACGACGACAATTGACCGAAGAAGAGGACCTGTATGCCAAACGAGTTAGAACACTTTCTGACTTTACTCGACATACACGCTCTGGTCTGAACAAGCTGGCCGATACAAAGACCGAGGAGGACCCCTTGTCGCAGCAAGCCTCGGACAAGTCCTCGCAAGTGACGCAGCCGCAGATACCGTCGCAAATGCAGTCCGCACCCGGGACAGCATTCGAGATGAACCATACTTCTCGAAGGCAGTCCTTACGGCGCTGGCACAGGGCACAGCGACACCAGGCTAGTCGATTGAACGAAGGATTGAACCCAGCCGACACCGCAATGAACATTGACTGTTAATGTCAAATACCATGATTTCTTTCCTGTGATGCTGCTTGCGGCATGGAATAATGAAACTGATGATGCCATGATTTACGACAAGCAGTGCAGATAAACAGATACATACAGTACGCACTTACATGCCGTGAATAGCGAAGGAACTGCCCGGTCAGTTTCGGTATGTACTGTACACAGTGTTAGGAGGTCAAAACTTAGAAAGCTGGACTTTATGTGGCAAGATCAATAAACGTTAGAACATTAGATATTGCATATATTTTATGGGAAAATCAAACCTATGCTTACTTTCACTGATTTAAGTGCCGTTTCGACAGATAATGTAAATCGGATACTTCAGCACCGGCGGATCAGGCTCTCTCACCGCCCGCGATAAGATCAGCGGCACTTTTTTCTCACTCGAAATTTTGGTTCTTCTCCAAACGGGCTGGCAGTTGTCATTGCAGTTGGCCACTGTCACATACAAAATTATTTTCTTTTAATCTCTCATTATCACAGACACTCCTACTTTACCGGTGTCTGTAAGAAAAAAAGAAAGAAAAAACTCCAGAGATGCTGAGCTGAGGACATTTTCTCCACGAATCCCCATCCACCACGCCTGCCTCAGCGACGAGGCAAAACCGCTGAGCGCTTCGACACGCCAGATACCTCCCCTCCCCGCCGGTATCTGTGCCTTCTACAAAATAACTAAACACCCTTCTACAACATACCACAATGGACGCTCAAGCCTACCTCATGCGCCTTGGCTGGGACGGCCCCGGTAACCCTCTGAACCCGAACCGCCGACCTGGTCCTCACGGCGGACTGGGCCTGACGCGCCCCATTCTCGTCGCACGGAAATCGAACAAAGATGGCGTGGGTCGGAAAACGACCAAAGACCACTCGAACCAGTGGTGGCTGCGTGGATTTGAGGAAGCATTGCGCGGCGTCGGGGACGATGGAACTGCCAACGAGTCCGGGGTTGGACAGCAGGGCAGTTCGCTCATTCGGAATGGAAGTGAGCTTTATAAGTTCTTTGTCAGAGGGGAGGGTCTGAAGGGGACTATTGAAGAGAATGCGAATAGGTTGAAGGAAGAGAAGAAGAAGGAGAAGAAGAAGACGAGTGAAGATTCTTCTGAGGAAAAGAAAAAGTCGAAATCGAAGAGGAAGCGTGACGACGACGAGGATGAAGATCCAAAGCAGGCGCGGGCTCTCAGGAAGGAAGAGAGAAGGAAGAAGAGAAAGATGAAGGAGGATGCTGAATCGACCCGGAATCAGGATGCGACATCATCTATCGAGACCAAGGAGGAGCGACGGGAGCGAAAGAAGCGCGAGAAGAAGGAGAAGAAAGACAAAAAGGAGAAGAAGCTCTCCAGGGAAGACAAAGAAGATGATGACCGGACAGGGCCATCGCGCGAGGAGCGGAAGAAGGATAAGAAACGAAAGAAGGACATAACAACAGCGGAGCAGGATTATCCTACACCACTTTCGACAGAAGAATCAAGCGCAGATGGTTCAGCAGACGATGAGAAAGCATCATCTAAGCTGAAGAAAGAGAAGAAAGAGTCAAAGGAGAAAAACAAGAAGGACAAGAAGGAGAAAAAGGAAAAGAAGCGGTCCAAGACCGACAGCGCCGGCGACGAGGTGAAAAAGGAGAAATCAAAAAAGCGCAAGAAAGAAGAAAAGTCTTCGAATTAAGTTTGATGTCACGGCAGGATTTCCAATGCACTTGTCTAGACATCCAATCTATATATACGCTACATCGCACTGGACTGGCCGTACATGGATAGAAATTTAGATACCCCATTTTCAGCAACTTCCTAGAAAAGCATATTTCTTTTCATTCAATCATTCGCATGAAACACGAAACATAATTCGTTTTATGTAGAACGTAACTCAGCCAAAGAAAAAGCATTACTCCTCCGTCGGGAGCTTCCCAGGCTTATTCGAAAGTATCCACGGCCGTCTCTGCCAGAAATCATCCTTGATGATATCAACATGATCAACAACCACTCTCGCTTTCCGTCGTAGCTTCCTGATTTTCTCCTGCTGAGTCTTTGAAATATCTTTCTGTAGAGCCGAGCTGGCGTCTTCCTGTTTCGGTTCATTTGTCGCTTCTGCAGAATTCGGATCTTCTAATTCGTACTGCGGTTCGGAAGGAGTCAGGGATCTAGTGCTTATTTCTTTCTGTTGCATATTTGATAGACATACCTGGCGATAGACGACGCTTCCTTTCTTATATATTTCCGGCTCGTTGTTATAGTTGATTCCGAATCGTGTGAACAGGATCTCGTTCTTGTCAGATGATACGGTGCCCTGCGAGAGATGTTAGTTTTATTTTATTTCAGTTTTTCTTGTGCCATTTACGACAGGACATAAGAGATATTTAAGCTCATAGTAGAATGAGGAAATAAGCGACAAAGCATTCATACCTTCAATTCCCTCTCTGCATCTGTGTTGGTCATCCCACCTTTCTGAACCATGGTCCAGAAAGTGGTATTATAAAGATTGTTGATGTGGCCTGTCTCTCCCAATGCTCATGAGTATAGGTCCTTTGTAAAACAACTCTCGATAATAAAAAAGACAAAGTATCAACAAGAGCTCATCCTGTCGGCATCAGACGTACAATCAACCTGTCTCCAGCTCATATAATCTCTCAGATTGGCCGTAGTCGGATACAGAACAGCCCTCCCATCGAAACTCGGCAGTGACGATGGTTCAAGAGGGGTATCAGGGAAGAAAGTGGGCCACTTGAAAATATAGTGCGCCGTAAAGGTCGATACGATGGTCGTGACGAGTTTTCTAGTAGGATACTGATTAGAATCCATGGAGCAATTTGAAAAGAGGAAATAGCTGAGCCTTACCCGCATCTCCTCTCGAATAATTGACACGTCGGATGGAATACAAAGCTGGCAGGAAATTAGCAATGGATATATCCAGCATCTAAGATCTAGACGTAAAATTCCAGTTCTCCATACCTGTACTCGTCACTAACACCATAGGCAATAACCAGATCCGTAAGGTCTTTCATGACCTCTACAGCAGCAGCATTCATGAGGTCCAGTGCCCGGCGATCGTTGGGTTTTCGAAAGCCATATTTATCGGATAGCCTGTGGTGGGATAGTCAGATGGGTTGGAATTTAGATTCTGAGCGCGCAGCAATGCAAAAAGAAATAAATAAACCAACACGAAAGGAACATTCACACAGACCATGATCGAACTCAAGAACCCAGATGAATGTTAATCCGCTATATCAATGACTGGCAAAATACTTGATAAGCAGTCAAGATACGAAACAGAAACTCTAGGTATGAGGGGCAACGGATCTCAAAAAACCGAAAATGAAAATCACCAGCAAAACGCAAGCTTACAACAAGAGAAAAATTCCTCAAAAGGACCAGAAAGTTCAATGAACCAAAAAAAAGGGAAACTGACTTATGGAATCCCCTCCCATCAATTCTGACGACTATCCAAGCATTCGGAAGTAACGCGTCCGGCTGCTCGAACTGCTTGACGTACTCATATCTGGATGAAAATCGTCAGCAAAATCCATCACGGAAATAGCCCCGAGAATTGTGACTTCAAGATAGTGTGATATACTTCGAATTAGCCATGTCTGTTTACTGATTTCTATGCATCGTTGAATGACATAGAGGATTGGATGCAGGCTCTGTAGAGTATGCGATGCGATTTGATGCTAGGTGGATGTGGCTAGTGACTCGCGCGGGATTCATGGTGGAATAAGTATCCTCGCTTCCCACCTCGGCGCCACCATAGATGCATTATATAGATGTCAAACGCACCAAAGCTAAGTGGACATCTCCTGCAAATTAATTTTATCCGATGACCGAAGACGAAAGAGTCTACTCGTGTAATGTGTAAGATATTCGGTTCATAAAGAAGCCACACCAGCACGTCGTATTCCTAAGCGCGGGGTGAACAAGGAGTTGAAATTACGAATCTTTTCTGACGATGAAGACTCATACGATGTGGAACAGCCGTATCCTATGTTCCCTACGAGGCTTAAAGAAGCTTGGCAGGAAATGACAACCCGAATTCGTTTCCATGCAACCGTGCTAAATGCTAATTGCCTGACAAAGGACACTAAGAACACCGGCAAACAAATGCTGATCGAGACTCCTACAGATGCAAAGTACCGAGTTAGGCAGACGATCCTCGCCCACCTACGCAGATGTCGACAGCTCCTCGACATATGTCTCATCACCCGTCTCTCCCGTCTTCTCACCCTCCTCGCCGACAGACTTTTCGGGTTTCTTGGACTTTCTGCTAAAAAAGCCCAGGCTGCTCCTGGAAGACTTGTCGACTGAATGGATGCTAGAGGATATGCTGTCAACGCTCTTCCCAAGCTGGGCCTCGCTGCCAGCATCCTCATCAATGTCACCTTGAGAGGTATCGCCCTTCTTCGAGAAGAGACCGGAGCGGTCTTTCCACGAGAGATTGAACTTGCTGGAGCTGCTTTTCCGCGTGATCTTCTGGATAAAGGATTCTTTCGAATTCGTCGTATCAGACGGAGTCCCCGATGGCGTGCGCTCAAGGGACTCGTAAGATTCAGTCGCGGAGTTGGCTATTGATCGGCCATCTCTCGAACGGCGAGGTTCTGAAGGAGATCCATCATCCGGGTTGAAATCGACAGGTACCTCTGGAGCAGGATCCTTGTCCTTTTCTTTATCCGACCTTTTGCTGAAGAGTGTTTTGAAGGACGGCGCCGCTGGGTTCAGCTTCGGAGTGACCGGTCTATGAGAGGATGACGGTCGAGTCCCAATAGGCGCCTGCAAAGGACGATGTTTGTCAAAAGAGCTCTGTAAGAAATCGGGTTCCCCTGTGAGACTCAGGGGTAGCTGACTCGAAGAACCATACTGAGTTGAAGGTCTCCGAGACTGTGTCCTCGACCACGTCGTAGGTGATGCCCATCCGAAACCGAGAGGGCTTATTCTGTGACTGACTTTCTCCGTAGTGGGCCAGCCAAAATGTCTATTATCTGTTGATGGGTGCGGGAACTGGTTGTCGAACGAGAATGTGGAGGATGGTCGAGGGGATAAGGACCCGCGTCGCACAGTTCCAAGAATAGAGGACGGGTCAATTGGATCGTGAGTGGGACTGAATTGGTTGTATCCAGTGTTGGCATCAGAGCGTTCACCTGCTCCTAGTTTGCCGGAGGAAGAGAAGAGATTCGTGAACGCAGCCCGGCGGGAAGGCAGATAGTCTGACGAACTGTCCGCGGTAACGTTTGCCGTGCTACTCCGGGGAAGCAGAGAGATTGGATTCGGCCAGTTACCTGTGTAGCTCAATCTGCGGCGTCTAGACCCGATAGGATCTATCTCATCCACGTCTCGGGGGAACGACTGACTTTGACCTTGTTTCAGACTCCCAAGTGCAGGTGGCCCATCTGCCAACGTCTTTCCACGCTGGCGATGGAACCCGAACAACCCGGAGAGCCTACGCGAAGCGCTCTGCACGCCAGCATGAGGCCCGTCCTCAGCATCTGTGCTGGGTTGACCATCGTTCTCATGGGAGCCATCCAGGTTTTCATGTGAACTAGGGAACATTACCGCAGGCTTATCCTCTGTAGAACCCGACGAAGGAGATCTTCTATGCGTATCCTCTAAGTGAGATCCGACGGGCTCAATGTCCGGGAAACGGGGATGCTTTGGTTCACCGAGAAGTTCTGGGGACTCTTCATCCCCTAGAAGATCCGATGGCAGCAAGGCATCGGCACGAGGGCTCATGGGTGGGTTGCTAAGCGATATATCTGAATCTGCACGAACGGTATCCGACTGGTCAGTCAGACCAGAGATAGTCATTCCATTGTTGATGTTGAAGAATGCAGAGCTGGGAGGGAAGGTAGGCGAGCTCGTCGTGGGAGGATGGTAATTGACTGCGCTCGAAAAAGATGGATCGAGGGCCGGGAAGGTCACCGGAGATGAAACATTGCTCTTAAGCGAACTGCGATGGCGTGGACGACGCATAGCAGCAGCGTGGGACATATCTAATTCCAGTGGCGGCAAAGGAGCGAAAGGACCGGAGCCGTTAGGTCGTTGGCTTGTCAGCCATTTCAGGCGCTCCTGGGCTTCCTGATATTGTTGCTGGGCCTTGGAGGGGTCAGCAGAGCTCCTTACGGAAGTGAAAGAATCGAAGTCTTACCTGAGCATGGAGGCTGACCAGAGCGGCGTATCGCGCATGAAGATTGCCCAGCCTGATCTCCCATTGTCGTGCGCGTTCAGTGTCGATGCGGTCCAATTCCTTTCCGTCCTCACTATCACCACCCTGGAGCTTCTTTCTCTCTTCCTCTAGCTTCTTAATCCGACCACCCTTCTCCTGTATCTCGTCGTCGAGTCCCTTCATTTCCGTCTGCTCGTTGGAGATCTTTCCCCGAATTTCAGAAGCCCGTTTAGCAGCTGCCTCTTCCACACGAGACTTGTCTTCCCTAGCACGGTTGATATCCTTGCCCATTTGCACCATCTGTTCTTGCCACCTGACGATGTCGTCCTTGCGTTTCTTGCGCTCCGCTTCTTTCTGCTGCAATAACCGCTCACGCTTGGTCTTTTCGCTCTGGACGGTGCGGTTTACGCTCTCGAGTTTGTTGACGTGCTTCTTGAGATCACCACTAGCCTCATCCTTCTCTTTCACCCGCTGTTTCAACTCGTCCCTCTGCCTTTCAAGTTCTTTCAATGACGCCGTGTGTTCCTCTTCCTCGTCGGCAATCTGTTTTTCTAGATTTTCGTTCTCATGCTGTAGAGTCTTCAGCCGTTCCGCGAGCTGTTCAAGGGTCTCGTCGGTATCATCGTTTGCCGGGGTCCTCTGCAGGTCATCCGCTTGAACATGGGCCGTATCGGCGCTCGTAGCTGCGGGTGAGAGCTTCCGTCCACCAGCAATGCGTTTTGACTGTAGACCACCACTGTGTTCGCGTGACATAACGGGCGCAGAAGGTGCAGCCAAGGCCGCAGTCGATCTAGGGATCGCCGCTCGGATTGTCGGGCCTCCCGTAGTACCATTTTGTTCTCTCTGCGACAGAGGCACCGGCTTCGTGCGGACATGAAGGATGGCGCTCGCGGTCTGGAAATTCGCTGCGCTGACTGCAAAGACGCAAATGTGGTAAATATTTCCGGGTATCAGGTTCGATATCGTCACGACCGTCTCCGCTCTTTTGGTCTCTCCCGCTGCTTGCGGTCAGCTGCTGATGATTCCCATGCTATCTGAATTTTCGTGCTCTCACCTTTGGCCCCATTGATTTGAATGATGTGCTTGTGTATCGAGTTATGGAAATCGGGCTGTTTCCAGGCAATTCGTATCTCACGGGCGGAAATCTCTTCGAGCGTTACTTCCGGGGCCGGTGGGATATCCAGACCCAGCTTGTCGACGAGGACCTCATTCGAGGTCTGACAGACCTGCCAGGCCCGGTAGAGCAGCCTAAGATAGTAGGGTTAGCACGTCTGCTCCATGTCAAGTAGTCAAGTAGTCAAGTAGTCGAGCAGTCGAGCAACTCACCAGACCAGCGCCCACAGGATAGTAGCCGCCAGGAAAAGAGCCATGACACCTCGCACCCTCACACGCGGGACCACGCTGGGATAGGTGTCAAAGGACAGATACAGCGGCTCATACATCCCAGCGTCGAGGGTCCATCCGTCCAGGTGGATTGCAGCCAGGGTGAAGAGTGTTTGCGCCAGAGGAATGCGCTTCCTCCGCTCGGCTTTGGACTTGGTGCTTCTGGCTGTTGCGCCGCCAGAGAGAAGGAAAGGCTTGGCGGGCGGGCTTGTCGGTCACGGGACCAGCGGACTTTCTCTTTCTCCGGGCGGATCCGGGGCGGCCAGATCGACGTCACGTGCTAGCCCGTCTGGGCCTAGCGTGGTCCCGGCTGCCCCGCCGAGAATGGCAGTCGCCGAGGCAGGAAGGCGCGGAGGGCGTTGGGCGTTGAGGGAAGCGACGAACCCAACAGCTCCAAGTCAGTCGTCAACGCCGTCAGTCTCATATTGCGGGGAGTTCTAACTACTACTGTTGCCCATCCCCAACCATTCTTTGTGTTCTTTGTGACTCCTACTATTCTTCCTTGCTTCTATCTCTATCTATGGTCATCCTTCCAGCCTGGTTTTAACCCTGCTGGCTGTTTGGCTATGAGACAGCCGTCGATCTCCGTCCGATAGTGTCACATGCGCCCTTGTCGGCTGCCTCATCCACTTCCGCTCGTTTCCTCTACTACTAGATATCCTTCTGACCATCGATTCCGGGCGACATCTTTTCGATCAGATACTCTGTTGGTCCTGATTCCAGTGTGTTAACGGTGCCAACCGTTCGTCTGTCTCAGGATGCAGTACGTGCGGAGTATCAGTGGTTCCGTGTCCAAGACCTGGAACTCGATCAATCCAGCCACCTTGAGCGGAGCCATTGACGTGATAGTCATCGAGCAGGAAGATGGTAGGCAATATCACGATCTAAGCCACGTTGCTGGAATAGATAGGTACTGACCTGCGATAGGGACGTTAGCTTGTTCGCCGTTCCACGTTCGCTTCGGCAAGTTCTCGTTACTGCGGCCCTACGAGAAAAAGGTACGGTTGGATAGGTTGTCTTCTGGCCTTAGCATGGCTGACAACATTCTAAGGTCGAGTTCCGTGTCAATGGAGTCAGGCAAAATTATGCCATGAAATTGGGAGAAGGGGGAGAGGCCTTCTTCGTATTCGAAACAAAGGATGACGTACCCGAATCGTTGCAGACGTCCCCTCTGGTATCTCCCACAGGGAGTCCCAAGCCACAAGCTGGAGAACCATCCTCACTCCAGGAGCCGGAATTCCTGGACCTGGACAAATCAAGTACCAGTCTGGGTAAGATCGATTCGAAGAGGGCCCTCGGAATGCCTCCGCATCTATCGGGCAGTATGCGGGCGTCTACTGATATAGGTAAGTTTGTCCATGGGATGCATGCCTTTTTGATTTTTTGGCTAACCATTAGTAGGCCTGGTTACGCCTCCGTCAGCATCACCAGACGCCGCTGTTTCGGGTAGGACTCGTTCTACTACATTGGGGGAAGACGCTATTCAACCCACTAGGCGTGCGATGTCCGAGGATGTTCTTACGGCGACGACTTCCTTGCAAGATGCTAGCGTCCACGGAACCTTTCAGAGGGAAGAGGGCGCTGAGGAGGGCTCTCCTCGGTCCATCCGCTCCCAGAGTCCTCCGCCTTTGTCAGCCAAGGAGGCCTTTTCGCGAGCAATGGCCCTGTCAAAGAAACTATCGACGTCAAACATACCCACCCATGTCACGGAAACAGGTGATCTGATGCTCGACATGACCGGATACAAGAGCAGTGAGGAGGATGCCCTCCGAGCGGAGATCATTGCGCGCAAGATCCTTGCAGAGGAGCTGGAGGGGAACTATGATATTGGTGCTCTTATTGGGGCAGATGAGAAGGGCAACCTGTGGATCTACAGCAGCGAAGAAGCAAAAGAAGCGAGACAGGCGGCCACGCGTCAGGCCACTATGGGACCGTTCCGGTCGAGCGCGGGAATGAGCGATGACGCCGTGTCGGATCCAGGATATCACAGTGACAGTGATAGGAGCCTTACGGATCCTGCACCTACGACGAGACATCATCGTACCCAGTCGGACGTCCAGCCTGGATTTCCAACCCCCCCTCATACTCCCACACAGGACCCCTCTGCGGGGGAGCAAAATCGCAACTATGCAAAGACCTTACGTCTCACCAGCGATCAACTGAAGGCCCTGGATCTCAAGCCAGGTGCCAACCCCATATCATTCAGTGTCAACAAGGCTATCTGCCCTGCGACCATGTATCTCTGGAACTACAAGACACCAATCGTCATCTCCGATATTGATGGTACAATTACGAAGTGAGTGACTTGCGTTACAAAACCGCTTTCCCTTCTCTACTAACTGTTATTGGCAGGTCCGATGCCCTAGGGCACGTTTTGAACATGATCGGACGCGACTGGACCCATCTGGGTGTCGCAAAGTTGTACACCGATATTGTCAACAACGGGTACAACATCATGTATCTCACCAGTCGGTCCACCGGACAGGCAGATATAACACGAACCTATCTTAACGGCGTTTGCCAAGAAGGGTATCGACTGCCGAAAGGCCCTGTCATCATGAGCCCTGATCGGACAATTGCAGCGTTGAGACGTGAGATCTACCTGAGGAAGCCCGAAGTCTTCAAGATGGCCTGTCTCCGAGATATCCTCAGTTTGTTCCCGGGGAAACGGAATCCTTTCTATGCAGGATTCGGAAACCGACTCACGGACGCTTTGAGTTACCGATCTGTGAACATTCCGTCAAGCAGAATTTTCACTATCAACTCTAATGCAGAAGTTTCCCTCGACCTCCTCAGTTTAAACAAGTACAAGAGCAGTTATGTCACAATGAGAGAGCTGGTCGATCACTTCTTCCCTCCGGTCACCATGCTTGTCCAGGAAGGTGGGGAGGAATGTACAGATTTCACCTACTGGCGTGAACCTCCCCCCGAGCTCGAAGATTTCTCCTCAACGGACACTGAGGATGAGGAGGATGAGCTTGAGGAAGAAGAAGAGGACGAATACGAGGAAGAAGCAAGTGACATGGAAGATGAAGAACGGGCCGAGGATGGCGGTGAGAGTTACGTGTCGCGGCCATCTCTCGATGACTCCCAGTTTGCCGGATCGGTTGCAGATGAAGACGTTTATGACACAGATGCGGAAGAGGAATCGGAGGATGAAGACATGACTGGTGATGGCGGTGTTACGCTTAACACGTCTGTCAAGCATGCATCTGATGTTAACCTCCCTCTCCGCTAGCCTTTCCTACGTGGATTTATTTCCCACCAGACTTATACCCCAAGCAGTCTCAACTGTCTTCAATAGATGCGTGCCTGTGTCGGATTTGTACATGGCCGCGTGCTTCTAGTTTGGGTTTCGAGACACTGCTTACATTTCTGCATATTTCTGTCAACGCCTAGTATCAGGAAGTTGCCCTGATAATTGCATAGCCGGCGTTTACATACAATTATTTACACTGCCTGTTCCTGAATTTGGATTTGAATGCATCTTGTGAGCGTGACTGGTGTTTGGGTTCTGGATTATGAGCAACAATATGAACGGGCATGTATCATGTATAAATGAGGCCCTCCAAGAAAAAAAAGGACTAAATATGCACATTAAACACGTCAACTTCACCAATGATACATTATGACTCCAGGTGGTCTTAGATATTGTTCCTACCGATCAAAAGTTTATGAGCACCCTGGCGCTTGCCCTTCTTGTTTCAGTAGGTGAGCATCGCTGCTTTGAAGTCGCGCGATCAAGGTGAGGGTTAATCGAGCTCTTCATGATCTTGAAACGGCCAGAACCGATCAACTGAGATAAAGTCGTCTTCATCGTCTGCTGCAGCTAACCACTCTTTCTTAAGTTGGTGATTTTTTTCCACGACATCTTCGTATGATTCATGTCTAACCCATCCATCTTGGTCAAGATAGTCCAAGATAGATCGCCAATGCTCGAGTAAGATGGTTGCTGTGAACCAGTTATCCTCAATAAGCAAGAACTCCTCTGCTTCCTTCGGGTCGAAATGAACTGGGCATTGAATTTGCTCCTGGTTTCCGTCTACGAGCTGGCCCCAGTGAGTTGCAAGTCTAAGGAGTGCTCCTTTTAGCGTAATTATATTGCCGCTCCATTGCCGGCCAGCGCTGTCTACTGCATGCTGTCGGAGCAACAAAAGCGGGTAACGAAGTGCATCGAGATGAGCTTTGTTATCCCTACCATTGAGAACCATGTACAAATAGAATAGCGCCCTTCGTCGATGGAGTTCATTGGCGTGAGATTTCTCTTCTGGACTCAATGACGCATAATCTTCTGGAAGGCACGGTTTCTCAAGGCCTTTGGGAGGCTCGGAATCAGGATTTTCGAATAGTGGTGGGTTACCGGCGGTAAGCAATAATGGAAGGATAGACGAATGCTGCCAATCAACAATGCATGAAACTCCACAAGAGTCCGATATGAAAACGTTGGGCGGGTTAAGATCTGACCATTATCAGCGGCTAGGTCGAGTTAATTCTATTGAGACTTTACCTGGATGGCGCAAGGTAGGCTTGTTCAAGGAATTCTCACGGTCTCTGGGCAAGATATAAGGTGACAGAGAGATATACTGTTCTAGTAGGTCGATATAACCTGTAGGGGAGATGTCTCCTTTAAGGAAATTGTTATGAGGAAAGTCATTCTGTTGCGGTTTCCCGAATTTGCGAGTCCATTCTAATTCCCGTTGACCGACGGAACGAACATAGTCGCGAGGGTCTTTCCCTACGCACAGTTAGTAATTCCCAGTCCCTTTAACTATTCTGTAAACAGAGTACTGACAAGGTCCACGGTCCACTTCAAATAGTGCGCGTTTGCCTCGCCAGAACATGTAGTCTGCAGAAGGCCCAATGCAAAACCGGTTTTCATCATCACCCTCATATGCTCCATGTGGCGACGCATAAAGGTCGGCTCGGGCGTGTGAGGGTAGGCTGTCCCTATAGTATAAGCTGCCATAGGATCCGAAAGGAATGGAGAAAAGTTTTCGCTCGATTTCAACGTAACTCATTACCAAACGAACGCGTTCTTGAGGCGTAAGATCAAACCAACGCTCCTCCAACGGCCTCCCAGGGGCTTTCTGCATTATTATGTATTCAGTACCTACTGGGTTGTCGGATTTTGAAGAATAAGTATAAACCCGGGGGACTGGGATCCCTCTCGAATGTAAGAAATCCAGAGTCGCAACCTCACTTTCAGTCGTGAAAGTTTTTGGAACAGTAAGTAGATACGGGATTTTGGCTATAACCTCAAGTCCGTCTTCCATGGTAAGAAGAAAAACCCTATTGAAACCACCCTCCGCAAGCTTTCTTATATGAGTGACATTTTTCCGACCAACACTTCTAGCCGCGATGGTTTTGAGCGCTTCAACGTTGAATTCGACATATCGTTCTGCAAAACGGAGATTCTCATTGTAGAGATAGCGCCCAGATGTGTAAGAAAACAAATCTTGTCTGGGTGTCGAGTTCGCGGGAGTAACCGTGGTTGATAGACACCTTGAGGATGAGCTGGTTTGGAAAGAGCAGGTCCTCCGCCGGCGTATAAAGTGAGTTGATAATGAATTGAAGGACTTCTGGGGGGTGGGGAGGAGAAATAGATCTAACTGATGGGTAAAATGAAACAAGTGACAATTCTTTCGGACAGTAGCTCCCAGCATGGTGAGCACGACGAGCACTTTGCAGAGAGTTTATATTCGGGTGGACATCTCCACATCTCTGTAATCAACAAAATTGTCTAAATGGTATTCATTTCAAGAAGTTGGACGTCAACAGGCCCAGGACACGGTGCAAGTGAGCTAGTTAATGGAGGGAGTGTAGTTGACCGTAGGCTGAGTAGGTGTAAATGAGGTTGGTGAGGAGATCACCTGACTCACCCAGCTCACCCTGATAAAGCAGCAATGTGTGGGTGAGGCTAGAATGAGCAATTCGCAGATTTTTAAACGATATTATTTATTCCTATTCATTTATTATTATTATCTGTTATTATTATTATTATTGCGCGTGCAGAGAGATGTAGTTTCCCAAAGTGGAATAGCGCATTGACGGCGAGCTCTCTCCGACTTTCAGTGAACACCAGCTCTTTGATCCGAATAATAGCGCAGACTGTCCGGAGGAACACTAACATAGCAGGCCTTCAGTCTAAATCAGCGGAGGTATATTCCCTCATTGACGCACTTTCGCCGTCTCTCCTCTATTTACGCTGGACGAGACTCATTAACCCTTGCGCGCGTCGTCGCAGCGCCATGCGGTATCGATAACCTGTCGCTTCTCTGATATATTTGAGACCTCAATTCGGCACCTGCAGCTCCCTTTCTCTGCCCAAGATGGCTTCTCCCAGTCAAACACAAGGATCGGGTCCAGCGACACAACCGTTGACGCCGCCTGCTGACCCTCCAACCAACGCCACTTCACAAGCCAACGCGACAGCCTCATCTAGTCAGTCTATGGGCCAGCCAGCGCAGGTACCGGCAACTTCCCTACAGGATACGGGAAAATCGCGCCGGCCACGGGATGCGCGACTCATCCACATGTTGCTTGCATCCCAAGGAGTAACGGCATACCAGGAACGGGTCCCGCTCCAGCTCCTCGATTTCGCATACCGTTATACCTCGAGTGTGCTGCAAGATGCAGTCCACCTAGCTACCGAAGGATATGCAGGTGCCATCACGGCGCCGGGAGAATCGGGTTCTGGAGCGGCACCCCGTGCTGGCGCGGAGATCCAGTCCGTCTCTCTACCTGCACTGCGACTGAGCATCGCCTCCCGATTACACTATCAATTTCAACCGGCGCTACCGAAGGAGTTCCTCATGGACGTCGCAGCGGAGAGGAATCGGATCGCGCTTCCCGGCGCACAGAGAGGATATGATACAAATGCTACCGCAAATCGGCAGAACGCCTATTCGAGCGTCATGATGGGTGGAATGAGGCTGCCACCTGAGAGGTTCTGTCTGTCGGGCACGGGATGGAACTTGAAGGATTCATGGGAAAGCGAAGGAGAAGAGGAGGTGGAAGAAGCAACAGCGGCCCAGAACGCGGAAGCGAATGCTGCTGAGAGAGAGGGAGAAGAGGGTGAAGGGGAAGACGAAGGCGATGGCAAGATGGAGGACATTTTCGGAGAAGACACGGCCATGGGCGAAGGTGGAGAGGAAGATAAGACCATGACGGACGTTTGATTTCCGTTTAGAACATCTTCTTTTGGCGCACATCCAAACCTCCCCGGGTCTTTTTTTCTTCTTCGAACGAGCACACTTGGACTGATCGGGACTGGATTGCTGGGTTATGAATTGAAACCAGAAGCAGGAACAGTGGAGTTTGAGGCGCAAGGCAGGATGTACCTACCCATCATGTATAAGGATATATCTTTTTTTTTGAGGGAGAAGGAACTATTTTCTCAATGGAAGGGGGTTTATTTGATACCTTTTTAGGCATGACACCAAAATATTTAAGCCGGTGGAGGTGACTATAGTGTACATAGATAATCCCAGCAACAGACAAAGTTGGGAGAGCACACACAACTCCATACACCTGAAGTAGAAGTAAAGAAATAACGCCACTGAACCCCATCGTTCCATGCAAGGTCGTCCATCCCGCCGTCCACATACGTCCACATATATACACCGTGCACCAGGCGTGTTGGTGCTCGGTCTGACACATAGCAGCTCGACATTGAGAGCCAAACATGGCCCCTGAGGACCAGGACGTCCATGTCTCGAAGCGAGAAGACATTGGTCGACAGTGGCAGCTTGTAGAGCCATGACCAGCTCCTCCCTGACGAACCATCCGTTTACGTATGCCTTGAACTTCTGCGTTCAACCAGCATACTTCCCCCCGACCGAAGCAACAAAGACGAGTCTCGCGATCAATCATCTCATCTCTTCTGCTGCAATTCCTGCTCTCTCAACTTCCTCCTCCTTTCCTGATCCTCCCTCATCATCTGAATGACCTCTAGACGTCTCTTCTCGACCGCAGCCAGCTCCTGCTCTTTCTCACGACGTCGTTCCTCCCTTTTCAAGAACCACTCTTCTCTCGCGCGATCTTCCTCTTCAGGCTTCGCGTGCTCGAGCATGCAGGCGTTCATGGCGAGGCGTTGTTGGCGACAGACCCATGTTGCAGTCACGGTGCGGTTGACGGCGCACTGGGCGAATTCTGCGGAAGTATAGTTAGCAAGCTTTGTTCGATTGGAAAGAAAAAACAAAAAAGCGGCAATGTCTATACCCTTGATTTCCTTCGCGCAGTATCCCCTCACTCGCTTATGGTACAGCTCTTTGACTTGTTGTTCCTGCGCCGCGGAGAGGGGGACGGGGTTGCGGAGATTGAGTTGCGGTCCTGGGGCATTAGGGGTCGTGCCCTGCGATGCTGAAGCGGTAGCCATTGTGAGAGGTAAATAGAACAGAATAATAGACACGCGAAGCTCCCCGGGGGATTTGTTTCTGCTGTCGATTCGTCTCAAGCTGAGGAAAACGGGACCTGGCGGAGTTGACTTCTTCTCTCCAACCAAGCAACAATCGATAGCTCCGCAAGAAACGAAGACTTTAGAAAACCATAAACAGTAATTTGCTCAAGACCCTTCAAGATCACGAACCTCCCCCACGAGTCAAAAGTCAACGAGGTTGTTCTGTTGAATTGAACAGCCGCGCAAACGCAAATCAACTTCGGCCGACGGTTTTGCTCCGCTTCCCGATCCGCAAACCCCATCCATTTTTTTAGCTGCCAAAGTCCAAAAATCAACTCAAACCACCTCTTCGTTTTTCTGCCGATCAGCAAAACACCACCCCATCTCTCTGAGCTATTCTTTCTTTGCTTTCGAAGGGGAAGACCTGTGGGGCTTAGGTTTCCTTTTTCAGTTCTCGTTCATACCGGGACTACCTTTACATACCTATCGCTTCGTTTTCGGACCAGCAAAGAGCAGGTTGAGAAGGAAACTATCTGCACAGAATGTCGTCTATGCGAAACGCCGTCCAACGACGGCAGCACCGCGAGCGTGGTCAGCTCGAAGGTCGCGAGAAATGGGGTATTCTCGAGAAACACAAGGTGAGATTCTATTCCTCCTCGTTGGTTGTTTGTGGTGGCATTTTCTGCGTTTCTCTAGCAGTAGAATCCAGACGCTACTACTATGAAACTTTTTTTTCCCCTTCTGGATACAGAAACATCATATAAATGAATATATAACTGATAAAATAATCTTCTTTAAATAAATAGGACTACTCCCTCCGCGCAAAAGACTACAATGTCAAAAAGGCCAAACTACAACGTCTTCGCGAAAAGGCGCGCGATCGCAACCCCGATGAATTCGCCTTTGGGATGCTTTCCGACCGAGCTGCCAAGCAGGGTAAACACGGAGCGCGCGAATCGGGCCAATCACTCAGTAACGAAGCTGCGAAATTGCTCAAGACGCAGGATGCGGGATACCTCCGTACGGTTGGGGAGCGGATCCGTCGCGAGATGGAGCGGTTAGAGCAAGAGGTGAAGATGCAGGATGGAATCCAGGAAGTTCTGGGCGAGGGTCAGACGACGAAACAGAAGAATGCGGATGAGGAGGACGACTTTTTCGATTTCGAAGAGGAAGAGGATGATGGTAAGCCGAAGAAGGTTGTTTTTGCAGAGAGCCGTGAGGAGCAGAGGGAACTCGGTCGAGAACTCGACCAAGACAGCGACGAAATGGACGAAGATGATGATGACTCTTTCGGACAATTATCCAAGAAGCCCAATCAGAACCAGAAAAAATCCAAAAAGCAGCTTGAGGCGGAAATGCAAGCGTTCCGTGAACTGCGCGCCGCGCGCAAGGCAAAGAAGCGAGCCGCTGAAGCGCGACACAACAAGCTGAAAGCTCTGAAGAAGCAATATGCTGAGATTACCGCCGCGGAGCGAGAGCTGGAATGGCAGCGTGGACGAATGGACAACGCAGTTGGAGGAAAGAACAAGAATGGCGTCAAGTGGAAGATCAGGGAGCGGAAGAAGTGATCTGATCTGATATCGAATATACGTTTCTTGGTCCGGTGCATTTTCCTGCTTATGAATGATGATAGGCATGTGCGGTGCATTTACATCCTCGTGTCGAGAGAAGATGGGAGATAATGGCTCTCTGTCAACTCATATTTTCCTTCTTATGGGTTTTATACGGCGAAGTCTCTGGCTCGGAGTTTTTAGGCCAAAAAAAGGGCGCATGGTGTTGGGTTGTACTGTACATATAGACTGTAGGTAGCGATTCTACAATGATACCATCAAAAGTTTGTCTTGGGACTATATTTCCAGTATAGCGGGATCAGACAGCTTTTGTCATGACTTCGATATGCAGCAGCGTCCTTCTCCAGTCAAGAGATACAACCGAGAGGTTAGATTAGATGTAGAGTACAATAACTTTTTCTGATCCGGCGTTCATTCTATAATTCCAGGCCAAGGCATATAATCGTAACATTTACAGATAATAGATAAGGTGAGGCAAAGAGGTCATACTTTCGGAAAATCAAACCAACAGACATCATTCATGCGATAATAGCCTATGCCTGGCTTTTCTTCATAGCAGCAACTCTGATGCTGACGGCCCTCTTGTGCGCATCCAGACCCTCCACAGCGGCGAGGCACTCCACGGTCGAGGACAGACCGTACAGACCGTCAGCAGTAAGGTTGGAGCTGGTGATGTGCTTGACGAACGAGCCCAGGTTCACACCAGAGTACTGCTTGGCGTAGCCGTACGTTGCTGGAAGGGAAGTCAGCGGTATGTTTCAAAATGAAAGCAAAAGAAAACTTACGCAAAGAGTGGTTGACACCAGCAGAGTAGTCGCCCACACTCTCGGGTGTCCAGGGACCGATAAACACACTTCCGGCGTTCTCCACCAGATCAACGACCTTTTCGGCGTCTTGCACCTGAAGGATCAAGTGCTCAGGGGCGTAGTCATTGCTGAGCTCCATGGCCTCCTTAATATCCTTAACCACAAAGGTAACCGAGTGAGCGATGGATCCCTTCACAATATCAACACGTGGCAGGGCATTGGCCTGCTTATCAACCTCGTCTTCAATGGCTGCCAGTTCCTGCTCGTTGAGATCAACTGCGATGAGGATCACCTGAGAATCCACACCGTGCTCGGCCTGGCTCAGCAGGTCAGAAGCAACGAAGGCCGGGTTAGCCTGCTTGTCTGCCACAACCAAGACTTCACTGGGCCCGGCTGGCATGTCGATACTGACACCTGCAGAAGTATCGTTGGATACCATCATCTTGGCTGCAGTCACAAACTGGTTACCCGGACCCAGGATCTTGTCGACCTTGGTGATGCTCTCCGTACCATAGGCTAGCGCAGCAACGGCCTGCGCGCCACCAGCCAGCACAATGCTCTCTGCGCCGACCTTGTGCGCAACGTAAACAATCTCGGGGGATACGCTGCCGTCAGATCGAGGAGGAGTGGCAAAAACGATCTTCTTGCATCCTGCCACCATTGCTGGTACTCCCAGCATCAGGGCAGTTGAAGGAAGAACAGCGGTTCCACCGGGGATGTAGAGTCCAACTCTTTCAATTGGTCGCGAAAAGCGCGAGCAGACTACTCCTGGCATGGTCTCCAACACAAGTGGTTTGTCTTGCTGGGCGCTGTGGAAGCGTTTGATGTTGTCAAAGCTGACATCGATGGCCTTGATAGTCTCAGGAGACAGCTGCATCAGACTTTCAGGGAACGGCGCACGGAGAACCGGCGATGTCAGTGACGTAGCCTTCTCGAACTTGTGGGTGTACTTGAGGACAGCGGCATCTCCATTGTCATGGACATCTTGGACAATAGGGCGGACCAAACCGAGAATGGCCTCATTGGACTTCTGGGACGGGCGCTTGAGAGCATCCTTCACCACGTTGGCTGGGGTAGAAGCAGTGACAATACGCTTCATCTCGATACGACCACTGTTATCACTGGCCGCAGGCTGCTCCTTGGGAGCAGGAGTCGCCGTCTTTGTCTCTGCGGGCTTCGTAAGGCCGAGCTTTTCGGCCCAGGGACCCTTGGCGTCGCCCTTTCTCCTCTTGACCTTCAAGCTCTTCAGGTCAAGATTTCTTTCAATATCCTTCAGGCTAACTCCAGCAGCGGTGCACTTCGTGAGAGCGAAGTACAGCAGGTCTGCAGCCTCAAAAGCGATCTCCTCCTTCGTCTTCGCCTGGCACAGCTCCTCCGCCTCCTCCATGATTTTAGCCTGCACAAGCTTGGGGTCGTTGAAAAGCCTGGCGGTATACGATCCGGCGGGTGCATCTTGTTTGCGAGCTTCCAATGTCTTCTGGAGGTGAGAGAGACCTGCAGATGGCCCGAAGCAGCTGGCCGTGCCAAGGTGACAGAATCCTATACAGATAGTTTAGTGCTGGCGCATCGCGGAAAGAGCGTAGCCACATACCTCTGCCTTTCTGCTTCACGACGAAAACCAAGCAATCGCTGTCGCAGTCGAAGCCAATCCTGATAAGTTCCTGGGTGTCCCCGCTGGACTGTCCCTTGTACCACAATCCTCGCTTTCTGCTCTGGTAGACTCCAGTCCCCGTCCTCAAAGCCTCCGCAATGCTCTCGTCGCTGCTCCAGACAAATCCAAGCAGAATGCCTCTCTCATCCGTGACCGTTGTAGCATAGAGACCCGAGTTCTGGTCCGCGACTCCACGCGCAGCCACCAGCTTGCCAGCGGAGATCTTGTTTCCCGCCTCCTTTTCAAAGGTCAATGCCTGCGATGGTACAATGCTGACGGCGCCTTGTCCCAAAGAAGCCTTCACAGAATCCTCCGTCACAGACTGTCCGACAAACGATGCGTAAAGCCTCTGCGCCTCAAGATCAATGTTGAGTGTTTCCGCAACGTTCTTCACTTCGGCGGGGTTGGTGAAGACACCAATTTCCTTCCTCTCCTCATTCTCAGCAATCCAACTCTTGACAGTCTGTACTTCTTTGCTAGATGGGGCATAAACGACCAGTCGTGTCGAGGAAACATCCTGCTCCTTCGACAGGGCCTCCAATTGCTCCAGCGAAACGAATGCTTTTGCGGCACCGGCGTTCAGAATGTCGACGATGTCTCCGACAGAGGCGATCTCCGTGGCGTCAACGTAGACATCGAGAAGGGGGAAGTTCTTGCTGATAAACTCAGAGGCTTGCGACAGACTCTTAGCTTTGATCAGAACGCGACCAAAGTACGAGATCTGCTGAAGAGAGAGCCCCTCGGCGGGGGAGGAGGGGTCGAAGGAAACGAGAAGTGGCGTAGCCATTTTCGCAGGCCTTGCTGGCTAGCTGTACGCCAAAGGATATGAAAATAAAAAGAGAGAGGAGGTCTTGAATGCTCTCTTCCTGCAGCGACGATGAGTCAATTGATGTCTGCTCAAATACGGACCGTTTCAATGGCCCCCGCCGTCCGATGTGTCACCGCCCGAGACTTTTTTTCTGCCCCGCGGCGGAAGCCGGAATTGGGTGCATTCTTTATCTAATGAACATCCGATCATTGTTAAGGAATTATTGGATATCACCATATCTAGCTTCTCTACTGTATTGAATGGACTCTGCATTAACTTATTCTTGCCCCCTTGAAATAATCAACACAGTCATTGGATTTCAACATATGGAGAGTTTTCTTTTTCCATTTATCTACTCCCTGCCGTAAATTTCGGCCTTAGTGTAAGCTGACTGACTGGAGCGTTTTGTATGTATGTACTGTACACAGATCCCCAAGCCCATCACGAAGAACAAAAGAAACATCAATCGAACTATCACACTTCTAGATAAGACAGATGGCATAATCTGTAATCACACAACTGTCTCACAGAATTCTTGGTGGGTGATTTCTTGGTCTGCAGCGAGTTTGTTGCTGCCCTCGTCGGTGGCCTTCCCAGTCTCTCCGTCTCCAAGCGCATCTATATGCATGCGATAAGCCCGCTCCATGTTCCAATAGAATGGCTCTGGGGTGGAGAACAACAGGTCAATGGATTCCAATGACCGGTTGCGAGTTTCCGGGTAGAACAGATACACAATAGGGATCCAAAGAAGGTTCAAGCCAGCCAGCAGGAAGTAGCTGCGGCTTTTCAGACTTCCAAACATGACGGGGTTGACGAGTGTGGTCATACCCACTCCGATAGCCCATCCAGTGACGCCAAAACCGTTTCCTTGGGCCCGCAGATCCGATGGGAAGATCTCTGTCGGGATAAGGAAGGCTACCGTTCCCCAAGTCGCAGCGTATCCCAAGTTAAAGAGGAAGAGCATAGCCACGGCAGCTGGTGCAAACTGCGCGGCCTTCTCGGGGTGTTGAAGGGAGCCTTCATAGACGCCGCCCGCCTGCAAATATCTACGTTAGTCCCTCCAAACGTTCGGAGATGGCATACGGATTATGCAAACTTACCACTAGTTCAACGGCGAACAGAACCGCGGAGCCTAGCATCAGACACATCCTCCTACCAAGTCGATCTACGATCTGCGTACTGATGAGGGTACCCAGAATACCGATTGTGTTCAGTCCTCCAGCAAGACCGTTTTGGGTAACCGTACTATAACCAGCTTGACTGAGAAGGACAGGAGAGTATGCCGTGACAGCCTGAATAGTTGCAAGTCAGTAGCTATTCCTACCCAGACCTTGATCCTTGAAACATACCGTAATACCAGTCCAGGAGGCCATGATCTGAAGCCACACGCAAAGCCAAGCACGTCGGCCCAGATTGCTGCCAGGTTTGCCGCCCTTGCCAACCAAGATCTTGACGAATTGAAGAGGAGAACTGGGCTGGCTGTCTTTAGCAGCAGCAACAATCTCCGAGTACTCGCGATTAATCTCCAACGGAGTCGCCTTATGGGCTCGGATCCTGGTGAGCAGATCCAGAGCCTCCTCGTTACGGCCAACCGATGCAAGAAAACGTGGGCTATCCGGTAGCATCTTGATGAAAATCACCAGCAGCAGGGCAGGAATGCATTGGAAGGCAAGCAAAAAGCGCCAGCGGATATCAGAATAGCCATTGTTGATAAAGGCAAGGCCGAAGGACATCCAGTAGGCCACAGAAATACCGAGATCTGAAAGACATCAGCACATATTTCCCACTACCACACTCGTAGAGTCAAGAAGGGTAGATTTACAGTTTGCAATGAAGACGTATCCCAAGAAGCCACCGCGATGCTCAGCCGAAGAAGTCTCTGACACAAACACCGGCGTGATACCAGTCAATGCTAGTAATTTCCATGTCAGCCAAAACAAAATCCACACGTTTGATTCGATCGAATAATATGTTCCTACCTCCAGTACCAACACCGGTCACGACTCTAGCGACCAACATGAAATCGGAGCTTTGAATGGCAGCCTGCAGAGCACCTCCAATGAGCGCAAATATAGAGCCAATGAAAAGACCGTTGATACGTCCAATGCGGTCGGCCAGCCAACCTCCCGCAAAGCAGCCAAAGATACATCCGAGATAGTAGACGCTGACAATGCCACCCTGATGGGTAGTGTCGGTGACGGTGCCGTCAGGTTTGCCAATGCCAACCTCCACGACGTATCTCGGCGAGCTGTTGACTCCTCCCATCACACCTTGGTCATATCCCTCGAAGAATATGCAAAGCAGGGAGAAAGCCTGAATGGCCACATTGAGTTGAGCGGGAGACAGGCGTCTCCATACCGTTGTGTAGCCCATGTTTCTTTAACTGCTAAGAAACAGAAATTGATAAGAAAACTGCCCAACGGTCATCCACAGACCGTCCAAGCTCAGAATAGTGCCGGTATGCAAAGTCCGGGGTTGACATTCGTTTAAATATTTTAGTAGATCGTACGTTCTGGTTTGCCACCTTAGAAAAACTCCCGGCCGAACCCACGCATAGAGCACGCGCGCGTATGCTAGGCCTCCGGAGATCCGGATTTCCACGAGCTAACCAAACCTCATGATTGCGGAGGCCGTTGGTCTGCGCCAGAGAAAGTGTCGACTCCGTCGAGAGATGCCGTGGAGAAGAAAATGTGGAGGACCGGGGGAGTGTTCGGCCGGTTAGGCGTTTAGCCGTTTAAGCGTTTAGCCGTTTAGAAGGTCAACCACTTGGCGAACTTGACGAACTTGACGTCTTGCCTCAGCGAAAGGCTTGCTCATCTGCGGTAATTAAATTTTTTATTAATATACCGGAGGCGGCTAAATTTCTAATCTAGCACGTTTGTCCGAGAACTTTCCAGGTGTGTGGTAACTTTTGGAACCGAACACGGCCGTGGCGGTATAAAGGTTGTCGAGTCTCTCACTTTCGTCGGCGAGTGAGCAATTCAGCGAACTTTTAGTCAAGGACAGTTAAGCACTATGGCCGCCAACGGTAATCTCTCCAACCAGCCCCTGGACCTGATGGTCCTGGGCTTGAACAGTGGCACATCAATGGTAAGTCAACGCTCAAGGTCGATGATGCGGGAAGCAGAATGAGGGCTCACATACTTGCAGGATGGAATTGATTGCGCTCTGTGCCATTTCCGACAGGAGACTCCCGAATCTCCCATGCATTTTGAACTGGTTAAGGTACGTCGGGTGGTCGTGACCAAGGTCTATTTTTGTTCTGCTGAGCGAACAGACTGACATAGCGCGACCTTAATTTCAGTACGGAGAAATCCCTCTCGAGCAGACAATCAAGAAGCGTGTTATGAACATCATCCTTCACAATAAGACTTCCCCCTCGGAGCTATCGGAAGTCAACGTTATTCTGGGAGAGACATTTGCGGCCGCTGTCAAGCAGTTCTGCCAGGACTACAACGTGGACATCTCGACCATCGATGTCCTAGGATCTCACGGTCAGACCATTTGGCTCCTTTCCATGCCCGAGCCTGGAGAAGTGCGCAGCGCCCTCACAATGGCCGAGGGTTCATTCCTCGCCGCTCGCACCGGCATCACAACGGTCACGGACTTCCGTGTCAGTGACCAGGCGGCCGGCCGTCAGGGTGCGCCGCTCATCGCTTTCTTCGATGCTTTGGTTCTGCACCACCCAACGAAGCTGCGTGCCTGTCAAAACATTGGCGGTATCGCCAACGTATGTTTCATCCCGCCCGACTCCCACGGCGGCATCGATGCCTGCTATGACTTCGATACCGGCCCAGGCAACGTGTTCATTGATGCTGTGGTTCGTCACTACACCAACGGCGAGCAAGAGTACGATAAAAATGGCGAGATGGGCGCCCGCGGAAAAGTCGACCAGGAACTCGTGGACGACTTCCTCCAGAACCACCCATACTTCCGCCTGGACCCGCCCAAGACCACTGGTCGTGAGGTTTTCCGGGACACCCTGGCGTTCGAATTTATCTCTAAAGCAGAGGCTAAGGGCCTCACTCCTGACGATGTGGTTGCCAGTATCACCCGCATCACAGCTCAGGCAATCGTGGACCACTACCGTCGCTATGCGCCCAAAGACCTACACATTGACGAGATCTTCATGTGTGGAGGTGGCGCGTACAACCCCAACATCACAAAGTATATCCAAGAAAACTACCCGACCACGAAGATCCTTATGCTCGACGAGGCGGGCATTCCTGCCGGAGCCAAAGAGGCCATCACCTTCGCCTGGCAAGGTATGGAGGCCATTGTCGGCCGCTCCATTCCCGTCCCAACCCGTGTCGAGACTCGCCAGGAATACGTTCTGGGCAAGGTGTCGCCCGGCAAGAACTATCGGAAAGTGATGCGCCAAGGCATGCTTTTCGGGGCCGGACGAGACCATCTTTCCCCCGTCAACGAAATGGTCAATTATGTTAACGGTAAAGTCTTTGATAATAAGTGGTGATACCATGATGTTGCACATGATTATTCACGGTTTAGCTTGTACTCAACAATTGTTAATTAAAAGCATTTAACGAAAATATCTGTAGCGCTCACAAAAGTTGTAAATTCGCCATCAGTTCCAGGAGTCAGAATGTACAGTACTTACATGAGATGTCATCCAAGTCAAATAGTCAAAACTGAATGTCAGTGCAAAGAAACCATCACTAGATGACGTTAGCGCTATCCGGAATCAGTCTCCTTTGTGGCCACTGGTTGATACATCAACACAGCATGAGCCTTGAGGCCTGGAGCAAATCAGAGGTGGCCGGCTTGTCCACTTCCTTGTCAACAAGAAAGCATCATCGTATACTGTAGTTAGTTACCCCAATTCGGGATTCCGCTTATTCAGCTTGGTGTGACATGTTAGTTAACTTCCAAGTTAACTTAACTAGTTAACCAGTTAATTGAAAGTTCCGAAAGAATTTTTTTACTGTTGTCTTGGCCCTGTTGTTTCTTGGGGTTCCAAGCTTCGGTTTTAGCGTCGAGACGCGGAACCGCTTACTAACAGCCTTGGCAGTCACATGATTGTCGCGTGGAGAGTCAATCCATCTCCCCGGATCATCTGACCCCTCGAGACCCACAGCTATTTGCACGTGATAGCGAGAGTTTTCCGAGTTTGATGGACCCACTTGAAGATTATTGTCTAGACTCTATGGTAATTTCTATTTCTTCAAGTTATACCATAGTTACGCTGAATTTCCCTAGCAGTTATTAAGCAGTTCTAAAGTATTTACTAAGCAGTTGTAAATTATTAACTAAGTAAGTACCTAAGTAGGTACCATAGTTTTCGCGCCCCTAAGTGAAAAGTCAAGTGACCTGCGTAACTATGGTACTCTCTCCAGCACAAGTCTGCTTAGTCATCTGTGAAGGACGACATTAACTACACTGCCAGATCCAATAAGCAAGCTTTTAACTGTTTTAACTGCTTCCTTCACTTTCCAGGCAAACTGTTCAAGCATATTTTACCATCTTTGCAGGCTTGCTTCAGCAAGTCAAGCAGGCTGTGAATGCCATGTGACTTTTGCAGCAAGGAGTCAGTTTCGATATTTCGTTTCATCCAGTCCGCTTTGTAGGAACATACGATGTCGCAGCGTTCGCGAAAACTTCAGCGTGCTTCGAAAGCCTGTTCGTTACATACTTACTTCCTGGAGAGATCGACACTGCAGTTGCCCTAACAATTCTACAGGTGACTTCTGCAATCGACGTAGCATCAAATGCAATAAGAACAACGGCCCTCTCGCTCCCTGTCAGAACTGCGAGGACTTCGGTGTACGATGCACATATGATCGTCCTACCAAGCGACGAGGCGCCCGAAAAGATGCCAGTCCTGCGGGTAGCCAGCCCATACTACCCGCCGCCTCGGGTGATGGCGCTGGATCATCTTCCTCTCGTCCAGCTCGTCAAGACTCTCTCTTTCGATCTCATTTAGCTGACCCGTCATGGGATATGTTGAATCCCGCATGTACTGTAGCCGTCACAAGTGGTAATGATGGCATTCTACCGAATTCTTGGAAAGCATTTGCTATTGCTTGTCAGAGCACCATTATGGATCTCGCCCAGGTCTATTTCGAGATCGTATATCCCATGTATTTGTCTCCCAAACAAATGCTAGGGAAACTCGAAACTGATTGAAACGCCCTTCTCACTCATAGATTTCCTTTATTTCATCGATCCTCGTTCCTGAAGCAACTCGAGAACAGCGAGCACCTTCAGGACCAGGGGTTATTCGCTTCTACAATGGCCATGTGTGCTCTGGCGTCTGCGCGGGCTCGCGATGGAGCCTTATATTCGAACCGCTGGAACCTCTCCCAGCTGGCAAATCCTCCTTCCGAAGTCTTTTTGGCAGCGGCAAAGGAATCTATTCCTCGAGATCTGGCAGCCGCTAAAGGAACGGAATACATGAGAGCATGCGCCATTCTTAGTATTGCCAGCATCCAGAATGGTCAGATTCACTCCATGCAACAGTATTCTGGAATCTACCATACTTTAAGTGGAATGGAAGGGCTGTACGATGAGAGGCTATGGCCCAGAGACTTAAACCATAAGATTGTTGAGGTTCGGCGGAGAATGGTACGTTGATCTCATATTCTATTCGTTATCGGCTTTCACAGTATCTATCGAAATGTCTAACGATTGCTTTAGTTCTGGTCCATGTATACTTTAGATGTATATTCATCCATTGTGTGGGGTGGAGTTATACGCTACCGAGAAGCCCAGTCGAATGTACGTTACCCTGGTGAGCTGGACGACGACTCTTTCTCCGACAATAGTCACGCTATTTCGCCAACGGCTGTGAGCCATGGTGATGTTCATGGTGGAAATGAGAAGCTGGCTAATTGGATGCTGGGTTGGAACTTCACCACCGACCTCTATAGAATTCTCGAACATGCTGTTGATTGCCAGCGACGACGCTCGCCCCCAAACAACGGGACGGCGGATTTCTGGTCTTTATTCTTCCCAACTCAGAAGGCGGGATCATCGGTAATGAAGCAGGTGCTAGCAATGTACTCTGAACTGCCTTCTCAGTTTCGAGAAATCCGGCCAGTTACTGGCGATCCAACTTACGATATTGTCGGCTTCCAGTCGGCCAACATACAGGCTACACTTCAGCTTCTGCGCATGGTCATTTCCTCAAACGAAGAACAAGGCGTGGATGAAAAATGTGACGTCGCAGGTCAAGTGCTAAGCGTGTTTTCCAAAGTGCCGGTTGAATATCTGAAAGCCATCAGTTCCCCGTTGGTATGCTAGATGTCCTGGAACTTCTTTGTCCCTTCGGCTTTCTTAGGATCTGACGGCTGATTAATGAAGCTACATCACTTGGGCGGCATTGGCTATATGCTCGGATCGGTTATGGAAGGAAGGCTGTCAGGGTCATCCTATCAACGGGTCCGCGCGCTTCTGTAAGTCACGTTATGCAGGTCAACTACGAGCATGCATTCAAACAGAGAGGTTGACTGTCGATTAGATTGGAGATGGCCGAGCTTCTCCATCGGTTGGAATCAGGGCTACGCCGCTCTACCGGTACCAGCGAACGTCTGAAGGCGCAGGTAGGTCGAATTGACGAGTACATGCGCACCCAGGGATGTTCCAACTTCCTTCCTGGTCTACAGCAAATACCTATCTCTGAGGTGGACGACATCCAAGGCCGTTTTGACTTGTCAGTAAATCACCAAAACAACATTGAGTCAACAGCTGCAGCCCCAACTGGGTTTGACGACCAACTATCCCAGTTTCAATTACCACCGGAGCTACTGGAAGACTGGCCTTGGTCACTTGATTCTAATTTAGCGGACGGCGTGTTCCCAATGACCTTTATTAATTGAAAGCGCCAACCCCATAGTGCCATCAGCATGTGCTGGCTTTCCACATATTCTCAGAATGGACAGTCTTGCATTCTACGCTTCTACTATCGCAGCTGTATTCACTCCAGGATCCGTAGGGTTATTTTTCTTTTGTCTGCTTGGAAAACACGCATAAATGACGTGACGTACCTCTCTCAGTCGCATGCTATATATCGTTAATAGAGCTGGCCTTGTTACACCCGTAACAGATTCGAAATTGAATCTCTTGTGGTCGGAAGATAGGCGTGACGTCTGAATATCATTCGATTTAAAGTACGGGGATATCATTTGGGACGCGACTGCCTGGACAATATTAATCAGTTCGTTCAGTTTATGAAATATGATCCAAACTGAAGACTTTGTGTCGCGCGTTGGAATACATTCAGTTGCGCGGATGGCCTAACTAATTGCACGAGCCTGGGAGCATTTATCGCGCAAGATTTGTGTCTCAGTATCACGAGGAATTTTCGACCTGCTCATCTGCCTCGATAAATCCTATGACAGGCATCAGGAGGTCCAGAGCCCTGCAATAAGCCTTCTAAAAAGTCGCACGACAGTTAAGTGGGTATGCAGAGAATGAAGTCACAAGGACTGCACAGAGCACCGTGCTCGATAGGGTGTGAAATGCTCCCCGCACCGTTCGTGTCTCTCTGAAGAACTCGCAAAGGCAACAACACATCACATCGCATCGCCATGGACGGAATATACGGAGTAGTCCACGGTGTTTGTCTGCGTGACCTCCAAACTTGGCTTCCAAGCCAGCTATATCTTGGTCTTACCCACGCGATCGACTTGTTAGTGCTTCATCGAGGGATTCCAAATCAAAGACCGTGCGAGAGCTCTGATTGTTGCGAGCGGAACCTTGCAGATCACTCCAGAACTTAGCGCGACACCTTTTGCGTCCATTCGTGGAGTTCTCCAGCACCTTGTCCTTGCTAGGGGAAACTAAGCCAGCTTACACTTTAATAGACAAAACTAAGGCTGGCATGGGCTGCCGGGAATGCCCTGGACAACAATGCATTCTTCTGTCGGCCCCTGGCTATCCTTGCCAGGATAAGGAGCAGTAAGGACTTCAACTGGCAGTGTTTGTTCGCATGGAGATCTCCGTCAGAAGCTGAAGCCAACAGAATGAAACACAAAATAATGTCAAGCTTTTTGAGCGGCGATTTACTTGGATGGTCGCCTAGGTGCCGCGCATCGTCCTTCCCCAGACTTGGGGATCTCAGACTCTCAGTTAAGTCTGTTCCTGAGCCCCTCGCGGGATTGCAACCCCATGGACCCATCACTTCCACGCTGTTCCAGTTCTAGAATGGACATTCAGCCACTACAAGCACTAAGTTTTCGGCCAGAGATGGAGAGAGAAGTCGAGAGACACTACGCAGTACTACTACGATGTCCCCGCACAATATTCCAAGTGGCACTAAACTTCCTGCCCATTGATAGGAAGGCGCAGGGTTGCAAACTTGCAATCTTCCGCAGTATGCGGTGTGATACTAAGTATGGGCTCGGTCGTCACGCGTTCTAGCATTACTCCATCATTCCTCTGCTAGATCGCGTCGCGTCCCATTTATATAGCCGGCTGATCCCTCTCGGGATCACCTTCCTCTCTTTCAGGCGGCGCATTGTTACTTCCGGTGCCCGGTCATTCGTTCAGGATGCGTATTTCCAGTCTGTCGTTTTCTCTGACGGGCTTGTCCCTGTTGGGCACAGCTGTTGCGCACCCTTATTATGCGCAGCAGGAGGGACAGGTTCAACGTCGCCAAGATGCTCAAGCTAGCCAGAGGGCTGAAGCAGTAAGGGAGGCCTTTCAGTTCGCATGGAACGGATATTATAGATATGCCTTCCCTCATGACGAACTTCATCCGGTGACGAACGGCTATGGCGACTCGAGGTATGTCCCATCAGAAGCCAGACCAGACCATTGAAACAGAATGTAACCAAGTTCAGAAACGGGTGGGGCGCATCTGCAATTGATGCACTCTCCACGGCGCTGGTGATGCGTCTTCCCGATGTAGTTGACGATATTCTGAACTATGTGCCGACCATTGACTACTCGACGACGTCGCAAGAGGTTAGCCTCTTCGAAACCACGATTAGATACCTGGCTGGCATGCTGTCTGGATATGACCTTCTCAAGGGACCGCTATCCGATCTGGCGACCAATCCTGATGCTGTAGAGGCTCTTCTGACCCAATCGAAAAACCTGGCGGATGTCTTGAAGTTTGCGTTCGACAGCCCTACCGGAATTCCCTATAATAATATCAACATTACTTCCAAGGGAAACGATGGCGAGACCACTAATGGTCTTGCGACCATCGGCAGTCTCGTGCTGGAGTGGACACATCTCTCGGACTTGACTGGCGACCACCAATATGCGGAGCTCAGCCAGAAAGGAGAATCATACCTCCTGAATCCAGAGCCTCCATCAGCAGAGCCCTTCCCCGGGTTGGTCGGTAGCAACGTCAACATCGACACGGGGCTCTTCGCTGACGGCGATGTCAGCTGGGGCGGCGGCGATGACTCGTTCTACGAGTATCTGATCAAAATGTACGTCTATGATCCAAACAGGTTCTCGACATACAAGGACCGATGGGTTGCTGCGGCTCAGTCCACCATGCAGCATCTGAAATCGTCGCCCTCTTCCCGTCCAGATCTCACATTCGTAGCGACCTACAGCAACGGCACCTTGGGTCTGAACTCTCAACATCTCACGTGTTTCGATGGCGGCAACTTCCTGCTGGGAGGTGACGTCCTGGGAATCCCAGACTTCATTGATTTTGGCCTGGAACTTGTTAATGGATGTCACGATACATATATCGAGACAGCTACAAGGATTGGCCCCGAGCAGTTTGGCTGGGATGCGAACTCTGTCCCCGCGGACCAGCAACAGTTCTATGAAAGGGCAGGCTTCTACATTGAGAGCGGGGCCTACATTCTCAGACCTGAAGTTATTGAAAGCTACTACTACGCTTATCGCATTACAGGCGATCACAAAGTAAGTTGACCTTCTCACCATATGTTCTCTACATGAACTGAGGCGAGTAGTACCGTGACTGGGCGTGGGATGCATTTGTCCACATCAACGCGACATGCCGCGCCAATTCCGGTTTCTCAGGCATTACAAATGTCAATGCCGTTGGGGGCGGCTCAAAGGACGACAACCAGGAAAGTTTCCTGTTTGCTGAGGTCATGAAATACTCTTACTTGATTCAGGCTGGCGGTAAGATGCACTTCAAACCATTCAGCATAGATTCTTTAACTGACTCGTATGATTAGAGGACGAATGGCAAGTCAACGCCGACGGCAAAAATGAATGGGTCTTCAATACCGAGGCGCATCCAATCAAGGTTGCTGCTGTGGCGTAAAGTAACTTTATTCTTAATGATTTTTCTTAATGCGAATCATTACCTAGGCCATCCCATGTTCGTTCCATCGGGCCCTGCTATCGATAGGATACAGCAGTGCTAGGATGGCTAAACGGTTCAGTATATATTCTCGTCGTATTAACTAGTGTTTAATAGACAACTGCAGTTGAAATCATTCCTGGAGAAATCTGATGCATAGATGCAGCAAATGTACTTAGTTTGTAGTTTTCAACTAAACACCCGTCTGTTTTCAAATTAGCTCGCGTGATATAATATTACCATTTGCGTTAATCAATGAGCAGGAAGTCAATCTACTATGAAAGTCGCTGACTACATAAATAAAAGCTATTTGTTTGATAGAATTGGCGTCCAACCCTATGAAAAGAAGAGAGTATGTTACAACCAAGAGCATAGGCTGTCAAGTAGCTCCACGATAGGATATATTTCATGTGCTAACTTCACTTTGATATAAAAACTAATGACCCGATGACGAGATGAGACGAAGAGTCTCATCATGAAGAATGATGGTGGCATGTTCAGTTCTTGATAGTAGATAGAAATCTCCACTCTTCCACTACAACTTGGCCGCTCTGGATTCCTCCACATCAAGCTCCGTCGTACATAGAAGCAACGTATCTCGCAGTGCCTAGATCCAAGTATAATATAATCAGCCACTAGTTTTTCCTAATACCCATCATTCCCCCATGTTAATAAAATATACATACCGCCAACCTATACTTCTCATTAATCGCCTGATAATCATCTCCCGCCAACATATCACAGAAGTGTCTAATGGACGGATAATGCACGATGGAGACTTCATTCCACCACTCTTCTTCAGGACGATTGGAATATCCTCTCGAATCACTGACGCCAGCAGGGGGCTTGACCACGTTTCCTACGATCTTGGCGTCTCCGCCGCGTTTGCCAGCGACGGGGATGAATGCCTATTATTAATATACACATAAGCATTGTCTTCCTTCTTAATGAACAGATTTGGACAGTAATATTTGCTATTTGCCTGGATCAGGGACTATACCTGACCATATTTGAAATAACTTTTCTTCCCACCCGGGACGAAATGCAACAGATTAAGCATTGTCACCGGCCCATCATAGTCCCTGGATAAACGATCCATGAAATCCAACAGGTCAGGAGAAAGTTCTAGATTCTGCGACGTCTCTTTTCCCTGCGCCTTATCCAGAGACCCCGTTAATGGGATCGAGGAAGCATCACGTTTCAACTTCGCGTCTCGTTCAGGATAGGTCGCTAGTAATTTGGACGGGACGCCAACGAAGACGCGGTACTCGTCGCGGATGGCGGGTTGTAGATGTTCTGGGATGCGTTTGCTGGGAGAATCTAGTAGGATGAGTAGATCCCATTTCTGCGTCGTGAGTGGTGTGCTGTCTATTGTGGTTGGGCGGATTACGAAGTGTCGTGGACGAGATGCCACGATTATGCGGATTCCGGGGGAGTTCCGGAGAGTGTTGATGAAGGACTTTGCATTTGTGTTTGCGTTGAGAGAGAGGAGGTGGAGTGATAGGCCTGGCATTGTGGTATGGTTTGAATTGAGGGAGTTGGTTATATGGTAATGTTTGGAGGTATCCAAGTTGATATCATATGGTAACTTAGGTACTTAAGTAGAGCATCGCGGTACTTAAACGCCGAGGTTACTAGATTGCGGGGAAGATGGATTACTATTAGGTACCCCCGACGTTCACAACCGTGGTGATGGGATAGATGGATGGAATTGCAAGCTTTTTGAGGTATATAGTCAAGTGTGCTAATATTATTATCTCAATGCTTTGCAGTTTTAATGATACAGGTCTCTGAAGCCTTCCCCTAGATTGCGCGGCGTCACTGGTGGTGGCCAAGTAAGTAAGTATGCCAGCGACACGACACAAAAGTCCATCATAATGTAAAACCAGCGATCAACCTAATATTTAGAAATCCTTGATCGAATCCTTTTTGAGGCTTGATAACTGTACATATTGTACTGTACATAAGTTGAATACTGTACTGTCCTGGAGATACTAACTAACCGTAAGCGGCGTAGCGGCCATTCTCGACGCGTCGGACAGAAACGGGAAGCGAACAGGGCATCTCGCGCCTTTTGCTTGTTCGCCAGATGAAGGACCATGAGAACCATTGCCCTGCTGTTATTGATATCCGGGTTTCTGTTTCTTGACTGAAGCCTGTCCGGGCTTTTGTTTGACGCGTGTTTCTGCCAGATTCCTTTTCTCCTTTCGTCCCTTTTTTCTTATCTATACATCTGACTCCATGCCATGTATCTACCGCGTAACCTCATCTCTCATCTCTACCTCCAACTCCTCCGAACACACCACCCGCTCTCTCCGCCCGTGTTGATTCTCGTCGCGCTCGAACCCGATGCCCTGTGTGCTTGTCGAATTCTGACGGCTCTGCTGAAACGCGATTATATTCCACATAAGATCCAACCCGTCGCGGGATATGGCGACTTGGCGCGTGCTGGGGAAGAGTTGGTCCGGCCAATGCGGACCACCGAGGGGGGCAGCGGCGGAGTAGTCGTCTGTATGGGTGTGGGCGGTCTGGTAGATCTCAGTGACATTCTATGTCTCACGGTCGAAGGAGAAGTCGAGGACATGGGCGGGGTAGAGGTCTGGGTGATAGACGCGAGACGACCGTGGAATCTGGGCAATGTTTTTGGTGGACAAGCATGGACTCAGCAAGCACTACAAGATGGAGACCCGATTACGCGACCAAAGGTCCCAGGCGTCGAGAAAGGCTGCATTACTCAGGCGTACAGGACGGGGAGCGGTGGTATTATCGTGTTTGATGACGGGGACATCGAGGAGGACCTCAGAGCGGAGCGCGAAGCATATTGCGCGTTGGAGGAAATGCCAGAGGTGGACGAGGATGAAGATGACGCCGCAGACTCCGACAGTGACAATGATACGGTCGATAATTCGGGATCGGGCAAGAAGCGAAAGTCGTGGTCCGGACGCGAAGAGGACGAGGAATCAGATTACGATGAGCCCCCGCGACAACGAAGACGGAGCAATTCGGTACGTTATCGTTCTCTAGTTTGTGTCGAAACTCAATTAACAATTCGTCCAGAGTTCTCCTGTCCCTTCATCTCCGAGTGCGCGTCCACGGATTGGGCACGACTCGTCCAATTCGTCCCGTTCTCCTTCTCCAGCTTCTGATTCACCATCACCAGTAGTACGGAGACAATCCTCCGCACGAGCTTTGAGACGGAAGCTGCTCCGTATGCGGAGAAAGTACGAGAATGTTTTGCATTCATACTACTCTATGGGGACATCCTACTCGGAACCGATCTCGTCTCTACTATACTCTCTGGCATCGGAGCTGGGTCGAGAAGACAACGACCTACTATGGCTAGCCATTGTGGGTGTGTCGAGTCTGGAACTGTCTGGCCGTACCATGTCTGGAGTTGGCATCTCCAGCGCGTCAGAATCTGGAGGGTCAGCAGGCTGGGGCGGAGAACGAGGTGAACGCATCCGACAGATCCTTCGAGACGAAGTTCATCGATTAAACCCGCCTGATCCTTCTGAGCGGGATCGTGATATAAGAGGAGAGATCAATGGCGTTATCCCAACCGCAGCCCGGTCTCCAACTGACACCTCCATTCGTCTCTCCCCAGAGCCACGGTTCCTTCTCATACGGCATTGGTCCCTTTACGACAGCATGCTCCATAGTCCTTACCTCGCTGCGCGACTTCATGTCTGGAGTGAACATGGACGGAAACGACTCCACAAGCTGTTGGCCAAGATGGGCGTCAGTCTGAGCCAGTGTCATCAGAACTACACGCATATGGACATGGAACTAAAGCGTGTATTGCGGCAGAGGTTGCTGAAGTATGCACCTATGTATGGACTCGACGGCCTAGTGCCCCCAGTGGCATCTGGACACGTCGGGTCTCGAGAGGGTTGGGGTTTTGTCCGTAGCTGGGGGTGGAAAGCTTGTCTATCCGCCACGGATGTTGGTGTTATCATCGGTGCAATCCTCGAGGTTGGACCACACGAGCCTTCTGCGACATGGCAGCCGGGACAGCTTGCTCGCCACAGGGATGATATCTCTGCTCAGAACTCCGATCCGTCTAACCTACTTCCTCGGTTCTGGACCGCTTATGATGCGTTGTCTCTCACTTCAGACTCACCTACTCTTCTGCTAGAGGCACTTCAGCTGGCTCAGCACCTGCACCGCGCAATTCTCCGCACAGGAACGACATTGCTGTCAAAACATCTTATCCGCCATCTGCGTGCCTTCCGTATTGCGGTGGTCAAGGATGGTCCAGACGTGAAGCTGTTCACCAACCCCGGTGCACTGACCAAGTTGGCTTTGTGGGTGGGAGAGGCGATCCAAGTTCAGGAGAAAGAAAAGGGCGACAGCTTCAAGATTGGGAAGAAGCGGGCAGTGGGGACTCCTTTGGTCCTGGCAAGTCTGGATGAGGATAGAGGCGTCTATGTCGTGGTCGGTACTGGTGGAGGCGGAGGCGTGATAGATTTTGCTGCCATGGCTAAACGGCAAGAAGATCGGCGCAAGAAGAAGGAAGCCAAAGACAAGAAGAACAAAGAGAAGGAGGAACGTCGCGCAAAGCGGGCAGCTGAGCGGGCTGGGAGGGGAGAAGATGAAGACGATGAGCTCGAGGAAACGGAAGAAGAGGATTCATCATCGTCTGATGATTCAGACTCCGACGGGGAATTGGACACGAGTGCGAACAAACACCTCGTTCGGAACCGCTTCGGTATCGCCTTCCAGGAGGTTGTCCAAGAGACAAATGCGCGCGTACGGATCGATAGCTTTGAACACTGCGTCGTGGAGGTGCAGAAGGAAGACCTCGGTGGCTTTTTGGAAGCCTTGAGCTTCCGCAGCGTTGTCGGCTGATCCAGGCCCATATCTCTCTCGACAGCGTATACTTTCACTTTGTTCTATTTTCCCTAATGACCCCATGACTGGCGCCCCTTTTTCTTGCGTGTTTTTCATTTTTCATGACGGCTCTGCCTTTATGACCTGCCCCAGGTTTTAGCATTGAAGGATAGGTTTGCGGACGGACGGACGGACGGCTGGACGGTTTGGAAGACGGTTAGGATAGGGTACGGGGGGGGGGGAAGAAGGTCGGATGTACCCTTCTAGGCGCATGGTATAAGAAACAGAGGGGTCTCCAAGAAAGACTCCTCGCTTCTCCTGTTGATGCATTATTCGTCTTTATATGGCATTTCAACCTCGGTTCATTCACAGTCCAACACTCAACATTGCCCAGCGTTTTTCTGTTTGACGGATTCCGCAAAGCAAAAAGGCGTTGCATTGATCATTGTCGAGCGCTACAATGGGCCATTCATTGTTTGTTTCTCCTCTTTATACGCCTCACACACACACCACACCCCCTGGATTTGATATGGTTAGCATTTCTTCTTTTGACGTTGACTGACATCTGCATGACATATTCCCCCCCGACTTTTCGAGGAATGGCGTACAAAAGGCGTTTGAGAGGTGTTGTGATCAGATCTAGTTAGTGAGGGATTGAGTTGGATATAAATTCATTGATTCCATTCATCGTCAGACTGCGTTCGGGTTGACTAACTAGTAGATCTTATTCAAAATCTAGATGGCTCCTTTACAAGTAATCTTATGAGAGTAGACGCAGATACCAGGTCAATACCCGAGAAGTATTAATTGATAGCTTTGTTCGGATATAGTAAGTAGTAGCTCGAACATGTAAGTAAACACAACTAATGTTTCTCCCATCGAGATATCTATGGTATGTCATCAATTAACGCCAAGACGCCGTCCCATGCTATGCTATGCTATGCTATGCTATGCCACTCCGCATCCTGAGCAGATTCATACTGTAAAGTCTTATAGTACAATTCGCAGGATAATAACAAACTCAGCAACCACAGCAGCGCTTCTTTAAGCCTTACCCAAGAAAGACCCCGCCGCCCACAGAGCAGCAAAGCCACCTAGAACAGTAAACCCGACAAGACGCTTCCCCCATGTATCTTCATTGGTCATCTTCGTTGCGCCGGCCGTTCGTCTCTTCAGCTCGGATGATGATGTCGAATCTCTCTCTTCATCAGAAGCGTAGGGATGGCTGATCGTGGTAGTATTATTATTATTATCCGCGCGCGAAAGAGAGGCGAGATACTCCCGATCGCGCTGTTGCCATTTCTCAACCAACTTGGCGATCTCCTCGAGATCCTCCTTCAGCGATCCCGGACCCGTCGAATTGGCCCCTTCGACCTCGACGTTCTGCACGTTTCCGAAGAAATCAACCACCGTGCGCAGTCTACCTTCCTGTTCTCCGCCAGGGAAGAGATCCCAACGCACACCCGGTTGTGAGTGGATTTTCGATTCGTCGTACGAGTCGAAGAGATCGCCTAGCGTGAGTTTCGAATTCGGCGTCGTGACCTGCGTCTCGAGGAACTCGAGGACGTAATACGTCCAGCGATCAATGACCGCAACACCGACGTCGTTATCGGCATGGTGGGAATACGAAGACTGATCCAACGCACTGGAGCCCGTAGCGATGATATTCGGCGAGTAGAGATGCGTATACATCGTATTCGCCTGACATGTATCGATCATGAAGAGAAGCTCATGGTACCGTTTCTTCTCCCACATCTGTCCAAACGCGTCGGCGAGATCCCACGCGCCGATTTCCTCTGAGTCCTGGAATTTCAGGAATCGATCGCCTCCGTGGCCCGTCATGTAGACGAGGACGTTACTCCCCGCGTCGGATCCGAGGCGTTTACTGCGCGGGACGTCCTCGTCTAGTCGATCCGTGAGGAGACGGATGAAACTCTCAACTGTCACTTCGTATCCGCGATAATCCACCTCGATGTTCTCGCCGTAGAGATCGACTGCGCGGTCGGCGTTACTGTACACTGTCCCTGGGAATGCGTTGCGCGGGTTACAGGCCATATCGTCGGGAAGCATGAGGATGATTTGCGAATCGGGGATGCCGAGACGCTTGACGGTGCGGTAGAGAGAGAGGACATTTGCGAGATGGCGATAGTTGAACCAGAATCGAGACGTCGAGACCAGCACGGCCCAGTTGGAGGTGTGTTCTGCGGACACTGGAAGGGTGGTGATGGAGAGTAGTAGGGAGAGGAGAGTCGGGATGAGGGCGGAGAGACGCATGATGGAGATGTCTCTGCGTCCTGCTCTCCGGATGAGAGTTAAGGATCCCTCTCTTTTTGTTTGGTTTCGTTTAATGTAGGAGATTTATCTCTGCGCGATCTGCGCGCGACATCCCCTCAGTTGGTGGTAGAAGGAGAGTCGCGAACAGGAGGCGATCGTCGGGAACGCTTGGATAATCTCGCCAAGACCGCCGAGGTAAGCAATCTTAACAGCAAGTAGATTTTGGGTAACTGACAAGTTGGCTACTTCGACATAACTCGCCAGGTCTCGAAAATGCATTTTGTTAATGCTGCTTAGGGCATTGTGCTCATTTTACCACGGACTATGAAGTCATCTAACATGGCCATTTGGTGCCACTATTTGAGTATCGGAGAAAACGGTAAGATGAATACTGTAGAGCATAGATACTGATTCTATTTACCAAAAGTGATAACAGAAAACGATAATGCAACAGGTTTCATGATTTACGAATACCTAGAATATGCACAACACCTGCAGAAAGGTCGGCTAACTATCCTTTTTGCGCAATACTAAACCGCTCCGCTCAAGAACACTGATGATCACAGCCACAACAGTGAAATGCTTTATCAACATGATAATATTTGATATTCAGAGAAAGACTCTACCCGAAACACCGCCACATACTCCCCATCTACTCCCCTCGTAAGTTAAACCGTTCATTTCTTGCCGGGATCTTCCTTCAGGGAGATAATACGGTTGAGCACGACATTATCCTCAGTGCTGTCCGAGTCCATTGCCTAGGAAAAAAAATTGTTAGCGCCGTTTTGAATTATCATTGCAGGATAAAGAAAGGCGACTCACAAAGTATGCCACCCGCATTCCCTGGAATCTCACGCTCTCCGGACCAGCGGGGCTGTTGTTGCCCTCGACCTTAGGCCATGGAGCCTGGCGGCGCACTTCCTCGAAACCAGCATCCACCAAGGCGTTAGGGTAGACTTTCTCGCTGTCAGGATTGATGTCGTTGAGGAAACCTCCCTCGACGGCACTGGGGTCATCAGACTTGAAAAGCCGCTCGTGAATACGGACAGTGACTTTTCGAGAGCCATCGGGAACCCAGTGGATGAAGGCCTTGGGCTTCTTGCCTTCCTTGTCGAATACCGCCTTGATCTCCTTGACCTGTCCCGTGGCTTCGTCCTTGGTGAAGGACACAGCCTTGATAGGGTGAGGAGCCTGCAGCAGACCAACCGTCTTACCTGGCGCAAGACGGAAGTAGTCTGGAGAGTCCACCTCGCGGAAGTCGGACCGCTCGATGTATACTGTCTTGGTGAGGCGCACCTTGTAGGAGCCCATTTCGGGGTTCTTCGGCGAGAAGGGGACGTTGACTTCCTGTCCCTCGAGATCTCCGATGTCTTCGATGACCACTGCAACAGGGTCAAGGACAAGCTGGAGGCGCGGAACTGAGGTTTCTAGATAACGACGGATAGACTGTTCGAAGCGTGCGATCTGGATGATACTCTGGGATGTCGTGACACCGAGTTCGTTGATGAAAGACAGGATTGCACCCGGCGGCACACCACGACGGCGGATGGCGATCAATGTGTACAGACGCGGATCATCCCAACCACGAACGATACCTGCGTCTACCAGCTTTTTGAGACCTCTCTTGCTCATGATTGTCCCCGTGACATTCAGACGGCCTAGCACGTTGTTAGCTAATGTTCTAAACCTCGCTATGGAATCTCCGAAAGAAATCAAAAGGGTGTTGTGCAACTAAAAGCAAACATGAGAGACTTACCGTATTCGCGCTGCATCGGCTCGTATACACCCAGTGACTTCACTAGCCTGAGGTGATGTTAGCAATAAGACGACTGTACAGCAGATCCTAGCAGATTTCAGCTCTTACCAATCGTAGCTTTCCCTAGACAACACGAACTCAGTAGTACACAAACTATGAGTGATACCCTCGAAGCTATCGCACAGACAGTGCGTGAAGTCGTATGTAGGATAGATCTTCCACTGGGTTCCCGTCCGGAAGTGAGGCCTCTGGTCCTTCGGGATTCGATACGCCGCGAGATCCCACATCTGAGGGTTTCCGTTGGTGATATCCTGCTTCATACGCAGGAAAGCAGTCTGAGGCTCGTACTTGCCATCACGCATATCACGGAACTTCTGAAGGTTGGTCTCCACATCCTGTTCTGCATGCGCGCAGCGATATCTCGGCGAGGAGCCAGCTTCACCACCACGCTGCAGTTTGATCTCAGTTTCGTTGCAATGGCATACATATGCCTTTTCCAGTTGGATCAGCTTCTCAGCCAAATCGTAGAGTTTCTGGAAGTTGTCGCTCGAGTAGGTGATCGCGTGAGGGGTGAACCCTGGACAGATGATCAGCAAGAGCATTTACCCCGTTGACGTCTCCAGCCTCGCTTACCTAGCCAGCGAACGATATCCTCGATTGCTTGAAAGTATTCTGCCTCCTCAGCGTCCGGATTCGTGTCGTCAAATCTTGTCCTGTTAGCGCCGCTTCGCTTGGCTTATCGATGTCCGGGAAATGCACACCTAAGAAACTGCTATGGTGTTGGCGTGTTATCCTTTTGACGGCGAGAGGTGTACTGACCGTTTTGCCCCCATGATACCTAGCAAATCCAAAATTGACCGCAATCGCCTTTGCATGTCCCAAATGAAGATATCCGTTCGGCTCGGGTGGGAAACGCGTTACAACATGCTCTGAAGGCCGCTCTTTGTAGACTTCGGCGAGGAAGCCCTGCTTGAACATGGCGTCCGGATCGATCGCGGGCTCACTGGCCTTGGGCTTCGGTTTCTCCTTTGCAGGAGCGGCCTCCTTCTTCGGCTTGCCTTCATTTTCCTGGGCGCGCTGTGCACTTGCAGCCTTCTTTGCTCTTTTCTGCATTCGCTTCTTCAACTCGTTCTTGGAGACCATCTCCCCGGTCTCCTCGTCCAGGTGGAGCTTCGCCACCGCATCCGCAACGTTTTCAGCCATGGCGAGACTGGATTTATCCCTCTATTGACCGTGATCAAGGGAGAAAAGGAACACAAAAGAGAGGCGCGTGAGTCAAAATAATAATTATAATTATTATCGGCGGAGAGAATGACTGCGGTGTGGCTGAACTGCCGCCCCCTCATTTGTGGCTCACCCCTTTTGCCCCACAGTCCAACTGTGGCGGTGTCGGTATACTCTTATTCGAATACATAAGAACAAAGACTTCAGGAATCATGTTTAATTCATCTGGTCGAAAATGTTAGAGGACAAGAGTCTTTGCCTCTGCAGTTTATCTGTAGTATATAGATAGAGCAAGCTGTTAAGGCTGTTAACTAGATATTACCATCTTCATAGAATATACTCTACTTTCCACCTCCAAACTCATCCACTGGCAGTAACGAACTATTATTTCTTATTCTGATAGTTAGTTAATACCCTCCTGAGTCTTTGACTTATCATTATTTATCCAGTTACCGATTACAAGCTTTCGATTACTCTGATTCGTAAATAATTAACACACAGCCGAAAACCTAAGATCGCCCACTAGCCAAAGTAGGCAAAAATTTCCTCTAATTCGGAAAACACAATAAATAATTAATCAGGTCATCCACTTCATTTATTTGCCTTGTTTGGCGAAGGGATTTACCCGCGGGTTACCTATAACTATGCTTAACTATTATTACTATCTTTGACCTTTCGGGCGTTTCCCGCGGAGAGGCTTCCCCACGGGGACATCTACAACAACTGATATATAGTCTTGATTCTCGATTGACAGATAAACCGTCAGTTCGCTCGAGGGAATAACTGGAAGTAGAATATCATTGACATTGAACAGCCGCCGAGAATCATTTGCTCCGTTTTCAAGATGGCCTCAGGCAATCCCTCATACCTCATTATCGGCGCTGGTGTCTTTGGTGTGTCAACGGCCTATCATCTCATCCAGAAATACCCCAATGCATCGGTGACTCTGGTTGATCGGGATGCATACGATGCCGAGTCTCGTGTGGCTGCCTCATGGGATTGGAACAAGGTTGTTCGCGCCGACTACGACGACAAGATCTACTGCAGACTGGCCCTGGAGGCTCAGGACATTTTCAAGGCGGATCCTCTGTGGCAGCCTTATTTCCACCAGACTGGCGTCTACTGGAACTGCCGTAGCGACTACGCGCAAAATGTGATCACCCATCACAAGGAGCTCGGCCGCAATGACGATATCATTGCCCTACCTGTCGCTGAGGCCCGGAAGCTTTACAATGGGATCTTTGACAATGCTGACTACACCGGCGTCAAGGAGGTTCTCATAAACAGGGCCAGTGGGTGGGCTGCTGCTGGAGATGCTCTTCGAGCAGTCACGAAAAAGTGCCTGGAATTGGGCGTCAAGTATGTGACGGCTGAGGTCGCCACTTTGGAATTCGACGGTCGTAATTCGTGCACCGGTGTCAAGACGAAATCCGGAGAGATCTTATCGGCCACGCATGTTATCGTCGCTGCTGGTGCTTTCACGCCCACATTGCTGGAATGGAGTGCTGCAACGAGTGGCAACACTGGCCTCCGAGCCGGAGAGCGAATTCTGGCTGCTGGTATCGCGACAGGAATGGCACAGCTCGATGATGAGCTGTACAAGAAGTTCAAAGACATGCCTGTTGGCTTCCAGGGTTACACACCCGAGGAAGGTAAGTTTTTTCCTGACATATGTGCATGAATGCCCGCCAACTGTCAACAGGCAAGCCCTTTATTGGTACCCTTCCCCCTACCAAGGATAGAGAGCTCAAGTGGTGGGGATCCAAGATCTTCACAAACACTCAAGAGGTATTGCCTGGTCGTTATATCTCCTCACCACCACCCACACACGACTACAACCAGTGGAAGGTCCCTGGGCCTCTCAAGCAGGACATTGTCGAGGCCAGGAATCTGTGGTATGGGCCCGAGAGTGCGACTTGGAAGATGACGAAACATCGAATTTGCTGGTGAGTACCCTCGTCAATGTCAATGCTTAACATGACAAGTGGGATGGGATGTAACACTCAATAGGGACGCCTTCACCACTACCTCTGACTTTATCATTTCTCCTCACTCTGCCTCCAAGGGTCTCTACGTCGCAACTTGCGGTTCGTTCCACGGTTTCAAGTTCTTCCCTGTACTTGGTAAGTACGTCACACAGATGCTTGAAGGCGAGCTTGCGCCCGAATTGGCAGAGAAGTGGGCTTGGGATCGACAGCGACCGGATTCGTCCCAAAACGTGGAGTATCCGAACTCGGAGATGAAGCATCTCTTGGAGCGTGCAGCGAAGCTATAGTGGAAACTACAAGTATTTAAAAAAAAAAAGAAGAAGAAGAAGAATAAGAAGGCTGGCTTATTTCCCGGGTTTGATATTCCAAGCCTAGGGTCGCGAGGTGATCCGGGAAACAGCAGTGGCGGGCCCATAACGGCCACTGAGTAGTGGTGCGTGACTCCTCCCATGACCAGATAAGGCGAGCAGAACTCGATACTACCTATAATGGGTCTCATTTATATACCAGCTTGGTTGCCATGGGATTGCTTCCACATTATCCATCCTATTATCCGTTAAGATTACAGCTTTCTTATGAACTCAGAAAGAATATATCATACGGTCAATTGGATAGCGGTACTAGACACCACAGGGTTATTTAACAGTTTGGTTATCTGCAACTTATAGTATGTCGTATAACTAATAAATACGTTGCGATACTTTCGAAAGCACCAGTCACAAATAGGCGTGGAGTAAGATAATCTATCTAGGAAAAAAATTATCTCTTTACTCACCTAGAATTTCACTATATAAGAAGTCCTTCTGCAGCCAATCATCATAGAAAAGGAAGGAAATCACTAAGGAGAGACTATCCTAAACAATTGAGGGACATCTCCCATGCAGTTAGATGACACGAAGACTCTTAAGCTACTGACGAGAGTATGAACAAAAGTTATAATTTGGCGGAATATATAATCACTATTTAGTGACTTCCAGCGGTCGTATTCTGCAGATTTATAGGACGACAACTAAGCTGAAGATAGATAGCCAAGGAAGAGTAGTCCTAAGGAAGTTCGGTCTATTAACTATAGCAGTTAACTATATATACAGTACATATGCAGGTGGTGATTATTGAAAATTAATGTTTATTCTCGTCCATCCGTGCGACACCAGCAGCGGATTCTATCAATAACTTTTATACGCTTCCCCAGAAAAAAAGAAAGATGAAGAAAGAAAAAGATTACTCGAACGCCTACTCTCCATGAGATCCAGCAGTTCTTTGACGCATTAGGTCTCGTCTCCGCTTGTCCTGTTCGGCATCAAACACAATAAACTCATGGAGACCCGACCCAGCAGGCACCATGGGAAGAACTGGAACCTTTCTGTCGGTGATAACCTCCAGCAGGCTTGGTCCGTCAGTATTTATGAGCCATGTCAGGGCGTCGGTGACCTCCTCTGGCTTGCTGATGCGGCGGTGATGAACACGCATTGCTCTAGCGAATGCCATAAAATCAGGATTACGCTGGTGGGAGTGTGCATAGCGGTCTTCGTAGAAGAGGTTCTGCCATTGTGTAACCATACCTTGTTCCTCGTTATTCAGAACAATGACCTTCACGCCAATATTGAATTGAGCAGCAGTGGACATCTCAGTGAGAGTCATCCCGAAGGATGCATCTCCATCAATGTCAATAACCAGGGCCTCTGGCCGAGCCACCTTAGCTCCAATTGCGGCAGGAAGACCATAGCCCATAGTACCCAGTCCACCTGATGTAATCATAGTATATGGGTAGCGCCATCGGAAGTGCTGCGCCGTCCACATTTGGTGCTGGCCAACGCCAGTGGTGATGATGGTCTCGTGTTTGCGATCGGCGGTGAGGTTGCTGAGCTCTTCTATAATATATTGGGGCTTGATCAAGTGTGACCGTTCCTCAGAAGATTCGTATAGATTGAGAGGCCACCGTGCCTTCCATTCTTTAATCTTCTCGAACCACTCGTAACGATCTGCCATGGTGGTCTTCTTTACAAGAGGCAGGAGATGGGTAACATTTTTTGAGATATCACCAACCACAGCCTCCGTAGCTTGGACAACCTTGTTGATGTTCTTTGGTAGAATTTCAAAATGCACTATACCACCACGGCCTTCAGTCTCAGCCCTCTTCGCAGCAGGCGCGAACTTCTGGATGTTCAAAGTCACGCGATCATCGAATCTTGCGCCGAGGGCAATGATGAGATCAGCTTCTTGCATTGACATGTTGGCATAAGCTGCACCGTGCATTCCCAACATATGCAGAGCTTTCTCATCGAGCTCATCGAAGGCGCCGAGTCCTTGCAATGTGGTGGTGACGGGTATCGATGCCTTGTCCGCGAGTTCTTTGAGCAGTCTAGGCCCATCCTTGGAGCTCAAGACACCATGACCGGCATAGATGACTGGCCTCTTGGCCCCATTGATCAGATCTGCCACACGAGCAATGGTCTTTATCGGGACGGCTTGCTGCATCTCAGCCAACGGTAGACTGGGCAAGGCGGAAGTAGTTGGGATCGCCTGTCGGAGTACACTAGCTGTGACATCCTTGGGCAAATCCACAAGGACGGGACCCGGTCTTCCGCTCGTGGCGATCTCAAAGGCTTCATTCAGCCTCTGTGGTAACTCAGATGTATGTCTGACCATGACATTCCACTTAGTACATGCGCGGGAGATTCCCAATACGTCAGCTTCTTGGAACGCATCGCTGCCGATGGCCGAAGTGGCCACTTGGCCGCAGAAAACAATCAGAGGGGTTCCGTCGCAGAGAGCATTTTGTATAGGCGTGATGACGTTCGTGGCACCAGGTCCAGATGTGACGAGGACAACACCTGGCTTGCCCGAGGCTCTCGCATATCCCTCCGCCATGTGCCCTGCGCCCTGCTCATGCTTGGGGAGAATAAATTCGAAGTATTTGGAATTGTAGATAGCGTCAAAGACTGGGAGAATGGTGCCGCCTGGGTACCCAAAGATGTGTTTCACGTTATGTCTACGCATCATCTCATGGAAAATCTGGCCTCCCGTCATGCCGATGAACCTGTTGGGTTATATCAAACATTAGCGATCACGAACTGTGGTACAGGGAGGAATCTCTCATACGATTCATCAACCGCCGGCGGCAGCACACGATGACTCGGAGCAGCGACATCTGTGGTGTGCGCGTTTGCCACGTTGGTTGGTCTGTAATTGTACACAGATAAGCAAAAGCACGAAACAGCAATAGAGATATGTAAAATACATTGAATGTGTCGCAGCAGAGGCGGTTCCTCTAATAATTTGTTTCCTCAGGACGTGATCCAGGGGTCTGGAAACGAGAGTCCGTGGATGGTGAGCAGTGGTCGCCTGGGCGTTGGCCGCCAAAGTCACCTGCCGGGCTCGAAACATCTTGAATCACCCAATGATGGCAAACAGGGGATTGGATTGAACAAAGAGACGTTGGGAAACCGGTAAGAGAAACAAAGGAAAAGGGGGAAAGATTCTCCGGTCAATTATGAGTCAGGGACAAGTTATGATCAACTATGAGTCAGGAACGGTTACCAAGAAATCCTGATTTCTTTTGGACCATCATTGAACTCCAAAAGCGACGCAGCTTCGGACATTCTACTCTACAATATCGGAGTCAGACATAAGGGAGCTGGCTCAGGGGCCTCTCCTTTGAAGGAATGGGGTGAAGTAAGTTATTCCCGAGGATTTACTTACTGTACGTATACCATGCTCCGTTTGAAGATATACTAGTCACGGTCCGCTTAATATTGATTACCTAGGTAGTCTTGTGGTATGCTACCCTCTATGTTTAACTAGAGGATTGGCTTGAGCAGATTCTTTAACTTATGTAGTAACACACGCTTCTCAGACTGTCAGTCTTGATGACTACATAATACCAAGGGAACAAACATAGGTTGGAATAAACATACAATTGGTACACGCTGAATGTAGCCCCCACCGTCTGCGGTGACTAGTTATAGTTAGTATAGTACTCCATCAGATTCCCTTTCCCTCTTCCGGTTTTCCTCTTTTCCATCCTGACACTTCCCACATCTCCTTCGAGCACACGGTACTACAAAGATCAATTGAGTCATACCCGGGATGGACAGAGTCGCTGAACGACATATATATCGTAGTTTCTCTTCGGAGGCTCCTAAGTGATCAGCCATATGATGGCCCAGACGATCAGGAAGAGAGCTATAACATCAAAGATATCAACCAACTGTACTGGCTGCGCTGGGCCCTATCATCATTTATACTTATGCGCCATGATCTAGAGAGCAATGCAGATACGCACTGAGCCCAAGAGTTGAATCGTTTCCAGACGAGGCGCCTTCTATTTACACGGCGGGGGCCAGCTTGATCCACCCCGGAGACAGAGAAGGAATAGGAGATATTTGAGGGCGACGGCTGTCGATATAGATTATGAAATAATCCTAATAAGGTGATGAATGTCTCTGAGAACCCAGGCGGCTGGTTTACAACCTTTTTCTTAGGCAAATTCTAATCAAAGTTTTGGACTATAAGAGCAAATAAAAATAATCTGCCCAATGATATAAAACCTAGCAAAAGGCTCCAATACCAGTTCAAAGGAAGCATTTTGAACTAGTGGGATTAGGGAACAGCAGAAACCCATGCCCAGACCATCGTCACACTCCCTGGCTTAGGGGTGGAACCAATTTTGGACCGCAAGGACAATGGAGGCCGCCCAAAGGCGGTTGTACTGGCATCGAATATCGTGGAGTGGACGGTAGTTGGTGAATAATAATGAACGGTTCCTGACTGTGCCTTTGGAGTATTGGCCTAACTGGGTAAGTATTTCACCTAACTGGAATTCTGGAGCCAAGCTCGCTGAGCTTGAATTCTCTAACAACTAGCTCAGCCTATTTATCTCTGTTGCTGTAGCTAGAAGGCGTGAGAGAAACTGACAGCAGGGAGGCCGGCTTGTAGGCAGGCTCCAACGGGAATGAGTACAGTACTAGGTTACTTGACCTTCAATGGGTGAGTTCGTCACTCTATTGTCTATGGCTAGTTAGTTAATCGATGCCATTATAATTATAATTATGTGGCTACGGGAACAGCCAGCACAACTTAGTTCTACGTACTGGTCTAGACTACGGACTGTCGTCCCTCATCAGGGATGATCAGCCAAAAGCCCGTATCGACAGGGACTATCGACAAGGTCGCTCGAACAGGAAGATTGTTTACCCGAGGTGACAGTCACCGCCCTGTTCATCTCAATTGTATCAGCTGTTAGTTGGCTTCTCCCACTCCATCCTTCAAAGGCATCGGTCGCGAAGAATGTCTCAGGACCATGATTCGCTTGCTCTGCGGAAACGTCGCTTGCTTCGCGGAGAGATCACATACGCCGCCGCAAAGGAACAAGACGCTAATATCCTGCATCAGTTGGGATATAGGGATCAGAAGATTCGATATTTTACCCATCTGTACCGAAATCGCAAGCTGATAGAAAGAACCGTCGCCCATCATCTCGGCCTCCGTTCCGCGGATGCATGTCGTACTGTTGATGTGGAGGACTGGATCCATGGCAGCTTCAACGTCTGCATCCGAGTTGATGTTGATGGCCAAGGACGAGATCCCCGGAGACAATTGATGATGCGGTTTCCCTTGCCTTACCGGATTGGAGAGGAATGCTGCCCAGGCAATGCGGATGAGAAGGTCCGCTGTGAAGTTGGCACCTACGCATGGCTCCAAGAGAATTGTCCAACTGTCCCAATTCCACAGCTTTATGGGTATGGGCTGTCCACTGGCCAAACTGTATGACCTCCGTTTACATGTCTTCCAAGAGGACTTGCCGCTTACAATTCTAGTTCACTGTTCTCGATAACCTGCCTTTTATAACCCGCATCATGCAGCATCTGCGCCGTCGGTTGTTGAGTTGGTTAAACTACCCGACTCCGTCCCCCTATGTTCAACATCAGATCAAAGATCAAACCGGACTGGGAACACCCTACCTTTTGATTGAATATATCGATCCGTCGAGAGGCAAAATGCTTTCCGAAACATGGGAAGAAGGTCGCCACGATGTCGCATTGCGCAGGAACCTTTTCCGCGGCCTTTCTCGCATTATGTTGGCTTTGGCACGTATTCCATTACCAAAGATCGGAGCGTTTACTATAGATGAAAAGGGGTACTTAACTTTGAGTAACCGCCCTCTTACCCTTGAAATCCACCAACTAGAAAATGAGCATATACCAGTTGACATTCCGCGACATACCACTTATGCCACTGTTGACTCTTATGTCAATGATATACTTGCTTTCCATGAAAGTCGCCTTCGCCACCAGCCGAATGCAGTCAATAATCTCGAAGATGGTTTCTACCAAACATCTGCATTGATGGTTATGAGAAGTATATGGTCTTGCTTTTTCCGCCGTGATCTCTTTCGAGGTCCGTTCTTTCTTAATCTCACTGATCTCAACCAGAGCAATATCTTTGTCGACGATGATTGGAATATCAAATGCCTTATCGATCTGGAGTGGACATGCTCCCATCCAGTGGAGATGATTCATCCTCCCTACTGGCTGACGAATGAGGCCATTGATCTGATCAGCGTAGATAACTACGCGATTCTGCGCGAAGAGTTCATGAAGGGCTTCGCGGAGGAAGAAATGAAAACCGAGCTGCCAGCCCGTCTGTATCCTATTTTACAGGACGGTTGGGAGAGAGGAACATTTTGGTATTCTCTCGCTCTCAGTAGTCCTACGGCGTTGTTCAAAATCTTTTACGACTTCATTCAGCCGAGGTTTTCGAAGGCCCATGACGATCCAGCTTTCTGGACAATCACCATGCCCTACTGGACATTCAATGCCTTCAAGTTTATTGAAAAAAGAGTGAAGGACAAGGAGCAATACGATGTCGCGTTGCGTGAGGCATTTGACACCGGAAATTCTCATGAGTAGATCCAACCGTCTTCCACTCCCGTCTCGATCTTTAACTTATCTCCCGAGGCTAGCGCGCGGCTCGGAACTTTACATTCTCCCCCGGATCCACCAGAGATCACGTGGAGCGCATCGCGTCTGCGGTCTGCAGTACAATATGGTATTTGTATCCTCGACTCTATTCCCATGGTATACAATTGAAGTTATGCCGGAACATTTTGTAAATGATCAAGCGTCTGGATTATCAGCTAGATATCTAGATAGGTTGATCTCCTCAGGAGACAAGAAGAGAGGAATCATGGCATCAACATGTACTCTTCTACTCCCGGAGCCGAGACTCAATCTGAAAAGGGCCAATTGGTGTGTAATAGTGTGTAAAAATAAGATTATTCAGGCGGCGTGGTAAGCGACAATAACTACCTATCACTTCTTCCTTCTAACTATGTACTGAATCCCATAAAGAAACCCCTCGAAATCCCTCGAGCATATACTGAATCACATGACCTCCCTCCCTGATCTTAGTCATCCGCCAGTCCCTTCTAGGCAGTAGTTCGTGCCGCCCGCCGACATCGTCACTACAACCTGTGCGGCAAACACCATCAGAGAAGCCAACACGCAGCGCGTCCGCAAGGACAGAGCGAGATTATTATTATTATCATTAGAAAGAAACTCCACATAACTCGATAATCAAGGGAATACAAAATGGCCGGCAAGAAAGCAGCTGGAGAGAACTCCAAGAAGGCGGCCGGTAACGCTCGTGTATGTTTCTATCTACCCCGCCCCCGCCTTTTCTCTTTCTTTTCCTTTTTTTTTTTTTTTTTTTTTCTTTTCTTCCGGATATAGTTCTCCGTCTGCATGATATTGGATCTGAATCGTTCGAGAAGACAGAGCTGATTTGAAATAATGACGTAAACAGAAAGCGGAAGCCGCCGCCCAGAAGAAGGCCGCTGAAGACGCGAAGAAGGCGGCGGAAGAAGATGCGAAGTGGTCAAAGGGAGCTAAGACTAATGCAAAGAAGTAGGTGATGTCTTGATCCTTCGTGAATGAATTAGCAGCTCTATCCTATACTCTTTAACCAGAATTAATGGAAAAAGAAAAAAACTAACCCGATTTCCTCTTTCCTCATAGGGAACAAGAAGAAGCCAAAAAAGCCGAAGCAGCACGCAAGAAAGCCGAACGCGAAGCCCTTCTCGCAGCAGAAGAAGCCACTCAACGCGCAACTCCCAAGGGCGCAAAGGCCAAGACCGCTCAGAAGAAGACCCGTGGACTGGACCTATCTCAACTGGACGAACCTGCCGCCAAGGGCGCTGCTCTCAACGCATCCGGTATCGACAACGCTCTCGACGCCCTCTCCCTCACTGCCAGCTCCGACACAGCCAAGATCGATCGTCACCCGGAGAGAAGATTCAAGGCCGCTTATGCCGCTTTCGAGGCGCGGAGACTGCCTGAGATCGAGCAGGAACACCCTGGTCTGCGGAAGAACCAGCGTATTGAGATCTGTCGCAAGGAGTTTGAGAAGAGTCCTGAAAACCCCTTTAACCAGGTTCACGTGTCGTTCGATGCCTCGAAGGAGGAGATCGCTGCTCTGAAGGAGGCAGAGAAGAAGAAGATTGAGGCTAGATTGGCCGCCAGATGAGGGGGGACAAAATACCTCTGAAAAAAAGGAAAAGAAAAATATCTCGCAAATCTATAGAGCGAGTCAAGTTATGATGATACCCTTCGCCCCCTTTTTTTTCACATTAGGGGAAAAGAAAAGGGGGAAAGACATTTCACATTTTAAATTCGCAAGGGTTGTATATAAGAAAGAAGGATGGAGCGTCTTTGCTCCTATTCCATTTTCCGCAGGATATTCCTCTCTGATTGATGCCCGTGATGATGAATGAGGACATCCATTTTTTTCATGTTTATTGGTGGTCTAGATTTAATGAATGGATGATGTTGTCTCGCGTGCATGCGTGGGGTGCCAATTCAACCATCTAGCGAATGGATGTATAGATTTCTTGGTATGGAGGGAAATATTTATTTATTCAGGTTCGATCTATCTAATATAAATTATCTGTGATCTTCTCAATCCATGAAGCAGCCTAATACTATTCCTCCAAGTGTGTATGTATACGACATACTCTTTGCGATGTACTCCGTATCAGGATGGAAAAAAGGGGGGGATGGTATAAAATAATCATACTCATGTCTATCCACAACGTAAGAGATGCTTGCTTTGAGAAGATATAGATATAGAACATATCACATGCAGGGGTACCATAAAGACATCGCTATCCAGTGCCTTCCACACGATCGATGGTATGAGACGTAAGAACGTCATTTCTTCCTTTTCTCTCCATTTTTACACACATCATAATCATCAAAAGAACAAGAAGACGCCAATTTGACTCATCCGGGAATCGTTAAGTAGAACAAGAAGGGAGAAAAAGGGGCAAAAAAGAGAACGGGGAAAAAAAGAAAAGAGATGTAGTTTGTCGTTGCGCAACAGACTATCCCATCACCGCTCGGACGTCCCATACTAATAATTGTTCGTCCCATCCTACGCTGGCGCACCATCCTTCGCTGCCAAAGAGGCACCAGTCTATCCCGGTGACGAACTCGGTGTGGTTTCCCATTCTGCCTAGTTCTCTACCCATGATTGGGCCCCCAGGACCTGCGCGCATGATATCCCCGTCTCCGCCAGCGCCTGGTTCCGAGGAGCGATCTGTCCATGCACGGCATGTCATGTCGTAGCTTGCGCTCAGAAGAAGGTCGGGTAGATGCGGTGACCAGGCTATCTTGCGGACGGCGTAGTCATGTCCGACCATTACAGCCAGTGGACCTTGCTGCGGAGCGCGAATGTCGAATGTCCGGATAGTCTTATCAACACCAGCAGTGGCAAGAATTGAGGGTCGATACTTGTTCCAGTCGTGTGTGAGAGCTTCAGACGGTGGTGCTGCCGCAGGGGCAGTAGCCATGCCTGGTTTATTACCCATCGGGACAAGTGTTGACGACGCTCCATGAATAGGAATCTGAAGAGTGAGATGATTCGATGCTGAAGCTGGCGTGCGCAAGTCGAAGAGACGCACGTATGAGTCCGACGAAACGCAGGACAGAATATCAGGGGAATGAGGAGACCACTCGGCGGAGTAAGTGCAGCTGTGTGTTGGCAGCGTCAACAGCGATTGCGGCCGCTGCGGTGACCAGATCTTGACCGTTCCATCCCAGCTGCTGGAACAGAATCGATCCTTTGCAGCCAAATTCCAATGTACCGAGAACACTTCACGATTATGTTCCTTCCATGCTTGAACGGGGAAATCGTTTACTGTGGAGTCGAAGAGCTTGATACTTCCATCCCCGGAAGCGACCAGAGCTTGGTTCTCGTGGATCTCGGACCATGCGAGATCATAGAGCGAGTCTTGAGTTGTAAACCTGCATATCAATCGACATCAGTGTTCTGCTATCGTTTCAAATGTGGTGTTTGTGGAATGGCTATGTCGAGCTTGTCCCGCATGACGACTGGGGAACCGCGGGGTAACGCGGGGAGATGGAAGAGGCGAGATATGGACGCATACCATTTCAAGGGAACAATCCCATTTGGCGTCAGATCCAGTATATAGAGCCGTCCATTACCCACAAGCCCGAAGTTGGCGGACGCTGCAACGGCGATGCGGGAATCGAAGAAGGGCGAATACTTGACGGCGCACCCGTTGAAGCCCTCGGTGCGGAACCGGAGCATGATTGCCAACTGACACGAAAGACGGGGAAAGAAAGAAGTTCACGTCACGGAAATGCACGCAAGATGATCATCTCATACTGCTCCCAGACACGAAGACATCAATGAGTTTCCGTCCGCTGTCCATCGTTCCTCCGGACTTGCTTCCATTGAATGTGACGGAGGCGGTCGATATCGCCGAGGCTACAGCGGGCGGTGGGATTCTGCCGGTGTTATCTCCCTACTTAAGTAAGTCAGTCGGCCTTCGGATGGAGTTGGTTGACACGGAATGATCTACGATTGATCTACGGAGGCACTTTTACTTCGTTCGATGTCTTTCCAACTGCTGCAGGAGTCTTCCTTGGGGATCTCCGTTTGGAAGCCGCATATATGGATTGCCGTAAGGTCTTGTAACTAGATGGCAATGTCATGCTGACATCATGTCAACCATACTTTGCTCCATCGCCTTTGCCATTAAATAGAGGGCTTCCTTTCCTTTACATCTATCTAACCAAAGGCAGTCCGTCTAAATTCTGATCAGTGTGCCATTCATCTTATCTCGAGTTGTCCGCCATGACTACCATGACAGAGCCTGGTTTCTTCAAACCAGCAAGCCATTTCCTGGAACGGGAAATCACCCGACTCGGTGAAGAGCCGGGCCTGACATCTCTTCCTCCAGGACCTGAACGGGATTTCCTGACCTTAACATGGGGTCCGGTTGTCTTCCGTGCCACATATGCTCCTGATTCAGAACGTCTCTTCCCGATCTACTTGCGAGCTCTGAATGAGGAGATCCAAAGGGCCGTCCCAAAGCATCTGCAAGGCAGCCCCGAACAGATGCTCTTGCTTCAACGCACGTATTCGTCCAAAGTGTTCAGCGATAAGAATATGTACGACAATGCAGATGTTGAGACCGTTCGACAAGCCTTCCACGACTGGAAAGTCTCCTTAGGGCTGCCCGCGATGGATTTGCCGATCCGCCTCAAGTTTTGTCTGATGGTTGATGATGGCTGTCTCGCAACATTGGCAGCTGTGACGGATCAGGCCTCCTCGGTTGAGACCCAAGCGGAATTTGGGGCTGTCAGGATTATTATCGTCGAAGAAGAATACCCGCAGAAAGAAAAGCAGGGGGCATCGCCACCCCCGGAATATCCTGGATGGGTGGCTGTCTCCCTTGCGGCACTGGTCGAGGTCTATAGTGATCTGGACAGGGATAAGAGCCTCTCAGACTTTTATAGGAAGAACCAGCTGTATAAGGGCAACGGAGAATGGGTGCCGGTCCGGAAACCATCACTATAAGATCGAGAACCGTACCTGCAGACGGGTGAGGTTTTGCACGATGTTATGATGACGAAATGAGATGCAACAGCTTTTCCGCACATGAGTGTCACCGGTTACCGCAAAATGGGGTTTGGGGAGAGATCCCATCTGCTATCCATCAAGAGGTTGACTGGATGATTAGTGACAGCTGCGTCAAACCTGATAGAAATAAAGAGCGACAAAAGTTATGCGTATATGCGATTTGTCCACCGTCGTAAATGCAAATATATATCTCTCACAAAATTAGATGAGATCTCACAATGAGATCTCACAATCTGTCAACTGCATCAAAATCGTAAAGCGATCATCACTATAACATGTCATTCCAATCGTCTGGTATGACGGTACGTAGGCCGCGAAGCTCTCTCTGACCCAGCTTGCCGATATACCAAATATGTTCAAAGCCAGTCATTAAAGAGAAGAGATGAGCTAGTATCACTAATGCTCTTGGTTGCCGGTCCTCGACCAGTTCGATAAACCGCTCAGGGATCCTTGAGCCGAACGCAATACATTGGAGACCGATCTCTGCAGCTGGTCTTTTCGACTTGATCGCACAACTCAAGCCTCCCAGGTATTTAACGACGCTCTCGTATGTCCTCTGGATATCTTCATCCCAAGGCTCATCTCTGTATCTTGCATTATCTGATCGATCAAGCAGATGAGAGTATTCATTTTTGCTCTCGTCTTGAAACAAAAGATGCTGGTTCAGAGTGAAGTACCCCTCTTTCATGACCTTCAGAGCTTCTGAGGATGGATCATGTCTCACCAGCTCGTATACCACTTCAAATATGTGCGTCGCACGGACTGCTATTCTGAACCACTGCATCGGTGGGGTATATGGCTCGATGGGGCGCTCTTGCAGCGAAGCAAACGCTGCTACCCGGAGAAGGCTGGAGGTAAACCATACTGCATCTGCCATCTGGTTATTGATCTGAGCAATATCTTCGCGATGCTTTTGGATAGCTTGATCCATATATTGACCATGTGCAGCCATCAACTCTCGGTTACCCGGTTGAGTAAGGCTGAGTTGCAGCGCTGCTATAGAGTAGATGGAGTCCAGGAGTGCCCTGTGTTGAAATGCCAGACGAGGAACATAGGTTTTCCATATATCCGCAAGCTTTGGTTCGGGAGACGTTGGCAGCGTTTGGCTGGTTACGATGGAGTAGTGGTGGAGGAGTCGGAGCTCAAGAAGGTGTTTGCCGCCTGGGTCTGGGCCCGGTGTATTGGAACCACTGTTGGAACCACCGCGGTCGTGGTTCTTAGTTTTGCCAGCCTTCGAAGAATCATTTCCATTGTGACCAGCATGTGATGGCGGAGGGATCGTAATCAGCTTGAAAACATCTTCGTAGACACAGGCCACATTATGGCGGTCACAACTGCCGCAGACTGGATGGATCTCATCGCACTGCTTTTTGTCAGAAATTGGATATGCCCGACCTTCATGAGTACTTGGAGATTGTTTCAGAGAGTGAGAGAGGTTAAGAAAAAGGACTGGTGGAAGTGGGAAAGAGGGAAGTGCCCGGTGCTCTCCGCGTTGGTGGGATTCCAAGCGTCAACAACCCCGGGGGGTTCAAACAAGAGCAACTGAGAAGATGTGATCAATCACGAAATGTGAAAAGAGACAACCAACTTTGACTCGACGGGCACGACACTGCTGGCATCCCGCCTTGGATTTCTTGTGATGGAGGCGCGGTGCCTTAGGGCGAGGGGCCCTGGAACTACCAGGCACATACTGGATGAAGCGCGTCTTATCCATCCGACCCGCATCGGATTATACCAGTCAGGAAGCGTATTGTCCTTGCAGAGACGTGGCACTTGCACGCATGCTAGCTGGAATGGAGAGGTTCGATGTCACAGAGATCAGTTGGACGTTGGAGAGTGGCTCAAAGAGATTCTTCGTTGCCTGTTCTGTCTCGCTTTCGCGTTCCTTTCCTGAGCGGGCAACCAAGTACTGTACTTAGCGCCCAAAAGATCGGCCGTTTGGCCCCCATCCCCATAACATCCTCCAGAGTTGTTACTTCGAATTAGAGACGATGGACTGTCGCTGAGCCCCTGAGCTGCGGTAAAATGTGGCTTAGCCATCTATTTCGGAGCATCTATTGGGGGGCGTTATTCCTGCTCCAGAACAATTGGAGTTGCAATGCTGGGGCCTAACTAAGCTGTGAATCCATGTCAGTAACTAGCTTCTTATTTAGGATGATAAGAGCTATGAATCTTCCCCATGTCGTTTTCATGTATGACAAGATCTGTCATTCTCTGTGCACGTCCTGCTGCCAATCGTCGTTTTTACGGAGGACTATCTACGTTGGATAGTACATACATAGATCTTGTACCATACAATTCCCAAGATCCAGTACATACAATATGACAATGGCAGCACTCCCCACTGCACAGTTGATCATATACTGCATCCTTGCCCTTCCTGTTCTTTACTGTCTCTACTCTCATGGGAAACCCGGTTTACTAGGATGGCTTTATCTCTTCGTTTTCTGCACCCTACGCATTATTGGCTCCGGCTTGGAGCTTAGACAAGGGGATCTCGATTCCAGCAGCTCCAGCGCGCTACTAGTCAATAACATCGGTCTTTCTCCCCTCCTTCTGGCAGCGATGGGCATATTGCATGAAGCGTACGTTATACAAGGTCTCAAACATTACTGTACTCTCGCTAAGGATACCAACAGACGAGCAGCTCGAAATCTGATCTCGAACGCTAAACTGGAATGGGCATTCGTCTTGATCTACCATGTCGCCGTCAGCGCCAGTCTGGCTATCATCGCCTGCGCCATCAGTGCCCTTACGAACAAGGACTCAAAAATGTCAGCTACAACATCTTTGGATCTAGTGAAAGTCGGCTTCGTCATAATGCTAGTGTGCTGGTTGGCACTCGTGGCGTGGACGTCGATAAGCTCACGAACGCCGAGAGACTGTGACCTTATCTCCAGGAGATACGTGGATGGGATTAAGGTGAACATCTCACCATCGTACATCCTCTGGCTCGTCATCACTGACCATGTGGACTCCGTAGTTAACATATGCCGTCGTCATATCGTGGCCCCTGATCATGCTTCGCGGTATATATGGACTCATCTCAGTCACGAAGCCTTCATCGAGGTTTTCAGATTCGTTAGCTGCAAATGTCTGTTTGAGCGTTGTTCCGCAGTTGCTTCTTGCGGTTATATTTGTCCTAGTGGGCATCTGGACACGCCATATTGACGAGAAGCAAGATGAGAGGCTCAAAGAACCACAACGTTATGCCCGCGATGACGAGATGGTAACTGTCTGGCAGCCAGAGTCTGGTGACGCTGGAATTATGGCTAAATAATGTGAATAATCTACTTATGTATACTCATCTATAGAATCACTGGATAAAAACGAAGACTCAAGGTAGAGTTCAGTTGTTTTTCTCTCCGCCTTTCTATACAGAGATATGAAAAGCGACGAGACCAATGCATCGTGGAGTTATCTACAGCTATGATTCATATCCTCAATTTTTCTATCTTACAGTTCGTCCCAAGTACCTGTACACATAAATGCAACAAAAAACCAATCCCTGACACCTTACCGCGCCCAATCCCATCATAATTCTAAAACGGTTCATCCATAGACATAATACCAAGGCCAAGCGCGAGATAATTTGCCGTCCTTCCAATCTTGTTCCTAGGCACAGGGTCAGCCAGAACAGCGATACTTATTAGGGTTATGAGTTTTTACCAATTCGTCAAGTAACTCATCGAGCAATTCTTTTTCGTCCCTCAACCACTCTGCTTGCCGTTCAGAAATAGTCTGATTCTCCGGGAACGTTTGTGCGCGATCAAAATCGATCCATATAACCCTTTCTGTGCGGCTTTGAACCATCAGATTTCGAGGCCAGAGATCGCCGTGGTAAACGCCTGCTTTATGAATACTTTCCAGGATCGTACGAAACTTAATAGCGCGGGAGATTGAAAAATTTGAAAAGGTGATTTTTTCCATATCTGGAATATATTCAATAAGAATGGCGTTGGGCAGTGATTTATCCTTCAGGAACCGGTCCAGAAAAGGTTGGCATGATCTTGGCTCGATCTGTTTTATCACGCCATGAAAGTCTGGTACCACTCCTAGTTGACATAACCCGTGCTGTTTGAGGCGAGCATATGCAGTGCTTTCACAGATGAATGGTTGGATTTCCCGGTGTGTGGGATCAGCAGGCGATCTCTCCAGTGTGTGGTACTAGGATGATGGTTAAGAAGGTGCTTAGGAAACTGGGAATGCATCAGGAACAACGTACCACCTTGAGGACATACAGCTTATCTTGCACGGTCACTTGGAAAATCGAAGAATAGTCGGATTCTTGAAGAACATGGACAAAGTTAATATCAGCGATTGTAAGTTCCATGGCTAGCCTCATGAAAGAAATAGATCCGACGAGGTACTGCGTGGTTGCAGATGAGCTGGGGTACTTACTGTATGAGTGAAAGAAAAAGTTACGACGCACAAACCATGAAACCTCGGCGGATATTCCCACCAACCAATAATTGAAGCTTTCACTATAGGAAGCTCACTTCACATCAGATTGAAACCTACGGCCAATGTAGCCTACGATGTTGGAGTCTAGCTTACAGCGAATTGCAAATGCATAGATTTCTTTGAGTCCTCTCAAGTTGAGACTATGTATTGGTGTCTAGCTGTTTTTCCGGTCCGCTGTTTTTATCGGCTTATGATTTTTTAGTCGCATGTGTTTTCTCGCTATCCCAACGCATCTCCTAATACGGGCTGTCTCCTTTGATCCATATGTTGTGTGATGGGATGACTGATGTTGGCTATCCTGTCCCGCAGTAGTGGCGTAAGTAAGTACTGCAGCTGGCATTGCGGCAAAATGAATAATTTGGCACCGGCGCTACTTAGGTATACATCGGAAGGATGCATGCAGAAACCAAAGGGGAAGCGAACGTAAAGAGCGAGTCGATACAAGACTCTACTTTCGATTCTCCTTCGGGATAATATTATCACTGTCAACATTCTCGTTGCTGAGGACAACGGCTTTAGTATCTGTGACTTCGTTACGGAACGCCTCCGGCATAGGTACTCCACTTCCATATAATTTAGCATATTCACTTATCCCCTATCTGTATGCAGCTATACTATGACCTTTCACCAACTGATTCACGCGTATGACTCTATGAATTTCCTAGCGGAGTTCTCCCACTTATTTGCCTTCTGAGATCCGCCCATGGGAATAAATAATCTGAGCTTGCTAGAAAATCTGAGCATTAGCCAGTTTCAACGAAGAATGTATACTTTCTTATACACAAGTCTTCGTACTATAGTACTTATAGACACTTTATATAAATATCTACCATGAATAACCTCGTTAGCTTAGTGAGATACCTGAAAGTCGGTCTCCGGGTACTGAAAATATTACTGAATTAAATTACCTTGATGGATAAGACGAGGAACCTGAGCTATGGATATCAGAAATTTAGGTCACTGGAGCACTTTCAATCTGGCCACCACAAAGGCGCAGTACAGACACGTTCTTCCGGGGCCCCATACTATATGAACGCATGCTAACATCTCCGCAGTTGCTCGCTTCGGAAATGAGCGTCCGACAGTGATTCATACATGTGGATTCGACTTAGGCGCATCATTTCCCATCCGTCTCCAGTTCCTCTATATGTAGAACTGTCTTGACGGTTATAGTGCTCTATCATTTGAGGAAGGGAATCAAGCCGTAATATATGAAGGCCTTCACGTCTGATACTGCCTATTTCCAGAAGTACCTGAGACCCAGACCATCTACCAAGGGAAATCACACCCCAGGAGATATCAAGTCGTTATGGAAGTGGTCTAGGGTCCGGATTATGATATTGAGAAGCAAAGGAGAGAGTTCAAGAAAGCCCTATCTCAGGTTACCTGGTGTATAAAGCAGCGCTATGCTCGCTACCGCTTTATCCTCACTGATCGTGAAGTTGTCGCCATTCGCAGACTTGATGTGAACGGGGATCTAGAACTCCCAGACGGATATGCTAGGAAAGAAGCGAAGATTTCTCCATTCTGGTATCATATGGACCAGTCAAAATCAGGACATGATCGATTCTTCTCTATACCATGGATGACTCTTGTCTAGTGACTAAATTTGCTCGTTGATCGTACAATGTGATTACGCAAACCTTATCACGCCTTCCCCCGAGCATGAGGCCGCGTCAAAGTTTCCGCGCCTGCCATGCCATTCCCACTTGTCATCGATGCAGAGACGCGGTTGGGACAACTTCGGCGCCTGCTAGAAGACGAGGAGTATCTTAAGGCTGTATCTATGATGAAATCTGTGCAACGAGATCAGAGAATGAAATGGTTATGCGGTGTGGTCACCTTTGGAAATATACCGCTCCAAGATAATGATCCTCGACCGGAGAATTGCGTCAAGATCATAAAGAAGGAAGCCTAGACCCTGGTCTTTGGAAAGATAAGGACTTCCGAGGGAACTAGCGGATGCTAACATGATAGAGAACTACCTACCTAGGTATATTCTCTGAGAATTATTAGTATACATCAGTTCTTATTTCTTTTGCAGTTATATTTTTTCTGATACTGCAAACCAGCCGCGGTTAACAATTCTGCTTGCGCGACGCTATATGCGAATGCTAGCTTCAGACAACCAGAATTAGTTCCTATGATGACTGCGTGCCACGACCCTGCATCTCGCAAACTAGTTGCTACATTCGGATGCAGGAAATATCCTTCTCATGTGAGTTTCAGCCGTAAGGTCTTTGGATAGTAAGTGATCGTGGCAATGAAATGAATTCTGCTAATGTACTTATTTTAATATAGCTATCGGAACCGTAAGCAGCCAGAGTTTGGGTTTGAATGGATTAACATTGACGAAATATAGTGTAGGCTATGTCATCAGCAGGGCCACAAGAAAGAGAAGTGCGCCTTCAGGGCTGACGATAAAGTATATGATCCTTCACTTCAAAATACCTGCACGGTGATTCGTACTTCCGTTGCTGACAGTTAAGTAGGGAACTTGGTCAAAGGGGGATCATTCTATTCGCAAAAGTTCATCTAAAAACGGAAGAGAGATAACCGGCTGGATACTTGAACGGGCTATAATCATTCCGGCCACCGTAGGAGCTGTGCGGTTATCCGGTCGGGCAATAAGAAATAAACTGTACTTCGCAACCTCCCCCGGGAACCTCATGTTGTATGTTGCTAAAAAGAAAAATGGGATTTTCTAGCAGCTCCCAGTTGTATAGAGACAGATGGGAGATGACATTAATGAGGCAGCAGCGGATTCTGAGGCGAGGCGCGTTTTCTGTCTCGATTAGAAGCCTCTCCATCACATCAAGATCTCCTTTTCGGGGTACTAAATACCACTCACATTGTTTAAACATATTGATGAAAGTAATAGTCATCGGAAATTGTTGGTTAGCCACCTCCAGTTCTATTGCCCCTTACCATCTCGGGAAAGGCGTTGTCAAGAGAAGGGCGCGCTCCGCATTCTCCACCAGTGACTAACCGCTCAATTATTCTAACTATGCCCCGTAACTAACTACGTCCAACGTCCATTATGGGATCATGATGTCTCCCGCTTCCCAGGGAACCGTAATTCTTCTGCTGTTCTGCTCTCCTATACGCCAGGATAGGAATCCGCTACGCTGACGCTCAACGTGGTGCGGAGGGGGCCTTGATCAGCAATCCTTTAACTAGTGCCCATCTGAAGCACTCAGAAACGCTACCCAGTGGCCATTTCTTTCAACATTTCTCTCCCTTTCCTGTTCTCAGCTTATCAGATTCTTCTTGGGAACATCGTATCGAACAATCATCTGCCTCTCCGAACAATTGCTGGGCGGTTCAGGTCCGCTTACAGCTGGCCGTTATTGACGAATCCACTCTCGTCCACTGCGCTGAGTCACAGACCTAGGAGAGTTACAAAGCGCAAGATGGAATACTTCGACTTCGACGGAGCTTCCCTTGGCTCCCAGGTCCTGGAGGACGACGTAGCTTCTGACTGTCAAGAGATTGACGAGGCGGATGCCGTCGCCAACTACGACGCGCTCTTCTTCGACAAGAACGTCCAATTGCCGACGAACCCTCCTGCTGCTGACACTGTCCACCCAGAGGCAGGCGAGGCAGAGGAAGACGCGGACGTATCCCTGGATCCTCGCGGACAGCCTATGTTCCGTGCCAAACAGCCTTGTGACTTCTGCCGTCGTATGGGTTTCGACTGTTTTGTCGCCCAAAGAGGGGTGCTGCAGAACGGTTGTACATGCTGTATATCTCTGTACCGCGAATGCAGCTTCACACACGCGAAAGCCCCTTATAAATATCTGGATACGTTACAATCATTGACAGAGGACGTTGACATTCCAACTGGTGGTCCAACCGGAAAGAGAATCTTGAAATCTTTGGGCGGTCGCCAGACCTACGACGACTTCGATTCGAGATCCAGGAAAAGTGGTGCTCGGTTCCCTCGCGAGGCTGTTCGTATCTTGAAGAACTGGCTCTCCCAACATAGCGAACATCCATATCCGACTGAGCAGCAAAAGGACGAATTGAAAGAGCAGACTGGGCTAAAGCGAAGTCAGATCTGCAACTGGCTGGCCAACGCCCGCCGGAGGGGGAAGGTCCGTCCTTCACCACGCAGCAGTTCTCCGGTCCCTGGGGCTATCGACATACCAGCTCAGACTCTGCCCCCAGGAATGGACATGTCACTGCTGACTCCTCTTGAACGTTGGAAATACTCGCCTCCCGAGAACGAAGCCGCCTCGAAGACTGCTATTATTCGAGCCATGGCCAATACTCAGTTTGACGACGAACAGATCCAATCTGGGCACTCACGCTCGCGCTCTCTCTCGCGGAGAACTGGTTCTAGCAACGACTCCAGCTTTTCCAATTCTAACCTGTTCCAGGCTCCCTCCGTCAGCAGTTTTGAAACAACTCGGTCCTCTCTCTCAGAGATGTCGTTTGCCTCTGCTTTCTCGCATCGCTCATCCATCGGTTCGTTCAATTCCAATTCTGTGGATAGGAAAGAGAGACGGCGCCGTCGCAAACCATCGGCTTCGTCTAGTGCTCTAAGTCAGCAAAAGACAAGGGGCGCTCGCATCTTTCAGTGTACGTTTTGTACTGATGCCTTCCCTACAAAGTACGACTGGCAACGTCACGAGAAGTCCTTGCATCTTGCGTTGGACAAGTGGACCTGTGCTCCCGGAGGCGGGATAGTATTCCGAAACGGACAAGCCTTTTGTGCCTTCTGCAAGGCCCCTAATCCTAACGAGGACCACCTTGAATCTCATAATTACTCCGATTGTCAGGAGAAGGCTTTGCAAGAACGGACATTTTATCGGAAAGATCATCTCAACCAACATCTACGTCTCATGCACGATGTCAAGTTTGACTCATCTATGGAGAGCTGGAAGAGTGCGACGACAGAGCTAAAGTCTCGCTGCGGGTTCTGCTCGGTCCAGTTCACCACGTGGAAAGAGCGGATCGACCATCTCGCGGCTCACTTCAAGAATGGCGCTGATATGAGACAGTGGCAAGGCGATTGGGGGTTTGAGCCGTTCGTTCAACGCCTGGTAGAGAACGCCGTGCCACCCTACCTGATAGGCCAGGAACAAAGATCTATGGATCCTTACCAGGCGTCTTCTCAATCCCTCAGTTCCAGTTTCCAGAGTCCTGCTCCTAGGCAAAGTATATTCTCCTCTGTGCCTCCTAGCATGCCGGGTAGCTTGAGCGGAAGCTACGCTGGCAGTTTTGGAGTGCCGTCCGCAATAGCCGCGCCGGCATTAGCAAGTGACTGGGGAAGTAACTTCCCTACTTGCGCGCTATCAGCATCTACATCTGCACCAGTCAGTGCACTTGCTGACTCGTCGGTGCAGATGGGATTCGATCCGGAGTTCCTTCAGCAGCCGAATGATAGTTACGGGGACCTCCATCATGATGATATGGAAGGTCTCGACTTTGGCGGTGTCGAGGTGCGAGATCAAGGAATGAGAATGACAGACCCTGACGACCTCGCATCGAAGCACACTATGTCCGCTAGTAAACGAAGCCCTGCGTCCGACTCTGGCTTCAGTTCCGCCCAAAACCATTCACGATCCACCTCGATCCCATTTTCAGAGCCGCTTTTTGAAAACTCCCACCTATTCTAGTCTTTTCCGAATTTTATGGCAGTCTGGTACCTGCTGACTTTGACGAGATATTCTAGATAGCAATGAATTCCGAATGGGAACGATATAGTTGCAGTGGATAGTTATGCCGTTTGAGGCTATGATGGAGGTCGAACATGAAACCGCATACGGAACCGTTTTCATGTCTGCATTGCACAAAAGGCATTATTTCACATGTTCTGGCATATTCATCTTTCATGCGAAGTCTTGCTTTTTTCTTTCTCTCTTTGACTTTTCTCGTATTCTATTCGCTTGCTGGGAAGAGTCATGACCGCTGAAGATGAGATGATGCGAGTATTCCTTCTGGACGCATGCATTAATGAGGCAGCTAAAAGTTGTTTATAATGCTGCTATAATTGAAACCGAATCGAGGTCTGTCTGGTAGATATTGTGGGCGCATGGAGTCTTTTTAGCGTGGAGAAAAAAGAAAACGAAAACGAAAACGAGACATTCTAAACTACCCGCGCTCTGTAATAACTATCGTAAAAGTAGAGTTGGGCTCACCTTTCTCTGTGATAGGTGTCTAATTGTCCGGTCATCCTCCACTGGTTCGAAGCACGGTCAACAGCCGAAAGGGACTGGTACACGTTCCGGTGATCAGCACGTATACTTAAATCTACGCTTTTCACTCTAAGTCCCCTTCCTTGCATGACATGCTACAAACATATTCATCTAGATCATCCCAGCCCCAGAATGACAATTCTGAATTTACCTGTCAGATAATATCTCGGTCTTGACGCAGTGGATACCACGACGATCACACCAGTCAGTCAGTCAAAGCAACGCTACTTAAGTCAGGATTCAAATCTAACCACACACAGCAGCAAGACGTTGCACTCGTTGATCAGATGATAATTACATTACCCACTCACTCAATGGATTAGTTACCTAGTGAACAACGATCTTTGGGACGACGCCACATCGTTTACATCTTCCCGAGGCGCATGGAATCCAGGTAGACGGCTCTCGAAGATCCTACAGCATCTCATCCGTTCTCTACTCTATGCTACAAGCTATAATGTTTCGCCCGGAGAGGAGAAAGAAAGTGATAGGAGATCATTTCGGCCAGATTCCACCCGTCCGTGTCACACAGAGCAACCTGACCTTACATGTACAGTACGTCCCTGGAGAATTGATAATGTTTCACTGTGCTGTGCTCAGATCTTTTCAATTAGCCTTCTGTGTGTATCTGCACATCCAATAATGGTTCAACCCTGAGCGGAGTATGTAAGTCGGAGTCGAGCCATGTGTGCGAAACACAGCATCTGAACCGTCTGCGTCTATGGTAAAATCAAGTCCCGACATAAGTACCAACCAGCATCTCAATCTCAGTTAGATGAGACAGTAACGAAGCCATGGAACGTGATCGAATTAGCTTTTCTGGGTCAACTTCTCTCCCTTGGATTTTAAGTTACTACGGGATCTGTCGCCAGTCCGAGTATTAACCGCGATCTAAGCAAGCTAGAGTCGTCTAAGTAGCGGTGGGGGATAGGAAAGGCAGAAGGACGATAAAAAGAGCCGCCTGTTACTTAGTCAAGTATCTAGAAGGATGTAACTAAGTATTTGACATGTGAAAGTCTCGTCTCGGGATCTTTTTGACGTCTCAACGGTCCGAGCGAGATACGATACGATACTTTACGATAACTGTGCCGTCCGATAGTCAAGCGATCAGATCACATCAGGTCAGATTTGCCGACCTGATCACGGCTACCTCCCGGTTTAAGTACTTAACTAGAAACCAGACGAGCATTGCCAGATGTTCTGGTCAGCCGGCGCGGAGGGCACATCGATGCATCCCCTTTCCGCCCAGCCTCGAGTGCTCTTAACGGTTCTCCCCGCCTCGTTGAGACGATGTATCCCGCGTCTTGACCGTTCGTTAACGACAAGTACCCTGACGAGCACGACATCTTCAACGCCCGATCTATGCAGAGGAATCGTCTGCAGCTCGGAGCCGCAATTGCAGTGCTATGATTTCCCGCCAGAGTCAGTGGGATACTCGCGGCGACCGGCCACGGCAACGACGGCAGCGGGGGATGATAACGAGTCCTCCAGTTCGTGTTCTGGCCGATCAGATATGTCGATCGAGATGGATCAGATGGTGAAGTATGAGGTCGAGTCAGGGCTGAGGTGGAATCGAATAGTTCCGGGTAAGTTGCCGTCGTCGCGACATTGATCTATATGCGATAAGTATTAACCAACATGCTTGCTAGCATTCAATCTCCTCCGAAACGCCGGATACGAAGCCCAACAACCTCGCGCTGACAGCCGTCTGGTACGGTCTCTATATATCAACGGGCTTCTCTACCTCCTCGAAGCTCTCCCTGCCGATCTAACCCGCGAAGAAACCGCTTCTATCCGCGACAGACTCCCCGAAACTATCGCATCCCCATCCACCGCCCTGTCATCTAGCTCACAAAACATATCCTCGAGAAATAAATACGGCCGATATAACACCACCTGGAACGCATCCGCAGAACCATCCTACCTCCACCGCATCCTCGCTTATTCTATCATTCAATGCTTCTTAATCATCCAGCTCCTTAGCCCCTACATCAGAGTGTTGCTCCAGCAAGCATATCAATACGAGCGATCGCACCGCATCACAGAGCGCGTGGTCACAGCGACATTAGGCGCAGCCGATAGTCTCGGTAAAAGCGGCGTCACCGCCGTGCTCGGTTTCAGAGAAGGGAGACTCGGCGCGGCGGTCTCCGAGCTTGCTTCCTGGTGGATCGAAGGCGTCACAGGCGGGATCTGCGAAGGTGTTGGGGAAGGATTGATCATTTTAGGAGCTGCGCGATCCCAGACTGATCCTTTGGGGATAGGTCTGGGGGCGGGGAAAGAGTCGAGCTAATTAAGAAGGCTGTTTCCGGTGCATAATGCATAAGGATGATGATTTAGAAAGGAAAAAAGGCGTCTTATTGTTTTGGTTTATCTCTTTGTTTCTGGCGCACTGGTGGCATATTGCTTTGTTTTTTTGCTTCTCACAATTGTTGTATAGTGATTTAGAATAGACCGCTTTGTTCTTGGTATGTGAAACTGGTACCTGTGTATGTACATGCAATATGTCAGGCTGCAGCCTTAGAACATGGAAAATTCACCTGGTACAGATCTGAACATCAGCTGCATTCATTTCAGCATTCCTATAGCCTGTTTTATGCTGGCTCATCAGCCTCATCCAGTCCATCTGTCGTGAAAGATGGTAATACTGATACGGACCCGCCGATGCGGGATGCCGAGAGCCAACCCAGGCTAGAGCGTTTAATCATCCACGATCAGGAACTCTTCCATTCCACGTCCCCAGCCCATTCCGACATGTCGACAGTCAAGCTTCCAAACATCCCATCACTGCGCCGGCATCAGCTTCTTCTAGAGTTGTGAGTAGTCCTGCTGTTTCTCACTTGGTGGTCTCCGGAGCGCCAATCGCTGACCACACCTCCGCAGTGCAAGCTTAAAGCATGCTCCGCCTCCAGGGGTATACGTGAGTCTCACCCCAGGAGACCCTTCTCTCTGGTCTGGTGTGCTCTTCGTCCGCAGTGGTAGGTCTTTTGGAGCTGGAGACAGCTTCTCCGCTGCCTTTCTGTGACTGTTGAAGCTGGGCTGACGGAGACATGTGCCCCAGGTCCCTATGCTTCGGCCATCCTCCGTTTCAACATCCGCTTTCCAGCAGCATATCCTGATCTGCCACCGTTGGTGACCTTCTCGACGGATATATTCCATCCGCTGATAGTGCCCTTCACCACATATACATTCACCACCGGTTCCTCCAATGCGGATCCCGTGAGTGCAACCGATGAAGAGAGGCTTCCGCCAGGCGGGTTCAGTCTGCGACATGGATTCCCTCATTGGTTTGGCAGGGCCCGAAGGAGCACGGGCGCCTCAGTGGCTTCATCGAGGAACGTGAGCGGCAGCGCTCCCGCGAGTGCTGGTCGGGACTCTATCGGTTCCGCTGGCAGACCGTCCGAGCCGGGAAGTAACGAGCAGAAAACGCAGAACGATGCAGCGGGACCGTCGAGTCCTCGACAGGACGAGCAGGATACTGGTAATGATGCCTCAGGATTGAATGCTCCAGCAGGCGGTGTTAGTGCGAGCCAGCGCGTATCACCAGTTCCTTGTGCGGACCGACCTGGCGAGTATAAGAAAGATGTGCCGGTAGTAGCATTGCTGAACTACATTCGGTCCACATTTGATGACGAGAAAGTCTTGGATAGCCTGCCTCTCGAGGCGGCTGGAGACCCAGGAGCGTGGCACGCGTGGCGGGCTCACCGTCGTCTACCGGGTGCGAGTTCCACGGGAGATGCCAGCTCAAAGAAAGGGAATCCCCAGGCCAGACGTCCTGGTGAATGGAACTGGGAGGGAGTTTGGGAGAAACGAGTCCTTTCTGGCATTGCTGCGAGCCAATCAGATGCCATGTTATTTGGCGGCACTCCGCGCAGTGGTAGCGACGAAACAGTAAGTACTCCGAGATCTCGAGTCCCTAAACCCATACGCATAACGCGGTATGATACATCACGATGCGGCAGCACAGTAACTAAAACTGAATGTGTAGATACGCTTCTTGAACATGGACGAGGCCAGCTTGGCGAATGTTAAGCGAATCATCATCCCGCAGACGGAGGAGGTTCATGAGTGATACGATTTGCGCTTTTCATCAGATATACCCATTCTGTTCTGTACATCATCGAGTAATCAACATATCCTTGAGAATCCGCCCGTGGTTCTATCTACCTACTTTACGAGACCAATGTTCCTTCCGCAATTGCATGCCATGAATTCCCCTTTTTTCCAGCCACTTCCTGTGCTCGCGGTACCTTCCTGAAGCAAACAGCATGTCGATATCAGAACTGATTCTTCTGTTCAATTCATGACAGATGACGTCAGTTCATGAAAGTGTTCTTCCTATCTCTTTGTTTCTCCTGTTGCAGTCACTTCTTAGCGCGAACGCGTCGATAGTGAGAGGCTGGGCTCCAGAGCGCGTGCTGTTTCTTCGTATCCTCACTTGAGCTGGACCTCCTCTTCTTCTCCTTCTCCCCCTCTTCTCCAAGCGAGATGCCTCTTGGGTACTCCTTCGATCTGAAAAGCACCGTCCTCGTGCTCGCTCTAGTCCTCGTCCCTATCGTGGTTCTCTTCTGTATCGTTGCAATAGCCCTCGCTTGCTCCCAGTTCTGGAGTACAAGACCTGGCTTGACCTGGCTTGTCTCCTGGAAGAGAGCTCGTGGTCAGCACAGGAGCAGCCGTTCTGACACTCCTCGGAGCTCGACCTCCACCAAGCGAACGGACTCGACGGAAGAGGATATCAGATATCAGGATCCCGTCGTAGGGAAAGAGCACGTCTAAGTATCCAGTCTCTTCTTGTCCTGCCCTGACTCGTACCCCTCTCTGCCAACTGTGGTCCATCTCCACCAAATCCTAACAGGGGTTATGGCCGATTATCCAAGGCCACTTCGGATTGTCAAAAGTCCAACCCATATCGTCAGCCAGACTCGCTCCGAGTCATACCCGGGCATACCAGCGAGAGGTTCTTCTATCGGAGAGACCTCAAACATGTTCTCTGGACATCTGCCCAGCACGCCCACGCCACCTCCTAGGGCTGGTGCTATGAATAGTCTCAATGTTCGCAAGACACGCAATCCTGAAGACAGATCGTCTGACGCTACCATGTCCTCTACTCCGGGTCTGCATGAATCCCCAGTTGGGAACCGTAGAGGACCGAGCGAGGTAATTTGTGCCTCGTCCCTTTCATACCTGACTGTTCTTAACCATGTTTGTCTAGTCACCAAGCAATCGTGTTGTATCCATGGAAGGGGATCAGCATGGCTCCAAACCGGGACTTGTCAAGAAGTTCTTCCGTTCGTTTGACTCCAGAGGAAGAAAATCTAGCATTGAGAATCCCATCATTCCGATTTCTCTCCCAATGGGATTGGAAGGCTCAACGGCGAATACATCCAGAGCGCCCTCCGGTGACATAACCTACGGTTTCGACAATTCCGCCCAGCAGGACCGCAACTTTTCACTCGAACGGCGCAGGACATTTGGGCAGCTGACTATTCCTGCCATAGTTCCAGGTGTTGAAATCGTTCCTCTGAGTCACAGAATTGGTGTGGAAGAGACGCTCCTGTACACCTATGTCAGAGTCGAGCTCAACCTGCCGGAGCTTTCGAATCCCGACGAACTACCTCACGATTTCCCTCTCGACATCATCTACATAATGGATAACACGTAAGTTCATAAAAAAACGGCGCATTGGTTCTTCTCTCCCGTTCTAACGTTATGTCTAGATCTTCCACGCCGCCAGTGAAGCAGAGGGAATTCAGCGAGCTCGTCTTCAAGTGGGTCACCATGCTTAATCGGGACAGAGTTCGATTCGCAGTGGCCTGCGTTAATGACAGCCCCGAGGGTGGTCTAAAGTACCTTCTGCGGCTGGGCAAGCATTCGCGACAGGGTGCAAAGGTCGAGATAGACAAGTTTCACGAGCACCACTTAACTCCTAGAAAACAGGAGGGCCTCCTGCTGCGCAAGGCAGTCAGCCAAGCATCTCACGATCTTCTAGCTGGTGATGGAAAGGCTTTGTGCCATATCGTCCTTGTCACGTTTGAGCCGCCTGACCCGTTTCCTATGCCAAAGATGGACCGGCGCGTGGGATTCCACACTGTCTCCCCTGGAGCTCGATTCAACTTCGCAGATAATGTTCCGCCATTTGGATGGCACGTGCAGATGACGGCCTACCCGACTCATACCTCGTACATCCAGAGAATCCAACACATAATGAGCCATTTACACACTGGCATCAATGCTGGAGCCGTCAGCAATCTCACAATCAAGCTCAATGCAGGAGATGGATGTCTGATAGAATCATCGGCGAATGACATCAAATTTGAAAGGCTCCGTCTAGGTGAGCTATGGACAGTCCCAATCTATGTGAGGGTTCCTGCGGCATCTATCAAGCAAATGGTTGGCCATGACATCCCAGAGGAGCAAATGCCCATCAGGGACGATGAAAACTTGAGCATCGATGAGCTCTTTTCTCAGCTACAGAGAATGGTGAGTATGCCTAAGCAGAGCGATCCACAACGCATCTATACGGCTGTGCTGGAATACGATTATTCCCCTGTTCCTGGAACGCGTGTGTCACAGGTCGCTACTTGTAACGTTATTCGCATTCCTCCGGATCCGCGCACGCCTAGAAGACGTCACAATCCGCAGGGCCTACCATATGGTGGTCCTGGTGCTCCCTTCAACACTACTGGGCCTGGAACCCCCCTCAACGCTACTGGTGCCCTCAATGTCGCTGGTGCTCACTTGGCATATGGGAGCATGCAGAATCTCCGTCATGCAGCTGGTGACCCGCGTGAGACTCCACGTCAGGGCTCGTATGGAAACACCAGCGTACTCAAACAGTTCCCATTCAACCAGGGTCAGCCATCTCCGATGGCCTCCAGCGCTCATTCTCAGCCTCACCCACAGTCCTTCAAGGACCGTTTTACTAGATCCCATGAGAATATGAGATCGAAGTTCAAGCTATTTTCTGACAAGCAGAAGCTTCAAGGTGGACTCCAGGAGGATCCTGTGCCCGAGGAGCCAAACTACGAGTCAGACTACGAGGAGCCACACTACGAGAACATTTTCTGAACGGATGGTCTTCTCTTGATCATTATCACGCTGGTGAATTGGATTGGTTGAGCAGTTGGCTAAGTGGCTGACCTGGATATTTTCTCTCGATATGTTTTCATGCCACTTTTTTTTCACTTGTTCCTCGCTTTACAAGCTCGATGACACCCTTTTGGGTTGTGCCTATGCACTTCATTTCTCACTTTTCTTGAGATCTCGAGACCCTTCGGAGCCATAGTGCTCAGCACATGAGCCTTTTGTGGCCCGTTACGGCTTGGAACGAGTTTGCTTGCTGCCCTTTTTTTACACTTTGTTTTCACGGTATGGCGACCCTTCGGGGCATAATGGTCGACACTTAATAGTCTGGTGACGCTCTAAGGGCGATAATTCTCAGCAACTCATGTCGTTATGACCTATCATGGATTGAAATGAATAATATTTTTTCTCTTTGATTATCAGTTAGTCATCATATCATTAGCTCGTAAAGTATTCTTTCTTCTGAGATATATAAGCCCCAAAAGGCATTCATTGCCCATTATCGCCGCGAATGCCATCCACAAAGTTACTTAATCGATCAGCCTCCTCGACCTTGTCCTTCTGTCTTCCCCTCCAGATCGGTTCCCCGTCGTCATCAAACTCCGCCCACTGGAAGAATCCACATCCTGCCCTCCCAGGAGAGAAACCCGCGTAGCACATCCACATGTACCGACCCCTCGTCTCGCGCTTCCGCGACGAGCACCTGAGGACCGTCGGCACGCCACATCGGCACCGGGGTGTGTGGCGCGGATGCAGCGATTCGCGATACCAGCGATAGGTGATGTTAATGCGACGATTCCCCGAGATCGGGTGCGGAGAGATGGTTTGCGCGGGCGCGATGCAATGTTTCCATTCCTCTTGCATTTCAGCATGCATCACCAAGAGCGAGTTATGCGGGAGGTGGATGGATATTTGGCCCTGTGCATCAGTACGATTGTTCTTGTTGCTGCTGTTGCTGCTGTTGCTGCTGTTGCTGCTGTTGCTGCTGCTGCTGCTGCTGCTGCTGCTGTCTTTTGATTGATTATTCTCATCATCGTCACGAGCCACGATTTTCCGCACTCGAAATTCCCTCTCGACGCCTAGACTCAAACTGCCGATGATAGCGCGAGGACCGAGATACGTCAACTCATCAGAATGAAACCCCACACTCTCCGCAGGACCATCGTAACAATTCACAAACGCAGCATTAGGCATCCACTCTCTGGGAGACTGATACTTCAACTTCTTCCCATCAGGATAGAAATCTCGAATCCTCTTCCTGACCTCCTCATTCACGGCCCGCTGAACCTTTGCAGAAACAGCACGCATATGCGGCGTAATCTGCCTCACATCCGTCCGATACTGCCCGTTATAGGCATACTCCGAAATTTGCTGGCGTCGTTCCTCCGGACTCGCAACGTACAAGCTGGCCGTGTGCGGGCTTTCGACGATGTTTTCGAACAGTTGGAACTTGTACCGTGGGAAAGAGCGCGCTTCGTCGAGGAGTTCTCTTAGAAGTGCGTTCGCCTCTTCTGCGGGAAGGAAGTTGTGGATGATGCTGCAGGGTGTATGTGCGGCGATATCCGGGGGCGAGAAGAGATGGAGTGTTTTGCCCTTTTTCGTTATCGGGGTAGTAGTGGATGGTCTTGATGATAATGGGTTGGGAGTTTTTGTAATGGCGTAGGAAGACAACGAGCTTTGTATTGTAGGCGTTGAGGGAATATGTCCTGTTGATTTTGATATTCTTTCTTTCTTCGCTGGTGGTAGAAGATGTGGCGATATATTATTATCTGTAGTATCTTCCAGTTGAGATGTCCGTTCCCTTTTCTCCGCAGAAAGAGCAGACGAAGCAGCGTCGACGGATCCGTCATGCGAAATTAAGACTTCTAATAATTTACTCTGCTCTGTATCTGGGAAAAGAGACATCATCAAGGCCAATTTCATCTCTGTGGACTCCTCCTCATCAGCAGCGAAAGGCGCTGGCTGCGGATGCGGATGCGGTTGATGTTGAAGTTGATGGTGCTGTTTCGACGCCACATCTCGTTCTTCCCGTGGAGGAGAGACGCGTCGACGTTTTCGAGATACAAATGCATCCATTACTTTTGTACGCGGGCCTCGGCTTGGAGCCATCGACAGGGCATAGATTGGAGGAAGAAAGATTTCTTTTTTGTTCGAGAGTTATTATTTGTAGTTGCACCCATCATTGCTAATCAGCACGTGATGTCGCCCGTCTTATTCTCAAAGTGGCCAATCAGAGGAGAGTGGGAGTTTTTGGGTGTCGCGTTGGGAGAATTGTTATGGGGAGGAGGTATAAAGAGGCTTTTATGACTGTTATTTCAGTGTGGATTGTTCATATGATGGATTGCTGGGTCAAGGAGCTTATTGTATACTTACAGGATGAGATTCGCGCTTTTGATGTCTCTGGACACAAGTTGATAGTAATCAGCTTTTTATACTACATCGTTCGCTTGTTCTGTTTCTATTTTGCAGGTCAGAACTTGACTTTTTGGGATAATGCGGTTATGTCTATACTGGAAGACGGTATCTTTACCTTTTCCGTGTTTTCTTTCGAAATACTGACGTGCGTTCGAACACTACTAGTATGTACATTTCGAGTCGTGTAGGAAGAATGAGGTAAGAGTATCCCAAAACTTTAACCAGACTACATCCTCACAATATGCCACTATCCAGACTCTTTTTCTAATTCTATCTTCTACTTCTGATCTTTCCAGGTTATCATGAAAATCACGGAAATGCCCCATACAGTTACACAAGGTTGTCTTTCAATCTATCCCAGATAACCTCTCGCCATGTCCATGTTCCTGCTCCACGTCATCGAAGAGTCTCTTCATCGAGTACACCTAAACGGCCTGGCTACTCGCGTTCGCCATCTCGAACTCCACCTCAGAAGCAGCAAATGGCGAGTCCTCGACTGGCAGAAGCGCTATCAGAAAGAAGAATACAACGGGACATATATCCTTCAGCGCGAGCTATACCTCAATGAAGAAGTGAGCTCATATCTCGAAGCAGCCAAGCGACATCCCCTCACGAACGAAGAAGATCAACAGCTCCGAGAATGGGAAGCGGAGCTAGACCAGCTCGACCTGGTCTGGTTACGACATCAGTGCGCGCTCTCGCAGCTCATGCTGGAGAAGCCGCACGGTCTATTCATGGCACATTGGGAGAAGGCACGGCAGGATCCGAATAAGCAGTGGACTAGGGAGAGTTATCAATGCTTGGATAGAGGAGGGTGTTGTGAGAGGAACTGTGGATGTTGTGTGAGGCCGATGGTGACGCATCGGTTACCGGAATTGTATGTCTATGTGCATTGTACGGAGGCGTGTGGGTGTTGTATTCGATTTCGCGAGGAACAGGAAGCTCTCAAGTCGACGCATCCTCGAGAGGGACTTAAGTATAGATTGCCGGTTTCTGTGCATGAGGAAGATGGCTCTTCTGATTCTGAGTTGTTGACCTGATGCGTGTGATGATTTATGATGCTGGATCAGCCCGACTATTCTCTTGATGGCGCTTTCAGGGATTTGTTCCAATAAACTTATATGAAAAGGCATGGGATTAATGAAGTTTTAATATTCGATGTTAATTCTGGCTGAGCTTGAATTCTCTAACAACTAGCTCAACCTATTAAGGTATCTCTGTGGGTGGAGCTAGAAGGCGTGCCGTAGGCAGGCTCCGACATTGATCACCCCAGTGATGAGTCTTACTGGTAAAGACATGAAGATTGCAACCTTGTTACCCTTGAGTCAGCCTTGCGATCTCCTAATTGAGTATGTTTAGTACACGAGAAGTTGGGGTCCAAAGCGTGATACGAGGGCGTACAGATTCACATCGTGGCTGTGCCCCGAAGCCGGACACTTGTTCTCGCTGCAGAGGCTAACCTCTCACTCACGACACCGATGTCCTTATAAATTGTTAGAATTGATGGTTTCTGTCTTTTCTTTCTAGTTACTTACTAAAAGGGATTATGAGTTACAACCACAACTCATGAAAAAATCGAGTCTGCGATCAGAAAATTTGAAATCTCAGCTCTAAATCTACCCTTTAACAACAACACAATGAGACCTTCAGATTGTCCAAGTTGTACGCTTTTCCAATTTATCGCCGCTTGGTCTCTGAACTCAGGCCCATTCTGGGCGTTTCTGATCATCATCGCTGTCTGGGTACGGCAATCTCTCAAGTTGGATGGAAACGCGGATCCCAAACAAGATCACCCAAAGGAACCGCTCACGAAATGGCTCCAACCGTATATCAAAACACGGGCACAGTTGCTTATCGTCTTTTTTCTTCATATAATACTTGTCGCCATGCTCTTCGTGGAGGGCTATTGGATTCTGCAGCTATGGTGGCAATACATTCAAGGGTTCTGGACCTGGGAACTGAAATACTGTGAATGGTCCAAGCAATTTTATCAGTTCGTCATGATAGTGTTTCTCGGACTGCTATTGCCGATACTGTTATCTACGGGCTTGTTGCTGGTGATGACGGACCTAGGTTCCTTGGGCGAACTTCTGGAATGGAAATTTGGAGGAGGGGCGGTTGATGGATCTCAGTCGTCTGAGTCATCTAGAACAAAGACAGACCACACAGAATAAGAGTGCAACGCAGCTGGTATACATGGATAAATTAGATCATCTAGTTATTCCCATTTGGTGGTTCCAGGACTTAGGGACTTAGGGAATTTTTGATTATATTTAATTAGGGAATTAGGGAATTAGGGCTTAGGGCTAGAAAGGTCAGCGTGGTTCGGATAGGCGCTAAAATCTCATCGTGGTTCCAGGGAGTTTCAAACCATGCCGAGCCTATGCCAAGAAAAAGCTCAGCGTGGTTCCAGTAATTGCTTTAGGAAGGCGGAATAAATGGGCAGAATTTGGAACCACGCGGAGCTTTTTTGGAACCACGCCGAGCTGTATGCCCGTTCCAGAATGACAAACTACAGTACTTGTTGGCTGACTAATGGTCCGTTGAAGATCACATCACACGCCGCTTTACTATTTGCTCATCCCGATTCCTCATAACTTACCTACTTACTATTCTGATATCAGATATAGATCATGGATCGAGCGCGAGATCGTGACTGAATCCTGCCACTGCTGCTCGTGGGCTGATATATAACCAGCTGCATAGAGAAGACTCCCTAGCAGCGCTGCGATATTCCCACCTACGACGACATGGACCGCAACTCTGCTGCTGCCCTCACGGCAGCACTCAACGATGGCAAAATCCACCTTCTTCTAGCTGCCACGGGATCTGTGGCAATCGTAAAGCTCCCACTCATCATATCCGCTTTTTCAAAATACCCTAATATCTCTATTCGGGTCATTCTCACTCACAATGCGTCCCGCTTTCTGATGGGCCAAGCCGCCGAAACACCAACGTTGGAAGAACTGGCTGCCCTCCCTAACGTTGATGCGGTCTACCAAGATGAGCATGAATGGGCCGAGCCCTGGAAAAGAGGCTCGAGTATACTACACATAGAGCTCCGTCGATGGGCCGATTTGCTGGCCATTGTTCCGCTGGACGCCAACACCCTGGCGAAGATCGCGGGTGGTTTCTGTGATAACCTCTTGACGAGCGTCGTTCGCGCATGGGATGTTAGTCCGAATAACCCACGAAGACCTAGGATTATCGTCGCTCCTAGCATGAATACCGCGATGTGGCTGCATCCGATCACCGCGAAGCAGGTCCGGGTACTGGAAGAGGAATGGGGCGTCAACGGGCAGAATCCAGATCAGGGGTGGTTTGAAGTATTACGACCGCAGAGTAAACTGCTGGCCTGCGGCGATCTGGGAGACGGGGCTATGCGCGAGTGGCAGGAGATTGTTGCTGTAATTAAAGACCGGTTAGGTCTTGACGACCAGGTTGAAACGACTTGATTTAAGTGTATACGCCTGTGAACACTGTTTACTACTGGTATCTGTTACTTGGTAATTTGATTATTCTACTGGGTCGTCGCATGGCTTGTCAGTGTGATACCTATTCCCGCAAAGGGTACCGGATCGATGGTCACTACGTAAAAATATATATACTTGCGTAGTAGAGCACTTTACCATGCGCATTATCTACGACTCAATAGATTCCGTCAAGATCCAAGAGCAGAGAAGCAGAGATATTGGAATAACATTTTGATACAGAAACAAAAGCTTAATTGCATGAAGAACTAGAGGGTACCGAAATCTAGGTATCGACTATTTACGCCCACGGATTTCATCCTGTTTAAATCTAAGAAAAACGGGTTCCTTGCTGTTCATTGCTAAGATAAATCCCACCTGCGATCAGATATACAACAACTGGCCGGCTGGCCCAATGGCAAGGCGCTTGACTACGAATCAAGAGATTGCAGGTTCGATCCCTGCGTCGGTCAATTCACATTTCCTTTTTGCTTCCTTTTTTTTTTCCGGCGGCGGAGGCAAATTTTTTTTTGATACAGTAATAGTTCGGATGTGGTGGGGTGAAGACGATGGAACATGTGTGGATCTGCCGGAAAGGGGAAAGTATAGATTTATCGATGTACTCGATGTATTTAACTATTACTAGCATGCCACAAGATCCCGAGGGTATGGATAGAGCAGAAGGCTAAAAGTGCTCTTGGATTCAAGATTCTGGGTCCTACTATGCTGCCCTCGCAGGGATGGCTGCATATAAAGTCAAATTATTACCCCTCTCCGTATCTTCATTTATGGTACTTTGTTAGCGTCAGCGCGAGGTGATATCAGACAAGCTAGTGCTCTGTATTACTTGATCGGATGCGATATTATTATCATTGTGTAAACGTAATCTTAGTTCGGAATTTTCCTTAATTTTCCCGCTGGACAATAGAATACATTATTCGTTCCCTATTTCCCATGCTTGGCGTTGAATTCATCGGCCACTTTTCTCGTCGTCTTTACGATATCAATGCACCCAGGCGAATCAGAGTGGCAACAAATCGACAATGGATAATCCTTCAACGGCAACGGCACAACAGTGCCATCGACCGCGGTGACGGACTGCTCTTCAACCTGCTGGCGGACGTGCTTCTCCACGTCGTTGAGATCCCACGGCTTCTTCTTGCGATCGATGACCAGCATCCCATTCGAGTTGTACTTGACGTCGCCGTAGAGCTCGGCCCAGAATTCGATCCCCAGATCATTGGCCGCTTTCTCCATATTGGTGCCCGCAAGACCAAAGACCGGAATGCCTTTGGGGATGCCAAGCATGACCGCCTTGGCCACCTCGTAGTCGCGGCACATCATGCCGTACAGAACGCCGTGCGGCTTAACATGGTGGAGAGGCACCCCCTCGCGCTCCAGGAAGCCCCGCAGCGCGCCAACCTGATAGATGGTGATTGCCGTCAACTCCTCCGGGGAAAGCTTCATCTCGCGTCGGCCAAACCCCTGCAAATCCGGCAGTCCGGGATGAGCTCCGACCTTGATGTTATGTTTCTTGCACTGTTGGACCGTCTCCATCATGATCAGCGGGTCACCGCCGTGAAAACCACAGGCAACATTCGCAATGTCAATCATGGGGAGAAGTTCCAGGTCCGGGCCGCAGCTCCAGTTCCCGTACTGGTATAGACGTTAGCCGTTGCCATCGATGACATCCACCCCGTAAGTATGCCAGTAGGATAAGATATCAATCATGTCCGCGGGGAATGCTTACAGCTTCACCCAAATCAACGTTTATCAGCGCCTTGTGCTTGATCGGAGCCATGGTGGGCGAATAATAGAAACAAGCAGGTTCGCTGGCTCCGGAGGGGCTAGAGAGTAAATGGAAGCCAAGGATAAGAATACTTTGATGGCTGCAATCCAAAGCTACGAGCTTCACGATGGATATCACTGAACTACTTATACTTCCCCAAGGAGGGGTTGGACACGATGGGAGATGATAGGATAGAATCGCCGAAGGACAACGCCGAAGCATCGCAATGAAAGCCGTTATCCCTTATCAGCGAGTCGAAACGTGGACCCTGGGGGGTTGCGGATCGTTGCCTTCCCTAATCAGATAAATGGGAACTTAACTAGGTCGTCGGGTCAGCAACACGGGTACGATTAGTTACCTCGTAGACGATAACCCCTCTTTATAAACCCCCCATGGCGATTATTATCTTGCGTTTCCCCCGGAGTCATCATCTGCCTCTCTGACCGGGAAAGGAACATTGTCCCTGTCGCCATGGAGTCTCTGAAGACATTGTTGGTGGCCAATCGCGGCGAGATCGCCGTGAGGATATTGAAGACAGCAAAGTATGAGCTCCGGATTTCCTTATCGTCGGCATCCTTATCAGTTGCAGGATTGCTGGAGAACTGATCGGTTATGTTTGTAGGAAGTTGAACCTGCGCACCATTGCAATCTATACAGAGCCAGATGCCGCTTCAATTCATGTTCATCTAGCAGATGAAGCGGTGCTATTGTCTGGCACGCCTACCAAGGCTTATATAGATGGGTATGCAGCTCTTATCGGTTATCGGCCGTCGGCCGTCTGTTAACGGCTTGCAGCGACCAGATCGTGGACATTGCTAAGAAACACAACGTCGATGCGATTATCCCCGGTTATGGGTTCCTTTCAGAGAACTCTGACTTTGCCCGAGCGGTCACTGCCGCAGGCATGGTCTTTGCAGGACCGTCGCCCGAAAGCATTGAAGCTTTCGGACTGAAGCATACCGCCCGAGAACTTGCAACCAAAGCTGGTGTTCCGATTGTCCCTGGAACAAAAGAACTCGTTCAGAGTGAAGATGATGCAGTACAAGCTTCGAAGGAGTTGGGATTTCCGGTAATTATCACCCATATCCTGTCTCTTTGTCATGGCCGGTGCTGACGGAAGATAGGTCATGCTCAAGGCTACTGCCGGTGGTGGTGGAATGGGTCTTCTCACATGTCATTCTGAAGAGGATGTGCGAAAGTCCTTTGCGACAGTGAGATCCCGAGGTGAAGCCCTGTTTAAGAATGCAGGGGTATTCATTGAACGTTACTATCCTTCCAGTCGTCATATCGAAGTTCAGGTATTCGGCAACGGACACGGGAAGGCCATCCACTTTGGAGAGCGCGAATGCTCTATCCAGAGAAGACATCAAAAGGTCATTGAGGAGTGTCCCAGTCCTTTTGTAGAGAAGAATCCGGAGTTACGGCAGAAGCTGGGTGAGGCCGCGATCAGGTTGGCCGAGTCGATCAACTATGGCTCCGCTGGAACAATTGAATATCTTGTTGACGATGAAACGGGGGCATTTTTCTTCCTCGAGATGAACACCCGTTTGCAAGTCGAGCATGGCATCACGGAGCTCTGCTACAATGTTGACCTTGTGGAGCTGATGCTGAAACAAGCTGATGCCCAACACTCAGGCAAAAAGGGCCTGGATGCATCGTATCTCGAGAAGCTGCAACCTAGCGCTCCGTCAGGGGCAGCCATCGAGGCGCGTGTTTATGCAGAGAACCCAGCAAAGGATTTTGCTCCTTCGCCAGGTACTTTACAGAGCGTCGAATGGAAGGAGATCCCAGGATCAAGATTCGATACATGGCTTTATACCGGAATCAAGGTGTCTGCCAATTATGGTAAGGACATATCCAGACACCCAATATCCGATCGAGATGCTAATAGTATCAGACCCGCTGCTTGCCAAGGTCATGTATCATTCTCCAACACGGAAAGAGACCATCGAGGGCCTACATACGATCCTAACAGAATCCCGCATCTGTGGACCCCCGACGAACCTCGATTTCCTTGCAACTATCCTTCGGGATGGAGACTTCAACGAAGGTTACACGTTGACCAAGTTCCTGAATACTTTCAAATATAGTCCTCATGCTATCGACGTTTTGGCTGGAGGCGCCTATACCCTTGTGGAAGATTGGCCTGGACGCCCGACCATCGGTAGGGGATTCTGTCATTCCGGGCCCATGGATCCGTTAGCCTTCCGTATTGCAAACGCCCTTGTTGGTAACCCTGTCGGGTTGGAAGGTCTGGAGATCACTCTGAGCGGACCTGATCTTCGCTTCTTGGGACCAGCTGTTATCGCTCTCTGTGGTGCTCCAATGGAAGCAAAGCTGGACGATTCCGAATTTCCAATGTGGACCAGAGTCAAAGTCCAGGCAGGTCAGCGATTGACGATCGGAAAAACGACTGGAGGCGGTTGTAGGTCATATTTGGCCGTCCATGGAGGCTTCCCCAGTATAGCTAAATGGTTCGGTTCAAAGGCTACAGCTCCAATGGTTGGCGTTGGAGGTTACCAAGGTCGACAACTCGCATCAGGAGACCTGCTTGCAATTACGGACAAAATTCCTGATGTGCAGGGAGAGCTGCGTCTGCCAGAGCACCTTATTCCTAAGTACCCCAGTGACTGGGAGCTGCTCTCCATGGCCGGTCCATATGATGAGGGTTATCTCCTTCCAGAGAGCATCGATATGCTCTATGAGACCACGTGGAAGATCTCCCATAACGCAGCCAGAGGTGGAATTCGTCTCATCGGACCAAAACCGAAATGGGCTCGTTCCGATGGTGGCGAAGGAGGCGCTCATCCCAGTAATCTGATTGAGTACGGATACCCCATGGGTAGTCTCAATTGGACTGGTGATGATCCTGTCATCTTCCCCGTTGATTGCCCTGATTTCGGTGGTTTCGTGTCAAGTCATACCATTGTCAAAGCAGACTATTGGAAGCTAGGTCAGCTGAAAGCGGGGAATAGCTTGAAGTACAGGTTGGTATCTATTGAAGACGCCATATCTGCCCGAAAGGATGTGGAGAGATTTGTGGACGAAGTCGTACAGGCTTCCTCATCTGGCGATTTCAGCAGCGTGAAGCCGCTGAAGGATGAGCTGCCACCAGCACTCAAACGAGAAGAAGCTGGCAAGGCTCTTGTTCATCAGATCGAAGAGAAGGGCAACCAGCCTCTTGTTTCATATAGACAGGTAAGACAAAAATAGGTTCAATCTATCCTGGAGAATACCGATTAACCGAAATCTAGGGCGGTGACGACTACTTGCTGATCGATTACGGCCATGGCGCATTTGATCTGAACCATCGCTGTCGAGTCACCGCTCTCATCAAAGCTCTGCGAGAAGCAAAGGGAGAAATCACATTTGACAGCGGTCTTATTGGCACTGTCGGTTGTGGAAATTGTAAGCAACTCATTCATTACTAGTTCATAATGCATACAAGTTACTAACACCATCCAGCTCTGATGCTCTATTACAACGGCCTCAAAATCCCGCAAAAGAAGCTTATCAATTACCTGTGCAACCTCGAGTCCGAACTTGGAGACCTCAGTGAGGCCAAAGTGCCTAGTCGTCTCTTCCGTCTGCCCATCACCTTCGAAAGCGCACGGCAGACAGCAGCATTGCAGCGCTACATGGAGACACAACGTCCCTACGCCTCGTACCTCCCGGACAACATCGAGTTCGTCGCCAAGAATAACGCTTTCACACGCGAGGAGCTTGAAAGAATCTACCTCACTTCCAGTTTCATGGTAGTTTCCGTGGGGTTCTTCACCGCGCTTCCTCTATCACTTCCAGTCGACCCTCGACACAGGATGAACTGCCCGAAGATGAACCCCAGTCGAGTCTACACCCCTGCAGGAGCGGTATCCTGGGGCGGCAGCTGCATGGCGTAAGTTGCCCTCCTATCTCCTCCAACCAGATTGGTAACTGCATCCATCCCATGACGCCGAACTAAACATACCATAGCCTATACAACGTCGAATCCCCCGGTGGCTACCAACTCACCGGCATGACCATACCAGGCGTTGACATCCTCGGATCCAAAAAGGGCTACAGTCCCAGCAGACCGTGGCTTTTCGAGGACTTCGACCAAATCACCTTCTACCAAGTCACCGAAGAAGAATACGAAAAGCAACTCGCGCTCTTCAACAGCGGTCGATACGAGTACCAATGCGAAGAAGTCATGTTCGACATGGCCGAGCATAACCGTCTACTCCGGGACACGAAGGACGAAGTTATCGCCATCAGATCTAGACAGAGAAAGGCCCAAGCGGAGATGGATAAGCTCGAAAAGGAGCTCCTCGAGAAATGGGAAGCGGAAAAAGCTGCGAATACAATCCCCATGGATGCTGTCGAGGCTTTGATGAATGGTTTGTTTCTCTCCCTAAATCCCATCCCAAAACCACTTATAAACCGAGAACGAGTTTCTAACGATGAAACACAAACCATCACAGACCCCAACGTCATCCCCATCGAAGCTCCCCTGAATGCCAACGTATGGAAGATCGAAATTAAAGAAGGCGATACTATCCGCTCTGACCAGGTAGTCACGATTCTCGAGGCAATGAAGCTTGAAATCGCGGTACGTGCTGAATCGGCCGTTGTGGGTGGGAAGGTTGAGAAGATCCTTATCAAGCCAAATGATGTCGTTGAGGCGGGCAAGCCCTTGATTCTGGTGAGGAAAGCGGAGAAGTAATACAAAGATATGGTCAGGAGATGTTTGTATCTATGCAAGAGGGGATCATGAGTCTTTGAGAGGGTTATCATGTGCGGATATGTGACTTTGTCTTGGTTCTGTCTCTAAATGGGTATGTGAACTCTTACAGCTGAGGTTCAGCTGAGCTGGGCTTTACATTGTCGAATATATAATTGGTTAGTTGAACTACTGCAACTGGTAGAGATGCTCACGGCCACGCGTGATAGAGTCGGACAGGTGGATGGCGATGCATTGCCGACTCTTGGACGGTCAGAAAGACTAATAAACTGTATTTGAAGACTACTTTCGTGGTATCATCTATGTTGAGCAGAGTAAACCCCAGCGACCCATACCTAAAATACAAGTTTTGAGACAGCTAACGAACCCAGAGACGGTGCTTTATGCTGCCGTACGTATTGATTCTTCATCCCCACCAGAAACTAACGCTGATTCCAGCCTTCAATCCGCGCACGTAATGCCACCAGCCCACAGGGATATATAGGCTTTCGCCTTCCTTTAGGACTGTTTCGACATACTCCGCATCCGAGAAACCTGGCCACATCGAATCCCACAATTCAGACTCCGCAGGAGAAAGCTCGATCGCTGCGAGATCCACCTGCGATGTGTTGGACATGTCGATCAATTGACCTTCTACCTGCATTTTCTGAGACAGGTCACCTTGGGCTTTGTTTTCAGAAGATGAGTTGACAGCCTCCATTCCTCGCGGGTGTATTTGTGAGGCTGGGGTATGCGGCGAGTAGAGACGGATGTACTTGGCTCCCACAACCTGCACAAGAATATTATGGTACGGATCATGATGAAGCGGAGACATTGTCCAGGAAGGACCGATCCAAGTGTTAATGATAGGGTCCGCTGGGAGACTAACATCAGAATCTGGGTCTGATAGATTTCCAGCATGGCCTCCCTTCGAGGAAAGCGACAGAGCTTTCATACTAGCTTGGTCCACGGAGATTGCGTCCCCCTCATTGACCGACGCTTGTCCCGTTCTCTTCGATGCCTTCTTAGCTTCGGCCTCTTCCCGTTCACGACGTTTCTTTTCGTAGACTGGAGTACCTGGTTCAGGACCAGGAGGATCGATGTAACAATAGTCTGGAACCGAGATGTCCTTCCTCAAAGATGGGATCTGCGCGAGGAGATCATGCTGCGCCATATAGCCCGTCTGACCCTCGTCATCGTGGTTCTCTGAAGCATTTCCTCGCTGTCCCGCGCTGCTTTTGGACTCTTCCATCCGCCAAATATATCTATCGACGAATTCTTTGAACGGCATGATACGTTGGCCCCAGCCCTCGTCCGTGTATGATCTACCAACCTCGACCGGCACGAGCCTACGTCCATCAAAGGTGCGCTCGTACCAATAGTCCCTGGACGTCCACGGACGTGTTGACATCGCGGGCCAGTGTTCCACCGCATCCGTAATTACCAGTGGCGTGCGGACATTGTGAATGTGGTTTTCGAGGGCGTCAAACGAAGGAGAGGAAATTCGAGGAATAGGGTGCTTGAGGGACGGTGCTGGAGCCGTTTCCGGGGGAAACAAAGGCGGACATAGCTTTCGACGCTTCGAAGGTGGTGCTCTCGAGTAGTCATCGTCCACGTCTGATTCCGCGGGCCCTGAGGCTTTGATAGGTCTCGTTGCATCTTGAAGAGCTGCCAGGAGTGATTCGATGAATTCCTCTCGTAAAGGGGCCCCAGCCATAATCAACGCCATATCGAGCAGACGAACAACAGAGGACAGCCATGGTGCCTGGGAATCGATTTTCCATTCTCTTGTTTGCCCTGAATTTCCAAGGGTCGCAGATTGCGCGGGCTGGTCTTTCCCAGTCTGGGCCTCGCAAACCTCTCGAATGGTCAAACACGCCTTGACGATACTGGCATCTGTATACAGTCTCCTCCAGCAGTCCTTCACATCTTTGAACGGGAACACGCGCAGTTTGGCATCAGCCAGTTGTAGAGCATCGTCAGGATGGCTGCGGAGGAGGGAACGTAGCTTGTCGATATCGCCGTCAAAACATTCCTGGATTGGATCGTCGGGTTGCGGATCTCCAATCGCGGAGAGCGCGGAGTCGACGAGCGCCGGTAGATTCATGCGGACGCGCTCAGAGGAAGGATGAAGCTGATGTAAAAATGGCACAAGAGCATTGGGTATGCCTTCTAAAACTGATGATGAGTGATCGACGTGTAGATTGGCCCGAACATGTCTAGTTCCGTCCTTTTGGCCTTCTGTGTTGTTGCTCGCAGGTCCTCGAGAAAAGTTCGCTCGCGGTGCGCGTCATCGGAAGGAGCCTGTCTGTATTGTCCAACGGAACGTCTTCAGTGCGGATTCAGATGGCCCGGTGCCTTTGTCTACATATATTTCTTTTGGGGATATTTGGCTCAGAGGCTATTATTATAGCTGTTTCTGCCTATTGTTCTCTCTACTACCCGTCTTCCGCTTGGCGTGGCCCTTGTTGTCTACCTATCATGTGAAGGCGCGTTGGCATTTGAGACAACAAAACATCATCACGGCTTATATTCTCCGTTCTGCTGATGTCGATCATTCTGTCCTCTTCAAGTTCTATCATACACGAAAGACATCGAGATCGTGTGCTTATATACCAATTCGCCATGCAGTTGAGATCCAGTAACCAGCTTAGAGTATTATACAGATATTATTCCCAATTAACCCGAAGACTAGCCCTCCATCAAATCGATAACCAACTTCGGGATACCATTAACGCCTTCGCCTCTCATTGCACTCACTGGGACGACATGCAGGTTCTCCTTCCATCCGTGCTCATGACCGCTGGGATGTCCCTCTGAACCATCTTGGACACGGGAAAGGTAGTCACGAAGGGCAAGGAAATTCTCCTGTGTCTCGGGAAGATCTGCCTTAGTAGCAACGACAAACCAGGGTTTTGTGTGGATAGGAGGAAGGGCGAGAGGAGGAAGTGACCTCCTGACCAGTGGAACGACCGACGAAGACGAAGCATCCGTGATGGGAAATTCTTCATCACCAGTAGCATCGAAATGTACCTGAGGCATATCATCCCCGATCGGACTCCAGTCCACGAGTCTATTTCCACCTCTTTCCGCGGAGCGCTCTTTATCACGGATATGTTCGTATTCGCCCAGCTCACGCCATAAGCGCTTGAGGGCTTCGACAGCATCTTCCGTACTCAAGTCCACCACAAACGCCAATATACGAGCCCGCTCGATATGTCGGAGGAAGCCTAAGCCGAGACCACGATCAAGATGAGCATCCTCCACAAGACCAGGGATATCCGCAATGGTGAAGTTTGTGCGCGGTGTCTTCCCTTTGGTTGCAACGAGAGGGCGACCCTTGAAATCATCAATCACGACCGTGCCAATATTGGGGGATAGAGTAGTGAACTCCCAATTTCCGATACGCGTGCGACTATTTGTCAGAGAGCGGAGTAGTGTACTCTTTCCAGCATTAGGCTTTCCAACCAAGCCGACGTCAGCAAGCAGCTTCAGCTCGAATGCCAGATCCAACCTCATACCCCCTTCACCTTTGGTCGCATATTTCGGTCGGGTGACAGATCGCGAGACAAAGTGTGGGTTGCCAAAACCGCCAACAGCGCCTGCAGCTAATAGCATGGGTTGATCCATATGCTGAGACAAGTCCAGATGTATAGGCGCCTGAGGCTCCATGGCCGCCAGACTCGATCTTCGTGGAGGTCCTAGGTTCGGAAAAGTCATGGTCAAGAAATCAGATGGCTGTGACCCCGGATAGAGCACCCAGCGGTCCCGGCGGGTGGAAGCTATCTCTAGAGCTTCTTCCTCTTCCATCTCGGCCATCAGTTCCTTTAGTCGGTTTTCCTCTTCCTCTACAGGATCATATCTTCCAACTTCGCGGACCACTGTCCCAACAGGGACTTGTATGAGGACATCGCGCCCTCGCTGGCCACCTTTGCTCTTGCCCTGGCCGTTCTTGCCTCGGCCTGCTTTTATAACACCTCGTCTGGCCAACTTGTGTAAACTCGTCATGCCCTCAACAGCCTGTATGTAGATATTTCCGCCAGTTCCCCCGTCGCCACCATTTGCGGGACCATCCTCAATATATTTTTCTCGTAAAAATGAGACGCAGCCGTTGCCGCCGGAACCAGCATATACTGTGACCTCGCATTTGTCTTGAAATATGAATCGAGAATAATCGTCGGGCAATGGATTGAGGTGAGAATTCTTTATCGAAGATTCTGAGAGAGTTGGTATCTCGCTGCTCCTTCTCAGAGTGCTAGCTGTACTTTGCCATCGTGAAGAAATTCTCAGATATCCTTCTCGAGCTGCACGAAGTGCGGTGTTTCTTGCACGAGGACCCTGCTGGAACAGAAATGGATAGAGGAAAGGAAGTAGAGTCGTTTGTCGCTTCGCCATGCTTTCGTAATTCACTGCTCTCTCATATCAAAAGTCGGGAAATATTTCTTCGCAACCGGAGTCTCGATCAAAACCCCTGCTAGTCCACAGTCAACCTGAGTATTTCCTCTTCCTTGCTAGCCTGTATAGTTCGACCGTGGCGATCATAGGCTCAACACTGGACCGCGGACTGTCTGGATCATAGAATAAGCTGGAAAGGATCATGTATTTTCTTCGTTATCGGACTTAAGGTCGAGCAAACGGTCACATGACAATATGTGTTTATGTCACGTGACGAGGTGGATCTCATCAGCGATGATAATATTATGCTGTCTTCAGAATTGTCTTGCTAGTGGAAGTTGAGAATTCATACTCTTCAGTTTCATATGACTGGGCTCTAAAAGCGCAACCGTGCAGTTGGAACATTAACAGGGCTTGGATACGTACGCCGACCATACTAGTATGTTTGGTCTGCAACCGTGCTTCCAAAATATTTAGTACTTATCTCGACACTTTAGGAACACCACGAATACCCTGCAGCATCTTTGAGCAGAGACATTAGAGCGATCTCGATTTTTTTCATGGAGTATCAAATGAACCTATGGGTAGAGTTTCTCATGACTTTGCTAACATACCTCTTTCGCACACAGAGTCATTATTTGTCTGCGATTGACACGCAGTGACATCGATAGCGAACATTACAATCACACACACTGCCGTGACACAGATTATAAACACATGTCTTAGTATCTGCTCAAGGATCCAGGGTCCTGGCTTTTCCAGATTTTGGCGATTACGATCGAACAGTCTGCTTTGCACCTGGAACACCAATAGACATGTGGATTAACCGATGCAATACTGGTTACAGAACAACAGCGTTTTCCATAAGTGACATGGTCGCATCATGATCCCGGAATGCTTAAGTGAGGATCCAGGTTCCTGATACTGCAGTGTCGCTTTGCTGACCTTCTGATTGGAAGGGCGTTGCTATCAAATTATATCATGTGAGCTGACATACATCCAAAGTTTCCAGCTGTCTGGGTACTAGATACATTTGCACCGCCATATAGTTAGCTGTGCGCCTAATCAAACATTGCGCCATTGCTCTCGTGTCGAAACGAGACACAGGAACTCTAGGTGTTGGTCAAGAAGCGCACTAATGGTCTTGCGGAACCAAAAGAAAATATATCTAGTATCATTCGTGATTCCATGCGATTTTACGTACGGAGTTGGTCTAGCCTCTCTAGTTTCGACCCCGGACTCCTTTGATATGACATGCATATCGAAAAAGCATTCTTATCCACCGCGTTCTAGACCCTCCATCATACTCCACGGCCAACCAGACGCTGCAGGTCGGCACTGTTGGCGCCGAGCACACTGCGCAGATGCAGGCGAAGAAAAGAATAATTCTAATCTGGGGATGCAGAAGGTTCATCCCTTGTCTATTGTGTCTTTTGGACTTTCAAACATTTCTTTTCTTTTCTTTTCTTTCTTTCTTTCTTTTTTTTTTTTTTCGCTAATATTCTCATTCTCACTCAGCTGATAGAGGTATTAGGGGCCCAATAGTAGTCAGCTCGTATATGCTCTTACTATCTAGATGGCTCTGATCAACATTGCACAGATCTACATCAACAGAGAGCAGAGCTCGTCATCCAAATCATTGTTGTTGTTACCGACGCCCGAGATCTGGAGTTGTCATACTTCGCGCTAGCCACTAATTACACAAAATCCAAGTCAGCTGGGTGCCGTTCTAAGGAATCCGAGCTAACAATCTGTTCATAGGAACTAGTAGCAAGGCTGTATATGTTTGTGCTCTCAGTTTTCAGCTACCAGCCGGTTTCTGACAATTATCTATGCAAAGCCTTGTTGACATCAATACGCCAGCCGCCGGGCAAAAGAACTAGTCTTGTGCTACTCTTACTTTCTATTGAATCCGCTCCCAGAGTATGGTACTTCAGACCGAGCTGACAGTTCAAAGGCTTGTGGATCAGGGCAAGGATCCGCAAGGAATGGGAACTGTTCCCTTCGATAGTGTCCACGCCGGTCTCTCCTGATCCATGGCTCACATGATCCATTGGCGTAACGATGCAAACCTTGAACAACAGTTATCCGTCGCCGCGGCACCGGATCTCGTCCGATGGGGAACTTGGCAGGGATCTTCGAACTCCCCGCTGTCAAGGTTTTCCAGGGCAAAAAGGAACTAGCTGTGGATCATTTTTGGGGCTTCAACTACTCCGTAAGTTAGAGTCTTGTCTTTTGGCAGCAGGTAAGACGGACCGCGCGGAATATGGCGGTCAGCCCCTGAGTCTAACTAACCCCTGACTTCTCCGTGCACTCCACTCCAGGAACATTTTCAAGTGAAGATAGATTTTGGACCACTAGCAGCACTGCTAAGGCGACACTATGTCCAGCACTCTCGAACATGTCATCGCCATTCGTCCGGGGGAGTATATCCCAGTGTACCGGTCACACCAGCCACAGCCTAATAGTCCTTGACTGGCCCGTCGCATGTTCCAGCCTACCATATACTCCAGTTAAAAGTCTGCATCCTGCGGAACAGTGCCACTCTATGGAGTACAGTGCAAGTTAATTAGAGTATATTGATGTTCTACAATCTAATTACTCCGAACATGCCACGGAGATGGCTCGGTAACGTGGATTATTGAAACCTTTTTGTGGTGCGTTTATGTGAAACCCGGGTGGCAAAGGCCATCTTGACACGATCTTCCGGCTGAAATGAAAGGCCGACGTGGTGGAACTTGGTCGCAATCGCTCTGTTCGAAACAACCGATTTGCGCTTCTCGAAGACACCAAGAAGTCTGACCCTCTTCAAATGTCAGACTTGCGCGCGACAAAACTGGGGTTTCTCCACTCATCAGAAGATCATAAATCGTTGGGAATCATTTGTATGACTCGCATACGCTTCCAATTTGTTTCAGACGATTGCATCGGCTGAAGGAGTACGCTTGCCAACAATCATTGAACAATGCCTCATAGGCTCATACTAGCATCCCTGCCTTGCAAACGTCGGTCCGCACTGAATGCTAGGCGAATAGAGAATACGCACCCCAAAGATTGGGCCCTACTAGATAGTCTTCTTCACAGCAACTATGCTGCCGATTCGTGGAGGGATATCGGACAACACAGCAGCATGAACACGAACACTTTATCCCGAAAAATGGCCGTGATCTGATTGGAATCGCTACGTCACCTCGCTGAGATAAACTACCCTCCCTTCGACTTAGAAGGCTTAGAGGGGGCCCGACAGTCTGGCACGCTCTGCGCCCCGGCGGCGATCATGAGCTTGCAATTGTGTGCGTTCCTCCTCTTAGGACTGGTAATCACCAGTGAGGAGGCACCGCAGAAACACCTTACATTCTCCGCAATATTAGTTCCAGTCACTCCTTGTGGTCTGAAACTATCGATAGAGCCTTTTGCAACGTTGCTTAACGACGGGTTGTGACTTGTTCGCCCACGTCCGGAGCTAGAGTTGCAAACTTGGGCCACAATGTATCAGCTACTGAACCCAGCCGCAAAGCAAGAGGCGGAAAAAGTCGTTCTAGTGTCCATGTCAACCTCGTTGTCTCTTCCGCGTGCTCAACTGTAGGACCACAACATGGAACGATCACCGTCACTTTGGTCAGATTGGGCACCCTGGCCCCCACAAGACTCATGACTCCGAAAGGCGGAGGTACCTCGATGACTCCTAAGATTTTAATCCTGACTGAACGATGTCGCCTTCTCGAATAACACATTGGTGCTGATGCGCAGAAAGACGTCACTGATATTGCTTGTTTCGCTTAACAATCTGTATTTTGGGCGTAGTGCTGCACCGCGGGGCTTCACCGCTCGCTTTTTGTATCCTCGCCTTGTCTCTACGAGGTACAGAAACCCACTTGTCACAGAGTAACTGGGGCTACAGAGTGTCAGATCATCAAACAACCCCTACCACGCCTGTGTTAGCAAGATTATTGGCCGTTTGTCTCGATATACCGACACTGAGCCCGCAAGGCTTATGAGACTGTGAGGCACTGCAGCGCTAGAATCTCAGAAAATAGCTTCTATCTGGCAAGGCCGATCCCACCTGACCAAGCTTGCTGCAGCGACCACGTTCACTACAGCAAATCAACAGACTGGGTAACCTCCGAAGGGTCCGGATGCATAGCATCAATTATCATCCTATACGTCGTATACTACAAGCATCCTGGTCATGTGGTAGACAGTCTGAAGTGAGACTACCCAAAGGACGAGCTCTAACCTGTGTTCACTGTCACTTCCGGGGATTTTCTGACATGGATGCATGCGTGTTCCAAGCCTTGGACCTACCAAGTGTGTGCGCTGAATTGCAGCAAGCAACACCGAGGATCCCGTGGTGAGACACATGAGACTGCCGCTGTATCCACGCCGCAGGATCATCAGTCGGCGAGTAGGGCGGACAACCGCTCCCTGTTTCGTGGAGCGGTGTAGGGCGTTATGAAGATAGCGCGGTGAGAGGTGCTTCGCGAGATTTGAGAAAAGGATCATGCACTATTACCTTCTACGCATCTGTCGAAAGGCCCACTGAGGGAGGAGAGAGACGTGCGAGCAGATCGGGAGAAGCGGTATGAGCTATGAGGTACAGGAGAGCACCAGCCACGGTTTGACATCGACTGAGCACCCGGCAATCCGCATCGCAGCAGGTCCTCTTTCGGCGGAGGAGCTGGCCGTCTAGTAGTACGCTTCCCTGGAATATGACGTCTTTGATCCCAGACCACTTCCTGTGGCTCCTCGATGGAGCAGACTATCCCCTGCTTTCTAGTGGGTTGTCCAGTGCGGCGAAACATTAGCATCTGTCCTATCGCATCCGGTGTGAGAGTCTCCGCGAACAGAACCACCAGAGTCACCAGACGCGGCTAACTGTCCCAGATCCCCGTCGTCACTCGCGTGGCTCGAGATCTCAAGCGGCTCGATGCCCGAACTAGGCGCTGAGGCCCACATCTCACACTATTTGCTTAGGCTACCAGGGAACAGGATTCGAAAGGACAGATTCTCAAAAATGATACCGTCCCCTTGGTTAGATTCCCCGACCTAGCGCGAGCTGATCGGGGATTTTGCCAACTCGAAGGGCCAATAGTGGCACATCATGAGGGCTCTCGCCAATACAGAGTTAGACTTCAGCCCCTTGTTCTATCCCTACGGACAACTCCATTCCCGCCGGCACGTCAGGCTGGCCCGGGGCGTCAAACATCTAGCGATGAATCTTCCGTGTGCGGTTCTCGGAATATCGACTCCGTAGAGTCAGTTGTGGCCTTCCCATCTGGGAACGGCGAGAAGAGACAAAACAAATTGAGTTTTGGACACCGCAAAGGTCCGGACTGGCTGGGGCCAATCGGTTCCAGGTCGCCGTCGGCCTCCTCACTTCTCTAGTCGAATATGGAATATTGTCATTTCTCTACATCAGCATTATCGTGGAGACTGACTGGGTCATCTAGCTGGCGGAAGTGAGGTAGGTCGAGAGCCTCTCCTCCCTTGAGTTGTTTTCATTTTCTTTCTTTTTTGTCCTTTCCCACCGCCCAAGTAGGATTCATTGGGTTAATATATTGACAAAGAATGTGAGAGAGATTAAGCATAACCGTGGAGGGGCATAATAGAGTACGTTTTGCTGTCTGGTCTCACGGCGGACTTGGCGGTTCGTTTCCCATGCCTCTCCCATTTTCCCGAGCGGACTACTAGTTGGTCACCTTCAGTTCGCGCAGTTTGATTCGCGGGCCAACAATAATAATTAATTCGAGTGACCAGTCTTTCTTTTGAACCGCCGAACGATCTTGGCCCACTTTTCATGGTGATGACATCTCCAGAGTTTCAATAACAATGTGCCCCCTGTCCGACATACCGTACACCGCATTTCTTCCGCCTCCGCGAGCCGAACTTTCTTCCTCCAGACTCCAGAGGCTCATCCCGCCCTTTTGCTGGACCGTGGTCCCCTGTTCTTTGGCTCTTGTTCGCAAGTCAAGCTCCCGGGGGTAGCGAGCAAACCTAGATGCTTTTCACAAATTCCCCGGTCCCCGTCAGAACGCCCCCTGTGACGCTAACTGGAGATATCGGCCCTGCTAGATCTATCACTAAACCGGTCTCCTGGGAAGATGAGGATGGGGGTCGATCATTATCGCCCTACGCCACGCTTAGCGTGCTTCTAGATGTCTAGGCGACACAACATTCACTGTTCCCCGGTGCCCGGGGCTCAGGTCCATGGGTCTTACCGGCCGATTCGCCGATGCGGCCCTAGAACGGGGCGCTGGGCTATTCCATGGATCTGACGGATTTACAGAGCATGGTTTGCGTGCCTAGTCTACGCGTTCGATGTATGGAGCAGTACGGAGTAATACAGGGAGCGCAGGCCTGACTTTCTCTGTGGATTCGGTCCGGTCTTCTCATGGACTCTATTCTGTCACTCATACCAACTCTGCCGCTTGCTCGGCGGTGCTGGCACCGTTCCCGCCCCCTTTCTCAGCTATTACTGTCTCCTTGCCCATGTTGCAATCTCTCGTTGGCTGACAAGCCACTGTCGTGTGGTCTTCCTCTTCACTCCGCAGACACCGTAGCTTAGCAAAAGGTGTGGATCTTTATGCATATCCACCTTCGTTCTCCAGTTAGGCAAAGAAAGTGCTTTGGGCTTCTAGTGTCTGTCCCTTTACCTGATCACATATTTTATCCACATTGAATGCTTTCATTTAACTTTAAGCTCCCCTTCCGTTAAATCCTTTTTGAAGTCCAAATTCCCATTCCTGGTACTCAGGAACCCCAAGTTTTGGAGTAATCCCTTCCTTCCTTCCAACACATCAACAATCCTTCCCCGCCATTCTTCGGTGCTCTCGTCCGCACAATTAGTTACTGTGAACGACGGGGACATTTGCTTCTTGAATCTATTGGGAGTTGATGTTCCCATGTGGTGTATGTGAATGTTTGCTGGGGACATTCCTACTCTGATTTGTTCCGGGCAACACATGATTCAACGTCACGGTTACAATCACAATCAGAATCACAATCACAATCGATAGCGACTACAAGATCTCCGGAGGGACTCGTTTTCAGTTCCTCATTGCATCTCCCTTATAAAGCTCAGCTCTCTGGGGACGTGAATGCAACAATCAGTAAAGAAGATGTTCAAGAGGCCCTCCTGCCTGCAGGGGCGGCGGCCTGCTGGAGACGATGACCGCAAGGCTTTTCCCACTCGCCAGCTCTTCGTTTTGGGTAAGTGGTCTCTCTCTCACCTTTAGCATGTACCCTGCAAATCTCCTTTGGTATCGTGTGCCTTGTGCAAGATCCCATTCTCGGTCTCTTCGCCGCTGTGTTTGGCCCTCACAGGATGGAATGGGGAGTGGACTGCATGTTCCTAGCCTTAAAGGATCTACTACGTTGAAAGCTCGAAGATTCATCTTGCTGACTCCTTCCCATAGCGTTGGTCCGCATCTGCGAGCCTATTGCTTTTATGTCGATATTTCCTTATGTCTACTACATGGTCGAATCTTTTCACGTGACGGCCAATGATGGGAAGATTGCCCTGTACGCAGGGATGATTACCTCTTCTTTCACCTTTGCTGAGTTCACAGCTGGAATGTTCTGGGGCCGAATGAGCGACAAGATCGGAAGAAAGCCAGTCCTGATCATGGGTCTGATCGGAACGGCCATCAGCATGATCGTATTCGGATTTGCGCCTAATTTGGCCACTGCCATGATTGCCCGTGCATTGGGCGGATTACTCAACGGAAACATCGGAGTTTTGCAGACAACAGTTGCCGAGATAGTGACGGTGAAGGAGCATCAACCGCGCGCCTACTCGATCATGCCGTTTGTCTGGTGTTTAGGCTCGATTGTTGGACCTGCCATGGGCGGTGCTCTGGCGCAGCCCTGCGACAACTATCCCTGGCTATTCCAGCGTGGAACGGTCTTTGACCAATTCCCCTTTCTACTGCCGAATCTTGTCTGCGTTGCTGTTCTTGGACTGGGAATCACGATTGGCATTCTATTCCTTGAAGAAACGCACCCGGAGAGGAAACTTCGTCGGGACCACGGTCTTGAGATCGGTCGTTGGATTATCTGCGCCTTCCAGAGACTTTTCACAGAGCGCGTTGAAGAATCTGCCAAGGGGCTCGGCTTCAATGAGGATTTCGAGCATGACGATCCTCCACCTGGCTACCGAAGCAAGGAGAACTCCCCGCGTTTGTCTTCAGTCAAGGGACCACAAGTAGTCTCCCAAGGCGACGATGTCGAGAAACAGTCGGAGAGTAAGGGATGTGGGGTTCAAAAGGCTTTCACAAAGCAGGTCATATTGAACATCATTGCCTATGGTATACTTGCATAGTAAGATTTTCGTCCACCGACTGTTCTATCATTGATACACTGCTGACAATTGCATAGCCATAGCGTTTCCTTCGACCAGCTTATGCCGGTCTTCCTCAGCACGCCTAAGTCTAACGACACCGTGACCCTTCCATTCCAATTCTCGGGGGGCCTGGCACTCTCGACAAAAAGGATTGGTTTTATGCTGGCAGTGCAGGGTGTCTACTCGATGATTGCTCAGCTTTGGCTGTTCCCGTTTGTGGTCCGCCATTTTGGCACACTTCGAACATTCCGTTTTGTGCTTGCAATCTGGCCGCCGCTTTACTTTGTCGTACCGTATCTCATCTTGCTTCCTTCTCGCCTCCAGATCCCGGCTGTGTACGCTGCCTTGATCAGCAAGATCACTCTTCATGTGATTGCTTTCCCTTCCACCGCGATCCTCCTTGCCAATGCTGCCCCATCGCACACCGTCCTCGGGTCTATCAACGGTGCCGCTGCGTCCACCGCTAGTCTCAGCCGAGCATTTGGACCAACAATCACTGGTTTTCTGCATTCTCGAGGATCAACGAGCGGCTACTCGGGGCTCGCGTGGTGGGCGTGCGGCATTGTATCGATCATCGGTGCCATCCAGAGCTTTTGGATGGAGGAGACTGATCCCCGGGGACCCGAACCCAATGAGAAGGCCCCCGCAAAGGATATCTCTGAGGAACAGTCTAGACGTCGTGATTCGGCATTCCTTGTCAGCGGCGGAATTGCAGTTTCCGAAGAAGAGCGGAGACTGCTTTCGCCGGCTCGGTCCAGCATTGATGCTGATCTCGATGTAGCGGCCCTGAGTCTCACTGCAAACACAGATCGCAAAGCCTAGGCTAATGGACTGTGTCCACTGGATGGGATGGTCCTATGGCCCGGCTTCGAGGCCCCTGACCGTCCTTTTCGCCGGACGGGGTCTCACACCGACACGAAACCGCGTGATTCCCGTCCGACGATGCATTTGAAATACCGCTTTTTTCTCGCATACCACGACTTTTAGACTCTTAACGACTGGGGGCAAAAATATGCCCATCTAGCGACCGGATTATGGGACACAGGCGTAAAAAAAGCATAGAAGGGAGGGAGAGTTACAAAAGCAAAAAGAGGGAACAGGCCCCTAGATTTTCTTTTTCCATTTTCATCGGTATATCTGTGGATTTGCAAATTTTCGGCGCGTGGATGATACTCGACTCGATTTTATTTTGACTACTTTTGAAGGATTGCATATTGTGCGACAAACGGGCATATGGGAGGCTATCTGATTTCGTTTGAGCGACTCTTGTGTGTTTGAGATAACCCCTCTTGCTAGTTTTGATATTTGGGCTTTCAGGGCTATTGTTACTTTTTGAATGGTCAATACCATACTTTGTCTCGTCAGTATTCAACGCATCTTGGTCTCTATTTGCAGTAAGGTACCTGCTTCAATAAGAGCTGTCATCGGCATCAGTGTCACGGATACTGGACGATTTTCACTATTGCTATCCCATTTCCTGATATTTATGGTCATTGTAACTTTCTCAAAGTCAGTTCTCTTCAATATGTGGTAAGTCGCCCACAATAATAACAGACAGAGCGTCGCATACGAATACCACAAACACAACGCCACTGATGTAGATAACCAGGGAGTCGGGTTATGGCCCGGACCGAATTGTCAAAGCGCAAGAACGATCGACAATCTAGAGAAACGTACAGGTAGATAGTTAACTAGTCAAGTATTTGAGCGTATCCATTTTTACAATGCATGCATGCATTGACTTAAACGGCGTCAGTGCAGTGCTTACAAACATTCAAGCTCATAACTAACTAACTAGTTATGATATGATAACTTACCCCACTCTGTATCAAAAAAGATATATAGATATTTATGCAAGAATGCATTTCGTGTTATGCATGGTTCTTCGATTGACTATAATTACTCCGTATTATAACTATCTCACTTTTGCTACTACCATGTTCTCCGGAACCAGGCTCCTATTTCTCCAGTATACTTAAATAGACATACGCTGTAAATCAGTGCAATGGGTCGATATTTTGCCTCTATAGTTAGAAGCTATAATTTTAATAGTACTTTGGTAACCTGTTCGGTTGTGCGGATGTGACGCTGTGTCCTGCCGCCATCGGGGAACGATAAATAAGATGCCGCCGCGATTGGAGCTTTGGTTGCTTAGTTTAAAACTTTTAGGACTTTTTCTCTCTTACTGCTGATAAGAGGTAAGATTCCCTTCCGGAAGACCAGTAGGCTTGATCTTTTATTTGCATGAGGATACTTTAGATTTTCGCATCTAGCGAATTCCCTACTAGGTATATACCACATGCACATGGGCATAACAATTCATTATAAACACAAGCTTGCTGCATGCATTGCAGCAATGTGGAATTTCAAAATGACAGAATCTGCCTAGATATAATCTTTCACAAGTACGATGCATATTCCAATCAGGCCTGATCTAGTCTAGTAATGGGCTAGTTATCTAGGACTACCTACCTACCTAGGTAACTGACATATGCACTCGTCGATCTGACAGTGACACGTGCCAATTTGCAGATGCGCTTTTTACGCGAGGTTATTTTGTGCTGCATGAGGGATAGATATACTTAGTGCTTGTTTTGTATTAAATTTTGCCGTCGACTATTAAAGCACCGCTATATAGACTCAATCTAAGAATTGCCTTATTAGGATGGGCCGGGGATACTTTTCGGTCTTCCCTCCCGCCATCTTTCTTTTTGTTTTAATCTGCGATACTTGAAATTTCTAATATCTTCTCTATATAACTAGGTGGGGGTAAAAGTTGTATATGGGTCAAAGCAGTCCGTGTTGTTTGTATACAAAATGGTTTTTCTTCTCGTTAGATAGTTCCGATAAAGAAAGAAAGTGCCAGCAAGCCGGAACTGCTCGAATGGCCTCCTGATTTATAGAGGTTTAGGGTAGTAGATATGTACAGTACTTCTTCTATAAGGGGCGGTAAAGCAAAGGACTTGTCTGAACAGAGACTTTGATAATATGTGATTCTTTCCGTAAAATGACTAAAATCCCTGTGTAATAGCAATAACTACCTAGTTATTGGAATATTTTATAAATAAGATATTAATGAAGAAGGAAGTCGATATGCAAAGATGGGAAGTATCCTATGACAAAATATTCGCTATGTTTCTCTCCTCCTGGGCCACTTTCTATATAGTATATCAGTTTAAAGGAGTCAGCTCGCTAAAAGATTTCAATAAACTAAACGAATGGCTCTTGAAGACTGCGCGCTATTACATAACGATCGACAAGGATGTCATGGAGACATGGACAGACAAAAGCTAGTACATATTTTGACATTAGTGACGATGTATTCCCCTTGCTTCTATATACCATAGACTTCCTTTCTATAACCTTACCGCTAGGAGACACCTCACATGTGAGCTCAACAAACAGAGAAGGCAGATCACAATCCCTGTATTTTGATTTTATTTGATGTTTTTTTCGTTCCTGAAAAAGGGGCAAAAACAAGAAACGGAACCTAGCCTCGATTCGCACAGCTAAGGATAACTACCATTAATGATATCCACGGCGTGGGGGTGTGAAAATCGTGATAAATCCCTTCAATCCGACCTCAGATATGCCCCACTCTGGCGGGGAACAGGCGGATAAGAAAATGCATTTTCATAAATCGCTGCATATTATGGGTTCACTGTCAAATTCATTGTATCAATGTTACAGAATTGGTGATCTGTATGATGTACCAGAAATATTGATAGGTGTCCACAGAAAGAATCCAGGAACAATCTCCATAACAAAGTCTAGACTGGCTGCTGATTGTTAAGCTAGCGTGGGGATGCAGTCTAGTTATTATCTCTGCTGACATATCCAATTCTTGAATGAACAGGCGGGGTACCTAGTCACGCTCAACTTTCAAGTATAAGGACAGATTGCTCGATTCTTTTGGCAGCTTGCCTTTTGCTTGATGAATCCATAAAAGTGTGTTCACAACGCGACAAGACAGATAGTTACTGTTCAGTGTGCACTTGTATAGTTCACTCATCTGTCATAGCCAGAGCAGTTATGACGTCCAACAGTCGAAGTTGAATTAGGCTGTGATTGTCTTATCCCCGCCGTAATGCTTTTTGTCAAGTTCCCTTGATCCATCTAGGTCAAGACTCGGAGACCGTCAGCAAGAGAACATGTGCTTATCGACGATGTCTTGACAGGAATTCTCATATATCGACTCCGTCAGTCTGTCAAGACCTCCATCTAGGTAGTAAGAAAGTGGAATCAGCCATAACTACGCCAGAAAATTCCGTCAGGAGTGACGCAAGAGAAGCTCGTCCGAAGACAGAAGAAGGCCCGTGCCTGGATATCGATCACTCTCAACATGAGTATTCTCATATCATGAGTCCGTTACGGGTTTCCAAGCTTAAACGGTTTATTAAGAGACTTCCTTAAGAACGATCTAGTCCGTGGGCCCCTGATCAACAGAGTTTGGCGGAGTTCTCCCCGGCTCGAGAAATGCGCGCCAGTCGCGGAGGACAGTTTGTAGTGAGGGGAGTTCGAACGGAGTCCAACTTGTGAGCAATGGCAAGCTGTAAGAAATGATCCAGGCCAGATGTTTATGATGATTCCAATGTCACGACAGAAGACTGAGAAGAGAACAAGAAGATCTGTCGAAGCACAAATGCTGCGGTTGAAATAAAAATAATAATAATCGTAACAGCTGCGGACCGTAAGTATGGTATAGTGCCTGTAAAGGCAGCTTCAGTAACGGTATCAGAGTGGAAACACGCCAGACTAGATAGAGCAGTCCCATCCTTATCTCTGGCAAATGATATCGGAATGTTGGGTTTTACGAGGCCGTTGATCGGTTTTCACACGGTATCACCTTGTGTATCGTATTGTCACACGTAGCGCCCCCGGAATCCGTCTTTTCTCGGCCATCCCGGCGAAGGAAGAAGTGTGGAAGAACTTGGAAAAGAACAGCTCTGGATCGTGAATCGTGTCGCCGCCAGCAGATATTCCAGCGCGATCATCCATTGCGTTCAACATCATCTTCAGCTGCTGTCCACTCTCCATCAGCCCGATCGGCCGTATCAACCCGTTAAGCGCTTCGAGCCGGCGCGGTGAGCTTGACTCCACTAGAACCCTATCTCGATCTTCGATCGTGGACTTTCTCGGGGCTCCCGCTGACTGGCGACTCTTGGTTCTGCGGATCTCGAACAAAGCGCCTCCGATTAATAAATACTTTATCCTCCAGGCCACAACGTGTATGACAATATTGCGCCTGGAAGCCTGGTCGGGCTAATCTTCAAAGTCGTCTCAAAGGTCGAGGCTGGGCGGTTAAGTAAGCTACTGGCATCGACGACGACTACAGACCTCTATCTCGAACACCGATTTCCGAGGGTTTTGCGCGGTCACCATCGCCAGTTGAAGCGCAGGACGATCCTTCAAGGCAGGGTAACTTACCAGCGACGCAGCGCCCCTTCACGAGCTGTTGAAACGAACATGAGGACAGGATCTGCCCGGAGCTTGTTGAATCCGTATACTTCCTGGCACATTTGTACGGCTCTGCGGTAAAGCAATGGTCGTACATGATCTCCGCCTCATCGCATAAGTCTCGTTATGTTGAATCCCGCTGTTCCGCCTGCATCTACGAGTCCATCCGGCACAAAGAGGCTTCGCGCTTCCTTTGATTCTTCAGACAACCCTCCCCGCTCATCGTCACAGTCGTTACTGGGCCCGCCGCGCAATGATCCAGGTGCTCAGCACCATTACTCCCATGGACAGGCCGCTCATTCTCCACTAACAACGACACAATCCTCTGCGGCCATGTCCAGCGCACATCTTGCTGCGGGTAACTCAACCTCGTCGTTCCGCAACGTCTCCGCCTGCAATCGCTGCCGGCTGCGCAAAAACCGATGCGACCAACGTCTTCCCCGCTGCCAGTCCTGCGAGAAAGCTGGAGTCCGCTGTGTGGGCTACGATCCAATCACGAAACGGGAGATACCCCGCAGCTATGTATACTTTTTGGAGGCTCGCGTCGCATATCTCGAAAAAGTGTTGACCGACAATGGAATTGGGTACAAGGAAGCAGCCGCTTTTGAAGGCGACGAGACAACTGGAGGAGAGGGCGTGGCGGATACTGCACAAGCCCATTCTGTTGCGGAGGACTCTCCCATGTCTGGTGTAAGTTCTGCGACAATAAAGAAAGAGAAGGACAGAGATAGTAGCTTGATAGAAGGATCCGGGGCAAGGAAAGGTGGCACAGACGGCGAGGATGGAAGCGCTAGTCGGGAAAAGAAAACCGAAGAGAGGCTGGATAACTTGGTATCGAATATTGGAATGGTGTCCGTTCAAGGGACCTCGGACCCTCGCTATCTGGGCTCTACATCCGGCATCTCTTTCGCCAGGGTGGTCTTCGCAGCGGTCAAGAGTTCCGTATCAGGAAATGGGTCGGATCGCGGATCTACTCGGTCGGGTGATCGTTTGCCCCAGACTGTCACAGGAGGCGGTGCGAGCACGATGCGAGACTCTTACTTTGGCTTGCAGACGAAGCCAACGGTGAAATGTGCAGAGTTTCCCGATCGAGAGCTTGCCAACAAGCTGGTGGAGCTGTACTTTGAACACGCCAACCCTCAGATGCCGATCCTCCATCGCCCTGATTTCGTGGAACTCATGGATCGAGTCTATTCCAGTGACGCAAAGGACTCGTCTTCCAGGGATCTGTATGTACTCAACATCGTTTTCGCCATCGGTGCCGGCATAATCTACGAAGGAAAGGCGTCAAATGCAGACGATGAAAATAAGGCTGGTGATCGGCCATCAACAGAACCATCAGCCAGACGGAAACATTCGAGCCATCAGTATCAACCGGAGGAGTACCATGCCGCTGCGAGTGTCCATCTGGAAGCGTTTCTCAGTTCTCCTACCTCGAGCAATGGCTTTGGTGCCGGTCTTGAAGAACTGCAGGCGGTCCTCCTTCTGGCCGGTTTTGCTCTCCTTCGACCCGTTCCCCCGGGTCTCTGGTACATTGTTGGAGTTGCTGTCAGATTGGCCGTCGACTTGGGTCTGCATTACGAGGATGGCACAGGCATCGACTCTATTGGAGAGGAGGGTGTGCCACGCCTAGCGATCGGTACTGATGACAAGCAGAAGCCAAGCATAGATCCTCGTGAACGAGGACGGAGAGAATGGGTTCGAGACTTTCGTCGGCGCCTTTGGTGGTGTGTTTACAGTTTCGACCGTCTCGTAAGCACCTGTGTGGGCCGGCCGTTCGGTATAACAGACCAGGTCATCACGACGGAATTTCCGTCCTTGTTGGATGACAAGTATATTACCAAGGCTGGTTTCCTAACACCCCCAGAAGATGCACCCAGTTACAAAGTGGTCGCTCATCACTATCTCAAACTACGCCTTCTCCAGTCGGAAATCCAACAAGTCTTGCAGTACCAACAGGCGCGACTTGCGAGACAAGGGGGGAAGAACAGTCGAAATGCTTTCATGCACACCAAACTCCCATCACCTTTCCTACAGAACTTCGACTCCTTCCGATCTTGGCGAAAAGACGTGCATCGCCGACTTGCTGAATGGAGAGACTCTGCGCCAACCCGTCAGGAAACGGGCGTGCAATTCTCTGTGGAATTTTTCGAGCTGAATTACTTCCAAGCAATCGTCATGTTGTACAGACAGAGCTTGACGGTGCCTGCCCCGTTGGTTGGAGCTCTAACACCGGCAGATGATGTTTCGAGTCCATCGTTCTCGAATGTTGAAGACAGCGAGGACGAAGACGACATTTACCTCAAGGTTGCGGAAGCAGGACAGAAGGTCTTGAGAATATATCGACAACTGCACCGTGTCCACCTAGTGAATTATACTTACTTGGCTACACATCACCTGTTCATGGCAGGTAAGACATCGCCGTCTTCGATGGTTGTAACGTAGGCGAGCTGACAAGCCCCAGGTATATCGTTCCTATATGCAATATGGCACTCACCTGTGGTCCGAAGTCGCCTGGTAAGTCGCACATAGTGCCTCGTTTGTGGAACTTGGCTTACGCTTCTAGACGCTTGATGATGTTGATTTTACCGTTCTTTCTGCCACCTCGGTTTTGGGCGATCTGATGGAGAAGTGTCCACCAGCAGAAGCCTGTCGGGATGCTTTTGAAAGGATGAGCAAGGCAACCGTTCAGATGTGCCTGTCAACTACGGGCTTTGGCAGCGACAACTCCGGGACGCCTCTCGGTGCTCCCGCTTCACGCACACCGCAGACTTATTTTGAAAGTCCCGGATCTCGAAAGAGTGGCTCCGAATATCAGATGCCACCCCGGCAGACCCAGTCCAGGCAAGCGCGGCCTCAACCCAGATTCGATATGAATCTCGGTGATCTCTTCGCTGAGGGTATGACCCCTCCCAGCGGTAAACGACAACGTCTCCAGTCCTATGATGGATCTGGATATGGCGGTCGCCAACCAATGGCAAACCTCCAACGAGAAAATCCACAAGGCCGGTACCATCGGAATTCACAGTATATGCAGTCGTACGACAATACGTATGATGGGCCAAATCCCCAGCAGCAACAGCAACAGCAGCAGCAGCAATATTACTACAACTCACCTCAGAGTCCTTCGTCAAGAGGTGCACAACAGAACTACGGTCAATCGCAAGCTCCCGAGCAGGAAGGCTTTGTTGACCCCGGGCTGGATTTCCTTGACTTCGCTCCCGGTGGGGCGATGAATCTTGAGACAAGACAAGACGGTACCCAAGAGTATCCGTCTATGCCGTCCTTTGGGGCGGGAGCTGGACCAGGTCTTGACCTTGGCTTTGGTCTTGCTGTTGATTTCCAGCACGACTGGAGCGAGGGTACTGGCTACGACCTCTTCGATGGCTTCTTTTTTGGCGGCAACGGTGCAGGGCCCTCGAATGGAGGGAACTAAATATTCCCCTTATGCTGTTACGTGAAAAGCTACGTCTTCACTACGTGTTGAATTTCCTTCTCAGTATGTATGTTTTGCCGGTAAAAATTTCTTTGTTGCTTTCTCTAGCTCTGTCTCGTTGGGAGTTATGTTACTCGGATAGCGAAGGTTTATGACGGGAAATCAATGGTTTGTGTGCTGCATCTTCTGGGACGGAAACGAAAGCGGCTTGCCCTGATATCATAGAGCGTTATGACTTGTGCTTTCACCCTGTCCACGGTGCAATTCTATATCGATTATTCTGTGGAGCCTTTTCGACTTGGTTGTCTGCTAGCGGATGACGGTCTGGTCACCTGGAAGCAAGTCAGACACATTATCATACCCCCTATGACGTTCACTGTCTTCTTTTCAACCCTTGACATTTTCAAGTATAGTTAGCTTCGTAGGACAGTGTCCTACTTCGGAATATATCCATCTGACCTGGCCTAAAGGCATACATCGTCACTGAATCTGACGGCATGATAGAGCTCCAATCAAGTGGGCAGCAGATCGGGTCAGTGATCTCATAATCTGCTGGCTGGTAGTTATTGTCTGCAATCGCCCGTGGTCTCCGGACTCTAGCTGCGTCGCTGGATGGCCGCTTTGCGTGCATGCCAGCAGTTGGGCAGTAAGGCGCCAAGATGATAGCATGCTGAATGAAGTGCAGTGGACGATAGTCTAGCATCCTGAGGATGTTTGCGGAGGAGACTCCAGGAGATTCCCTGTAGAGTAGGACTGACTGCGGACTCCTGCGTTGCGTATCGCAGCGACTGCTGGTGTTTCCTAAAGACCAGCCACCATCCGCGTTGGCTTTGTAGTCGCCGAATATAATAATCATTAGTATTGTTGATTGATAGTTGCGGCGGTCCAGTTACAGCAACTTGGGCGGCTTTTCTGCCTTGTGGGACGAGGCGGGACCGCAAACTCCAAAGAGCAGAAGCAGAGACACAAAAAACAAAACAATCACAATCCACCGCCGACGTCAACACCGCCAGGACGCTCGTTCTCTGCTAGCTTTCTATCGCAGCAGGTCGATCGTGGCCTCGACTGTCCTTCTGCGGCTGCGAATCACAGTCAGTCCGCCAACTCACCCTGCGCTCGACTCCATCCAACCGCGTTGAGCTCCGCGGAATCGTTATCCAGTCCGACCTTCTCTGTTACGACCCTCTCTCGTTGCCCACCGATCAGAGCGAAGAGATCTCTGATCTGCCATTCCTTTCTTCTGTTCCTCCGTGGATCACCCCACACGCAGGGTCCAACGCCGTTCCGCGCTTGGGGAAGAGTCGCGGAAGCATACTACTTATCCTGTCTGCGTGAGGATAAGCTCTCACTGTCTCGAAGCTGTTGGTGCGAACCGGACTGTGTTCCAAAGACGCAGACTATACATTAGTTGGGACCTACCGCAGAGATTCAAACAACGGTACGCACACTTCAATTTTCACTTGGACCTCCAGCCTAGGCTCTGATTTCTGGCCCTTGCATCTACGCCTCACTCTTGGGCCAACTGTGTCTTACACGACCCCCTCAACTGTGCAGTGGCTGGAAGAGGATGTATTCTTTTCCCTGCTGCTTTTGCTGTTATTGTCCTTGATATTCATAGTTTGGATTCTGACAGCTTTCAATCAAGTCGTCCTATGACGCTGACAGCGCGCGTTTTGTGAAACAGTCCCCGCCACGACGGCATTCTGGAATTTTGCCTGCAATAACGACCGACTATCCTTTTACCTCACCTCTTTTGACCACTGCGATAGATTGCACCCTGGGGATAATTGGTTCTTGGGAAGCTCGAAGTTGGCTGAAAGGCAACGTGGTTGCTGTTACCTCTTGCTCTGTCTATCGATTCTATAGATGCTTGGCCCCTGTTGTACTCCAATTCCAGAATATAGTACAGGCAATGCATGTGAGAGATATTGCTTCGTGAGACACCCTCTCGTGCTTGAACGGACACATAAGGTCCCCACTGCACCGGCAAGATGGTGAAAGCAGACGTACGTCGGGATTACTATGCGGACTTGGGTCTGACCCCGAGCGCCGATACGGATGAAATCAAGAAGCAATTTAGGAAGCTTGGTGAGAGTATAAGTTCTTCAAGACCTGTCTACAGTGACTAACTGGTGGAATGACACAGCTTTGAAGTACCATCCCGACAGAAATCCGGGAAGGGAAGCCGAATTCAACGCAAAGTTTCAAGCGATACAAGCAGCTCATGAGATTCTTATTGATCCACAACTGCGTCTGAGGTATGATACGGATAGGCTTCGAGCTGGCTATGGAAGGACGTATGGTGCAGCGAAAGCGGCGACTGCCACGAAGAAACCGACCACACCAAAACCCGCGTCGCAACCGTATGCTCCTCCGCCACCACCTCCTACCTCAAGGGCCCAGACTTCTAGACCAGGCTATTCTCAGCGACAATCTTACCAAGCCCATCCTTCAGCAAGTGCGCAGAGCTTTGCCAGATATGCACGAGCAGCACAACAGCAGCCATGGGAGAAGACGCGGGATGAGCCTCAAACTCGGGCAGATGCTTTCCGTGGTTTCCAGGAGATGAAGAATAACGCAACGCCTGGCTGGGCTAACTTTGATCCTCGGACCGGTAAATCATATCCAGCTCCCAGAGGAACGCCAACGGGGACAACAACCGGACAATCCGCGAGGCCGAGGTCGGCATACGAATACTTCAAGACGGCATATGAGAAGCAGCCTCCGCCGACGCAGCCTGCTACTGGACCTCCGCGGACCCCATCCACCAGGAGGAAGCAGGGCTTTGCTCCAGGGACACCAGGCGGCGATGAACCGCCAGCAGCCAACACTTCCGCCTACACCAATGTCCCGAGACCGGAACGTGCGTTTTACGAACCGGCACCAGCTCCCACCGCAAAGAAGACCACTGCACCAGAAGAGTTCACTATCCCGGGATTTGAAAGGCTCAGCACGCGGTACGCAACCAGCGGAGGCGAAAGGACTTACTTCTCAAGTTCTGGACTCGGCCGGTCCTCTACCGTAAGGGACTCCCCTAGCAGCCCGAGACCTCACTCGAGGACGAATCCTCCCAGCCCTGCGCATAGCAAATCTGGACGGCATCGTAGCGCGAGCCCACAACTGAAGAACCGGGATCGAGCCTTTTCTTCATCGGCTACTTCGAGTGACCTAGACGAGGACGAGGATGATCTTGACGAAGATGAAGACCAGCCTACTTTCAAGCCACGGGCCGTCCCTAAGAGTAGACTACGCCCGAACCAGAAATTTTCCGACTTCTACAAGGACTGGAACTCAGGAGCTGGTGAGAATCCCTCAGTTTGGCCGGCCGATTATGATTCTCCGGATCACCTACACCCTCCCAGGCGTTTCGACGGACCCAGGCCACGGAGCCATCACGGATATATGGATGAAAATACTGACAATTATTATGAAGGGCATGCCTCAGATAGCACCGCATTCCCGAATGGCTTCCATGCCTCAGCTACGACCACCGAATCGCATAACGCTCAACGTCCAGAGAAACGCGAGACCCGTGATGTTACCGGAGAATCAAAGGAACCCTCTAATAAGTATGACGCCGCCCCTGAATCATCTACCCTTTCTTGGTCCCGCAAATGGGGATTCTGTTCCCCAAAGGCCGCTCCCAAAGGCCCGCGCAAACAGCCGCCGTATTGGGCCTACCCTTCCAGTGTGATGGTTCCGGCCACATCCCCCAAGCGGATCAGGGTAACAGACGACGGCAAAAGCGCAGCTCCATCAGCGGCAGCGATTCGCGCCTCGCTTCGCCAACTTCCTGACCCATTAATTAAGTCGATATCGAGAACCCAAGGATATGATGCTGACCCGTCTCATAGCTTCCAAGGATCGACTACCTCGAAAGCCACGATGAACAGAGAATCCAAGAGCCACGAGAATCTACACACTACTTTTTCGGCGGATCACTGGCGCAACACTTTCGAAGGGGCTGCGGACTTCTTTGCCCCGTCAGCTAAGGATGCAGCGAATCGTGGACGAGGATCACCCGGTCGTGGTCGAACGCCTGGCAGGTCTACTGCTTCATCGCAATCGAAGAACGGTTCCTCAAGCCAAGGCACCTCGCGTGCTCCATCCGCATCGAAACAAGCGCCTACACCGTTCGCAGAAGCCAAGTTTTCGGCAGATGTTTGGGCCGAGCAGTTGAAGAATGCTGCCTGGACTATTCCACAGCCTGAGAATACGCAACAGCAAGCCAACACTCGCCGTGCAAGGAGTCCCAGGAAGCAGGCAAGGCCTGCCGCGAAGTCCCAGCCTACCGTGTCGACGGAGGCGGATGAGGAAAAGGCTACCCTGCACCCCGATAAGGGCGATGCATCATCAGAGGGAATTTCCAAAGATGGAGAGGCAATGGACATTGACGAGGATATCCCCGCCAAGACTACTGTGCCTCCTGCAAATGGCCATAGACCAGGTGAGCCTAGGCTCGTGTCAGTGGAGCCAAACCGCCCTGAATGGCGGCCTGGTGCAAGAGAAGACGAACCGCATACTACAGCGTCAACCGCAGCCAACAAGACAGGATCGACCCAGCCAACGAGTGAGACGGAGTCGACTGAGACGAACGGACAGCCTAATATCTACAACTTCACTGGCTTGAACAATGTGACCCCGTTGGCTTCCACAAACAATGTTGGAATTAACGACCTAAACGACATTTTCACCACTCTTCCGTTCGAATCGCGCCCGAATAATCCGGATGACAACGCACGATCAGGGCGTCCTCGTGAACTACAGTGTCCCAATCCTCCCAAGCGTCCTACTCGGCCAGCTCTGGTCGCAGCCCGTGCTGGATCGCAACAGATGGTCCTGCCCAAGCAAGCGTGGGACCGATATGTGGCCGAGATGACCGCCTATATGCGCGAGTGGAATGTTTTCAACCGTCGCATGCTGCGTCACTTCAACGCCAGACAAGATTCAGTCGAGACCGGACTTTCTGCACACTGGATAAGTGCTTTTGGCGATTCCACCCGACTCAAAGTGGACGACGAAGGCGAAAAGGACACCGACGTGGATGACGAAGAAGTTCTCATCCCGGGAACAGCCCGCGGCGGCTACAGCGCCTATCTCCGAGGCATCGAGGAAGACTTTAAAGTCCGAGAACACTGGAACGTCGCATGGGAACTCCATCTAGAATGCGTCCAGGAACTAGGCGAGGTGCGAAAATGGATCAAGAACGGAGGGAAAGTCGTAGCCTAGTCTCTTCCTTCTAAGTCTAAGTACCAGTACTATCTCACCCATTACAGGAACTCAGCGCAGAGCGAGAAACAGAAACGGAAAATCACACCAGATCAGACCAGAGCATTAATTGGAAAAAAGCGTGCAGAATTGGAGTTATCAAGGCGCTTTTGAATACCCGGGCAGTGGAGGTCCTATTTAATTCTTTTTCTTTTTCTTTCTTTTTTTCTATTTGTCTTGTTCTCATGCCCACGGACAGATCTCATAAGGCATTACATACATACATACATACATCGAAGGCTACGAGGATCATGCATTTCGTGTACCGTACCACAATACCCCTATGGCCAGTTATCGAATCTTGATTTGTTCATTCAGTGTGTTTATTTTTCTCTCCTGAAAGGTGGTATGTATGCTATGCACTGGTAGTTTGGTTGATGTTTGTTCTCGAGGGATGTCCTGTGTTTCATATTGTGGATAGTATGAATATGAATGTGAATAAAATGAGATCACATTTTACAAAGCCAGGGGCTTTTATCAATCAATCAAGAGAGAGAGATGACAGAGAGAAATAATCATATTCAGAGATGAGATGAGATGAGTTCCAAATTAATTTAACCACAAAATATAACACATTCGTTTCCCTTCTTCTTTTCCTGTGAGAAGGCAGCATAAACCCCTAACTTTACTTGAAAGAAGTAGAGGAAACAAAAGACATAGTACAGGTCAGGTCAGATATTGTTACATACATGTGGTTAGTTAGTTAGTTGCATGAGAAAAAATACATGAGATGAGATGCCGATCCGATCATTAATTTCCCTTCCTTTCCTTTCGCTTTTTCTCAGAAGTGATAATCAAATCAAGCTTTGAGATGGAATTAAATTGAAATCCCGGTCCTCAATTTCCCCTATCCTGGCCGCGTGTAAATTTCAAGAAAAAACTCAGAGCGTTTGCCCATGGAGGAGGAGACGTCGTTGGAATAGTAGAAGAGGATATCTGAAATGGGAAGAAGAAAAAACAAGAGGGAAGTAGAAGGTGGATATCTGAAGTTTGATGAGAAGATCCGATAAACGCCGTGTATATGCCTCTTTTGTTGCCTATCCGATAATCATCTGGGGAGAGTATGATAGGGATTCATGCGGTCATGCTAGTATCCACTTATCTCAGCCTCCAGCCGGTTATTTCTAAAAGTCGTCCGAGCGGCGGTTAGTTCGGCCTCGTCCTGCCCAGGGTGCTCCATCAGAGCGACCTCCGTGACGGGAGAATCCGTCGCGGCCGAATTTGCGGTCGCCGGAGTCGAAACGAGAGGATCTGCCATCACGGCCAAAACGAGACCCACCGCGTACGTCACCATCATCCTCTGGGTCTTCATGTCCAATGTTGATACCGGGAACTAGTTCCAGGTTCATCTTGCGGGCCAACATGGGGGACAGAACTGGTGGTTCGCTAAGACCGTAGCCGAACTTAGCAAGGTCGTTGAGAATTTTGATCATCAGTCTCCGACTCTGGATGACGGAAGTGAGTGTACCAAGCTGTGCCCTGTACGAGTCGCTCTTTGTTTTATACGGGATCGTCTTCATCGAAGCGCCGACCTGAGAGAGAGTCTCAGCAGTCGCCTCAGGCAGTTGCTGGTTCTCTCTGCTCATGTTGACACCGGCAGTAGAGACACTGGTATCCTCTTTGATAGGCAGATCACCGATCTTCTGGCGGAAAGCGGATTCTTCTGCCTCGTGGATAAGGATCCAGCCTTCTCCAGTCTTGTTCGCACGGGCAGTACGTCCAAGACGGTGGATGTATGTTTCGCGGTCACGCGGGACACCGACCTGGATAACGTGAGTGACATCGGGGAAGTCCATTCCTCGAGCAGTGACATCCGACGAAAACAAGATAGCGGACGTCGATCTGCGGAAGTCATCGGCACACTGAGTACGTCTCCTCTGCGTAAGACGAGAGTGAATCTCGTAGAAAAACATCCGTCCAAGAGGGTGGCCACTTCGGCGGTCATTCGGGTCATTCCTCAATCCGGCGAAGGATTCGTATGCCACACTGACCTGCGCCGTGGAGTTGAAGTAGACAATTGCCTTGAATGGTCGCAGGTTGGGATCCTGCTTCTGTTTCTCCACGTAGCTCTTCGCGAGCTCAAGCACAGCAGGCAGGCTATTCTCCAGTCCGTTGAGGTAGACCGCTTTCTGCGGAACCGACATGTGGGTGGGCACTTCGTCATCCGGAATCGTCTTGACGAATTTGAAGTCAGGCTTCATAGTCCGACGGACCATACGCATGACTTCGCGCGGGACAGTCGCAGAAAACATGAGCGTCTGGCGGTCAACGTTCATTGGGTCTGGCAGAAGATTCTGAATTTCTTCGATGGCCGGGGCGAAACCATCATCCAGAAGACGATCAGCCTCATCCAGGACGAAAGCGCTCAGTTTAGGGGCCTTGACGCCGCTCAAAGGGTCCGAGAGGATATCGTTCAGACGGCCTGGCGTGCCGATGAGAACATGGCAGCCTTGGTATTGGATGCGTCGCAGGCCCTCTCTCTTCTGTGTTCCTCCAACTGCGGTCTGTACGACGACACCGGTGTTTGAGACGAGTTTGCGCGCCTCGACTGCGATTTGTTCGGCAAGCTCACGGGTTGGGGAGATGATAATGGCTCGGATGTCAGTAGGCGTCGATCTGCCAAAGCCGCGTCTGTCGGAACTGCGTCTCTCGAGAGACTTGTCTTTCAGGATGTTCTGCATGACGGGAACAAGGAAGGCAAGGGTCTTTCCAGTACCAGTTTTGGCCTGGGCCAATCTGTAAACCGCACACTGTTAGCATATACAATCGCAAGAAGGATTTTCGAATAAACAGGCATGGCATCTTCGATAAGGAAAACTCAAAACATCCGGAAGAGATGAAAGTAATCTGGACGTACACATCATCGCCCTTAAGGGTCTCATTGATTGTCAAGCTCTGAACTTCAGTCATAGTCTTGATATTCATCCCCTTCGTAATATTGTCGATGATCTTCGGGCTGACCAACTGCCTTGCTGCCAGATCCTCAAACTCGGTGATCCGATCCTGGGTTTGTTCGAATGGTTCCTCCACCTGCGCCTGCGCGGCGGCACCAGAACCGGAAGCAGCATTTCGCAGAGACGGCGACGAATAGATCGAACGACTAGCAAAGGGAAATGTGGCCGCGGACGGTCGTTGCCATCTCAGCACCTGCGGTGTTGCTCTGACGGAGATGGATCGGGGAGCGCAGGCTCTGAGAGCCTGCGCAAGGCCCTGACGACGAACAGCACCCAACATTCTGGATAAAACTACCTGAAACAAGACCGGATAGAAGAATTGAAAGCACCGGCTTGGAAATGCAGGTGGGAGGAGATGGAAAAGAAAGGGAAAGGGGTGGGAAGAGGAACGGTGAAGAGAAAGGTTGAGGAGGCGAACAATCTCCGAAAAAAAAAAGATCCGCTTGTCCAACTCCGAAGTTGAGCTAACTCAATCGCGCCAGCTTATCGCCTCTTTTCATTAACGAGTTCATCACCGCGTTTCTATGCAATAATTTCTATTTTACTCGAGCTAAATGAGAATACAGTATGGTCTCGACTCTGATGGCTCCGAATTATCTTTTTCAAGCGATGCCTTGAGCCTCACGCGAGAGGGAATCGATAGGGTCTTTTTTGTATCGTCGTGCTAATACCAAGTAACTAATTCATCTCACAGACAATCTAGCTAGTGTTATTCTCCATCCCCCATACTTCTTGGTATCTCATATATGACACTGCTCATACATGGAAGACTGGCCTGTTTACTGCAGGTATGCTCCGTTCGTCTCCTCATGGATAACGTCGAATAACGGCTTCGCGCTGAACCAACCGGCTCGAGGCGTTCCTACGGCCTTGTACGTGAACGCGGCATCTTCCTCGTTGATCTTGACTGTCTGTCCTCCACGACCAGCTGCGGCAGCATCGGCCATGAGCTGTGCGTGGCAACACTTCTCCAGACTAACGAACCAGAAAATGGTCTCCTCGATGGTGTGACCAACAGTCAGAAGGCCGTGATTCTGAAGGAGTGCGGCCTTCTTGTCTCCAAGAGCCTTCGCAATTTCCTTTCCTTCCTCTTCCGCAAGAACGATACCTCTGAATTGCTCGTATACAACATGGTCCTGAGAAACATACCAGCATTAGCATGATAAGCTGGGAGTCATAGAGTGCACCAGGGTCACTTGAAGGAGAGATGGCAGGGTTTCTCTACTACTGCCTAGCGCCTTACATTATAGAAAGCACAGGAATCCTGCGTGATGATGTCCAGCGGCCTTCCTAGGGAACAGAAGGCACGTCCGTAGATGCTGTGACTGTGCGCAGCACAATTGACCTCCGGCCGCGCAGCGTGAATCGCAGAATGGATCATGTATGCAGCGGCATTCAGCAACCTGCACGGACCGCCATCGATGATCTTGCCGTCGTGGTCTACCTGGATGAGATCGGATCTCTTGATCTGGGAGAAGGCGACACCAAACGGGTTGACCCAGAACGTGGTAGGATCAACAGGATCACGGAGCGTAATGTGGCCTGCCACGCCTTCGTCGAAGCCGTATTTGCCAAAAATGCGGAAAGCAGCAGCCAGTCGACCTTTGAGATACTCGCGCTCTTCATATTTGTCTTCGAATACCGGAGGCGATGGGAAGACCATCTTAACCTTGGCTTTTCCTGCAGCCTCTTCCTGCGAGGAGGTCGCACCTTTCATCACCACAGGAACAGGACCATTGGTGGTGTATGATTCAGTAGCAGATGGAGGAGCCATAGCTGTAAGAAGGGGTGGATAATAAGCGGTTCAAAAGTCGCAGGAAGTATAGGAAAGATTGCCAGAAATGCAGAGTAGACTTAATGTCACTTGTCTGAAAAGCCAACTGTATAAGATTCCCAGCCTCGACGTTACCGGCAAATCCCTCCGCCGATATTCAAGGCCGAAAGATAAGAGATTTGATAGACAAGTAGTTAGGTCGAGTCCGCACGAGTTGCGAGTTATATTATATATATAATATCAAGCACATGAACCACAAGTGGGATTACACCGATATGAAGCGGGGTCCGGTAAACGCTTCTATCTGTCTCATTTGGTTCGTGGATGGCGGACTGGCCCATTTGATTTGCGTTTTAGATGATTTGCCGCGGCATATCGACGGATAGACGTGGGGCAGACTAGAGGATCTACTAGATAGATCGACGCTTGCTTGCGGAGTTGGAGTTTTGATACATCAATACTCCCTACGTGGCGCTCTATCTGACCTGTGCGTCGTGTAAGCACAGCAAAGATGTACATAGGATTGTTCTATTATATATATTCCGGTTGTCATGCCACAGCCGAAAAGCGTTATCCCGACCTAGAGGTATAACCCAACATCAAAATACATACAGTAATGAAAACACGACGAAAAAAGAAGAATTCATCCAAATGAATGTACCCAGCAGTGAGGACGACTTTATTGCCACCAACCTCTGCTCCTCTAGCCCTTATAACTGCAAAACTCGAGACATGAACGCCCTGACGGCACCCTTATAGGGTTCCTCCTGCTATAGCCTCTATTAGTATTCGCAACTTAATCACGGAAGAGAAGACTCACCAGCAAACTAAAATGATCCGCCCCATAGGCCGTCTCAATCAATACCTCTGTACCAGGAAACATATGTCCCCAAGACCCGGCCGAGAAATCTGTCCGTCGCTCCGTCAAAAACTTCATGTCCTCCGTATCGTCAGGACGTACAGGTGGGGGCGCCACGGCCCTCGTCTCGAACACTGTCTGCGAAGCCCAGATGATCCCAGTTCTGGGTGCTGTACCGAATGAGAACGGCGTGGCGTGGTATTCGTGCAGAACGGAGTTCGTGCCCTGGAAATGGGTGATCAGCCACTCCGGGGCCTTGGCTGTCCCTTGCCCGAAAATGCCAATTTGGTCACAGTAGTCAAAGAAATGTTTGGGGAGCTTGCCGAGCCCTGTTGGTGGTGGAGAGTCGAGGAGGAGCAGGGATTCTACTACTGGTTTCTGGGGGTTGGCGGCGGCTTTTTGGAGGATTTGCGCAGCGCGGTAAGCGAGAATGCCACCGGCGGACCAGCCGCCCAAGTGGTATGGGCCTGCGGGTTGACGTCGCTGGATTTCTGTGAGGTACAGTGTAACGAGCTCGTCGAAGGTGCAGGTCATGTTGGCGCCGTCCATCAGGTAGGGTGAGTTCAGGCCGATAATGGCTACGTCCGCACCGAGTCGGGGGAGTTTCGCGTATGATGTTGCTGAGCCAGAGCCATCTGGGAAAAGGAAAAGTATCTTGTGTGCCTTGGAGGGTAAACCCTGCAGAGTGACTGAAGTTGCGGGTGGAAGTGGCTTTGTTGCTATTGTGAGCGGTTGCTCGAACTCCTCTTGTGAGAGGCTGGATTCTGGAGTTAGGATGTCTAAGTCTGTGGGAGAAGGTGATGTATCGAAGACCGAAGTGCCGCTTGAAATGGACGAAGACGATTGACTCGCAGTTGGATTTGTCGCCGTCTTGTTGCTCTCAAATCCGAAAAATGACCTCAGTCCCTTGACATCTGGGTAGTCCACGAAAAGAGAGTCCACCTCGAGGTCGAAAGATAGCTCTTCCCGTATTCTACCTCCAATGACCAAGGACAGCAGCGAGTCTATTCCGATATCTGCGAACATTACATTGTCGGTGAAGTCTTCGATTGCCATGCCGCTTTCTTCGGAAATTATGTTGAGCACAGCCATATACTTAGATGTAGAGCGGGCACTGGTTGTGAATTCATTTGCTGAAACCGGTGCATCCTCCTCATCGCTTGTATCAGCGACCCTAGGTCTCGTGCGCTCAGGGAGTGCGGAGTCCCGAGATGGCTGAGGAGTAAGAACCGCAGACGAACCATTGTCGGAGTTCTTGGACATGAAATGTGCCTTGAGATCCCGGATAGTCAGACAGTCATTGAAGTCTTCAGACGACACATCTAGCTCTAACTCATCGTTCAGCCGGCTCGTGACTACCAGGGACAAGAGCGAATCGATACCTATGTCTGCAAGCGCAGTAGAGTCCGGAAGACCTGCCATTTCAACACCACTTTCCTCGGTAAGGATGTTAAGAACTGATTCAAATTTCGATCTGCCATGGATGGGTGCAGACGGAGTAGCAGATGCAACTGGGCTACTGCTTGGTTGTAATTGCTTTGGCGCGTCTGATACCGGGGCTGGTGCCGGAGCATGCTGCGTGTTGATCTTGTCGAAGAACCGCTTCAGGTCCGCCACAGTAGGATAGTCCATGAACAAGGAAGAATCGACGTCTAGATCCAGCTCCTCAACAAATGCACTTGTGATAGTCAGCGCTAGGAGAGAGTCTACGCCGATGTTCGCGAAAGTTGCATCATCCGTGAGCTCTGCTAGAGGCACACCACTTTGTTCACAAATAATCCGGAGAGCCTCTGTCAGGGTCCCGGAAATTTGGGAGATAGGCTTAGCTTTTGGTACTTGGACAATCTGTGGCACCATCACCGGAGCTTGAGACGGGGCAGGCACGCTCGAAGTGGCTGTCTGTGTGGTTTTTGCACTGCTTTGCAGGATATACCGCAGGACTCGCCTGGGTACTCCTTGGATCTGGAAGGTAGTCAGCAAATCCGCTTTCTCTTTCTTTTTTCTCCTCTAAACAGGAGATTGTTACTTAGGTCTCTCGACTTACCGTCAATCCTCGAACACAAGCGACCAAATTCTCCCCACTTAGAACGACCACATCACCCTTCCACTGATTCGACTCCGCCGGCCTCATCCGAACATGAGTCTGATACGAACGATCATCAGTGACAGGCTCGTACAACTGGAACGAGTCCCACCCATGATTAACGAACACTTCTACTCCGAGATTAGTCTTGTCGTTAGCGTTCATCACAAACCCGCCCGACTGCGTGAGTCCATCTATATAGCCAGGATGTGTGTGGAATACACCCTCCTTCTTGACATTCCCGAAGCTGACTGTACAGGCTGCTTCGAGTGTCTCGTTGTCGAGAATCGTCTCGTCAATACACCGGTAATCCGGGTGGAATTCCGCCAACGCCTGCACCATATTGTATGCCATTGGTCCGTTGAATCGGTAGGTTCTACCCGATGAGGAGTTGGTCTTCATCTCAAACATACGAGCCTTAACGGCGGAGATTTGCTCTTGATAGGCTTGGTACGTTGAACGGTCGCTGAATTTAATGCGGCAGTGGGAATGTTGTACTGTTTCGGTGTGATTTTCCTGGGAATTATGAATATTAGTATTCATCTGAGATTTAGAAGAGGGACGTCTTACATCCACGCTGTAGAACCGGACAGAAGCCTCTTTCTCGGACCAGATTAATGAAGCCGTGACTCGCAGTAATTGTGGTCCCGCATTCAACGGCATAAGAGCCTTTTCAATCACCATGTCCGTGACATCCACAACTTTAGTATCCGGTCCGAATCGAGTTGGGAAACGATCTAGAAGGTAATTTCCCAGCGTGAATCCTATATCGGCATAAACGGACTGCAGAAGGAGTCAGTGATTATGCTGCGCAGCGAACATGAGTGTGGAGATTCATACCGGTGTACAAAGTCCGATCCCTTCGACCTTATGGCCCTGAACCAGAGGGCTGAGGTCTGGTCGGGATACATCTGACTCGCATGTGATTGAAAACGTCCCTTCGGTGGACTTCTCGTCCACAATCCGGTGTAATGTTGTCGTCTCCAGGATTGGTGTCGGTGCTTGCTGTTTCGGCGATGTACTGTGTGGCTTGTTTTGGTGGGTTGGCAGCGCGATGCTTGATTCAGGCACAATATCGCCCTTGTACAGAGTCCAATCATTCCGGTACGGAATCCAGTACGACTTCAGATCCCAGGAGTACGATGGGAGTCGCAAGACACGCTGCGATGATGGAAAATCTCGATGGTACTCGGTCCAGTTGATGTCGAATCCCATACAGTATAGTGTTGACACGCTCTCCGTGAGTACTTCCCAGGTGTTTCGGTTCCGTTGCAGAGTGGGAAGTGCCTTGATGCTGTTCCCCAGCGTTGATTTCACCATGCCTGATACGACAGGATGTGGTCCAAACTCCATGACTACGCTGCTGTCATGGACAAGATTCATTGTGCTGGCTTGGCGAAGTGCTTGTAGTATGTTCACTGGTTCCCGGCAATGGCGTGCCAGATAGTTTGGGTTGAAGGTCCCAGTTTCTGTCACAAAATCACCAAGGAGTGGACTAATGACCGGGATAGTTGGTTTATGGAAGGTAACGCCTTCGATTGCAGACTGGAAGTCTTGCAGAATTGGATCCACCTGGGACGAATGGAATGCAAATGGGACTTGCAGCATGGTGCATCTAATTGAATGCGCCACGAGGATCTTTTGGATATCTGTCATGTGCGAACGCGGTCCAGCGAGAACGATCTCCTCGGGTCCGTTGATACACGCAACCTCACACGGTGCGCTATCAAGTAGACGTGACACCTTTTCGAAAGAGGCCAGCGCTGCCAGCATAGTGTGTGACCCTCGGTTGCACTTCTCCTCGAGCAGCTGGGCTCTTTTGCCTACCAAATAAACCGTGTCCGCGTCGGACAGGACGCCCGCCGTGTTCAGCGCTGCGTACTCCCCAATGCTGTGACCGACTACTGCCGACGGACGAATACCCCACGACACCCAGAGCCTGGTGAGTGCAAGCTGCATGCACGTATTGGCAAGCTGGACCACAGTGGGTGTGAAACCTTCCAGTCTGGCATGGGTACTTGCTGAGAAAATCGGGAGAAATGTCGGAAATCCAAGCTTTTGGGCCAAATCGTCAAGGCGGCAGAGATCAGACCGGAACACGGAGAAGTTATTAAAAAAGACTTGACCCATTCCCGGGTATTGTGCGCCTTGGCCGGTGAAGGTGAAAATGACCGATTGAAGTGGTGCGCAAGGACTGAATGGTTCTTTAATCGCTAACTTGCTCTCCATCTCACGCAGAATATCCTCTAGAGATGACCCAGCAAACATCAACCGATGCGAGTGGTGAATGCGTCGAGCTGTTGTGGTATAAGACAGCTCACATAGAGATTTTTCTGTATGTTCTGACATCGCATATCGACGCATAGACTCTAGGTTCTTCCTCAATGCCGAAGGTGATTTAGCGGACACTGCAATAACATGAGATGACCTAGGATCAGCACCCTCTTCCTTCAGTATCAGTGGTGGGTCCTCTACTAGAACTGAGCTATTCCCCCCAGCGGCACTGAAATTGTTGATAAAAGCTCGTCGGGGAGTCTGCCCGCGGGGCCACTCGGTCGCCTGGAATGCAATATGAACATTTCGTTCATCGAGGTTTGAGGGAAACCTCCGATTTAAGCGCGTGTGGACTCCGCGATGGGGAGGTATAGTGTTGTTCTGCATCATCATTATCACTTTGACAAGGGCTGTAACCCCCGAAACAGACTCTCCATGTCCGATGTTTGACTTGACGGCCCCCAGATATAAAGGCTTTTCTCGCTGGATTGCTCCTGGGTACTGCGGGCTAAAGGTATCAAGCACGGAGGTCATCTCTCGCATGTCTCCTGCCTGGGTTCCAGTTCCGTGCATCTCAATGTAACTGATATCCTGAGGTCGAATACCCGAGTGATTCAAGACATGTTGGAAAATGGCTTTTTGGGCGCCGACATGAGGCCGTGTGATTGACTCAGCTTCTGCAGAGTGGTTGGTATATACGCCACGGATCACACCTAGGATTGGATCCTTGTCTGCAATAGCGTCATCCATGCGCTTGAGGACGACGGTCGCTACGCCTTCACCACGGCAGTACCCATCAGCGGTGTCATCAAACGTCTTGCAGTTACCAGTTGCGGAAAGGAAGTGGCCTCTGTCCAGGCCGGCAGTCATATCGGGGTTCGTGAGGACATTAGTGCCACCCGCAATTGCAGTGTCGATATCTCCATGCCAGAGGGCATTACATGCTACATGAAGCGCGGACAGGCTTGAACTACATGCAGTGTCGATGCTATAGCTGGGCCCGCTGAACTTGAACACGTAGTTGATTCGGCCTGGGATGAAGGCACGGTTGGCGCCCGGAATGTAATACGTGTCGATGTCTTGCCCGCTGTTGCTCTCGCACCAGTCATTGCTGGTCGTACCGAAGAAGACGCCCACTCGATCTTCCTGCGTTGATGGCGTTCTCCCTGGAACGATACCAGCTTGCTCAATAGCTTCGTACGCAGTGATGAGCGCAATTCGCTGGGCCGGATCAACCTGCGGCGCCTCTCGCGGAGACATGTTGAAAAACCGCGCGTCAAACATATCCGGGTTGTCGAGCCAGCAGCCCCATCGGATCTTGCTGGTATTCTTCCGTTTACCAGTGGGATCAACGTGAGTGTCAACGTTCCACCGGGTGGGTGGTACCTCTTTGCACATATCACGGCCGGCCATCAAAAGCTCCCAGAGAGAATCGACATTCTCAGCGCCTGGAAAACGACCGGACATGCCCACTATGGCAATTTTGGCTCGGTCCATAGCCTCTGCAATTTGACTTTGTGCTTCGTTCATGACATCGTTCTTTGGATCGATTGTAGCTGGAATCTGGCTTTTTGCGACCTGTACTGAGCGACAGAGCAGTGGGCCGGCCAAGGTGGCGATTGGGATCACCTCCACCTCGCTTGGATCTATGGACTGAAGACAGGTGCTTATTCCACATGACATATTTTCCCAGCTTATCGGACGAAGGAGTACATCCTGCAGGGCGGACTGTATTGCGGCTGGAAGAGTGCCTGCCCAGACCAGTCGTCCGGTACCGGTTGATAGAATTGGAACATGAGTCGCGCGAGAGGCCAGATCGATTAACGCAGAACTCAGAATTGTCTCTACGTCACATTGATTGAATATTGCTGAGGAGTGATATGGTGCGTGTATTGGAATGTCTTTAGCACGCAGTTTAGACAGCCCAGGTGTGTTTCGAAGCTCTGCCAGAACTGATGGCGGACCACTGATGGTGACTCCGCCAGATGCATATGCGCTTATATATGGCCTTGACATTGGAGGGAGTCTCTGTTGGTGATAAGCTTAGTTTTATTGTCCGAGACGCACAACGTAATGGTGTATGAAGGTGGTCTACCTTTTTATTGGACCATTCCTCCAGCAGCTTCCTGGCTACATGGCCTTCCAAACCTTGCAACGATATTGACCAGCATTTTGCTGCCGCTGATGACTCTTCAATCCGTCTTCCAGAGTCACTGGCGTGGAGACCGGTTCGAAAGGCGAGTATCACTGTCTCAATCGCGGCCGGCAGCAGTTCGCTGAGTGACCTGGAGCTGCTCACAGCCGCTGCACTTAGGGCACCAGTGCACAGACCAAGACAATGCGCATCGTCCGCTGATGGGTACGAAAGGCTTCGTTCAGAATGAAGTCTGCATGCAATTAGCTGTGCACAGGAGGAAAAAAAAAAAAACAAAAACAGAGAGAGAGAGAGAGAGAGAGAGAGAGAGAGAGAGAGAGAGAGAGAGAGAGAGAGAAAGAATGTTACTCACCGCATAAACGACGCAAGCTGGTAAACAACAGTTAAAGCCTGCTCCAAGCTGGCGTCTACTCCATGTTCCCGCCGTTGGGAAAGTAGTTCAGCGATGCTAGAGAAGCGCGAAATCCGTGCCTGGTATCCGTTTGGTATACGGGCAACCTCTGCTCGGAGAGTATAATAGGCTCGCTCGAGAAACGACCTCACAACAGGGTCATGGCTCGTGAGAAGAGCCCTCAGCTGCTCATCGTAATCATAGGTCTGATCACCAAACAGGTAAAAACGAAGCTTTTGCGCCATGTTTGGGACGCAAAGGGCAAATATTGTTGTTGAAACAGAGAGTAGTGTACGGAAGGGAAAGATTTACCCCGATATTCTTCTTCGAGTCATAGCAATACCAATGTATTGATCAATGCCCTGGGTATTTGCCGGCCATGATAAGCTTGGACTGTTACATGCGGCGTACGCACAATGGCGCTTGATTCTATGAAGCCAATCCGCATGTCGGATCTATACGAACAGCCACGTGCTATAAACTTGCCTAGCTCATGCTGATATGCAGGTCATTTGCCGTGTCGGGGTATTAGGATGGCATTCGGAGTCCGAAGACGGGGGCGCTTTCGGGATAGATGTACACCTCCAACAAAGGACCGATTGTGAACCCCGCGCATTGTAAACATAGTGCATTCGGGGCCTATTCGCTTGTCGGGGATTAATTGACACTGGCATCAGCACTCTGCCTTTGATATTCCGAGGGACATGTCCCGAGGACTGGATTTTATCCGGACGTCGTTCAAGGGATGAGATGCAGATTCTAATTCTAGACTTTAAGCCTGAAGCCCAGAGGAGTAATCAGCGACATATCGTCCTATCTCATATAGAAAGTTTTAGATTAACTCCTCTATAATTATCTCAGCAATCGGGATGTTTGTCAAGGGAGACTTGGCCGTTTAGAATTGAATCAAGATGTAGGAAAATGTTTCATGAGCACAATCGGCATTTTTTAACCCTTATACCGTGCGAGGTCTTCGGAGAGCTTTTAGCGCTGCTTGGCTGTCCGCAAATATGACCAGGCTAATCGGAGAATACATATAGAAGTTCCTGAAGTTATACTAATAAGGTAATATGAAAGGGAAAAAAAAGCTAAATCCTCACGTAGAGGGTCGGCTTAAGATCTCGACTATAGGCAGAGAATTAGTTAAGTTACTTACGTTTTTATTCAAGGACGACCGATCAGAAAGTTGACCTGCGAAGGTTTTGAAATAGTCGCCTAATGAGCTGGCAACCACTTTCTAGCTGTCGGATGAGTTACGATAGAATACATGACTGACTGACGTAGAAGGCGGATTCTAGGCATAAATGTCTTAGGAGCGATTGAATCAAGAAACCACTTGTTTCGAATTATAAGTACCTTATAAGAATTTCACATGACGCTATCTACCCTCTCAATTTTTGTTGTCTCCCCCGAACTTTCTAACCAGCTCTCTTATAACATGCTCACCCATCGCAGCCAGACTGGGGGATGCCATGATTTCCAGAACGCTAATGTCCAACCCCAGAGAGGATTTTAACCAAGACCGCATCTCGACAGCAGCCAGACTGTCAAGTCCGACATCAACGAGGGAGCGAGAAAGGTCAATCTCTGAATCATCGTCCACCGGTTTCATGAGAAGGTCGAATACCCATCTTGCGATCTCCAAGCTAACAAATTGCGTCGCCGAGGGTTCTGAAAGAATGGCAGAGTCTGTGGCAGCTGAAGACACGAAATTGTTGAGTTTGTTCGCCGAAGTTTTCGTCTCCGTGGGTGCGGTGACAGCAGCAGAATTGCCAACATAAGCAGCTAGGCGACTATCCAGCAACATGGACTTTCCGCCGGTGCTGTCCAGCATACCAGTGGTGTCTCTCAGCCCAGTGATGAATTGCGCTGGGTTTTCGTAACGGCTGTAATCCAGGGTTTGTGGAGGAAGGCTATGAGATATGGCAATTGTGATGGCGTGGAACAGATCCTTTTGGCTCATGCGGGCACATTCGAGCAATTTGAGTCGATTCAAAATCTCCGGGTTATTGGCGACATGTCCAATACCTTGGACTTCACCAATGTCAATGACAGAAGCAGGCAAATGGGAGCTATGGCGGAATTGCACAAACGCATCCATGAAGGTGTTCGCAGAGGCATAATTGGCCTGTCCAGGTATTCCAAGAATACCACCCATTGAGCTGAAAAGGAGGAAAAAGTCAAGATCCTGGTCCAAGCTTGCGTCGTGCAGATTCCAAGTGCCTTGAATCTTTGGACCGGTTGCAGCGTTCCATTCATCAGATGACATTTTGAGCAACGATGCATCCTGTAGCACCATGGACATATTAAAAATGCCTTTCAATTTGATCCTGGCGGCTGAAATGGCTCTCTTAACGTCAGATGCGTTGCAGACGCTTCCCTTGATTGCTTGCACGGAACAGCCTTGACTTTCCAGTTCACGGAATAGTCTGATATTAGACTCTGCATCGGCACTTCGAGACAAGAAGATGAGATTTCTGGCACCATGCTCAGCCATCCACCTTGCTATCTCAGCACCCAACCCTCCAAGCCCCCCGACGAGGAGGTAAGACGCATCACTTTGGAAGATCATGGTCTTGGGAGAGCAAACCGCCTCAATGAACGTATCTTGTGATTTCAAGGAGAGCCTCAGCTGGCCAATATGTTGCCCGCTTTGCATGTAATCAAAGCATTGTCGGATATCCGTCGCAGTAAATGTCTTCACAGGGGTAATAGGTTGGATATGTCCCTGTTTATAAAGCTCCACGATTTCCTCCAACAGACTGGAACGCGCACATGTCAGTTACATGCAGGACAAAGCTGGTACGAGTGCCTGAAAGTGATCACGTACCGTTTACTCTCTTTTGGTCTACGCTTAATGTAGTCAATGATGTCGACGGAAGCGTATGACATGTTAGGATGAAAGGAATCTATGGGAAATTGTCCTTGGTTGGCTGCAGTCGGCTTAGAAAGGTTGACCAGTTTACCAAAGTTAGCAACACAGTCACAGGAAGCCTGAATGAAGTCTGCAGAAAGTGAGGTTAGAACCAGATCAACTCCACGGCCATTAGTTACTCTCATTATTCCATCTAGAAACGATGAATCGCGCGAATTGAAAATGTGATCTCGCGGGATACCATGCGACGCTGTAAGATATTCCACTTTATCCTCGCCAATGACAGTGGCGTAGATGGTCGCTCCAATCATTTTACTGATTTGGATAGCAGCAAGGCCTACTCCATCGGAGGCAGAATTGATAAGAACAGTCTGCACGTCCAGTCAGTGGTGTATCTATCAAAGGCAACGGCACAATTACCTGATTCTTTTGCAAATTTCCGAGGTCACACAATCCGTGAAGGGCAGTGGCAAACGCAAGAGGCATGACGGCTGCATCTTGGAGTGTTAGACAGTCAGGGATCTTGATGCAGCGTGATTCTGGAAGTATCATTGTCGTTGCAAAGGCCCCAGGGCCAAATGTAGCTATTCTGTCACCCGGACTAAGGCCCTGAACTTGTGCACCAACCCGAAGCACAATACCAGCGGCCTCGAGACCCATTCCCGTACAAGGCATTTCCAAATTGCCCAAACAGGTATAGATATCCTTGTTCCATTAGCTTTCTCCTTGGAATTGAAATGAGCAACGTACCAGGAAGTTCACACCAGCAGTGTCTACCTGAAGTTCAACCTCGTCATCTCCCAGTAACTGAACTTGCTGCCCTGCATCGGCCTGCCAAGCTAAAGAGTCAAACCCACTTGTCCCAGCCACAAGAGATATTCTGTTGTCCTTGGTTTCCACATGCGCTTTTTGGATCCGCCTCAATTCCTCCTGGACAGAGAAAGAAGATAATCGTCCGATATGAACTGTGTCTTCCCGAATGGCATATTCATATTCAGGGTAGGCATTTTGTCCATGACGCCGGCCATGAAACGCCTCGAAAACATCAATGACGAGCCCGATGCTCGTGTACTTGAGAGTGTCGACCTCACATGTCCCGAAGTCCAGGCCAAATTCGGAGCGAACCGTGCGTGCGACGCCGAGAGTAGGTGAGTATCGAGGATCCCTGCAGTCTATCTGAATCGATCGGGTCACCCAAAGGGCCCCGGAATGTGATCGCTGCAGTTCACGTAGGAGGTTCTGAAAGGTAGAAAGCTTTCTACTATCCAGGTTATGGAAGAAAGGAGATACTGTATCGACAAGAATAATGACGTCTTCCCCATCCATCAAAGACTGATCGAGTGACTGAACACCGACACTATACCCTCTAGAAAGTAATTGCTTCTGCATTCGTACTGCAATTTCTGATGATGTCACATCAGACAGCAACGTGACGTTTCTTTTCAATGGGGATTCAGGGACACAAGAAGGGCTTGCAAGCATGAATGCAAGGCTATGAAGTGGCGGTGCTGCATCAAACGCAACATCGTCGAGAGGGTTGAAACCAGCAGCCTTCAGGATACTGTCCCAACGGTCGGGAGAGATGTAGGGCTCGTCTGCTCTGCCATCAGACTCGCCTGCCCACCAGCCAGGCAGAACCCCGACAATGAAATTGGTGAACTTAGCGTCACCACAAAGTTCCTCTAACAATAGCTTCCCCCGCGGGTGGAGGAGCTTGCGGACGTTGCTGAGCGTCTCGTACAGATTCGGTGTGGCGTGCAAAACATTTGCTGCAACAATCAGATCAAACGACTCTGGTTCGAAACCCTGGTCCAAGGGGTCTTTGGTTATGTCAAGTGTCCGGTAGACTACGTTCGCATGACATTGAAAACGGTCTTTTGCTGCTGGAAAAAAGGCCGCGGAAATATCTGTGAATGTATATGTCGAGTACTTCGTCCGAGGAAGAATCTTTGCTGTTGTTCCTCCTGTACCAGCCCCAATCTCAAGAATTCGCTGTTGCGGCTGGTAGTGACCTAGAGAGTCGAAAAGTGGAGTGCGGTCAACCTCATTGAGGTAGTTGTAGAGTTCGTAAAGTGTATCATCACCCATGAGGACTTCTAAAGCATCGATTTCACCTTTGCAGATCGGGACAATGTTGTCCAATACTTTAATCATTGCTCGGGCACAGGGTGCTGCCGAAGTAGCTAGGATCTTCTCAACCAATGATTCCATGCTTTGCTCAGAACTTGGTTTTGGCTGTCTTTGGAGCCAGTCCTGATATTTTTGGAGATGGCTGATGCTTGAAGACACACCCTGCGCGTGAAGAAGACAGAGAGCTCGTTCAATGCACAAAGAAGTAAAATCATTCAATAGCATCGTTTGCTTCGTCCAATTTACCGGCGTTTGAATAAGATCGGCAAGATTGAGGAATTGCATACTTGGTTTCCAAAGCAGCCTTGCTCCAGCGTGGGATTCATCTTCTTCAAAACAAGCCTGATTTGCCCCAAGGGGTCGAAGAACGATGTCTTTGATGCGTATCAAAAGACAGCCATCAGACCCAAAGGCCTCCCCGTTAACGAGTATATTGCTATTTCTGGAGACATCCGCCCACATCGTGACATCTAAGTCCGATACACATTCGCCAATCATAATTTCTCCTATACTCGTTGGAACAGGCAATGATTCAACCTGCCAGTCGAACCCTTTGTAGATTGCACCGTATACGATGTGGAGAACGGAATCCAACTGTGTAGGGTGAACTGGATAGTATGTCGATTCATTCACCTTAGATACGATCCTTCCGGACACAGTGTTACTGGTGACTGAGCAGGATTGGCTTTCGACGCATTGAAAGGCAGGTCCAAATTCAACCCCCCCACGACTGAGGGTTTTGTACCAATTGGAGACGTTGATATCCCGAGAGAGGTTTTCTTTGTGTGTGCTCGCCGTGGAGGGTAGGTCATGACCCTGGGCAACTTCCCCGTAACAGTGCTCAATCCACTTCACGCCGTTGTGTGAACTGATTGTGAAGCTATACCATCGATCCCGTCGATGCTTCCGAAGGGAGGTTACGATCTCCGTGGGGTTTGACTGATTCAGGACCATTGCGGTGTCCAGAACCATTTGGCGGACGATGAATCCGGACGCAGTTGAGCCGATCTGTCGCACGGCCTCTCCAGCCATCATGACATAGCCAGCCGCTGGAAAGACAATATTGCCAGAGACTTTGTGATCCCGAAGCCATGTGACATGTTCTAGATAAAGAACATTTCTCCAGCAGGGCTCATTATCTGTGCTATCAACCACTCGAGTTCCCAGAAGTTCGTGTTTCGGTTGTTTGCGGAATAGCCATTCATTATTTTGGCGTGTCGTGTACAGATTGGAGTAGCCATGTTGCCATGGATAGGTCGGTACATCGGTGAGCACTTTGGCAGTTCGATCCGGGTTGGTGAGCATATTGAAATCAAGGGGTTGCCTGTGCGAATACAGTTGACCAATGGTAGAAAGGAAAGATTCAGCACAGTTTTTAAAACGAATCAGACAAGGGACATAAGGATGGGCCACTTCTGCTTGCTCCAGCGTCTGACGAATTGGGCCAGCGAGAGTGCTATGAGGCGAAACGTCGAGAAATAAAAGATGGCGGCTTCTTTGGCGAGAAATGATGTTTTCCAAAGCTCCTTGGAACAAGACCCGGGACTCTAGATTCTGTTGCCAGTATTTGGGTCCCACATGATCTCCATCACTCAGTTCATCGCCAGTAACCGTGGAAAAAAAGTGGACGGGTTGACAGTTGACCTCGGTCTCACCGCGGAAAAAGGGATTGATGAATGAATGATATGTATCTCCGACAGATTTCATATGATGTGAATGATAGGCGGTATCACTCTTGATTTGCCGGCACAGGATCTCTGGGTGTGCCAAAGATATTTCCTGCATCACATACTGCACCTGATCGATATCACCAGATATAGTGACACTGGATGGAGAGTTCTCACAAGCGACAACCACTCCTGGTCTCAAAAATGGATAATCTCAGACGCTCCCATTCCAACCGCGGCCATACACCCGGCCTGTGCTACTTTTCCTGCCACAATGCCGCGGTAGTAGGCGAGCGTCACAGCCTGGCTAGCAGTGAGCCTACCTGCAGCGTAGGCCGCGGCAAGCTCCCCTGACGAATGACCAATGACGGCATAGGGCCTGATGTTGAGCTCGAAAAGAGTATTAACCAGTGCGACCTGAAGTGCAGTGCATATCGGTTGCGAGTAAGAGGATAGATAAAGCATGCTTGTCTGGTGTTCCTTTGAGATTTCATCTGCGATCGACCAGGCAGGGGCATCGGGCAGACTCTGCAAGACACTATCCATTTCCAAAATTGACCTTCGAAAGGTGGCATTGCTCTTGAAAAGCTCAACTCCCATGCCTGGCCACTGAGCGCCCTGACCCGCGAAGACCATGACGATGTCCGGTGGACTTGAGGGAGCTTTTCCAAACGAGGCTGTAGTAACCGACATGTCGCTGTGTACAATGGATGCAGCCCGGAACGAAAGGTGTTCCCGCCTTGCACCCATGGTATATACAAGATCACGCAGAGAGTCAGTATTCTCCCTCAGATAAGCAAGGTTCCGTTGAATCATTGCTTCGAGGGAATCCTGCGTGTTCGCTGAGAATAACAGTAATTGTGGGGTTGAATCATGCTCTTCGATCACTTCTGAGGTTGGTGGAGTGAAATTATCGGCAGACTCGATGATAACATGAGCATTGACGCCCCCCATTCCAAAGCTGTTCACACTGGCTCTTACACAGCGGTTCCAAGGCCATGGGGTTGCCTCCACAGGGACAGTGATTTTCTTAGCCTCAAACGGAATCTTGGGGTTTGGGGTATTGAATTTGATGTTAGGTGGAATGGTGCGGTTCTCAACAGCCAGCACTGCCTTGATCAAAGAGGTGAGCCCCGATGCACCTTCAGAATGGCCCACATTGGGCTTGACGGACCCAATGTACATATCGCCGCCAAAGGTATTCGCAATTGCCGCAACCTCTATAGGGTCACCGACTGTGGTTCCTGTGCCATGGCATTCCACAAACGCGGTCTGGGAGAGGTCACTTATACCAGCAGCTTTATAGGCTTTCCGAATGACGTCCTCCTGGGCATCAGCACTGGGTACAGTAAAACCTGCCGACTTTCCGTCGGAATTTGTAGCAGTACCCCTAATAACGGCACGTATAGGGTTTCCATCACGTATGGCGTCATGGAGCGGCTTGATGTATACGGCATTGACCGCCTCTCCTCGGCCATATCCGTCCGCGTCCGCATCAAATGATTTGGAAGACCCATCAGCAGAAAGTACGCCCTTTGACGACATGATCATGGTCATTGTGGGGGTGAGAATGAGGTTGAAACCAGCAACAATGGCAGCTGAGCAGTCTCCATTCTGGATCGATAAACATGCAGAGTGAAGCGCGACGAGCGACGAGGAGCAGGCCGTTCGAATGCTCACACTTGGCCCATGAAGGTTGTACTCGTATGAGACTCGATTTGGAGTAGCAAAGTCACCTCCAACCATCAGAGGATACTTGGCCGATGTTTGTTCATCATGTGTAAGGTTTTCGGTCCAATCATCGCCAAACGAGCCAACAAAACATCCGATATCCTTTCCACGATAGTTGACCTCTCCGGCGCTTTCAAAACACTCTCGGACAACTTCCAACAGTTGACGTTGACAGGGATCAATGTACTCCAGTTCAAGCTTCGTAAAGCTGAAAAACGAGGTATCGAGGGTTCCGAGGTCGACAGATTCATCGAGAAAATACCCATACTTCGATTTTGAAGTCCCGTGCTTTCCCGAATCGGAGTGGTATCCCGAAATATTGTACCGACTACCGGGGACTTGTGATCTAGCATCGCGCTTGGCAAGGAGAAAGTCCCAGAGCTGAGCATCGTTGGAAATTCCACCGGGCAGTCTCACGGCTATACCGCAGATTGCCATTGGGGTAGAAGTACCAGGCAATGAATCACAAGTCTAGACACCGAGTAATTTAGTATCAAGAACGATTATTCTCAAGCAGGCAGTACGTACACTAGTAGACATGCTGTTGAATTGTGTAGACGATTCCGAGTTTGTGTTTTCTTTCTTTTCTTTCTTTTCTTTCTTTTCTTTCTTTTCTTTCTTTTCTTTCTTTTCTTTCTTTTCTTTCTTTTCTTTCTTTCTTTTCTTTCTTTCTTTCTTTCTTTTCTATACTTTATTTTCTATATTCTCTCCTTGCTTCTATAGTGTTTGTTTATAAGAGTCTTTCAATAGCTCATATTGGAGGGGAAATGTAATAAATTTGAGATTAGAACAGACAAATCCTTCAACCTCAGAGAGATTAAACTTGAGATTTAAATTATTGAGTGGTCAATTATTAATAGTTATCATTATGTGACACGTCTCGCGGTCTGTGCATTTCATACTCAAGAAAGTAAACCAAGCGGGGTCTAAGGTGAGGGGTAACTTGCCCCTCTTAGAGAAAGAAAATATTATTTTCTTATTAAATCTACAAGTTATTAATATTACGGCACAGAGGTCTGGATACAGCAGAATACAGATGTCATCTATATAGTGTCACGGGGAACCCGTGACATGATTATTTGCCTAGGGCATGCAACTCGGGTAGATTGATATCCCCGCAGGGGTTTAGAACATGCGCTTGGGCTGCTATGATGGTATAGATCCTCTTTTGCCTTATTATTTCTGCTGCTAATCCTTTATATCGGCTTTTTGGATTGTTTTAGATACAAATCCTATATATGGATCGGAGGGACCCAGAATATGGAGGATCATTGTTCATGTACGTTACAGATTGCCAGTCAGTTTCTAGTTGCTCTTTCATATACTATATCTTGTCGTGAGCTATATCCTGCTTGCCTTATCTCGACTGTAGCATTTTTCTCTCCTGATCTCCGTGCCTTCTCCACGTCAATAGCAGCTACTCAAAAACTCCCAGGCCCGGAGGATTCCCGAGGCGCAGGAAGACGAGACCCCGAAAGACAAACTGTCATTGAAGATCTGTACAGGTCGATTATATCCAAACAACTCCTAAATCAAGTTTCAGTGAGGGTTTCCACGTGGTATAAATATTCTGCCATCGTCCTTTTGACGTTCCTCTCCCTGGAGCCGTTGCCCCAACTTTGGTGTGGAAGGTTTAGGAATCCATTAACTGCTTGATTGAGAAGCAATAAAAGGCAGATATTGTTTCGGTGCCCGAAGCTATCCGATGTTCTTTGTATACTCGCCATCAAATGCAGCCAACCGATCCTCCAGTTGCTCAATGGTATTTCCAAGCCGCGTCTGCATAAAAGTGCCCAGGGAGCGGTAGATGAGGCTACAGCTTCCTGGCCGGTTCTTATTGATATCAGAGCAGAAGTTCTCCACATAGGTCTTGACAAATCGAGTCATTGCACGGAGGTTTCGTAGAACGAATTGACTGGTCATTGCTTGGCTCACCTCCTCATCCAGCTGATACGCTCCAAATGCAATCGGACAGTGCTTGATGTCCTCGCGTGCCGTTGGCATCGTGGCCATGGGAATCTCCGGGTCATACATGTCGATCACGACCTGATACCAGGCCAGAACTCTGCATGCTGTGATGCCAAGTATGATGGGAAAGCAGAAGTCCTTGGCACACGGGCACGCCAAAAGATCCGCAGCGTCCTTCATGGCGTCGCTGTTTGCTTTGAGTACTTGGTCGGTTGTGGGGTGGGAACCATTCTCTACTCCAGCAGGTGCGCATACTTGGTATAGCTTGGCTAGATTCTCCATCACGGCTCTCGTACAGTTGTGGGATGAAGTAACATGGGTATTTGAGCTTCCTTCATGCGTACTCGAGGGCAGATTGGGCATCTGCACTAAGGCCTCTTCGCCATATAAGACGTCCATAATACCCCCAGCACAATCAGGTGCGATGCGTGCCAAGCCTTCCTCGAAGAGAGACTTGGATCTATAATCACTATACTCTTCTTCCGACCTGAGTTCTGGATGTTGTTTCTGGTCTTCCCGGGCTGTGTTGGGGAACTCTATGAACTGCACTGAGTCTGGGACCAGCGTCTGCAGCATCTCATCCATTGTTTCGCCATGTTTCCCTTTGTCGTGATAGTACTGATCTTGGTTCGTAGAAGCCATGTTCGTAGGACGGTTTGAATTGTGTGACGGTCCAGCAAAGGGAGGTGGGGAGGGACGGGATAACATCTCCTCGAATGTCATAGTTTCTGTCCACGGGCCCCCATCTCCATCTTCGAATGAACCTCTACACGCTGACTCTGGCGCGCTCGGACACGGCCTGAGCTTTTTGGTAACAGTCCCGCCCATGAGAGTCTTCGGGTCAATATTGGACAATCCACGCTGTCGGGATTTGGGTGGTTTCCCTATCCGCATCGAACGGCTATAGTTGCAAGGCAAGCTCAGAAGACGACAACGCTCGCATTCGGGCTTCTCCTGAGTGCATTTGACCTTGTTCGCAGAGCACCGGTCGCATGCCGACCGCAGCTTCACCTTGGGGCCTTCATGACCCTGCCACGACATGTTGAGATAGGGTTTGACTGGCGACTTACTAGCGGAGCAAGCGCTATAAACCAGACGAACCTATCGATAAGAGGAGGGGAGACTTGGAGTTGATCAGCACAGACCGGCCATATAGACAATTTCAGTCCTTACCAGCTTTAACAGGATGGATGCTTATTTCTATTATAGGACATCCTAGCGGTCCTTAGGCACTTCCAATCTCAAGAGAACTAAAATGGCCCCCAAATCCTTCCCGCCATGCGCGATACTACCCTAGCGGATGCAATTTCGCCTTGTAGAGATCTAACTACAGGTCATATTTCTCTGATAGGACGATCCTCTTCTGGCCCAGCCCATTACTGCAGCTCCTACCTATACTTTGGACCACAGAGCCTAGAGCGTAACCGAGGGTTGAGATCTTTACCTTTGCGCGGTATATTTGATAAAATAATTGAAAATCCTGTAATCCTGTAGGAGACTGTTCTCCAACATATCTTGCTGTTCTGAGCTTTTAGTGCCTGGATCACACGAAACTCCTACTCTGGATTAGCGCGTGTGATTCATCTGCTGCTAGTGATATGCAAGCAATGAGCCCGCAGTGTACTCCGCGTTGTGTCGGATCATTCGACCCTCGCAGGAGTTCGCTTCAGTCATCTATATGGTACTAGGTACGTCGGAGAGCATTTGTTACCATCCATCCAAAGATCAGAACTCCTAATTGGTCTACCTGGACCTTCGACATTATACCTACCTAATGGAAAGAAACCTCCAAAACTTTACAACTATATTGGACGTTTAATACAAATAATTGGATAAGAATCAAGCAATTTGAAATCATGCTACACGCTAACTATCCTTATCTCCCACCTGTACACGAGATTATATAGGCTACCCCTCAGTGGTTAACCTACCGTCGTCGAATGTGGTGGCTAATGTAGGATTCAAAACCCCCCCGAGTAATTCTTGCATATACATATAATCCTGGGTCGAGCCCCCAGGCAGCTTAGGGGTTCTCTGATGCGTGGCTGTAATAGTTCGTATAGTCTCACTATATACGGAGAAGTGCATCACTAGTTAGTAGGTTTATTACGCCTAACGAATGCTCCGCCATCTTAGAGCTTATTGGAGCTCCTTAATGCTTGTCAGCTAGATCAGCATTACTGTTAATCACTAGAATAATACCAGAACAAGACATAATCTGAAGCTTTTCATCAATTATTATTATTATTTCTTTTTTTACTAGCCCTTCCCTGTATCTATAAAGTATACCTAGCTTACAATCTCTTTAGTGATATAGCAATATCAATCATTTAGACAATCGGCTTTTCAGAACCATTGTGGGAGATGGTCTTCTATCAATCTATCTCTATTTCGTATTACTGCAAATGGCCTGATAGTACGCCTGTCTACCCAGGAGACCATAACATAACATCTTAGACAACCTTGCTACTTGCTTACTATACATGCATATTTCCGGATTTGGGGGTTTATTCGATTATACCTTGTTTCCTCCCCTCAGGCCTTCAGGACCCCCTGGACCCCCTGGACCCCCTGGACCCCCTGGGCCACCTGGTCCAGCTGCCTTGGCCGCCCTGACATTCTTCCATTCCATAAAGGCAGCAGCTACTACGCACGCGCAACTGCTGGCTACCGCAACCCGGAAGACATCCATTAATGCGTCATTGTAGCCGCCAAGCAGACGACCCAAATATTGAGGTGCCACCAAGTTGCGAATATTGGTGGCTCCCGTGTTTGTCAGCGCTGACTGAGGCAGATTGGGAATGCTGCCCAGTTTGGCCGCAAGCCGGTTGCTGTAGATGGAATCGTCCACCGCTAGAAATACTGAACCGCCTAATGATTGTGAGAAAAAGATGAGCGAGATACCAATTGGCGCGTCAGGCTTCGGGAGCACTGTTTGGGCGGCCAGGGAGGCTTGCTGCATGCCTGCTCAGAGGTCGAGTTAGTATCCGCCGACAAAGATACAGCGGGCAAAGAAAGGAGGCTGAAACGTACTCATTCCGCATCCTAATGCCCATAGAACCTGATAGCCAATCCATTTAGGGTGCTCTGTGGTGGGCGTGAACGTGGTGAGCAAACCTGCGCCAATCGCCATGAGCACAGAGCCACCGATCATAAACGGCGTGTAGTATCCAACTCGATGAATGATGAATCCACAGGCCAAGCTGGCTACTCCTGATGAGATTACTGTGGGCAACATCATCACACCCGAGTGGAAGGATGACGCATTTTTGATTGCTTGGAACCAGATCGGGAGGTAGTAGTTGAAAGACATGAAGCCTGCGGTCACACAGATCGTGAATGCCATACCAGCCGCAATGCTGCGCTGCTTCATCACGCGTGGAGGGATAGTGCCCTTATCCTGCAGCCACAGCTGGACTCCCACAAAGGCGATTAAGAGAACACCGGCCAAAACCAACAGTGCAACTATCCGACCATTGCTCCACGCATATGTTGAGCCACCCCATTGGATGGCAAGCAGAAGGCAAATGATACCAGGAATTAAGCAAAGGTTACCCAGTGGGTCCATTTGCAGTAACTGTTCACGGAGAGGTGTCCCGGCCTTACGAGCGGGTGGCAGGTTCAAGAACAGCAGAATAGTCACCACGGTCAGGGCTCCAACGGGTAGGTTGATATAGAAGCACCACCGCCAGGACACGTTGTTGGTGAATCCACCACCGATGAGCGGTCCGACTGAGGAGGCCAACGCGAATATGACGCCGGCGATGCCAGTGTAGATCGGTCGCTGATGCAAGGGGACCGTGAAGAAGGTGATAATGACACTTCCACCAAAAATCCCTGAAGACCCAAGACCCGCGATCGCACGACCGATGATCAAGGCAGTGGAGTTAGGAGCAGCACCGCAAATGGCCGATCCGATCTCGAAGATCAAAACAGCTGACAGAAAGACCCATTTGGGATTGTAGAACGAGTAAATTTTGCCAAACAACAGCTGGAAGGCGCAAAAGGTGAGCAGATATGCACTGCCGTACCAACCGATGTCGTCAATCGAGTTGAAATGGTCGGTAATTTGGGGAATGGCGACCACCAACACGGTACGATCCTGTCATCCGATATAAGTTTCACTGTCCGTCAGATCGGTGATCGAGCGCCAACCTACCAAAGCCGTGAGAAAGCTCGCGAGGTAGAGCCCGGTCATGATCGAGTAGAGCTTGAATCCAGTGGGATACTGTATAGGCGGGCCCATGCCAGGCCCAAAAGGTTTGCCTCCTGGAGGGCCTGGCTTGTCTGCTGTTCCATTACCATTCATCTGGCCGGGCTTTTCTGTCTGCAGCTCAGCGGTCGATGTGTGTTGTGCGACTGCTGGTTGCTGGCCGCTCTCCAAGGGGGTCTTTTGCTCGTCTGCCATCTTGCGGTGGTTTTGAAGCACAAGCGGATCTGAGAGAAAAGTCGAGCAGCAGCAGAATACGATCTGAAGTGCCAGACACGATGGCGTGGGGGTGGAAACGAGAGGAACAAGTTGTCCTGCTCTCACGCGATGCCTGTCAACATACGTGGTACTTTTGCAATCTTGGGGCTAGCAAGAATCTGAGACCTGATGTGTTTATGTCGCTAGTACTTCCGTGTGTTCTCGTGCAGGGTTTGTAGCTGTCTCAGCCCCCAAGGATCGATATCCATGGCTACCTAGGTAGCTTCATCGAAGCCACGAGAAAAGCTTCGGTGTCCGATGCAGCAATGAGAGATCGATCGCTCATTTCTGGGATGAACCCGACTGGCTGGTCGTTTTATTGTCGTCTATTTAGTAAGTCATCCATCCGTTGGCCTAGTCGCCTACGGTAGCATTCTAGAGTGTGAGGATCGACAGTGGCTGCATGTGCTAACAACCGATGTTCTAAGTGTGTTTGCTTTCTATCTAGGACTACGTAGATACTTAGTGGCTGATCGCGACATGTTCTCCCATCTCAGCTTCACGTCGGTATCCGAAAACATTTGGAGCTGCACAATTACCATGGAAGAACAGAGAGAGAGAGAGAGGGGGAGGCAAGATATGGAAGGCCATCCAGAGTAGAAGAAAGCGCGCCCGTTTGGACGGATCTTCCTCTCTTACTGCTTTGATGCACCAACAACAGAACAGACCATGGATGGAAAAGCATTAACCGCATCGAGCCTGTTCGACATCACTGGCCGTGTGGCCGTGATAACAGGCGGAGGAACAGGGCTTGGGCTGATGATGGCGAAGGCCCTCGAGGCCAACGGGGCTAAAGTCTACATACTCGGGCGACGGCTCGAGCCCTTACAAGAAGCAGCCAAGCAGTCGGTTGGTTCAAGACAAACCAAGTCCACAAAGCAATCACTATGGTACTGACTATCTGTGATAGACCCATGGCAACATCCACCCGGTCCAGTGCAGCGTTACCTCGCATGCTGACCTTCAAGGCGTCGTCGACCACATCGCCGCCAAGGATGGGTATATCAACCTCCTGGTGAATAACGCTGGAATCTCCACACCGAACCTGGGACCCCATGCCACACGACCGACGCCGAAATGGGACATATCCAAAGTGCGTGACTACTGGTTTCACAAGTCCTTCGCGGACTACGCGGCGGTCTTCGAGACCAACACCACCGCTTCGCTGATGGTGACTTTCGCTTTTCTGGAGCTCTTGGACAAAGGCAACAAGAAGAGCGAGGAAGAGGCAAAGGCTTCCCAGGCGCGCAATGGAGCCGGCAAAGCGCGCATCGAGTACGTGCGAAGCCAGGTGGTGACGTTGAGCAGCGTGGGCGGATTCGGTAGAGACAATTCCGCGTTCATCTACGGTGCGAGTAAGGCGGCCGCGACACATATGATGAAGAATCTAGCCACATATCTGGCCCCGTGGAAGATCAGAGTTAATGTCATTGCCCCTGGATGTATGTTTGCCATTATCCAGATCGAAAGGTCATCAGTGCTGACAGGACGCAGATTTCAACACCGACATGATGGGCAACTTCTACAAAGCAACTGGAGGTCGACTGCCTGCTTCACTGGCCCCAGAAGAGAGGTTTGGGGATGCGCAGGAGATCGGGGGAACCATTGTATATTTGGCATCAAAAGCTGGGGCGTACTGTAATGGGATGGTTCTGCTTGTGGATGGCGGTTATGTGTCGAATAAGCCAAGTTCATATTGAAATGCTAATATTCAGCCCTGCGTTAGTATCTTAAGCTATTGATTGCAAACCGTGATAATACAGTTTCGTCGATTTATTTCCTCTGCTTTGTCTTTCTCCTCGAGTCCACCGGCTAATTCTTCACCTTCAATTGGCCTACTCTCACTTCAGTCTCGAGTGAATGTAATTGTAACTCAGAGTAAATTATCGTCCACAGAAGACAAAGCGCGCGGGGGGAAAGAAGGCGCTTCATTGAGATAGCCAGTCACTGAAACTTTCCATAACGATGCATTACGCTCCCACCGGCTGGGCCGATGTAACAACGGCCACCTTATCAATCAACCCCCTGTGCTCTGGATCCGGAACTTTAGGCAAAGACCGAAGAGAATATTCCTTATACCCGCCGTCGCGACACTCCGTCAACGCCTTCCTATAGCGAGGAAAGCCCCCAAACCTATATCACACATCAGCGTTTTGAGACACCTAAACCAAGGACTAGTACGTACCAATTCAACGGCTCAGCTTTCTTCCCCGGGATATTCTCCCCCGTATAGAATCCCTTTGTAGAAGAAAACACAAATTGGTTCCACAGCGACAAAGTCGACTCCTTCCACCTCTTCTCGGCCTCACTAGTCGTGTCGACACGCGTTACACCTTTCCCGATCATATCGAGGATCAGCTCCTCGACGAACTCGCCCTGTAGTTCAATGCACGAGGGTCCATTCGAGAAAGCTGTCGGTGCCTGCGGCCCGTAGAAGAAAAACATGTTAGGGAACTTGCTAGTCGACATCCCGAAGGTCGTCATAACGCCGTCGTAGCTCCAACGATCCTTGAGTAGGATGCCATCTGTGTCTTGGATATGGATGGATGTTAGGGCGCCAGTGTTTGTGTCGAAGCCAGTCGCTAGAATGATTACATCAAATTCCTGCAAGCCCTCGTTCTGGGTTATGATGCCTTTCTCCGCAAAGGAGAGAATTGGTGACGCTTTCATATCGATTAGATCTACATTACGACGGTTAAAGGCCTCGAAGTAATCTTGTTCGAACGGGGTACGTTTTCCTCCGAAGGCGTGGACCGCTTCTAGCGGGGCTAGGATGTCCTTGTATTTGGTGTTATGGATGCGCTCGCGCGACTTCTCGGCCCAGAATCGCCATGCGGCGTGGTTCACCTCCACGTCGTCGAAGACTTCGAAGTAGGTGGATAGGAGCAGGTGGAATCCGCCCTTCTGCCAGGCTTGCTCGAACACTGCACGCCGTTGCTCAGGGGTATCTTCGTGCCAGCGACGGCTAACAAACTGCACGTCTTGGCCACCAAATCTCTCGTACTTTGTACGACGCATCGTGGCTGCCATCTCGCCGGAGGCTTTGAAATTGTCCTGGTATTCGGGTGTCAGGGACTGCTGTCTCATTGGCATGGCAGTGCACGGGGTCCGCTGGTAGACGGTCAAGTGGCCGACTTCTTTGGAAATGGTCTGGATGATCTGCACAGCGCTTGCACCTGTGCCAACGACGGCGACGCGTCTGCCTTTCAGGTCGATTCCTTCCTGTGGCCACGCCGAGGAGTGGAAGCAGGGACCCTGGAAGCGGTTGAGACCCTCGAAGTCGGGGATGTATGGCTTTGAGGCAAACCCTAGGGCAAGGATGTACCAACGACACCGGATGCGTATCGTCCCATGTGAGCCATTAATACCTTCAACGGTCCATTTGTGGTCCGACTCGTCGAAGCGTGCACCTGTCACTGTTGTATTGTACCGGATGTGGCTGTTTAGCTGCCACTTGTCGACCGCGTAGGAGAGGTACTTGCGGATCTCTTCGTACCCTGGGAAAAGTTCACTCCAATTCCAGTCTTTACAGAGCGACTCGTCGGAATACTGATAGACAGGGTAGCGACTGTCTACCCGGGCGCCGGGGTAGCAGTTCCAGTACCAGACTCCGCCTGCTTGAGGTGCTTTCTCAACGCAGAGGACATTTAGACCGGCCTCTTTCAGTCTGTCGCAACGCTATCAACTCTGAAATACATCTCCTCGCAACAAGGCTGAACACGTACCTGTTTGTCATCCACAAGCCGCCGAATCCAGCACCGACCACGAGCGCATCGACTTCTTGCATACTTGCCATTTTGGCCAATCATATAATAATGTATCCGCTAGGTATTTTGTGGACCATAAAGGACTTAAGCGACTAAACATATATATTTCCATCTCCAACCATCCATTACCCAGCCGATATCAGATCGATTCTACCGGCTTTGGCCCCCATGCGGGTTTTTCGGACACCGTCAACCCAATCAGGGTTCGAAGTCAGGTGAAGGGATCCAATAGAACAGAACACCATTGAAACATTGATTACGCCCTACCTAGGTATGCCTTGAAGCATGCCGCGAAGGGTCTGGTCGGGTCGGGAAACGGGGCAGCGCTGTTTTAGATCCATTTCGAGTACAGTTCCTTCGGCTTTGGAGAATAAGTTTAAGTGCCCGAACCAGCTGATATCGACCATAGGAAGTACCCAGCTAGAAGGTATCCGTCACATCCCAATGGGATCGGGACGCAAATGTGCAAGCATCCCTCCGAGGAAACGAACAGTTCCATTGTGGACGAAGTATTCTTCGTTGGACTCGAGTTTGGGTAGCTAAGCTAAGTACGTACAGACAGTAAGGTACTCAGGGGTAATGGACCGGCAGAACTGGCCCGCCACTAACAGGACCGATTATTATTATTATGCCTGTATACTTACTGTCTTTGCTCCGAATTTGCAACTTCCATCGACCTCCTCATATAGACGTGGCATTGTTCACTCAAAAACCAGATCCCAGGGCCAAGACGGAATCTCCTCTACCCTCACTCGGAGATTCCACGTGGACTGAGTAAGTACCTAGTCTCCCAGGACCCTCGATCATCCTAGTACTCCAACCGATTAATAAACCCACACCTTGCCATAAGCTTCCCTATCTCATCCCCATCATCCTGGTCGCCATTATCCCCAATACCTTTCACCCGTACATGCTCTGGCATTCGATCCCTACAAACCCTGTCCCCCCCATACGCCTCCTCCCATCTCCCCAATGATCTCTCAGACCGTTCACAAAGAGGGAAAGCACCGCTTGCGAAAGCAGTCCAGCTCGCGCTCATCCTCTGAGCAAGCTTATTCTCCTCCGGGTCAGTAATGTAGTATGTTCTTTCCAACTCATTAAAGACATACGGTACATCCGAGAAATGTACGATGCCCAAGTATCCCACACCACTGTTGTTGAGAGCTGTCGCGAAGGGACTTTGACGCAGTTCGTACAGATACACCGGAGTTGTACAGTTGGATGAGAGGCGCAGGGACCATGCTTGGAAGATAGTCGGGCACGTAAGGGTAAGGTCTCTGTGGAGAGCTGATGTCGCGCGCCAGGCGGGCGTAACTTTCTCCGGTGAAGATGGACTGTTGGTGGTAAAGTCCGATTCGGGGTAGAGAGATGTGAGAAAGTGGTGGATAGTTGAGGCGTTCAATAACGGAAATTGGGTTGAGATGAAGGAGGCAGCGTCGGCTGCGGTGCGGATACTCGTTGGGACGGACATGGAGCTTTCGTCGCGCGTCCATCCTGCTAGGATAGATATATTGGCTGGTACTTGGCCTCTTGAAAGAAGGTTGGATGGCTCATCCGGTATCATGTAGCCGTCTACGGCGGGCATACTGGGGCTGTTAGTCTTGCTTGCATTTGTGAGAGGGAAAGTGTAAGAGGACGTACAATGCGCGGAACCCGTTCACGGGATCAACAGAGTGCGCGACTTCAAACGTTGCGTTGACTAGATCTTCCATAGGAACTCGTCGGAGACAGTCAACTGTGTCTTGGGAGTCTACCTGTCGGTCGCCATCAGAGAGACAATTGCACCTGGCCGCGACGGCCGCGAAGTTCCTCGCGGATCTATTCCCGTTGACATCGTGATGCGTTATGGCGGCTCCACTCTGCAAGATTGCTCTATGAAATGGCACTTCATGGTTTGAGAGAATGTGAAGAGCGATGTACGTTGCACCCTCGTCTTCTCCGAAGAGGGTGATATTGTCTGGATCGCCTCCGAACGCAGAAATATGATTCTTGATCCATTCGATCCCAAGACGTTGGTCTTGCATAGCCAGATTCGTGGACTTGGACTTTAGAAGAGCGTCCGAGAAGGCATGTCCAAAAACTGAAGGCTTGTTAGATATGAATTTTAAAAGTGACTATCGGTCTGCGTACGGTTTACCCGGTAGTTGATAGCGACGTAGATCACTGGACTCCCATTCACCACGGACTGCTGGATCAGTCCGACAGGATTATACGATACATCATAGGCTGTTCCGACGGAAGCTCCTCCTGTCATTTCAGTTAGCGGTCTTCATGTCTCCCACTGGAGATCAGTGGGTAATCTGTTGTACGCACCTCCATACAGCCAAACCATCACGGGCAGCTTCGCAGTAGACTTCGTATTTTCTGGTCGCGCAATGCGCAGGCTGAGACAGTCCTCTGATACATTGGTGAGAACGGTATATGGATCGGCTGGCAGAGGAACATAGGGCTGGGGACATGCGGCGCCCGCCGTGCTCGCATTAATGAAACTGTGGCGGGAGGGAATATAGGGCTTTGGGGGTGCGAAACGGTTCGATCCACCCGTGTCTTGGCCGTAGAAGATCCCAAGGAACTCCTCGACCCCATCGGCTATAGTCCCTAGGTAGGTGCTACTCGTGACAGGATCGAACACGTAGGGTGCGGATGGTCGCCAGAGATCGAGGGCAGTGAGGTGGGAGAAGGTCTTGAGAAGGGTCGGGGCTATCCCGAACACGATCTGGGTCATAAACATCGTGGTAACGGAAGGAAAAGACCGATCAGAACTACTTAGATTGCTTCCGGATCCATAGGTAGGAATATCATGGTTTCATGTACTATAGCAATCAGAAGTACTCTAGATACTTACTCTAGATGCTGACATGAGATCAAAACATGAGTCGATCCGCAGATCGCTTTCGGGGTCCGAAAACTAAACTCCTCGTTTATCCATCTACCCCATGTGTGCCACACAGCCTTACAGCTCAATATGTAGGATTTTGCGCAGCCCAAGGGAAAGGTACCAATACGTGATGAGTCTCGTCATCCCCGAACAACCTCAATGATCGCCATTGAGCTCCCCGCCGGCTGAATGACCTGCTGCACCCGAAGCCCAGTATGCACCCCCTGAATCAGGTCCTTCCACTCGTCAATCTCCCGCTCATGGCTGTTGAATGTCTCCATCATCGTCATATCTCGCACACGAAGCAACGCTTCCTCAGTTACGGGGACAGTACCATGACGGGGAAGCACAGTGTCCATAATAAGGATCCGAGCACCCTGCTTGACGGACGGTACTAGATTGGCAAGGATCTCGCCTGCTTCTTTGAATGACCAGTCATGCAGAATCATGCGAAGAAGATAGACATCCGCATTCTGCACCGGCTGAGGCTTGAAGAAGTCATGGCTCTCGAAGGAGATGCGGGAAGCGACCGTCTCTGGGAGAGGGGTCTTTTCGCGATTGTCCTTCGAGGTAGATGTCACCATGGGCAGGTCTTGCACGATGAATTTCAGATCGGGGAACGATTCCGCGAGAGCAATGCTTGCATGACCAGTAGAACCGCCAACCTGTAGAATATCACATCAGTATGGGATCGGTATGGAGTAAACGACGATTGAAGACGTACATCAACCACGATCGCATTTCCGAGGCTCGCCCAGTCGAATCCGTTGACGAGATGTTTGATGCTAGTACCCTCGCTCGCTGTCACATTTTTCATATATCCCGAGAATTTCTGGGTGAACTGCGGGTTGCTGGAAAGATACTTGAAGAAGGCCAGATCCGTGCCCAGCGCCAGGTTAAAGGCCGTCTCTGTCTTGCTCCTCGTGTCTCCCCACTTTTCAGTCGCCTCAACAAGCTTCATCGCCATGGGCGCGGTATCCTCTGCCAGGAATAGTGTCCAGTCACGGAGCGAAGGATTCTCAACAAAATGGGCTGACGTCCTGCTGTGGGCGACGATATTGGGCTCCGGCTCTCGGAGAAAGCTCCCAGTAATTGCCATTCTTGCAATGCTCTGCAGTTGATGAAGAGGAACTTTGGCTTCTGTAGCCAGCTCATAGTATGTCCTGGTGCCTTGCACGGGGATGAGCTCCGGGATTCTGAAATGGCACAGCCAGCGTAAGGCAGCCAGGTGCTGGGGCTTTTCTGTCGTTAGTTTGATCTTTCATGGGAGATTGTTCAACACTCACGTAAACGGTCAGTCGCGGCAGGTATTGGCTAGGCTCAGTGACCAATTGCTGTAGTCGGTACGATGCCTCCAAGATGGTCTGTCTGGCGGCGGTGACTGCCTGTGGTGCGGAAGGGGGGAGAACATCCCCAGTGAGGCCGCTAGAATTATCATCGGACAGTTGAGGATGACCGGAGTCTCTGCAGTAAGTTGCAATAGTCTTCGCAGAGGCACTGATTGCCTGTGCGAAGGTCTCCAGGGGAGTCAGCTTGATTTCCTCTGCCATAGTAATCGACGTTGTTTCTTGGAATGACCAGAGTACGACATGTTCTTCGACTCCAACTTCGCTATTAAATAACATTAATTTCACTCAGTAACTGTTTCAATCCGAAGAGTACGAGTATTGTGGCAGTGAGGTTGGCAATGTTTTCGGTCCCCGAAGAACCGGGGCTTAATGAGTTCTTCAGCCCCAAGTATCCCAACCGTGATATTAATACCAGGCATAACCGCAACTGAACTAATCAGGCTATCCATTCTTTCACAATGCCGGCCTATCTTTTACTGCTGGCCTGCAATGTATTGCTCGTCCTGGGCGCCCATGTCCAACGCGAGCTAGTGCTCACCTGGGAAGAGGGCGCTCCCAACGGCCAATCTCGGCAGATGATCAAGACAAATGGTCAATTTCCATCTCCGACGCTTATATTCGACGAGGGCGACGACGTTGAAGTCGGTGGCATATCTTTCGCCAATTGAGGCTGCAGGACTGACGAAGAACAGATTGTTGTTCGTAATTACATGCATGAGAACACCACAATCCACTGGCATGGAATTTTGTGAGTAGACCTATTCAACCTTCGATATTTCGCCAGGTGCTAATGGTGTAATGAAGGATGCAAGATACGCCGTGGTCAGATGGAGTTCCAGGTCTGAGTCAGAAGCCTATAGAGCCTGGTGAGAGCTACGTCTATCGCTTTACTGCCTACCCCCCTGGTCAATACTGGTAGGTCGTCATGAGAAACACACCCAGTCAGAAGTAGACTGACAGAATCAGGTACCACTCTCATTCTCGGGCTACTCTGCTGGATGGCTTATATGGTGCATTGTTCATTCGGTTTGTTTTCTCTCTGCTATTGTTGGATGTAGCTCACAGAAGGCAGCCGAAAGCCAGGCACCGCTGGACCCTGGGCAATGATCAGCGAAGATCCCGAGGACATTGCTGCCATGGAGCGCGCAAGCAACAATCCTCACATCATGATGCTTTCTGACTGGGACTACTACAACTCGACCCAGTATAAAGAAGCAGATGCAAACAGCCGACTGCAGATCTTGTATGATTCCAGTGTACTGATATGAGTACGTTTCTAGTCGACTGACTTATAAAATCAGTTGCGTCGATAGTATTCTTCTCAACGGCAAAGGGAGCGTCTATTGTCCTGGCCATCAATGGCTTATTGACAAGCAGATCCCGTTCATGCACAAGAGCTGGCCGAATGACACTATCACAGACAAAGGGTGAGCGGCCAGGAGATTCATCATCGGTATAGTTCATGTCTCTGATTATCGTATAGGTGCTTCCCATTCGTACCATCGACAGAAGGTCCGTGGCTCGCAGACGGGAACGTGTCCGCCATCCCGCCCGGTCTCCAGGAAGGCTGTGTTCCCTACTCCGGTCCAACAGAGGCAATCGAGGTTGACCCGGCAGACCGCTGGGCGAGTGTGAACTGGATCGGAGGCTCGACATTCAAGACCCTCCAGCCAACAATCGATGAGCACGAAATGTGGATCTATGAAGTCGACGGCCATTACATCGAGCCTCGCCGGGCAGACACCTTCCTGATTTGGGCCGGAGAGCGATATTCAGCCATGATCAGACTGGATAAGAAGCCCATGGACTACTCGATCCGTGTCCCAGATGGTGGATATTCCCAGATGATCGCAGCATTCGGGATCCTCCGATACAAAAATGGAGACCCCAACGCCCGTCAGAAACCAGACCGATTTGGTGTCACGACTATATCTAAGCCCTATTTCGATTACAACGCTTGGCCGATGCGAGATGCTGTTTTCCTAGACAAGCTTGACCTGCCTCCTTGGCCGAGAAAAGTTCCAGCTGCCCACGGAGATGATATGCATGTGTTGTACTTGGGCAAGGCTAACTCCACTTGGGAATTTACTCTGAGTGGGAAGAAAAAATATCCCCCAGACCGCTCAGCCTACGAACCCCTTCTTTACAACGTCAATTCCGAGCAGGCCCATGATGACGATTTGATCATCCGAACCCAGAACGGCACCTGGCAAGACATCGTACTGCAGGTAGGTCATTCACCATTATGGCCAGTCGACTTCCCGCACGCGGTCCATAAACACGCGAACAAATACTGGCGGATTGGAGGGGGGCAAGGCCTGTGGAACTATTCCTCGGTAGAAGAAGCAATGGCCGACCAGCCCGAAAGCTTTAACATGGTGAATCCCCCATACCGAGACACGTTCCTGACAGAGTTCACGGGAGCGATGTGGGTTGTGCTGCGGTACCAGGTTACGTCGCCAGGCGCGTGGCTGTTACACTGCCATTTCGAGATGCATCTGGATAATGGAATGGCAATGGCTATCCTAGACGGTGTAGATAAGTGGCCCCACGTTCCGCCGGAGTATACGCAGGGTTTCCATGGGTTTCGGGAACACGAACTGCCAGGCCCAGCGGGGTTTTGGGGTCTTGTATCGAAGATTCTGCGGCCGGAGAGTTTGGTATGGGCGGGAGGAGCTGCGGTTGTTCTACTGTCGCTTTTCATTGGGGGTCTGTGGCGTCTGTGGCAACGAAGGATGCAAGGAACATATTATGTTTTGTCCCAAGAAGATGAGAGGGATCGTTTCTCAATGGACAAGGAAGCATGGAAGTCCGAGGAGACTAAGCGGATGTAAGCACTTTCATAGTTCATAACATACGCCTCCACCAATAACGACATTGAATATATCAACTAGCATGAAAGGTTGAGTGGATTGCCATGGAGCAGATTAAGGTAGGATGCAAGAAGCCACGGTACAAAATGGTGTCTAGTTTACTTACACATAGAATGTGAGAAAATGACGCCGAAAACGACGACCACGGAGGCTATTTACCGCGTCATTTGAATCGTGTATTTAGATCCTCTAGTTCCCTCCTCGTAATAACTATTAATTAAAATTCATTTTGACTATAAGAAAAATAGCTATCCGCAGCTTCTATAGTATATAGAGCCTTATATAGAGAGCCTTATAGAATTAGCACAACAGCTATATACACTCACTCTTTATTTAAAGGATAAGTCCTCGCTACGATAATAGCTATTATAAATTATAGTTATACTAAACAGCCTTTTGTATAATGCGAGGAACCCTATTACTTAACTCTTTTTACAAGAAGAGAAACAAACGGCAGGTGTCGGCGTACAAAGCGAACGCCAGGTGATCTGTCAATCATCCGTTTTGTGGCAAGGTCTTTGAATCCTTGTTATAGGATAGAACCTACCTAGTTAGTTAATTACTAGATTATAAGAACCTAGATTCTTTGTGTGCCCATAGAGTTAAATATAGGTTCAAGGTCCCCCCTAGACCTAGATTCAAGCAAGCAATTCAAGGTGTTCCTGTTAGACTCTGCTTCTATGCCATTCAATATTCGACAATAGGAAGTCCTTTCAATATCCTATAAATCTCTAAGGTAATTAGAGAGTATCCTTAGTAGAACCGACTATGTAAAGGTCTACAACTTATACGTAGATAGTTTTAGCTATATAAAGTTTGAACTCCAGGTACCGTTGGCTTTGCGCTTCCTGGGCTTCTTTCATAGCTGTAGGCTCAGATTCGATTCGTTCCCGCATTCGATATATTGGTCAAGCCGATTTGCAAGGATATTGAGTCTTTCGCGAGGTACGGTTTGCTCGATATTGAAATCATTAACTACGTCAGCTCCCAATACCTGCCAAGATCTTTATATACCTTTATTAACCTTCAGATTCTTCAATATATACAGCTTTCTATCATATTTTAATATTGGTTTTATATCCTGCAACACGAACTTCTATAATTATAAACAGTTCTACCGAAGTCCTCGCCCCGGCTATGCCAATACCACTGGTTATTGATGCGGAGACCCGACTGAGACAACTTCGGCGCTTACTAGAAGACAAGACTCTCTCCAGCCAGAAGGAAAATTTCCTTACATGAATCCGAATGTACAGATGCTGTCATTGTCTACGGATCTCCTAGTTCCGTGCCAATTCCGAGTGTCGTCTTTGTACGAGAGTGGGGTTAATAGGGGTAGACGCAGGCTAGTATATCTGGTTAAAAAACGGCAAGGTGCTCAAAAAGGAACCTGAGATCAGTCAAATCGGGAAGGGCTGTGCAATATGGTTGGAGGTAGGTTATAATAATCCCTATGATCCCTGAAATACTTTGATCAAACTCATTCTTATATTACTTTTTAGATTCGATCTTGCCAAATGGCTCAATCTACAGGTACACAGTTTATTCCTAGAGGTTTATAACTTGCATATTAGTGGATTCACAATCCACGATCTGACTTGAGGTATTCAAAGCATCTAAGGCGCCATGACGATCTGTTTAGCCTTGGTTACTCCCTGTTTATGTTCCTTTTACAAGTGGCTTCAGTATGCTTTACCTTTCTCTGTAAATCTCTTCTTATTACTTATCCTTACATTGAAGATATTAATAGCACTCTTTTCACTGTTCTGCGATATTCTTGTAGACTTTATTATTGTTAACAAAGATAAGTGCACAAAGTTCAGCATTCGATAAGTAAAATCAACGCCATATATCTTTTGCATATGTAGAGTAAGGATATTTAAAGGGTTTCTAATACTAGATACCTATAAGTTTTAAATTTATATTTTATATATTTTTCTTCTTAGCTCTCCTAGTACGGTGGAAGTAAATAATATACTATTATCTATCTGTCCTTAATAGAAGTAAATATAAAACAAATTATAGGATATATTCAATATAGCTAATAAGTACCTGGGTCTCAATAATACTATATGGACAAAATAGATTCTTAAGAACTGTTTGCTATAGCTTAAGTATATTAATATATTTACTAGTGACAATATACTTATATATTAGAAATATATAAGAACTGCCAGATCTCTGATAATTTTTATCGACAACGGCTTACCGCTGCCTTATAAGCATACAACTAGCAGTTATCCTCTAAGCCTTTATATACTCAAACGAAAAGATATAACTGCTTGCTTTTTTATATACTTAAGACTGCAGGTGGTCAAGAAAAGTTGCTCCTTAAGAGGCGTAGCGTTTGGATTTACGAACGTCTTGGAGCTTTAGTGATTCGTTTTATACTACTTTATTTATAATGAGCTACTATTGTTAAGGAATATGTTTATCAATGATTCTAAGGTATATTCCTCAATATATAGCGGAAATAGAGCTTTACAATGCACAGGTAGGTCGTAAAGAAGGGCGAATAATCGAGTAACACAGAACGCATCGGCGTTAAAATTCTCATTCTTGCGAAAACAACGCGAAGGAAAACAACTAGTATCCTCGTTTAGGACAATATCTGACCTCGAATATACCTCTGTCCCTCGAGCATATCAGAATGGCAACAAGTCCAGGAAGTTCATCTGCACCTCACAAGATCAATGGGTTCTTTATTCCGACTAATCTGATAAATCTGGAACTATTGATTCAGAGAGCAGGCCTCAGTGGCACGACCATCCACGACCTTCCGCCTGCTTATCTGAAGTCTGGATCAAAAGTGACTCAAAAACAGTTTGCTATGTTCCGGGCTGTATGCCCGGACACTATAGACAGCGCGAAGTTACCCGAGCACCTCCATCGATATGTCTCAGAAGGCTCATTGAGAGCAGCAATTGACCTAACAAATGTTTCTTTCGAACTTCACAAATACATACAAGCCATTGAAAAGAGGACCCCAATCAAATCCCTCACAGAAATGGACATTGACTGGCCTGGGTCCTTTAAGGTTGTTAGGGAGCTTCAAGAACAGGCAATGTGTAGCCCTACTGAAGGTTCATACCCCCATGAGATCACTGTTAACTCCGCCTGCATCGTCCTGCTACAAGCCATCTCACATCTGGCATCAGGTGTGGATGCCGAATGGTTCCTCGAACCAGCACAGTTCGTGGCGACCTTTGGCAAAGGGAACTATACAGCTTTGACGGATGGACAACTTCGCACCAATTCAGGAAAGACAACCAGTGCGATTGTTGAGGTGAAAGGAGGACCTCGCACTGATTATTCGACTCCCTTGATGCAAGAGGTCGCTGAAATAGTAGGATGGATCACAGCCGATCCTCCAGCACGCCCAGCGACATTGAATAAGCTTCATTAGTGAGTTTCTTCTTAGTACGTGTGTATCTCGAAACGTTGCTAATAGATATAAAATCTAGCCGTCTCTTAGTATCGCAAAATGAATCGGAGGTCTACCTTACGTTTGCCCAATTTCACCACGACTACGTGGAATATTTGGACAAGGAAAAGGGCGTTTTGACGCCGCATGCATTTATCAAGATAAACCGGTATGGCGCGTGGAACGTTAATGTTGCGAATGATATGCGGTCGCTTGCGGTTTTGCTTCTTTCGATTGTTATTGAGTTTGCGCAGACTTAAGTAGAATAATCATCGAGCCTAATGGAATGTGGAGGAATCCTTATTAATTATTTGAGTATTTTGCTATTTCTATAAACAGACAGCAACTCGTTAACTATCAACTAGATATGGCCTTCTGTAATTATTGGCTATCTACCCGTTTGCTGAGTATCGCCGACCGCATTACTTGTTAGGTAGCGCAAGAAGAGATTTATAAATTCCCTAAAGTTTTCCAATGTCGAAAAGTCATAGAGCTTGCTCTTCTGTATAACTAGACCTTCATTATTGGTGTAGGCTTGCAGAATCCTGCCTTGTGTCCCTCCCATAAAAGAAAATAGCATTACCTGGACAGCGGACCCAACTGTAAGCTTTAGAGATAATAGGCATAGGTAATGGGGAAAAGGACACACATGAAAGGTTGGAGGGAGAGTGAGGATATCAAGTTACCTACCGGGATGATAGTGTGCTCAGGAAGATAACCGGATCTAAGTCGCGTAATCATTGCCGCAGTGATTGCGAGCAATTCCCCGCGCAATAAATATTCCTCTCTACCTTTGAAGGAATGCGCGATGGTAAACATCATGTGCGGATAGCCCTCCAGAATATACCATGCCTTCATAGTATTCCTCTCTTGCGAGGAATACACAGTATGATGGAATTCTTTGTCGACTAGTTCTCCGAATCCGCTGAATGGCAAGTAACACTTATTAGCGATTATCACATAGCAATTTATTAGTAGAATAGGTCATCTCACGTCGGAGTCCACTTTGTGAAATCCATCTCGAGGCTAGCCTTCTCTTTACCATTCACTCGCCAATGCTCAGAGAAATTTAACGCCAACCAGGAGCAGAGAAACCTCGCGCCCTTTAATGGATAATCCCGAAGCTCATGCACAGATAACCAAAGCCTCTCATAAGACTGCGTTTCCTCCATAGCTTCAGTAGATTCTGGGCTAATTGGATGTTCTTTTAGAAATTGCGAGGAGCATGGCTGGAAAAAACGTGGTATAGAAGTTGTCAGGGGGCCATCAACTTCTTCAAGTATCAGATCTTCATATTGAATCAGGAAACCATTCGAGCTTTTCACGGTGACATAAACATCATCACTTTCTTTAAGGGTTCTGTATATGCCAGTAAGGCCCTCTAGAACTCTTTTTCGGACATTTTCGTGATCATCTTTTGGGATAGTGATTGCGGGTCTCTGTTGGCGCCTCCTGCGAATTGATAGAGTCAGATTTGAAAGTTTTTTGGTGAGAGATTTATGATCCATTTTCAGATTTCATCGAAATTTGCTTTGTGCAGAGAAAGATTGTAACGAGGCAACGTTGTGGTGACCTAATATCAAGTGACTAGTTACGCGTCCAAATATGTATTAGCGTAATTTTCTGCCTCAGGTGTCGTTGGTTCCATATTATCAGTCCTTGTAATCTCCTAAGTCTTCCAATGTCGAGAAGTAATATAACTCGCTCTTCTGTATAATTAGCCCTTTATTTTTGGCGTGGGCTTGCTGAATCCTGCCGGTATGTTCATTAATAGGCACCGTAGGGCGGATGAATTTCTAACCTACGTAAAGAATTATCAATTCTTGCTTAGAATAACTGAAAGGATAGGACAACAATGCGTCATAACCCATATACTTATGCCGATGACTGCGAGGGTAAGACTATACTCGAGTTTATCTTGGGAATTCTCGATAGGTTCATTCGCTCTGATGAGTCTGTAGTTACGCAGGATTTTGGCTAAGTTACTACTGGCAGCTATTCTTTTGCGCAGGAACTGGCCAGGAATATAACTGAAGACTTCCTACTAGGTAGTTTGCACCAGCTAAATACTACTTAGCTCCTCTACCCCACGCGATCCAGCGAGAGCCCCTCCTTGTATTGAAATGGAACTGAGTCCAAAAGCCAATCAAGGTCATTCCTGGGTCCATAACATCGCTCTCCTTGGTTGCTTAGCACAACTTGTTCATTTTGCAGGGCCTTATCTGACTAGGACGAGAAGATGGCTGCCTTGGTAATGATCGTCTCAACAGCTTATAGGATGAGGCTGGACACGGCCGGGTTAAGGCGCCCAGCAGATCAGAAAAAGGAATAGATCCCCTCCAACAAAATCATTATATGTTCCTGCGTCTATATATATATATAATATCCAACTGGATTTAGTATATCTCTCTCATGTCTAATAACTGAATAACTGGGCTAATTACAGTCTTTATTGGAGATGTAAACCGTTTAAAGACTGATTTGCTACTGACAAAATCATACATACAATGTTCACATCAGGGTATCCACTTTGAGAAGCACCACCAGGCACTCCGTTAGTAGGGACAAAAGTCATTAGGGAGCTACTTTTGAAAATAGTAGAGGTTATGGCTTGAATCTCGTCACCGGCTCGAAATCATCTGCCAAATTTGATATTGATATTAAGTCACATAGCCCCTTGAGACCTTTCCTTCTCTTATGTAGCCTACGAGGCTCTCATCACTGTTTAAGCTCAGTCTACATGTCGGGGCAGAGCTTAAATTATTGGCTAATACGCCATAAGTTATAGCGTTCGGGAAAGAATTGCTCTCCAAGGTTGCACTTTATGTATATAATTCCCACGTCTGTGAACCCCACGCAAGGTCACCAGAGTCACAGGAGAAGCCTGTGCCTCGCGGATGTTAATAAATATAATAAATATCAATCAATCGATCGATCGATCGATACACTTTGAAAAATCGATGTGAAGGCAACCGAAATTCTGCTTTGATTTTCACGATAACATGATCGAGTATAATGCGACTCTCACTGAAAATAGATCATGTTTGAGATCCAGGCAGACCAACTAGGAATTTCCTTTTTGTCGACTGGCAGAAAGCCATCAGATCGTTGAAAAATAGTGTCTTGATACCAATTAACCGGAGGGCAACATAAAGGTACTATTTAACGTTCTACAAGTGTCACCATTCCCCCTCGGATAAGCGCAATAACTACCTAGGTATACCGGCGGCTTAATAAACTACGCTAAGTAACTAACTAATTCACACTGTGTCCAGGATCATGCCGCTCATGCCGGTACCGGGAAATGGCACAACATACTTAAATTGAAGCACTTCATCTCCTCTCGGCAAACGAACCCACCAACTTCAACAGTTCATCAAATCATCTGCACTCATCATGGAGGCGTCACAGAGTATATCAGACCGGGATGATTTTTATCTGGATATTCTTGGGCAACAAGCCAAGATTAACAGACTTTATACTCAGCTCGTGCTTTGTTTTCCTCTTCCGGACGATTCGGATTCCTCGATGAAAGCCATCGTGAAAACTTTAACTAAAGGTCTTGAACGGCTATCTGCGAGCTTTCCCTGGGTAGCGGGAAAGGTCGTGGAGGATGAGGATGGCAACTTCAAGATTAGGCCATTCCATAAACCACCATTTTTAATCATGGCAGACTACCGATTTCTCGACTATGGAAATCCCCATACTATTCCAGACTGGGCCACACTCGAACGTGCTAAATTTCCGTTCAGCATGCTCGATGAATTGTGGATTGCGCCACAGAAGACACTCGCAGAGGGATCCGTCTCTGAACATCCAGCACCTGTTTTTCTTGTCCAGGCTAATTTGGCCAATGGGGGTCTCCTGCTCACTTTCAGTGCTCAGCATGGCTCGATGGATATGAGGGGCCAGGCTCAGGTTATGTACCTCTATGCGAAAGCCTGTCGGAATGAACCTTTTACGAACTCGGAACTCAATATTGGGAATATGGACAGGAAGTATGTCATCCCTCTATTGAATGAATCGGACCTTGGACCGGACTGTCCGATATCAACGGAATCTACTGGTAAAAAAGAAAGAACTGAAAAGGCGACAACGAAAACTCACCAGCAATCAGGGAATGACTGTATCTGGGCATACTTTCTCTTTCCTGCCACTTCTTTAGCCACTCTCAAATCCATCGCTCTGACGACTACACCTCTAGGTGGTTTCGTTTCGACGGATGATGCCCTCACGGCATTTGTTTGGCAGTCTATTACTCGAGCACGTCTCCCACACATTATTAGCACTGGCACCATCAAATATAACTCGACACTCTCGCGTAATGTCGACGTCCGTCGTCATCTTTCCATTCCGGAATCTTATCCTGGGCTCGTCACAGCTGCAACAGTTCATACGGCCGCAATTGATGTTTTGGTGGAGGAGTCATTAGGGACTCTCGCGACACATCTTCGCTCCGCTCTCAATCCTGCGGCATTGAAGCATAAAACCTGCAAGCTAGCAACAATAATCAGTAAAGACAAGAACTCCAAAATGGCAAGCTTCGTCCCAAAGGGCATCTCGGAGCTGGATGTAAGGATCAGTTCTTGGGCGAAAGAGAATTGCAGCAGTCTAGACTTCGGATTCGGAAAGCCCGTTGCTGTGCGTCGACCTCGGTTTAAGGAGGGTGCAAGAGAAGGATTAGTCTATTTCTTGCCGAAGTCACTAGATGGAGAGCTCGCAGTAGGAGTCTGTCTCAGAGGTGAAGACATGGAACGACTGAAGATGGACGAGCAGTTTTCCAAGTTTGGCACATTTATTGGATAGGAGAGGGGCATATTTTATCTCTAGTCATGTTCACAGTAGCTTATCTAAAGCTGATCTACCAACCGTTTGACGCCATCAAACAGATCTTTCCCAGATACTTAATGCCGTTTAAAATCTTGGGAAAAGTCCAAAAAGCGTGTGGGAGTTCCGGTAGATGTTCACTTTCGCAGGAACCCTGTTGTTGAGATTATCCGCCAAGGAAACGCAAGAATAATTTCGGAGAATTGCATACCCAGCACTTTCCAGTGCATGGGCAGAGGCAAGGTCCTTACCCCTCAATGGATCCAGACCGCATAGTTGGAGAAATGTTGGCGGTAAATCGTCAAACTTCGGGGCAAGAAGAGGCAATACTGTGACATGTCCCGGAGTGTGGATAGCAGTGTCGCGAAGCTCAAGCATGTTTTTGAGGCCCAAGATCGAATAATGCAGATCGTTAGAATATAGCAAAGGTATACACAATAGTCGACCTCAGATCAGAAGGCCTCGTTCTTCAGCATTCTGGCATATATAGCACGGGAGCCTCATTCTGTGAGTTTCCACCGTGTCCATTGATACTGCCGTGTTGTCCTATTATAGCCAGATCTCCAAGGTGCAGGATATCTTCTACGGGAATTCTTGCATATGGAAGCCCAAAGATAAGTTATCCTCATTATTCTGACCTAACCTATAAGCCTATACTTTATTAGAAACGCCTTGGTCTAGAAAGTCTCACCCGACAGACTCGAGATGGTAGTTTTCTATGTTCCATTACAACTCTGTGGCTGTATTAGATCTGCGCCACTCGACCGATACTAAAATATAGTCTTTGTGCGTTCTAATATAGAGAGTATCATTCTGCTTCTTCCTGTTTCTCTTCTTCTTTCTTTTGTATAGATCATAGACCAGAGAATGGAGCGATCCATCGTCTTTATTAATCAGGGCATGGACTGAGTATGGATGACTGGCTAGTTAGTAAACTATAAATATAGTTAATCATAATACAGACATTCCCTTTTGTCACGGCATGTATGAGTTGGATTAATGAAGTATTCTCTATTTTCGATGAGTACCTATGCGTATGTTACTTATGCATCAAGGAGTATAAATATGGTTAGTCATCTCCAGTATGGATAACTACAACGGGCCGATGTTTATCCGAAAGGCCCCTCAAGCTCCAAAAAACTATCGGCGCATGCGACAGAGACGTAGCTCAGAACCTCGCGCGAAAAAACCAATATCATATATCGCAATGGGTAAGCGCGGAGGCAAGAGGGTGAGAGAAAGCCAGTTTTGATATTACTGTCCTATTTTCTTGTGCTAACTAGACTTCTTACGCCTGCAGTCCGGAAGAGGTGGCGGCCGCGGCGGCGGCGGCCAACGGAGTTCGTGGAGAGATATTGAGAGGCACAATGAGAAATTCGAGAACTATTACAATGAACTGGGTATAATTCCAGAGGAAGAGAAGGAAGCATTTTGGGAAGCTCTCAGAAGGGATCTTCCCAATAGTTTCCGCTTCACGGGTTCAAGAGGGTACGTCATTGAGAGAACTGTACATGGCGCAGAGGACCATTTGCTGACATTGCTCTTGCTATAAGCCATGCTCTTGCTGTTCAGGAGCGCCTCAAGGATTTCTATATCCCGCACATTACTTCCATTGAATATGAAGGAACGCATGTCGAACCACCCCAGCCAGTACCCTGGTACCCAGATCAGCTTGCATGGTCCATGACCACTCCCAAGAATGTCGTCCGGCGTTTCGCTCCTTTTTCCCAGTTCCAGAAATTTCTAGTTTCTGAAACTGAAGTCGGAAACATCAGTCGTCAGGAGGTTGTTAGCATGATCCCCCCGCTACTCATTGACATCAAACCTGGAATGACGGTCTTGGATATGTGTGCTGCCCCCGGAAGCAAGTCTTGCCAGCTTATGGAGATGCTGCATGCAGGGGAGGAGGAATCAATGCAACAGGTCGCCGACAGTCTCAAAAATGGCACTGAAATTCCTAGCGTCGGGGAAGGCCTTGAGGACTATGGCCGATCTACTGGGCTTCTGATCGCAAATGACAGTGATTATAAGCGTGCCCACATGTTGATCCATCAGATGAAGAGACTTAACTCGCCCAATTTGATTGTCACCAATCACGATGCTACCATGTACCCTTCGATCAAACTCCCTGCGTCAACTTCGGCAGACGCGAAGCAGTCTCAGAACAAATACCTCAAGTTCGATCGCATCCTCGCAGATGTGCCCTGTTCGGGTGACGGGACGGCAAGGAAAAATCCCAACCTCTGGAGTACCTGGGTTCCTGGCAACGCTATGGGACTTCATGTTACCCAGGCTCGTATCCTTGTACGTGCCCTGCAAATGTTGAAGGTCGGAGGAAGAGTCGTCTACTCGACCTGCAGTATGAACCCCATCGAAAATGAGGCCGTTGTCGCCAGTGCTATCGAAAGATGTGGAGGCCCCAAAAATGTCAAGATTATCGATTGCAGCAACGAGCTGCCTGGTCTCAAGAGAGCGGCTGGTCTGCGGTCCTGGAAAGTGTGTGACAGAGAAGGGCGCCCGTGGAACACCTGGAAGGATGTAGAGGACCACAGACAAAAGGAGGGTATCGATGGACTTGGAAGGCTCGCTGAGACCATGTTCCCTCCTACAGGAGAGAATGCGGATCTGCCATTGGAGAGGTGCATACGTGTCTACCCTCACCACCAAGATACCGGCGGATTCTTCATCACAGTCCTTGAGAAGACCGCTGAGATCAAGGCCAAGCCTGAAGACTCATCCAAAGTCATTCCCAAAGCCTCAGTTGCTGCTGTTGTTGAAGAACTCGATCACAAACGCCAGAACGGCAGCGCGGCGTTTGAGAAAATAAATGCCTTGGATGACCTAGTCGCTCCGAACGAAGAGGCCCAAGCAGAACGCGCGAAGAACGCGACAGTTGCGGAGAGCTCCCATCAGCCCCCATACTCGGCCACTCTTACTTCGGCTGATCAAAGCTCACCGGGCAAGAGAGGTGCGGAAGAACTGGATGAAGTGTTGCCTGCAAAGCGCGCAAAGGTTGAAGATGGCACGGATGCTCTTATTGGAGACAGGCCTGTTCATGCTCCAGCGCCGTCCGTCGAGACGGAGAATCTTGAGGCAGCCGCGTCGAAGCCCGTTAAGTTGCAGCCTCCGCAAAAGCGCAAGCCGGGCCAGCCATACGAAGAGGCGTTCAAATATCTCGACCCTGCGCATCCGGAACTTTCCACTATCTTTGAGTTCTACGGGATTTCAGATAAGTTCCCCCGGGATAGGTTCATGGTGAGGAATCCTGAGGGTCAGCCGGCAAAGACGATCTACTATACCAGTTCACTTGCGCGAGACATCTTGACCGAGAACGATGGACGGGGCATCAAATTTGTACACTGTGGAGTGAAGATGTTCGTCAAGCAGGATGTACAAAGAGAGGATGTGTGCCGGTGGCGTATCCAGGCAGAGGGTTTGAGGATTCTGGACTCTTGGGTGGGACCCCAGCGGATAGTCACATTGACCAACAAAGAGACTTTCCGGAGACTGCTTATCGAGATGTTCCCTAAGGTGGACGGCGATGGCTGGAAGGAGCTAGGAGAGATTGGAGAGAGAGTGCGTGATATCAGCATGGGTTGCTGCGTCCTGAGAGTGGAACCTAGCGAGGGAGAGGATGGATTCAGGTATGCAAAATTCTACTCTAATCGAATAGGTCTACTTTTCTCTGACAAATTTTGCAGAGAGCGAATGGTCTTCCCACTGTGGCGTTCCGTACACTCCCTCAACCTAATGCTGCCGAAGGAAGAACGTCGCGCGTTGCTTCTGCGTCTCTACAACGACGACACGCCACTTGTTAACACGACCCAGAAGCGCACGGCTGCTGCAGACTTGTCGACACCTGAGATTTCTGCCGAGGGTGATGAGACTCCTGCAGTGACAGAGACGGGAGAAACGCCTACCGATGTAGCGATGTCAACTGAGTCCGTGGCTAGAACGGAAGATGATTTCATCAAGCGCGAGAACCTCCGGCTTGGCCAGGAACAAGAGGATCAGATGGCCAAACGGGAAACCTGGCAGAAGATGGGCGATGAGGAGGACAAATTCAACACCACGGTTTAATCTATTTTCGTTCTGGTCTGCTTACAGTCTAAAAGTTGGGGATATTGAGACATCGGAACAATGGGGAAAGCATTTTATTTGTTTGGAGATCTATATACTTCCTAAACGTATGAGTTTGGGATCTGTATCCATATCTAGATAAATCTCTTTGAGTTTCATGTACGGTATGACGATCACAAGCATACATAAAGAAAATTCATACCTGCCTGTCTTTAGTGCTCTTATGGCCCTCTTTTATATGTTACTATTGACTTCACGAACAGTAATCAGCGAGTCGACTGTATACAAATTTCCAAAGCCGAGCTACTGTATATGGTACACTCATTCGGCATGTATTTGTTGATCAGACAGACTAGGTTGGACTTCTAACTCAAAACAGTCCATACAAAGAGTCTGTGGTATACTCGTCCGTCTTTGAAACACTGATTTCCATAATCAGCCAGAGAAGACAGAACCCCAGACTCTATATCTTTATTGGCAAGAACCATGTGTCATCTTCTGCAAGGAGAAGTCATCTGTGGCACAATACAATGAATCTTTGTACCACCTCAGGATCTGATCCCGGATGCCGGCAAGTATCTTCAGAGCCTTGCTGCGGTGTAACACACCCATTAGCCGCAGCCACAATATAACTTTCCAGCGCTCCTGCGGTCGTTATCGAAATTTCTCTAACAACCAACCATTTAGTTAACGATCGTATAACTCTCCCTAATCATACATGTCAAGGGGGCGGCGGGGGAGAGCAGGGGATATACACCCTGCTTTGAAGACCGAACCACTAGACCCTCTCGACAAATAAAACCCCGGACCCAACAACAACTAACTTTTTTCAGTATCTACAGAATCCGACACCCGTAAAATGGGGCTCGATAGTAGTACTTTTGACTCCAAACTGCTGCGGCGCATGTGGTAGATGATGCATAGTACTTTTGTTAGATAGAATGCTTAACCCCGTGGAGAATGCAGGTTTAAAACCGGATCAATGGGAATTTTTGTTTCAAGCCACTATCCAGTCGAATCGCAAGATTTGCTAGACTACGATTTCTTAGTATGTTTCGTTTCGACGTCTAGATGGATAATAACGTATGTGACTATGTGTTCCGTGTTTTGTGGGGGTTGATTGCTATACGCTAAACTATGGATCTATAGTTCTAGGGCGCTTAGAAAAAACACTGAGAAATGAGGAAAATAATAATAACAAAAACACCGAACCTAAACCCAATAGAGACAACAGTCCTTTCCTTGGCCCCCAAATATCCAACCAACATTTTGCGTCTTTCGTTTTGCATTGGCCTAATTCGGGTACCACTTCGAGACTCCTAATGTTCACCATACTGACGAAATAATCTCTCTCCAATTCCAAGTCTCCTTCCCCTTTGGCGGGGACATATGCCCATCCCACACAGAGAGTTCCTCCCCTCCCACTAAGTCCCGCGGCTTGGTTCCCCTGCCGTGTATATTCCGAAACATGTACACCCCACTACCATCCATGCCGGAGCTCTCCTCGACAAATTGGCAATCGCGCTGTGTTCGAAACAAAGCTGTAATCAATGGAGTGTCCATATCGGAGTGGTAGTGTTTACCCATAACTTTCTTCACAGCTTCAGTTGCTTCGTAGGCGTGGTAGAACGGTATGGTTGATACGAGATGGTGCAAGACATGAGTGCCAACAATGCCGTGGAAGAGGTACATGTCAATGTCTAAGAAGCCAAGTTTGAAACTCCGGTCGATAGTGGCCGCAGCACCGCGTGCGAAGGTCCATTGAGAATGGGCGAAGTGAGGAAGTCTGCCATCAGTGTGCTGGAGGTATGTTATTGCCACTGCTTGTTGTCAGTAACTGTACTTTTCAAGATTGGAAATAGACATGTACTGTACCTATCCAATGATTCAGCCACAGATACGGCATTCCGTAGAAGACAAGTACCGTCCACCAGTCAAAGAATCTCACAGCCAGATAGAGCACAGAGCATGTCACCAAGAGCCCGATGTCACTCAGGAGTACCAAGAAAAGTTCCGACTCCTTGTATATTTTGCTGTCAGACCCGAACCAGTAATGGCTGTGCTGGGGAAATCCATGCACTCCTTTCTGGCCGCTCAGGTTGTCCAGCATGTACAAAGGCCAGCCGAAGACTTGGAACAGAATGATGTGCCATAGAGTAACTATGGGTGCATCTTCTGTGATTTCTGCTGCGCTGATGCTGTGAGGATCGACGTCTTTTCCGAAAGTTGTCTTCACCCAATATCTAGTAGGCCGTCAGTATGTCTTGAAAACTCCTGGCGGAGGATTAGTTGTTGAGGATAACTTACTCCCTACTGTGTGGAACAAACACAGTATCCCGTTGCAAGTCTCCAGTAGATTTGTGGTGGTGAGAATGGGAGATCTTCCAGCTGTAGTAAGGCACCAGGAGAGACGAGTGTAAGATGAACCCGACTGTATTGTTGAGTTTCTTCGATTTTGAAAAGGCACCATGGCCACACTCATGTGCTAGGATCCAGATCCCAGTCATGATCATCCCGGCAATGATGGTATATATGGCGTACGACGTTGCCCGGAGCCAAATAGAAGGCAGTAGAGGCGTGTATGTGTAAAACAACCAAGCCAAACCCCCGAGTAGTGCATAATCCCGTACGACATAACTCATACTTCGGAGAATAGACGGTCGAAAACAATGTGGCGGGATAGCGTCGTAGATTTGCTTCATGGTGAAATCCGGAACCTCGAAGACGTTGCCATAAAGGTCAACATGTCCGCGACTCGAGGACTGATACGGTCCCGCACTCATTGTGAAATGTATGGATGAGCTTTCCAATAACGCAAGATATCCACAATCTGTCTGCTGCTTTAAGTATATAAGAATTTATCAAACCCAGCATCTGAGGCAACAATACACGGGAGCCTCCTATAAGTATAGGGGGCCGCAACAATGGAATATCCGTCTCCATGAATCTCAAACGGATTGAAACGGCTCCACCTTATCAGACTTTCGTCTCAATAATCAGGAAGATGGTTATTTGGCCCCATCACATGCTTAGGCGCTGAAGCTATTTCTGGAAAATCTTGTACCTCTGCCACGAACCATGTTACGGATGGTGACATGACATATGCATCGTTCTCAGGAGTCTAATTATTCTCAGCATCCAGCTGAGCTGGAGCCCTAGTCCTGTGGGTCTCTACGAACGGCTCGTATAGTTCTCAAACGCGCGGTCAGGGAGATCAGACCCCGTAGGGTGGCACAATTGCCGCGTGGTAGAGTGTTGGTGTTGTTTCAATGGATCCATATTTAAAACATAATCGGACGGACAATATATTGTTCGTTGAAACAATAAGCAATTAACTCGAAAAATGCTGATATATACCCATCTCGCTCACCTTGTTCTGAAGATGACTAGGTACTGAAGAGGCAGCCTTCTAGAAGGAAAAGGAGTCAGTATGTTTACAAGGATTCTTTAGCACTAATACTATCCACAAACAGGAGTTCGTCATCCGGTGACATCGGTCTAATTTTCGGAATAATCACGGCCTGTTGCACAGTCCATTTTAGTTGGGTCAGGCTGAGCCATAGTTTGCATAACCCCTTGTCGGTGCCTTTTTGGTCGATTACTCTCTACTTGCATGAGTATTAGCGTGGATTCTTCATGCAAACGCCCTCGGCAGGATGCCTACCTAATTACACCCCTGAAGAATGACATAACAGCTGGCCATAAACGCAAGATAAACGCTTACTTGAATAAAGTCCGAAGAGAGAAATAAAAAAGAATAATATGTAGTTATGATATTCCACACATGAACAATTCTCTCATGATTGTCCGTGTAATCTGAAGTTGCTCTGTATACGCGCCGCCATGAAACGAGTCTCGAGTAAAATTCTCGCACTAGGCAGTCTCGCGGCTGTAAAAACGAATCATAACCCTGGCTGCATTGTTGGTGTAGGCCCAGCTGGATTTAGTGCTGCGGCGCAGTTGGAGATCAAAGGCTACCAAACGGTGACGTTTGAGAAGCAAAGCGCAGTAAGGTGGAAATGATGCCAAGTGGTTTACAGAGGTAAGGTCCCCCCTCTGTCTTTCTCCACACAGGGGAGAGAAATCTTTTGACTTTACTCCTTTATGACATGAAGGGTTCAGTCGACTTGGGGCATTGACTTTGACTCCACCGACATATCGAGAATCAATCAAACCCTTCGACACAGCAATTGGGTCTGTTTATGTCTGAGGTGAAGAGGTACATTGACTGGTGGAATAAAATTTCTTCTTCTATATAATGTTGTAAGTGGTCAAAATAACTTTCTCGGGTTTGATTTTCTAGCACGGAATCCCACCCGAGTTAAGTAACTGTCACAGCAGCAGAATGGCTAGCACATAACAAATACCAAACACTCCAGGCTGCGGTTATCCAATCTATGGTAGTTTATGGGTATGTAGGCTATTGCGAAGTCCCTATCGTAGGTTAACTTCAATGGCATTCCCTCTTAGTTCCATACTGACGGCGCCAGCTCCATATGTTGCAGTACCTGATTGTTCAAAGAAGGATTAGTTCCTCTATTTTGTTTAGCGATGATTCTTTCTATGAAGAAATCAAAGGTATTATGAATAATGGCATTTTGTGACATTGATCTTGGCAATATCTGTAGTCTACGCAAGTTCTATTCGTATCGCGCCATAGGAAAACCAAGACACGTCTTCTAGTCTAATAACACCTCAAGCCTTTTCTCAAATCGAAATACAACCATCACGCCAATACGCTCTTCTTCAGCCACTGATGTGCCTCGTTGTAAATGTCCTCGCAAATCTGCTTCCTGATCGCTCTCTTGGAGGGGTCTTTTTCACTGCTATGCGTAAACGCATGGGGGCATCCCATAGCCAAGGTCCATTTGTATGTACCTTTCTCAAACGGTGCTTCCTGGTCCTCTCTTTCGCCCAAGCCTGCAAGCATATGGATCATGTCCTGTGACTCCAGGCGAAGCATATCCCACTGAGCGCCAATCATGTAGATCCATGGCGGAAGGTCCTCTTTTCTCGCATATATAGGGCTTAGTACTGGGTCCCGTCTGTTCTGTCCGACGTTGACATAACCCCAGTCGAGCCACCAGGACATGTTCTCGAGGTTCTCCTTCGGGCCGTCGTTGTATGGTCTCGAAGCAAGCTTTTCATTTGGTGGGTGTCCAAAGTCGACTATGGGATAGTACGGTATCGCAGCCTTAATCACGCCCTTCAGCCCAGGCAGTTGAGACGCTCCAAGGGCAAGATTTGCTCCCGCACTGAAGCCACCGATCGCAACACGAGATTTGTCGATTGGTAGGGTCTCGTCTTCGAGAACTGCATTTGCCACGGCAGCAACATCGTAAACGGGAGTAGGAAACGGATGCAGCGGTGCTTTGCGGTAATTCAAACTGACGACCAACATCCCCGTGCGCTTCGCCCAGGCAATGCAGAACTTATCGTCCACCCGCGCATCGAAGAATGCAAATCCCCCACCATGGATGTTCAAATAAAGAGGCAAGAGACGCGAGGGAGTTTGTCGATGGTAATCGGGCGGGAAGAAAATACGGGTTTCCAGCATAGGCCGGCATGCATATCTCTTGGTCAGCGTTGGTCGCGTCCATGGTGGAGGTGGTTTGAAAAGGCGCCGAAAGAAGAAGAACGTGCTGGCGAGCAGCTTGAATAGCCAGAGTTTGATAAAGCAATTGACTCGATGTGAGAACGGGAGGCGGACTTTGAGTAACGGTGGAAGAGACTTGGTGACAATGTCCCGCTCTAGAGTTTCCATCGCGGTCAATGTTGTTGTTGTGATTGCCATAGTCTTTCTCTATTGAGATACGGCTGATTGCACGAAGGTCGCTGCGTATTCAACGCTGTGTTACTTGGTATGTGTGCGGTGAAAAGCATGCACAAATTGAGCTCTGATTTTTGATGGTGTTCAGCTGTCCATCCCCCAGCTACCTCTATCTCGAAGCATCTGCTGCGGATGGCAGGGGGAAGTCAAGACAATGGCATCGTCGAATAAGCGCCGGATTCCCAAAGGACTTTCTCATGGGTTCAACTGTTCCCGGGCAAAAATAGATAGCAGCTAATCACTACTCAGTTCAGGTAGTACAGACAAAACAAACGGCTACTGTCACGTCTGACAACCTGCATGAACGGTGTCCGCCAGACCTTGCCAAATCAGCCACGGGCCAGAAACTGAGCGGCGCAGTTAGAAATAAGTAATAAGGGACTAAGTTAACACTAACCTTACTCTCTTGATTAGTTAACTATTGATAGCCAACTGACTAGTTAACTAACAGGGCTAAAAAAAGTTGGGCGCGAACTGCAGCTCGATTCGAATCCTACTCAAGGAGACAGAATTGCTCGAAAGGAGAAAGATAACGCTATTGTCAACATCATAGGCCATTCACGTCACCTCATCTTCCTAACGGGTTTGCGCATCAGATCTGCAAATCCAAGATTTGATCCCGGGATGCTGGGGCCTAAAACACTTTCTTTGTATGCGACTCCGAGATCATGCATGTCTTGACGATGGCCATACCGCTAGGTGCCATTTTCTTTGTCTCGAAGTGGGTCACCCAAGGATTCTAGACTACGAAAATATCTTCTAGTTTCATCGACACGAATTTATACATAATTGCATATCAGATATTAACCGCTCGATCGGGATCTCCAGCTCACCAGATATTCGGGCCTTTGTTAAATCAATATCCTCAATGTTCTAGCATCAAGATCCGGGATGGTCTAACGGTCATGATTTCCGCTTGTCATCCGAAAGGAACGAGCGCGGGAGACCGGGGTTCGACTCCCCGTCCCGGAGATTTCTTCTTGCATTTTTTTGTCTCCATCGATCTATCATCCATCTATTATTTCTTTTTAAATTCTTTATTATTGTTGTTGGACTAATCACGCTATTCTTTAGATTCGATTCTACCAGAAAATGGGGAGTCTGTAGGTACTTCTACTAGGTACTTCTACTAGGTACTTCTACTAGGCACTTCATGTCAAATACGAAAGAGACTCGCATGCCTTCGTCTGCATATGTATATATTTTCTGCATATTCAAATCTTTCTTTACCCCGCGCAGACGGGATATAAAACCCCGATTATACCGTCTACCCCTTGCACTTATTTTTTTGACAGCTATGGGTACTGAGCACAGAGCTATGACGGCTGTACCTTGAGTAACTGCAAATTGTCTACGATGCCAACAGGGCCTGACGTATATTCCAGGAAGAAAGACCATATCTCATGGTCGACCACCGCAAGACCACGGCAAGACCAAGTCCGTCTGTACCTGCCAGACGATGTGTGGCTCTGAGCAGATGAAGTTTATATCGCGCAAACAAGATCCTCGATCGTGATATGTGGAAAAACTCCCCTACACGCTTCCGTTGCCGATCTCTACCCAACTCTCTTGCACAGTATGTGGAGATGGTCGAACAATGTCTCATGATTTAGTTATCCTTAACCGATCGTTAACAACCCCACTCGGGGAATGCAAGATCCATAGACTCCTTTAACTACGGAATAGCACGAATGGCATATGCTTATTTACTTTAAGCCAAGATTTCATACATGGACCTCCACCGGTCTTTCGATACTGCCGGGGATATAAACAGCCGAGAAGCATGGCAATTATCCGGTGGGACGCTAGCAGGATATGTATATGAGATTGCGATTTCCAGGACCTTAAACATCACGATGCCAGTGGAGGTCAATTCCGTGCCAATTGAGTTACGAGTCATCGCGACTGATCCTTATCCGTGACAATGAAGCTCCTGTCTGCCTGTGTAGCGGCCTGTTTGGCGCTGCAGGCGACTGCAGCTGCCATCTCACACAAATTCAATGGATTCACACTCATAGAGCATCCAGATCCGGAGAAGCGCGCCTTGACGCAGAATGTCGTACGTTGATTAGCAGCGTGATGTGTTGGTTGACATAGTGCTAACAAATGCAGATTACATGGGATGAGCACTCTCTCTTTATTCGAGGAGAGAGGATTATGATCTTCAGCGGAGAATTCCACCCTTTTCGGTAGGAAATACAAACCCTCCATTGAGCATGCCGGTATGGTAGATCCACGCATCTTCTAACTATGTGCAGTCTTCCAGTTCCGTCTCTGTGGCTAGATGTGTTCCAAAAGGTCAAAGCACTCGGTTTCAATTGTGTCTCTTTCTACGTCGACTGGGCGCTCCTGGAGGGAAAGCCAGGCGAATATCGAGCAGATGGAATATTCGCACTGGAGCCATTTTTCGAAGCAGCATCCGAGGCGGGAATTTATCTTCTTGCTCGTCCAGGGCCGTACATCAACGCTGAGGCGTCAGGAGGGGGTTTTCCGGGATGGTTACAGAGAATCAACGGCACGCTGCGGACGTCTGCGAAGGACTACCTCGACGCCACGGATAAGTACGTCTTAATGTCTTCTGAACAAATTATCTGCGCTTGTGGAACTAATAACGGCCTCTAGCTACATGAAGAACGTGGGAGCCACTATTGCCAAAGCTCAGATAACGAATGGCGGTCCCGTAATCCTATGGCAGCCTGAGAATGAATACACCGGTGCATGCTGCGGTGCTAAGTTCCCGGATTATGAGTACATGCAATATGTCATCGACCAAGCGAGAAACGCAGGCATTGTCATCCCGCTCATCAACAATGATGCTTCGCCTGATGGTCACGATGTGCCGGGTCAAGGCGTCGGAGAGGTGAATATTTACGGCCATGATAGCTACCCGTAAGTCTGCTCCTCTAGGTACATTGAAATGATCACTAATGGGATGTAGTCTGGGATTTGACTGTGTATGGATCACACTTCATACAGAATAATGCTCTATTTACTGACATACTGAAGGCCCACCCCACTACCTGGCCGGAAGGGGACCTCCCTACAGATTTCCGCACACTCCATCTGCAGCAGAGTCCCTCCACTCCATATTCTATCGTTGAGGTGGGTTGCTTGCTTACCCAGCCTCGTGGTTGCTACTGACAATCATGAAGTTTCAAGGAGGCTCATATGATCCGTGGGGTGGACTAGGCTTTGAAGCATGTGCCAGCCTCCTCAATCACGAATTCGAAAGCGTGTTCTACAAGAACGATCTAAGCTTTGGAGTTACTATACTAAATCTCTACATGGTACAAGCCCTGGATAATGATCACTGAGCCCACCATTAATCACTTTGATAGATCTTCGGCGGCACCAACTGGGGCAACTTGGGTCATCCTGGCGGATATTCCTCATACGACTATGGCTCAGCTATAACTGAATCCCGCAACGTGACCCGGGAGAAATATAGCGAACTCAAGTTGATCGGCAACTTCGTCAAGGCCTCCGAGTCGTATATCACAGCTACTCCTGGGAACTTGACTACCGGAGTATACACCGACACTACTGACCTGACAGTTACGCCGCTCTTTGGCAATGGGTCATCGACCTCTTTCTTTGTTCTCAGACATTCTGACTACAGCAGCCAGGAATCTACCAGCTACAAGCTAAAGCTACCTACAAGCGCTGGTAACCTGACTATCCCTCAACTCGGAGGATCGCTCACGCTTAACGGACGTGATTCTAAGATTCACGTCACGGACTATGACGTTGCGGGGACGAACGTCCTATACTCTACCGCTGAGGTCTTTACATGGAAGAAATTCGAAGACAAGAAGGTTCTCGTTGTCTATGGCGGAGCAGGCGAGCATCATGAAATTGCCATATCTGGCAGCACCAATGCTACGGTCCTTGAGAACGAGAGTCCGGATATCTCAAGCGAATCTAAGGGCCAGTATGTCGTCATTGGCTGGGATGCCTCTTCTACTCGCCGCATCGTGCAAGTCGGAGACCTCCAGCTATTCCTCCTAGGTATGTCAGCAACATATTCCATCCGTATTGAATCTGCAGTTTACACATGCTGATATCGAATAGACAAAAACACCGCATACAATTACTGGGTACCCGAACTTCCAACCGACAGCACTTCTCCTGGACTCAGCACCCAGGAGAAAACTGCATCATCAATCATCGTCAAAGCCGGATATCTCGTCCGAACAGCATATCTCAAAGACAATGGACTCTACCTCACGGCCGACTTCAACGCAACCACACCCATTGAGATTATCGGCGCACCCAGCACAGCCAAGTCTCTCTATATCAACGGTAAGGAAGTCAATCACTCCATTGACAAGAACGGAATCTGGTCCACCACAGTCGAATACCCCGAGCCCGCAATCAAACTTCCTAATTTGAAAGACCTCGAATGGAAATACATCGACACTCTCCCTGAGATCCAGTCATCCTACGACGACTCCGCCTGGGTTACAGCCAACAACAAGACCCGTACTAACCTGCGGACTCCAACATCGCTCTACTCCTCAGATTACGGCTTCCACACCGGATACCTCCTCTACCGCGGACACATCGTCGCTACAGGCTCCGAAGCCCAATTCTCAATCGAAACGCAAGGCGGCTACGCATTCGGCAGTTCCGTCTGGCTAAACTCGACCTACATCGGTTCCTGGACCGGCGTCGACAAATACAGCAACTATAACTCAACATACAAACTCCCGAACCTCAGCCGCGGCCAAGAATACGTATTCACCGTCCTCGTAGATAACATGGGTCTAGACGAAGATTGGACCGTCGGTAGCGACGAGATGAAATATCCCCGTGGTATCCTCAGCTATGACCTCCAGGGTAACAACGCCAGCAACTTCACCTGGAAACTCACCGGTAATCTCGGCGGGGAGGACTACCAGGATAAAGTCCGCGGACCCTTAAACGAAGGCGGGTTATATGCCGAACGGCAAGGATTTCACCAACCTTACCCCCCAAGCCAATCCTGGGAATCATCCAGTCCCTTTACCGGCCTCACGAAACCAGGCGTGGCGTTCTACGCGGCCAGCTTTGACCTTGATATTCCCTCGGGCTGGGACGTTCCTCTCTACTTCACGTTCGGGAATAGCACGTATCCGCCGCCGGCATATCGCGTGCAGCTCTACGTGAATGGATACCAATTCGGGAAGTACGTCAATAACGTTGGTCCGCAGACTAGTTTTCATGTCCCGGAGGGGATTTTGAATTATCGTGGCACGAACTGGGTTGCGTTGAGTTTGTGGGCGCAGGAGTCGGATGGTGCGAAGCTGGATAGTTTCGAGCTGGAGTTTAAGACGCCGGTTTTGACGGCTTTGGAGGGAGTTCAGTCTGTGGAACAGCCGAGATATACGGAGCGGGATGGGGCATATTGATCCAGCAGTGAGGAAATAGGGAAGATAGTAGATAGTTAGGGATAGGTCTGCAGCTCTCTTTTCTGTTCCTCACGCAGGATCTGGTGGAACTTGGTTCCATTCGTAAATACGTGGGAGGGATGACTATATCAATCAAGGAAATACATAATCTCAATGAGAAATGCTGGTATCTTGTTGATCTATTTGTTTTCGTTTTTAGATTTCTTGCCTCTTTCTCATATCACGTATAACCCTTCCTCATCTAACGAGATAGGCATGAAAATGGCATGAGAACAGCAGCAATGATGATGGAACCAATTTCCCGTAATAACGTACATGAAATTGTGATGATGTTAGTAACACTCAAATCAAGCAAATACCACCCAGCCAAACGGTTCTCTCTCGATATTCGCCGGTACGCCATGCTGCCAATACAGGTGTAAACTTTTTCTTTTTCTTTTCTCTTTCACTCAATCTCCTTCTCTTTCCTGAGAATCAAGTGGGAGCGGATCCGGGGGCCGTTTCCGGGACTGAGAGTCCATACGGAGCCGTGGCAGAATAGTTCACTCGTACCTAAAGTACACAGCCCACTGATGTGGACAGAACAGGTCCGGAGCGCTGAAATATCGGTACGAGCTCCTCATTTCTGTGAATACTGAGCCCGCATCGTGTATGCATAATCCCTTGGATTCCCGCAGCCCCTTAGATGACCCACCGGTAACTGGCGTAACGACCAGCCGTCTCACTCTTCCGAATAATCTTCACCACCTGACCTCTCCTCAGACCCAAGTAGCGAGCGACAGGGTCGGAGACCTGGATTCGAGGCAGCTGGCTCTCCTTCAACCTGTAGCGCTCGAGTAGTCTAGCCTTCTCCTCCGCACTCAACAGAACGTGCTTCGGTACCAGCTCGTGTCGGGTAATGTTGACCAGCAGATCCTGCTCCTGGAAGTGCTCACAGAAACGGCCGGGCATGCTGCTCAGCAGACGGACAGCAGAGGGAGAGATGGGCGTTTGCGAAATGAAAATGCCGGTGTGGAAGTTCTGCTCGTCAACGAAGTGGTTGAAAGCACGGATCTGCTTGGTACCAACACCGCTGGCATCGGGGCAGAACTCGACGTAGATTGTACCGCATTCACCCTGAGGATTCGGATTGTTCTTTGTGGGAAGAGGTGTGTATTTGGCGATCATTGCTTCGGTGGGACGGGCGCTGATTTTCATCTTGGCTCGGCTGCAGAGAGGGGGCAAGTCAGATAAATGTCTGATAAAATAGACCTGTACCAAACACGGAGAAGGGAAGCATACTCAGGGTATCCAAGGGGATCTGAATATTTAGCTCTGAACTGATCCAGCGGAATCTGCACTTCTTCCTCTGTGACTTCGTAACCCTGCCGCGGCACGTCAGCAATGATTCTGAGCAAACAGACCCTCCAGAACAATGCGCTTTCATACCCGATCAGCAAGCATCTCAAAGACCGTTCTCCAGGTACGCCAGAGTCTAGTCATTTCGCGCTCTGCGTCCGCAGAGCCTGAGGAGTAGTCTTCATCCATCGTGGCGAATAAAAGGCGCACGAGCCGCTAGAAAAGATAACGAGGAAGTAAAAGCTGGAAGAGGCTGATCAGAGGACACTGAGACCGTCGCGCTCAGCTCCCAAGATGACAACGGCAGATATTCGCAGTTCGTTGCGCTCGTTCAAAGGTCCGGATGGGAAGAATCTCGAAAAATCGACGGGGTCCGGCGCTAGCAGCGGCTGCGGTAAGCGCCTCTTTCAGGCTTGGCCCGGAAAAGCATCCCCAAAGGCCAGAGCGAAAAAAGAACAAATTCACGCTTTCGTGAGCAATCGGCCTTTCTTTTCCTCCTCCTTTTCTTCCTCTCTCTCACCTCCCTTGAACGTCTGCTGTCGGCGATCGACCGGCTGCCTGTCGTTCCCTTCCTGCGCTCGTCGAGTCGCTCAATTCCCTCGATCTCTCCCACATCGCACGCTCGTCAACAATGGCTGCTGCTGCCGCATCCCAACCGGCCACTGAGCACAAGGTCAAGCCGGCCAAGCCTGATGAGCAGGCGTACAAGACCGAGCTCGCCAAGCTGGAGAAGGAGCATGCTGCCGTTCAGGAGAAGCTGGTAAGTAGCACTGCATCTACAATGGATTGATTATATTTGGGGTTCAGAGTCATTGTGCTGGATTTGCGAATAATACCTTTTATGTGGATTACACATATTTGTTATTTTCTTCTTCTTCTTTTCTTTTCCTGCAACTTTCTACAGAGCATCTACTGACACATTCCAGACCCAAATCAAGGCCAAGATCGAGAGCGCCAAGCCCAACAACCAGGACTCTCCTGCCGCGAAGAGACAGAAGGAACTCCGCGCGGAGCTTGCTTCTATCCGCCAGAAGCAGCAGGGATTCAAGGCCTCCCGGACAAGCACCCAGGAGAAGATCAACGCTCTTGATGCCACCCTGAAGTCCCGCATCGCGGAGCAGAACAGCTCCCGGAGCAAGCTGTCGTTCAAGAACGTGGAGGAGATCGACCGGGAGATCGCCCGTCTCGAGAAGCAGGTCGATTCGGGTACGCTGCGTCTGGTGGATGAGAGGAAGACCCTGGCCGACATCTCGACCCTGCGAAAGCAGCGCAAGAACTTTGCCGGCCTGGACGATGCTCAGAAGCAGATCAATGACCTGAAGGCTCAGATCTCAGAGCTCAAGAAGAGCCTGGACAACCCCGAGGCCAAGGCGCTCAGCGACAAGTACACGGAGATCCAGAAGGAGCTGGACTCTATCAAGGCGGAGCAGGACAGCGCGTTCAAGAACCTCAACGCTTTGCGGGACGAGCGCACCAAGATCCACGCGGAGCAGCAGCAGAAGTACACTGCTATCCGTGAGCACAAGGACAACTACTACAAGGCCCGCAAGGCCTACAAGGAGTATGAGGATGAGGCCTGGAGGATCCGTCGTGAGCGCCAGAAGGCCGAGCGCGATGCCTTCGAACGGGAGAAGAAGAAGAAGATCGCGGACAAGAAGCTGGAAGAGGCTTCTCGCCCCGCCTACACCGACGAGATCCTCACCGCAGAGGGTCTCATCCGTTACTTCGACCCGGCTTATGACTTTGCTTCCATTGGTCTCAGCGACAAGAAGGACCAGGGCGCGAACTACCGCGCCGAGGTCGGCCGTACCGTTGACGACTCCGGTCTGAAGGGTATGAAGGTCCTCAAGAAGGAGGAGGACGACTACTTCGTTGGCACAGGTGGCAAGAAGGGTAAGAAGGGCAAGAAGGGCGGCGCCAACGGCGCTACCGCTCCCTCTGACAAGTTCAACCTGAACATCGGTCTCATCGAGGACTTTGCCAAGATCAAGGTCGACCCTCCGATGAACCAGACCGACGTGCCCACTGTCGTTGAGAAGCTGGCCGCTAAGATTGTTGAGTGGAAGAAGAACCAGGACGCCAAGACTCAGGAGGTAAGTTGATACGCGAGAAGCCCCTCCTCGTGGTGGAACAATTCTAACATTGGGACAGAACATCAAGAAGGCCCAGGAGGAGATCGAGCGTCTGGAGCAGGAGTTTGCCTCTGCCGACGACCGCTCCACTGATAAGGCCAAGAAGCCTGCTCAGGCGAACGCAGGTGTCAATGGCAAGGCCTCTGCGGACGCCGAACTGAAGCAGGAGAAGGATGCAGTTGCCGACGTGTCCGAGGAGCTGAAGGAGACTTCTCTCGAAGAGAAGGCATAGACCTGGTCGCGTTGATACGACCGCACTCTAGACCTTATATACGCACGTGTGCTCTTGATCGCTTGCTTGCATCAGCGTCTGCATGGAATGAGGTCCTCTCGATCTCAGCATTTTTCTTTCAACGTTTCTTTCTCTTATATTCATCCTTTTTTTCGCACTGCACATGCAGATCATGCTCCCTTTCTGTTGCTGTTGCGCCTTTTACATAGCTATGAAGATGCATATCTGCTCTGGGGTCCTGGCTTCATTCCCACTGTCTGCCATATACATGACTTTCCACTGCTCCTCCCCGTTGCTATCTTTCTTGTTTATATCAACCTCTCTTCCTGTCACCTCGACCCTTTGATTTCTTTTCTTTTTCTTCCTCTTTTCGGATATGTATTTCCAGCCGGCTTCATGCTGTTTTTTTCCATTTGGTATGAGATGATGAGAGACAGCAGGCGCACTGTGGAAAAACGGTGCATGCCCCGCTCTTAAAATAAAAGTCCGGAAGGGAAAGGAAAGGATGCAAATAAAACGAGCTTCCTGTTTATGTTAAACTGCCCACGTACTTGATGTTCTGTAATCAGTATTGGTGTGAATGGCGTGCCCGTCGGTAGATGACATGAGTCATGAAGAGAACCTTTTGGCTATAAAGGCGACGATATCGTCGACCTGTTCAGGTTCCTTCAGCCAGTGACCGTCGCCCTCTGCATCCGTGTAGGTCTTCCAGGAGACTTGCGAGCCGAGTACCACAAGAAGGTCATGAGCAGCTCTTCCCAGACTCACATCGACCCATTGGTCATCTTCACCGTGGCTCAAAAAGACCGGCGTCTCGAGGGATGACCCTTTGGCTGTTCCTTCTGGCGGTGTCTGCGTCGAAGCGGTATTTTCGGGAGCTGGCATGGTCGTCATTTGTGATTGCGCTGCAGATAAGCCAAGCGCCCACCTGTAGAATTCTAATGCCTGCTCCTTCTCCCCACGATCCAGCAGCGCAAGAACCTTGTCCCGTAGGGGAATCCATCCCATGGCACCCACAAACCCCCCAAGATTCCGTTCAGCGCATAGCATCGCAACGAGGCCGACAGCCATGCCCTGGCTGACACCACCGAGGATCACTCGGGTGCTATCCCCATTGAGCCGTATGATCTCCTCGTCCACGATCCGCAGCACGTACTCGACACTCTCCTTGAGTCCTGCCAACTGCCGTTCCGGCTCCCGATCCGGATCCTCGAGTGAGGGTACATCGAACCATTCGCTCAGATCCTCCTCGAACTCTTCAGACCAGCGTGATCTCGCAGAGGGAAAGACCCAGCGACAGGAAGGGAAATGCTCGAATAGAGTCTTTTCCGACGAGGTTAGAGATTCCGCCAACTCGGACGCAAACTCCGGTCCATTACTGCCTCGACCGTGGAGCAGAATCACGGTGGAGTCGTGCAACGAGCTGGAAGGGAAATAAACATGCCGAGGTGGGAACAGCTGGGTCATAGTATGTTGGTCTACAGACCAGGCAAACCTCCAATGATTTGCTCCGCGCCTCAATTGCTGGGGGAGAATTGGAACAAAGCGTATATCTGCTTGGAGGGGCCTGTTGTTGGGTCGCGGGTAAGGAACGAACGTTGATGACGACGACGCAGAGACCAACCTCAAGTCTCCCTCAGACAAGCATCACTTCGATTCGAACGGATGGCCCCGGATACTCTCGATGTCGTGGTATCAAGAAGCAAGGAAGAACGTTGTCTGCAAGTCCATCGCATGCGCTGACGTCTAAGTGAGGCTGTGTTGCGCCCCGCGACATCTTTAGACGCAAGCTACCGATCGGGCCGTTTTCTAGAGCAGAAGGGAACGTGAGACAGGCATGGACAGGTGACCTTGGCAGAAAGAACTGGGCATCGTCTGGTGTTATTTTCTCATTGCGATCGTGGATAGATGGCTGGAGTCATGAATTCCGATCTGCCTGTCGTGGTTAGGATGGGATGGTTGATGCGGTCGTTCAACGGGGACCTGAGATGTAGACACGCATGTGATTCGTGTCCATGGTCAGAATCAGCAATTAGAAACGGCATGAAGGACGGAAGAATCGACTAGGGTCTCTTTGAACCGTGGAAATGTCAGCAACAATAATATGTATTGTGTCGCCGTCTCGTTCTCAGTCTCTCCTGTTCTTTCAATCCGACGGCCGAGATTCGCAACGGACGCCGAGTGACTGAGCCGCGGCCCGTGGAGGTGGCGGTGCAGATTTCTATCTCCGGTGTGGCTCATCCTGAGACTGAAGTCCGACAAGTCCTCGTCCGTCGCCTCCGTCTGACAATCTTTCTTTCCTCTCCATCTTATCTCTCACTTCTTTACTGATCATCTCGGCCGTGGACTTTTCGCGCTATCAGGTATGTCGTGCTCTCCCATTTCCACGTCACCCGCCTGCAACAGAAGCTCTAGTGTTTCTCGCGCACTTCCAAGCCTCTAGCTTATTTCCGCGCCGTTACGCTTGGCTCGCAACTTTGACTAACTTGTTCCTTTGAAGTTTGAAGCCACAGATTTCTAGGCAGTCCTTGACTATCTCGCCATCTGTTCTTTTCGGTGTTGTTTGCTCTCCTTTCAACTACCAAAGGAGCCACTCTTGCGACTTCCCGATCTCGAGTCATCGAGTTATATCATCCGCTAGTTAAACAGCGCATTCAAGACTCAACAAGTCATCTAGACTCTCTCCAGGATGTCTGCAAAGCCTGTATGTCGTCCCTCCAAAGATTCTCCCTCCTCACAGACAAATATACCTCGTCCCTACCATCCCTTCGTACGTGAGATATCTAGATGCAAGATAGCTAACCGTCAGATCTACATATAGCAAGGTGATCCACCCGCATACCCTCCGCCAGTGCATCAGGACGCCGGTCCCTACTATCCGCCTCAGGGACCGCCTGCTGGCTACCCTCAGTCCCCTCCTCCCGGCGCTGGCGCAGACTACTACAACAGCCATCCTGCTGCCTACGGTCCTCCTCCCGGCCAGTACGGCTCTCCTCCGCCCCAGGGATACTATCCGCCGCCGCAGCAAGGCTACGGCCCCCCACCCCCAGGCGGGATGTACTACCAACAGGGTCCGCCTCCACAGGGATACTATGCTCAGGATCGGGGTGGTAGCGGCGCAGAAGGCCTGTGCGCAGGTATCATGGCTGCGTTGGCCTGCTGCTGCTGTATGGATTTGCTATTCTGATTGATTCAATCTTTGTCTCTCTCTTGTTTCTTTTTTTTTTTTTTTTTCTTTCTTTCTTTTTTTTGCCACTATCATTCCGGGAGTTTGGGACGGAGTTAGTCGAGTGTATACATACCCTGAGACTTTGACGGGGGTTTATCTTCCTCATCTCTACACGAGAAGATGCAGGAAACATCACATCGGTACATGCATATATTAATACAGATCAGAATAAATATCTTCAAGTCGATTAAAGAATCTTACCCCGTGACAGAAACACTCTTACCCAGTTATGGCATTCCAGGATAATGCAGAACTTTTTAACTCCCCCCCATTTCTATTGCCTACCGCTGTTGTCTCTGCTTTTTTTTTTTTTAATTCTCTCTGTACCATCTCACGTGCCCAGTCACACTTAGAATATCGGCGCCGGCCTGAGACCAAATTAAAATTTTCTCTTTACTTTGTCTATCTAGTTATAAAGAAACTTGATATTCAAGATTTATTATATCCCTACGTAGATAGAATGTACATAGCATATAAATAAAAAGAAATAAAGAAGAGAAAAGAGCAATAACTACACACATGCATACCGATCTATATACAGTAATCCTATGCATTATCGTCAAATGCGATGAAGTACTGTAGTAATTTCATATCTCCATACTTGATATATCATAGATCGAATGATACATACATACATACACACGTCAGGATTCATAGATACATAAATAAGATGAGTGAGAATATGTCCAATCAATCAAGAAAGAAGAATCAGAAGGAAATAGGGTCCTTATATATCCCCGCTCTGAGACCCCTTTCTCACATAAAATAAACTATTCCTTCAGACGTTGAATCTTTCATGAAGTAAGTCCAATTCTGGCTGAGGGGAATGACGCTGTATGTCCTCCTTGGATACAATTCGTATTCTTCATTATCTCCTCGTTCTGGAGAAATTCAATCTCTTCCACGGGAAGGAGGGGTTGGGTGTCCTAGGTAGGACGATAGATAAGTAACTGGCCATTCTGTATTTCTGAGCCATTCTCCCATCGAGTATTTCTTCCATCTTTCCGTTTCTATAAGATGGAAAAGCAGCAACATTAAGGGGGTATTATCGCGTAAGAGAAAAGAATTAAAAAAAAAAAAATCAGAAATTCCACCGGATATCACAACTCGATGATGATGACGATGATGAGATGAATAGGTGATGAAGAGATATGATCTCTTCGCAGAGATCAGCAGATGGAATGGTTCCACGCTGGCAATGGTGACCAAGCAGGGTCGAGTTTCGAGTGAAGATGCGGGATTGACGGAGTGAAGAACGAGTAGATCAATAAACGGTGCCTTCTCAGATCATCCGTGCCGAATGCACTTCGCTGTTCCAGTAGGATTCATAGGTGTGATCGTATCATCTCCGCGGGAATAGTTTTGGTATCCATAACCATATCGAGATCAAGGCACCCTCGAATAGACCCCAGGGAAATTCACCTGTTCAGTGCTAGAAGACTTGCAGATTCCCACACTCGAATAATCCGACTGATCTGACTAAAATGGAGCGAAATCCAGATATACAGTCTTCTGCTAGTATATCGAACAATTGCAGAAAAAGTATGTCCCATCACGACCATCATCTGCGCATCCGTCTCGGTGGAGCATCACCGCCGCCATACTCATACGGATCAACAGTTCTGTACGAACCTCCCGATCTGCGTGACCTCCGCGGTGGTGGTTCGACCGAAGAGGCTTCCTCAATCACTTCCACAACATCGTCCTCCGTCTGGGTCGTGACCGATTCCTCAACCACGATTCGATCATGATGGCGAGATCGCGGCGGTGACCGCGACCGGACTACTTCGACCACCTCTCGCGACCTACGGCGATGGGACGGTGATCTTCGCACGACTATATCTTCTTCTACTACGCTGAGGCGGTTATTGTTCCATGCGACAGCCGTGTAGATCAAATAGAGAAGGAGGAAGAACCCGCCGACGGAACCAAGGATGATACCCGCAACGACGCCGGGGGACGGGCCGGCATCTAGTCCGCCGTATGTCGCGGGGATGGAAACGACTTGCGTTTGACGGGAGACGAGGGAGGATCCGGGATTGAGAATTGCGGATGAGTGCGCCGTTGTCGATCGGTCGTGCAGCGCATAGCCGTGTGTATAATTATCGATATCGATATCGGCGCGAGGCCTGATAAGAGTGGATATCAACGGTCGAGAGAGGGGTATTGGTGCCATCGGGCACGACAGCGATCTCGAGCCACGGGTCGAGCGTCCGAGGAATGTGGACGATGGAATGCGGGCTCCCGCGACTGTACAAATGGACGTTTGTATTATTTCACAGTTGCGTTTTTGGTCCACGGAACCTGAGGTCGTACAGTACAGTACCTTATCGGGCAACTCCACTATAAAACGAACGACATTGGCGACTGGTGTTGAGGACAAGAACTGCCGCAGCGATTGCGCAGGACGATGGCATTCTCGAGTAGAAGGAGAGAAAAGAAAGGAAAAGCAGAATGGGGGAGACGAGAAGATGGGGAGAACAAGAGACGAAGCAGCATAAGCCGCGTGGCTGGGAGAGCGGGACAAGGAAGAGTTATTATTAACAGGATTGGATTCCGTCCACGACACAGTCCAGCGCCAACAGTCGAGAGCTTGTTGTGAGCAGTGCGGCAATTTCGAGTCTACTATCTCATCTGTTTTGTTTCGTTTCGTTATATTGTATTTTCTATGATTTCTATTCCCACTGGATTGCCATCATCCCTACTCGAGTCGCTTGTCGATAGCGCATCTGAGATTCTAAATCGGGAGGCTGGACGAAGCTTGATTTCCGTCCCCGCCAAACCCTGCTTGGCTTGCAAGGCGATGGAGACTTCTAGATGTTATTCATTTGGAAAGCCACATGTGACTATCAGGTCTGGATCTTATCTGCAGCACGCTCTGGAGGCTCTACTTAGAGTCACATCACCACGCCACGCAGTGTTCTGCAGACCCCTCTCATCCGCATATCGTGCTCAGCAGTCAGGGACAGTGGTCCAGGCGTTTGCAGATCTCGACTGGATAGATCATAGCGGTGTCTAATGACGGAGGAGCTCCACACTGGAGAGAACTCGACAGCCTTGACCAAGTGGAGGTTATGACAGCTGCTGATCTGAGCGCAAGAACCACCCGGTATCTTATCTCCAAGAAACTAAGCCGCACAGCCCGAGTATTATATTAACAGCAATATATTTAGCATATATGGAGGAAGTAGAAAATCCTTCTGAGTCCAAAGTCTGGCCGTCCCATACATAGTACTGTACATTACACAACGAAAAGAACCATGTTGTCCAGCAGTCAAAAGAGTGGATCATGTACAGAAGAAAGACAGAATAGACAATAAATGAAAATAGATGAAACCCAGTAGATGGTAGGTAGGGAGATCCCAGATCTCAACCGTGCGCTTCCGAAGCCACATTCCTAAACAATTATCCTCCAGTGCCGTGGCAGTATCCAGCCCCCAACGCCATCGCTAACCACATAAATCCTTATAAACCAGACATTATCGGGGCAGGGTATCAGAAAAAACAAACTCCATATCTCAGCTGTTGCTGCGCAATCACCGACCGTCTTCAGCATGGGCATCGCGGGAGAGCAGGCCTCCAGGATCCTGGAGTTCCATCCCGTACTCGCGCATCTCAGGCCCCGCGTTACGATGCTGAGAGAGAAGGCCACCGGCGTCCTGCAGCTCCATGATGCTTCCTCGCATTGCAGGCCCGCTGACCTCCTGTTCTGCTCGATATGGAGGAATAGGATTGGGGGAAGTAGAGCTGCGTCGAAATCCAGGGCGACTGCTATTGGGGGAGGTAGACCGTGTTCTCGATCGTGTCCGGGAGATGTTCTTGATGCGAAGCCCGGGGCCTGTAGAGAGAAGCCCTCCTACATCCTCAAGAAAAGCTCTGCTTCCGCGACGGTATTTGTTGTCGGGGGCGGATGGGACTCGATCCGGCAGAACTCTGGAGGCCGCGGCCGGCGCGGTGGGCGAGACAGGCTCATCGAGCAGACCACCAACATCAAAAAAGGAGACCTTTCGAGGTGACATCTTACCAGCAGAGTCGTGCGGGGTCTTGTTTGTTTCGATATATTCATGCGGGCTGATATTCTGGCCTCCCAAACTGTCGGTCGCAGAGATTCGATCATCTTCCGTCCCTGTAGAGTTGCGGCTAAATGACCAGTTCGGGTCGATCGATCCGGTGCGCGCAGGGGACCTGGGTGAAAGGAGCGGCGCAGGACGTAGCGACTTGAATTCAGGGTCCTGCATGTCTGTATGGAGACGGAAACCCAGCTCGCCGGCCAGGTCAGTGTCGCTGCCCCATTGGTGATGTGTGAAGGTCGGCCGTCGCACAGAGCTACGGTCCATATCACTCGCAGAAACCGAACCGTATGGCTGCTTGAACTTGGGCTTTTTGATACCACGGTCCCGGATGAAAGAGCCGATGACAACGGCGTTTGATACGGCCGTGGCAGCGAGTATCTCCAGTGAGGCTATAAGGGAACGATGCTGCTGCGAACCGTGGTAGTGGATGACTGTAGGGACCCTGTAACATGTGATGGCAACCAACAGCATCGACAGGGCAAAGAGGAGAACAAGAGCAATTTTGCGTTTGAGAGGCATCGAGGTCGTCAAGACGAGCGGGATAGGAAAGGTAACAAGGAGAACATCCGTGATCACGTCGCACGTCCCCATAGTGATCAGATTGGCATAGCCTGACCGGCACTTGGGACCTGGATCAGGGACCACCTGCCAGTAGTGGTCGAACGGTTGGCATTCCGCCAGCGTCGCGATGATAACGGCAAGCAATGTGGTAGCGAGGAAGTAGTACAGAAAGCGGAGTATCAATTGGATGGATCTTCTCCAGGCTATCCCTGTCACTCTGGAAAGGAATTCACAGACGGTGTACTTTGCCGTCCAGATGCTATATATCTCTCCTGGTCAGTGGTCTGCATGGAGTCAAATATCTCAGGCGGATCTGTATATCCTTACAAGATAGCATAAAATATCCTCGCTAGAAGGACTAATCTACTACCTATCTCGCGATGTCGAATATCGGTTTCTGACAGGCCCTCCGTCTGCGTATTGTTGGTTCCCCAGATCAAGACCACATGCACAAAGGCCATCCGTATCAAGAGCGGTATGATACTGGCCATCATGACTTTGTCTTCACGGAAAAAGCGTTCTGTCCGGACATAGCGACCGCATACCCGGACAATAATGATAACTAGTGAGAAGCCAGTTGCCCACCAGCTCATAAGTAGAGTCGGATTGCTGTCCACCTTCGTCTCGATTGGGGGAGGCTCTTGGGAACCAAGTCCTCGAGCAACCAGCGTCGAAATGGATGCCATGATTACTTACTGAGCCACCTCCGGAGAGGGGTCAGAAAAGCTGAATTTCAACAGTATTCAGTTCCTCAGTGGACTCGTGTATATGCGATGCTCGTTCCGTGCCGACAGTCTTTCGTTTCCAGAAGTGATTGAGATGCGCTCAGGTTCGACTACATCTGACGTTTCTATCGGGCGCGCTTGATGTAGGGTTCAACGAGCGGGGTGCACACACCACGGTTCTGAGTGAACCTACCGCTGGAGAGTGTGGCATTCAGTTCTCCTGAAGAAAAGAAATAAAACCAGGTACTGACTGGCGAGGCATCGTGAAGAACTAACCTCCCCAACACTGCTCGAGGAACCGGGTCGCTACAAGTATTCAGTACTCGGGGTTGCCCGCTGGCAGGGTCAGAGATAACAGACCGCCATAGCGTGACACAGGGAACAGCTTAATGGGCCGGCCAGAATGGTGGGATGGTTGATCAAGCGCCTCCAGCTCCGCGAGATTGCCGCCATGCTGAACCAAACCAGTCAAGAGGCGCTGAGGCTTGGAGCTGGTGAAGTCTGCTTCCCGAGCAACGACGATTGCCATCTACCCGAAGTGCGGGCAGCGACACCCGCCAGCTCAGCGTGAGAGATCACACTGCTTGCTCACACTGCGTGCTCACCTACTGGCCTGCATCGAGCCGGGCGGTTATCCGTCACGTCAGGATAAAATTGACAGTTGATCATCATCACTGCCTCTCCAGGCGCTCTGGGCCTCTCATCGGACAACTACAGCGGCTGGATCGTCGAACCCCAGGATGGAGTACCTACCGCGGCTCCGGAGAAGACCGAGGGAGCCAGACGGATGTCCTCGACTGGCTTGACAAGTCCAAGTCGCAGTGCCATCATCATGCAGAACACCCCAGAACAGACCAGTGAGTGATCAGAGTCGCCAGGAGAAGGTGACGAACGAGAGGATACCCGCGTCTACTCCGTACCAAACGGTCTGAAGCTTTCAGACGGCAAGCCCAATCAGTATCGTTTGTGAACTGATCGGAAGGAGGCTGATGCGGTGCACGGTGACAGCAGGAGGGAGCAACGAATCGCTATTTGCCGATAAGTTAACGGGGTTACCTATATCGACCATACTCTATTGATGGATGGAGTTCTCCTCACGAGGCGACATGGTCAAAGCTTCTGGACGCTGATAAGGAGTTGACAGCCCGATGGAACCGAAGGATAGTCTAAGTGACTACTTTGACTGACTCGTATATAGCACTCGATCCGATTCTATTATTGCTCTGACGTTTAGACTTCTATCCGTCAGAAAACACCCATGCTGCCAGTGCAGGGACTGGTGTCCTAGCCAGGGTGACGATTAGCGGCATCGAAGGGTAACGACTGCGACAGCAACAGCTATCCGTCGAATTGATTGCTACCATCTGATAGCTCTACTTTCGATTCTTGTCTATCGCCATGGCACATCTGCATACAACTGTCGCAGGGTGACACTCGTACCTGCTTGCCATTACCATAGGTTGATACAACAACAGGTACGCGAGATCATCACTTCTCTCTTCCCCTAACATCGATGGAGAGAGCAAGAGATCATCTCCCGCTGTAGTGGCGGCCCTAACCGCCGACTTCTACTGCCCTTCATGGCCTCCTCTAGACTGTGCCATAGGTGTAGTCTCCCTACGGAGTATACCGACGAGAATGTCTCCCACTTCTTATCCCGGAACAGCGACGGAGACCCTCCGAACAACCGCAGTCGAGTGGTCCCTATTGATAAGCACCCAAATCCATATGGAGTATAGGAGGACCTATGTGACCGCTTTTGGAAATATCCCTCGTGCCCAGGCTAGCCTCGCTAAAAGCCACATTGATTTCGAACCAAAAATCTGGATTCTTATTAATTCGCTACCATCGGAGTATTATGCAAAAGCGGACAATCCAAGATAGGATGGAACGTTAAGCGGAATCCCTAGGGCTCTAAGTGCATTAAATATGAACTCAATAAAAGCCTTTCCTAGGATGCAGGAAGCGCACAGATTGAGCTGGTCGGACGTCGGGGCATCAAAATGGTCCGCTAAGTTCTTAACACAACCGTGCACTGAACCCAATTTTGATTTTCATGGGCGTCCACGTGGGAGAGGGGCTTAGTTAGTAACTGTTAGTTGAAGTGCCTGGTGGACCGTGAAGGGTTAATTTATGGACCCAATCAAGGAATCGATATTCTATCCTAATGTGCTTGCTGGAATTTGTTCCGGAAGTCGATCACGCATCCCTGATAAATTTAGGGAGTATTGGTAGTTACACCTGTAGAATCCCTTGTCGAGGACCAGTCCAGAATAATAATAATCTTTCCAGACTTCGAGGGGACGCAACATTCTCTGAAACGGTTTATCATTATTGCTCTCTTTTATCAGCAGCCAATGGCCTAGTTTATCAACATCCCGCAAGATAAAACCAATAGAACATCCCCGCAACTGTTGTCTAATTCGAGAAATACAACACGCGTATACCAGAGCACATCACAGACATTTCACATTATACACCTAGACACAGCTCGTAATTGGCGTTCCCGCTTCACCAATATACATACAAATGATCAATCTCTAAATATATATAAAGAGCAATCCAACCATGAATCCAAAACAGGTAATTACGCAGATCATATCCAGCATCCCATCTGGGGGTAGCGAATCCGAATGATCTAGTTACCTCAGGATGAACAATTCGGTAACATCGTCCCATCGACACCCCACTAAAACCAATTGTTATTCGAAAGTACCAATTTTTTTTTTTTTTGATCACTGCAGCTATCCTCCCTTCAAGATGTGGCTTGCAACTCCCCTTCCTCTAGGATATACTTGCATTCACATGCGCATGCAACTCCCCGGGCGGAACAGCCCGCCAGCAAAGACAGACACCCGAGTCAAGCAAGCCAATGTTTCCCTGGCCCTAAAAAAAAAAAAAAAAAAAAAAAACGAAATGAACCTGTAACATATCACTCCTAACTACTAAATGATAAGAACCCTACTCTAGACGATAATGCATGCACACTGCAGGTTACTCTGCTACTCCTGGAAATCCCTAAGCATAAGGCCCTGTAAGCGCTACTTAGGCCAAGTCAAACGCGATGGGGATAAACTCTACGATTAAACACCACTTATCTTCTGATTCGACTATTCAGGACTACTCCGGATACAGTCGATCTCTGTAAGTGCGACATTGAAACGTCGTCTGGTGTTTGCATGCGAGCCTCTTGTGGGTTAACGAACTTGGTGCTTGGCTATTACCTACGAATCATCCTAACGCTTCTATCGGAACAGTTTTGCTAAGTTAAAAGGGTTAGTTAATATGTATGCTTCAAGTAGTATTCGTATATCTAAGTCTAAGTTTCTAGATACGAAGTGCCAATAAACATCAGAGTCTACGTACTCTAATCTCTATCTCGACCTTCTGCGTATACTGTCCTCGTCCTCAAAAACACAGCTAGCTAAGTATATAACAATAAAACTCAAATATGATACGTAAAATAAGGTAAGTAACCGCACCTGGTCCTCACAGAAGCCTATAACTACATCAGTTACGATCACACTCGCAATGTCAAATGAACTATCAGAACGGGCGTTTGCTGAAAACGGACTCGGGAAATGATATGCCTCATTTTTGGTCGAATATTGGATAAGACAAGGTCTGGACCAATCCAGAGAGAAAAGAGGCAGTTGGTAATTTCCACATTTTCAACTATTCAGGGTTTAGTGTGCATGGATGATTCCAAGGCGGATATGACGACGGGGTCCTTCCGTTCAAAGGCCTCTTGTTCTACATTTGTACTTCTTTTCGGGGTGGTCTTATGTATTTTTACCTTGGAATTGGTTGCTCGTAAATTTTAGTCATCGGTATGATGATTGTGTCTCTTGATACGCGATAATGGGTCCATTGCAGGCTAATGTATTCATCGGAGGTCCCCGAGACAATAATAACGACGTCCCGAAACAATAATTCTCCTCGTGACCCTTCTAACAAGAGAGAACACATCATCCTAAGATCAGCTCTAGGTAGATTAATATCCCCTCTTCCTATTCACGATATTGATCAATCTCTCCCCCTTCTCCTTCCTTTCTAGATTCGCCTCTATGACCTGAAATATTCTTTCTAGCGTCTGCGCACTCAGCGCACTCACATGCGGCGTAATCACCACATTCGGAGCATCCCACAACGGATCATCTGCCGGTAAAGGCTCTGGGTCCGTTACATCGACAGCCGCGCCTCGAATATTCCCCTTCTTGAGCGCGTCCACGAGAGCAGGCTGGTCGATGACCGGACCACGCGCGACGTTGCTTACGAAGGTGCGTCGTTTCGCGAGCACTTCGAATTCAGCCTTGCTGATGAGATGGTGTGTTTGAGGTGTGAGTGGCACGGAGATCAGAAGGATATCCAGATCCTGAGAGAGGAAGTTGTGTAGGTCAGCTTTGTCGGTGCCGCTGAACCATTGGGATGGGATTGTGCCATCGGCGTCGCCTGTGCCGGGGACGACGAAGCCGTGGTCTTTGCGGGATTCAGGTGTTGATTTCGGTGTCGCCGTGTAGGCGAGGACTTCCATGCCCATGGCGCGAGAGACATTGGCGACTGGTGAGGTGTTGTCGTTAGTTCTGATCTCTTTCCCTCCTTCCTATGCGTAAAGAAGTAACAAAAGACCAACCTTGCCGTCCAATACTTCCATATCCCAGAATCCCTATCCTCTGCCCAACCATATCCCTGGGTCTTTGTTCCGGATATTCTATCCACCGATGCTCTTTCTGCGCCTCGTATAATCGCTCATACTCCCGATTTCTTAACAACGTCGTCATGAGCACCCATTCCGCGATCGGCGGCCCGTGGATCCCACTCACTGTTGCGAGTGGGATATCGCTATTCGTGTATATCGGGTGTTTTTGAATATGGTTGATTCCAGCGGATATGAAATGGATCAGTTCCAGGTCAGGACAATCTGCCGCTGTAGCTGGTAATGCTCCTGCAGTTACGAGGACGGTTTTGCCTGCGATTGTTTCTATGGGTTGTAAGGTTGGTTAGTGAGGCATTTTTTTTTTTTTTGTATTTTGTTTTTATCCAGGTTGATTATTATAGGAGATTGTCCTCCCGATACTGTAAGGGGGTGCAATGCGGAAATAGGTAGGTAGGTAGGTATCACCTCTAGGTATCGTCGGCGGATTCCGAAACGTCTCTAATGTCCCGAATTGAATATACTCGAAATCGATATCCGGGAATTTCTCTCTCAGTCGGTTCAACAGCTCTGGCGGCTCAGGCAACGGGAGTGTGAAGAGCACATGCTCTTTCTTCTTCTGCTTGAGAATCCAGTTCATTCTGTCCGATTGAGAATGTCAGATGTCTGGGTAGAGCCAGGTACATTAATATCTGATCGGCGATTAGGGTGGGATCTCTTAGCCCCACGTGCCTTAGAATCAAGGGGACAGACTGAAGGAATCACACTCGAGGTGCTCTCTAGCATATCTGGTCAGAACAGTATATTCTCACTATGCTTATTGGATGGGGTCGGAACTTGGGGTTTACTTACTCATGAAAAGTGAGTAGATATACTGTGGAAGTTTCTTTGGTCATAGAACCACGAAGGGAAAAAAAAAATAAATGAATAAATAAAAAAATAAACGGGCGCAATCTCTTTGTTGTTCGAGGTTCTAGAAAATAGAGTCGTAGATACCGATTAGCACACCATTATTGTCGTCCGTTACGCATCTGTCCCAAGGACCATTGATTTGTAAGTGGCGACTAGGTCCGTGGTTGGTTTGCTGACTTTGCTGACAGCCTGAGCGGGGTTCCCTCCCGGAAGCTACTTACGACTATCTAAGTACATACCTACAGAAGAGAGTGATGATGATGATATTTATTAATATAGCCCTGCAGACCTCCCATGGGGTATAGGGACGTGCTAAGAAGCAACTCTTGCCCGAAGGCTAAAGGACAAAATTGACCAATTATTTAAGCTCTGCCCAGCAAAGGCTCGACAAGAGAATATAACTAGGCCCTTAAAAGGTCACGAAGACCATTAGCAGGACTCTGGGTTATCCGGATGGTTGTGTGTGATCTCCGCTTGTTCTACTGTACATCTTCACTCACAACTCTCTGGATCATCCATTGAAGTGACAAGATACCCTCTCCCAACTTCGTAGCTTCCCTAAAAAATCTGTTAACAATAAACTATACGAGAAAAAAAAAAAAAAAAAAAAAAAAAAAAAAAAAAAAAAAAAACTTACAGCACGACCAGGGTAGTATCCAGTTCTGATACGTCGTTATTCCCGTGTGAGAGACACCAATCAACCTTTCCTTGTATCGTTTTCCCCAGTGAGGCACTTTCCGCCGAGATAGCCATCTCGGGGAGCCAGTTTAGACATTTATGTGCATCTTGGTCTTCAAGCCGGTTTAGGCGATCACAGAAGATAATGTCAATAACTGTCCTAGATATAGACTCTGATTCAGCATTTTCGAAGTATTTAGAGGACGAGATGGCTTTGATTGAATCATTTAAAGATTGAAACATGTGTTGTTTTGAGTCAAGGAGTAACAATATTCAAAGAGTCTTCCTGCCCACTGTGACAGTTTCTCATCCGAGAGGTTGGCAGTCTCGTTCAGTTGCAACGCGTATTGATCATCACATGGATGATTTCGAACACCAACAGCATTTTTAGCAGCAATGACGTTGTCAAAAGAGGTCGCCGGAAGTGTCTTGTTCGACCGCGACTGGCGGGAATTAACAAGAAGATCAAAAATCCATTTGAACTTCCGCAACTTCTCCAGGCCATTGGGGTCATCTCAGATAGTGTTCATGGAGTCCAGGACTTCGAGTTCATCGCGTGTGAGGGTAGCAGGGTCAACGTGTAGAATTGTCCGGCCATCCTGGAGTTGTTTCTGACCCCGGGGAGGTATTTTTGTAGCACAAATTCAGGATATGCAACAGATAAACGGGAGGCTTATTGCGGCACTTCCAAGAATAAGACCGGTAATTAAATATAGCCTATTCTTATCAGCAAGCTGAGGGAGAAGAGAATAAAAAAATAATATAAATAGAGAAGTAATATAGCAGCAATAAAGTAATAAAAAAATAGTAATAAATTAGCGACAAGGAGAGAAGAATATAAGATAGAATTATAGAGAGAAGAAAAAGAGAGATATTATTAATTATAGCCGACTATTATTAGCAATTTTAGGAAAAGAATCTAGAAGACCTTAATAGAGAGAAGCAATATAACAGCAATAGAGAGAGAAGAGTAGAGAGAAAAGCAGAAGAGAGGGAAAAAAAAAAAGAGGCGTTGGCATCTAACTAGGCAACAGCTCGAGTAGGGGATCTGAGAGTAATATATGAGCTCTGTTGATTTTAGTGACCTAATTCACTGCAGATATGTACAGTCACATCCAAGCCCATATAAGGGGTCGGACACTATTGTGCATTCAATGAAAACCCCGCATTTCTATATATCTGGTCCTATTCTTCGGGTCTAGAATTCCATCTATTTTTTTTTAAAAAAGTGGCGTAATCGTTAGGCGCTGAATGATGCATATAGATGATAATAAGAAGGAATACCCAGAACGAGTATCCCTTTCAATCAACGACCTTGCTGGCTTGTGCTTCCTTCCGTGCTTCCTCCTTGGAGGATACCACTGGCGTTCCAGAATACAGATTGTCCAGGACAACTCTCAGCTCATTGAGGAATCTGGTGTTTTCCTCTTCTGTCCCGACGGTAATACGCAGGCAGCCTTCACAACCCAGCTCCTTGCCTCGGAATCGGACGACGACGCCCTTCTTCTCCGCCATCGCCTCATATGTGGCCAGAGCAATGGGGTTGCTGGGCTTGCCGCCTGGCTTGTCGAGGAACTCGACGAGAAGGAAGTTGGCCTCGCGTCCTCCGAGGAAGCGGCCAACGCCGGGGATCTTAGGGAGCTCGTTCAGAAGTCTCTCGCGCTGGGCGATGATCTTCTCCTTGTGACTCTGCATGACGGCATAGTTCTTGGGTGAAAGCGCAGCCTTCGCTAGAGCACTAGTCGGGCTGGAGATGTTGTAAGGGGCCTTGAGACTGTTGAGAAGACGAGCAATGGGCGGGCTGGTGAAAGCCACTCCAAGTCGGATTCCAGCAAGACCAAAGGCCTTGCTTAAAGTCTGCATGACTACCAGATTGGGCCAGTCATTCACCCATTCAGCCAGACTCGATCCCTCAGGCGCAAAATCAATGTATGCTTCATCGACAACAACAATTCCATTCCAAGACGGGTGCTCCAGAACCTTCTGAATATCCTCCTTTGCGATCAAGTTCGCCGTCGGGTTTCCTGGAGAACAGATGTAGACGATCTTAATGGAGCTATCCTCAGCCAGGGCCTCATTGATCTTGTCCGGCTGCAGCTGGAAGCCTCGAGCAGCATCCAAGGGTACCTTGACGATACCGACATCGTTGACATGGGCACTGACAGAGTACATGCCATATGTCGGAGGGCACGTCAGGATCTTGTCCTTGGCTGGAGTGCAGAAACATCGCAGAAGAGCGTCGATCGCCTCGTCAGATCCGACACCAACGAACAGGTTCTCCGGTCGCAGTTCCTTTTGCGTGTGAACGTGGGTATTGCGCAGTTGACAGAGCAGCTGTTTAAGCTCGACCTGGTGTCTAGTATGAGAAAGACATTAGAACCAGACCAATCCCATATTAACCCAGAGCGTAGTACTCACGGGTCCGGGTATCTGTTCAAACCCAAGAAATCAATATCCGGTTTTGATGAGCCAGTTGGGACGCCATTGGCAGCTGATTCCTCGAGCGCACCCTCCTTATTCAATGCGAGACCAGGACCATAGGCGTTCTCGTTCGCGTCCAACAGGACGTTCGTCCCATCATCTTTGTAGTCACTGACTCATTAGCTTCTTGATCGCAATACAACGACGACTTGGGGCCGCAATTGTCGGCGACTCACTCCCGGGCGCAGCGGTATGGTTCCAGCTGCAGAATATTCGGACGCGCGCATTTCGACAGATCGAACGGTGATGTTCTGGATGCCATGGTGCCGGCAGGTGTGGTGAATTGAGCGCAGAGTGTTGGTCGGAGTGGCGGAGGGGCTTTAAATTTCAAAGACCGGAAGCGGCCTGGGAGCTAACGTTATGACTCCGCGGGGATGGATGACTCTTTCTGCGGAATCGCGAGGTCCTCGACTTCATAGTTCTTATAATATGTACGTAGGATTCTGTTCTACAGTGTTCGGAAATTCTAAAAAGGAGAGACGAGACCGGAAAAGACCAAGGGCTGCTCTTCTTTTTATAATTGCGTCCAGCTACGGATGTTCAGGGTTCTTGGTCTGAAAACAATCAATCCATTCAGTTCTTTCCCTTCTATCACGCAGGAATCTCTGCTGCCAACGTAGACACTCAACTATATATGTACAAATTTTCTAACAGCCACACACTCGCCAGCTGGTGATGATCCGCCAAACGCCTATAATGCTCTTCCATCTATAATAGCCAACCTGCTTATGAGAGTTTCAGAACAGCGCAACTATTCCGCCAAATATGCCAATATTCATCACGAGCACAGCATCGCGCAAATGAATTAAGCGACAAAGTTTATTCATGTTTGGACTTATCCGTCTGAGCGTCTGGTACTTTGGGAGGCTCTGCCTGCTCTTTGCCAGAATCCTGGAATTTCTGACGCTTCTCCTGGAGATAGCGCCAGGACCTACTGATCCCTGCTGTAAAAATACTCTTGATCGTCTGAACTGTACTCGGCCAGCGGATCGTCTTCCGGATGGAAGCTTGGACTTCTTCCTTCAGATGTTCGTCTGCGGCGACTCTCTTCTCAAACGGACCGCCCTGGCGACGATGAATCCTGTCGGGGTCTTCATCACTTGCTTTCTGCATCATTTCGTTGAATTCCGCTCGTGGGATCTGATATCGTGCTTGATACTGGAAGTAAAGCTTCTCCCGGAAGGATTTCGGGAGTCGCCGGACCATATTACCGCGTTTAACGGGGTCCATGTCCTGGGACAGGCGCAAATTCGATTCGGGGTTGTCTAGCCAGTCTGAATGGCTGCTCTGGGGGTCATTGAATGTGACGTTCGGGAGAGTCTCAATCAACGGTGCATAAAGTCGACGGAAGTTGGCCATTTGGTTTGACACAATGTTGTTAACCTTCTGAGGGTTTTCGGCTGGAAGAGACATACGGAGATCTCCCATGTAGCTAATACTGGCGATCGTGCTGTAGAGCTGGTGTTCCGTGAAGTCCGGGGGGAGCAACAGCAGCGCCACGCGCAACGCAGAAAGCAAGTTTATCTGGTTTGCCAGGCGGACACTAGGGTGATCCCGCAAGATCTTGACCGGTTTCTGCAATCGGCCAGCGAGGTACAAAGTGTCCCACTCGCTCAGGTCTCTGCAGAGAGTGTCCAGGTTAACAACACCATACTTGATCAGGGTACCATTAACCGTGACATAAGGATTGAAGTAGACGCCCGCTCCCCAGCTGTCCTGGACCTTGGACACCATATAGGACCCCATAGATCCAAGCGCGGAATAGTGGTCACGGTGCTGGTGGAGGTTGAGCGAATGCCAATGTTGGCTGTATGAAACTCCGAAAATAAAGTCGATCATCTTGCCCTTGCCTTGCTGAACAGTCTGGATCGCTTGCGGAGGCGCCGGATGACTCTGGCTGGGGGATGGCGAAGCTGACTGGGGGAAAACGCCAGAACCGTAGGCGAATGCATATCGAATTGGTGCTTTAAACTGCCACAGAATCTGACGCAGTGCTTCCTTGAACTCCTCATTGATTATCATGTGCTGGTTGACCCCGAAGTTCTTCGACGGAAGCTCGGAAAAGGCGGAGATGGAGAGATTGGGGTTGGCATCCCAATCCGCGGGCTGCGATGGAGACGTCGAAAACGGTTGCGTCAATAACGACTCCTGGCTTCCTGGAATAGATCTCAAGGGTGCAGCGTTTGACTTGCGAGCGGAAGCATTGAGTCCAGGGAGATGTTCTCCATTGGCAGACGAGTTTGTTAAAGATTCGGTCGAGAGGGAACGGAAGTGAGCAGCGGACGGAATGCGGTATCGCGAAGAGGACAGCAGAAGGGATCGTAACTGGACCGATGGCCCGAGACCTGCGTTTGAAATGAGAGTCTGCCAGTATAATCGGTCAGTGTCCTGATCCCATATCCCACATATACTGCCCGGTTCTGAGGGAGGGGGTAATTTACCGATGGTTGTCGCATGATTACGGCTGAGGGGAGAATGAATGCGGAAGACAGCGGAGAGGCTGTAGCAATTGCGCAAAATGACGATGGAGCATTTGTTGATGGACCATTAAACCATGATGCCAGAGAAAGGGGAACAGTGATGATGGGAATGCCCAGCTGGAATCCTTTGAAGCTGGGGATGAAGGAACGAGGGCTTGGTAATAATAATAATTGCCAGTTAACGTTACCGCCAGACCGTCTGACGTACCGGCCAGTCCAGCCAGCAACCGCGGGCGCTTCCGGGGAGGGTCACGTGGCTGCGTCCCTCGCGTGTTGCGCGCCAGGCCGTAATTGGAGCCAAAAACAACAATAGAGTCAACACGGAGACACAGCTGAGCTACTCGACTAGTTACACTCGACACCGGCCTCGACAGAGCAATTTGCAGTTTCCTGGGGGCACATTGGACTGTTTGGGTCTTGAAGTCTCCCCAAAGAGACCTCCTTTGCCGCCATGAGCGAAGGCATGGAGACCTTCGCTGCCCGCCTGGCCAGCTTCGACATTACCTTGAAACGAAGAACATCGGGCGCGAAAGGGTCAAAATACATCACATGGCCACATAGCTCACCGTCTCCTGCAGAGGTACAGTCGGCCATCAATTTCGCTGGTACAAACGGCTAATTAGTTGCGTCTTGCAGCTGGCGCATGCAGGTTTCTACTACAAGCCCTACGAGAGCAACCCCGACAACACAGCATGTTTCCTGTGCCACAGAGGGCTGGATGGATGGGAGGAGGATGATAACCCACTGGCAGAACATCTAAAGCACTCCCCAGATTGTGGCTGGGCCGTCATGATGGATATTCAACAGCATAGCTCCAATCCCTCGGAGATCGAAGATCCAACCAGCGACCGGATCGCAGAAGCGAGGAAGGCAACGTTCAGCCTCTCGTGGCCACATGAGGGAAAGCGAGGATGGATGTGCCAGACTGAAAAGGTTGTGTGACAGCGTTACTCTCACTGATCTCATCCTATAGACCACGCTAACATGTGACCCGTATAGATGGTCGAAGCGGGCTGGTATTTCTGTCCGCAAGAAGAAAGCGACGACCTGGCTAGCTGTGCCTACTGCAAATTATCCCTCGATGGCTGGGAGCCCAAAGACGACCCTTAGTGAGTAACGACTGTGCTGTTCTTTCCAATTGACTGCAACTAACCGTCACCAGTGAGGAGCACCACCGTCGTTCTCCCGACTGTTCCTTCTTCGTTTTCAGTCAACCGCCAGGCAAGAAAACGAAAGGATCCAAAACCAGGAAGCCCCGTGCTTCCAAGACATCCCGATTATCGACCCAGTCTACGGCTACGGCTGTCTCTGAGGCCCCAACGGTAGATATGGATGATGCAATGGACCAGAGTATCATGTCACAGGCTACAACAAAATCAACACGCGGCAAGAAGTCCACAAAATCAAAAGCGAAAAGCAGCAAAATCAAGAAAGAGGAAGTCGATGAGATTGAGGGTCATCAGGTCGATATAGACAGTAATGATGGGCAACGTCCCGAGCCTCCGAAGCCAAAGCGAGGCAGAAAGGGAAAGAAGAGGACAAGCGATGATATAAGCGAGGATGTGCAGCAGCAACCACATAACGAAGAAGCCGCTGAAGAGCCACCGACCAAGAAGAGAGCTACCCAGTCCCGCGAAAGCGCTGCCAAAGCTCGAGCAAGCACAATGAGCGAGAATGAGCGTATGGATACGGATGCGGAAGAATCGGTGACAGAACCTGGGCCAAAGAAACGTGGGCGCAAACCGGGCCGTTCATCAGCAACTCGCAAAGTATCTGGAGCTTCCGCCGCGTCGAAAGCTTCTCTTAGGTCACGCATACCTGATGACGCCCAGATTGATGCGGCGCTCGAAGCGGACTTGGATGGCGACGGTTCTTTGGCAGGTAACACGGCCGTTGAGACCATTAACGACTCGACAATTTCTGCTCCCGAAAAGAAGTCAACTGCATCCGTAGCGCACATCCGAACCAGCAGAGAATCATTGGACCAGACAGCGGATCGACAGGATGACGATGACGAACTCAACGGACCTGAGACTCATGTGGTTGAAGCGCCAGTGAAAAGTAAATCTCAAAAAGGAAGGCCGAAGAAGAAGAAGGCAACGGACTCCAACTCGAAAGGACAGGACGCTCACGCTCGCGTGTCTCATACAGACTCCCACGGTCTTGCTGATCCAGAAGAAGACTCGGTTATATCAGTCGGTGTTCAGTCGAGAGGACATCAGGAGTCGGATGCAGAGCTGGAAACCAACCCAGTGAGCAAGAAGCCGTCGAAGAAAAAGGCTGCTCCTAAGGGCAAGAAGCCCGCAAAAGCGCAAAAGCTCGTCGTAGCGGATACCGAGTCGGTTCCGGATGATGTTTCGAGGTCTGACGATGAACTGGGCCAGGACGCTCCGAGGATGTCAATTGGCAAAGAAACCGCAAAAGTCCATGCACAGCGTGATTCCAATAGCTCTCGCCGGTCCTCCCAAGTCCCACCGAAGACAGCTGAGAGATACAGTGATATTCCTCGTGAGCAACATCACGCAGAGGCTCTTGCGAATTCACAACATCGCAAGAGCAATTCAAGGCGGACGAGCTCTAGGAGTGATGCTGAGGCTCATGTAGCCCCATCGTCCCTACCCGCGCCCACTCAGAAGAGCACGCCGTCGCCATCTCCGCAGTCTTCAGATGCTGAAAATCGCCCTCCATCCTCTAGGCCATCGGCAGTCCGTCCACCCGTGATTTCTCCTACGAAGACTGTTCGCATACCCCTTGGGGAGACTACTCCCGCAGTCTCGCCCTCCAAACGCAATACTAACATCGGACGACTGAGAACTTCACATCCATGGAAGCCTGTTGACGTGGATGAAATTGTTATTACCAGATCGAACGACAAGGAAAACATCGATGTAAACGGACTCTTCGGCGATGTTAAGGGGGAGCTCAGCACCTCAGAGAAGAAAATGACCGTCGAGGAATGGATCTTGTGGAATGCGAAGAATGGGGAGGAGAGACTGAAGTATGAGTGTGAGCGGCTGGTCGGCCTCTTCGAGAAAGAAGGCGGGAAAGCAATGAGGACACTGGAGGGAATTGAGTGCGTTGATTAAATCGGAGCAGGTTTAGGTCGGGGTAGGGTCACGGTCTGGGATCACGGCGTTACCATAGGTACATATCCAGGAAGGATAGGATATAATGTTCGGATTAATCTAAGATGTTCTTTTCAACATGCAGCATAACTACTTTTCCTGGCTCTGAATTGTAATATGACCAGCCAAGGCCTCCTGCACCAAAACGCCATGGGTATAATTGTAGACTCCGCAACCGGCACAATGTAGATAGCTCATGCGATGATTCCCAGCCTACCCTCCCAACCGTCTTCTTGCTTGATTCCGTCCTCGCCTTCCTTCGCCTTTCTCCGCTTCTCATTCCGTTTTCTGCGCTTTTCCTCGCGCTCGCGGGCTTCTTCCTCTTCTCTCTCCTTAAGTCGAGCTCCCAGATCTAGCTGCCAGGCCTTTCGCTGTTCTTCCTCCTTCACTCGCTTCTGGTGCGCCAACCAGCGCAATCTGTTCCGTACATCTTCCACCGTTGCACGAACGACTTCTCCACTCTGTCCGGTGGCGATCAAGTGCTGCTTGCTATTCAGATGCTCCACCAACTGTATGTTATCCTTGAACGTAAGGTCACAGTCGGGGCAGTAGAAACCAGCACTTCTTCCTCTCTTTCCCACTCCCGCACCAGCTGGCACTATCGTCGTCTTTCCCACCATCGACGCCACATCTAGTCGTTGCTTGCGCGAGGACGTCGCCTCCAGAGTGCTGTAGTCGACGGGAGCATGGTATTTCTTTCCCGCGAGCTTGGCTTCATATCGCGCCTTGGATTCCTCTTTGGATTTGGCTTCTTCCTCTGCGGCTTTCCTGGCGTATTCTTCGCGGTTCCATGTCTTGCGGAAGGAGGTGTCGTCGGAGGCGACACCGTAGGCAGACTTGGACTTGTCTGCCATTGTTGAAATTTTTAAATTTCTTTTCTTGTTCTTTGAGGGGTCCTGAAAATTATGCTTGTCCTTGCAATATCGTAATTTAGGTATAAGGATTCTTGCAGTGGGCTGTTTTGCGGCAGATGGGTGCAAGTAAGCAAGTTGTTGCTGATAGCTTTAAGAGAAGTCCATCAAAATAGCCCAAAACTGAAGGCGGAGAGAACGAATGGAACATGTGATGGGTGGCCCGTGCTTTCTGCCCGAGAACAAACAACGCCGCATTCGGATGTCTCAGCATGGAGGGGCTCGCATATTGAACAGTCGCCCAGATAATGCTCTGTTTTTTATCCATGGGGACTTGTATTTCTAATGTTTCTACTTCAGTTGGGTGGCTCAAGCTCTGCATTTTACAATCTGCAGGGTTTACTATTGCTTGATCATCTCACCTGTACCTACTGGAAAGATACTCCCGTTCTTTAACACCGGTCTATCCTGCCGTCAAGTACTGCACGTCCGAATAATCCAACGGAAGATCTGATCCTTCAGGCTTCTCTATTTCTGAGAAGCACTTTGTTCATTTTGCTGTATTCCAAGTGTCATCTTCATTCTAAATGGAGAGCCAATCATGCCGGTGGAGCTAGGCAGCCATATTCCATCTTGACTCGTCTGTCTGTTGTTTGCTCTGTTGCCATTTGCTCTACTGTTGCTGGCTCTATATTGTTGTCTTATATCCTGGTCTCTGTCCCAGGGAGCAGTTCTATTCAATTTCCCGTGTATAATCCATTTGATGCAGTCATGGAAGATATTCAGGGCAGAGATACCGTGCCACGAGCACATGCTCAAGAACGACCATTGAGACTGATGGATCTACCCACGGAACTTCATCTACACATTGCATCTTACCTCACATACCCAGATGCGCTAGCATTGAAGCACACATCTCGCCATTTCTATTATCTCGTATATACCGGCGTCCATTTGAAAGTGGACTGGCTCGTGGAACGCTTCGAACTGAAGCTCGAATGTCCAATGGAGAAATGTTCGTTCAGAACCGACGAGTCCTTCTGTAACTGGAGGATCAGAAGGATCATGGAGAGAAGAAGAAGGCATCTCGAATGTCGAAGAACAAAAGGAGGCTGTCTCGTCATCGGAGGCAAGACGTGTCAAATGGACCTCGTCCCAACCTGGCTGAAGACCAAACGCTGGAAGACGGTTTTGAGACATTGCGAAATATGGGGTGCTGAAGGTTTGTATCTTTGCTCACGATGGAGCTTTTTCTTGAATTTTGGCGCCTCTTCTAACCCGTATGCAGTATTGATTATATGGCTCATATTCGTCGTTATCAATCTCCTTTGGGGTCTACTCTCAAGGTAAGATCACGGTGCGCTTGTGATGATCCTAGTTCTAATTCATTATTTATACAATCAGGCGCCTACTGCCACAGCCTTTAGGTGTTTCCGTCCCATGAATTATACGACATTACCATGCGAGAGCCATTCGGAGGGACTCCACCCCTCCCTTGATAAGACCTGATCATCCTCCTCTTCATTCACCTTTCATTAGGACTTTTGAGTCTCGGGTCCATGCATACTGCTGTTGAGATCCACGGGTGAAAGCATCAATACACCAGCAAATACTATCTGCATCACCATCCATGCGCGAAACCACCGATGCAGCTATGCCAGATATAAACGACGGAAGATCGTCGACGTGTGGCAACAACTTTCAGGGAAGACTTTTCCAAGGTTGGACAGGCAGTGTCACTTTGAATTCGCCCGAGACTCCAAGGGAAAGACTCAGATTTGGAGACTGGCTTCTGACTCAATACGCAAATGTCAAAGTGCGAATTTGGGCGGAGTAAATTTTGCAGCATTTCGATTAAACCTTCTCATTAAGCCAGTGTGAGAACTACCTGTGGCAACGTTCGGGACGCTGAAACGGACTCCGCTGTTGGTTATGAAACGCCAGCAACACGGTAACACCGACAATCTAGCAGCATCATTGCCACATTACGACTATCTATATAAAGAAAGAAAAGGAGAAAAAGAATACAAAATAAAAAAAAATAAAAAAACATACAACAGCAGGGATTCGCTAGTAGTCACCCACCCAACTACTAACCTGCCGGCGTGTGGCTTCTCTGCAGTCAATAGGGCCCTGGGTGCCGCCCGGGTAAGTAACGGGCAAGAGCCGCTTTACGGTCGCGCAACTGGGGTAAGTTAGAGTAAGTGCGCGAGCGATAGCGGGTAAGACGCGACACATAGTCGCGCGACCTTAGGGGCCAAAACTTTAGTGTTTATAGTATGTTCCCCATGGTATGAATCGAGTAGCTAATTGCTATCCGAAGAAAAGGTATATTTCATCCTCCACAACGTGCCCTACTCGCTTCGCGTGTGTCTCTTAGATTCCGAATGTCATACTCTGAAGCCCTCCCTTCCGCCTCCATGGCCAAGTAACCTGGCGCATATAGCTCAATATCCTTCTCCCACTGATCACGCTCAGTGTAAAAGAACTTCGTCATTTGATTATTATCTTTCGCTTTTTGAATAATGTCTAGAATTGGTAGATCCATATCCATCCTGAGTGAAAGTCGTAAGCGCCAAATACTGCGTTTTCGAAAGTAGGATTGCACTTACGGCTGATTCTGATATTGTTCGCGTCCACCGATATTTTCTTCCTCCATACGCTCGACTGTGAATCCAAGCTCGGAATAATTCACAAGATCCGTTAAAAAGTACGGTCGTCGTGGGATGATATGGTCGATATGGCCTGTTGATTTATATTCTACAACGAAGAATCGGCCTGTCTCAAGAGAAGCTTGATCGATGATGAAATATGGACCGTAATTGGTTTCGAGGATAAGATGCCCCGTAACAGACATTGATATAGCTTTGAAGTCAGCCGTTTCGACAACCGCCCACATAGGGAAGTCGGAAATAGTGAAGTCGTTAGCATCCGGGAATGTAGCAGGGTTTGGTTTCACCATTGTGGGAAGGATTTCGCCGTTTGGTTCTGGATGCCAATTCTGTCCATCAAGTCGGTAACAAAGGATCAAGAACTTGACAAAGCGCGCACGCTTGAGTGGCGTATCTACAGGATTTATGCAGACCCAAGAGCTATAATCCTGCCGCGTGTCTTCAAGGCGTTCTAAAGCTGAAGATGGATAATCTATCGCTGATTTCCTGGGGTGCGCGCGGTTATGAAAAGACTGTCAATTAGTGCTGGATTCCTGTGCAAGATAAGACAGATATTACGAACATCACGAAATGACTGATCTGCTGAGGCCCACTTCTCGACCAAAGAACGTCTTTGACGGAGTTCGTACTCTTCGTCTTCATCTGAGCTACCTGCTGCCTCGCGAGACAGCCATTGTTCCTATATGAAATGGAGGATTAAGTAAGAATTCGGATTTCTTTTATTTTCCAAACATAAACATGACACATACCTCGACAAATAACAGCCAACCTTTTGATTCTTCAATGGTCTCCTCAGGAGTAGGAAAATCCCAATTCCCATTATCTTTCTCTTGCTCAGTAAGTTGTTTCGTCGGGTGATACTGAACGGAGGCAGGGATTCCTCCCGGCCAATATCGAATTGGCCTTGTATGATTTGAAGTCGCCATCCTCGGGTGTCTGGAAATATGACTTAGTATGGAGATTGGAGGGATCTAAGGTCTTTATGAGTCGCTGTTTTGTTGGTATCATGGAATCTGCCTTACATTTTTTTCATCTTCTGCGGTACAACTGTGGAGACATTTGCCACCACTCGCCCGCTATTAATTAGTGGTTATTCCGCAGTACCGTACTAGTAATTTAGAGTTAAAGGGAAAAGAGCGCATATTCTCTATCATTTTTTGCTTTGCAGGCGTATTGCCATCTTAACAGTAATGTTGTTACAGTGGTTAATTAATTATTGTTCTGTAGCCTCTTAGTTAAAAAACTCGTAAATTTAATAAAATTCTGATTATTACTTGCTATCTTCAACCTTGCTTTGAAGATCGAATCGAGTAATTATTTATGTACACGAAAGTAGAATTCATCTATAGGGACTCGTGCTAACCCTTTTTCTCTTCTGCTTTGGTATTTCACAAATAGAATGCGTCGGATCAAGCACAACAATGGACGACGACAGTAATCAAGGACCAGTTGTCCTTTCACTCATCATAGGTTATCACAACTACAGTAGCTTCGTGAGATCACGCTGACCTGTTCGGATAATGCGCGGTCTAAGTACAATTGCCATAGTTGATGTCACAATTTGAGCCACAATAGTCGCTGGTGGAACCGCTGTGAATACATGAGTATCGCATGGTACACGAAGAGGAAGCGGGGATGGGAAAAAATACCAATAACCATATATGCTACAACAGTCCCCGAAGGTTGACCCTTTGCAAGTATATCCATAAGTCTCTGCGCATGTACCATCCGGAGAAACTGTAATTGCTGCAGTTGATGTAGCTGAAGCTGATGGCAATGTCGCAGAAGCACCAGCCGAAGCCGTAGATGATGAACTATACGAACTGCAGTCCCCATACTCCGGATCACAATTAGAACCGCAGTAGTCACTACCAGAACCACTGTATATTGGTAATTAGAATCTGAATCTTGACTATAGAACGTGGTGAAGATGGGAATACTATACCAATAACCGTAAATACTACAACAGTCGCCGAAAGATGACCCTTTACAGGTGTATCCGTAGGACTCTCCGCACGTGCCATCCGGGGAAATTCTGATACCTGTAGTACCTGATGCCGTGGATGTTGACGACATTGCAGAAGAAGCACTTATTACGACTGTAGTAGTCGGACCTGCACCATTTGATGGAGGGGTAGTAATACTTATATTGAAAGGTATAGTGGGCAACGGTTGACTCAGATTGAGTAAACAGACCCTCTGGTATTCTGAGTACCACTGAGAGTCTTGGACCACACTCTCTGGGATATCGCCGTTGGTGATATTGTAATATTTCAAAGCTTGTGAACAGAGCGTATAGTTATGAGCAAAGGAGACGGCTGTTGAGTTATAGACGAATGTACTCGTAGTAACAGGGGTAAGGGTGGGGAAAAAATGACTGCTTGGTTAATAAATTGAACATACATCATTAGCCAACCTCTCAAAAAAGAAAAAAAAAGGGAAAAAAAGAGAAAGAGAGAGAGAGAGAGAGAGAAGAAGAAGAAGAAGAAGAAGAGTGATCTTACGTTGTTGATCGGTTCGCTGTTAGTGTAGCGTTGAGGTTAATTGTAGTCGGGAGTGCACTGTAGCCTGAGGATGACACAGAATACCCAGAATATGTTTTAATGTTGCCGACTGGTTGGACACACTAAAATAGATATATTAGATTTATATCTTGAAGCATCTTGCAATATTCCCCGACGACTTACATAACTGTTTCCCAACCATAGGTCTGTGCAATTCATATCTAACTGCGGGTTGAGAAACTCGAAATCCGTGAGTAATATATCGAACTCATTTGTAATGCTGTCACAGGTATCACCACTCTAAACCTTATACCAATGTCCACATTTCGTATTGGAGGTCGTAACAGCATCTATTGGGACAGGCCTGTAAGCAATTAGTCCTCGAATCCTCTTTAGGTCGTATGTAGTACTTACGCCGCGACACTTGCAGGCATCAATGGAAAAGAATCTGGGATTTCTGTCATTCCAGGAGGGCTTTATTGCGTCAGTAGAGCTCATATAAATACAGGATTTACTGACCTGAGACATATGTATTGTCCTTCCAAAGCGCCTAGGTTAGAGCAAGCGGAATTGATGTTAGGATTCCAGGAGCGGAATGTTGGAAGCTCAACCTGTAGCTATAATTATGTGGAAGTCACGTGCAATATTGGAAGTATCGGGGGATTCTGTCTATATTAGTTATATGAGGATAAGAGAGTTAGAAGGGTGCCTGGCCTATTTAATACATCTATTATGGGGGTTGTTCCACCGATAAGGCGAGCTCGGCCGCTCTAAGTGAGCCCTCTTGCCCTGTTGGGTGAGTGTCTTGCCCTATCGCGTGAGTCTCTCACCTCCAGAGGTGAGAGTTATCGAGCACTCACCCATCTCACCTGCACTTACCCTAGGAGACTTCTTATCGTCACTTCAGAAACTTTAAAGACATAAAGGGCGTCTCAACAATTAACTGTGCGGAATATATGGCTTAAGTACGGCTGAGCGGACGGGAAGCCCTGTTTTCCACACCCTATAGTCGTATGTGCTAGAAATTACTTCAATTGGCCTCATATACTAACTAGATGTTATTTTCATTTTGAATTTGCCCGAGGGTTAAGATCTCCAAGGACAAGACTCAAATTTGGAGAATGGCTTGTGACTCAGTTGCGCAAATATTGAATGTGCGGAGGATCTGGGCGCGGAATACCTAATCTTAGCAGTGTTTAATCGTCCAACCTAAGAGCATGTTTACCCATTCTCACGAGCAACACGGTAGAACCGACAATCTCGGGCTTGCTAGCACTATCATTGCCACATTACGACTATATCAAAAAATGATAAAGAGAAAGAGTAGGTACACAGGTCACTTTGCCTCTTCCGCCACGTCAAGCGACGCTAAAAACGAGGCGAGCCTGGCGGGGTCATCTGCAACCATGATCGGCCCCAGTCAACTTTGCTCTCAATAATTTCAACTGATACAGTTGGCAATTGCAATCATGTCTCGCGCCCCGGAAAGTGTGTTGGCCTATTTCAATAAGGTAGAAACTGTATTTCCCTTCACAAAGCTCCTATCTAACAGCAGAATTCTAGAATCCTGGTCGATCAATCCTTGGATATCTAAAGGAGATTATGGCCGAGCCATCAAATGTTGTCTTCACAAGTTCACTGCGTGGACAGGATAACTTCATTGTTCCAGTCGATCAACTCGAATCAGCAATAGATCTCGCCCCAAATCGAATGAGCGGGAATGCTATCTGGCAGATATCCCAATCTACGATTTTGAAAGTTGGCTGGACGGTGAAAATGAGTGAAGCGGAGGCACTAATCCTTCTGGCTACGAAAACAAACATCCCGGTGCCTAAAGTATTCAGCGCATATACGATTGGGGATATAGGTTTCATTCTGATGAGCAAGGTGGAGGGCGAACCACTTGGCTCATCTTGGGATAATATGTCGCACGAAGAGCGCCAATCGATTGCACGCCAACTTAACTCCTACGTTCTAGAATGGCGCAAACTGGGCGCTCCTTTCCTAGGCTCGGTGGATGGTGGGCCTTGTGAGGATATCATCTTCAAACATCCTTGGGACTATACTTCTCTAAAGCGATATGGACCTTTTCAATCGCTAGAAGAGTATAAACTTGGTGTTATTGAAGCACTTCGTTTATCAAGGCCAGATGGAGTCTGGGGTCAAACAGAGGAAGAACTGAAGGAGAAGATTCTATCTTATGACAATCAGCGCTCTGCTGATATAGGAGTTATGACTCACGGCGACCTGCATACAGATAACATTATTATTCAGAATGGGCTGGTCAGTGGAATAGTAGACTGGGGCGAGGCTGGGTACAGTCTTCCAGAGAGGGAATACTTTGCCGCTAAGCGGATTGCTATGGAAGAAAGTTGGATTGAAATAATCCCCTGTTTTATTCCCGCTTTCCCGGAAGAGTACAAATTGTGGGATGAGATTGATCGGTCGATGAGAGTGTACTCTCCTGTATAATATCTATTTGTCATTCAAAGATTCCCAGTCCCTACCCACCTCTCCCTTGATGGCCACTGATTGCTTTCCCACCCTCGATTTCCAGGTTTGTGTTGTACCATCAGGGACCAATTCTTCTACTTCCAATGAAACGAGCGCATCTACTACCCAGTCTTGGCAGTCTTTTGTTCCACCATTTGGTGGCTTCTCGCTCGAGAGTATCGAAGTCACCTTAATCCGCTGTGCATTATCGAGTAGCGCAACCTTGCACAATCCCCACGCGTTCTGGGAGCGTAGGCCATGTCCGGATCGATTCTCGAATATAAACCGGTTGGCAGGAACATCGATCACTCTAACGTGGAGGAGATCTCCATAGAGATTCGGTGGTTGATGGATTACGAATCCCCAGTGGGCGCGCTCGGAGCTCCCCGGACCAAATATCGAAACGGAAAGTTGATAGGTCTTGTTCATGTTTGAAGAATTGAGTAGTTCGTTTGAGGCTCGTTTTCAATGTGTCTGCAACCAAGAAATGAGAACGGACCTAGGGAAATTAATATTAAAAACATGATTTTTACTGAGAGAAACCAACCTTCTATGCAAATGGCGTGCACGTAATTTTTCAGAAGATGAAGCGACGACTGTCCCCTTCTTTTTCAACGAAGTGGATGGCATATATTTATACTACTTGACGAGCAGTAGCTTGCTTTTCGGCCAGGACTATCCTTTAGCATGTAGGGGACCATTCTGCCAATGATAGCAGCTACCTGGGCGTGTTGTTTAGGTGTGCAATGTATGCACACTTTGGAGTGCCACCCTTGTAGCTCCCAAACTCCTGCATTTTGATCCAAGCTATTGAGAGGTATTCAGGGATTGTCAAGATGGCCCGTTTCACGCTTTATTATTGCGCATAACTTGACTGGCTGTGAAGAGATAACCAATATAGCTTTTGGAACAGAGGGCGACTAGACTACAGTACAGCGCTTAGGGGAGATGGGGCATCACAGGCATATTGGAACATCACCCAAGTTCTATTGGCAGCTATGACTTGGGAGTTGAGTTGCCCCCCCGTTAGGTGTTCAGCTAGAGAGTCAACAGCAAATGTACGTTGCTATTTCGATATTATCCGCTTAGTTCAGCGCTTAGGTGTGAAACTCCTATAATAATTTGGATAAAGCCGATGCCATCACAGGGCCTTGGATTAAGTTTCATAAGCTAAAAAGATCGCTAGTAAGCAGATGTAGCATTATTCTTTCCTATCAGAAATCCATGCAAGAGATATTATATCTCAGCTTGCGCTTAGCCAAATACATTAATTCTTGCTGCTCAGATTATGATTTCTATTAGATGGCCTCTCTGAGTGTGTGATAATCAGACATTTTGGGTGAGTGGAGAACTTGAAAGAGCCCTGTGAGTCTAACTTACAGATTCCGTCGTTCTCGGTCGAATCCGCCTTTATCAGAATAATAGGCGTCAGGACGAGTAAGTATGGGCTCGTTTCAGACCACAAGCTTCTTGGGTCCAATTATAAATCGGGTGCATTATCTGCATCAGGTCATATCCTGGTCTTCGTAACCCTACAATTCAGTTTGATTGTGATAACCACTTGATTACTTAAGTAGGCGCTTATATACGAGCGATTATTAGCCAGAACTAGATTTGTGGCTGCCGCCGAGGAGTCGGCGTGTCGCTCTTATTATTATAGCCCACTTATCTATTGGTTTACCGAGCACAGACAGAGTGTGAACAGCGTCAAGGATTTGTGAGCCAGCGAAGATCATTATTGGCTGAACTTTCACGCTGTTATTATTAGTTAGACGAGAATAATTGCTGATTAACAGCCTATTATTAGTTAGCTGTCTTGGGCATCTAAAAATATAAAGACCTATTATTGTTGATAAGCTTTAGGCAGGATATTCCTTAAAGTATTGGATAATGTTATGTGCTACCTCTGTTTATATTATAGTCCGAATTCACAGCATTGTCCTTAATATTTATCGCTGGGGTAAGTATGTTAACCGGGTAGCTAAACGAAGTTGGCAATATCGATCCTGAAACTGACCAGAAGACTAATTAATACAATGACCCTATTGAGGTACTAGGACAAGTAGTAACAGTCCAACCTATAGATATTATTAATGTGTTATCTGAGATATTCATCGCCGCGAAAGGCTTTGGTCTACTAACCTGTCGAGATACTACGACGGTTGAGGAATGGATAGACGAAATTTAGTGATGAGAGATAGTGCAATTACCACGGTGGTAGAGCTTATATTACCAGGGAGCATGTCGTTAGCATCCCATGAGTCTCAATTTCGGCAGCCTGGTCAACGTGACGTCCTTCTGCCTGCCCCAGGTCGCGCCTTCACCTCTGACGCTTTTACCGCCAAGTTAACCTTTATCTCTCAAAACCAAGCTCACTCATCTCTCAAGGCCAAGCTCACTCATCTTTCAAAACTAAGCTCAGATAATACCAAGAGGAGGACTTCTTATTCACGTCACGGAAAGTCGGGGTAGTGGCCGTTCATCTCTCGGGCTCCAGTGTTTCCTCGTCTGTCCAAGACTCCAAAATACCTAGCCATGACAGGTCCAGCAGATATCGAGGAGGGGCTTATTGTCACCCCCCGCGCGTGCAAATCAGAGAAGTCACCTGGGAGTAGTAAGAGAAAGGTCACCCCGTCGTCAGAGTTGTCGTCCCCTAGCAAAAGCTTCATTTTATCTCCTCGTGGCGCTTTCCCTTCAGAGAGGACGGTCCTCCGTCTGGGTGACTCGCCCCTCTTCGAGCCATCGAAGCGTCTTTTCCCATCAGGCGAAGCTTTGATCAGTAAGTTTTCATCAAATTTACCTTTTAAATCATCTACTTATTGTGTCTTAGACGAAAGATCTCCGCTTAAGACGACGCATGCCCACCCTGAGTCGCCAGAGTCGTCGTTACCGGAAATCCAAATTCCCCCGTCTCGCCACCTCATTCTTCCATTCAATCTCCGGCAGAATCGTAAAGCCTTCGCTACCAAGGATTCTGGGCTACTACTCCACCTCTTTCCAGACACAAAAGCGGTGAATTTTGATGGCTATTTCTTAGTGTTTTGGCTCGGTACTTTACCACCGAAGCCCTGGCCAGTTACTATTGCCGGTGTCCAGCCTTACTTCACAATTGATCCGAATGATGATGGCCCAATTCCGCCAATAAAACGCCCGAGCAAATCACGCCTTCGCGTGTCCGCTGAAATCAACGCTGTCAACCTTCCACCCACTAGGATTGACGATGCATTTGAGCTGGTGTTTGACTTTTTCGCAAAATCTGAAACTTCGATTACGGAAGTTCAGTACTGGAACAATTTCTTCGTTATTGTTCTAGAGAATGAGGACACCGATCTGGCTGAAGTTCCTTCTGCCATAGGACGCTGTAATTGTTTCTACCTGTTCGAGAAGGAGATGGGACGTCCAAAGCTGAACGAATTTCCGGCCCGCCGGATCCGTGACCCGACTGGCGATGTCGTCGACGATAGCGAGTATGATATATTGCGTCCTGGTGTCATGTTGAGCTCTGCAAGACATGATACCACTCACGTTGAGTATCGTACCACCTCCGGCGTCCTGGTTGAAGATTGTCTAGGCGAGAGGTATATGACTGTCGCCTCCCATGGTTTCCCAAATGGCGATAAAGTCTTCCATCCGTGCAGCACGGGAAAAGAAGTCGGACAGATTATCATGGAAATTTCGCATACGGACGTCGCCCTCGTCAAACTGCACGACAAGGTCCATTTTGTCAATGAAACTTTCGAGAGTCCACTTGACGGAGCAACACCTACCCAGTTGAAGGAATTCATCCCGGCTGACGAGACACAGATCGGCTCGAAAATCTACATGAACAGCCCTCTCCTTGGTTACTCGGAAGGCACTTGCGGTCCGCATTCGCGGATACGCGTTCCGAGCGATGACCCTTACGAACCAAAGTTTGTATGGGTCAAGGCTCGGTGGCTATATATGGGTCAAGGGTCTGTTGACTACCTGGAGGACGGCATTTGCGGATCCGTTATCTGGAATGACGACGGAAATGTTATCGGATTCTTCCGTTATGCAGCGAGGTCAGGGCACTACCTGGACTGGTGTTTCACTGTCGCATCTGATAATGTCATCGAACGCGGTTATAAGATTGCAGGATAGCTGGGTCCTGTAGAGATGAACTCCGTGGAAATGGACAGGAATTCGGTGATTTTGCTCAGGGTTTTGCGCTAGGGAAAAGGGTGCTCCTACAGTGCTTTGAATAGATGATAGATTAGCTAAGAATACACAGCCGCTATAATTGTCTCTACTTGTTCGAGAAGGAGATGGGACACCCAAAACTGAAAGACAAGAGGGTTTCGTGAAGAGCGCAGCAATGGGCAAAGGCAGCTCCTGAAAAGTTGGGCACATATAGCACTCATTTGATGTCACGAGAGGAAGCGTCCATAACATTGATCATAGAGGGCGGCTACTTGACTGCTTGTACAATACTTAGGAGACATGCGTGGTTCTCATGGCATCTGTTCCCCGGGCCTTCCCAGTTTACTTCAAGTGCGTAGTCGCGCCTGGGTCGCAGCGGCAAAACATCAAGTATTGATGTTGGAGGATTGTTTTGAAGTCTCAACAGCATGCTTAATTAAATCACTTTCAAGGATGTTTGGAGCTCAACTTAAGCTGGGCTAAGTACCTCCCATACTACTACTACTACTACTACTACTACTACTCATAGAAGGGAACACCATAGTAAGATTGGTATATTTCTATATACGGTTAGCTTGGCCGGCCAAGACCGACCCCCGATGTTCCCATAACAAGTGCAACATTGGTCCAGGCATAATATGTCGCATCTTGTTCTTTTCTTTCCTTCGCCTTTGGACTTTTAATAGAGTTTATTTTACCTCTATATAACATTCCTTCCGGCGTTGAGTACATTTCTTTGTCCGGCGTCCCCCCAACGCACCACCTCTAGATCCGTTTCGTTCTGCATCCTTACCCCTGGACTTGTGAGTAACCACACCGGGTATCATCATTTGGGTCCCAATTCACTGTCAATCTGTAGATTAGCTTTAATGCTAACTTTGAGTTCAGCTTTTCTGCAATCTCCCTGGCACTCAACCATTCCCAGAGCATTCCAATAGCATTCCATAACGCTCGGATGGAGTGATGTTACCTCATCGGTGGCTGACCTTGATATCGCGACGTACTGTGTATTCCTTTGCCAGAAAGTCTCTCTGGCAATTGCGGCGTACATCTGAGCCTCCAATTCCTCAGCAGGAACCTGTCGACGAGGAGCTCTGTCCAGGCTACAATTCGGCAAGTTTTTACCCAGCAAATCCTGGGGAAGTACTGGCAGAGAGGTTTCAACTACTTGTCAAAATCGGCTGGGGATCGCAATCTACCGTATGGCTCGCCCGAGACATTTCAAGGTAGCTACCCACGTCCGCATATGTGCTTTCATGCTTCATTCAACTACAGAGAAACTGACCATGGTCCACCCAATTAAGACTTAAATGGCAATCTGAGCGAACAGTGGTTCTCAAAATAATCGACAGTAACAATGCCAATGATGCTCGACATGAGAAGGAGATTGAAAGCCATATCAAACAGCAAAATCCAGAGCACCGTGGCCGCGTGATTCTACGAACATGTCTAGATGACGTCGAAGTAACTGGTCCAGAAGGGAAGCACATGTGCCTCGTGTACGAACCGATGAGAGAGCCTCTGTGGATGTTCCAAAGGCGTTTCGTTGATCGCAAGATTCCCTTGCCCATTGCGAAGGTCTACATCTACTTCTGCCTTGTTGGTCTTGATTATCTTCACTCAGAATGCAAAGTTGTTCACAGCGGTAAGTGCTTTTCGCAATTTGACTCTGCCTCAAATATAAATACCTTATCTCCCTTTCAGATCTGAAGCTAGATAACATCCTCATGAGCTTTGAAAACGAAAACGTCCTTACCAACTTCATAATACAACAACAACAAATGCAATACAAGATTGATAGCAAGAGTGGTCGAACTATCTACCGCTGCCATAATGATTTCGGCGCTCTTGACGGGCGAGATATCAAGAATATGATTCCCAAAATAGCCGATTTCGGGCTCGCAACAAGGCTCGACAAGCCACATACTCGAGATGGGATGGTAGGAAAGCAACTTGGTGTTTATCCTATCCAACCAGACCCCTACCGCGCTCCAGAGGTAATCCTTGGCTGTGGTTGGGATTTCAAGGCAGATATATGGAATTTTGGTGTGTTGGTCAGTCCCCTGCGACTGTCTATTTCCCTATTGGTTACAACCGCTGGCTTGGCCTTGATACTAACAAGCCTGTTCGGCAAGTTGTGGAATATCCTTGGGAGCAAGGAGTTGTTCCAACAGGTACATAATGCAGACGGCACATACGACGCAAAGTCACACCTCGCAGAAATGATTGCTCTACTTGGCCCGCCCCCCAAGGTATTGCTTGCGAAATCAAAGACTATGTCAGAGCAAAAGTGGCCCCAGCCTGTTGCAAACGACACTGGCAAACTCTGCAACAGTGCTCGGGAATTCTTTGACGGCCCTTTTTTTGATGCAGAAGGTAAGTTGGCCAACCATTTCATATGTAAATACCTGATGTACTGACTATTTTAGATGAATTCCGCTATACTGGATTGATCCCGTCCCGAAGCTTAGAGGATACTACTTCATTCCTCGAACAGAAAGATCAAGAGGCATTTTTATCTTTTGTTCGACAAATGCTCAACTGGGTCCCGGAGAAGAGGGGAACAGCTCGTGAACTCATGGATCATCCGTTTCTCAAACTTGGGGGTTGATCAACTACGCAGCTCACTTCGAATAATGAACATGGTATTTGCCATTACCTACGATGCGGTCGGCTCCAATCGAGAGCACGTTTGAAAAGTAACTTCGAAGACCCTCCTCGATGGTCCAAGCCAGCATATATATCCAGTTTTATACTTTAAAGGAACTGCTCGGCTAAACAGATGAGCTAATAGGTATTTTAAAATTAAAGATCGAATTCAAATGGGGAATTGGAGCTGCTGAGCTGAGCTGACGAGCTGACGATGTGTTTCGGGCCCGACATCGTTAAGCGACTGGGATAAATGCGTCTAAGTAACCCGTCGTTCGCGCACTCACCCTAACTCAGAGCCTCGTCGTGCCACCCGAGAAACACCACAGAGAAGCTCCGTTGAGATTGAATGCCGCCAGAAGGTGGTGGGTGCCATGCGGGCGAGCTAAGTAGAGGTTACAGTTAACTCTACGCCATACTAAGATAGCAGTGCGTGTGACGGCGCCATATAATCCATATAATCCATGTATGGTAATATCACTACACTGGAATGCTGGTCTAGTTCTCAGATCTCAGATATTACATAGAGGGGTTGAGATAAGAGTAAATATGCCCTCAACACTTGCATCTCGCGTGCGATCGTCGGGACGCACTCTTACATGCACAAGAGGAAAGTACACATTTTGACATACGGAAAGCGAGAATTTTAGTATAACAGTTGCGCAGAGTTAAGAGTACTTGATAAGTTTATGAGGAAGTAACCGAAGAAAGAAAACGCCAATAACCTATACATTTACTAGCTGAAACTCCGGAACAACCTTCTCATTCTTGCAATTAAGAATCTGAACGCGAGAGTAATTATCTGTGAACACAACTCTCCACAACTTTTGCTGCTTTGGATCTGGAGCAGAGCATTAACATTGATCGTCAATGGAATCATAATGAGAAGGAAGTATCTTACAAATCGTACGAGGGTAAGTGTGTCTGCAATCGAGTATCAGCCAATCTTTGAGCTTGTCGTTCTGTATCCACGGATAATAGGTCCCATTCGGATCGAATCGGTCGCAGTGTTGTCCTATTCGATCTCCGTCCTTTAGCAATTCAAATCCCCATCCTGGTTCCTGGAGATGGAAGTCGATTCGTCCCTTGCCAGTACCAGACCATTCACTTGAAACGCCAATACCTGGTCCGAGTACGCTCCAAAAGCATCTGTAAAACTCGTCCTGAAAACAGGCCTCTGGGGGCCACCCCATCTCACCTGCACCCATGCTAAGAGACTTCTCACCATTACTCCATCAGAAGCCTTAGATACAAAGAAGGCTTCTCAACAATTAACTGTGTGGAATGTGTGGCTTAAGTACGGCTGAACGGACGGGAAGCCCTGTTTTCCACACCCAATGGTCGTGTGTGCTGATAGAATAGAAAAACAGGAATATATGCAGATATCAGACAGATTAGATCTGCGAGTATCAAGAGAACCAAGCATAGATATGTCATATAGTTTATTGCATATAGAACCTAAGGTAAAACAGGAAGACAGCCTCGCAGGAAAAACTTCTTCTATACTCAAAAATGCACTATGACTTGAGTTAGTCTGATGCAGGAAAAAATGCAAGTATATAGCGGAATATATATATGTATATTCGACTTCAGATGGCTGATTTGACGGCTCAGGAAAGTCCCACGACTTCGTAGTTGTAGTTGCATACGGAGCCGGTCGATTGCGGCTGAACGTCCTTTGTCCCTACAGCAGATGCAATAGTTGTGCCACTTGCGTCGACGACCTCAGCTCTCTGGTTCCCGCCAGCCTGCAGACCGGGGACAGACTGGGCGTTCAGGCCGGGGAGACCGGAGTAAGAGCCGATTTGATTGTTGTTGCTGTATACGTTAATCGTGACTCCAGAGGTATCTGCTGGAAGAATAATAGCAAAGTTCATAGCGTCGTCGGCATTCTGGGAACCAGATATCGTAGAGGAGCAGCTCGCAGACGTCAGAAGCGTACGATACCAGATTGCTCCAACAGCATTTGCTCCAGATGGCGGTAATATGCTCGATGTATCCGTCACACCGGCTTTGTATGCCGTGATGAAAGGGCCGAGTACCTGGAGCCAGCCCTTGTGGTCAAATCCATTGGCATATGCTCCAATGTCGCTCCCAGCGATCTGTTCGGGCCAGAAATCCCCGACATAGTGGCTCTCTCCAGCATCATTCCATGTGACTACTTCCACAAAGTCAGGCTGGAGCTGCAGAATCTGGCCCATGCGCTGTGCGAAGTTCAGTTCTCCTCTTCGATACCACTGTTGCCCCGGACCGAGATACTTGAACTGGAACGTGGACAGGGCTGAATGCATTTCCCGGTCAGATAAGTCCCGATGATATTTGGTACTTCAGGGTAAGAGAGAACTGACGCATCATGTAGACTTTACTCGCGGAGTGAGCGTCATGCAGCAATGTTGCATCCACCGCATCACTGACATTTGCCTTTCCCTCACTCACCTGAGGCCAGGCGGTTTCCCAGCTGAAAGCTCCATCCACGACTGGGAACGCGCTAAAGAACCCGTTCGGATAGCCACTCCAGTCGTCAAAATCAGGAACAAAGAAGGGACTTATTCCCATACCCTCGAGAGGTCGTCTGAACGCAGCCTCCCATCCGTCACCGGGGGTAGTGTTACCGAACGTGAGAGTTCCTCCGTCGTAAGTACTTACAAACGGCTTACCATTTTGGAGATAATAGGCAGAGTTAGTATGATATTCACCGATCAAGGGGAGGAACTGTGACGGATCGTTGAAGTGGGTCATGTCGAAGGAGAAAAACAGTTTGAATCCGGAGGACGAATTTGCAGCGACGAATAGATCATCTATGGCAGAGGTGGACCAAGGATCTGTGCTCATGACATTCAGCGCAAAGCCATCAATTCCAGCATTACTAGCGTCGTTGACATCGGTCACTGCTTCGCTCGAGGTCATACTGCCAACCTGGTTCGGTTTTCTTACGGTCAGTTATTACCCTCACCCATGATTGAGAGATCCAAGAAAAGGTATGCATTCTACCATATAATGAGCGAACACTTTCTTCCCCATAGTGGTGTCTTGAGCGGCGGCATGAGCCCCCAAGAGTAGTAACGCCCTGGTAATAGTCGTAGTCAACGGCATTATTGCTCCCTAACACAAGATGAGATAGTCATATCCACATTGTAAAAGGGGCTACGGTTCCTGAATTTAACTATTCGAGTGTGGCACATTGTGTATCAATGACGTTCCAATGGATGTGGCCAGAGGTTGTGGCCAGAGGTTGTGTAACTCTATTTACTCCTATTTTTTTCGCCGTTACCAGAATCCGGTGGCGCGTTTGAATCATTTCCGCCTCCTCCCAGCTAAGATGGGATTTAATCCTCTGCGTTGGATACTATTTGCGGCTACCAATAACACTCAGTGACCATTAAGAAGACACACCAGGGGGGAAGGAGGGGGGAGTAGAAAAGGGGTTGTTCTGTATGGGATCTGTCTCCTGGATTAGCATCTATGGCCATTTGCTTTGATCAAGGGGCATAGAAGGTGGAGGAAATGATAAAGACAAAGTCTCTCTTCTATGGGCTATTGCTACGGTTATAATACGCGCACGAGGTAAGGGAAGTGATTTGAACATGAGAACGAACAGTACGATCTTGCTGAGCATCATGTTTTAATTATATATATCCCTCGCCGGTAACCGGAAAAAGAGCCAGAGAACCCATGAAGATGTTATATATGCACGGCATCGAATTATCTCCTCTCCACAGGGAAAGAAAGCTACTCACATTGCTCATCTCAGACAGCCCACCCGAGTGTCGCTATGGAATAGTTTACTAACATCGATCGATCGATTGATACAGATCTACTTGCCTGAAAGTTGTCCGTTTGCCTTTACAATCACAAGAAGCGACTTCGCACTCAACAGCTGCCCGGATAGCTCAGTCGGTAGAGCGTGGGACTTTTACGCTAACCTCATCAGGAAATCCTGATTAGCGGGTTCTACAGGGTAAATCCTAAGGCCGCGGGTTCGAGCCCCGCTTCGGGCGGTTCTTTTTTTGCCAACATTTTTTGTTCTCCCACAACTACCTGGCATCATTGTTTGTGTTTTTATTCTCTGTCCCGACCACTGAATGAATATCGGTCGTTCTGAACCGATACTCTGGTATCAATGAAACATCTGGTAGCAACGTGTTGGAAAAAATTGACGGTAAAATAGTCTGGTTTGCCAAACTTCTTACGCTTACCAGCCACAACTACAGAGTACAGGACTACGTATTAAATTATGCGCGAAAAAAAAAAAAGGATAGTAAAAGAGTTATCCGGAACAATTCCAGACCATATTCCATTTAGAAAAGCAGATATACTTGTTGCAGAGGGCTTGTGGATACACATAACGCGTGAGTCCCGGAAAGACAACACTCGATACTTACTGCAGCGGGAAAGCCACTATCTATCACAAGGCCGAGAGCAGACGATATTCCTAATCAATATTCCACATAACAAATAAACAACCAGGGGATCTCATGTAAAATACCAACTCCATGGCGTCAACGCCAAGATTTACTATATAGTTCACATTCAAGCAAATACCAACAACACAATCTAGGCCAAGGATTGACGTCACAGCTACGCCAAGTTACTACGGCTATTCCTGAAGCCCTAAGTAGAACATCCTTGCAACAAGGACTCTGGTATAACGTCAGTGTCCTACTTAATTGAATTATTAAGAATTTGCATTATATATAGTCTCTTCGGACTGTGCACCCTCTAATCTCCGTCAAACAGATTATCCGTCTTATCAGGAACCGAATTTCTCCGTACCAAACAACCATGTCGACGACCATCAACACCAGTGCGGGAACCAAGCCCGTAGACCCCTACAAGGCCAAGAGCTTCGAGGACCCTCCGTTGCCTCAGAAGGTTGAGGATCTCGCCAAGTTCATTAAGGAGGTCAAGTATGGCATGTTGACGACGAAGTTGTCATCTGATTCGGAGCTGCTCACATCGCGATGTATGGCATTGGCTGGCCAGGTGCGTATATTCCATGCTGTTGTTATATCTCAATTTCCCCAAAGCATGAGCTAATATAGACGTGAAATTTCAGGAGAACGGCGGCGTCGACCTTATCTTCCACACGAATCTCTTCTCTGGCAAGACCATGGACCTGACGGTCCACCCACAAGAGACTAATGTCTCCTTCCTCGATCCGGTATCTGGTGCGTGGGCATCTGTGTCTGGTACAGCCTCGATTATAGCAGACCAGAACACCATCAGTAAATACTACTCTCCTCAGCTGAAAGCATGGCTTGGGGACCTTGGCGATGGCGTGCATGACGGAGGCCCTACTGATCCCCGCATCGGTGTTATCAAGGTCGAGGCCAAGCTGGCGACCTATATGCACCCTGACAAAGGTGCCCTTGGAAGGGCCGTGGAAACCGTGAAGGGGGCAGCCAGTGGAGAGACCCCGTCGTATAACAAGCTGCGGGAGCTCAGCCAGGAAGAATTGGCTGAATGTAAGTGCACCATACTTGGCGGAGATCCTACGAAGCGTCAGTAAAGGTACTAATGGGAATTCGCAATAGGGCGTCGCACTCACAAGAACTGAGTTACTCTGAGCAGTAACGTGTTTACTGAGACGTGATATGATAATGACGTCATATCAAATGGTTACGATATCCTGTACAATATAAATGATTCGTTCGAGAAGCTAGGTGCAGATCTCAACGGAATTTGAATAACTGCTTGTCTGGAAAACACCAGTCTGTATCATTGATACAAATACATAATGGAATGACATTCTCAGAAAAGAAACCCATAAAATCGTTTGTAGCCGTTACTCCAATGTGTGCCCTTCCGCGCGCTGGAACTCCTCAAGAAGCATTGATTCCCACCTGCTGTAATTGAAATATTGCTAAACCTAGCCGATTGAAGTTCGCTTCCCGAAGGTATCACGTTGATCCATATTCACCCTAAACTCCTCAAAAATGGCACAAAGTCGAGAGAGATACTCGAGAAATATCGAGGGACCCAGCCTAAGCTGTCTCTACGTAGAGATGTAAAATAAGACAGCAGCGCTCTCTGCTGAATTTAGATCTAGATAGCACATCAGCACTGGAACCCTGCAAATCGGGAAAGGATTTTTCTTACCAGCCTTATCGGGGTACGTGATGGCGCACGTCCGTTGTGAAGCAGCAGCGCAACGGCTCTGTTCGGGGTTGCCTGCAATTTGCGATACGCCTCGCGGATATGTTTCGGTTCAATAGGCGTACGTCCTTCCTCTGGCGGATCAAACAGGCCAGTCTCACGCTTGCGCTTTTTGTTCTCGCCACCATTTTCGGCACCTCCGCGGCCTTTCTTTTCGCGGTCCTCGCGTTCCTTCACCTTCAGCGCTTCTTCGGTCAAAGTCTGTACGATTTCGAAGGTGAGGAAGCCGAGAATATCGACGATGTCGTCGTTAGGCTTCGATTCAGTGACAATACCGAAGCCAGCCCACTCCCTGAAGCGCTTTCCCTTGCGGAAAGTGAACGAAGCCTGACGGCAGTCGGACCAGAAGACATATTCTTCTTTGGTCATATTCTTAGTCCTTTCATCGGCAGTGGCGAGACGCTGGAGCGTAGCATAGTTCTGCTCCTCCTCCTCTTCATCTTCCTCATCATCTCTCTCCGGAACCTGAACGGAATAGAAGCTATTGACATCCCAGGGCAAGCCGACTTTAGCGCGTTTGTTTTTGGGTTTCGCCGCGACATCCTGAGGACCAGCGACCCCAGCTCCGGCAAGGGGATCATCGGCACCAGCAAAGTCAGCAGCGTCGGCACCTCCTTTGTCATCGGAGTCCTTCACGTTCTTGCGCACATCCTTCCAGGAAAGGAAGGTCTTCAGACGAGAGACTTTAGCCTTGTCGTGACGGATCAAGAAGATGAGATCATCGGTGGAGATCGAGCGGACACCACGGCGAGTAGCTAGAGCAGTACTGCGAGAAAGCTATGTCCAAGTCAGCGGAGATATTCGAATGTTATTGTAGGTGAAGATGAGACAGGGTACTAACCATTTCGATGACCTGCTGACGCACTATGTCTTCAATGAGGGTGGTTGTTTCTATGGACGGTTCTGCTGTCTCGCCGGAGACAAACATCATCTGTTTGATGGCGTCAGTAAGTCGAGCCTCGAAGTCTCTCATTGTCTCTGCATCTTCTGCGTTTTCTGGGGATTCTAGGTCCTCGTCCTGGTCCCAGGCGCTCTCTTCAACTGATGCAGCTTCCACTGTTTCTTGAGAAGAGCCTATAGAGCTGGTAATGTCCGTAATGTCTTGCTCATGAACTGTATTCTCAATAGTGGACCAGTGATGGCAGTCTTCCGCAACAACCAGTATTGCTGTAGGTCCCTGCGCACTTGGAACGGTCTCCAGGCGCAGAAAAGGAAGAGGGTGCCTGAGATCATAATAAAGAGGCAGGCTAGTAAAAGCCATGACTGAAAGGAGATAGGACAAACAAGAGGGAGGCTGAGGATGTCTCAAGTGCACGAAACACAAAGATAGGCGAACTTGTAGGATCCATTGTACAATAGAAATGAGACAGCAAGAACAGAATGAAACAGTCGTGAACTGTAACCATAATCCCATATAGGAACACAACATGAGGATAAATGATACTCCGAATATTCATTCACAGCATTCGGATATAAGATGTGTTATCAGAGACATCAAAACGGAAATAGCTCCGCGCTAGAAGAAACTGCTTGAATATAGAAGCCAGGATGTTTCTGCTCGGAGACAACAAGCCACACTCATCTTTCAGAGAGCATACTGATGCCAGGAGGACCTTGAACCCAGGGACGCGCAAGAAGACGACGAGATCTATATGAGGACGGTGAGTAAGGAGAGCTTACCTGTTGAATCTCCTGGCGGTATTTCGGAGAACGTTCCGCCATGGTGATAACGAGGGCTAAGCGATAATCCTGAGAAAGTCTCCAGACAGTTCTTCTTGGTAGATAAGAAAAGTTGACATTAGCCAGAACAACGAGCGCGTTCTGGAGGTTAGATGTTAGATGTGAATGCGGAAAGGGAGCGCGCCCTGGTCAGCTGGTCGGATATTCTGTTTCTCCACTGCCGATCCCCGCCGCATATCTAAAACTTCAAATTATCTATCTCGCAGGTTACCCCGCCATATACTTGCAAATTGAAATACAGTCAACATGCTTTATCTCGTTGGTCTTGGTCTCGCTGATGAGACTGATATTACAGTCAAGGGACTGGAGATCGTCAAGAAAGCCGAGAGGGTGTACCTTGAAGCCTACACTAGTATTCTTCTAGTCGATAAAGAAAAGCTAGTGAGTGATTTCCCAGACATTTGAAGCCCTCAATCATTGAGAAAGAAATAGTAGTTCATCGTACTAATCAAGGCTGGGACTCACTAGTAGGAAGCTTTCTATGGACGCCCTGTCATTGTAGCCGACCGAGAGTTGGTCGAATCTGGTAGCGATGAGATCCTTGAAGGAGCCGACAAGGTAGATGTTGCATTCCTTGTCGTCGGAGATCCATTCGGGTATGTGGGATTTCTAGTGATCTGAAAATTTTGGAAACTAATTGATCGGAAGCGCCACAACCCATACAGACCTTGTCCTCCGTGCCCGCGAAATTGGTATCCAGACCAAGACCGTTCCTAATGCGTCCATCATGTCGGGAATTGGCTGCACTGGCCTTCAGCTTTACAATTTCGGACAAACAGTGAGCATGGTGTTCTTCACGGAAACATGGAAACCATCATCGTTCTACGACAGGATTAAGGAGAACGTGCAGATTGGCCTACACACGTTGGTGCTGTTGGACATCAAGGTCAAGGAACAATCCTTGGAGGATATGGCTAGGGGGCGAAAGGTTTTCCAGCCGCCCCGTTATATGACTGTAGCGCAGTGCGCTTCCCAGATGCTTGAAGTCGAGGAAGAGCGGAAGGAGGGTGTATATGGGCCAGACAGCCTCGCAGTGGGCTGTGCAAGAGTAGGCGCAGCAGACCAGAAGCTGGCCGCAGGCACTCTGAAGGAATTAACCGAGGTTGACCTGGGGAGACCATTGCACAGCTTGGTCCTTCTGGGGAAGAGAACTCATGATCTGGAGAGAGATTATATCAGGGAGTTCGCTGTGGATCAAGCGTCATTCGATGCCAACTGGAAGAAGACGTACGGCGAAACGTCATGATTTAAAAGAAAACTGCCAGGATTATTCTATATCTGATAGGCAATAGATGCAATTGAACTATGATGAACCCAGTACGCATGCAGAACTTGCAGAGTGGTAGGATCTGAATATGAAGTTGCGTACAATACGATCTTATCTCATACCGAACACTGATTTGTGGATATCAATCACGTGATGGTTCGTGCTAATCACAGCTGAGCTCCGAGTAACCACCGTGCGTAGAGCATCCCCATGGGGCCGCAGAGATTCAGCTACACACGAGCAGCAGAGCAATTGTTCCATACCCACAGCCAAACAGGCCCAGTCAGCGAGCATCACGAATTGACTGACCTGAGGCGTCAATCGGAGCGGTTATAGCCCTCCTATTCTCAACGAGCACAGCGGAGCAGCAATACTTCATCCTAGCTTGCACGACACACTACTACCCTTTCGAGCGCTCTACAAAATGCCCGTCTACATACTCCACGGCTTTCGCTGGCCCCGCGATGGCTTTATGGGAATCCGAGTTTTTATTGTCCTTCACAATGTCGAGGAAGCGGCCGCAGAGTACCTTCAACAACCAGTCACATCCCGCGAGCTTCTCAAGACATTCCAAAGAATAGAACCGGACATTATGGCCAGGATACCCGAAATTCATTTCATAGAACAATACGACCCCGATGACCTCGAAGGCGTTAGTCAACCGTACGCGTATGTTGCAGACAAAGTGATCACGTTACCGGACAAGACGATGCCAGAGAATGGATTGAGCAGAAATGTTGAGGAGATCCTTAAACTAGGCTCTGAACTGTCAGAAGAAAGCTCGCAAGCGCTAGAAGAGCTTAGGGCCAAATACGCAGAGAATGAGAAAATCGGCTGGTGGGTCGTCTACAACGGCGATCCTGACCGAGCCTTTGACGAGGACGAGGAAACCGAAGAGGAGGAAGAAGAGGAGGGGGAGGAGGAGGCAGCCTCAATTGATAGCAGACCTCGTACGGCCGCATCCATGATTTCTAGGCCCCGTACAGCTGGGAGCATTTTCAGACGGGAGCCGCGAGAGGAGAAAGTACCGGTGAGTTGTGTTCACTGAATGAAGTATGAGGGGAAACCGAGCGACTGACCAATTTCAACAGCCAGTGCCTCCGCTTCCAAAAGAAAAGCTGCGACACAGACTTTTTGGTAGAAAGGGCGCCTGAAATTAGCCATTGGCTGGACGAGCTGTACGTCTCGGGCTTGCATATTTTCTGGTTCGAGCTTCCTCTCGATACACGGTCTTATCAGCTGGCAATCGATTGAGCGGCGGACTAATTTCGGGTCTATATAATATTTTGTTTTTTTTGGAAAAATTGACGCTTCTCAGAGCACCTCTCTGAGGGCACGTACATATGTTAGTACATATGTTGGATTCATCGGCGATGGTTATGTTGATAATGTCTCTCTTTTCTAATGTATAATAATCGCTAGCATGACGTTTACAAAGCATCTGAAAGCATTCCAGCGGAGTACCAGGCCTCAACTATTTACCAGAATTCATCAGTCAAAGAAAGATCATGTGTATCTTCATCAAGAGTTAACTACATAGTTAACCCGGTGGACTAATACCATAAGCGGTCGGATCACATGCGAGGCGGTGAGACGCGGCAATATCGGATCTGGCCATGATCTCTCCGAAGCGTTGCGGAGTGCAAGAACCAGCGAAGCTTCAAGAGCTATCGCGATCTCTGCTTTTTCTTTAAAAGACCCACCAAATCCGGGATCTTCGCGGATCCCGTAGGATCTATTCGGGCGGGATGGTGCTCTCTTTTATTCTGATACAGAACCGCCAGTGAGTCGCAGTTGGGACCCCTGACAGTTCCCCGTTCCGGGACATTGCTAATCGTTGAGCGACACAGAGGCAAGACGCGCCTGGCGAAGTGGTATGCGTCTTACACAGTAAGTCGACTACGAGACTCCCGATGATGGTGATGGGCGAGTACTGACTCTCAGGTATAGGATGAAGAGAAAGTGAAACTGAAAGGCGAGGTCCGAAACCACCATCCGCATCCTTCCTAGATTACTTCGACGTCAGTCGGACGATATTGACCATTTTCCAGGTCCATCGCCTCGTCGCACCTAGAGACCAGAAATACCAGTCCAACTTCGTGGAGTTCAAGCGCAGCACAAAGATTGTTTATCGGCGGTATGCGGGTCTGTTCTTTTGTGTATGCGTCGATGCAAACGACAACGAGCTGGCATATCTTGAGGCGATACATTTCTTCGTGGAGGTGCTCGATCAGTTCTTTGGAAACGTGTGCGAGCTGGATTTAGTCTTCAACTTCTACAAGGTACGCTTGTCGTGTCTGGCGGGATGGAGGGAGCAAGTTGGTGGGGATAATTGCACGATGCTAATGGTGCTATTGAGCAGGTCTATGCTATTCTTGACGAAGTCTTCCTTGCTGGCGAAATTGAAGAGACAAGCAAGCAAGTCGTGTTAACCAGGCTCGAGCACTTGGATAAGTTGGAGTGAAGTCAGGTAGAGGTTGGGAGCTTTCTGCACCACCGGGCGTCTTGCTAGTTCTTATGCATTTTGTGGATATCCCATTTTCTGGAGTTGGAGGATTATTGCCGTTATTATGATATCACTATAAGTGTATTCGAGCACCACTGCATATATTCGATGCTTTTCTCTTTCGGGATCATGTCTTCTCCTTTAGCCTTGGCTTTTGAAGTCCCCTTGAGCGCCGCAGCTATTTGGTGCCTTTGTCAGATCAACGGGCGCAGGTACCAGGGAGATGGCTCTTGGCATGGAACTCGAAAATATGATTGACAAGCTGGCGCGGAAAACCATTCCTGCAAAGAGCTGCAAGCCAGGGTCGAAATAAGCTCAATTTAAGATGAACAGCTTGATCAGACAACGCAGTTGCATGGCATTGGTGGCCGTCCGACTGTGGTGGGCAAGTCTTTCACCAAAATGGAAGTGCCCGCGATGATGTGATCCTGGTTGCCGTTGAGCTCATGGCCGTGTGAGGAAGGATGGGCGCTGGCTTCTTGGCACCCAAGCAGATATATAAGATGAGGATAACATCCTCTGTGAGATGGATTCGGATTGTTAAATGCGCCCCTTAGCTTGTTCTCTGGCCGTGAGAAAACGCTTTCTTTGCTGATATTTCGATCTATTGAGGCTCGATAGATGGCAGCACTACTGACCACGTGATGGACGCTCTTACTAATCATGCTCAATCAAGGGACGAATAGGCTCTCTGCCACTAGCATGGGCAACTCGTCTACTTCCCCATATTTCGCCCGAGGAGATGGCCCTTTTTTAACACGGTGAAACGAAGGGTCCGATCGCATTATCAGGAGGGCTCGGCCTGCTGGAGAGAGTTTGGCTCTCCCGTCCACTGGATCCATTGCGGTGCCGGCGAAAGAAAAAAGAAATGATACAGTATGGTATGGATTCATCATGGAGATCCAGGGGATGGGATGGAGATTCAGGGAAAAAAAGCGACAACGCTGCCCGTTTCACGCTAAAGTCCACGTTCCGCGCAGCGCTGGCCAATGAGGCGACGGCCCACCGCCAAGCGAGCTCGATCGACGACGCCCGTTCTGCGCTGGGATGTCTATCTTCAATGTGCATACGCGGCTTGATGGGGCCCTGCCACAGTGCCACGTACGGTGCTTATTATTCCGTATCTATGGTACACGACCGTACGGGAGTACGTCGCCATGCGCGCGGCCCGCTATCAATCTATGGTAGGCTTGCACTGGGCAAATCTGCTATTATGGTTATGGTATGGATGGATCTTTTCAGGGCCACACAGGGAGTTTTTCGATGCTGGCAGGCTGGTAGGCTGGTAACTAACTCACCATTATTATTATTGATTGTTACCAATTGTTACCACCGGCCTGGCTAGCCTCCTGAATTCTTGTGCATCCAGCCGTTTACACTCGCTCAAAGGGGCTCCCCTGACTCCTGAGTATCACTTCCGTGACGTCGTCGATGCCAAGCCGCAATCTGTTTTACTGCAGTGGATGGGCCCCGCTATGATCGAGAAAAGGGTTCCTCATCATTGTATTATTATTGGAAAATGGAAAGGATAGGCGCCGTTGCCACCTTGTGGTCGCCGGGGACAGATGCTACGTAACGCGGGTATCTCGTTACGATACAGCTGTTATCCGTACCCAAGGTGTATTCATTTATTTCCTGCCAGGAAGCTGCTGCTTCGCTTGAACTCTTTAAACCAGAGCTCTCTTTCATCTTCTCCCATTTAACAATCGAGATCCAGTCTCTCGTTGCTCTTCCCTTTTCCTGTTCTGCATCCTCTCGTTCGCAGTTAGTGATTCAATTGCATTCTGATCCTAAAATCCCCGGCGTCCACTATGTCTCTGATCCACGCGGACAACCTCTCTCCCCAGCCATGGACCGACATCTTTACAGATGACACTTGTATCGACCGGCGCAAGTGCCATCGAACGGTGCCCATGAAGGTCCTGGGCCTTGGTGTTGGACGAACTGGCACTGCTTGTATGTACTTGGATCTGCGGGGTAGACAGGTTGATCCGTATACTGACTCGAAGAACCAGCGCTGCGTCAGGCGCTGCAGAGGCTCGGATATGTCAACACCTACCACATGATGTGCGCCAGTGTTGAGAACCCTCCGGACTGCTTGATGTGGCATGATGCTTTGGCCGCCAAGTACGATGGAGTGGGCGAGTTTGGCAGAAAGGAATGGGACCAGCTGCTTGGTGACTGCCAGGTAATTCAATGCCATAAATAATATACACAAACAAAGAGCGTCTTTGGCTAACGAATACAATTTCTAGGCGGTCTGTGACTGGCCTGCTTGCGCCTTTGCAAAGGAACTCATCGAGGCCTACCCCAATGCTAAGGTTATTCTGACTACCAGAGATGTGGACTCGTGGCATGCGTATGTTGATCTCCCCAAGGTATCTTGTTTACTATATCTAGATACTGACATATGGGTACACAGATCTGTGATGAAGACTGTCTACTGGAGAGCCACTGATCCTGAGCACCGGTTCGCCTCGCACATCAGCTGGGCGGCTAGCATGTACTATCCCATGCTGACCAAGTTTTTCGAAACCTTCTTCCGGGGTGACTTCCCCAACAAGGGCAAGCAGGTTTACCTGGACCACGTCGCTGAAGTGCGCAGCCTGGTGCCTCCCGAGAGACTGCTGGAGTACAACATCAACGACGGATGGGGCCCGCTCTGCGAGTTCCTCGGGGAGGAAGTGCCGGACACTCCCTTCCCTCGTGGAAACGACATGAGCAACTTCTACACCCGATGCCGCACCCGCAACCGCCGACAGATGATGAACGCCGCCCTGCAGGCTGTTGTCAACGGAACTGCTGTTCTGGCTGCCGGGGCCGCGGTGGCCTTTGCCTACAAGCGCTTCTTCCGTGCTTAAACCGCGTTTTCCCTGGAATTTCTTAATCAGTACTGCACTGTACACCAATGATGCGCAGGCGCCTCTTGATTGGTCCGCAAATTCGTTCGTTTGGAGATATGCGACTCGCTACTTCGGACGGCTTCACGTCGCGCAGCTTCCAGCTATGCGGGAGATGCATAATAATTTCTTGTCGGTTTTTAAAATTAGGGGGACAGAAGGGCTGTGCCGGTATGGTTCATGGGATGGGCGCATCTATCCTCGGGGCGTTTAGGGATTTACTCTCTTTTCTTTTTTCTTTATGGGCGGTTCTACTTGGTTGTCTCTACGTAGACAGGTACAAATTCGATGTATTCAAGATAGTTTCTATTTTTGTAGTAAGCATCAAGAAATTTACATTTCCTTGTGTATATGAGCTCCATTTGATTCCGTCATGTTTCACGCAGAGTCCAGTGCAAATGCATTCTTCTGTGCGGGGTAGGACTGTATCTGATCGACGTCCTTTTACCATACTACATAGTTACAAAATTTCCTTGAAATCGATTCCCATCCTCTACATGGTTGCATAGTCTAAGTTCTCTCTCGGTTAGTAATTATTAATTACTAACTACAAACAGCCGATCTGTCTATCCATCCAGCAGACCTCAGTTTGTTGTACATACATACATACATACATACGTTAAGTTACTCCGTAGATTGGTAGATAGTTCGGACCTCCGACCGGACCTCCGTACCACGGACCGCTCTCCTGATTGATTGCAATCCCCAACTTAATAAATTACAGACTGGTACAGATAGATATCTAATCACCAATACGGATAAATTACCATCTAACTAGTTCTACTGTACTGGAGTCAATAATAAAATGTGGAGGGGGCAAAGGAAACAAAACCGCCCACTCTAACATCGTTAGTGTCTTGGCAGAGCGCTCGCCAAGAAAGCGAACAGTCTTCGAGAATCCCCGAGTCGCGCGACACATCCAAGTTTCGTCTATCTATCCGTATCTACCTATCTACCTGTCATGTCAATCTATCGATCTATGTATCTCTAGAATTTACTATTTGCGGACTGAAATTAACCTTAGATAGTCTACCGCTGGGCCTGTGTACCATATGGTATTGAATTTCAATTCCAGCCCTGAGTTCGTCTGACGTGCGTACGTATGTATGTACTTCCGTTGACTAAGTTAACCCTTACACTAGAGTATCATCATGGTACTGAGTACTCTCTCCTGTCAAAAAACGCCTTGCATGCAATGCTCTACATGATGACTGCGTGGCGTTGCGGATGCTTTCGTCATCAAGAATGCTTGGGTTGTTCGGGTGTTTTGGACGAGTATCAAGAGAAGTTGCATGGGAGGTATGGTAGAATCACCAATATTAATGACACTACTAATAGTACTTGATAGGGAGAGAGAGACACAACGAAAGTCAATTTACTACTGGCACAAAAGGATAGTTAATACTGGATGATTTACATACATACCTGATGAGTGGACGTTCCAGAATAATAATAATGCCGCTAACTATATTTTAACCTACTCTAGGAGAGATCGGATCGCCTGCGAATACCTTTGCAGATTATGAAATACGTACGCAGTAACTAGTAGTACTATTTACTTCTAGATGCGTTCCTCCTCGATCGCGGTTCCTTGCCACTGTCGAGGGTCTTTGAGAATAATAAATGGTATACAACTTCCAACATCGGCAGGTTTAAAGTCTGAACAAGACGGCAGAGGCGCCGATCACCGGTCTGGCTAAAAAGCTTGCGTGGACCCTCGCTGGAGCCCGTGGGCGAACAGACCTTAACTCACTAGACTACTCCGTATCAACACGGTGGCGTCTCCCTGTAATCATGAATACGCTGTGTCGTATCGATGTACCGCCCCGGTAATCGAATGCCTGCGTGGCCATCCAGCCATCCGTCGCCATCATCGCATACGCAGTCCGAGTGGCTTGGGGAAAAAGTTATCTATCAAAGCAGATAAGACAGATCGTTCCAAATTACCACGACTGGACTGACCCCGGAACCAGCGTTCATCTGGCAGTGGACAGCGGGACTCTTTTGATGTTTGATCTCTGCTTTTTCCCTTGTTCCCAGAGGAAGTCTAGCCGCTCGAAACGGCGTCTAAACGTCAAGTCAGGAGCTTAGTTAGTATGGTAGCTGCGTTGCCCACCTAAAGCAGCAAAGAACCACCCCTCTGGGCCTCGTCACCCGTCAGGCGTGGGCCGCTCATCCAGTCTGATCCAACATGAAATGAAAGAGGTAGGGGAAAAAGCTCGTACTCTCTAGAGTCCAGCCAGTCCTCGGCCACGCACTTCTGGAGTACACTTTGATCGGGATCTGCGAATAACTCTTATCCCTTGATCCTTCATTTTTGACCATATTTTTTGTTTTGTTCCCTGGATCTGACCGTCTTCTTCTTTTCTCCCTTTTCTTGCTTGTTCCTTGTTGAACCATCATTTCTCAGACGCGGAGTTTAGAGCTCTTCGGAGTTATGCTCGAGGCTCCATGGGCGTGACTATCAGCGGAAGGGATTCCGTTGCTTGGACAGCCTCCCGACTTTCATTCTCTTTTCTAGTAATTCTTTTCCTATTTTTGAATCGAGTCGCTGCTGTCGATAATGTTACAAATCCGATTTCACTCTTTAAGTCGGTACGGTTGAGCCCAGTCCAGTCCAATCCAATCCAGTCCGCTTTAGCGCCGATGCGCGACAGACGTTTTGAGCAGGAAAGATGAAGGGGAAAAAAGAAAGGATATGCTGACTTGATGACTTGCAGAGGCCGGACCTGTATCCTCCCATCCTGACGTTAGAGTTAAGTGTCCAAGAACGGCTGAGCCCTGGATACATCTTCGTCACTCCCTACGAAGCAGATAACCCCGGCCCGTATATCTACGACAACCAGGGTGTACGAGACTCCCATCGTTGAATACTGGTCGATGTTTGAATATACTGACTTCATGACGTAGAACCTAGTATGGAGCGGCTGGGGTTCGTCCGGACCGGGAAATGCCCATGGAATGCACGTGTGCAAGTACAAAGGCAGCGATCACCTATGTTTCTTCCAGGGAAACCAGCAGAAGGGCTATTGCAGAGGACATGGCATCATCATGGATAACCGGTACCGGATCGTGCGATCCGTGCAGGCAGGCGGCGGCATGTCGTCGAGTGACATGCACGAGTTCAAAGTGATCAACAACGGAAAGACGGCGCTGATGACGATCTACCAGCAGCGTCAATGGGACATGAGCGCGTGGAACATCCGAACTGGCGTAGGATGGATCATGGAAAGCATTTTCCAGGAAGTGGACGTCGAAACGAGCGAGGTGATTTTCGAGTGGAGGTCACTGGACCATGTTGACCCGACCTGGAGTTATACCTATCCAGCCGCGACGGACACGTCAGGGACGGGATTGGAGCCGCACTCGCCCTGGGATTATTTCCATATCAACTCGATCGACAAGAACGAGGATGGGGATTACCTGATCTCCTCGCGTCACACGTCATGCATCTATAAGATCTCTGGAAAGGACGGCAAGGTGATCTGGCGGTTGCACGGCGCCAATCCGTCCTTCAAGAGCGTCAACTTCGACTTCTCGCAGCAACATGATGCGCGCTGGCTCGAGGAGAATTCGACGCATACCGTGTTGTCCCTCTACAACAACGGGTACAACGGCTTCAACCAGACGAACGATTATTCGTCCGGCATGATCATTGCCATTGACCATGTGGAAAAGACGGCTACTCTGATCCGGGAGTATGGACCGCCAGGTAACCAGATGATTAGTTCCAGCCAGGGTAACACGCAGGTGCTGCCCAATAAGAACGTGTTCCAGGGCTGGGGTAACAATCCGTTTGTGTCGGAACACAGTGAGAATGGCGAGCTCCTTCTCTGGGGCTATATCGCCAAGGAATGGACGATGAATTATCGTGCATTGAAGTACCAGTGGGATGCAGACCCCACCGATGAACCGGCGCTGTGGGCTTACTCGAAAGCGACTCCCGGGAACAACCAGACCAGCTTTTATGTGAGCTGGAATGGTGCGACCCGCGTCAAGACCTGGAAGTTCTACGGATCGGACCTGCAGGAGGGACCGTTCCAGGTGCTGGCCATGGTCGACAAGAACGGATTTGAAACGTCCTATGCTCATCCCGACTATCATCGATGGTGCTATGTGGAGGCGCTCGACGCAGAGGGCAAGGTGTTGCGACGATCTGGCACGAAGTACACCTTCGTTCCGTCGCCCGAACTGAGCAGCTACTGCGCCGACACGGCGTGCGACAATGCGGCCGCCTTTGGATACCCTGGAGAGGAAGGGGCGGGGGCTATCATTCCGCCCCCGATCAGTCCGCTGGAGGCTGAACCCGAGGGGTCTGTTTCGCCCTCGAGTCCGGAGGAGTCTGGGGAAACGGTGAGCGGAGGAGATCCGGGGGAGGCAGAGGAGCAGGTTGATTCAGATTGGAGACAAGGATCCAGCTCCAGCAGCGACGACAAGGAGGGCCAAGACAGCGGCGAGGTCTTGGCCTCTCTGGCGGACTCTTGGGTCTTGCTTTCTCTGGGCGTTGTCGTCGGGCTGGGAGTGGCCTTTGTGTTTCTCCGGCGGTTTCATCGACGGCATCGATTGACGCGGCTGCGGGATGGATCGGAGGAGTCGCTGGAGGAGATGGAGCGCAAGGCGCGCGATGGCAGTGATGGACGGCCGTGGTGGCACTGGCGACGATGGGCTCTCCCCGCCGAGGGGCCGCAGCGATACTATGCATTATCCGAGTCTGGGCATCATGGCCATGAGCCGTGAAGCTCATAACTCATAGCTCATGGCACATTACGGCGCTTACGGGGGATATGGACTTGTATTCTTGTTTTTTTCATTTTCTTATAATATATACCAATCCATCTGATGAATATTGGATACCCACTCAAAGATGATTTCGGTCGTTTTTCCCCAGAGGATTAACCAATCCATGGGTTGGTTGATATAGTTACATAAATGAACCGACATACCTGGATGCCCATGATGTATAGTTAGTTAGATAACATGATGAATTTCCACTGCCAGAGTCGAGACTCGAGTACATACATAACATGATCGTCCAGCCCTAGATACCGAATGATCCATATCCCCAGCCCGATAGAAACAGGCGGGACCTTACCGAACGATGTTACCGGGCATAGATACCCACTGTGTTCGCCTTGATTGAATTCTCCGCTAGAATGATCATAATAATATCTACCCTGATTATCATTATTATCTAGTCTAGGGAAGGCAAGGCGATTTGCCATTCCCGCCCAGTGCGGAGAGTGACGATCACACAGGAGGTGTTTGGTATCTAACCAGTAGAGTAGAGTAGAGTAGAGGAGAATACCGTCTATCACCATACACTTAGATCTGATGATGATGATGATGATATTAGTATTCTAACTGGTCAACTAACTAGCAACTCCATGTTGTTTTTTATTTTTTGTGCTCGTTCTCGACTTCCCTTTTGAGTGATAACAACCAGTAGATACGATACGATTCTTTCCGCCAGGATGATTGATTACGATCTGATACCATGATCATACCTGGTCTGGTATCTTATCGGAGCTGACGACGATGCCAAGACGCCAAGACGGATCATCCCCTTCTGGCCCCACCGGTAATGGTATGGTAACACTGCCGTGTTTTGTTACGCGCGGTTAACTCCCTCACTAGTTGGTTGGTTGATTAATTAATTAATTAATCAATTAATTATTATTCTGTGCTTCTGGTATTATTAGGGTATTTATATTAATATTAATATTGGTGTATGTATGGTATTACCTAGTTAACAGGTTATCTACTACTACTTATTATTAGTCCCTGCAGGAGTAGAATCGAGTATACGCGTCGTGAACGATCGATCAATCAATCATTCAGGTCTGATTCGAGTGCTTCTAATAATAATAATAATAATAACAATGATCTTGTCTGCATACCATCCATATCCTATCTACAATTAATCAATTCTTACAGGACAGTCGTCTCTATCCAACCATCCCCCCTTTAACCGACCTCTTTTCTTGATTCGACCCGATCCTGACACGCATGCGGATTCGACGCCGTTTCGCATTGTGTTTCTTTTCCTCCCATTCTTTCTCGAGATTCCCTTCTTGCTGACGTCTTGTCCTGACTATCTGCGGACACATCCGACACATCTTACGCAAACCATCCACACAAGCGGGGGGGCGATTCGATAACATCTCTCCATGCCTGCCAAAACTCCAACGGTTCCCTCGGCCGTTCCATCCGCATCTTCTTCTTCTTCTTCTCATCATCATAATCATGCCAAACACACCCGGAGTACTTCCCGGACGACTGCCCACGAGATGCGAATCAGTCACGACTTTGAATCCCAGCGGCGTCGACGAGCTTCCAGCGCTTCTTTGTACGGCCTCAACGAGGACGCTCCCGCTTTGCCGATGAAGAAATCTATGGAATGGCGCCAGCACGCCCGCACCACGTCCCAGTCCCAGGCCCAGATGGAAGCGCTGCAGGAGCAGGAATCGCCCACCACGCAGATGATGCCCAACAACAACATCAACAGCAATAATAATAACAGACCCGCGCCCGTGACATGGATGTCCCTCCCCCGCAAGGGTCAGCTCGCCTTGCTCGGCCTCTGTCGCGTCTTTGACTTCCTGCAGGTCGCATCGCTGCAGGCGTACATGTTCTATCAGCTCAAGTCCTTCGATGAGAACTTGACCGACTCCGACGTCGCGACCCAGGCCGGCATCCTCCAGGGCGCCTTCACCGCCGCCCAGTTCGCGACCGCCATCCCCTGGGGCAGAGTCGCCGACGCCAAATGGGGCGGACGCAAGTTCGTCCTGCTCGTCGGTCTGCTCGGGACCGCCGTGTCATGTCTGGGAGTGGCATTTGCGACGTCGTTCGCGCAGGCCGTGTTCTGGCGTTCGTTTGGCGGTGCCATCAACGGCACCGTGGGCATCATCCGGACCATGATCGCCGAGAACGTCAAGGAGAAGAAGTATCACTCGCGCGCCTTCTTGATCCTCCCGATCGGCTTCAACATCGCCTCGCTCTTTGGTCCCGTCATGGGAGGTCTGCTGGCGGATCCCGTGAGGAGTTATCCCGCGCTGTTGGGAGAGAACTCGCCGATCGGCGGCGCCCACGGAGTCCAGTGGCTCATCAGGTATCCGTATGCGCTGCCGATGTTGATGAACTTTTGCTTCTTGACCTTTTGTGCGATTCTGACGGCCATTGGCCTGGAAGAAGTATGTATCTATGTTTATTATGGAGATCTATGTTTATTATGGGGATCTATTTTTATTATGGAGATCTTCTGCTATACTCTGCAGTCAACATGGCTAACGGTTTGTCTAGACCCTCGATGCGTGTAAGGGAAAGCCCGGTTTGGGTGCCTTTGCGGTCAAGCTCTTCTTCCGCGGAGTCAGGGCGGTCGTTCCGCGCTCGTCTCGCTGGTACTCCAAGCTTCCGTTCCAGGAGCACGAGGAGGAAGGTCTGCTGGCGCGAGAGCCCGTCGACCGCACCGAGAGCTACGAGATGGAAGAAAAGGGCAAGCCCGCGCGGCCGGCTCGCGTGCTGGCTTTCCGGAGGATCTGGACCAAGAATGTGCTGTGCACGCTGTTGGCACAGGCGTTCTTTGATTTCCAGATGGGAGCGTTCAACAACCTGTGGCTCCTCTTCCTCTCGACGCCGCGCTACGACCCGGCCGATCCCACGGCGGCGCCGCAGAAGCTGCCCTTCATCTTCACGGGTGGTCTGGGCATGCCGCCGCAAAGTGTCGGTTTCGCGACCTCCATCGTGGGCATCATCGGCATGGCGCTGCAGTTCACCATTTACCCTACGATCAACGGCCGTCTCGGCACCGTCAAGAGCTACCAATATTTCCTCGCGCTCTTCCCCGTCGCCTACGCCTTTGCCCCGTACCTCTCGCTCGCCCCGTCGAGTAGCCCGCCCCCGAACCAAGCGACCGGCATCTGGGTCTGGCTCACCATCATTGTCGTGCTGTTTATGCAAGTCACCGCGCGGACCTTCACGTTGCCGACCTCCATCATCCTCCTCAACAACTGCTCTCCGCATCCGTCCGTGCTGGGGACGATCCACGGGATCGGACAGTCCGTGTCGTCGGCCTTCCGCACCGTCGGCCCGATCTTTTCGGGGTCATGGTACGGGTATGGGCTGGATGTCGGCGTCGTCGGATTCGCCTGGTGGATGATTGCCTTGGTATCTGTTTTTGGCTGCATTGCCGCCATCTTTGTCTATGAGGGCTCTGGCCATGAAATCCTCCTTCCTGGCGAAGAGGACGAGTAATGGCAGCAGCTACTTCTGCGTTCGTCATTCTCTGTACATACTTTTATCTGTTTGTCTGTTTGTTTACGTTAATACTCCGTCTAGAGCCTCGTCCGTCTTGTCAGACGCATTTCTTTTGACATTTTATATCCACATGGGGGGAAGAAGATAAAAACTATAGGAGGGGAGAAATTTAGTGGGAATTTTTAGCATCGGATGGGATACGCATGGGATGCATTTAGGATGGCGTTTAGATTTTTTCTTTTATCTGGTGATATTGTAGTTGGAGTGCGGTGCATTGTATATGCGTGGGATGCTAGCGAATGAGAATACAAAAATCAATAAAACAGATAGTTACCCCAAGCTGCGGTAAAAGTATTAATCTAAGATAAAGGTTAAGCTATTAGTAAAATAAGCTAGATTTTGAAGGTAAGAAAAGAAAAGAAAAGCACCAACTATAGTTCCCATCTAGAGTCCTAGACTATGGACAAACAACGAATTACAATAATAACATATAGTTAAAATAAAACAAGCAAGATAAGATAACAAACCCCCAATAAACAAATAAAATAATCAATCTCTCCCCGGCACTGCAAACGCGACGAATTATTCTTATGTATTTATCATTAGTTAGTCTAATTCTAGCCTAGGTAACTCCGGCTGCCTTGCTTAAACTAACTTAGTTAACCAAGTTCAAGTACCCGCAAACCAAACCAACCATTCCCCAACCCAACCCAATCAATTATCTAACGCAACGCAGGCAACTCTCAGAACATACATAACCGCGGGGGTTGATTTCAAGATGCCACCTTCTATGCAAACGGTATGTTGGTTTAATTTTATTTCATTTCATTATCTCTACTGGTACTGTACTGCACTTACTTACCTAAGAGGGGTAATGATAATCACTTAAAATCAATCCGATACATTAACATATCATATCATATCATTACCCCGCGTTCGCGTCCTCAACACCCCTCCCTCTCCCCCTCCATATGAACTCCTTTTTTCTTAAAAAAAAAAATCCAAATCCAAAACTAACGCCAATACCAATTCCTAGAACCGACTAATATCCACCCTCCGCCTCCTCATCCCCCGTCTCCGCCTTCTCCAAAAGAAAGAAACCGCCTCCTCCGTCGCGCAACGGCGGGAACTCGCCCAACTCCTCGATTCCAACCGCGACGCATCAGCCCGGATCCGCGTCGAGAATGTCATCGCGACGGATATAGCTGTTGAGGTGATGGAGATGATTGAGTTGTATTGCGAATTATTGCTTGCGAGAGCGGCGGTGTTGGATGCGATTGCGTTTGGTGAGAGGGGGGGGAGGGGGAGGAGTCGAGCGAAGATGGAGGAAGGGAGGAGGGAAGGTAAGGATGCTGGTGGGAGTGGGAGTGGAGGGTTTGGGTTATTTGGAACTGGTGGGAAGAAATCCAAGGAGGAAGATAAAGATAAAGATCAAGCTGGGGAGGAAGGGGAAGAGGAGGAAGAAGGATACATCGACCCGGGCCTCGACGAAGCTGCCGCAGCGATATTCTACGCCTGGCCACGTTTCCCCCGCGAGGTGCGCGAATTAACCACTCTTCGAAACCAACTCGTCGAGCGATGGGGGAAGGACTTTGCGTCTCTAGCGCAGGATAATAAAGCCGGAATCAAGGTTCCTGAGCGCCTGGTGAAGAGTCTCCGAGTGCGTCCGCCGCCGAAGGAGCTGGCGGAGAGTTATCTAAGGGAAATCGCAAAGGCGTATGGTGTTGCATGGCCGAAGGGGGAGGTGAGAGAGTCGTCGTCGTCGTCGTCGGAGTTCGTCGATCATCCACCAGCATCATCTGCATCTGCATCTGCATCATCGGGGGATATACCGGACGCAACACCATCGACGCCGCGGAAACCAGACCTTTCTGAGCTGCGAAGCGTCTCAGAAGCAGAGTTGAGCAAAGCCACGCCGCCGAGAGATATCGGGCCTCAGAGTCCAGTGAGTGTTGCGCCGCCAGGACCGACGACGGATAATTTGAATCCGAAGGTGAATTTTCCAGGGTCAGAGACGGGGAATGATAATAATATTAATAACCAGACGCCGGAGCCAAAGAAGACGGGGAATGGCATTCCCGAGATGGACGAGCTGGCGAGGAGGTTTGCGGCGTTGAAGAAGTGAGGTGTGGATCGAGCTTTATGAGAGGTTCTGTATTCGTATATCTCGGTTGTAGTGTTTTATTTTATGACATGATATACCCTTTATACATGTGTTCAGTTCATTCAGGACATATGTACTCGTCTGCTATCGAGCAAGTACTTGAACTCCTCCCAGCCTTATATTCGAAGATGTTAACGCTGAGCTCTTCATTGCGAATGATGGTGGAAGGATTCTCGAGGTGCTAGCATATTTATATGGAGTAGCTTTCGATAATGGGGAATAGTTGGCTAGCCGTTCATACATCTAATGTAACTAGATAAAGAAGCCAACGTCTTGCTTACTCTCCTATACGGTATTTTTAAATCTCACTGATATTTGTCAAGTGTCTTATCTATACATCCACATGAATAGAGCTAGACCCGTAAATCACTAGTAATACCCTTTGATAATCGCATTCCATCCATGTCACTCATGTTCATCGAGTAAAAGCCTATGGGTATACAATATAAGAAACCATACCCTATCCCACAATCATCCCGCATGCAAAGGATCGTGAAGTTCCCAAAAGAACCCCTCAAAAACACAGAATCATATCTATCCCAGCCAAAAAAGAAGCCAAACAAACATGAAAAATGAAAATAAAAAACCCTACATCGCAACACCCGACAAAAACGCCGCACGAAGAAAGAACCCGAACCAAGTCAAGCCCAAATTCCCCCATTCCTCCCACCTCGTCCACAATCTCGGATCCCAAAACACATCAGTCGCTTCCACATCAACAGCGACACGATACAGAGCATACAAATGGCCCACATCCGACAGGACAAAAGACATCATGACAAGATGCCAAATATCGCGGCGAGTCTGGCCCACATGGCGCAAGAGCACGCCCTCCGCGAACGCAAAGAGCATATACAACGAGGCGATCTGAACAAGAAGCAGACTCTCGTTAGGGGTGGGGGATGGCGGATGGGGGTAATTTGGCGGCGCGATGATTTTCAGATATTGGCTGCCGTGGAAGATGGCGAGACGTGCACCGTTGATGGCGAAGAGAGGCTCGAGGTAGAGGAAGAAGAGGCGGTAGAGAAAAGGGATTTGTTTTCGAGTTAGACTCCCTGTGCTGTTCTTGCTGCTGTTGATATTGTCTGATACTGGTTTGGTGTTGTTGTTGCTGGGGTGGAATAATATGGTGTTCTTCTGATTTGTTTCTGATCCATGCTCGTGTAGCATGATTCGAGGCATGGCGAATTGCTGTTGTTGTAAGACCTCTGTTCTGGTCGTCATCCTGCCTGTTTCCAGTCTCTTTGGCTCCGTGATAATTCAGATGATATTGTTATTTCTTATGTTCTCAAGAGACCGGCTCTATTCTTTCAAATTCGAGTAATAATGATAATCCTTCGACAATGATGTCAGCCCTCCGACCGAGCCGCGTATTGCAGAATAGATAATAATGTGGAATACCAAATAAAAAAAATAAAATAAAATAAATCAGCAAAGAGCGACCAGCTTTATTTTAAGCTATCGCTAATAGGACTGAATCACTCTGCCGGGAAAAAAAAGCATTTGTCGGCAACGCCTTGCGGAGGAATGCGACCAAAAAGGGCTGCGACACTGCTGAAACGGGCGTGAGAACAGCAACCATGCAGGGATGTCAGAGCAGAAACACACAGTAAAAAGGAAAGAGGGAAATGAGAAACAGAAAGAGAAAAGCATTTGGCGAAGGACAAGTCTTAAAAAGAGGCCATCACACGGCTTACTGACTATTGGGGGCCATTGAACTTCAGCCTTGAACGAAACCGATCTCAGCGATCCTTTCTTTGCACGTGTTCGGTGCTGGCACGCTGCTCATCCTTCTAGTTATCTATCTAGTCGATTAGTTAGTTATTGACAAAGGACGACTTAGAGTAGCAGAAGTTGCAGAACTACGCGCCCAGCAGAGCGGGTGGTGGGGAGAGAAACATGGAATGCAAGGCCAAAAAAATGACACTATAGATAGTTGATCTTCGCGTCCCATTTTAACATTATTAATGTTGTTCGTATATCAGATCGCCCTTTATCCAAATAGGGTAACTCGATCAAAAGGCCCCCCCGTCCGTAATAATGATTGCTTCACAGTTTGTATAACTAGTGTCTTGCTTGGCAATGTTGTTGTTTCAAGGGATTTCCCCAAACCACAGCGAAACCAGTACAGAGAACGGAAAGCCCATGGGATCGGACTGTCTTTCCAGATGATCGACCGATTTCCTTCAAAAATCGCCCGTGTCGATCTTTTGAAACCCTCTCACACTCGTGGTTGTTCGGGTCTCCGGGCTTTGTTGGCTACGGATGCTTGCCCAGTAATTCTGCTCCACCGCCGATCACATCCGCATATCCCTATTCGGGTTTGGAGTTGGGCGTTTGAGCAGCGCCTACAGAGCACATAGTTATACGGCGTAGTACGGAGTTCTGCACCTGGGAGGCTGTTGCACCAGATTGGAAGGTGGCCACAATCGGTTCGGGATGCACAATTAATATTGTCAGGGTCATACCGGCCTTGACACGAGCTGGGAAACCAATGATGGTCAAGGTGCCGATCATTTACGGATCTACGAATTTCTTCTGTGCGAATCAAGACTCACGGGAATGTCTATATTAATAGTTAGCTTCTCTATGTACAGTAAATCAGATTGAGCCCAATGCTAACGCAGGCATGTAGTGCTCACTCATCTAGATATAGGAAGCACTATGTACAAAACTGTCTAAACGTGTCTATATCCCGAGTATCCATATATCAGGATGAGCGGGAGTGCACCAGTGCCCATAGAAGCGAAAATAAACATTATCCAATCGGGGCCACGAAGATAAAGCTGCATTATGGTGGAACATCGTACCGCTAGAGGCGGAACACGCCTGTATCGGCGGCGCAGAGAGTCTCCGGTCGAAGAATGAATGGGAATTGCCAGAATCGAAGGTATGTTTTGAATAAATATATGCAGTCGAAGGTCGTTAAAATATCTAGCGCACGTATAAATCGTCGTCAAATGGTCCCCTGACGAATCGAACGTGAAAAAGGACCGTGAGATGGTGCTTTGGAAATCTCCCTGGCACGAGGGACAGCGACAAGCTGGCGGCAGTGCCGGCCTATGCACTTGACAGGAGACCGGCAACGAAGACGGTCACAATGAAGCCCATGAAAGACACTGCATTTGAAGACGCAGCGCTGGAAGTCGAGGTCGCGGAAGCCTTGGCAGAGGCTGTAGACGAGGCTGTAGACGCCGCAGAGGTCATGGTGGTCATGGTGGTCATCGAAGACGTCTGGCTGGGCATGGTATTATTGGAGGAGCCTGTCTCAATGAACACATGGGGAGCGTAGGAGAAGCTTGCACTGGCAGAAGCAATGCTGCCGCCCGAAGAGGTTGCGGAGGCATGGTGTGAGCCCTTCTTAGAACTCGCCCCAGAGGCACTTGCATCTGATGAAGTGGTACTAGAAGCAGGACTGCTCGTCGAAGAAGCGCTGGAAGTCGTCGTTGCTTTCGAGCTAGAAGATTTCGACGTGGAGGTGGGGGCCACAGAGCTCGAAGATGAGGTTGTTGAAGCAGAGTCGCTGCCAGATCCCTCGAACACCACGATATTGGCCTTCTTGCCCGAAGGAACAGTGACCACACAGAACGCGGCACCACCATCACCAATCGTATAATCCCCTGTCATCTCGTTGAATCCATTGCTGGCCGGGTCAAATTTGCAGGGGAGGCCTTCACAGCCATCGCCATCACAGACAATTTCCATGCCGAACTCCGGGACCTGGTTGCTATACGCATTGGTATAAATCGGGTTCCAACCAAGTTTGACGTATGTTCTGCCATCGCTTTCCGTGTTCGCACCAGCCACGAAAGGAGCCCAGTTGCCGATTGCCTTACTTGAATCTCCCCAAACGCATGCGTCAGTGGGACTGACACCCGGCGGGTTAATGTAATAGCTGCAACATGTGAGAACGATACCAAACGCAAAACTGATCATAAGGCACTTACTGAGCGGCGGTCTCAGCGAAAAAGGTACTCCCAGGAACAGCAAGATTGGCCGTGCCCTCAACCCAGGTGGGAATAATCATATCCTCGAGACCAGGCATGACCGTTTGACAAAACGAGACACCACCACTGCTGCACTTGTTCTGGACCGAAACTGTTCCCGTTCCTGGTTCACAAAGAGGCCTGTCCGGGAAACCCTTTTGCAAATTCCCGTTGTGGTCGCAGTACAAACCGCCATCCTGTCTCATAGGTTAGACCGGCACAAGAGGTTTAATACTCGAAGTCAAGTCCATACCATGGATCCTGGGTAGGTGTACGATGTCACTTCTGGGTTCCATTGCATGGATACCATGCCAGATGGACAGGCATATGGGCACCATTGTCCAGCCTTGCATGGGCGATCCGGAGCCATAGCCCACCCGGCATTCTGTTCTGATGGAGTGACTGCAACCAGGCCTTCATCCGTTGGGAAGTCACATGTCACTGCTCTCTTTTCCACTTGATCCTTCTGCTGAGCGGAGACATGCTGATGCCTTCGAGAATGTATGTGGCCATGATTGTGTCCCGATGCCTCCACAGCCGCAAAGAGGACGCACACCGCAGCGACACGAGATGAGAAGGCGTTGAATTTCATGGCTGAGTCGTAGCTTCCGGTGTCAATCGGAGTGAATGTGTTTATGCAAAGTCCCCTAGATCAAAAGCAGTCGTAGAGTATCAGTCTCTTTTGATTCCTGTGTCCTTTTCTATCCAAACTTTGTGAGCCAATTGACTTTTGTCTTCTCTTAACGCCGCAAAAATGATTGGATATGTTTTTTTTTTTTTTTGTCTCGAAAGAAAGACTATGGTCAGAACAACCAAACGAAGGTGAAGAGCGCCCCAATAGCCAAAGAAGCAACTTGAAGATAGACAAAACCGCGATGGAGGAAAAGACGAGCTCAAAAAGGCGCGAGCTAGTCCCTGGTCCCTCGGCCCTCACTGAAAAAGGACGCCATTCAAGCATGACACGGCCAATGCGGAGAGCAGCAACCCCAGCTGCATATGGATCCCAATTTCCATCCTTGGTCAAGAGGTTGTTTTCCCATGACCACTCATTCGACCAGAACTATGAGACCGTTTCCGCCAAGACGACTGATTAGTGGAGCAGCAATTAGACACAAGACGCTTGAGAATCATCATTCAATCAAGAGGGTTCGAGAAAAGGAGTCCAAGACTCCGAGGAGCTGGATTTGACCAGGAAGATAATTAGACTTGGCCGTAGCCGATGCTGCTAGGAGGCATAGTATCTCGATGGGGTATGTTAGCGGGCGGTCATTGCTTATCCTCGCCTAGCGTCAGGGGAAGATCCGAGATCGTGTAATCATCCGCCGTTCCAGCTCCATCTGTTCGTTCATCTTGGAGTCGCAGTTCTCCGAAATTGATCATCTTTCGATTGAACCTGACAGGTGTTTCGATCATGCGTGATGCAAACTCTTGTCCGTCTTTTTGGCATGTCCAGAGCATCACCGAAGACATAGAAATGAATAACCCAGAGCAATCATAGTTGGAGATTTCCCAATTCCAGGGCCCTTTTCTTTGTTCTCCTATCCGGACCAGTCGGTAACACGCAGTGACCACTAGACTAGGACCACTTTCAAAAGCTTCGAAAGCTGCCGCGGTAGTTAAGAATCGCGCTAGGTATTCGGGCCGGTGGTGTTTGGCGCTCTACTCTAAGCCCTAAAGTAGTAGCGTCATGTTGAGGATGATCACAACACCCGACAACTTATCCCCTGCAAAGTCTATCGGACAAAACACTGTCTATCGTCGATTCATCGATGCATCGGCGTGATTGAATCCCTTTTGGTGATGATAGGCGGGATAGTCGATGCGATCTGATGTCGACGCACCGCCATGTTTTGCTTCGAGGGATCGATCTGGATAGGACAAGCGCGGACTATCTGAGGACTCCTTTTGATTGCAGTTCGATAGTGAAAGCAAGCTAGTGATGTACAAAACTGTCTGCCTGTGCCTAAATGCTTCCGCGAAATGAGCCCGTCATTAGTTGTATGTACTAACTACCACAACGGCCCCTCTTCCTAGACGCAAGGCGCTCAGTTGTCGCCAGGTCGACAACGCCGCTACCTATTGTGAAAACCCGACAATTGGTTCTCAGACAGGCCCTGTATTTCTCTGCTTTCTTATTCCTGTAGGTTTATTGGACGGAACGCGTACATTTCTTTTTCTCGAAGATATCGGCGAACAAGTAGCTCACATGAAGGCGTTGATCCGACTTGCTAGGACTTCTCAAAGCCTCCAAGGTCTCATGGGGAACCTTATTCTTATGATGAAGCGGGTAGAAGCTTTCGGTTTGCTAGGCATAGCGGAAAATACGATGTTGGGGATGGCAGGGTAGATAAGGATGAGGTGTCGTTGTATCGACATAGGTCTGCACGTGATCGGATAAAACGTTCCAATGACTTCTGTACATTACTACATTCATGTTGAATGCATGCAATAGTTACGGGGAATTCAGGTATAAAATGGTATCAATGGAGTCCAGCCCACGTCGTCCCTAGAGGAGCTCACTTCTCATGCTGTGCCTCAATCTCCTTCCACCCATCAAACACTCCATCTGACCCGGGGCCTTCTCTCCAGCCCCAAACGATACAGTAGTGTTGCGCCAACAGCCTCCACTCCTCCACTTCGTCCAGCATTTCCAGTCCAGAAACCCGCTCCTTCTCCGCATCACTCACCCAACGCTCCCAGATGAAGTCGATATCTGCCACCTCTTGGCCTTCATTGAAGCCGTGGTCCTGGAGTCGTTGTCGCTGCGCATTTAACGATGCGTACTTGTGTAGTGTCTGTAGCTGGATACCGCGTGTTGCCAGGTTCGACACCATGGTGTTACCGAATGGATCATCTGGCCGAATAGGTTCGTATATAACTATTCCCAAGGGTACAGTTGGTGGCTCTGAAGCTGGTGACGGCGAGTCTTGCGTGGGTGTGGCGGGGCCAGAGTTGTTCGAAGAACGAAAGAGAGTCTTTGTGAAGTAATCAACTACGCCGTCTGCTTCTGCCGGAGATAGGTAGATAAGGCAGCATTCTGACAGAAGTAGGGTGGGAAGTGATGTATCAACGCCTTGTAGTAATAGCGACCCTGAGCCGGATTCCGACGATGACAGAGCTGACGAAGCAAGAGAGCGCAGATCAATGGGATGGATATGATAAGATGGAGAATGAAGCGCATCTCCTGCCTCCGAGATTGTCAGGTCCTCCGCTTTTCCTATACTCAGCGCTTTTTGTAGCAACGGCGACGCTCGAATGGCCTTAATCTTTCCTGCTGTGTTGGCAGGGAAGTCTAACTCATGATATATAATATCTGTGTGTGGTACACGAGACAGAAGCCTAAAAACACGCGTGTCTGAGCCTGCACCCAGGGATATAATCTGCTTCTTTCGTGGCGGTTGTCCATCTGGAGAACGAAGGAATCGGGAGACGAGGATATCAATTGCGGCTGTGCGAACATATGTCCCTTGATTTCAAAAATCGAGTCAATTGACATAACCCAATGCAACGAAATATGCCGCTCCTTGGAAAAAGCATTGAAAGATAGCCACACCCCTTGAACGAACTCACCTCGGTTTATTATCGGGAATCGCCTCGTGCCTGGCCCCGGCGCAGTCAATGCTTTCGCGAACGGATCTTCCAAATACCCCAATTCCACCGCGCTTAGTCTCGAAACGCTAGCATCATTGTCCGTGTTCTGGACGACTCGATCCTTCGCTGACGCTGCACTGCTCCCGGTTCCGTGTTGATCTCCTGAAGCCAAACCGCCGCCGCGACCTCTCAGACGACTTCCTCTACCACCGCCGCGACGGAGAGTGTTGAGGTTCGGAATTTGGGAAGCGGACATGAGGACAAGAGAAGGCGGCTAAGCGTGAGCTGTTCTTCTTTCGCAGAAGTATAGACGAAACGAATCTCTGTTCAGAATACTCCGGCTGGAGCTCTGCGGAGCTGCTTCGGAGTTGTTGGTGGGGTAAAGAGAAGGGTTGCCCCGCAGGCCGAGATTGATTTGTTTGGGGTTGGTTATCTTATCGTATATTAGCAGGATAAAAATACAATGCGTTCCAATGAAGCATTTAATTGTGGTATTTCAGACTCCTCGTCGTCCACTTGTTTATGACGATAGTAATTCTATGTGTGCGGTAACACTACACTTGTTGTTATCCACCGTGGAGAGAAGCGATTTGGGGAGCGATTTGACGATCTTTTAGCTACAGCTACAATTATATGAATTCAAAATACAATGCGGACGAGCGGAAATATATCAATGGGATGTCCAATCCTGCCTGGGGGATAAGACACGTCGATCACATGAGCTTAACAGGGACATTCATTCCGAATCCCCTGCTCAATATACCACCACTCCAATACAACTGGTCCATTCAACCTGTATTTCAAGGCCCTGTATAAGCAAACAAGAACTTCACGTGCAGAACTCATTTGATTGGAGTTAGATGACGCGGCTATCAGGAAATTCTAGCCAAATCTATACCAATAAAACGCGCCTGGGCATAAACAAATTTTGCAAACCTGTGCAGTCATACGTCCTTATACATAAACAAAGTTGTTCCGGCAAAGAGGACACGTACTCTGGTTACTGCTCTTGAACCAACGGAACAGGCAGACAGAGTGGAACGTGTTCTTGCAGGTCGCGCAGCGCTTGTTCGGTGTTTGCATATCCGTAGAAATGACCGAATAGCAAATTGCACACTCGCTTTGGCCCTGGAGAGCACCCTGTACGTTCTTTCTGAACGCGAGCAGTCCGTCGACAAGATTGCCGTTCGAGAACATGATCACACCTTGGATAGTCAAGAGCCAGCTTCTCCACTTTTTCTCGTCGACTAGAACTCGGCTCTTTCCTGCCACGATGGCAGGGTGGAGAGGATATGCGGAAGGAAGAGTTATGACGATAGCAACGGGAGGTGATTCCTCATCGACAGGGATACTGGCAATCAGTTCGGCCGCTTTCGGCGAAACCTTGACGCTAAGTGCTCGCTCTTCATTCGGGTCTTGAGTAGTTGTCCACTCTGAAACACTGTTTAGAGAGTCTTCGATAATCAGTGGGGAGATCTGGTTCCTCTGGTCAGTTGATTGATTCAAAGATTGCCACAAAGAGTCTTCCTTACGAATCTTTCCGTCCACGCTTCTACAGGGCCTTTGATACGCTTCTTCGTATCGAGCCACCAGGCTTTGGTGATATTCGGAAGATACTTTAGAGACAAGAAATACAAGTGCACCAACAGCCACTGGATCTCTTTCTCAGAATTCTCGGACTGGTCCAGTTCAAAAGAGCGGACGTGGAACTTGGACGCATCTGCAAGTTTCCCGTTTGACTTTTGCAGGAAGTCGAAAGTGAAGTCCAGAAGTGGAATCAATGTCCCATTCTCTTTGATGTTAGTCGCGTAATTCTCTTGAACGGTGAGAGACTATGATCAAAAAGTCAGAAAATGGCTTTATATAGTGCTGGATGGGGCACTAACCGCATTAGAGAAGTGATCAAATACCACCTTCCAGCTAAGAAGGTAGGACCGCAAGCTAATCCAGGTCCTTTCTTCACCGTAGGAAGCGGAAATTTCCTCCATAGTAGGCGGTTCAAGCAAGAGAGAAAGAAGCTCATCCGGCAATGCGGCAGTTGACTTCGATAGGGCGACGTCAAACGAAACTTGTTCTTGTCTCTTAGGGATATAACGGTGCAGAACTTCATAGGCAGCTCGCTGGATGCCTCGACTCTGAGCATTGAGGAGCGGGTATATCTCGCCCACATTATCGAGATTGTCTATCGAAATACTACCAATCAGGCGGCATAGTAGATCAGCCGTCGCATTTTGGGGCTGGTGGAACGCGGCGGAAGAGTCTGTAATGTGTTTAGTTAACCGCATCTCTATATATGTATGACTATGGTTTGAAAGACTCACCAATCTTATGCAGGGTCGAAATCAGGTTATTCACCAGATCTGCTTTAGATTCCGACCACGCATCCACAAGATCATCATTGACCTCGTCGTTTAGCATAGACTTCAGGCGTGCAAATAGTCTGAAAGAAGCATGCAACAAAGGCAAGCCCTCATCACCCCCATTAGTCTCCTTCCAAGTAGTGCTCAGTATCTCCATGGTCTCTGCCCAGTGGGAGCCGTATATCTCCTTCAGTGAAGGAAGAATGAAGGTTAGAACTTTAAGGATCTCAGCCTTGACATCCAGAAAATCAAGATCTGACTGCCAGCGCTGTACTAGATTCTTCACAAGGAAGACGAGTCGCTGCGTAGGAACCGAAGCGGCCACATCCTCATCTCCCTGGGCCAGGAGATTCAGAAGTGATAATGTTCGGAGAGCTTGCAATTGTCAGAACTCATAAATATAAAATAGAGAAACCGAACTTACCATCGCTGCGTTTCTTCTGAGGATCTATTCCGGTACCGTCGGCAATCAGTTCATTGCAAAGTCTGGTTCCGGCCGGTAGAGATACCACAGAGTCTCGCAATACAGAGAGCCATGCAGCGGAACGGATAACATTTGACTTCCGCACTTCTTTCGATAAGTTTGTCAAGAAGTCTGCAGACTTCCCCAGTCTCGAAGAGTCTACCTCCGACATTATCTTCACAAAGGCCTCCCCTACCCTGTACTCTTCTGGAGAGTTGCCTCTTAGGGACTCTAGCTTGCTTTCCCAAAAACTGACAAGTGCAGATGAGAGACTTGCCGCATCACCAGATACTGAAGAGCCACCCACCCGAATCCAACTGTTAATGATAGATCGACCTTCCATCACTATCTCCATGTGCTCTTCCCGTTCTTCCGAGGCTTCCAGACCAGTTATGCTATTGCAGCCTTCGATGCTTAGATCATCATCAATCAGTTGCACAGCCAGAGGAAGATAGTAAAACAGTGTCTCGAGCTCCTCCGTATCGAGGTACTGGGCCAAGTCAGATGAAGACAGTATATTCGTGACGTATGACGCCAATCGGAACGCAGATGAACTGCCGTTGGAGTCACGCGGTATATCATTCCATTTTTGCCAGAAATCTTCCGAAAGATCACGATCGGTAAGATAGACAATCCCACCTAGAACACTGGTGATAGCTGTTGACTGTCTCGGAGGGAGGGCTAAGAATGGCTCAAGAGAACGCTCCCACAAGTGACGAGAAGGTAATATATTAGCCACTGTCTGCTTCTTATTCTCTGGACTTGCTGCTTGTATAAGTTCTTCGGCAATCGCAACCAAGGAGTCGACACTAAAACCAGTCAGTATGGACCACGGTTTTGAGCAGACATTGAAGAAGGGTTTACTGACGAGAGGGACTCAACGCTAACTTCAGCTAAGTTATGCTGAAGTATCTCTAGACTCGATTTTGAGCTCACGTCTTCGACAACCATGATCTTAAGTTTCTGGTCCAGAGATTCTGCAAGTTGCGAGAGGTCATCTGAAGGAGACTCCTTAAGATAAAGTAGCTTCCCAACTAGTTTTGACCCGTAATCGCCTGTCCTGAAACGCTGCATTGCAGAAGGAGACCGAGAGGCGATCTGAGATAGACCATGCAAAGCTTCCGGAGCAGTTTCATCATTGGACAAACCGTCAATGATTGAAGTAAGGATACGATCTGTTAATTCGCCGTGGGATGTCACATTTCCGACAACAGCTGTAACAATAGACCAGTTCAGCTGGCTGCCTTTGCAGGCCCTAGAGACGCTCCGCATAACCATGCTTTCGAGTTCGGCGGGATCATGGATGCCTTTGAAGTCGACTGTAGACAATAGCTTTTCAAGCGCGTGGATGTTAGACTCGTCCGGCTCAACGCCCACGATGCTTTCGACGGCCTTGTCAAAGCTCTGCTCGAAGCCTGGCCAATCCCGACATGCTAAGACTATTCCCATCAACCTATCAGCAGAAGGCGAGAATAGAAGGCCGGGAAGGTCTTCTTGAACGAAGTTTGTAAGTTCCTTTGAGTGCTTAGCAATCTGGGGAGTATGACGGACAGTCTCATCAACGACCGCTGCGGCACTGTACGATTTACCATTTCTGGAAAGCAAAACTTCCAGGCAGTCTTTCAGTAGGGGTATGCCGACAGTCTCAAAAATCTCTCGAACTTGATGTTCATTCCCTGAGGGAGACAGACTATTAAGCACTGACGCTTCCACTGTGAACAGACGCTTCGCTTGAGCGCACACGGCGTCTTGCGACGATCTGAAGTCCTTTGACTGTTCAGGAGAAGATAGCTTAACAGATTGCAGTAGCTTGTTGGTTAGTGACGCCCATAAAGATTTGAGATTGTCGTAGCCACGAAGAGCTAGCGCAGCAACAGAATCAGAACACAAGGTCTGGGCGGATTGGAAGGGAAGTGTCCACCGAGATCCATCGGGGGTTGCGAACACATATTGTTCGACTATCGGAAATATTCTTTCCTCGACGAACTTTGCTGTGTCGTCTTCCGGTAATAGCGTCAAGAACCGAATTGCAGTCTCGACATATGATTTCCAGCCTACCGCCAGGTTTTGTCGCGGCTCCTCCCTTGAGTTCAATCCGTCCTGGAACGCCTCCATCAAAGAGCTCGCATCCGGAAGTCCGATCTTTCCACTAGCTGCCAAACCATGATCCTCCTTTGCCAATGCCTCCACGGGAACAACTTTTAGCAACTGGGTCAGATTTGACCAGTAGGAACTAGATGCCCCTTGAGAACCCTTTTGTATGTATTGGCGGAGCCGCTTAGACGCAGCTGTTTTTCCGGAATAATCATCTGTCCAGACTTGTGGCCTGACCTGAGTCACTTGCAGAAGAGAAGCGGACAGTTCGGCAGATGACCCTATTTGGGATGCATTCAATGATTTCCCAATGATTGCCGAACTGATAACCTTCCAGTCCAATGCCGCTGGTTCTTTGGCGACGGCAGCTCGGAGAAGCTGATAGGTAGCCCGGCGTACAAAAGGATCATCATGGTGCGAGAAGGACCATAACTGTTTGCTTCCGAGGAGACTCTCAATCAAAGTAAGGTCCTTTTGCAGATCTTCCTCAGACGCCTGACCTGTGTGAAGTTTAGCGCAGTTAAAATGTAAGTATTGACGAAGGAAACGTACTAAGAATACGGGTCAACAAAGACAAAGCAGTCCCTAAAACGCGGGCATATTTGGCTTCTGCATCATCCGGCTTAGTCGTCCTTTCATCACTCAAGGTTAAGGGGTTCTGATGAAGAATGACATCTTCCGCGAATAAGAGTACAGCGTTCTGGTAGATCTTCCACACACTTGCTCTCTTGTCTTCTGTTGCAAATACACGCGAGAAAGACTCCTGTGCGGATCGGACAACGGGTCTGTCATTGTCATACAGACCAGCAAGCCAAGCACCGATTACCTTGGGAAGGTGACGGACGATACGCTTCCCCGTAAGAGAGGCAACGGACCCTTGAATTGAATGGGCCAGCTGGCGAACCCTGCGCGATATATCTATTGAAGTACGCGGATATATCTTAATCTGCAAGCCGGAATGGTTGTTACCAGGTGACTTCATTTTTATTGGTGCGTATAGAATAACATACCCATGCCTCCAGAAAGCCATCATCAACTGTTCCTTTCTTATTTTCGACTGTTGATATGTACTCTCTCAAGTCTTCTAATGCTTTTGTTCTTGTGGTGTCATCCTTCTTGAGGAGGTTCTTGAATGCAATAGCCAGCTGTGGCTCTGATATCCGGGAAAGATCCGGGGGTTCAGCAATGTATGTTAGAGACGAGGGGCCGTCTCCCTGAGAAGAAAATCCTGTAGAAAATCCTCCAAAAGAACTAGAAAATGCACCAAAGCCTCCAGCAGCAGCGCGACTGCTTGATGCCTGCGATCTGAATTTTTTACTCATAATGTGGGGTTAAATGGCTCCGATATACCCCTCTGTATCATGGAAGAAATGGAAAGTGAGAAAACGAAAGAAAACATCAAAGTAATGTCACAACAGTAAATCAGGCTGTTTAACCATCAATACACTAGGAAAAGGGTATCAGTCTCTTTGACCGTCTTCTTCATCCCCGCTGCGGCCATGGAAGCCTGTACGAAGGTATGACGCTTAGTCAGTCCTACACGGCCACGTGACCTGGTGTCTCTCGCGGCGTTAATTGCAAATCCGACGCGCCGGGCGGTCTGGCCGATCAGCATTATTGAGAGAGCTTCATCCGCATATCAGCGGTTCGGGCAGCTCAGGAGGCTGCATCCAACCGGCAACCATGAAGTTCTTTATTGAGTAAGTGTCTCTATACTGTCCCCTGGGGTGCTACAGCTTCTGACACTTTGCTTTACTTTTCACCAGCGATCTGCCCGTTCTCTTCCCATATCCGCGTATATATCCTGAACAATATGCATACATGTGCGACCTCAAGAAGACCCTCGATGCAGGGGGTCACTGTGTGCTCGAGATGCCCTCAGGCACAGGGAAGACGGTATCTCTGTTATCGTTAATTATTGCTTACCAACAGCACTATCCCGAGCATCGAAAGCTGATCTACTGTTCGCGAACAATGTCGGAGATCGAGAAAGCCTTGACGGAACTCAAGGAGCTGATGAAATACCGGACTTCACAACTTGGTTACACTGAGGACTTTCGAGCTCTAGGGCTGACTAGTCGAAAGAACCTGTGTCTTCACCCGTCTGTCAAGAGGGAAAAGAGTGGTGCCGTGGTCGACGCTAGGTGCAGAAGTTTGACTGCAAGCTTTGTCAAGGAAAAGAAGGAAAAAGGCGAGGATGTCGATCTCTGTATATATCACGAGGTATGCCTCCTATACAAACACCTTATTTCGACTTACTAACAAAAATAGAATCTCGACCTTCTCGAACCTCATAACCTGGTGCCGCCAGGAGTTTTCACTCTTGACGGGCTATTAAAGTACGGAGAGCAGCACAAGCAATGCCCATATTTTTCCGCACGGCGCATGGTAAATTCTCTATTTTCCACCATCACGTGCTAGCTTCTAACTTTATCAGATGCCGTTTTGCAACGTTATTATCTATTCTTACCACTACCTCCTTGACCCTAAGATTGCAGAGAGAGTATCGCGCGAGCTATCGAAGGATTGCATAGTTGTTTTCGACGAAGCTCACAATATTGACAACGTCTGCATTGAATCTTTGAGCATCGACCTGACGGAAGACTCCCTTCGAAAAGCTACAAAGGGCGCAAGCAATCTTGAGCGGAAGATCCAGGAAATGAAAAGCACAGATGCGGAGAAATTACAGAACGAATACTCAAAGCTGGTGGAAGGACTTCGAGAAGCGGAAGAAGCTAGAGATGAGGACCAGTTTATGGCAAATCCTGTTCTACCGGATGATCTTCTCAAAGAGGCTGTCCCGGGTAACATACGCAGGGCAGAACATTTCGTTGCCTTTCTGAAAAGATTCATCGAGTACCTGAAGACTCGAATGAAGGTCACGCATACGATCTCCGAAACGCCACCATCCTTCCTCACCCATTTGAAAGATCTGACGTACATAGAACGGAAACCATTAAGATTTTGTGCTGAACGTCTCACTTCGTTGGTCCGAACTCTGGAACTCGTCAATATAGAAGATTATCAGCCCCTCCAGGAAGTCGCCACATTTGCGACACTTGCTGCAACCTACGACAAAGGTTTCCTACTCATATTGGAACCATTCGAGTCGGAGACAGCCACAGTACCAAATCCTATCTTGCACTTCACTTGTCTGGACGCGGCCATTGCAATAAAACCGGTCTTTGACAGGTTTAGCTCGGTTATCATCACGTCAGGAACATTGTCTCCTCTGGAGATGTACCCCAAGATGCTTGGTTTCACGACCGTTCTTCAGGAGTCCTACAGTATGACTCTTGCCCGTCGCTCCTTCCTGCCAATGATCGTCACACGTGGTTCCGATCAGGCACAGATATCGTCGTCTTTCCAGATCCGTAATGACCCAGGTGTCGTGCGGAATTATGGTAGTCTAGTGCTCGAGTTCGCTCGCATTACACCCGATGGAGTTGTTGTGTTCTTCCCCTCTTATCTCTACATGGAGTCCATTATCAGCATGTGGCAAGGAATGGGAATCCTGGACTCTATATGGAACTACAAATTGATCCTTGTGGAAACTCCCGATTCCCAAGAATCTTCACTTGCTCTCGAGACATATCGCACGGCGTGCTGCAATGGACGCGGAGCTGTCTTGTTTTGTGTCGCCCGAGGAAAGGTCTCCGAAGGTATCGATTTCGATCATCATTACGGACGCGCTGTGATTTGCATTGGCGTGCCCTTCCAATATACAGAATCACGTATCCTGAAGGCTCGCCTCGAATTCCTCCGGGAGAACTACCGCATCAGGGAGAACGACTTCTTATCCTTCGACGCAATGAGACATGCCGCGCAGTGTCTGGGTCGTGTCCTTCGTGGCAAGGATGATTACGGAGTCATGGTTCTGGCAGATCGCCGTTTCCAGAAGAAGCGAACCCAGCTCCCTAAGTGGATCAATCAAGCAATGCTCGAGAGTGAAACAAACCTCAGTACCGATATGGCCGTCGCAACAGCTAAGAACTTCCTTCGGACGATGGCGCAGCCTTTTAAAGCCAAAGATCAGGAGGGAATCTCCACCTGGAGCCTCGCAGATCTAGAACGTCATCTCCAGAAGCAGAAGATGGAAGAGGAACGTCTCATGAGAGAAGCCGCCGTCAACGCTGTAGCTGGTACGAACGGCACAAGCGGCGTCGGTGCTGTCCAACGAGACGAATTCGACGATGATATCGATGAAGAGCTGATGATGTTGGACGCAGACTAATTTATTATCCTTACTTACTTTTGCTGATTCCGTTTTGTATTATTGGAGACTGGGGGAAAGTTTTCTATGAGCATTTTCAGGCGTCTTAAATCTACTTCTCTCTTGTGCGATATTATGAGATCATGATACCACGGCGGTCCTTAGGTGTTTCTGGAAGAGGAAAAAGAAATGAGGAAAACTTTGAGAGAAAATTGGGATTACTTCTCAGCGCTGCATTCAACAAGGTACTACCTGAGTTATCGATTCTACGTTCATTCATTCAAACAGAAAGAAATCACAGATAAATGGATAAATACTCTTTCTTGAACAGAATATATCACTTTTGGTTCTATCTTTTTTTCCGTCGCTAATTGACGATAACAAAAGAACGATATAATAGTTGACATCGAAAGGCAAAACTCCAGGTTCATGGGACACGTGACAGACACGGATGCAAAAAATAGATATCAACAAGCGAGAGAGACAAACAAGTATGACAGAGTAGAACTACAAGAGACAAACTTCAGTAAACAGAGGGTGCCACCGGTCTTCGGCCTTTCTTCTCAGCCGACCTATGCTACAGGTGCGAGGACATCGAATCCACCAGTACCGACGGTGCCAACGCGACCAACAACGATTCTGCTGCTGGGGTTCTTGAGGTTGTCCCAATCTCTCTCCAGGACAGCTTCCTTCAAGAAACCGACTGTGGTCTCGAAACTCATCTTCGACAAAGGAGACGAGCTGTCTTTGACGAGACCATTGCGGTTGAATGCACGGAAGCCACCACTCTGTGTCATGACATCTCCGATCAGGTTCAGATGACGGTTGTCAACGGAGATACTGTGACTCTCGAAGACTGCCGCCATTTCACGGACGATGGAGCCACGTGCTGCCTCGACACCATAGAAAGTGAGCATGTGGTGGATGGAGTTGGTGTAGAGAGAGTGAGGCTTGATGATATCCTGGTAATCACGCATCGCGAGGAGGTTAACACCCTCAGTGACGACGTGAGCCGGCTCGCCCTTGAGTTCATCTCCCTTGACGTACGTGCAGTTTCCGAGACCGGGAATCGACTGGATGACAGCGAATCGAGCAGCGTCTTCAACAAGCGGAAGCAGCAGAAGCTTGGGGGTGTCGATGTCGTACTGCAGTTGAATCCTGCAAGAGTCGCCCTTCTTCTGGTCGAACTTGAATCGGGTGATCTCGGCAAACTTGTTCTTGATATCGTCTTCACGGAGCTTCGAGTCCTTTACCTGCTCGTCATCGGAATCTTCGTCGTCCGATGCATCGGCCATCTCCACGTCACGATCCTTGCGCGGTTTGCTCTCTTCTTCCTCGTCATCTGACTCGGCTTCAGGGCTCTGCTGTCGTCGAATAATGTTCTCCTCCTCATCGTCGGGTGCCTCGTATGAAACCTGGTTCGATCGGTTCTGTCCGTCCCGGGCGCGCTTCGCATCGTCTTCGTCATCCTCGACATCGTCATCAGCCAGTTCATTAGCCCGACTCGCGTGTCGAGGTTCCTCCTCGATGGTGCCAACGGATACACCAATCTCGGGCTGGGCGGTAGAGTGCGCCTTGAGGGTCTTCTCATCTTCTCGCCTCTTCAGCTCTACCCGAGCCAGCTTGACAAGCCTGGGAACGAACTTGGCCTGCAGAGCGTTCAAAACATCCTTGATCTGGATAGCATATTCCTTCGTATACTCTTCTGAGGGGAAGAGGTCGATATGGATGTCATAGACCTTGGCGCGAGCACTACCCTTTGCTGAGATACTCTCTCTAACCTGGAGTTTATCAATGACTTCTGCGATACTGAGCTTGCTGATGGCCTTGGCGAACTTCTCGCTGTCATCTTCAGAGAGCTCTTCGTTCAGAACCAGCGTCATTGTCGGCGTCATGATCTGAGCACTAGCAGTCATGACAATTTCACGCAGTCGAGGAATACCCAGTGTCACGTTCTTGGCCGAGTGACCTGCCAAGTGGAAGGTGTTGAGCGTCATCTGGGTGGACGGCTCTCCGACGGATTGACCGGCAACAATACCGACGGCTTCTCCAGGCTCGACGACCGATTTCATGTACTTCATATTCAGCAAGGTGTTGAAAGCCTTCTTACTAAGAACACCTTCAACGCCCGCCTTCTTATCCCGCAACAGTTTGTCGGCATTAGCATCTTCGTACTAAATATCACATAGTTGTTAGCATTGTCTTCTGCGTGTGGAAGATGTGCAAGCATTTCGACATACCTTCTTGACAGCCTGAGAGAAGGCTTCTGAAGTGGCGCCCAGGTTTCCACCAGGGTGGTAAAGCGAGAGAACAGGGTCCATCGCATCGAGTTTTCCTGTCTTCCGCACCTTCTTCATGGCGTCCTTGTGCCATGCTGTCACCTCCTCCTTCTCGAGACTCCGGAAGTCGCTGGTCAAGTTAACTTGGGCCATCATAGATACGTAGTTCGAGGCCAGAAAGCTGAAATCACGCAGGTGGACCTGCTTCGTGATATCCAGACCATCCTCTCCGTACAAGAACTGAACGACCGACCCATCCGACGTCTCACGAACAGAGCTGTCATATTCAGCCTTTAGACCTTCCATTCCCTTGATCAAACAACGCTGAAGATAACCAGATCTGGACGTCTTGACGGCAGTATCGATAAGACCCTCACGTCCAGCCATTGCGTGGAAGTAGTATTCCTGTGGTTTGATTCCAGTCAAGAAACGACCGGACACATAACCACCAGCAACTGGGTGAGTCTCAAAAGCTCTGAAGGACGGCAGGGTCTTTCCGCTGATCATGACAGGTACTCTCCGACCTTCCAGAACCTGCTGACCAAGGTTGCAAGAAATAAGATTGGCATTGACACTTGAACCCTTGGCTCCGGATATTGTCATAGACTGCATCTGATTCCACGGGAACGGCTTAGCCAAACCGCTCGGCAGACAAGCAGCAGTGATTTCCGAGGAAAGTTTAGCAGTTCGAGCGTTCGATACGCTATCGAGACCGGATTGTTTCTCATCATCACGGAGAACGTCTTCCAGGCGACGCCGAAGCTCTGCTTCCCTGTCAGGTACCGAGGTCTGATCAAGAGTTACGTACTTCAATGCAACTTCATGACCGATCTTGGCAGCCTCGTCGAGCTTCTCTCTGCGTCTACGATCGCCCTCTTCGGTCAATCGGAGATCGTCAATACCGCAGGTAAATGCTCGCATGTGAAGATATTTGGTAAGCAATCGGCCAAGGATACCAATGAGTCTTCCTGCTATGGTATGGCCATAGATCTCGTGAATAGAGTCGATGAGACCGCCAGCAGTGGGACCAAGCTGTTTCTTGTCAAGAATACCACATAGCAGTTCACCATCTTTAAGAATGACGTTGCCTTCTTCGTTTCCTTCACCCCATCGGTCTCCTGGAGTCGAAGACTTGCTCTTGAGGTTCAGACCCAATCGACCCGGAGGAGTGATATTCTTCAAGATGCTGGTGATTATCTGCTTACCAGTCCACATAGGCTTTGGTTTGAGGATGGCAGGTTCGACGAGCTGTATTCTTTCTGTGACTGTGTGGGAGTTCTCGGGACGAAGACAGCTGTATAGTAGCTGATGATAGTCGTCCTCGTCAAAGAAAGTGTCTCTGCTGGTGAACCATGTTCCCATGGAGATGTGATCCTGAATCAGACCTCTCAGAGGCTTTCCGGATGTAGCAACCAGGTACTGATGATCAGCATCAGCAAGCATCATTGCCTCTGCTCTTGCCAGTTCGTTCTGGGGGAAATGCATGTTCATCTCGTCACCATCGAAGTCAGCGTTGTAGGTATTACAGTTTGCGTAATGCATTCGAATAGTTCTTTCGTTGGGGAGTACGCGTGCTTTGTGACCCATAATAGACGGCTTGTGGAGAGTTGGCTGACGATTCATCAATACAACATCGCCGGTGGTGAGATGTCTGTAGACTTTCTTGTTGCGGGATCCTTTCATGCGCCAATTCGACGGGGCCAAGAGCTGGTTCGCAAGAGCGGTTCTCTCGTCCAGAGTCTTGAATTTGAGATTGACGACTTGACCAGATTCGTTCTCAATGGCAGCGGCGCCGGGATACTTGTCCGGTCCGTTAATCACAGCTTGCTTCATTTCCCAGAAATTATGGTTCGTCACGGGCTCGGGATAGGTGAGCTTCTTGGCGAAAACAAGCGGCACACCGATCTCGTTAGTTTCGATATTTGGATCAGGAGAAATGACACTTCGCGCTGCGAAGTTGACACGCTTGCCCATCATGTTCTTTCTGAACAGACCTTCCTTCTTTTCCAAGAGCTGCTTGATACCGTTGGGTGCTTGGGCGAGAGCAGCACCGCTGAGAGCGGTCCTATCACGATCAATCAACCCGTTGACCGTATCCTGAAGCGTCACAATGGCCTGGAGAAGGTCTCTATAGTCTCTATAGCGTGTTGCAGAGTCCGGGCCAGCAGTCTGTCTTTCTTTACTGATCTGATTGATGAGATCACAGTTTTTCAGGATATTGGTGAACGGTTGGTTTTGCTGGGCCTCCATAACTTGGTTTGGTCCTTGAGCAGCCACTGGGCGAAATCTGTTGGGCGGCACGAGGATGCTTCTGATGAAAAACATGTCGGCGGTCACAGTCGACTCCTTCTTCGACGTGGGTCGAGAGTTGTACACCAAATTCAGGATCTCCTTCTCCTTCTCAAAAAGGAGACATATGGCAGCATATACTTCGGACGATGGCATGTACTGTTGGCCCTCTCCAGCTGTCTGTGTCTTCGGCCGACTCTCCTCCAACTGAGTAATCACGGCATTCTCGCGAGCGACTTCCTCCTCCGCTCCGTGTAGCTCAGTTACGACACTGTCAGCATCCGACATGTGATCAGTCGCACCGTTCGTAAGAGGCTCCTTCGGCTTGTTGGGCAACTTCTTCGCATGCTGAAGCAAGACCAGGGAGTTTGGTGCCTGAAATCCAGCTTGCTTCATGATGAGTTTGGCCTTCTCAGGTAGCGCTTTCTTGAAGATCTTCGAGTATCGGTCTCTGCGATAAGCGGGAGAAATGCTTTTGCTAGGGTTAGTGACACTCGACGACCAGAGGTGCGGAGGACCTACCCGCTACAGCTCGTGCATTTCTTGACGCTAGCAATCTCCTTGAAGAATTCCTTCACGACAACCCTCCGCTGCTCTGCAGCAACAGGGCTCTTCGCGCCAGTCATGAAGCCCTGAACCTTGCCTTCCTTCTGCGCTCTGCTGATAGCCCGCTTGACGAATGCAAGCCTGCGCGCCATCAAGTCTTCTGCGTCCTCCTCCTCCTCTTCAGACTCCTCTCCAGCCTTCTTGGACTTCCCGCTTGTTTTACTGAGGCCCATATCATCGATGGCCGCCACTTCGTCGACTAGGCCATACTGCAAGAGTCGCAACTTACATGTGTAGGCATTGATCTGAACGCGCGACATCTGGAAACGGTGGCAATACACACACTGCGCTCTGAGCAGCCGAAAAAGCTGATCGAAGAAAGTCACATTATAGACGGGCACAGGAAGCTCGATATGCCCAGGATGGCCATTGCAGGACCAGGAGCTCTGGCGACAAGTGGTGCAGCTAGAAATCATCAACTTGTAAGAAAATCGTCGACAGAGGTTGATCTGATGCACTTACACATGATCACCCCATGCACCAAGCGCAGGGTCATAAAGTCCACCGGGAACAGGATTGTTAAACGAATCGAGTGTCGGGGTATTGTGAATCCGCTTCACGGAGATAGCTTTGATCTCCTCGCTGGACAGGACACCGAAATCGATGCCTGCAATCGAGGAAGCAACAGGCTTCGAAAAGGTTGCCATGTTCGGATGCCGCAGCTAGCGTCTCCAGAACACGTTGGCCTGTTGTAAGATTCCTCAGTATGTCCTCCAGGACAACGCCGCGCGGGATACTTCTTTCTCGGTCTCGATTCCGGACGACGAACTTTTTTCGGTGGAGAGCTTTTTCTGCCGCGCAACACCGCCCTCCGCTCGGGCCAGCCAAGCCCGGCTTCTCCGTCTGGTTAGTCTGGCGACTTTATCGCCAGCGTCACTCCATCAAAAGCATCCAGCAACCATAACCACGTCCGGCCCTCTCTTCCATCACCGGGAACAGCAGTAAGCAGCAGGTCCGGTCTCCTCCGTGGGTGAGTCGCACACCTCTCACTCTGCAGCCATGGCGGACGTGTCTGGCAACGTGCTGAAACGGCCTCACCCCGAGGGTGAAGACAATAACGCGCAGAAAAGGTCACGGTCCAACAATGGCTCTCCTCTACCAGGAAACAATGGACCTACCGGCAAGGTCGACATCGAGAAGATGGTCGCGGAGGCGCGGGCCAAGGCAGAGGCAGTCCGCGCGCGTCTCCAGGCTGCAAGAGGAGGAACTCCCGCCTCAGCAGTATCATCTCCCAGCCCGGCGCCTCCAGCTGGCGGCCCGGCCATGTCAAGACTGGAGCAGATGAAGGCTCGAGTTGCGGCTGCTACAGGAAGAGCGCAAGCGGCAGCAGCTCAGCAACGGGTCCCTGCTCCAGCTCCCAGTTATCAACCTCCGGCCTATGACGATGACGGACTGTCGAAAGCTCGCGGCGGTTTGGACGTGGGATTACATCCGGCCCTACTTGCAGATGCCGGTCAGGATGCACGAGGTACAAAAGGGCGACAGGCTATGCAACCGAAGTTTGCGACGACCATGGCAAACCGTCGTACGGAGTCTCCCGTGTCCGCTGGAAAGGACAAATTGGACCTGTCCGGTCCATCTTTGGAGGAGATCAAAAATAATCCATATTTCGATCCGAATCTTGGCCCGAAGGCCACGATACCCAGACCACGTCAGTCTCGCCAGCTTATTTTCAACCAGAAGGGCAAGTATATTGCGCAAGCGGCCGCACTGCGGCGCCAAGCGCAACTTGAGGCTATGAAAAAGCGGATTGCGGAGAGGGCCCGTCAAGCTGGTATTGATGAGGACTTAGACGTAGAAAAAGCGTTCCTGGTTCCCGCACCTCCAGCTATCGAGTGGTGGGATGAGGGCCTGGTAAATGGCACCGACTATTCTGCCATTGACGATGTGAACAATATGAAGATCGATACACCGGACTCTATCATTACTCGTTATGTTCAGCATCCTGTTCTTCTCGAACCCCCTCAGGATAAGCACATTCCTCCCCAGAAGCCCATGTATCTCACAGCCAAAGAGCAGGCCAAACTTCGTCGACAACGACGAATGGCTGATCTCAAGGAACAGCAAGCAAAGATCAGACTGGGTCTCGAACCGGCACCTCCACCCAAGGTCAAGAAATCCAACCTCATGCGGGTGTTGGGTGAGGAGGCCGTCAAAGATCCTACTGCGGTCGAAGCTCGTGTGAACAGGGAAATTGCGGAGCGTCGTGAGAAGCACGAACAAATGAATGAGGAGCGGAAGCTGACCAAGGAGCAACGCCGTGAGAAGCTTGCGATGCAGCAAGAGAAAGATGTAGAGAAGGGTGTCTTCGTCTCCGTATACCGCATCGACAGCCTCGCAAACGGCCGTCATCGCTTCAAGATCAGCAAGAATGCGGAACAGATGGCACTCACTGGCATATGTATCATGCACCCGAAATTGAATTTGGTGATCGTTGAGGGAGGGCCCCACTCGATCAAGGACTACAGAAAGCTGATGCTCAATCGCATTGACTGGACAGAGAACGATGGTCCAGGTGCTGTGCGCGAGGGAAATCGCGAGGCCCTGGCATCATGGTTAGCTGCCGAGGACGAAAAGGGAGAGCTGAAAGATCTCAGTTTCAATACATGCACACTACTATGGGAAGGTCAGGAGAAGGCTCGGGCGTTCAGAAAATGGCTCGGTGCTCGTGTCTGCGAGTCCGACTCGGCAGCCAAGGACGCCCTAGCTCGAGCAAAGATGGAGAATTTCTGGACTCTAGCTAAGAGTTCCAAACAAGCTGGCATCTCATAGTTACGGGGAGTAGCGATGGCATGGCACGATTGTTATGGAAAGCAAGTTACCAAAGGACTCAATAGCTATCATTACATAGCGATATCTGTATACCTAACATTGATGGCGACATTACTCCATCATACATGCATTGCCTCTCACAAGGCGGATATCCATATCCACATTTATTTTTGATTAACCTGTACATGACTTGACCCATCATCTTCACAAGAAAAACACAACCAGATATAACTTTTTAGTCTTCCCCCAACTCCATATAAATGCACGGTTAGCGTCGAACTTGGATGAAACAGCAAATAAGCCTGCATAACCCATCCTAGTACTGTTTATGATCGCGGGGGTCCTTGCCCACCACCACCGCTCAGCTGCCTTAAGAGATCCAATTGTGCCTGAACCTGGCTCAGAGCAGCAGCTTGGTTCTGCGACTGTGGGTAACTAGCCTGTTGCTGTTGCTGCTGCTGCATTTGCTGATGCTGCTGCAGGGCCGCGATCAAAGCCGGACTGATAGGAGAGCCTGCAGGCAGTTGCTGGTAGGGATTCTGCTGGTACTGTTGCTGGAACGGTTGTTGATATGGTGTCTGGAAGGTGAATTGAGACGCAGCGGGGAACTGAGGATACTGTTGTTGCGTCTGAGGATATGCTGGGTAGGCAGCGAACTGCGCAGGGTTGTAGAACTGTTGTTGTTGCTGCTGCTGCTGGGCTTGCTGCTGGGCTTGCGGGAAAGGCGGTGGTGGCATATAAGGATTCTGTTCAGACTCATTCGATGCAGAGGAATCTTGACGAGGATCTCGACCCTGACGTCGGTCATCACCGTAAGAACGGCGCGAGTCCCACGAACCACCTCGACCACCACGGCCTCGACCAGACCCTCGATCAGAACCGCCTCTACCACGTCCACCACGACCACCCCGGCCAGGATGATGGCTCCTTTCGACTGGTGCGTCTTGAGTAGTCATCATCTCATGGAGGTTGGCCGGCCGGGCAAGCGGGGTGTAACCGTCTCCTCCGCTCACGTCGTCGTAGTTGAGTTCCATCTGCCCTAGTTTCGAGGGGCCTGGATTCTCTCTCCTAGTCCTTCCGACGCCGGCAGACTCATTCTTGGCCTGCTTTTTCTCCTGTCGTTTTAGTTTGAGCTTTCGCTTGTACTCCGCCTCAGCTTCATCGTCGGAGAATTCCATCTCTTCTTCCCCAATTTCCTCATCGTGGAAGTTAGATGCGTCGCTACCCTTCAGTCCCTTCAGGGGCTGCGTAAAGACGAAAGTGGAGTGCTGCGGAACATAGTAAATTTGTTTTTCCTTCTCCACGCCGCGCTCACCGACAGCGGCTGCACTCTCAAAGCGAACAGTATAGAGTGGCTCTTGGACTCTACCCAGAGTCTCAGAGACCACGCCGACTATGGAACGGTCTTCCAGGCAGAGTAGAGAGCCAGACTCCAGAACTTGGTACTCTCCAGAAGTGCTGGCCCTGATCAGAACAGTATTATCCACAATAGCCTGGACATTCCCCAGAAATTCTATTTTCATGTCTGGGGTCACTGTGACATCAGGAATCGGAGGGACCTCCTCAGGTTGTTCATTCGTTGTTCGCACATAAGCGCCGCCAGACTTTCCCTTCCCTTCCTCATCATCGGAGCCTGCTTCTACCATCATCAGGATGCGCGCCTGCTCCTCGGGGCTAAGGATCGGGTAGTCTTCGTCGTCCTCCTCGCTATCGTCGTCGGATGAGTCCGTTGAAGAATCGTCAGAAGACGATTCGTATGGCGAAGAATCAATCTCCCACTCCGGATGCTCACCCTCCTCCGCAAGCTCCCTCAAAGTAGTCGCATCTTGTCTTTCGCTTTCCCTAGTCTGCATCGCATCACTGGTCTGAGCAGCCGCCGGCTCAGAAGCGTTGTCTTGCTGTTGGGACCCAAGTCCGTCTTGTTTCGTCGACTGCTCCTCTGCGCTCGCATTTGCAGGTGCTGCTGGAGCATCCCGCATCTCACTATCGGCCTTTTCTGCATCGACTTGCATAGTTTCTCCGGAAGGTGTAGAATCCTGTTTCGTCTCGTTATGATTGTTAATCTTGCCAGCTGGGTCCGATGAGCCAGCTGCGACGCCCTCATTGAAGAGGCTGAGACCTGGGATTAGTGGAGCAGACTTCGACGACGTTGCAGGTTCGCTGTCGTTAGCAGACGTCTGTGCATTTTCTGAGGCGTTGACTGGGGTCCCAGCCACCAAAGGAGTGTTGTAAAAATCGCTGCCATCGTCTACTGGCGTTGCTGCGCTCTCCGAAGCGGCAGTGGGTGGCGCATTATCGATAGAGAATTGTCTGAACGGAGGTTCGTTTGAATTTCCTCCAGGGGCGCCCATGGCCTGAGCAGATGATGCCTCGTCACTCATGACTGACTCCACAAGGCAGTTTCCGCCGGAAATTATTGAAGAAAGCGGGCGCGGTGGGTGTGTAGATTTCGAAGATCTGGTGAACTTTGCGGAACTTTTTTCTGGAATCTGCGCAAGTTGCCGTTGCGGTTGCCGTATTTAATCTTATCGCCGAGCTCAATGAGGCCAAATACGGAGGATCGAGAGCTCACACTACTAGAGAATTGCTGGATCGCAGCAAACGTCAAAATGTCTCTCCCCAGAAAGAGGGGCGTAGACATCCCTCATGATGTCGCGCAAGAGGCGTCTCGTTCGAATCCCAAGTATGGCCTCCTCCAATTGATTCTCGCATTCGACGCTAACATTCGCGTGACATTAGGCCAGTGCCCTCGAGCTTTTACCTACCGTTGAACGTGGCATTCTACCTGTCTCTCATATCGAACGGTCTTGCTGCAGCTTATGCGCCTATTCAAGACTGCGATGAGGTCTTCAACTTCTGGGAGCCAGCGCATTTCCTCGATCATGGCTATGGGCTTCAGACGTGGGAGTGGTCTCCCGAGTACTCTATAAGGAGCTGGCTGTATGTCTCATTGCATGCGGCCATAGGGAAAGCCAGTTCCATATTCTCTCAAAACAAGATCTCTCAGTTCTATACCGTCAGATTTGTGCTCGCCTTCTTCTGCGCCGCCTGTCAAACGAGACTATACTCTGCGATCTGTCGGAATCTCAACCCGAGAATTGGGCTCCTGTTCCTTATGGTGGCAGCATTCAGTCCAGGCATGTTCCATGCATCCGCAGCTTTCCTCCCGTCTAGTTTCACCATGTACACGTCAATGCTGGGTCTCACAGCCTTCATCGACTTTAGAGGTGGGCAAAAGACAGCGCAGGGAATCATGTGGTTCGGTATCGGTGCCATCGTGGGCTGGCCATTCGCCGGGGCTCTCTTGGTCCCCCTTCTGCTTGAAGAAGTCATTATTTCGGCCATTGCGGGAGATCTCGCGAAGATAACACTCGCTATTTTGGATGGCGCTTCCAGGAGCCTGCTGGTGTTGGTAAGTATTACCTAGATATCGGCCGAGGTCATTTCGTAGTTTACTGACTTTACTAGGGAGCGGAAGTAGCAGTAGATTTCTTTTTCTTCCGGAAGGTCACTGTTGTCCCCTGGAACATTGTTTCCTACAATGTCTTCGGGGGTCAGGGTAGAGGACCTGATATCTTCGGCACGGAGCCGTGGACATTCTATATCCGCAATCTCCTCCTGAACTTCAACCTGTGGTTTATCCTCGCCATGTCGGTGGCGCCATTACTCCTCCTGCAGGCAATTTTCAGGCCCCACGCGACTTCGGTGCAGACACTGCTCCGGTCAGTGACGCTTGTCGCTCCGTTCTACGTCTGGTTTGCGATCTTCACGGTGCAACCTCACAAGGAAGAAAGGTTTATGTATCCTGCATATCCTTTCCTTGCCCTGAACGCAGCAATTGCTTTCCATCTGGTCCTTTCGTATATCGGCTCTGGGAATCCGAAGGAACTGATCGGCCGAGTTCCAGCCAAGTTGAAGTTGGTAGTCGTGATGTCCTTCGTTCTTGCAGCAGTAAACATCGGACTTTTACGGATTATCGGTGTAGTTACAGCCTACAATGCTCCTCTCAAGGTCTTCGAACCGCTGCACGAGCAGTCGACCGCGCAATCTGGTAGTTCTGTGTGTCTAGGGAAAGAATGGTATCGATTCCCGTCGTCATTCTTCCTGCCAGATGGCATGAAAGCGAAATTCGTGAAGAGCGAATTTCGCGGTCTACTTCCAGGAGAGTTCCCAGAAAGCAAAACCATATGGGACGTTATCAACGCAACATCCGCCATTCCAGCTGGCATGAACGACCGCAATGAGGAAGACTCTGGGAAATATGTAAGGCTATCTGTCTTCAGTTACTACTCTCTCTGTGTCAAGCTGTGCTAACAAACATAGACCGATATCTCCAAGTGCTCGTTCCTTGTAGATTCGTATTTCCCTGGCAGCACAGCCAGTGAGCTGGAACCCAACTACATTCTGGATGAAGCGACATGGGAACCGCTCTCGTGCAAGAGCTTCCTCGACACTTCTCAGACGCCTACTCTTGGTCGTACGATCTGGATCCCCGATTTCCCTTTTATCCCTGCGCGCTATCGTCGCCACTGGGGCCGATACTGTCTGCTTAAGCGTCGGGATGTGGACGTGGAGAACAGCTAGATCGTAAGCGGCTATTATTATCCTGAAGAATCCGTCTGGCGTGCGACAAGCGCTCGCAAATCTCTAGGTTGAGAAGCCAGACTCGAAGTTTGTGGTCGAGTTTGACGTGTGGCTTTACCGAAACGGGATAAGAAATCCCTCGCGGTTAAAGATGCGTATCTTGCATCGATAAGCTGTGCCGGCGAATGATCCTCATCGTTAAATCATCGGCCCCTCACACGATGCTCAGATAAGGACTGGATAAACACCTCGAAATCGGCTCAGCGTCGATCGGCCTGCACGGTCGCGTTGCATAACCCTAAAATGCAGTAGACGCCTTCGCTTGTAATGCCCGTATTCAACGTCCTCTGTGCAAGGACAGCTTCTTTAAGTCAACTGCCTGTGCCCAGATCGTCTGCCTTCTATTGCTCTCGGTAAATGATGTTGATAGTTCATCGCCCCGTTTCATAATGGAAGAACTACACCAGAGAGTGCTGCACTTTGCTGGCAATCTGCACATAAAGGATGTAGTCATTGCAATTTCTGCGATATATGCCTTTGTCTGGTTAGTATTTACTACGGTAAAGAAATACCAGCCTGCAAAGGTTGCTCGACCGTCCACACCAGATCTCGAGAAGCCAGGGCCCCGAGGCAGATTCAAGGTTGACCGAAAGCCTGGAGGTATGTAATCGTCCTATGGGAAATGCTATCCATCACATTCTAATAGATCTCCCAGAATGGATTCCGTCCGACTTCAAAAGACCAACTGCTTCTCCATACCCCGATTGGGATGTACACAAGACCAAGCCGATTCCCTACCGGCCATTCCGTCATGGACCGTAAGTACAGACACACACACACACACACGCAAAGGTCTCCAAGAGCCAATATTAACCAACATGGCAGAAAATACTTTGTCACGATGGGCTTGAGAACCATGAAGTGGGATGAATGGATCGGTACGCAAGAACGACTTATACACAACGCATTTTTCCCTAATTCGGCAACTAACATGAACTACAGAACTCGACAACCACTACCTGAAATACCACGCCGACAAAGCCCGTCGCATCAAGGAGCGCGGTTCCAAATGCTGCAGGACTGCTCCTGAAGCGATGGACGGCGCCATCGAGCTGCTAGAAGAACTGTACGAATATATACATACCCTGTCTCATACTCCCTCACTAACAAACCCCCCAGCGCCTCCTACCTCCCCGAACGCTACCCAACTCTATTCAAGAAAACCGACGTAGGACTCGACAACATCGTCACCGGCGAATCCTTCAACATCATCGAACGCCCCCTCGCCGAAGACCCAATGCAAATCGCCGCTCGTCTCGTCCAAGACGACCTAGCGCTAATGTTCGAAAAAGAAGACGGCCAATACTACCTTCTCGCCGGCGCCGTCCTCCTCGCAGGCTTCTGGCGTCTCGAAGACAAATACCGCATGCCGCTCTCCGAAATCCACACCTCAGGCGACGTCCCCCAATACAAAGAAAAGCTCGAAAAGGGCATGATGAACTTCTTCCGTCGCATTCGACCCGAAGACCCCGTCCTTCGCAACAACTACTTCATCCAAGTAGACGACAGTCTTCCCTGGTCATATAGCATTGGCTCCGAAGACTCCCCCGAAGTCAGCTGGGGAACCGCAGAGAAGAACAAAGCTATCGAGCACCACTTCTTCCGCTCCGAGAGACAATCACTACGACGTCTCCCTCGCTCTGGAGCCGTCGTGTTCACGATCCGGACGTATTTCGAACCCATCACGAAAATCGCTGAGGAGCCATACGTGCCTGGTCGATTGGCCTCGGCGGTTCGGAGCTGGGGAGACGATGTGTCCAGATATAAGGGGAAGGAAAAATACGCAGATGTCCTGTTGGAGTATTTGGATAAGAAACATGAAGAACAAGTTGCTGCGGGGTTGGATGTGGAGAAGGAAGATGAAGTGAGGAGTTATCCTCTATGAAATAAGATAGATGATGGTATGAGGTAGTCGTTGTATGGAAATAAGATAAGCCAGTCTTTATTTATGTCTGTCTGGCTGGGCTACGACTCATGTGGAAAAAAGAAGTTTCATAAGTATTTCTTGTAGATAAAATGAGTTGTGATAAATTTACTTTCTCAATATCAATATCTTTACTTGGTTATTACTTTTATTCTTCCAGTGCAGGAGAAATCCGCATATATTGATAACTAATGATATGATATGCTCATCGTCGTCATCGTTACAATGATAAATCAAAAGAATACCATCTATACCACCATGTAATCATTGAAGAGGCTATTTACAGAGATTATCCGATATGTATACGTGACCCCATGAGAAAGGTTCCAGCTGATGCCTTGCCTTCAATAGAAACCTCAAACGCCGCCTGCGTAAAATACTAGATCCACCTAGGCGTAAAATGCAACACACAAAACAAGATTCCATTTCCTGATATGCATTTTTGAACGCACTTGAAAACGCCCCAATATCATCCCAATCTAATAAAACGCCAGACCTTTTAGACCTCCCCCAATTTATATGTAAGGTGAGTTGGGTTAAGATTATATCGTCAGTCCAACGGAGCTTCCTCTCCTCTTTCGTCGACCTGCAAAGGCGCGTTCCTTCTCTTCGCGCCATGTGCATTCGTCTCTGAATTCGCAGATCCGGCATTTCCACGCATCCATGACCTCAACGCCACGCGGGGATCGTCGACCGCGCCACCAGGCCATCTGTTCCGAAATGTAGGAAGTCAGGGAAGACGGATCGAAGAGGAATGATCGGCTGCCGAGGTTCTTGGGGGATGTCTCGTCGTCTGTTACGGTGGACGAGAGGTATTTTGCTGTCAATAGCGGGGATAGAGTGGTGGGGTAAGCGGCGAGGATGTCGGGTTGCGAGAGGGCGGGTATAGAAGGAGAGACTATGGAGTCTTCAGATGGTAGAAAGGTGCGGCGAAGTTGAGTCTTCATCAGGCTCCAGAGAGCATTGAGGTTGTTGTGGGAAAGGAGAATGCTAGTTGAATCTTGACTTGCTGACAGTGCGGTTGTTGGTGATGATGAAGGCTCACGTCTCTTCTCCGATGGGATATAATCCGGATCTGAATCTAAGGAAGACGGAGCCTCGAAGAACTGATCGTTCAGTCCGCCAACCTCGGCGACGAATGCGTCGGAAAATGCGCGGTCCGGGTCCAGACCGTAGCGAGTAGCAAGCAGTTCCATCGTGACGTCGTCGCTCGTTATCAGACGATTGAGCAGATGGTAGTAGAACTGCAGCTGGAGCTGCGTGGGTCGAAACGATGAGCTGGAGACAGTAGGGATAGACCGCGTTCCCCGAGTCTTGATATCAGTCATGTAGATCCTGGGTGTATTGAAAACCTCCGGTGGTGGAGGATCGAATACGTCCCTGGAAGCCTTTTGCGGTTCAGCCCACGCGATATCAGAAAGCTTCTTCCCTCCCTGCGATGGAGACAGTAAATAATCCGTAATGGACATCTGATACTCCGGCAGGACAGCCCTGGCAGCCTGCGCATCCGCGTAATAAGCCTCGCTCGAAGCCTCCAACTCGGGATCCGGACACTCATAGGACAGCTGATCGATGACCCCGTTAACGATTTCGCCATCAATCAAGCCCCATATCTCCAGCTCTCTTGTCATTCCATAATCTCGAAGAGTCCGCAGACCCTGGATGACATTCCATATCCTCAACGCCCATGCATCCTCCTTCGTCGTAATCTCCACGGGAACCATCGTATGGACCTCATCTTCCAGGACTTTATGAACCGCACTCCCCTGCTTCATCGCAGCCGTCCTCCTCTTCCGTCCATGCTTCGTCAATATGTACCAGTACTGCAGCTCGCACCAAGCCGGCGAGACGAGGTCCGTCACCGAGAACGCCTTGTTCGGAGGCCGTCTGAAGCGATCGAGCGGCGACTGCACGTCCGACTGCTCTACGCTTCCTGGTGTATTTTCACGCTGGATCCAGTTCAGCTCACGCGCCCGATCCCTCTCGCGTTCTCGCTCGCGACCTTCGATCGAATCCGGATGTTCAACTAGACGCTTGACAGTCAGACCGTCAGCGCTTCCCTCAAGACAGGACAGACTCCCTTAGCAGAGAGCGGGGGACGAAGAGCAAGCAAGCAAGCAAACATACCACGCGCGGAGCCAACGTTGCTCCTGTCCTGACTTGAAGCAGGCCTCCACGGCCAAAGAACCTGCTGTGTCTTCCTCGGACTCCATTTCTCCCTGCCCAGGACCTTGGGCACGCGAGCAGTCCGTGGATCCCCATAATCTTCAATATCCCCTATGACAAGATTTGGCTGAAGAGACTGCAAATCCTGCCTAGACACTTCTTCTTCTTCTTCTACCTCCACAGCTGTCGCTGTCGTGGTCGCGGGAATATGGAAATGGTCCTGGCTCGCGGTGGCGGCGCGTTGGTGAGTGGCGGCCGCCTTCGCGAGCAGCTCGTTCAACAACTCCTCTTCATCCGGAGTGAAGTCGGATCCGTATTCGCTGCCACCGCTCTCATCGAACCCGGTCCCTGATGAGGATATCTGAGGAGATCGACAGGTCATGGCCTGCGAATATGCAGGGATTCAGGATTAATTCATGGGGATGCGGGGGAAGAGATGGAGATGATTTGCAATCATCTCTGTTTTCTGCGGAATTGATTGATTTACTAATAGCGTCATCCCGCGACGGGAGCGCGTTTAATAATAATAATAATAGCCTTGCCAATTTTCTTTTTTGTTCATGTATGTTTAGATCGGTAATCCGATCTCGTTGCCGATAAGATATCGTCGATATGTAAAAGTAAGTACCTATTATCGCGCACTGTTCTTGAATATGAACCACGATAATAATAGGTATCTGCATCCTTGAACAGCGGGTGCATCAGATTCGTTGCATAAGATGGAACCTAGTAGATCCGTGAATCCCAGATCAATTGCAATAGTTATAAAAGGATACAAATAAGTCTATCTATATACAATTCAAAAGCAAACTGCCCTGCAAGGCCCAGCCTTGCATAGAAGCGCCAAAACGCCCAGCCAGTCTATCTATCAAATCTATAACAGCGCACAATCCTCAAAATTCAGCGAGTTTCCTCCAAAGGCGCGCACTTCATCACGTCTTCATTGCTACCTGAGAAGGAGAAATCTCAGCAGAAGTCAAGCCGCCAGTCTGTGCATGTATCCTATCGGCGGCCTCTGCAGCCTCAACTTCTCGTGCAGCCTTCTGGTTCAGCCAGCTGAGATACGTCTGCCAGCCCACGGCAATCGTGCCTCCAAATACGCTGCGAAAGTGCGGCGGAATGTACATGAAACTGAACGCCGTGACGGCCGGCCATAACTTGACGCTGTTCTTGATACTCGTGGGCACGGCCTTCTTCAGTCGCTCCCAGGTCTCATCCAGGGAAGCACCAGCCAGGAGAGATTGCATGCTGAAGAAGTAGGTATTGAAGACGGGGGTAAAGCAGGCCTGCTGCACGGCGACTTTGGTGGTGATAGAAAGGAATTTGGAAGCGTAGTTGAAGTTGTGGTGGAGGAACATGAACCTGATACATCCCAAGAACAATCAATCATTAGCATCGTACACCCAAACCCCTATCCGGAGAATAACCGCTGCGCATATCTCTCACAATCCAAGGAACTCACCATTTATAACTCGGTATACTCGAGATGGCACCCACAGTCAAATGCCTCAGTGTTCTCAAAGGATCATACCCTCCTCCACTTCCTCCCTCCGCCTTCTGCTCCTCTTCACTTGCACCAGCGTCACTCTTCGTCTCCTCCTTCGCACCACCCTTCTTATCATCCGACGGAAACATGAACTGCGCACTCAGATCTCCAATGAGATACACCACCAACGAACTGCACAGCTGCGTCACATAGGGCCTCCTCTGCTGCGCTCTACTATACGCATCGCCCAACCTCCCCAGCGCACTCGCTCGCACCATCTGACCGAACGACCGACGAGCAGGCTGCGTCGCCAACGGCGCAGGAGACGCTCCCGCAGATGACGCTACCGGTCCCGCCGGGGACGCTGTTGCGTCTGCTTTCGCAGTGCCATGGCTTTTCACTGCTTCCTCCGAAGATGATGACCCAGACCCGTTCTCGGGAGCGCTGCTGGCTTTATATCGTCGCTGTTGCGTCTTCCTTTGTACGCGATATCTGGAAGAGATGGTGGGCCGTCGGACCGAGCATACGCCCCGCGTGGTGATTTTCATTTCTTTGATGATGTTTTGTTTTCGGGAATCGATTGGAGCGCCAATTGATTGCTCTTCTGATATATCGAATCCAGTTCCTGCGTGGTAGTTTCGGGCGTATACTTTTTGTCCAATTCTTCTTTGTTCTCCCGAAATCGGCTTGGGTCGATATGGCCGATACTTAACTAACGAATCGCGCGGGAAAGTCGAGGTCTATACAAACAACGAAATCTAATAAGATGGTCTATTCGCAATGGAAAAAAAAAAAGAATGAATGAACTGTTGGAAGGGAAAGGAGGGGAGAGTGGTCTTCCTGTATTACAGCAAAGCAAAAGCAGGTTGAAAGAACGTGAGTTTGTCTGGTGATAATAATGCCATAACTTAATTGATCGGATAACTATTCTGCCGCGAACTTTGCCGATTTTCCGTCAAGGTTGCTTAGTCAGGACGATATCTGTCACTTTTAGGCTAATAATGAATGCATTGCATACTATTACAGGAAAGAGCAGATCTATAAAATAGTAATGACAATGATGGTGATGATGACGATAATAATAATAATAATAAGTTATTACGCTCATTAGCTATGTACATGTCCATATGCAAATACATGCAGAAAACATCATTAGATCAATATCAATATGCAGCCATAATTGCATGCAACCCAAACACATGTACACGTAACAATGTATGAACATAGCATATCAGCAAAGCTCTTTCCGGGTATAAGACCAACGGTACGCCGGGGAACGTCGAATATTCATGCAATAGACAGATGGAAGAGGAAACACTTTTTTGTTCTCGCATCTCGCAGAAAACATCAACACCCGCGAAGCACAAGAGGTCGAGGTCTAATATGTAAACAAGGTGTCAACGCCAGATTGGAAGCGTCGTTTATTAGTATGGTAATGCGGTGTTGCATATCAGTCGATGGTCGGATGATAAGAGACGTTGGCCACAACATGATCAACGCTTGAAGGATTCCCGCGTGTTGACACGGTCGATATCGTATGGGTTGCCCTCATAGAGACTCCTCGTACGACCAACGCTACTGCCAGTCTGTGAACGGCGCAGAGAGCCGCTGCGCATGGAGGCCATGCTCCGCTCGTGACGCACAGAAGGAAGTTCCTCGACAGCAGACTCGCTGTCGCTGGAAACCGGTGAGTGTGGAGGAGAGGCCTCGGTGCGATCGAAAGCCTCCGCCTCCTTGATTTCTTCCTCGGCCTCTTCTTCCGGCTCGCCCTGTTGCTGCAGCTTCCGCAAGAACTCTTCGGACTGGGCAGCGAACTTGCACCGGGTACGAATGGCAGGGCCGTATTTATAGAAGAGGAAGGGGAAGGGAATACAGGCCACTGCCAGGAACGCGGGGATCGAAGATGCCCAGTGGATTCCCAGGTTGTTGTACATGTAGGTGGTGAACAAGGGGAAGGCGGCACCGAAACAAGACCGCAGAACTGAGTTGGCTGCCAAGACAGACGCGGCGAAGATTGTATATGCATCGATCAGGTAATTCATGATGCTGAGGAAGACTAGAACCATTCCAAATCCGAATGGAACACCGGCTGCAATACTCGCCATCCAGTGAATGGAAGGGTAATTGGTCCAGGCGAACCAAAAGAGTCCAACGGGGACTGCAATAGATGCCAGCAAGCAGGGTACCAGGCGTGCTTCGGGAGGTGCGAATCCGCCGTGCTGTTCTTGGGTCCGGATGTAGCGCTTGTTATCAGGGATGGTGTAGATGACAGCCGCAAGCATACCGACCATGATACCCAGGAAGGGCAAGCTACCTACTCCAGGGTTCCAGCCACGACCCCGTTGGTAGACGATAGGGTATGCGGCGAACAGCATATACAAAGTGCCGTAGATAATAGCCATGTAGACCGAAAGCAGGAACACGATGGGCTCCCGGAAGAGTAGGATCCAAGGACGGGAAAGCGATGTCTTGAAGGCACTTCCCAGCGTGACCTTGCCCCGTTCGATGTCGAGTTTGCTTCTGTACACCTTCCCCGTGATCTTGGAGAGTCTCTCAGCCCGACGACGGAGAAGCACTGGCGCATAGGTTTCGGGGAGCAGCAGAGATCCCACGATCCACAGGGTGCCAGAGAAGGCGGCCAAAAAGCCTTCCACCCATCGCCAGCCAGCATTCATTCCGAGGAATCCACCAATGATCGGACCTAGCACCGGGCCTAGAAAGGGCGCAGCAGCAAAGACACTCATGGCCAGACCTCTCTGCGCGGCGGGGAACATATCAGCAATCACACCACCGGCATTGGTCAAGGGGGAGGACCCAAAGGCACCAGCAAAGAACCGGAGAATGATCAGAGTCTGAGCGTTCTGGGCACCTGCGCAGCCCGCATTGAAGGCAGTCAGGCCAGCATAGGTCCCGATGAACAGGACTTGTCGCCCAAAGAGCTCACTCATCGGTGCCCACATCAGTGGACCGATTGCGAATCCCAAGACGAACAGCGACACTCCCAGCGTTGCAACCTCCTGGCCGATGTGTAATTCAACCATGATTTTGTCGATACCACCCGTATATGCGGAAGAGACCAGTGCCACGGCCAGTGTTGCAAAGGCGACACACATGGTGATACTCCATTTCTTGATCTCACCGTATTGCATCGGGTTGCGAGGGTCGTTTGGAATCCACTCGACCGCGTATGGGTCATCTTCTGTTCCTGAGCCTTTGTATGGGTAGTCGATAACTTCTTGGGTCACGACGCCCTGGTCGATGACGGTGCGCCAGTAGGGAATCTTTGACGTCTTTGGTTTTTCGATCTTCTCCGCCTCGAGGCCCCCATTGCGGTCCGCCATGGCGGCTGCGTACAGTCGACTACTCCTGTGGTCCGTACAGCAAGAGACAAGTGAGAGAATGGTAGAGTGAACAGAAACAAAGTGTGAGGTTGCTGTAAGGCGTAGAAGAAACTGGTGGGGTGGGGGATACAGACAACAAACGAAGGGTAAGTAAGCTGTCTAAAAGTTTGCCTCGGGACCCAAACAGGAAGTCCAGAGGAGCGGGATCCCACGATACTATATAGTACCATACGCTTTTGAGGTCATGGGGCCGTCACGGCCAGGGACGGGCTTACTGACCCCAGCTTCGGGGTTAATGAAGACCGGCGCATACAGGTGCCATGGCTGCATCCTGTTTCGGGGCAACAGAGACATAATATACGAGCTGTGCACGGCTAATGCACAGCACATCTGGTTGGCACTGCACAAACCACGACTCATGATGATTCAGACACTGGCAGAAACCAACGGATCGGCTCCATAAACCTCCAAAAAAGGGTGGAGAGCGGACATCGGTGGTTAACAGTCCGCGGACAGTCTGGGAGCGTCGACGGACGAACTCATTAGACCGGCCAAAAACGAGAAGCATCAGGAATAGTCGACTAGTTATCAAAAATCTTCCGTTTGCGTCATCCTCCCAGCTCCACTTGCCGAGGTTTTATGTTGGTTGTGCATAACTGACAAGTTGTGCATGGTATTGCGGGGTGTCGGAAGGGGGCGAGATGGCTGAACAGAGGAGCTGACTCATCAATACACATCAGGTGCGGGTTATGCAATGCATCGCCGGCAAGTTGACCTTCCAGAAAAAGTGGCTCGTCCGGTTTTGGTGCGTGTCTAGAAGGCTTGGCGTTTGTGGCGCAGATTGACCTATCTCGGGCGATCAGGCCACTGGCATAATAATAATACAGTATACAAGATTAAAAAAAGGAATAAAAAAAAAATCGAATCTCGATGAAAATTTTCCTTCTTGCTGACTCTCACGGTCTTTCAAACTACTATTATGTGTCCATATCCATGGCTTTAACGTGAATCGCACCATGGTTGTCGTGTCCTGAGGCCTGGACCTGTTCTCGGCTATCACCGAAGCGCCGACTGGTGCCGAGATCCATACACGCCGCTAATGAGTTAGTCAGTCCCTAGGTGGTTTTTATTCTCCGCTAAAAATCGCCCTTTTTATGTTCTCCATTCTCAGTCCTTCTGTAATCTGTCTCCTATTTTCTAGTAGTGCAGAACAGACGGGGAATTCCGTTCTAGACTTTCGTTCGTATGTTCAGAGAGCATTGAAATAAAGTACACCGATCTTTTTAGTGTTTACATTGTTATAGATCCGGTTCAATGATCAGATTGGACGGTGTCAACTAGTTATGTCTAACTAGTAGTTCTGTTAATGCAAGGGTATTGTTTACTATTGATAAGCGATGATGCAGGGGACTGGGTTCCCCGCCAGTGCTGATAGAGTTAACTATACAATGATAATGGCATATCAACGTATAGATCGATATCTGATGGATTTCCAGTCTACTGGAGACGGGATGATCTTCGTAGGATTTCGCAGTGGTCGTATGTCTTCACGCACCAGATATATATATATCCCCGTACGGATACCACCCCATCTTCCAGCTCAAGACTGACCACACACCCAAATTTCCCACATCGCCTTGATCAGAATCATACAGGACGAGATCAGACCATACCAGAGACCAGGAATTCAAATCTGAAATCAACAGCGTCCATACACCGCTGCCTGTCGAAGGATCAGGGAAGATACCCTCGTATCCAATGCGTCTTGGCATACGGATTCGGCGCAACATGGCGAAAGCGGTGTGCAAGTAACTTAGATACCTAGTGAACTAACCGCCTTCGCTTAATCATGACGACATGGATCCATGGATGATAAGATCTTCAGGTCTACTCTACAATTGCTGGTATTATTCTCACAAGCCAGAATGATAGCAAGTAGGATCGATATCGTAAACGCAGCACACGGCCTCATTAACCAATGTCCTCTATCTAGGAATAGCTAGTCACAGGAAGCAGCAATGGCCACAATAACTACTTATGAAACCCAGACAACCCAGCGGGCCCATACTTACTGCAGTACTTTCTAGCCCAAAGACGAAATCGGCAACTTATCGAATAGGTAGAAAGAGAAAACGAGCGTTGTCCTGCTCGTCCATTTTCACAAGCAACTGCAGCAGCAGACTATGGAATACAAAATTCCCCATCATAGAACCCTTCTGGCTCAGTTTCTACTCTCATCTTCAGGCATCAGTTCGTGGACAAATATTCCCTTGATTTCCCCCATCTTTGATTTCCCGGTATATGATATAGTCACCTTGCTAAAGAGTAGAGCGACACCGCCGATCGCGACGCATGACACACCAAACGCGCAAAGGTATTCATCGCGAGGACAAGATCATAACTAATCGAGTGTTTGTTACCCACAAGTCAAAACCTAAGCGGAACGGTACGGTATCGGTGTTGGGGAAGATGAAAGATGAATTCTATCCACTACATGGGGAACTCCGTGACCCACTATACTAATAGTGGCACCTTTCCATATCATTATACCCCCCTCTGAAAAAAGGATCAACGTCCTCGTTGACGAGCGAATAGTTAAATACAATAGTGGTGATGCCATGATAGACTGGGCGAGGAGAAGTATGGTTTGGTTTGGCCGTCAAATCCTTTGTCAATCATTGTCATGGAGCAGCCAGAGTCGGTCCGAAGCACCTGTCGTAGAGTGGATGATCGAGATATGCTCGAAACTTGAGGTTTCAAGTTGGGGCCCTCAGAATTTTTTGTGTCTAAAGCAAGAAAAAACAAAGATCAAAGTCAAACCGGCAGCTCAATAATAACCGTGCAGGGTGTCGTTGTGCTCGATTTCGGATCTCTCGTCGTTAGTCAAGCTCTTCAAGAAGTCTTCAAAACATCGCCGAGTTTCCGACAAATTGACCCAAGCACATCCGCCATACCCATGACTGCTCCTGCCACCCCATGGTTATTTCTCACAACTGCAAACAGCAAACCATTAACCACACCATTAACAAAAGAGCCAGTGATACGAAAGACTCGTAGTAGTAGTGGAAGAGGATGAAGATGATGGATTCCTCTCTACGGAGGGGAATGGCTAATATGCTAGATACACATGACGTGCCTGCCTAACCTGGCTGATCGTGCTGATCCTGTAATAGCCAGAGTCCCCGTTGGCGGCAAAGTCAGACTGCTCAAACTCTGAGTCGGTCATTTTCTTATTGATGACTGTATGTGCTGGCGAGCTGTTGTCCTCCAGTCTGCTGCATTGAAACGGCTCACGCGCGTTTACTCTGATACGGGATCCTTAGCAACAAGAACCGCGCGACTGTTGTCCTAGATGCTGATTGCATGGGTTGCATAGTGATATCATCCATGTCATTGTTACAATAGTTTCTGCTGGCCAGTAACTATCAAGACTGCCGATAAACGGGATCATTATAATATAAGTGAATCACCTAGGCAATTCGCTCGCGTACGCGAAGTGAATTCGATCAGACCAATGAGCTGCGAGGATCACGCCGGACATCAGACGAAGTCGCGTCACAGAGGCAAAAGAAAGCTTGATGACATCGAATGTCCAGAGGGACAAACTGTCTGTATCGATCCTGGACTTCAGAGGCAAGATTAGGGAAATATGGCACAGAGCTATAGCAAAGGAGGAGTCTTCTAGAAGAATCGATAAAATAAAAGAATCAGCAAAAAATATATATAGAGATGGACGACTGGTTGTTCAAAAACAACTACTTCACCAAGATCCTGCAAAGTCCGACAGCAGGCTATCGGAAAGAAATCTGCAGAACCATAACCAAGTGTAGTAGTATATCGTGGACCAAATTCTTAATTGCTCTCAGAAGTAATATATTGTCTCGTTTTGTCCTGGTTCTGATTAGTTTGAGTGACAGACAACTGTACTTTCTTGTTTGGCGTTTGCGAGTCTTCGCTATCTGCACCTTTTTGGCTGCCTTGCAGTACAGCTTTTCTATTTAACCATCACCGCGATTTGTATTGTCATCTTCCTTATCGTCACCGTCGTCGTCATCATCGAGGTCCATCGGGACGTAAAGGAGAAAAAGACACTATAACCAAATGGAGGGTGATATCAACGCACTCAGGGCCCTCTGGCGTGTGGTTCTGGATCCAGTCGATCCTGTCCTGGCAATGCTGCAGGATTCCCAGGGCGATTCGGCCGCATTTCCAGTTGTATAACCTTTGGAGCTTATTACGCTCCTCTGTTGTCACCCATCGAGAGCAACGGGAAAGTCCGGCCGAAGGGTGTCTAGCGAAAGGTGCTGCGGTTTGTCCTCACTTTTTTGTCCATTCCAAATCCACATTTCATCTATCTGATTGCCACGTTCGCTGCTGGACTTTCTCTTCCTCGCTTCTCCCAGTCTTCTCCGTAGCTGGGTTTTCAATACCATACTTAGAACTACTTTGGAAGAAAGTATAGAGGTTGCGTGTAGCGGTCAAAAGTAGGCCGAAATAAGACAAAGAGCATCTGTAAAGCTCGCCTTTGAGAAGCGGAAGGTATATACAAGTAAGAGTACGATGTTAAGCTATAGGGATATAAAGGTGATTATCCAGGTGAATTATGATAAGCCAAGAGTGGTATAGTAAGATTAAAGTGGATGAGGGCGAGAGTTGAAGTGCGTAGTAGGGGGGAGACGAAGCAGGATGGAAATTTTATACCTAGTCAAGAGTAACTGGTCAAGAAGGTGAATTAAGAAGAGAATTCACACTACGTATTCATTGCTGGATTGTAGTTATCCCGAGTAAAGACCAAATAGCACTACACTTGACGTGAACGGATGGAGCGCTACGGTAGTTAATACATATCGCGCCTAGAGATAGCGGATACCTGAAGGAAGCGGGAGAAAGCTTGCTTAATTGGATCTAGGAGCTAGGCGAAGCCTATATGGGCTCGCTAGGTCACGTGATCGCTAGGGAGCAGGGCGCCAAAAGGGGCAGCCGAAGGGGGCCTTCAATAC